TTGAGATTTCCTTGAGATTTCCCCAGCATTTACAAATCCTTGAGATTTCCTTGAGATTTCCCCAGCATTTACAAATCCTTAAGATTTTCCTTGAGATTTCCCCAGCATTTACAAATCCTTGAGATTTCCTTGAGATTTCCCCAGCATTTACAAATCCTTGAGATTTCCTTGAGATTTCCCCAGCATTTACAAATCTTTGAGATTTCCTTAAGATTTCCACAGCACCTACGAAATCCTTGACATTTCCTTGAGATTTCCCTGGCATCTATAAATTTTTAAAATTTCTCTAAAATTTCCTTAAAGATCTATTCATTAATTCTTAAAACTTTTTTAAAAATACTTTAATATTTATAGCTTTTTAAAATTTTCTTTTAAATTCTTTAATATATAATTTTTTTTTAAAAAAAAATTAATATTAATATAAATAGCTTATTTAGCTTTTTAAAATATTTTATTAAATACTTTAAATAAACTAAAAGCTTATAATATATTTTATTATAAAATTTAAAAGTTAGGGTAATATTTCTATTTTTTTCTAATTTTTTAATAAAAATATATACTGGGTAGGCTAAACTAAAGAGCTGGGTGGGCCGTTGTGGGGAGCTGGGTGAGCTACTTATGACTGCTGTAATTGCTCGCTTATGCTCGCTCAGAGAATGGAGCGCTTCCCGCTTACCTAATTCTTACTGCCGGCCCCCAGCGGCAGGCCTTCGGCCCACCGCTGGGGCCGGCAGTAAGAAGAACCCATAGAGCCCACCGCCAGCCTAGGGAAGTGTTGGTTATGTAAGTGCCAATGATGGGACCTAGTGCAGGTCCGAGATAGCCCGTCATGACGAGCACGTCTAGACCAACCCCTCGCGCGACGGGACTAGGCCAAATGTCGCCAATTGCACCGCCAGTAACAGCCACTTTGCAATATTCATATCAGCATTCGCAGTAGTCGTAAGACAGAAAAAGCAATAAGTGGCGTGAAATTGACTTACTGGACGCAGCCCCGAATGTGCCGCTCAGGAACCGGCATATCAAGATTGTGTAGAAGTTCTGTGCCAAGGCGATTGGAAGAGAAAAAGAGGCGAAACCGATTATGCCAACTTGAGATGTGTCAGTCTGGTGGCTCAAAGGAATCTGGATATGCGCTTTGGGAGTCACTAACTCATTATAGGGAGCTTTCTCCCAATACGCTCAGACAAAGGCCCAAACATTAGAGGACCGACCGCATAGCCCTATCCATCACACAATGCATCAGCTTTCTTCTACACAATCTGATTGATGGGACTTGCGGTTTCCTACCAGCAAAAACATGGTGACGATCAACACAACCATGGTACGGGGGACATGGAAGTCCTCGGCAATCTGTGTGCTGGAGCCCGACAAGACTCCGGCGGACACATTGACCACGAACGGCAGCGTGTTGAGGACAAGCGAGATGAACAACTTTCTCTTCATTGACCAATTGTGCGGGTTTGCTGCATCACGAGGCTCCCACTCAACCAGATCTCTGTCAAAATCCATGCTAGCAAGCGGTGAGCACTTTGTGTGGAAATGAAGTGGGCAAAGATGCGAGAGTAGTGCAAAATTCGCATGCTCCGAGGTGGTTGTATCCGTTGCCCTGTAACTAATAGCCTCTCAGTGCCGTGCCTTGTTGTTTGATGGACATGATTCAGTGCTCGATGCCGCACTAGACAGAAATAAATTGCGCCCTGTCAGGGGTAACATAGTTTACGGACCGCCAGGGGTTAATCGCTCTAAGACCGGGCTTTAACAGGGTCCCGATCACCGCTGCACGTCCTACGTCTAACTATACTCCGGCTTTAATGCGACTCTGCATTCGAGAAATAGATTTTCAGCATACATATTATAGAATCAAACTGCCTATTCGTACGACATGAAATAAGTCCACCCCAGATCGTAGTTGCTGTGCAAATGCTTTGTTTACTTGCTAATTTTCTTAATGAAGCTGGTTCAGCCTTGCGAAAAACATATGTCAAAGCCTCGCAAAGTTGATCACAACATTTTCATCGTCACTGATCCGTGCCATGTCTGCACGATTGCAAATTCAATATCCTTAATTTGTTCCGGCAGAGGTGAGGGATTACATGACTCTTGGCATTCAATTCGGCGCCCATTGCAAACCTGTATATTTAGATGAGACCATTGTGGAGGAAGTTGTCATGAAGAAATACCAGATAAAGTTTGTACAGTGCGTGTTTCGCTCGCGCGCGCGCTCTGCCGCAACGGCCATTCCTATTACTTGTGGAGACCTATAACCAACATAGTAATTGAGACGTTGTCAGGCTGCTATAAGATTTGGCATTTTCATACAAGCCCCTGCCTCTGATCGACTCAGTCCAGATAGACAAGGTCCGAGCTTTTCGTCCCAACGAGACGAATACGAAAGATATCCATTAACGAAGATATACTCGTGACTTTCCCAGCAAAATGACCGACGACGTCGTGCTGATAGTACAGTCACAAGCGTTCGTACTACGACACAATGTCGACCACCTGTCTACGCTCAATTTCTATCGAAAGTCACCGACGGGACATCATGCCACAAGCAGAGGTTGAACCAAGCGAAGTTCACGGCCTGCCTCTTCCAGCGCAAGTTCACTCCGCTTGGGAATTTTTTGAGAAAACAGTATCCGAGCATCCGGACAGTCTTGCGCTTGCAAGTGTTGGTCAACCACATGATTTATTCGGTATCCAGAGCATCCCTCTGAGTAATGATAGTCATGCCCCGGGGTATTTGAGATGGACATTCAAAGACTTGAGGGGTGGCATTGCTCGCCTCGTCGCAGGCTTCAGAGCCTCTGATGTTGTGCCTGGGACACTCATTTTCACATTCATACAAAATTGTGCGGAATTTGTTCTCATTAAGTAAGTCCTGAGCTCATCGTTGAACAAAGTCGCGTCGAAGATTGACGAGAACAAAAGATGGGCCGCTTACGAGATGGGATGTGTGCTTGTCCCTCTCAATCCACGCAACTTGGACAACGACGTTGAACTGAGATCGATGATCCAGACTGCGTTTCTGGCAAGTACCTCCAGTCTATCAGTCGTCATAGCTGGAGATGGCAAGACAAGCAAACGAGTCGATGCCTTGGGGGATTTAAGCCAGGCCATGAAAGTCGTTGTGAATGATATGGCAGCAAGAGATGGATGGATTCCATTCACGAGCCTGATGAACGCGTCGCGTCATCACACCAACGGCCACAGACGAGATAAAGAGATGCACTGGCAGAGGAGTGGCACAGTTCTGTTCACAAGTGGAACAACAAGCCTTCCCAAGGGTGTCTTCCACCGTTACTCTGACTACTCCCACCACCTCGAGGGCATTAAGATGCGTCCAGATCAGGGCGGTCTTCCCCCAAACTCCAAATGCTGCTGTGTGCTTCCGAACAATCATCTCCTGGCATTTTACAGCCACTGGAACGCCTATTGCTGGGGAGCAGCGTGGATATTTCCTGGGCCAGCCTTTCAACCAGATGGAATGCTGGAGACCCTGCGTCGGGAACGTATCACGCATATCGATCTCGTTCCTACGATGCTGCACGCACTGCTTGCCGCAGAATGTTTGCAAGATGGACCCCTGGAAGATCTGGACTCTGTGGTGTACGCTGGGGCGGTGGTGTCTCCTGACACGATCAGGCTCACCACAGATATTTTAGGAGCGAACAGCGCCGAGGCGCTATTTGGAAGTAAGTTTTTCACAGATAGAGTTTCTTTACTACTACGTTTGAATTATCACATTCTGATCGGAATTACGCAGTGACGGAGGGACCAGTAGTTAGGGGCGTCCCTTCAGACAACGCCAACGCGTCGCGCGTCTCTGACGAGGGAGTGGTGCCAGTTGGCTGGGCAGGACCGGGCCACGCATTCCGAGTTGCTGACCCAGAAACAAACAAATCCGTGCCTATGGGGGACTTGGGAGAGCTCCAGGCCTCAGGTCCAGCCATCGCACGTTACCTCGGCGGCGCTGGCCAGAGCAGCTTCTATATCGACTCTAAAGGCCGCAGATGGTTGAAGACAGGGGACCAAGCCAGGATCAATAGAAAAGGCTGCATCTTCATTACCGGCCGTTACAAAGACATGTGCGTATATCAAGGAAAGCACGTATGCATGTGGAAATGTTTGGTTGCTGACCACATACAAACCATCCAGGATTATTCGCGGTGGCGAGAACATCTCACCAACGGCTATTGAAACAGCCATCCGTCGCAACCCAAAGCTCGCACGGCTGGATCCGCAAGTCGTTGGCGTGCCAGAATCCGTAGCCGGAGAGGTCCCCGTGGTCGTGATAAGCTGCAGGGGGCTGACCGCAGATATCTGCGAACTCATCAGGACTACCGTGGCCACCAATATGGGGACTATGTATGTCCCAGCTGAGGTGATCTCACTCAGTCAGCTTGCCATGCCTGACTATCCACGTACCATGTCCGGGAAAATTCAAAAGGTCAAGCTAGCAGAAATTGTGAGGAAGTATCTCGAGGACGTCGAGTCTGCGGAGAAAAACGCCAACAGCAACAAAAGTGACGAAAGCCTTGCTGAAGCTGTCAAGGAGATCTGGGCGAGGGCGACTGGACAGGATATTTCCAGCATTTCGTTGAATGCCCCGGTTTCCACATTTGCTGATAGCATTCTCATCATCAGAGTGCGCGGGAAAATCAGGCTCAAGACAGGGAAGATGTTGTCAATGGCAGAGATGAACAGCGCCGGTACCATCGCCGGGCAGATCGAACTGCTGAAGACAAAAAGCTCTGCCAAAGGACCAAGCCCTACTGTCATTGCTGGTAATAAAAGAAAGCGAGCTGAACCACCAAGCATGGAGGACTTGGTACACGTCGCCAAAGACCGGAGCCTTTTCGCAGCTACAAGAGAGACGGTATCTAGGACCCTTGCTCCCCACGGACTGGATTGGGACGACGTAGAAGCAGTGTTCCCATGCCATGATCACTTGAATGTGTTTCAAAGGGTGCTTGATCCCTTGGGCATCAACACTGGACTCTTGGCCCACCAAGCCAGCAAGCTTGTAAGACACCGAACAGTCTATTTCCCTGCATGTGACTCTCATGCTAACATCCACAAGCAACTGCGAGAAGCCCTTGAGAAGACACTGACAAACAACCGTTTGCTTGGATCATTCATAGTTCGCACACCTGGTGAATCACAAAATGAAAACCTGCACGTCGTCATCCGGCCCGGGAGGAAGCTTTTCGACCTGATCTTCGAAGACGGCGGGAGCGTGAAGACGAAAAATGACCTAAGAGAGCAAATTCCCATCTATCCAAATAAAACTAAATGTCAACGCCCCGGTCTCTTAGCAAAAGTCAAACTCTTTTCCATCGAGGAAACTGGCACCGGCGGCGCCATCCTTGCCACGCACCACAACATCGTCGACGCCTTCATGGTACAACTGGTCTGTGACGACCTCGAGAAATGCCTCGCATTGATGGGCCAGCCCCTGCGCCAACATGTTGACTTCAAGCTCTGGTCCGACAGCTATCATAGCCTGCGCACCTCGCCCGAAGCCATGGCCTCAGTGCAATGGCACGTCTCACGTCTGCGCCGCCTTGCCTCTCTCAAAAATGCAATCTGGCCCGGTATGCCGCCACAGGAAGTGACCTCTGGCGGCGCCATGGTGCGCCGGATGTTCGACGCGCCCGATATTCGCCGCCTGCGCGAGGAGCATGGGCTCATGCCGGCGACGATCCTGAAGACGGCGCAGGCGCTGCTGAATGTCCACCGCACAGGGGCGACACACGCGGTGTTCTCCAACTTTGAGGCTTGCCGTAGCAGGTTTCCGTTCCTGCCAAAAAGCATAGAGGCCCTCGGCCACTTCGATGCTGCAGATGTGTCTGGCCCTACGTTCACGAGTGTCATCAACATGCTTGAGGTGTGCTATGGTGAGAGCGCGCTCGGACTGTTGGGGCGCGTGCAGGAGGACCAGGAGGAATTGACGCGGCATGCTGCGGCTCCGGCGCAATTGATCATGGATTCACTGGGACCAAAGGGGCATCTGATAGAGAAGGCTGTACGAAGCCAGTGGTTCAACTGGTCCCCTGGTGTCGGGGCCTCCATAGGAGACCCGTACGAAAACATTGAGGTTCTTAATCACAACCCGACTGAGAGCTCAGCTAGAGGCATGGGGCTTGGGGTGAGGGCCGGCTTAGGTGGCCCGGATGGTGTTACTTATGTGGTCATTGTCAGGACAGCGATCCTAGACGAGGATGGTGCAGGACACATTGCGCAAGATCTAGAAAGGCTTACTTTGTGGTTGGTGAATCCGGACAACTGGGATAAACCAGTGGAGGAGATTCTTCAAGTACTTTAGAGACACAGTACTTGAGATGACATAGAGATTGTAATTTATTTTCATTGCCCCTCTTTCTTGACTTTATGTGTTTCTGGGAGCACTTGTTGTGAGTCTATCGCCCCGAAAACAATTTTCCCCATCTGCCTGTCCCCAATGAGGCACTGATGCTGTTGAAGTTCGCGAGTAGATATGCTAGGCAGGATTCATATCAGAATAATAGCACCGGAAGTCGGTGATGTGTAAAGCAGTGCTTTGTGTTGGAATTATAAATTGCTATTAATACCAGAGTTTTTGACTTTCGCAACAATGACTCGTAGGCTGATTGTAATATCCCTTCGCTGGGGCGCGCGCCCTGACTCTCGGAACGGTTGAAAGCCATGCTACAACCTCCCAGACTCTGCCTAATAATATACTGGGTGCTCATACTGTGTACAGGGGTCCTGAAACCCCGTATCGTGAAAGTACACCCGCTGTACTACCTTTTCTAGTTGACCTATTTAACTTCAGGCTCTCAGGCTTTCAGTATCATCGGTGTCGTCGCTTCAGAACATCACGACCGGTCTCAAACGTTGTATCTGGTACTCTTTCTAACGAGTAGTCCTCTAGTAAACTGCATCGGCTGCCACTTTCAGTTCGAGTCACCTCACGGTCCCTGCGCTTTGTGGCACAGGTGGTGCGTCCGCTGAACATTGGAAATGGCTGCTACGCAGTTGATGACAGGGGGTTTCCCTTCGACCGGATTTGCCATCTTCGCCTTAGTGACATTCGGTGTCCTTCTGTATTCGAAGGTACTCCTAAGCCCCCTGGCCAAGATCCCAGGCCCATGGTACTCCAAATACACCGACGTGGTCCTGAGGCGCCTCTGGCTTGGCGGAAGTAAGACGCAGTACGTACATGCCTTGCACGAAAAATATGGTCAGTCTAGCCCACATCCCGGAATGCAGATATGGAAACTCATACCAGTGAGAATCTAGGTCCTGTCGTCCGCATCAGCCCCCACGAAGTCGACGTGTTGGACGTCTCAGCTGCTAAGGAAATTCATTCGGTCAAGGCAACGTATGTCAAGGCACCATGGTACAGGACATTCGCTACCCCTGGCACAGAGAATGTGTTCAGCACTACAGACATAGAATTTCACCGTCGCCACCGCCGACTGCTTCAGGGGCCGCTGTCTGAGACAAACCTGAAAGTCTTTCACCCAGTTGTGGAGCAGCGAGTCGAGTTGGCCATCCAGAGGATGAAAGAGGAAACGAACAGTCGGGGGGCGACGGACATTTTAAAGTGGTCTTTGTTTATGGCTACAGACACTGTTGGCGAGCTCTCTTTCGGGGAATCCTTCCGAACCCTGGAGTCGGGAGAGGTACGTCTAGCAAACCCCTTGCAACACGCCTTTTCAGATCTCTAACAATACATAGAAAAACGAATATACCAAGAACTTGGAGACTCACATCAGAACCGGCGCTAAAAGAACAACTTTCCCATTAATAGCCAAGATCGGGCTATATATACCAATTCCAGGATTCCGGGACACCACGGACGTCGTCCGAAAGAATATCCAATTTGCTGAAGATTCTTTGAAGAGATATCAGAGACTCGTGGAGAAGGACCCAGAAAACCCACCACCAACGCTCTTCACCAAGCTTTTCAAGGGTGAGGAGGACGAGGTTCTGACCATGAAGGAGATACGCGACGAGGCAATGATATATATCCTGGCCGGGAGCGACACTACCGCGCTGACCCTAACCTACCTCATCTGGGCCGTGTGCCGAGACCCCGCGGTCAAGACAAGGCTGGCCAAGGAGCTGGCGACCTTGCCCAAGGGTTTCGACGACAAGGACCTCCGCCACCTCCCGTACCTCAACAACGTTATCGACGAGGCCCTGCGGCTCTATGCCTCTGCCCCGGCCGGCCTCCCCCGCGTCGTGCCCCCCGGTGGTGCTACCCTGGGCGGATATCAGCTCCCCGCCGGTACGGTCGTGTCAACGCAGGCGTATAGCATGCATAGGATGGCGGATATCTACCCCGCCCCGGAGACATTCAACCCGTCGCGATGGGAGGCCACCACCAAAGAAATGAGGGATGCTTTCATGCCGTGGGGAGGCGGCTCTCGCAGTGAGTTTAATTCGTCCCAACATACGTGGTGTGTGACATAAAATTGACTGAATGCTCACAGTATGCCTCGGGGTTCACCTGGCCAGGCTGGAGCTGAGGCTTGCCGTCGCGCGGTTCTTTATTGAGTTTCCGCGGGCGGAAGTATCTACCCTGGATGGTATGTGCGATGAAGACATGGAGCCAAAGATCTTTTTTATGATGGCGCCGAAGAACAAGCGTTGTCTGATAGAGTGCCGCTAAGGCCGTGGCCGTCCTGAACGCGAGCCTCTCAAGCAAGGCGCCGAAGGAGTTGTAAGGACTGCGACAGAGGAGCCAAAACAGAGTTGTAATGGAGGTGTTTTCCATGATGGTGGTCCCCTGTCGGTATCACATGTGCTCTCAGTGAGAGCATCAATTGTACACTGAATGGCGTGGGTCCTAATTGCCGGTACGCACCACGGCTTACGGACGACTGAAGAAGCCATTCTCAAGGCAGATTTTTATCTACCAGCATCTGGTTGAACATTCAACCTGACTCAAAATGCCATGCCTTGGTTTCAAATCTTGTTGCTCGCTAATGAACCGTTGGAACAATCCGCGAAAACTAATCATCGGTCCAAGTCTCACGCTGCGAATCTGACGCGCCCGCACCACACACGCTCTCGGCGCTTTAGATACCCTGAAATTGCTCAGATGTTGGACTGTGACCCCACGCGCGGTGCACTGAAGTTTCCATGTTTGTATCATGTGGTTTGCTCGACTTATGAGAGAAGTTAGCTGCGAACGGGCCGAGCGGTCGAGCGGTCGAGCTAGTAGTAATATGCACACTACTTCTGGGATCACATAGGGCTATGATACCGATATGCTGCACGTCGGCTGTCCCGTAAGTCAATGTCAACCGGAATTCCACTGGTTTCAGATCTCTGGCTTGTCACCGGGTGCGAACCATGGTAGCGTCGAAGTTACACTGGAACACCTGCCAACACCTGCACGCAATCCCTCGCCCCTTTCACTTAGTGCTTTTCGCAATGGCCTAGGAACAACCCTAGTTCCTGGACTATTGCAGGTACTCAGTTGTGGCTGATTTATCAAGAAGAACTTGGTGCCAAGCCGAGCTGATGGTTCGGACCCAGGTAGAGATATCCTCAAATCCCGCGAGCGCCTCTTGTCAGGATAACGAATCACCACGGCTAGTTTGTGCACGGTCAATCCGGTATGGATAAGAGCCGAAACGACAACAATGGTGTTCTAATACTGGTCGTCGCGCGCGCGCCATTTCCTGTGCGACTGGGATAGGCACATTCCAAGAAAGCGTTGATGTTACCTGCCTAGTATCACATGTCGTGACATGTCCGAGGTGTGGTGCCCTTGCTAGGGGACCACGGGAGGCAATCGCTCAGGGTATGGGAGATTATGGGAATACGACGTGACTTCAGATCCTGGAGCTGGGCCCGGTGGCGTGGATTGACGCCCTGTTGGCTGGCTACCTGGGGTGACAGTCGGGGAGACCATCTGGAGGCGATCCCTCGAGCTGCAGGCTTCTGACCAGCGGCGCGGCCAGATGGCGTTTGAGAGTTGCGAACCCGCGGAAACCTTATGCCTGCTCCATGTCCGAGAATCATCTCCAAGACCGGATGCTTGAATCTACTGTACGCACTATGAACTCGTGCTGAAATTACAGTTGTATTAATGGCTGTGGCAGGTTTCATTATGTCGTCACCCAGGTAATCTGTGTTGCGTTGCTGGGTAATCATAATTAGACCTCATCTTCAATCAAGCTGGATGGTAAAGCTTGTCTTATTGTATGATTGATATAGAGGTTGATAGGTCACGGGTTCACCTAGTCCTGCGGCCTTGAAAGCATGGGAGGATAGCCATGATACTGCTACAGTACTGTGGTACATGAACTACAACGGGAGGCAAAGATAGAAAACAGGAGGCATGACCCTAGCCCTTCTGACAATGCCAGTTTGTCCATCGGCGGGAGGGAGGGGATTGTGGGGGTGGCGATGTAACAGTGGCTGGGATGCAAGCTGGTTTAATAATCACTCATCAGCCAGCTATTATGCTGTATGGTTTAGCAGTAGGACCCAAAGCTGGTCTTGGGCGGGAAGCTTTGCTAGGGGTATTACTGGCATGCTGACATGCCTGGGGGAGGAAGAGATAGAGGCAGAGGAGAGAGACCGACTACGAGTTGCTGTCGTATCGAAGACAGGACGCGAAAGGTTGAGGGGCCCCATGTTTTCTTGATCAGCCCTATCACGTCTCAGGCTTTTGTGAGGGGCCCACTCGACCAAGGACGCCCTCGTGCGACGCCATGGATTTGCCTCCGATTGGATTCGCATGAGTCGGGTCCATGAGCTGAGGCGAGTGCTTTTCGCTCCCCCGCCATGTTTCCGCGAGGCAAGCTGGCCAAGACCAAGACCAAGCTGCTTGCTCTCTTTCTGCTTGTGGACCACGGACCACGGACCAGGACTGGGACCAGGACAAGGACATGGACAAGGACCACATGCCAGATCCCGAGTCCGATATTTGCTCTGTCTGCCGTCTGCGCCTGTCTGTTGTCCATCTATCTTGATGACTGATCGACTAACTGACTGTTCTGGCTGGCTGGTTCTCCTATCAAAAACTCGACAAGACGAAAGCATTATGCGACAGGGCCTGCAGCTGAACTGAACTGATGAGCTGAGCTGATCTGATCCTTATCCTGACTCTGATTCTGGTTCTGATCCGAATCCTGCCTTATTTTTTGACTTTTGCCCAACCCCCGTTCGCGCGGTCCCTTCGATGAGCCGACCTGCCGATACTTTTCGCCGCGTCCCTGGGTTCTGACCTCGACCCAATCCCTGCCTTGGCTCGCCAAAATTGCGACTCAAGCTCCAAACCTGCGAGCTGTCCAGTCCAGACCAGAAGCCGGCCGACCATCAGAGGAGCTGTGCGGTGTGGTCTCTGGCCTCTGACTGCAGTTCCCGACCACATCTGAACTGGCCCCCGACCTGTGAGGATTGGAAGTGGGCGATTAGTCCTTATCGCCGCCCACGTCTCCCCCGGCCGATCGTCTCCTCGACCTGGATCCATCCCGTCCTGGCCTGCCTGGCCCTTGACCTAACCTGTCCTGTCCTATCCCACCATATCCCATCATATCCCACCACCTCCCACCATATCCCATCCCCTATCTGCCGGCGTCTGCTTTTCTTGACTCCACGAGCATACGCCGAACGAATGATCTCGGTCCACCCAAAGTCTGTCCACGACAGTCACCGTCGCCTGATGGACACCAAGGACCCAACAAATCCCGTCATGGCGGAGCACGCTGCATCCGTCGCCGCCCCATCCGCCGCTGCGCCGAGTGGCGTGACCAAGAAGAAGTTCGCCGCGCCCCCGGTCAAATCGGCCTGTCTGGCTTGGTACGTCACGCCATCTTTCGCGCCCGCTTTCCCCGGACGCGAACCCGCCCACACCTCCTTCTCCCGCCCGGCGATTGAGTCCCCCTCATGCACGTCTCATCCTCTCAGGGCCTCTATCATGGCTCCGGAGCGGGTCTGGCCTGGCCGCATTGGTCGGGTCGGACTGCTCTGCCCCTTGTTCCTGACTGCTGTTGAATGCTCCTGACCCCGTTAGACGTTCGCTGGCTGACCATGAACTGCAGCCGGGCTGCTCGGACTCGTTGTGACGGCGGAAGGCCGTGTGCAACTGTATGCGCCCCTCCCTTCTTGAACCCGGAGCTCCGATCGTGATGCAGACTCATCTGAATGCCCCTTGCAGTGCCAGAGTAGAAGTCGGGACTGTGTATATACTCCTAGTCGCCGGGGTGGCCCTCGATGCCGCAAGAAGCCCCGGACCGGCCGCAGTGATGAGCCCAAGCAGCTGCCCGACGATGTCTTTGCGTTGCTCTCTCAAGAGCCCGCCGACGTGCCCCGTGACCGTGAGTCGGAGTGGCCTTCCGTCACTGGTAATAGTCCACCTGAGTGTGCGCTGACTGTGGCATGCCCAGCCATATCGATCCAAAATTATATCGACCCTGGTGCTGGGCTCAAGCACCTCGAGGACTGGGTCCAAGACAGCGACCTCATTTTTGACAGTTTGTTCATGAACAGCACCGGCCCTGTTCTCGGAAGTGGATTCAGCTCGGATGTTTCTGGCACAGGCACACCTTCGCATGTGGTGCCCATGGTCCGGTCATATCAGAGTGATGCTGCCATGTAAATCCCCCATGGGCCTGGGACTCATACCTCGACTTTTTCTTCTTGGTTCTTACTGACTTCTCGCGACAGACTTGACGCATATTATGTCTTCATACATCCGTTCCTCCCCATTCTCCCTCCCCCAGATCACATCCCGGTGGACCGCCCCATTCCACGCTTGCAGAACCAGATCGACGTCTTCGAGGAGGGCTTCGAGCCGACCTCGCCCATCAGCCTGGCCATCTCGGCCATCCTGGCGCTGATTCCGTGCCCGGAGGATGTGAACCACGGCTCGCGCGACTCGCAGCTCTTTCGGCGCAAGTACGCGCAGTACTTCGCGCAGACGGCCTTCGAGACGATGGAGAGCGACGAGGAGATCCCGGACAGCGCCACAGATCCGTCGCGCCCACTGAGCGAGGAGCACAATCACGCGTTCCGCCGGCCCTTCCACGCGCGCGTGCCCGTTGAGCTCGAGTGCATCATCGCGCTGGATGTCCTGAGCGTATACGAGTACGCGCAGCGCGGGAACATCAAGAAGATGCAGAACCGGGCCGGCCAGGCGCTCATGGCTGGCATGGACATGTCGCTTCACTCGTGTAGTATCGAGGATGAGTTTACTGAGGCGAGGAGGAGGGTTTGGTGGATGACAGTAGGGTCTTCCACTTCCCGGCTAACACCTTTCTCTAAATTTCTAACTTGTTTTTACTCTAGTTTGTGTGTGTCGCGCAAGGCGCAATTGTAAGCAATACGGTAAGGAATTCTTGTGCCAGAGTGTATTGCTAATTCATCTTTAAGACTTCTAACGTCATCCAGAAGCCGAGTTTCGCTTCCTTCTCACCGAGCTACACGGCCAAGTTCCCGACGTTCGCCGCAGATCCAGAGGTACGAGAACAAACCCACGAACTCACTAACACGAATCTCATTAAAAGAAGTCACAACTGACAACTTCCACCTAGGCATTCGCCGTGTACATTCAAGCCCAGCGGGCCATCTTAGCAGCGACGCAGTTCGTGATCGAGCTGAACAAAGCGGTGCGCGACAACGCCGACATGAACCCCATCTACGAGCGGATGAAGGAGCTCGAGGCGCTGCTAGAGCCGCTGCTGGCGAAGAGCGAGACGTGGCCGCTGACGTCGACGACGGCGTCGCCAGTGGGGCCGGGAGAGGCGGTGGTGGCGCGGTCGCTGCGGTGCATGGCCAGCATCAAGCTCAACAGCGCGCGCATCAAGCTGCACCGGTACTGCGCCTTCTTCGACATCCCCGTCTTCTCGCGCAAGCACTGCGACCTCAAGTCGCTGCGCGACGCCGACAACCCCGGCCCGGCGGGCGACGAGCCGCGCCGCTGGCCCACGTGCAGCTGCAGCTCGTTCGCCAACCCCTTCACCAGCATCTCCACCACGCCGGCGAGCGGCACGGCGTCGTCGATCCGGTCGCCGTCGTCGGACGGCGCGGGGGCCCTGCAGCAGACGAGCTTCCCCGCGTCCGGGCCCGCGGCGCCGTTCGGCCAGGCGCAGCAGCACGGGGCCATGACGGCGCAGCAGCAGCAGCTGACGAGCTTCCCGTTCAGCAGCCACCAGAGCGCCAAGATCTGCCTCAAGTCGGCGCTGAACATCGCGCACAGCTTCGACGAGCTGCCGTTCCCGAACCCGACGGGCGTGGCGCACCACACGCAGCAGCAGCAGCAGCACCAACAAGGAGGAGGGGCGGCAGGAGCGCCGTGCTACCTGTCGCCGACGAGCGCGACGGTGTGCCCGCGGACGATGCCGTCGTTCGCGTGCTGTGCGATGCAGTGCGCGTACGCGCTGCTGATGGTGCACCAGAAGACCAAGAGCATGTACCCGTACAGCGCCGAGGTGGCGAGCATCGCGGGCGGGGCGGGCGGCGGCGCGGTGCCCAACACCAACAATGGTCACAACAACGGCCCGCTGAACCTGGCGGCCGTCGCGGCCGGCGGCATCGTCGTAGATGCCAGCGGTAACGGCGGCGGCGGGCCGCGGCCGCTGGCGGTCAATAGCCTGCTGGTCAGGCTGCAGCAGGGCCTGAGCAGCATCTACGCCACGCTGTCTAATTATGCGACTGCTTTTGAGGCTTTGGGCGGGATGAGAGGTGAGTCTGGCCTGGCGGCCTGGTGGGTAGAGTCTACGTTACTAACTGTCCATATCAGATCAAATCCGGAGCGCTATCGAGGAGTCGCAAGCCTTCTCGGTGGCCATGTAAAAAAGCAAAGAAACAAGGGAAAAGATACCCTCGGTCTGGGGGGGATTATGGGCTGGGCTGGGCTGGGTTTGGGAACGGAATTGGAATTGAACCGGATGGTGTCTGGAGAAAAACAGCCCACAAAGGGCCTCAATTTGAACTTGTGAGGGGCGTTCTTTGGGGCTGGGGAATAGGATGAAGTCGCCGTGTGACTGACGGACTGGCCAAGGGGGGGTTTTGGATTCATTCATCTACATGACTTATTTTGAAGGCGCGTTTATGGATTCTCTCCTCACCATATGGAACGGCAGTCTGGGTTGTGTGAGGGGATTCGCACTTGAGTGGGTAGATTTGATGCCCGTTCACGAAGCAGCTGATGACCCGAACAATATTGCCTCTGCACTCAGCAACCATTGGCACCAGCACACTCTCTAATGAACTCAATCATACCTGTTTTCCCCTGCTCTGACCTGATGGTATCTCATCGACCGTTCCATCAGCCATGGGCCATCGGTCATGCTCCTCATGTTGATAGGTGCCGTCGTATCTCGTCGCGAGCAGGTATGACGTCACAGCTGAGGAACAAAGTTCAGGGACCATTCAGGGACCCGTCGACCGTCGACCCAGGCTCGACCCGGGAGAAAGCTCGATTTCCGCCCATGCTCCCTCCCGCCTCTGGAACCAGAGACATTGGACGATCACATCATAGGGCCCCATCTTGCCTTGTCCGTGGTTTTGGGTCAAGCCTGATCTACCTGAATACCCCTCCAGATGGGGAAGTTGGCGGTGGAGATCTCCCTCACGACCAACTTTAGAAACCGCAGACATGTAAGCAGTGATGAAATAGACCTATATAGATACGAAACTGCGTGTATGCGTAGGTAGTCGAGTGCGACATGACCTGACTGTCCAAGTATACACCCATGCAAGTATCTATTTCCATGTAACCCGTCCCTGCCCTTTGTTGTTCCAGGCCTCCAAGCTTGTGATGGCTGGTGATGTAATTGCGCGACCTGACCCTGCCTCCTTCCCTCCCCGCCCCCACCATCCAACCACGAGCCTGGATATGCTTTCCAAGCTTGACCTCACCTCACCTCACCAGCTTGCTTTCACTTCACGCTACTCCGTTTGCGATCAAGCTCAAGCAGCTAGCAATCACCTCGACCAGCTGCTATAAAGGCATCCCCCTTCTTGTCTCTGTCTTCCCCTCATCGTACCTCATCATCATCAAACCCAATCTCTTCTATACAACGCAGAACTTCCTACCAACTACTCTCCACCAAAATCTCCAGTCATCATGGACGCTTTCACCAACAAGACCTCTCAGCAGCCCGCCGCCGGTGGCGCCCCAGCCGGTCAGAAGGACGACTACGTTGACAAGGGTGAGTCCTATTCCTCTATCCGGCCCAGATCCATTTCTTTGTTCCCATCCCGCCAAACCCCTCTTCACAACCAGAAACAAGAATACCCAGCTGACCTCTCCCTTAATAGCCTTTGCCATGGGCGCCAAGAAGTCAGGCCACAACGTCGACAAGAACACGGCCGAGAAGATCACCGACGGTGCTCGCGGCCTCTTCGAGAAGGCCACCGGCAAGAAGGTCGACCCCAAGATCTCCAACTAGATTCCTTCCTTGACCGGGAAATGTCTGTGTTTGGGATAGATCATGGACGGATGGGAATCATGGGGTGGTGCTATTTTGGGCACCTGGCGTTAGGAATGGACAGGACAGGAGGCCTCTCTACCTCTTAAACAGAGTTGACGATACCACGTTTTAATCGCCATGAGATACATGGCCAAGAATGACAACTTTTAATGAAATTCCGTATGATCTTATACGTGCGAATGGAGAATAGTGTGACACACCTTGGTATGATCCGTACCTTATCAGTGGGTGATACTACCAGCTTGTACACAGCGTATTGTACAGTGTCGACATGAGGTGTTGTGAACTATAATGCTATTTATTCATGCATTTGTGGAGCGTAAGACTTAATCTGAAGCTGAAGTCACTGTCTGCTCCCTTGAGCAGCCCAGCCTCGTGCCACTCCGGACTCCAATAATGCAAACCCATTTCCATCCGATATCGATGTGTCCCTGACGGGTGTCACCCGTCAAACAGAGACCATTCCCAATATGCCGTGCGGTTCTGTGCTGCGGCCCGTCCTACAACCAAGCAGACTTATATCCCAGATGACATCTGTAAACAAAAGACAAAAAGAATCAAAACACAAAACCCGCATATCCATATCTGCATAAACACATTAAGAACATAACAACATCCCATGCGCACCAACAAAAAAAGAGCCTAAGCATTATCCGCAAAGACCTGGTACGCCATGATCATGATCCACAGCAGGAAGATGGACCCCACAAGCCCGAGGGCGAAGACGGCCTGCCAGCCCTGGCAGATGCTGCGCTGCTGCAGCCAGGCGAGGGTCTCGAGGGTCTGCCCCGTCGGGTTCTGGTCGAAGACGGCGGCGTTGCAGTTGGACGAGACGCTGCCCGAGGGCCCCCAGAGCTGGACGCTCGTCACGATCAGCCCGACCAGCCACAGCACGAACAGCATGAAGCCGCCGATCATGACGATCGAGGGCAGCAGCCGCCGCTGGAAGATGAGCCACAGCAGGATCACGATGAAGACTATCACCAGCGCCGCGACGGTGATGTAGTAGGGGAAGTACCTGTCGGGTGGTCAGCGATTTGTTTTTCTTCTTCCTCGAGGGACAGAGGTGCGGCAAGGAGGCAAGCAAGCAAGCAAGCAAGCAAGGAAACTTACCATGGCACGCCTAGCCCGAGCTGGCCCTGGATCTGGACAAAGGTCGCGAAGATGCCGAGGATAGCGGACGACGCGACGAGCATGAACAGCATCCACAGGTTCAGCTGGATGGCGGGCCAGTGGTACTTGTGGAGGCGCTCGATGCGCCGCTCGTACACGACGGACGAGTCTGTTACTGAGGACGCCATTGTGTATGTTAATTAGAGTGACGGCCGTGTATGTGCGAGTGCGCGTGAAGAACTGGAGGTTGGTTCGCTGATCGATAATCTCGTCTTCGCGCGCAGAGCGGCGTTCGCTTGTGTTGTGGAACGAAGGTGGGAGGTGCGCCTCTTGGTGTGTGGTCGTCCGTTGCCTCCTTCTTGGGTCCTACTATGGCCCCTTATCGCGTCTGCGTATATGTATATTGTCCTTCTACAGCCTGACGGTCTGATCAAGCGCTGTCAACGTCCAACGCCTCGCAAGGCGGCAAAGGTGTGCTGGCAGGCTCGCGCGTGCAGTGAACCCGACAAATCTGATCGGATGGTGGCCGTCTTTCAGCAATATGTCCGTGCCAAAGCGCCACGTCTAGGGCGAGAGCAATTCGTCGTCAGGAGCTATGTGCGGTGGAATTGGGCCGCGATGCACGCAGGTGGTGGTGGACGGGCCCCGATTGGCGGCGGCGGCGCGCGCGGAGCTGCAGCTTGTTTCTTCGGTTCCAGTCGTTTGGAGGTGAGGCGAGGTGAGTTGTGTCCGTGACTGCTAGACTTCTTTGCATGCTGGAAAGGGGGTTTGATCAAATTGTCACCGCATTGTGAGGTGCTGCTTGAAGCGAGGCTGTGGTTGTAGCGAGGGTGATGCGTGTGTTGCGGACGAGACAGGGTAGAAAAGGCGTTAACAGTAGATTTGTTGGCAATGCGACGCGACGGCAGCCATGGACCAGGGAGGAGGACTGGGAGGATCGATGAGCAGCACCATCGGCAGCAAGGATGCTGGCCCAGGATTCGCGCCTGCTAAGCTGCTGTGGTGTCTTCCCGGATCCTCGGTGCTGGGTGGCAGGCGGGAAAGGCGGGCAGGCTGGCAGGATCGCACAGAGATTGGGTGGGTTGTGGGCTGGTGGCTGGGAGCCAATTTTAGTGTTCGCCCAGATGTGTTTACCAGCAGCTTTTGAGTCTCTGCACCCATGGAGACACATCGACTAGAACCTTGGATAGACCCCTGCCCTGCACCTTTCAGGTCGTTCTAGAAAACATCAATGGCTCGGCTATTTGAGGCTTCACCCTCGCAAGCTTCTGTACCTGCTTTGACAGCGTGACGAGGATATGTGACGGTGACAGCCCTACAGACGCCTGTCTGTTTACTGTATCTGCCAGTCTGCTTGGCTGCGACCTTGTGGAGCTTCCTGGTGCAGCTCCAGCTCCAGCTCCATCTCCATTCTCCCAGCTCCAAATCCATGATCCTAGGTCCATCGCTGCAGGGCTATCGGCCAACGTGGGGTGGCTGGGGATGGGCTTCCATCACCGCGAATCCGCATCCGCTCAGCCAGTTTGCCCTCTGCTGTGCCGCGTTCAAGACGTTGAAGCGTACGGCCGCAGCGATTTCAACTTGATTCGAGTCTCATCAATACTCTGACGTGTGTGCACGGACGCAAGGAAGCGTAGTCGCTGTCCAAAGAGACGAAACTAGCATTAGCCCTGATCCTTGAATGTCGGGCCGTCGTCGATCAACTTGTTTACTTGACAATTGTGCAACTACCGTGAGCCCTTACTTCATGGGTCTAACGCCCCTACATCTGGTACAAAATGGAAACATGGTGTGCCGTGGATAGAATCCCTCGTGGCATTTTACATGATACAACAGCATCTAAGTCTCGCTCATTGCCCGTGCTCGCCGGTGTAAGCACCGCCTGGGCTTCATCTGGTCTCACGTCGGGCTGACTGAGCCAACAACGGCACGGCACATTCACAGAGCCGTACATCGATCCAGTCTCGAGTTCCGAGATTACCACTGTCACTACGCAGCAACCATAGGACTCAGCTTCAGAATTCACGAAGCATGGAGGCGGCAAAGGGGGGATAAATGCAGGAGCACGCCCAGGCTGTATTGGTCTCCCTGAGCATGTCTGCTAGGCTCAAACAAGTGCCACGAAGGAAGACCTTGCTTGGAAGGATTGTTCAGCCGCCATTGCAAGATGGAATCTGCCCCGTCAAACGCATGCACATCACCGGGCTCCGTCATTGTTAATGGCCACTCAGATCGGGAAATCTGATCAGTCTGGCGGGATCCACTAAAGTCTTACAGCAGCCAAAGTCCGGCGCTGGCTTCGTTTGCCGAATCTAGGCGTGTGGTCGGGCAGTGTGTCCCGGAGTCAAAGCTACTCCGGCTTCGTTTGCCTGACTCTCATCTCACGTCTCACAAATGACCGAATTTTCTTCGATAATCTTCTAGTTTCGTCGTCAGCCTGAAAATTCTTGACGTTGTTTTACAGAGAGAAATAATCCGGCGTTTCTTTGATCCAGACGTCCTGAGACTTGTCGGCGCAACGATAGGCTGGGCTGCCACATCTCGGAGACCCTTGCACCCACCGGCCAACCAACCCGGCCAGCGAGACACCTCGACTCGCGGACCGTACTCCGACAACTGCACTCGTGGCATTCTCGGCATACGACTTTTGGCATCCACATCACTCCTGAAACCTACAGACGCGCCTCAGACAACAAACCACCAAGCGCCCATCATGGAACTAGGAGACCTGCCTCCCCCGGACCCTTCCACGCTCGGCCTGCCGCGCATTCTCATGCTGCACGGCGGCGGTACCAACTCGCGCATCTTCCACATGCAGTGCCGCAGCATCGACTACCACCTAAAGCCACACTTCCGCACTGTCTACGTCGAGGCACCGCTGCCCTCGATCGCCGGGCCCGACGTGCTGACCGTCTACGCCGAGTGCGGGCCCTTCAAGCGCTGGGTGCTGACGACGGAGCCCAACGCCGTCGAGCGGCAGCCCAAGGAGACGTGGGACCTAGACGAGCGCGCCATCGCCGACGCCATGGACGCCGACGACCGCCGCGGCGCCACGGGGCCCTGGGTCGGCGTCCTCGGCTTCAGCCAGGGCGCCAAGATGGCCGCCTCCGTGCTGCTTCGCCAGCAGGAGAACCCGGCCGCCCTGGGTGGGTTGCGCCGCGCCGGCTGCGACTTCCGCTTCGGCGTCCTCATGGCCGGCCGCGGCCCGCTCATCCAGCCCGACCCGGACTCGGCCGACTGGCTGGGCGCGGGTGAGAAGTTCGACTATGCCAGCAACCTTGCGGCGAAGCGGGTGCTGCACGTGCCGACTATCCATGTCCATGGCATGCAGGACCCCGGACTGGATTTCCACGAGGTGCTGCTGTCCGAGTGGTGCGAGCCGGGCACCACGAAACTGATCCAGTGGGAGGGAAACCACAGGTTGCCCTTTAAGACGCCTGATGTCGGGAGAGTAGTGAACGCGATCTTGGACCTGGCACGGAAGCAGGGTGTGCTTCGCTGAGCTGGTGTGTCAGGGGTTAATGTCATATTTGAAGGACCATGGTTGCGTTTACGGAGGGCAAGTAATGTTACTTGCTTGTAGTTCATTGATTCATAGAATTTCCAGAGCCATAGATGACGATAGAGCGACATGCTATTTGCGCTGGAATACAATACGAGGGGCGCAGGCAATTTTCGATTGGGTAGTTAGCAAGGGAGGAGGGTATCTAGACTCAATATACAGCGTCACCAGGTCTGGCAAACCAGCACATACCTTTTGCCCCTTCATTTTTTGGCGATTGCTAATGAAAGTACAAGATAGCTAAGAAGATGCCCAGAACGGTCACTTCTTTTATAAACTGGACCCAGCCGGGTGTTGTTGCATTCCATTATTGACTCTGTGTAGAAGCTCGTCTATTATAATCTACTTAGAGGATGGTGACACTTAAGAGCCCGGCTATCAAAGCGGGACGTTCTCATGGCTGTCGCAAAGACTCTCATTTGTATCCTCTGCATTATACCACGCTAACGCGAGCACGACGATCATTATGATCCGAGCCAGTGTCTTCATCACTGATGTTATCGTAGTCCACGCGGATAGACCGCTCTTGTATTATGCCAGTCGTACTAGAGCCCTCGCTGGCCTTGTAGTTCTCCGCGCCAACGACCACGTTATTCCTCGGCACGAAGCCGCCCCCTATCGTGCGCAAGAGGATGCCGTTGTCGCTGAGCTTCTCGAAGTCATTCTTCTTGCTTCGCTGGACAGTACTCTTGGATCGAGAGAAGGAGAGCATCTTGGGGATGATTTTGGCGAAGAACCGACGCATCAGAGGAAGGTTGGCGTTGATGATAGCGAGCTCTGGCTCGAGGACGGTCCATAGCAGGCCCATCGGCAGTGTCCATGTGGGATCCTCGAAGGAGATGACCATGAGCGATTGGAGCCGGACGATGGAGATTGCAGTAATACTGTATTATGTTAGATGCGGGCATAGAAAGCGCAATGATGACTGTATACTCACAGAATCCCCATGCAGAAGACAAGGAGGAGCCCGATCTTTTGGCCGACGGGCATTTGTAGCTTCCAAATACAAGGTACTGGGAGCAGTAAGACCATGAAATCCGTCACCATGTTTGTGACTCCGGCAATCACAAATACAGCATTTCGGTCTCCGCAGACGCCATCGATGGTGGTGTCCCAGTTGAAAGCGAGAGGTCGGCAGAGAAGGAACGTCTCAAGGACAACCGACACCATCCACATGACCACCGCAGCTGCGGTGACCCTCACACTCCAGGTCACCCATGCACTCGGGGCAAAGATCCTGCTGTAGAAGCGCAGCACGGCCAGCTTGACGAACATGAGTGTGAGCCCGTAGAGAGCTTCGAACGGAAGAATGAGCTTAAGGGTCAGGACAACGTCGGGCATGTCGACGTCGGCGATGTGCCTCCCCGTTCCACCGTATACGACGCAAGCCCATTGTATTCCCAAAGACACATAGGTCAGGATGAGAGCTGTGGCGATACAGTACTCCTCCTCGCGGAAGCTCTGGTTCCTCTTCTTGAGGGCATATAGCCGTCCTATGCAGCTCAGTAGTGCCACCGCTCCGAAGAAAGTCGTGACGATTAAGGGGTTGAGGGTCTCCGGCGTGTCAGCCGCGTATATTGTCATGGTAGCAGCTGTGGTGTATCTTGACGGAACGACAAAAGAAGGTCAAGAATCAACCATCCATAATATTTTGAGCCCCTTTCAGATCTAGTTGGGCCCTGCCCATATGTGATGCAGAGACCCAGAACGGTGAATGTGACCTCGGCTCTGCGAAAGAGCCAGGAGCCTGGGAATCGCCCATCACATTTGAAAGGAATTGACCCTGCACGCAGGATTGGGCTGCCATTCGCAAGCAGTCTTTTCTGAGAAATGACAAACTCAAACGGCTCTCAGGTACCATTCGGCACTTACCAATAGCATCGGTTGCGGTCAGGCATCTACTTACAACCACCTATTCCAGAGACTCCTTGTCCTCCTTGATGTGACTATGTCTATCATCTCCAGTCTAGGCCCCTTGAGCATTGTCCTTTTGAGAAAGTTGCGACGATCCGTACCTTGCTGAACCACACACACAATAATAGAGTCTCCACTAAAGGATCGCTGTTGCGAGTGGGCTGCTCCACCAGAGCCGTACATATCTTCCAATGTAGGCCAGGCCCGAGCACTCCTAGGTGTGTTTGATATCCTCTCTGATATATCGTTGGCTTCGTCACTGCAGTCGTGAAAACTAGTCTGATTTCATGTAAGTTTAGAAAATGCTCATGCCTGGACCTCATCTATAGAAGAGCGTCGACAAGAACGGATGTGTCTGTGCGTGGCCAGCTTGCCGTACTGAGAGCCGGCCCGTCCCTTTGGAGCCTAGCCAAAGTGTGGATTTAGGATGTGCAGAGAGCCCCAGAGTGTGATGGGTCCACCCCATCCTATCACAGTGGAGCCATGTGCTATTGCGAACTGAATCGCAAGTCTCGCCAAGGGACGCTGTCTTTCAGATACATCAGTTTTCTCGACCAACACATGCATGATAACGACGTTCCGGGACATGCACCTCCCTTAACTAGACAGAGTGGAGAAGCACTGAGTACAAACTGTTGCATTTCTACATTGTGAACGGCATGAGCTACCGCTGTACCTGAAGCGAATCCCTGGACGCCCACATGGAACGCGAGGCCATGTATGCAAGCTGCAATCTCGCGGCACAGGACCGGTGGTGCAGCCAGTGAGCGCCGATCGCTGACTGCCCAGTGTGGACCATTACCAGACTACGCGTCGGAAACGACAGTCCACGTCGTGTTGGCTTGCTCGAATCTGCCTCGTCGGAGTCGGGCCCGCGAGGAGCCCCCACCCAGAATCCTACGATGGCAGCAAATCGGCTGGGAATCATCGCCCGGTGGTGGAGGAAGTCGGAGTGTTGGGAGTATCGAAATGCGCTTCTCCGAGTATGTCTCATATGATTTGAACCAAGCAACCATCGACTTGTTACTTAGTCTATTCTCATCGTCTCCTTGGAATCCAAAAACACACCCTTCAACTCACTTCCTCTGCAAGAACGATTGATACCATGGCTTCACAAGCTGCAGGCCTGTCTTCCGTCGCTGGCCTCGAGACGTCCAAATTCGACTTTGTAGTCGTTGGCGGCGGAGCTGCAGGACTGGTAGTTGCCTCTCGACTGACCGAAAACCCTGACATCAAGGTCCTGGTGCTGGAAGCTGGCGCCGATCGCAGACAGGATCCAAGGATCTCGATTCAAGGTCTAGCACTGAGTACTTACTTTGACCCCGACTTCGATTGGTGCATATCCACTGAGCCTCAGGTATGCCTAGCCGTGACCATCAAGGTTGCCTTCGAGCGCAGGGCTTGAAAACTGATACTCTCTTTTTAGTCTGGCCTCAATAACCGGAGGCTTGGTCAGCCGCAAGGAAAGACTTTGGGAGGCTCATCCGCGTGAGTGTGACCTTAAACTCCAGTAACCGCAGGCAGGATGCTAACTTTGCCAGCATCAACCTTGGTATGGTGATCTATCCGTCCCGCTCAGGTTTCGACTCTTGGGAGAAGCTGGGAAATGCCGGCTGGGGATGGCAGTCAATGGCGCCTTACTTCCGGAAGTTCCACACGTACACGGCGCCAGAGTCTAAGACTCAGGAGGACCTCATGCTCGACTATGTGGTGAAAGACGCCCAGGGCACAAGTGGTCCCCTGCAGGTTTCATACGGGAGCGGAGCTGGTTACCCGCCCTTCAACTCTGCCTGGCCACGTGCATGGGCGAATCTGAACAGAAAATTGATTGGCGACCCTATCAGTGGAGTCGCTGTGGGCTCGTTCAATAACCCTGCCACGATTGATCCCATCACCAAGGAGAGGAGCCATGCCGGAAACGCATACCTCTCGGAAGAGGTTGCGAGGAGGCAAAACTTACGTGTGGTCACTGAGGCTCTTGTCTCAAAGGTCCTGCTGGAAAAAGACGCAGATGGTCAGGTCAAAGCAACCGGTGTCGAGTTCAAAGCGAAAGATGGACAGACACATCGCGTCGCAGCGAGCCATGAAGTAATTCTGGCAGCCGGCGCCCTCAAGACGCCCCAAGTTCTAGAGCTCTCCGGCATTGGAAGCACTGAAGTCCTTCAGAAGAACGGTATCGAATGCCTAGTAGAAAACCCTAATGTAGGCGAGAACCTACAGGACCACGGCTTCGTCCCATTCTCTTGGGAAGTCGCGGACCCAGCAACGTCGGCCGACCAGATGCGCAACCCAGAAGTGGTGCAGATGGCACTCGGGGCATTTAACACCGCAAAGGCCGGCCCTCTGAGCACCCACGCCCTCGCCTCGGCGTTCCTGCCATTGCAAAACCAGGATCTGAGCCCAGCATCCGTAGACGAGCTTCTCCCGGAGCATTTCGACAACCAGCCCGTCCCAGCCGCGTTGAAGAAGCAGTATGAGGTTCTCCGCGCGCAGATCCGGGCGCCGGATGACTGCTCAGCGCAATACACACTCGCGCCCTTCCAGATCACACCCAGCGCGGATCCATCGCCGCAAGCAACCTTCGCAATGAAGGAAGACGGCTTCTACGCGTCCATGGTCGCCGTGCTCAACCACCCCTTCAGCCGCGGCTCGGTCCACATCCAGTCGTCCGACCCGGAGAAGCTACCAATCGTGGACCCGCGGACCATGACGCACCCGCTGGATCTGGAGCTACACGCGAGACATGCCCTCCTGCTGGAGACGCTCCGCGACACGAGCCCCTTGCGCGAGCTGTTCAAGGAGAGTGGGCGCCGGATCCACAACGGGGGCAAGAGGGTGCAGACTCTGGACGAGGCCAAGGAGGCTGTGAAGAACGGCTTCACGCCGCATTATCACGTGTGCGGAACCGCGGCCATGCTCCCCAGGGACGATGGTGGTGTGGTCGATCCCAAGCTGAGGGTCTATGGTGTGAACGGCCTGCGTGTGGTCGACGCCAGTGTTTTCCCCCTGATTCCTAGGGGAAACATCCAAGCCGATGTGTATGCTGTTGCGGAGAGGGCGGCTGAGATTCTGATCGAGGGATGGAATGAGAGGTCATGAAGTCTGCCATCTGTATTCCCTCCGGTTTTCATGTAAATTGGGGCCCTCTTACTCATCATGCCGAGCTGTCGGCACGTGTAGCTCGGAGGGCGCGCCAACCAAGGTTCCCCTCATCCCTTGCTGCGAGCATTTCCTCAACATACCACCGCAAATTAATCCAACACTGCTCTTCATCGCAAGCTTTGCATGAGTATTAGCAGCTTAATCTAGTAATAAGTGGTAAAAAGGCACTGAAAATTGCAAGAAATGGCTAATCTTTCACCACTTCCTTTGCCGCATGGCATTGTCCAACGTTATATCGACCTGACTGGCATCGCCACATGTGGTCTTAAGATCTTCATTCTTGAAGCTGGTGACCCCAAAGATCCTTTGATCCTCCTCTTCCACGGCTATCCAGAGCTGGCATATACATGGCGCAAAGCCATCCTCCCTCTCTCAGCCAAAGGTTACCACGTCGTCGCCCCAGACTCACGTGGGTACGGACGCACTACAGGATGGGACACAAGCAGCTATGCGCATACAAACCTCTCGCAGTTCACCCCAGTCCAATTGATTCTGGACAACATTGCTTTGATGAGAGGTCTTGGCCATGATACGGCGGCTTGTGTAGTTGGCCACGATTTTGGTGCTACAGCAGCGAGTGTTTGTGCACTCTCCCGGCCTGACCTGTTCAAAGCCGCGGTCTTCAGTAAGCAGCTTCCGGATCAAAGCTTCAATTTTTCGGGAACAACACCCGCCATATGCGTAATCTGTCTCACTGCTTGAACCTGGCCGTTTGATAGGCTTCACCTTTCGAGACAGGCACTGAGCACATGATGATCTACTTCGACCTCTGTCCCAATGAAACTTCGTCCTTGGTGCTTTGATGGCTAACTCTAAATGCTGCAGTGGGCCATGTGCCTCCAGGACCGATAACACTCCCCCCAATGGAATCGTCCACATCAGGAGAGGGTGAAAGATCACTGCCCAGGGATCCAGACGTCCACACAAGTCTCGCTCAGAGAAATCCACCACTCAAGCATTACCAGTGGTACAATAGCACATCGTCAGCCGCGTATGATTGGGAAAACCCCCAACAAGGACTTCCAGCGTTCCTTCGTGGTTATGTGCACCTCAAAAGCCACGTATGGAAGGGCCATGGCGATATAGGCCGACTCACGGGCTGGACAGCTGATCAACTTACCCGTATGCCGGAGTATTACATTATGCCACTCGGCTCCACAATGCCAGATATAGTCGAGCAGAATATGCGTGCAGAGGATGTTAGCCTCACAAGGAAATTTATGAGTGACGAAGAGCTGGATGTTTACGTCTCAGAATTCAAACGGACGGGCTTCCAAGGCATGTTGAACTGGTATCGGAGCTCGACGGATCCACGGAACGCGGGATCTGCCATGGCCGTATTCGCGGGTCAGAAGTTCGAGGTGCCCACAACGTACATAAGCGGTACTGCGGATTGGGGAAACTATCAGAGGCCTGGTGCGCTTGAGGGCTTCGAGACGGGGAAGACGGCAAGCGATTACAGGGGCACGAGAATATTTGAGGGGGCTGGCCATTGGCCACAGACCGAGATCCCAGAAATTGTTTGCGAAGAGGTTGTGAAATTTCTTGGGGGTCACTAAGAGAATCTCGATCAAGCTATCCGATATCAATAGGCCCCCGAAGGCTGTTCAATGATTGCATGCCAAAGGAATGATGGCTGTATGATTACGAATTCGCGGTCCTCTGCACCCTTCCTCCAATTGCCATCGATTTCATCATCATCGAATTACCAAGTCTCGAGGCCGAGCCTTTGTTCAGTTCCCGAACATCTGCCAATACCAATGCGTCAACGTTAACCTGTCAGTTCTCGAAATTTCTTGGATCAAGCACAGTCGTGGACCGATTGACTGATCGGACGGAGTTTTGACAAATCTCCTGAATTGGCTGGAAGTTGACCTCCTTTAAGACGCAGTCTGTATGAAAATGAGTGTCCCTCTGGGATGTTGCACGTGTCCCACTCTTTGGATATGTGATAAAGAATATTGCCCATTATTTAGGCGCAGCGTGAATCGCATTGACAAGCCCTTCAACCGCATGTAGCTGTCCATTTCACACAACCCAGGGGATTGGCTCCGATAGGCTTGACACAGGCTTCGACCAGTTCGCATTCACCATCACCGTAAATCCATGGTGACTTGATTTTGCGTCGCCTGCACAACGTTCACAAAGAGAGACATTGTGGCATCAACACTTACATCGGGACCTTTTTGTGAGAAGCCTCTTCGTACAGTCGCAATATTTCCTATCTTTCGTATGTATATCGATATAAGAATCGGTGTAGAGCACTGTCTTTCTGACACTGGTTTGAACGTCGCGTCGGCCTCTTTAAATCAATACCGGATTCGCCGATCGGTGTCTCCGTAACTTGATTGGCAATGTAGTCATCCTCGGAGACCTAGGGTTGCAAAACTACGAAATATAGAGTTGCAAAAATGGGTTTCTTCGTGTAATAAGCGTAATGGAACGGCCATTGTACAAAAATGCGAACACTGGGAAAAGTCATATCATGTAGCGGTGGAGTCAATCGTCGGCTTGCCGTCAGCATTTAACCCATATGATTTCTCACACAGTGTTCAACACGGTCCTAAACGCCCAATAGTCATGGAAGTGCTGCTCGTACGCTGCATCAACTATCGACCGAACAACCCTCAAGGATGTAGGACGACTATGTTCGCCGTGTTTTCACATTGTAGATGATGCGTGCCCTTGTTAATATCAACAAGCGATAGGTTTTTGACTCAATTTCCTAGATTATGAGAGATAGTTTTATATGATTGAGCATGAGAATCGTTGACATCGAAGAGGTCTGCTATGTCATAATCTTTGCGCATTCAACATTTTCTTTTTGAACTCATCGAAAAGCGGGTCAAACCACTTCGCAATGCCCCAGCGAGCGCTGCCGTTGTTGGATACTCGCTTGTGTTAATATGTAAATACATAAGCCACCGGTCTCCCATCCTTTGTTGGAATCTGATCCCTGCAAAGCTGCAGGACAAGTTCAGCTGACCGGACGCCGGACTGCAGGCTGCTAGAGTCTAAGAGCGAATGGTTGCCTGCCACCGGGCCTAACCGGCGGCCACAATGAGCGGATCAACATTGAATCATCCTAGAAACTCGGCCCCTCTCTTCCTACAACAAGCTGCACTGGCGGATTCGCGATGACTATCGTAACGCAGAAGGCCTAGCCCCGGACTCAAAGCCTGGAAATCACCTTCTAGATCGGCTCAACCTGTCTGCAATAAGTATGGAGGCGATTGGCCTGGCATCTTCTATCGTCGCCTTCATCGATGTGGCGTTTAAGATTGTGCGTGGCACCCATGAAGTGTACACATCTGTGAATGGGGCAACCCAGATCAACGACCATACCGGCGTGGTAGTAGGCGATCTACAGCGCGTCACAGCAGAGCTGCGATCTCATCCACAGAGTTCTAATGATCTTGACCTCGTCGAATTGGCGAGCAAATGCCAAGAGCTTTCCGACGAGCTTTTGCAGCTGTTGCACAAGTTCTTACCCAAGACGCCAGGGAAATGGCAAAGTTTCGTCGCAACATGCCGGATTTTGAGAAAGCAGAAAGAAGCAGCCTCGATGGAGGCGCGTTTGGATAGATATCGTCAGCAGATATCCGAACGGCTACTTTGGCTCTTGTTGTCCGTGGCCCAGCGCACCAAATTGATGTATCATATCGGCTAACAAAAAGGATGCAGCAAGCAGCAGTCTCCAATCAAGAAAACCTTGGACACTATGCTGTACCATGCGAACACTCTTCATAACTCCAATGCACGAAAAATGGAAGATGTGGAATATCGATTATCGCAAACATTACAATACCTCGAGCATTTCGACCTAGCCAAGAAGAAGAGTGATCATGACAGACAACAAATCCAGGAACTTCTCACTCAAACCAACGATAGACTTGATGATCTTCAAATTTACATGGGGCCTCCGGACGTCGGCACCTCTCAATTGTCTCGATCTCTGGAAGATCTTGTCAGCCAGGCTCAACATCTGTACGCTCTTGTTCAGGCCATGCCATCTCAGAATCAAATTCTACGCCGTCTTTTCTACCGCTCGATCTTTCGCAGAGAAGATGAGGTCATAGATGCAACAGGAGATACTTTCAAGTGGGTATTTGAAACTGCCTCGGAGCAGCCTAGACTTGTTTCGCACCTTACACTACACTCTGACTCCATCGCATGCGATGAGCCCCTAGAAGAATCAGAGGAGACTCTCAGGATGAAGACGTCGAGGATATTCATGGACTTCCTCCGATATCCGGGAAGCACACTACTTATTGAGGGCAAGGCGGGTTGCGGCAAATCCACGTTCATGAAGTATGTTGCTCATAAAGAACTTACGGATTCAAGCCTCAAGGCATGGGCGGGGACTAAGAAGCTAGTTGCCATCAAGGTCTTCTTTTGGCAGTCTGATGATCCACTACAGGAGTCCATCGAAGGTTTCTTCCGCTCAATTCTTTTTCAGGTTTTGAGCCAATGCCCCGAGCTCACTGGTGACGTCTTTCCACATCAGTCGGCGGACGAGATCGACGCTGTGGAGTATCGACTATCAGAACTCCAAGATGCTTTCGAGAGACTGCTGAGTCTGAGAACTGAGGACACATATTGCTTTTTCTGCTTCATCGATGGGCTCGATGAACACCAAGGGGATAATTTGAGCCACGAAAACCTTGCCAGCCAGCTTGTCTCGTGGGCGTCACTGAACAATGTCAAGATCATGTGTTCAGCCCGACCATACACCGTCTTCATCGAAACCTTCCGGGAGGCAGGGGATGTCGTTGAATTCCACAAACTTACTCGCAGCGATATAACGAATTTTGCCGAGGTGAAGTTCACAATGTCGTTGTCGAAGCCTAAGTTATTGGAAGCTCAGAGGAATTGCCTTGGGCTTGTGCAAGACATCACAGAAAATGCTCAGGGAATTTTTCTCTGGGCTAGCATGGTGGTTCGAACCCTGATCAATCAGGTTCTGGACCGGGATGACAGCGAGAAGGCCCTCCGCCGGAGGCTGCAAGAATGCATTGAGCGCGATAGCTTGGACAGCCTGTTCGAGCTGATTTTGCAAAGAGTCGAGAAAGCGCCGTATGTGCAGATGCGTTCGAATATGGTACTCTATCTTGCTGCACATAATCCTTTTGAATCACCTCTAAACGCGCTAATATTTTCCTGGCTGGACGAACTGGAGTGGTTCCTTGGTTCTCCAGACGCAAACGCTCCGCTCGATGATGATCAAGAAGACTACAGCGAAGAGAGTATTTCTCCAAGAATACAACGTGTCACAAGCTTGATACATCAGCTCACCCAAGGTCTCCTCGAAGTCGTCGATACTCATGATCCTGCTCCTTATTTCAGATACCGTGTCGACCTCTATCACCGCTCTGTCCGTGACTTCCTAACACAACGCTGGAAGACCGGTGTTCGGCCAAGCCCTTTCTCAAGCCCAGAGCTGGAGGCGCAAGCCTACTGCCGACTGCGAAGCCTCGAAGCCAAATGCAGAACGCGCCGACGTTTCATCCATGCAGATCAGATTAGTGGACTTGGGGAGGATGCAGACGCCAGCGTCACAAACAATCTGAGATCCCTCTTCGAGTATACATTTGTCTGGTTAGGATCATGCTCACGTAAAAACGATCCGCCTCCAAAGGAATGTCTGCGAGACTTTGAAAAGGCATTACTTCAATCACAAGATTCATTCCCTCCATTTCTACTCGGTCGAATGCTCATCAACGACGAGGTCTCCTGGAGATATCACTCTCGGAATGCTCTAGACAGCACTTCCTTCCTTCACTGGGCAGCGTACTGGGCTCAAGGGGAGTTCGTGAAAGCTCGACTATCTTCTATTACCAGCCATCGCAGCAGGAACCCCGCGTCCCTTTCTGAACTTAACCTGCTCCTATCATCGTCATTTGCAGCGGATGTAGAGACAACACGGTATCTTCTCAGCAATGGCCACCGCCCGGACGAGTCATTAAAAATATTTGACCTTCAAGTGGGCCCAGACCGAGAACGGCAAAACCAAGAGGCCCACATAGAGGAATGGAGCGGCGCACCACCGACCTGGGAGTCCATTCACCAGAGCATGGGACATCAATCAAGTGGCCTTGACTACAACACCACAGTCTGGATGGTTTTCTTGCGAGACTTCGCCAGTAATGTTAAGTTATATTGCTGGAAGAGACGGGTTGCATCCTCCTGGCCACTTCATCTGGATCGGGAATGGCTAGAGCGACTATCCAAGATCACCGAGGCATATCTAGAAGCTGGGGCTGATCCTTCAGTTTATTTCCTTCTTTTCCACCACAGCCCTCGGAACATGTATAAGGCAACGCTCTACCAAATGCTGGATGTCTTCAAGCCGGAGAACCTTGCCTCATTTGATGATTTGTTGCGAAAGTCATGGTGGAAGGACATACTTTTTGGGAAGGGCCTCATCTCAAACCCGACAACGTACCAACCCGTGACCACAGATCTACTTTTGGGAGGCGACTGGAAGGTATTGGGAGTGGGATTGGACAATGGGCAGGAGCTCATGGGATCATTCAAAGTCAGAGTATTCTAGAAGCCAATTGCTGACGGGATAAAGGGGTATCATGAATTAGTGGACTATTCTTTCGAGAATATGATTTCTTCACTAATAACTCTCTGGAACATCCCCCACCAGTTGCGACATGTTGTAGCTGGGCAAATATCTATCTCCTGAACAACCTATGGAAATATACATGTCCACCGACTGGTAGCCCGCTGCGATGTAGTTATAAGCTCAGTCTACCAGTGTATAGTTTGCGTCCATTACCTTGATTACATTTTCAAGATGCATATCACACGCACTTACACAATATGCCTTCGAGTTTTGTGAAAGTATGCAAGTGATCAAAAGATGGATGAGGAGCAACTTATATATGTCCTCGGCAAACCTTCCCGCATTTGTAAAACATGCTGCATTATGTAATATGTTAATTCACAGAGACTGTCAAGAAACCTGCTATGGTAGTTGCGGAATATCAATGCCTCGTCTGTCTCCTGATGGTGGACATAATACCAAACTTGGTTCGGACTGGGGTATAAAAGATGGGCTCTCGGGTACCAACAATGACAATAGGAAGATGAGAAAAAAGCCGCTGACAAAAAATACGTTGGACTTGGAGAAAGGGAAGAAACAAACAGCTGTTTTAAAGGAAAGCTGTAGGGCAGCAAGGGCCATCTCGATAAGGGAGCCAGCAGAGAACAATTTCATCATCTATTCATCACCAACATTGACTGAACTCATTATGAAGCTGTTCCTGCAAAAGAGTTCTCTCCCACGTTGACAGAAATCAGGATTGTAAAAGACAGGTGCCCGGGAAGCAACGGCTCATGTTTCTGATCATGTGTTTACCTAGCTGCTCCAGCATGATCTTTTGTTTAACTCTTGACTTTTGCCTGTGTCATGTATAATTCACCTCATAATTCTACCTAGGTTTAGTTTCAATGGGGCAACTTTTGTCGACGGTACGTGAGTTAAGACTGAACCAAGGGGTAATTGTCTGTGCCAAATGTGGAGTTCAAAGTCACCTCTCCACTGACACTCCCATCTTCAAGACGATTCCACGTCTCAACTGAGTTTCCAAGCGACTCAAGACTCACGAGAATTTGTCTAGAGCCTCTCTTCCAGTCCCCATAGCCTCCATATCCCGTACGCCTGCTGAAGCAAAGGTTCAGTCCATCACCAATTAAATTCATCCCACTCAGCTGCTTATCCCACTTGAAACACCAGTCATCACCATGCTGGTGGCCACTGAAAGCTGCGGTCAGATTTTTGGAATTTAGTAAAGCCTGCATGAGTGGTGTGTCTTGCTCTTTGCTGCCTTGTCCGGGGAACTGGCCGTCTGCATTGATCCCAGGTGCTGTGCTTGAGTTGACTGCAGCTGACTGAAAAGCTGCGGAAGCACGGACTGGGATGTGGAAGAAGGCAAGAGATGGTATTGCTGTCCCGTACGTGGTTTGGAGCTGATCTCTGGTCTCCTCGAACCAAGACACCACACTGCCGTCAACCCAATCCGGCCGGCTGATAGCCGCCCCGTTCTGGGCTTGCTGACGGCTGCGTCGCGGAAATTATGTCAGCACATGTGATCTCTTGACACAAATCTGGTGTGGAAGGAACTCACCCGCCCCCGCTGTCGAAGAACCAAAGGATCATGACTGGGATTGAAGAAGTATCATTGGTGTAAACAGGGAGGTAGTAGTTGGAGACACCAGAATCATTCTGATTGACATCACACCCAGTCAAGCTATTTTCATAGGTCTTTTCCCGGCTGTAAATGTCTTTCCTGGACAGATTGAAATCAGAGTCATGGTCTGACCGACAAAAAGTTCTGTTAGTGAATTGAAGCTGGGCAGAGACTCGGTGCTTGACTCACTACCGTACGTAGATGCCCAAGGTAATCCAGCTTCTACAATGGGCGCCACGATCATGTCCACGTAATCGGTTGAGTTCTCCTTAAAAGTGTCCGCCCCAGTGATCAAATCACCATTAAGAACCACAAGCTCCGGGGACTCGTCCTCAAGAACGCGTTTCATAGTCTTCAAAGTGTTCGCATCGTGACGTGGGCCCCAGTCTGTGTCTGGCCCTTCTCCGAAGTGCAAGTCCTCAAATATTGTGATGTGAAAGGTTTGATCATCGGAAAAGTGAAGCTCTGGCCATGCACTGGAGACAAGCACTTGGCAGATCACGACGAGGATGAAAGCAAGGTCCATGTTGGCTCGCAACGAGTGTTGTGAGTTCGTGTGTATAGCTGGTGCTGAATCAATGTTTGTAGCTGGAAGGCTAGAGGTAAAAAGGAGCAGACAACAAACGCATTCAGTGGAACGACAAGCCCTGCGGGCCTGAATAACCAGATTCGTTGTGCTTCTGCCGATAGGGCTTGCTATCTTTGGCGGCAGTATCGTTTGGGCCAAATTTGCAATGGTCTTTGCAAGTTTTTATGAAACTTCATGTAGTCGCTCAGCCGTGATTGAAAATGTGCAGGTAGAAATCAACTTTTCCCTTCCCAAACAGTCTTCTACGGTCACCTGCAAATCAATGGTTAGACTCGATCTAATTACGTGAGAGGAGCATTTTCTTGATTGGTGCTGGACAGCCTTGCATGTCTTTACGCGGCTTCATCAAGTCACGGCGTTGGCCAATGATTCGTAAAGGTCCCAAAGTACTCTGTAACATTTCATGCGAATGGCAGGACTGATTAAGAGTACCCTGAGTTGCTCCTGGCACTATCCCAGGCGCAAGAGCTCGTTCTCATGCTGTTGCATTTAAGGTTGAAAAAAGAGTATCCCATAGTATGCGGAACCCACTAATCTAGTTCCCGTTTCAAGAACAAGAAGAAAAGGGCGTGGGACAAAATTGCTTATGATTTTACAAGGTGTATTTGCATTTGGCTTGATGGCCTCTAGCACCCCATCCATTGTGTCGTACCTTGGATATGGACACTGTCGAGAACGAGTGAAAGCTATTCCATATTCTACCATACAAGTTCAGCTCTAGCACCTACACAGGTTGTGGCCTCTAATTTCGAGCAGAACTCCTCCTCCTCGTCCAACTTACTCGTCCTTGTCTCACCCGTTATTCGAGGTACAGCGGGCCATATCTCACGCCCACCTTGTTCTTCCTCTTTATTCCGATGCCCGATCACATCCCTACGAACTGTGGATTGAAAATGTAATGGTCCCTATGCACCAAAATGTTAGATATTCACCATAACATTCCGGTCCAGAAAGGGATGCTCACCTTTTCCTTCTCCGGGTGGTACTCTCCGTTGACGTATACGCCTGCGCTGATATTTCTTTGTGAACCATCGCAGAGATCTTTGTCCTCTGCAAGAACCTGATGATAAAATGCATTTATCTTCTCAAACTCCTCATCTGTGGCATTTTTGTGTCGGTAGACCTCATTCTCAACTTTGCTAGTTGTTGCTGTTACAGGTATCATGCGCTGAATGTAGAACATATTCTCACTGGATTTAAACGTCAGCACCATCGTATAGACTTTTTGCCTTGCCTTGGTCGAGGGGAAATACGCACGTGATTGTGACAGAGGTACTGGGATAAAAGTAGGTGATAGACCTTCGAAACTGCTTGGCCTCTTGATCCTTGTTGATGATCTCGTGCTCGAGAATACCGTCTCCATTCGGCTCAACGCGATATTTTGACACGTCCGAAACGCCGGCAATTAGTGGATGAGACGTTGGACAGTGATAGCACTCATTATAGTTCTCAATAAGCCCCTTCCAGTTTGCATCGACATCCATATCCCACTCGTGGTCGTAATCGAATTCTTCGGAAAAGTCGAACTTATTCATCCTTTGGCTTTCATCCACGCCGTTGAGTTGGTCTTCCCATGCGAGGCTGGGCTTTCCATCATCGCCGGTAGCCTCCAAATTGACCCACACAAACCCAGTCTTATCGACATGGACGTGCACAGGCAGTAGACCATGTTGACTCTTGTCAAAACCCTCGACAGTGTCAAACCGGGGAGCTTTGGCAAGGTTCCCTTTCAATCCGTAGGACCATCCGTGATATTTGCAGCTGAGAATGCTGGCCGTTCCACACTTCTTCTCGATGACAGGGTACGCACGATGCCGGCAGATATTGTGGAAGCCATTGATAGAGCCGCTTCGATCACGGATCAGGAAAAAGGAGTAGTTGGCGTGTGTAAATGAGACGAACTTCCCAGACTCGCTCAGCCGGAGGACATGTGTCACCAAAATCCATTTCTGAGAAAATATCGCGCGACGTTCAAGCTGATACATCGCGGGCGAGCGATACCACGATGCTGGCAGCCCTCTTTTTGGCTCGGGCTTAGTTTGTTCATCTTTCTGAGAAATGCCTAACAGCCGCCACATGATGCTAGCAAACGAGGGGTTGATTGGATGATCAAAGACAGAGCAGTACTTCCCAATGGATGCTGTTCTCGAGTCCAACCCGTCTTCATTGCTTGTCGCCTACATGTAGGTATGCTCGAGGCTCTCGCCATAATAGACATGAGCTCAGCATGACTGCCAAATGGGCTGGACCCTGGTCCTGGCTCGGCATGTGTGCCGGATTGCCTGTAGGTGTGATAAGAGTGGGGAAACTTTGTGCACGTCTGGGTTTCGCAGATAAGGAGCATACGAGAGCTAATCTCCCTAGATATTCACTGGAAGGAGGTTGGCCGGACCCCTCCGTGCAGGATGGCGGCAGAGCTTCGGGAGTCGGGAAATCGGTGCAAGCAGGGCCTTGGTTGACATTTGCGTCGGATCTAAGGAGCTTCCCCATCTTGGGGATCCTAAGCGGATACGCTACACAAATCGCAGCTCGCCGGCTTGTACAAGTCGCCTACCCACCTTGGCAACGCTTGCGTGAAGGTCTTATGCGATATCTGTCTACATTTGAGGAGCATCGACCTTTCGTGACTGGAAATTTTGAGTAACAAACATCAAAGTTGAAGCCAGCAGTCGTAGCCACTACCATCTATTCCTGCTTGCGTTATCGTTTCTCGTAGCATTCCTCGCTCGAATCTCGACAAAATGTCCAATGAAATCCCCCTCATTGACTTTTCTGGTATGAGCCCCACACCATTCGATCAATGTGTTCTGGACCACGATGGCTGACTATATCACACTCTCTCAGAGTTTTACTCGTCTGACCCGACGGTAAAAGAAAAGGTCGTGAGCCAGATCCGGGAGAGTTGCCTGTATAATGGCTTCTTCCAAATCAAGAACCATTCTGTTCCGCTTGACCATCAGAGCGCTGTCATGAACAGCGCTAAGGAGTTCTTTGCGCTTGATCTCGAGGAAAAGCAGAGGGTTTCTAAGAACAACAACACCTGGAACCGCGGATATGAGATGCTTCGATCACAAATTTTGGAGGAGGGTACGCAGCCTGAGCTGAAAGAAGGCTTCTATATTGGCGATGATATCTCGACCGATCATCCCTACTTCATCAACAAGAAACTCAACAGCGGGCCCAATCAATGGCCTGAGCCGCTGGGAGCTACATTCCAGGAGTCGACTATGACATACTACAAGTCAACCGTAAACTTAGCTGCGGACTTGCTGAAAGCCCTGGCACTTTCCTTGGACCTTGAGCAGGACTACTTTTCTCGGTATATGGACGGTGCGGTGGCAACAATGCGCCTGCTTCACTACCCAAGTCAACCGGCGGATGCAGATGAGAAACTGTCTCGTGGTATTGGCGCTCACACAGACTTCGGGGCGATCACTCTACTCCTGCAGGACGAAGTAGATGGTCTGCAGGTCTGGGACAAACGGTCTGAAACTTGGATTGATGTGAGTACCTGTTCAATAACTGACGTCCCCACTGAGTTAAACGTCCTAACCTGAATCCTAGGTCGAGCCTACAAAGGGCGCTTTTGTCGTAAACCTAGGCAATCTCATGTCGCGATGGACCAATGAGAAGTATAAGAGTAACGTACATCGGGTCATCAACAAGTCAGGCAAGGAGCGCTACTCCATTCCTTTATTTGTATCTGGTAATCCCGACTACCTAGTCGAGTGTATCCCGACATGCAAGGCACCGGGGGAGCCAGCGAAGTTCCCTCCCATTACAGTGCAGGAGGCCGTATCTGCAGCTTATGCCGAGTCCTATGGCAGGGCACAGCTTTTCAAGCAGGGTCTAGAGAAGGTGATTGAAAGTACTCCGGCGACAATGCCATCTCCAGCAGTTAATGCACCGATCGCTGCTGCTTGAGATGTGGATTGTCTGTGGCGTTGGTGGTTTTCTTGTGTTGAGAACAATCATGTAGCATACAATAAAGATTGGACCAATATTTGACCATGATTGCTCATCGATGATTTCACAAGGGGAATCAATCAGATCTACACGGTAATCGACCATTTCTTCCTGCATAAACACGACCTTAATGCCGGTTTGGTCTTCATCCATGTTTATAGCGAAAAATGCCTGAAACATTTTTAGAGCGAAATTTGACTATACTTATCGTTCGCATAGCAAATTGACTTAACGAGACCATTACTGAGGCGCAGAAAGAGGATGAAAGGGTGCAAAGAAAAAAGAAAGAAAAGGAAAAAAGACGAGCACCCCCTTTCCCCCTCCCCCTCCCCCCCCAAAAACTCTGTCCCAAACATTATCACTGACTATCGGGAATTGGTTTGCTGGATGTGAAAGGCCTACAGCATCATCAAACCTGAGCGAAATACGATAGTGAGCCTCTTAGGTAAGCTTTCCCACTTTTGATTCCGGTCATGCAACCATGCAGCTTGATGTGGCTGCATGCCTATCAAGAAGTGACGCACTTGTACTACTTTGGTCACCAAAACTGCCACTTATCATCATGTTCATGATAGCTTTCGTCGGCGAAAAGAACCTTAGTGGATCTGGTCAGACAGTACAAATCTGAGCATAGAGCGACCCCGAAACCGAACAGTCACTTTTAACATCGAGCTCAACAAACCGCGGCTATACTTGCGACCTGAGTTTCGTAAAGCGCTCGGGAAATGGCAGAGTCAAGTGATTTTGAGAAGAAGCGTGTCATCTTGGACGTCCCATCGACAGATGACCGCTCGACAGCGGAGGGACAAGTATGTGCATCTGAGGTGCTACATGCGGACGTCAACACTGAACGAAGATATGGTGAGTATGGATGCAACGTTTTCATATAATTGGAATTAAACCACTAATGCTCATCCATTGCGTCAGTTCGAAAGTTAGATTTGTGGCTTTTACCGTTCCTCAGCGTCATGTACTTCTTCAACTCCATCGACAGAGTCAGTCGTACAATTGTCCAGCCAAATCCCGCATACCTTACTGACAGAAAGACCTTGGGCAGAGCAATCTGGGAAACGCCGAGACAGACGGGATGGGGAAAGACTTACACTTTGTCGGGCAGGAGTACTCATTGCTTGTCCTTCTATTTTACATACCCAATGGTCTTTGTGATCTCCCCCTGAACATGTTGACGAAGCGGTTCTCCGGAAAGATTATGCTCCCGCTTCTCATGACCGGCTGGGGTGCAATGTCTATGCTTCAAGCAGCCTGCACCAACTTCGCCAGCATCTTGGTTGTTCGTCTAGTCTTAGCGTAAGCTTTCCTTCAGCCTTCCCCTCGATTTATTCATTTGTCGATGATTGATCGCTCATGTCGATGCCAGGGCCTTGGAAGCCGGATTCTTCGCTGGTGCTGTATTCTATCTCACCCTGTTTTACACTCGAGGGGAGCTGGGCTTCCGTATCGCTCTGTTCTTCGGAAGCGCACTGCTAGCCGGGGCATTTTCTGGTCTCCTGGCTTTTGGTGTCTTCCAGATCAAAGATTCAGATGTGAAAGGATGGATGTGGCTGTTTATCATTGAAGGAGGCATGACAGTCGTCATGGGAATTGTCGCCTTCTTCTGGCTTCCAGCGACGCCCTCGACTGCCTGGTTTCTTACTGAAGAAGAGAAGGCCACGGCTAAGATGAGACAGCTTCGTGATGGATCGGGACAAATCGGCGAAGCCTTCACCATCAAGGACTGTTTCCGCAGCTGGAATGACCGCAAATTTGCGGTATGGTGCATCATCAGTTTCACCTATCCCGTGGTGTTTGCCACAACAGCAAACTTTCTGCCTCTAATCCTCAAGCGACTCGGATACAGCACTGTTATCACAAACCTTCTTACCGTTCCGCCGAATGTCGTTGGATTCTTGGTCCTTCTGGCTGTGACGCGGAGCTCAGACAAAGCCCGGGAACGTTCGTTTCACATCATCGGCGCATTGCTCCTCAGCTTAGCAGGCCTTGTCATCTTGGCAGCGGTTCCACCTGACTCCAACACTTCCAACATTGCAGTAGCATACTTCGCTTGTTTTCTGCTATGTAGCGGCGCTTACATCCCCAGCTGCCTCGTACACAGCTGGCATAATAACAATAATCTCAGCGAGACATCTCGGGCAGCGACAACGGGTCTGCTTGTTGGTCTTGGAAATCTTGGAGGTATATTATCCGGGGCAACGTTCCGAACTAATTATGCTCCGCGTTATATCCCAACACTCGGTGCAACCGCCGCGTGCAATGTGGTCTGCATTTGCTTCACCTTAGGCATGGGTCTTTGGATGCGGAGGGAAAACTCAAAGAAAGATCGGGAACATGGAATTGTCTTGAAGGCTGGAGACATTGAAACGCGAGCTGTGAGTGCGTTGGGGGCCAAAGATCCAAGGTGGCGATATTTCGTATGAAGGTTCAGTCGTGCTGTTCAAGATTCACTTTGGTCATATGTTGGCCCGGTTGGTCAGAGCTCGACCCTACAAATGTCCGTAGCTACGGCTTCGGCGTAGAACTCCAGGTACAAAGCCTCAACCATGACACAAGTAATTCGAATCAGTCTCACAAGACAAAGTCAAACGAGCCAAGCAGCAGCTTTATAGCAGTCGATGAATGGATAAAGAATTCAATTACTCTACATGGTCTATCTAGAATTCACGTAGTCTTCTTTTGCGATTCGCGATACTTGCGCATCACCTCTTGCGCATCTGCAGGCATCAGGGCTCCAGGTGCTGGCGTATTTTTGCTCTTGAAGTGGTCACTCATCTTCAAAGCACCATAATTAGTGTCTCGGTAGTTCCGTTTGTTAGAATAATATGACATACCTCTGCCATTGTCACCCACCGCACACCCTCGTGCTTATTGATGTGCTCGATGATGCGTTCGTGCATAAGCAGGACATGTGGACGACCTGAAACATCCGGATGGATTGTCATGGGGAAGATGAATTCATCTCAAGATCGAGAATGTTAGTGCATGTTCGTATGAAGCGGATGAAACGATAGCTTACCGTATTCCCGATAGAAGTAATCGAAGTGGTCCTTCCAGATATCCTCAACGTCTCTGTCAACAATCAGCTTTCCACGTCTCACTGACAAGCTCGAATGAGACATTACCTAGGATTGACCCATCCATGCGAATTGGCACTATTCTTAATGAACATCATTGGGGGCAGGTCATCGATGTACCAAGAACCGGGGATTTCCACAAGCCCAGTTTCTTGGCCTTTCTCGAGCGGCTTCATCCACTCTTCAGCCTTCTTCGAGTAGTCAATCTTCGTCCACGAATCTCCTGTGCGGAGCCAGTATGCCTGACAATCATGGTGCGACATTGAGTGATCGTATTCGATTCCATAACTCAGCATAAGCTCGGTGCCTTCCTTGCTGGTTTCCCACCAGGGAGCCACAGAGCCGCGAGGGGGCTTGCCACAGAAGTCTGTTAGCATTTTCCAAGTCTTGTCCAACACGTCTCTCTGCTGCTCGATCGTCATATCACTTGGGTTTTCATGGCTGTACCCATGCAGGCCAATTTCGTGCCCGGCATCGCGGACCATAGCACACTCCTCCGGAAAAGTCTCCAGGGAATGGCCCGGAATAAACCAGGATGCCTTGATGTTGTACTTCTCGAAGAGCTTCAAGAGCCTACGAGTCCCGATAGTCCCAGCCCAAATTCCTGTCTTAAGTAAGAATCTACTGCAAGACCACGGCTCGTGGTGTCATTGTCAAACCTACCTCGACTGATGTCGCTGGTGCTGTCTTCGCCTCCATAGGATCCTAGCCAACCTGCCACCGCATCGATATCTACCCCGTAACTATCCGATATTAGCTTGTTCTGGCTGGTCCAAAAACACTTGACCTTGCAGCACTCACCAGACCAAAACCTCCTTCTTGCCCATCGTGATGCTAGTATCGCGATGCTTTCCGCAGTGACTTGCACGCTCTGAAGTGACAATGATCGACTCTATGGTGTTGATTTTCGCTCACTGATGTACTTGTTTACCATATATTGGGTGGCCGGTACAAGTCAGTCAGTCCTTCTGGGGTTAGCACAATGGAGGTGTGTTTGGAGTGGGGTTCGCATCCAATGTGACTTCTGAAAATGTGACTCCGGCTATGCACACTCGCTATCACTCCGTGGAGCGTTCGACACTGTACGAAATGCTCGTCGGTAGTGAGGGTAGTAACGGCAAAGAAACGGGCAGCCGATAGTGGACGGCCAAGCCCACCATTGGGCTGGGGCTTCCCCTCCTTTCCCACTCTTGACGAGTTGGCTGGGATGCTCAACCCCACTCTCTCATTCACCACTTATTCTCGTGTTACAAGCAGTTCGCGTTATCTCGATTTTTTTTTCATAGACACCTACCGTAGAAGCAACAATCTCAATGATGATGCTTTAGACATGTGGCTTCAAAGAGTACTCACAGCGCCGATGTCGTTTGCGGAAAATGCCCGGGTGCGGGTATCCCAGGCATAGTTGCACACATCACTCTGTGCTATCGATGTTCAAATGCTACAGATCTAATCTACACTGATATTGAATTTTGAGAGAGGTTCTTGAACATCATTTACAGCTTAAAAGACTGAGTTGTGAACAAGAAGCATGTCTAAGGTACGTGCAAAATGGGCAGCCGAAGCGAATCGCACTTGAAGATCAAGTAAGAGCTAATCAAATATTTCATATGTTCAGTTCTCGTTGAAAGGCAGAGTCGCTTTGGTCACCGGGGGAGCCAGAGGCTGCGGCCTTGCGTTCGCTCAGGGCCTGGCTGAAGCAGGTGCAGACGTGGCCGTCTTCGATGTGATTCCACCTTCGCCGGCTCTAGCACAACTCACAGTCGATCATGGCGTGCAAACGAAAGCATATACTGTCGATGTGACTTCCCTCGAAAGTCTCAAGACAGGATTTGAAGCCTTCAAGTTGGACTTTGGTGGAAAGCTTGACATTCTCGTTGCATGTGCAGGCGTGAATAAGAATGTTGAGCTCCTGGACACCACAGAGGCAGATTTCGACAGATTGTTTGGAGTCAACTGCAAGGGTGTCTACTTCTCTGCGCAGATGGCGGCAAAGAGAATGATTGAAAATGGGACGAAGTGTGGTAGCATCATTCTTGTCGCCAGTATGGCTTCGTATATTGCCATTCGCTCTCAGCGCTCAAGTGCATATTGCGGGACCAAAGGCGCCGTGAAGGCAATGGTTGCGCCAATGGCTGCAGAGATGAATAAGTATGGTATACGGGTAAATTCTGTGAGCCCTGGGTATGTTCGCACGGAAATGACGAGCCCCTTCCCGCATTTGTTGGAGAGCTGGAAAGATGAGATCATGCTTGGTCGGGTCGCAGAGCCAGATGATATCAAGGGGGCATGTGTGTTCTTGGCGAGCGACGCTAGCAAGTATTGTACTGGGACGGACATTGTGGTGGACGGGGGTGTAACGAAATGGTGATTATTCGAGGCGTAATACATCACAGTCAATGTCAGCTATGTGATATCCATAGAACCAAATTCAACAAATGTCCTCATGCATTCCCGCACCTGAAAACTCGAGTCCCTATATACATGTCTATAACGTGTGTGCCGGAGAATATGATGACCGTTCAAATGATTTGCATCTTCATTTTCATTTTAGCGAAGATAGAAAAGGAGGACTGTCAACCAAAATGCAATACTCTAGTCTATATCTACATCTAATGGCCCTTGATACCTCGCAAAAGATCATCCACGACTTTTCCAACTCCAAGAACCTTTTCTTCCTCTAGCTTGCGGCCTACTATTTGCAGCCCGACAGGCAATCTAAGCTTCGCCATCTCTTCCCTATTCGCTTTCCATAGCTCCAAACTCCACTCATCCACCTCGCCTCGCGGCTCAAACTCCCAGGGTGCCTGAACATCTTCCACACTCACAGTACCACCTGGTACTACCAGGGCTGTGTAATCGAGGACATTCCATATTTTCGTGTACCCCACCCATCGACAGCCCTTGTGAGGCACGGCAGTGTGTGGCATAGGAGGCATGAGAAGTGCATCAACGGTCTTCCCGTCGCTCGTGCGTAAGCTGTCCCACTTTTTGAGATATGCCTGCTGCAAGGCCCACTTCCGCCGGTTCAGCTGCCAGTATTCAAATACAGAGATAGCTTGGCCTCGGTTGATAAGTTTCTCAACATGTGGAATGAACGGTTCGCCTGCGGCTGTGACCGCATTACGAATGTCTTCACCTCCATCCGCTGTGTAAAATTCGTCCAAGACCTGAATACACTCAGGATGTAGGTCGGCATTCCACTCGACGATTTCATGGCCTGCGGCTCGGAGAGCCTTCACAGCGTCCTGAAGCACACGGGATATTGGCGGATGTGGCCGAGCAACCCCATCGTCTGCAAGGACTCCGATGACCAAGGGTCGCGAGGTAACATCGCGATACACAGTTTCGCGCCATGGAATTGGAACACATCTGGCATCAAGATCCCAAGGCTTTGAGTCAATCAGTGACTTCATTGACAGATGGATCATATCCAGACTTCGGGCCATAGGCCCAACAGACGATGGCACATGTTCTTGTCCCTCCGTCGAGACGGGCACACCATTGTAAGGCAATCTCGAGCTCTGTAAATCGCATTGATCATCAGTCACCACTAGACCAAGTGGAATGAGGGAAGAGCAGTGGACGATGATACATACACTTGGCTTAAAGCCATATATGCCCATCATGTGCGATGGAATGCGTATACTTCCTCCTATATCCGTTCCCATGCCAAGCATACTAGCACCACTGGCGATGAGGACAGCCTCCCCTCCCGTCGAACCGCCAGGTGTGTAGTCATGGTTATAAGGGTTGGTGGTCAGGCCCCAAAGAGGATTCTCCGTCTCGCACCACATGATGCTTTGGGGTAGGTTGGTCTTTGCCACGATGACAGCGCCCAATACTTTTAACATCTTGACCACTGTAGCGTCATCCTCTGCCGGAGCGAACGCCCTTCCAACATACCCCAGTGTAGTGTCGTAACCTTTAACATTGAATTGGTCCTTCAAGGTTGTTACGACACCGTGCAGGGGCCCTAAGGGTTCATTGTGTTGAGCGAGATATTTGTCTAAGTCATGGGCAGTGCTTAGAGCATCTTTAAAACAGACTTCCGTTAAGCTGAAATAAGTACTTAGAGGTCTTCCTTCCAGTATGACCAGATTTGGGCTTACCAGTTTGTCTGTTTGATAATAGAAAACTTCACTTAGCAGTCTCGCCCTCCCATGGGTACATTGCAACGTGACGCAATCACTATGAGATTTCATTTACAGTGCTTGCTTACCAAATTGTGAATTGTGCAGATCCTGGGTAAAGTTAATTGGATTTGTGTTCAAAGCCCTGAGGAAGCATTGGACAGCTCGATGATTTCACTCACTGTCTAATTCGGCGTGCGATGAGACTCTTACAAGAAAGCTCTGAACTGGCAAGTTGGCTCAGGACAACACTTTCCTCGACAAGGCTGGACAAGTCGCCATTGCCATTGAAATCTACCTTCTCGAACTCTGTATTCCCATCCGAGGCCCCGAACTGTTCGACTGCATGTGCCTGGATGCGGCGTTTCTCATCAACAATATCCTGCCAGGTCATCTTGATTAGCACCGAAATACCATCAGTCACTTGCCACAAATGTTTGTTGTCGCAGGCAAGACTTCTTTTCCATCAGAGATTTACTGTGCAACGTCCGAGTTGGCAATGAATGCCGGTCACGATTATCCGGCCCGGTTACGGAAGGTGATTACCGCCTACAGTCTCGTTCGCTAGCCCACATTTTCGACGTACTAATTTGACTGATTATCAATTGCAAGTCGCTAGCGGCTTCTAGCTCCGCTAATTGCATAATCCTGAGATAGGTAGGTAGCGAGGCATGCACCGCTCTGTCGATTGACTGGCGCGTGTCTGATTTTGCGTAGCTCTGCGCGCTTATCTGCCCTAATTCGGCATTGATTACAACGTAGCTGATCTGAATGCCTTTCGTTCTGCTGCAGGGATCGACGAAGTAGCCAAGAGTGGGGTTGGTGCGTGCCATCTCCACGTCCAAACGCCTCCCTCCGGCATGTACCGAGCGCAGATGGCAAGTCATCGGACGGCCTTTGGGCATCCGTCAAGGGTAGGACGATAGAACTGCTGTAGTCAGCAGACTCACGACATGCCATGAGCTGATGGGTAATTCGAATGGGCCGACCAAAGACCAAGTGGCCGAGCAACAACAGAACATCGTTTGTTGTATGAAAGTCGAGCTTTCTGTCGCCTCATTTCCCGCACAATCGGGCCTCAGTTGTCGCCATTTGTTTCCTAGCAAAATAATTTGATATGACACTCAACAAGATTAACGCGATAAATGGTCAGGGGAACATGGCTGGTGGACCTTCAAGATGCGATGTCTGTGTGGTTGGTGCTGGACCGGCCGGCATCATGTTGGCGTAAGAGATCCCATTGCCTCGGACCGAGCAATTACTGACTTGATACTTTTTAGAGCACTGCTGGCGAGGTTCGGCATCAAAGTAGAGATACTTGACGACCGGCCAGATCAGACCACGGTTGGCAGGGCTGATGGACTTCAACCAAAGACTATCGAGACCTTTCAGATGCTGCGTCTTGGGGGTGAGCTCCTGGACACAGGAGTGAAAGTGTTTGACATCTGCATGTGGCGATCTCAGCTTGACGGCAACGGAGCAGCCGCGTTGCTGCGTGTCGGGCGTGAGGTTCATTATCCACCTGCGGCAGTCGATGTGCTCCACCCTTTCATCCTGTTATGCCACCAAGGCATGGTGGAGGGCATGTTCGTCGAAGACTTGAGGCAAAGTGGAGTTGAGGTCAAGCGTGGATGCCAATTTGAGACGTTTGGCTACGACTTAGGAGATGCAGGCGCTCCAATTCAAGTCACGTATACGCATGCAGATGCGGAAAGAAGTCTACAGTCTGACTACCTCGTTGGTTGTGATGGAGCTCGTTCACGAGTTCGCCAAGGCATCCCTGGAACATACGCGGAAGGAAACCCACACGATTCTTACTGGGGCGTACTGGATGGTGAACTTGATACCGACTTCCCCGATATCTGGAGCAAGACTGTGGTTTATTCGGAGGAGCATGGCTCAGTCCTGATCATTCCTCGGGAACGCAACCTCACGCGATTTTACATCGAAGTCAAGAACCAACAGGACTCCGTTGACGAAACATTCGTCATGGACCAAGCTAGGAAGATTATGTCACCCTACAGCCTGGAATGGCTCTCCGTGGAATGGTTTGGGAACTACCGCGTCACGCAAAGAGTGGCAGCCCGCTTCTCAGATTCCACCGGCGAGGCTCCTCGTGTCTTCATCGCTGGCGATGCCAGCCATACGCACAGTCCGAAGGCAGCCCAAGGGATGAACACTAGCATGCATGATTCATGGAACTTGGGCTGGAAGTTAAACCTTGCTGTGCGAGGGCTGGCGAAGAAGGACATCCTGCTGGGGACATACGAAGAAGAGCGAAAGAAAATTGCTCACGATCTGATCGACTTTGACTACGAGCATGCCAACAGCATTGCCGGAGGTGATGCCAAAGCCCTTGCGGAGAACTTTCGCACGAACATAGGCTTCATATCCGGCGCTGGCGTTGAATACGGGCGCAACGTTCTCAATGACCTCGGGCCGCCTGCAAAGGGTCTTCAAAACGGGCATGTGTTGCAAGGTGCAGCACATCCCGGGCAAAACCTGCCGCCTGCCAAAGCCACACGTTACATTGATGACAACCCTGTCGATGTTCAGCTAGACATACCGATTCTGGGGCAGTTCCGCATTTTCCTCATTGTGCCGGACGTGATTGGGTCGTCGAGTTTTCTACGGAGGTTTAGCGACACGATCATGTCAGAAACCTCGTTTCTGTCCCAAGTATCGGCTGCAGCCAGCAAATCATATCAGGAGTTTCCCAGACCACGCAGGGCAAAGGACGTCTACTATCGGCCAGAGAGATATACACCACTCAGCCAGCTATTCACATATTCTCTTATAAGTAGGTCAAAGATGCCACAGCATCGCTAAGCTCCGCTAACTTTGATTTAGCAACGACGGAGAAGGATAAATTCGAACTGACTTCACTGCCGCCTCTGCTCAGCAGAAGCAAATGGACTGTATACCTGGATAATGTCCCACATCTTGACACACAAGGTCAACGGTGTATGGAGAAGTGGCTCGGAGAATTTGGATCTGACCAGGCGGCTGTTGTCACTGTGCGACCTGACGGCTATGTTGGCTCTGTTATGAAGTTCAGCACAGCAGGTGATGACGCAGGCCAGGAGGCCGCTCGCTGTCTGGAGAGCTACTATAATGGCTTCTTGCAGATGCCACTAATTTGATCACACAGATATAGAAAGTGTGAGACACGGCAACCAGAGTGAGAATCAAACATCACACCGGTTTCTCCAGCTCTGTGTAGGACTTGAAATCATGTCAACAAGTTCCCTCACAACACATGCCAGAATATCTGCGATTCAGATCAGCTTCGAATTATCTTGTCGCCTTGAATGTTCTATTCATGGATGTCCCTGGGCGCTAGAATGTGCAAGAGTTGACCTAAATGCGAGCACGTGGGATCAAGAAGCCAGCTTGATGTGTCAGGCCAAGTAGAGGGCTTATCTGAGCAAGTCAAATGAAGACACGCATTTTAGAGTTTCTCAGTGGATATCAGAGAGCTACATCGGCCATATCACTTGTTATCGTAAATGGGGAAACTCCAAATTGGCAGGGCAAACCTTACAGGGGTGGGAATCTTGGTACTCGGGGTCATGACCTCGCTAGGAGATCTGACACGAGCGGACCAGTGGAAGCAACGGCCAGAATCTTTTAGTTGATAGATTGCCATCTGCTGATTGGTCAGCTCTTCAGGACACAGAACACCGATTATCTGGGCTTCGATGCCTTGGTGGCTCGCTATAGCACCAGCCGCCTCGTTGAAGACGCTCCTAACCAGATACCGGCTGAACAAATGCCCAGGGGTCGTTGTGATGAACAGTAGCTCTGCGTGCTTCTCAATTTAATGCATACCTGTCCTCACAAAGTATTCTCAGCAATGAATGCCACGACTTGAAGGCCTTCCGACATTCCAATTGTTCCGTACAGTCTCAACTACCAGACTTTGTTCCATTCGTCTCAATATGTCATCAGAGAAGAGTGAGGAGTCGAAGGGCAAAGAAGTGCTCACCAGGGAGCCTTCAGTAGGCCATGGCGAACTAGGTGTCGCGGACGATCAAGAAGTCTCCGACTTTTACGGCAATTCCGTTAGCGATGCATATCGTTTGAAGTCAGAGTTGGTAGCACATCATTTGGCTGAAATTGGGATGGGAAGGCAAGTTTTGTACGCCATCGACAACCAAATGGATGGCATCTAACGACTATTCTTTGTCAGGTTCCAATGGTACCTCTTCATAGTGAATGGCTTCGGCTGGGTCGTCGACAATTTCTGGAGTCAAGGAATTACCGCCGTCAGGCCACCGGTTGCGAACGAGTTCACCGACATCACGTATCTCAGCTTCAGTTCCGTCGCTTACTACGTGGGACTGATTATCGGCGCATCTTTCTGGGGCATCACCGCGGACCTGATCGGCCGAAAGCCCGCTTTCAATGCCACGATTCTGATCGGTGGAATTTTTGCCTGCGCCGTGGCCGGGTCACAAAATTTTGTAACGTTCTGCTCACTTTGGGCTGTAATTGGCACAGCTGCCGGTGGAAATGTCCCTGTGGACAGTATTATATTCTTGGAGTTCATCCCGCAAGAACGGCAGTGGATGTTGACGAGCCTTTCGGCTTGGTGGAACCTGGGGCAAGTTATTGTCTCGCTGTTAGCATGGGTATTCCTCGCGAACTACGCTTGCGAGAGCTCCGAGGCACCCTGCTCTGCGCGATCCAACATGGGCTGGTAAGCAAGCAACCCTTCCCCCAAGAAACCTCCAGTTTGATGGTACTGACCAAATTGTCTCCAGGCGCTATGTCATGATTACCCTCGGCGCTCTAGCCATCGCCTTTGCCCTCATTCGAATTTTCATCTTCAAAATGCCCGAGTCCCCCCGGTACCTTCTTTCCAGAGGACGCGACGCTGAGGCAGTAGAGGCGGTGAACTACGTCGCTCGATACAACGGGAAGCCCGAAACATTGACCTTGGATATGCTCAAAGCCATTGATGAAGCCCAACAGGCGTCTCCCACACAAGTTGAACAGACCGAACATGTTGCAGCTGGAGAAACAAAAGCACCGCTTTCCTATAAACAGATCATCACTGAGAACTTCAAAGATTACAGCAGTCATAGCTACCGCAAGCTCTTCGCGAGTCGCAAAATGGCTCGGCACAGCTCGGTGATTTTCTTGATCTGGCTGACCATCGGGGTGGCGTACCCGCTGTACTTCGCTTTCATCACATCGTATCTCGAGACGAAAACGACATACTCCGTCAACAGCTCGCTCAATCATACTTATATGGTCTACTGCATTGTATCTATTGTTGGTGTTGTTGGGCCGATCGCAGCCGGCTTCTCCGTCGAGACACGTTTGGGCCGTCGTTGGATGATGGCTATATCAGCTGTCCTGACTGGCGTTTTCCTGTTTGCGTACACAAGCGTTGGAACCGAGGCGGCGGATATCGGATTCCAGTGTGCCACTGCCATACTTGGTAACTTCGGTGAGTTGACCCACTCAATCTTGAACATACCCTCCTGGCAAAACTACAAACTAAACGTGGTCTTCACAGAATACGCGATCATGTTCGCATTCACGCCAGAGTCGTTCCCAGGACCGGTTCGAGGAACTGGGACGGGAATTGCTGCAACGCTGCTACGAGTTGGTGGATTGGTAGCGTCTTTTATTTCAACTTACGCCGGATACTCCACGGTTCCTATTTATGCAAGCGCTGCGCTTTGGATTGTGGCTGGATTCTTTTGTCTGGGCCTGCCATTCGAGACTCATGGTCATGCCTCCATCTGAGAAGCTCCTGGACAAATATGATTTCCAAAGCTGATCATTTTACTTTGGTGTATCATTGGTTGTGTATACCGGAAGAGAGGTAAAATTGAAATACATATGTTCGGGACTTTGATATTTGGCTTCATGTGAAATGTAATTGCGCTTGTAAAGCCTACATTCAACTGTTCTTGCTATGATGTTCGGCAAGTCTTTCCATTTAGAATTGTCATCGCACTTAGTCTCTATCACGGAGATGGTTCTCAACGATACAAAAGTTGTCTGCAAGTCCAGTGAAGGCCAGGAAGACATGATAGTATGTCACTGGTGTTCGCTTGACGCAGTCAGCCCAGAGGCCTGACCTTCTAGTGGCACCTGGGCCGTTGACCCACGACAGGCATCAAACTCCTTACCAGGTCTGGTTTCAATCTACCAGGCAGCGTGATACATATTGCTGAAATCTACGAATCTTATCGTCATTGTGGCAAGCGGGCTTGTCCTCGCCCGGGTGCCACTGGCACTTGGCACCCCTGTCCCTCACCCCCATTTTCGACCCGACCGCTGCAGTGGAGAAACACTCCACTTCCTTTACCCGAGACAAGGACATCTGAACATGGCGGCACCAGCGTTGTTCCCTGGAGCCGTTTATTGGGGCTAACCTGGCAGACGTAGGGCCGTGGCAGGTCGCTTTCAACATGGCCAACATATTTCAATGTCTTTGTCCAGAAGGCCATCTCCATTCATTCAAGTAAACAAGGCGTTGTCTCTACAACATTCACCTAGATTACTCGAACATCATTTTTTTCTATCACGGTTATACCAGCCCGGTAGAGACAAGATGGGATCTGTTTCGCCTTCTGCATCTTTCGCACCTCTTGGAGAGACTGCACTTTTCAAGCCTCTTCAACTGGGAAAATGGCAGCTGCAGCATCGCATTGCCCAGGTGAGTGCACCAATATTTGCCAGTAAAGGGTCTCCACTGCGGTGTCATTGGCTCACATTTCGTCTCAGGCACCACTCACACGCATGAGAAATGACTTCTCGTCGCGAGGAGTTTACATCCCAGGACCTCGAGTCGTCAAGTACTACTCAGACCGTGCAACTCCCGGTGGCCTCCAGCTCACTGAGGCTACGGATATTTGCCTGGATGCCAGCGCGTACCCAGGATGCCCAGGAGTATTTACTCAGGAGCAACTGGAAGGATGGCGCAAAGTCACTGACGCCGTCCATGCCAAGGGAGGCCTTATCCTGAGTCAACTCTGGCACACAGGGCGGGCCTCATCAACCGGGATGCGAGGGGGTAAACAATGCGTATCTTCAAGTGATATTCCGATGTCGGGATCTTACTTGGACGGAAGCTCATGTGCTGAGAAACCCCCTCGGCCTTTGACAGTGGACGAAATCCACGAGTTGACTGCTGAGTGGGCGGCAGCAGCAAAGAGAGCTATCAATGAGGCTGGGTTCGACGGTATTGAGATTCATGGTGCCAATGGATATCTGCTGGACCAATTCCTCCATGACAATGTCAATAAGAGGACTGACGAATATGGAGGCTCCATTGAGAACCGATCCAGATTCGTTCTGGAAGTCATAAAAGCAGTTTGCGACGCCGTGGGGGCGGAGCGAGTTGGTATTCGCCTGTCTCCATACAATTACTTTCAGGACACTCGAGACAGCGACCCCAACAAACATTGGGCATTCCTGTGCGAGAAGATTGCCGGCCTGCCTGCAACGCAACGACCTGCCTATGTTCACATGTGAGCAATCTATCCCAGATATTCGTTGCAAAGAGGCGACTCTGATGATTGAAACAACTATAGGATAGAACCTCGTTTCGATGAAGTTCTCGATGAGCAACAGAAGATGGAGTCGCTTGCTGAGTACACCGCCAGTACCGGATCAGACACGGCTCCCATCAAGAAGAACTCATTGACACCATTCCGGAATATTCTGAAGTCTGGGGGAATAAGATTCTTCGCCGCTGGGAGCTTCAACCGCGAAAATGCAGCACCGAAGGTAGAGAGTGACGATGCTGATCTGATCGTATTCGGTCGACACTTTATCGCGAATCCTGATCTGGTAGAACGGCTGAGAAGTGGACTCCCGTTGAATCCATACGACAGGACCACTTTTTATGGCGCTGACCCGCCTGAGAAGGGTTATAATGACTATCCATTTTACGCGGATATCAAAAATTAAAGCTCTTCGCGAGAGACCCGGCTGGGATACTTTGTCAGAATGCCGGCCAGAAGACCTGGCGGTTGGTTACACCGACCCACACATACAGAGTAATAGAAAAGAATTCACGTTTAACCACCGTTTCCTAAAGTCCTCAAAGACATTGTTCAACTTTGACTGAACTACTTCTGCCTACTGATCACTATCTTATGCATTATTTGCCAGCGTATTGCTTTGGTGTGATTCCCTCTCGTTGGCGTATCAGAGTTTTACTTTGAACATCTGAAGGTGACTCTGATATTCACTTATATACCAATATTGAGGTACTGCGCATCAAGGTAATGACTGAAGTGGAATAGTATTATTATAGAAGCCTTCGCGCAAGGAGAAGCCGTCAAATTGTTTCATTCGTCGCCTGCTCACTGAACCCTTCAGTGTTCCTACAACATAGCATTTTATAGTGCTTATCTTGAGCTTCAAAAGATGGCTTCGTAATGTCAAATTTATGGTGTTGCGGGCATTGAAATTCCAATACTGGGCAAAAATGTTCCACAAATACGTGTCACGTCCCTCATATGTCAACGAAGCTTATGTGAAATACATTGACGTTTCAAGCACAAATCGATTCCGATAGCCGACTTCGATGAGGTTCAAAGCAACCAAACCAAAGATCTCTCTTTATGATGAACTTGAATAAGACCCCTATATCAAAGCCGGGCTGCTTCCATACTTGCAGTCTCAGGTATTTCGCTTTGTGACCATCTCGCTGCGACATCCTTCCACATATCATATGTCAGAAGCCAACGAGCAACACCGTGATACCGCCACGGGAAAGGATCGTTCCCTGTTTCGTTGGCTGCGGGCAGAACGGGGTTCTTCTCACTCAGCCACTGTCTATCCAAATCTCCGAAAAGTCTGAACTTGGCGTCTCGGTCTCGTTGCTCGTCCCCGTCTTCCAGATGATAGATCCACTGATTATAGGTGCCCCTCCTAACCACTTCTTCAGTCCTCTCCCGTCTGCATGCCTCGTACACAGCCAATGCTTTCCTCTTCTCTGCAGACGACTTTCCTTCCAGACGGCCTAGGCAAAGGCCAAGCACACCGGCATCCTCGAGCGCCATTCCGGCACCACTGGCCAAGTAAGGAAGTGTAGCATGTACTGCATCGCCAAGCATAGTGAACGTCCCTGACGGATGAGACCATGTCGGCTCAAGACCGGGACGGATCATCAGCCGCCACTTCAGCACTGAGTCACACATTGATAGTAACTTTGGAATTCGAGGGTCCCAGTCTGCAAAATGGGCTCGCATTTCCTCGATGTTCCCCTCCAGTGTATTTGCCCCTGCTGGCATATCGTCTGGCACCAACAGTACCATGTTAAACAGGAGGTTTGGATCGCTGGTGTAATCGTGGCCTGTCGCTGCTTTGCCCCTGAGGACATAATTGACCGCATGCTTGCCCGGCCCAACCCAGTAATTAACCTGTGGTTTCTCAACAAATTCACGTAGGTCAGGGTCCTTTCTCATTTCTTCGGTGTTGAGCATGAGACGGTACGCCAGGTCACCAGTTGGAATAGGAGGATCGTCCCTCCCCAAGAACGCCTCCCGCAAATTTGAGTTGATGCCATCGGCCCCAACAACAAGATCTGCCTCGAATGTCCTCCCGTCCGCACAAGTAACTGTCGAAGTTGACTGATCAGAATTCACGGTGAAATCAGTAGCCCTGGCATTCGTAACGAGCTTAGCACCCAGCTCAACTGCCCTATCCAGAAGACATTTGTGGAGGTTCATCCGGTAGAAGTCCCAAAACGGCGCCCCTGTGGCTGAGGCGTACGCAACATAATCCATTTCCGAGAGGTGATTTCCCCTCCATCCGATGAAGTTACACTGCGTAGGCTTGGTGGCGTATGGCTCGAGCGTATCTTTCAGCCCCCACGAGAAGAGCACCCGTGCCGAGTTGGGCAGAACCTGTATCCCTGCGCCGACCTCGCCAATATTAGATGCAGCCTCGAGAACTGTCACGTCGTGTCCTGCTAGGAGTGAGGCGATAGCAGCTCCCAGGCCTCCCAGACCTCCACCAACGATGATTACCTTGAATATGTCAGCTTATGTTGCCTTCAAACCACAATCATGGGCAACTTACATGAAGCCTGCTTGCTTCATCTCTGTGAACCTTCTGTTGGGTTTGGATGTCGTTCCAAAACGCCATTGTAAACAAGGCCGGGGTCTAGGACGACTTCTCTTGCTGCCGTAGAGCAAGAGTCTTGATGCTGGATTCGGATTTGGTCAAGTACAGACAACTACTAGTAGCTGTGGAATTAGAAATGCACGTCTTTCAATGTGGGTTGGGACTACACAAAGCTCTAGTATTGTCGAAGAAGTTTCCTTGGTTGGAGTCAGTGGAATCTTTACACGGCTGGGGCCTCCTCATCGGAACGTCGGCTCGGAGGGTGCCATCGAAGCCTCACAGCGACACATTCTTACCTAAGCTTCATGCTGGCGGGAATTCGACTTAACCCCAGTGTGGCACGAATATCAAGTGGGGAAGCACCTCTAATTCCAGTTGCCGTTAGCACTTGGGGTACAGTGTCTTGGTGACAGTTACACAGATACACGGGCTTCTATCGCGACATAAGCGGGCGTGCTTATCTGCTCGAGTCGCATCAAAATGATCGCCGCCGGCATGTATGCACATGCAGACGCCAGCGGCGGAGGTGGGGTAGCCACCCGAAGACATATCCGGGGACGGAGGGCTCGGGTGGGGAGCTGATAAGGCCGACACAAGCAGACGAGCATTGACGAGTACAAGTGCCTTGGCACCACTAATAAGTTTACCGTCCTCCCCCATCTACGGCGTGCTGCTATTCTCGCCATATCACCTTTCCAACGACTTCGTCCTGCCCACTCTTGGGTAGATTGACGCTATTACCGAAAATGGACGGGATGGACGGGCAGACTGCACCCATGGCCGATGCCATCCATGTTGCAGCCGACCCGAGCTTAGGGGCTGGCGAAGGTAGGAGTGCGGGAAAGAAACAGAGCTCCAAGAGATTCGAATGTACGCATACGGGATGTAACAAGCGCTTCACGCGTCTAGAACACATGCAAAGACACGCTCTGAACCACTCTGAGGCAGGGGACTTTACCTGCTCTCGCTGTAGTGCTCACTTCAGGCGGCCGGATCTTTTAGGTAAGCCTGGAAACCATCACGGGAAACTTGCCATTACCTTGGGGGATGGTCCCACTGACTATAATACAGACAGACACATGAATCGCCACCGTCAGAGAGACGAAGAAGCTGGTGGACCTGGCTTTGGCACCCTCGACACCCGCAAGCGCTCCTGGAAAGCTCCGGACGGAACGGTTGTCTCCAAACGACCCCGGCCCTCAGAGGCAGACGACCCCGGCCCGTGGGTCAATTCCGAGTTCGACGGGGCGATACAAGTTGTTTCACCACCTGTGTCCGACGAGGGTCGATACAACCAGAGTACTCATCCATATCAAATTGTTCAAGAAACAGACGACGACTTTGGTGGCTGTATTGATGCCCTCGACAATACGGCTGGTTTTCCAACAGACTCTGTGGCCACTTACTTTCCACATGTTGGTTTGGGCTATGCCGAAGAGTCAAATCTCACAAACACACAACTAGGCCCGTCACCGAACAATGGGCAACTGGAATACCATCCCGTTTTCCAACCCGATACCGCCAGCTCTTTCAATATGCCATATACCACTGCATTGGATTACAACTGGCTTTTTAATCTAGAGGCAGCTACTGCATCTGGCTTTGGGCTCACAAGCGCCAGAGATAGCTTTTCAGAACCAACCATATTCAACGACACCGGGGCTGGAGAGCCACAGAAGGCCGATATGGCGCCACCTCAACAAGCTCAAAATCCCACACCAGAGTCTCTAACCAGCGCGACTTGGCGCAGCTGGCATGAGGATAAGTCGGATGAAAATGCGCGGGGGAGTGCGCGTTCATCCGCAGAGATGCGAGTTTCCTCAGTCGGTAGGGAGACAAGGACAGCGAGGCAATCCGATACGTTGGATGATCATGGTCAGCGAACAGGCGCAGAGAGCGGCTCGAGACAGCAAAAAACCTCCGACAGAAGGGCACCAAGCAGGAATGAGATAGATCCTCGGCTTCGCCCACAAATGTCAAAGAGGATTATCAATCGCGAACGACCATTGTCAATGCTGGAGGCTTTCACAATGATACCAAAAATCGATCAAGAGATACTAGATCGGCTTCTTGTTGTCATCGAAGCTGCCGACCCCAACATCCCGGACCAGCCGCCCAACACGTCGGTGCGAGACCATCCTCTATTGTCCCTCCAAAGCGTCCAAACTTGGCTGGACTTGTTTTTTACGCAATTCAACACTACCTACCCTTTGATACATATGCCCACGTTCAATCCTAGCACCGCCGAGCCATTACTTTTACTCTCGATTCTTTTACTTGGAGCAACTTATCTAGATAAGGGGGCCCACCAGCTCGCTGTGTGCATCCATGACGTTATTCGGCCAAGCATCTTTGCCCATGCTGGCTTTTCTCCCCGACCCGAATTATGGACATTGCAAACGATCTTGCTGGTAGAATGCTTTGGGAAGTCAAGAGCCGGACAGAAGCAACATGATATGAGCCATCTGTTTCATGGCCTCTTGATAAACCTCATCCGGAGGTCAGACTGCCAGAGTATCACAAAGACCCCCGCGCCACAAGACGGTGTTTCCTTGGCCGAGGCTTGGAAGCTCTGGGCAATTGCAGAACAGAAAAAGAGGCTCGCGCTTCTGTGCTTTATGTGGGACACACAGCACGCAGTTTTGTTCTGCCAGAGTCTTTGTATGTCCGCGTTCGAGTTACGCTGCGCGATGCCATGCGCCCAGGCCGTGTGGGAAGCCCCAGATGCTGAGCTGTGGGCAAGAGCATGGCCCAGCTCCACCCGCCATGCACCATCGCCATCTCCGGACAACAGTGCGACACCCATGTTTCTTCCGACGCTGAGATCGTATCTGACTCCTCAAACTACGGCCACCGGCGTCCACAATCTGGATGCACTAGGCCAAGTCTTAGTCCTGCATGGGCTTATGTCCATTGCCTGGGACATGCAAAGACGGGACCAGACTTCGCTTGGTGTCGTGTCCACTACTGGCCCGGCGTCGTGGAAGGACTTGTTAGGCAAAGGATACGATCGCTGGAAAGCCGATTTCGACTTGTACTGTCATCACGCAGCACTGACTTCGGCTGAGCCAGGTGGTGCTTCTGATTCCGAGTGGCCAGCCTTCTCCGCCGCCTACAGGGCCGTCTACCACGCGGCTCAAGCACTGCTTCACATGGACTTCCTTGACGTGCAGATCTATGCGGGCGCCCGCCACATTCTGGGAAGACCCGTTCAGCAACAAGACTATATCCGCTCATCGCGCGTGGTTAAGCGTTGGGCGTCCAACAGTAGAGAGCGAGCTGCGACCGCGGCTTGGCATGGTGCGGCGATGCTCGGCGATCTCATGACGAGTGATGGCAGCGCCAACTCCGGTGGGCCAGGCAAACCTATCATGGAGTCTTCTCACTTGACGAGCCTGTTTCATGTCCCATGGTGTCTTTATCTGGCCACTTTGAGCTGCTGGGCCTTTCACCATGCTAAGTCGACCCGCAGAGGGCGCTTCGAAGATGAAAGCCACTTCGAAGATGATGACAGTGACGGCAGCGACGAAATCGTCTGGGATTCAAAGAAGGAGATGGATGATCTGGTCGCAGGGATGGCGGGCTCAATGAGAGAAGTTATAATGAACCAAGGGAGGAAACGAACGAACGGGCTGGTCTGGGTTGTCGCAGATGTGCTTTCAAAAGTCAGGTGGGGCATCGTGCATGCTGGAGTTGTGGTTCTACGCGGCCTTGTCCCAATGCGCCTGATAAATCAGTATGAAGTCATGTAGATGTAACGTTGATGATTGGGACGAAATGATCTTGACGAACGCCCCATGAACATGATCTACTACGGCAGGTCCTCGCAGAGAGGTGTACTCCCTCAAGCAGCCGCCACATGTCTGATGCAGTACCACCATTTCAATCTTCACGTGACCTGCAGGTAATATCAGCTTTCTGGTCCTTTAATTTCCGGCCGCATATGTCCTCCTCTTTTCTCTTCTCTTCCTCAAAATTTCCGGCCAGGCTTAAAACCCGAAGATGTTCGGCATCAACAGAAAAAATGCCCGGGACCTACTATCTCATCTTATTGCGCAGCTATCCGACCCACCAAAAGGATATAAACAATACGAAGGGCTCTACGACAATGCTCCGACCCCAGGCCGCCAAGGCCGTCACTGCGTTGCCGTTAGAGACCTGATCTTCTCCAGTATGCGTGATGAAGTCTTCAAGACATTTTCGACATCGAACTCGATGCCATGGCAGGAAATGTGAGATCCTGTAACCACAATCGACAACGCAGCGTCATACAGTGAGAAGCCTGACCTTGATTCATGCGTCTAGGATCCGTTCAAATGCGGGCGACATCTACAAGGGTGAAAGAGGTGTATACCTTCACATAATCGAGGGCAGAGACAACAAATGGCGTTTCTTCGTCGGGCAGGCGGAGGACATGTCATACCGCGTCCGCCGACAGGACCAAAACTTCCGCTACCGTCGTGACAAGCCCTCTTTTCACCATTTCGCTATGCATAACAGCCGATGGGATTACTTTTTTGTGCTAGCGGTGCTGCCGCCGGGTCCAACTGCCGCCGGGTTTAGCAGGCGGGAGCAGGCACTTTTGTTAAATATGCTTCAGATGTGGTGCACACTGTTGTTCAGCACGGTTCAAATTAGCACGATGGCGCAGTGGCATGAGTACGGTGTGAAATCCTTGAATATCGGGAGGCCTTGGTTTGGTTTGAATCTTGAGTGTCCGCTTGATAAGGGTGGGCCAGTCAAATACGTCAATTGGGGACAGTTTTTGAACCGGAGTGATGATCCGCTGGCAAACGATTTTCTGCTAGAGATGTCGAACAGGAAGCAAGAGTCGACACAAGGACCCGGGTTTGTATTCGGCCTAATGGTGGGTGCTGTTGCAGCTGTTTTGATTGTATCGGCATGGAGGCCTCGATCAACATAGCGGGATGTCATAATCAATGAAGATGGAAATGAGCTACCCGGAGCGTTCCACTTGTGAAGCAGCAGAGCTCAATAAAAAGCTCAGAGTTAGTGATACAACTTTCTCTTTCTAGTGGCTTTAAGCTTTGCTGCCTTTTCTTATTGCCTTAGGAACTACATCACAAAGAGAGTTCGACTCCGTCTGGTCGTTCGCCAAATTGCGCTCACTCTATGAATGCGCAAGGTTGATGTACTATTTCACAATGACGAAAGTTAGCAATAAAATTCAAGGACAAAGAAACCCAAAATTCCCAGGAATGGCCAAACGCGTTGAGGAGATCAGGCAAGCCGTAGTCGGGCTGGCTGTCCACACCAAAGGTTATCTCGAATGTGAGCTCTAGGCCCCTGAAATCATCAGGTGGGCGGATTCTTTGAGACATCCAGTATGTATACCGGTTGCGGCAGCATCTGCCATTGTTCACAAATCTAGCGAGTCGGTCAATGTGGCTGAAAGGAATCAAACCACCTAGAGCGTTCAAGACAGCCTTTGTTCACGCATTACCGCTTCAACAAGCTCGATATTTAGGATGAACCCAATATGCTATTTCCTTTTTCCTTTCATGTCTCGCAGACCTCGGAGGTCTTCAGCTTACAGTCGCAGCGAAATGACATCTGTTATGAATTACGTCCTGGAATCGCTGGACGACTTTGTGTTGCTTGCACAAGAATCCCCATCACGGGCTATAACATCTGCTATTATCTTTTTGACCCTAACATTTGCAGCGATTTGGTCTGGCTGGATAGCACGTCTCCAACGGTCCATTCCGCTGAATCTATCGAGTATCCAAGCCCTACGAGATCGTGTCCACATAGCATACTCTGGCCGTACTTTTTATTCTACTGGCCCTAACAGAATATTTTCTGGTTTCGATTTTGCTGGTAATACGACTTACCAGACACCGGACATTATGCAGAGCAGCACGGTGATGAAAAGACCGAATGACCCCGTCGACCAGCCTGATGCCAATCGTCATGCAAATCCTAGGCCGCCAAAACGAAACCGTGTTGGGTTTTCTTCTGCTGCCAACACTGACCCGCGTCGATTTGAACGAGAGCCAGCTCAACAGACCAACAAGCCAACTCGGCCGGTCGGGCAGTCACGGCCGTTAAATAGACCATTTTCAGACACTTCAACTGATTCAGAAGGTGATAATCTATCAGAAGTCGCGAGAGGAGACGCCAACACTACTACATATAACTTACCCCGTCCTCTACGAGTCAACATCGGCGGACGCACCTTGACACTTGAGAGCGGTTCTGTATCTTTTTATTCTTCTACTGGCGCTGATGGTAGAGGTAAGGGTCGTATCGTCTGTTCTGCTATATAATCAGCGAAGCAAGACAATCTGTAGGAGACTAACCAGCAACTTTCACTAGTCGTGGTCAGTACTGATCGAAATGGCCATGGAGTACGACGAATCGAACACTCGGCTACACAAAATGTCCCAGCCCCAGCTGTATCTGGGACCGAGAACACGCGTGTAACTTCCGAATCTAGAGAAAGCTTGGCTCTAGCCCCAACTCGTCAGTATGGTACGTTGTCCTTACCCTGCCGCTTACAGAGCTTTCGTCACGTATTAAGAAAAGTGGGTTTCGCAGAGCCCTCTAGGATGCACAACACCAATCGATATCAGTCTTCAACCCGACCATCTAAGGACCAGAGAGATCGAGCTATGGCGAACAGGGAGCGTGCGGAAGCTCAAGCCAGAGCACAACGGGATCGAGAAAGAGCGCAAGAAGCTCAATTCAGAGCCAATATACAGCGCATGAATGCCCACCTAAGAATCGATAAGCAGCGCATGGATGCCCAGCACAGAGCAAATTGGCGGCGTTTTGCAGAGGACATGCGGCGAATGGATGTGGACATGCAGCGAATGTATGCGGACATCCAGCGTGCATGGACTCAAGGCACAGCAACTTCGGGTGATGGTTCTAGGTTCTACTTCAACAATAGTGACGTGTTGGATGCCGATGGCAATGTCAAGGGTAAGCAGTATTCTGCGGGCTTTAGATTCTCATTCTGAAATGGAAGACCGAGGTTCAGACCTTTATCCTGCCGTTTACAGTAAGTCTGGAAACTTTGGCAGAGGGACGTAAAAGTTTCAGGTCTGAACAGTTGAGATGCCATTTGTGGCTGAAGATAGTTATGACGACTTTGAATCCAATGTTTAACAATATCAATGACATATCTCGGCTCTAAACTATACTCTTTATGTGAGAATTTCTCAGCAGAGAGAGGTTTTCTGGGTAGATGAAGTGTGCGTCTAATCCATGCGTCCTGGAAAATACCCGACGTCAACAGACTCGGCCACACTAAACAACGCTCTGCCACACCGTCTATATGTTTCAGGCTGATTTCCTGCCGGTTGTAGGTCGATTTTCTGATGTTTTGATAATCCAAGTGAATGCCCAAATTGGAAGGCAAAAAAAAAAAACATTGTTTCTTTTTGGTATCATTATACATTATTCTTGATCCTGTGATATTTGGAATAGCATTACGTGTTTGAACAATGATGTACAAAATTTATAAAATCTATTTTATTTGTTTAATATAATACACAGTTCTAATAATTATTGTCATCGAAACAAAAATACTGGGTGAATGTACGACAACAACTGCTGCAGTTTTAGTGGTTGCACAACTGGGGCTTGATTTGTAATTTCCAACAAAGCCCCACAGCATTCTTCCACGTTATAGTACCTGTTGGTCGTCAAGATTTTGCCTTCATACATCCCCACCTTCCTTGCGTTAATTTCAGCTACAGCCGGAAGCCAGTGCAGAGACCCTCGATTAAGACGCAATTAGACCTATTCAAACGTCCAAAGGTTCACAAATCGGGAAGATTGGGTTTACTTGTCGCTATCAACCTCGCGCATGTGTTAGTTGTGCTCAACACCCGATGAGGGGATAAAGTATCCCAACGTTGGAAGTGATTTTCCGTTATGTCTGGCACAGATACATGGGCACTGCCCTATCAGCGTCTGCCCCTGGAGCAATCCAAGAAAGAGGTCCGGTTGATCGAGTTTCATTTCGAGGGGGCTGGCGATGACTTCTTCACCAGGGTGATCGACATAGACGAAGAGGCGAAGAGGCCCCTCAGTCTGCGCATGGTAAAGGCAAGCCTACTCGAGCCACCCAAGTTTCGAGCCCTGTCGTACGTATGGGGACCGTCTAAAGAAGGCCGCTGCATCACGTTGCAAGTGCCCCAGAAGGCAGGCCTGAAAGGCGAGTCCATCGAAGATACCACTGCTGTGGCAGAAGAAGAGACACTGGAAAGCTGCGAGATTGAGGTAACCGACAACCTTTTCTCGGCCCTCGTGCACTACCGCACCATGAAATCCGCAGACCAGCAGACCTACTTCTGGATCGACGCTCTGTGCATCAACCAGCGCGACAACGACGAGAAGAGTTGGCAGGTGGCCATGATGCGAGACGTCTACAGTTCGGCACACATGGTCCACGCCTGGATGGGAACCTACCCGGAACGCGTCTACTTCCGGCCCGGCGAGCTTATCAATGTCTTCGCGGCGCTCTCGCGCGAAGGCCTGGCAAGATTTGGATATCGCGCTTGGCGGCCGCTAGACATTCTGGGAACGGCTGCCGATCTGCGCTTCATTGAAATGGACATTATCGAGTGGGTGCGCGGTATCAAGCTTGTTCAGGGCCCATTCAGTCGGGCAAATGGTGATGGGACTTACGAAATCTCAATGTTGGCGCTCGTCGGGTTCTCTGAACTGGCCTTCTGGTGTCGCGTGTGGATCCTGCAGGAGTTGGTGCTCGCGAACGAGATCCTGTTCACGTGCTCTACGTGGTGTATATCGTCAGAAACCCTCTTCACCGCGCTGCGCATCATCATAAAGGCAATGCAAGTAGCGGACAGCTGCGACCCGCTGTCTTCCACACAAGGCACCGACAACGTGCTGCCCTCCGAGAAGCAATGGATTCGTGCGAAGGATACACAGCAGATTTCCATATGTCCCATGCTGGATTTTAGACACGATAGAGACGGGAAAAAGGAACTGTGGGATCTCATCGACTGGAACGCCGTTTCCGGGGGGCTTCAGGCCTCCATGCCTGCTGACCATGTGTTTGGGCTCTTTGGGATTGCAACTGATGTGGAGGAGCTTGGGATTCGGCTGGACTACAGCAGGGACGTCGCGGATATCTACATAGAGCTGGCGAGCTCGTGCATCAAGAAGAGAGGACTCGTGGTCATCACTCATGTCCAGTGGCCTAAAAAAGTGGCCAAGCTTCCGTCGTGGGTACCAGATTGGTCGGCGCTGTCGAGCACCAAAACACTCGCGAGCATCTTGCGTTCGCATGCACCCTTGCTCCCCTCCTTCCTCAAAATACTGTCCAAGCCAGGTGTTGGCAAATATGCTGGACCTCGAGCATACAGGTTCACAGTCTCCTCAGCTGGTCTTCCAGCCCTGGTTGTAGGGGGCAATACTCTCACCACCGTGCAATCTTTTCTGCCGGCCATGTGGAACGCCCGTACAGAAACCTTAAGTCTCATTAGGCGGATCTGGAGCATCCAGGCTAAGCTACTCGCTGCAAAGGACATGATTGAACAGTCTGCTACGGCATACCGAACCGTGGAAGACCGCCATAAGGCATTTGCGAGCACAATTTTCGCTGGCGGCTGGGAAAGCGGGCGAGGAAGTTTCGAGAACCAGTGGTCTCTGAACAAGCTTTTCGAAGGGTATAGGCTGCTTCTTGACCCTGTGTCCGCGGAAACCTCCCTCAACGCCCTGTGGCGCCGTGAGTCACCATCCCGCGAGATGAAGCTCCACAGTTTTTATGCCTGCTGGGAGATCGCCGAAACATTCATGGACAAGGAAAACTCTTACCCTCCTGTAATCGACAGCATTCCAATTGCAGAATTCTGCCGTCACCCCGGTCTGTATTATCGAATCTACTTTGATGACTATGCCGATTCGGTGCTGGGCAACCTCGTAAACGTCGAAGGGGCTAAGGACACGATGACTAGCATTGAGGCCTTTTTGAAACGCGTGAAGGAAGTCGGCAAAGGGCGGAGGCCGTTTTTGTCTACGGACGGGTACTTGGGCCTCGGTCCGGCGGAGATGCAGAAAGGTGACGTGGTTGCATACCTGGACGGCGCCGAAATGCCCTCTATACTGAGGCCCTTGTCAACGGGAGGCTTCACTCTTGTCGGGGAGGCGTATGTCTATGGATTGATGTTTCGCGATGCTGACATGGATGATGACACAGATGGCTTGAATATCATTGGCATATTCCCCTCCTCCAGGCTATTTCCTGAGATTGGAACAGCTATTCATCCATGTCCCAAGGGTGAGCGGCGGGAATTTGTTATTGTATAATGCTAAATGAACTCGAATTCGTCTTAGTCCTTTGTAAAGTATTAGATTTGCTCGGGTGTTCGCTACGCTGCCGTGGCATCTATGTGATAAATCAGTACAGCCGTAGGGCCACACGGCCCCACGGCAGCTGTAAAATCCAATTTCTTTTTTGGAAGTTGAACTAAAGTTCTTGCGTGCAGTGAGATGTGAAAACCATATGATAACGTGTTGTCATTTTTTCTTCTTTCCTTTTCTTTTGCTGGGCAGAGGGTAAGTAAGCCATATGGAGCTCGGTAATGACGTGTTGGACTTTTCGAGATCGCGGCAGTATTACTAGAATAGTCCTAGGGATTCACCCAAGGCTGAGACCGAATTAAGGCTCAGAAAGAGCCATAGGAATGGGGCTCCGCACGGAGTGAGCCCACGTACTAGTTCATGTACTTCATAAATTTTGAAAGGGTACTCTGAAATTCAAGCGGCTCATCATTCGGCATTCCTTTTCGCTTGCTTGGAGCCAGCAGTTTTGACTCTTGCGAGCCCTCTTTGCTGCACAACCGATCAAAGCCTTGATCATGGACTAACCTTCCGAGCTCATAGGGACAATTACTAATGTACCGCTTAGTTGGAATACCCTCTATCTCGATATAGATGTCCAATTTTGATTTCAAAGAGTAAGCCTTTATTTGAAAGTTCCTTGCGGATGGTCTGCCCGCTTGACATCTTTGAATCATCACACCGTCGCAAAGACTTAAACTCTTACAACAAGGCTCGTCAGCTTTGTATTTGAGAAATGCTTGTTGCCCTCTCAGCGGCACTAAGAGGTCGAGAAGGCGGTTTGTAGGGATCATGCGGTACCGAATGACTGTATTACACACTTGGGGAGAGATGTAGAAAGCTGGAAGCGCAACCGATTTCAAGAAGAAAAAAAAGATTGCTATTAGAGTGCTGGCAACCGTCTTCAGCAATACACTACTGTATCGGCCGCCACTAGATTGAATTGCCGGGTGACAGTGGACTTGACATGGGATCTCTGCTGAACTGATGAGATGTCCCTGCGCCCCACAAATGTGTGCAAAAAGTTGGGGGAAAACGCGTTTACCGCCTCGAACGACAACTCGAATCCCATTCTTGTACTTCATGTCAGTCAAGTTTCAGGCCAGTCCATTTCAAAAACTCACCATTCCCTTTTTTTTTTGAACGTCGAAGGTTTGATCAATCGCAGATGATGCTTACAATCGTCACGCGACCAGTGTTCCAGGAACATCGCAAGCTCAAAAAGGCAGTAGCTTTCAGCAATTCCGGACAGGTGTGACAAAGATGTGATACTGAAAGCACTTGAGCACTTATAAATTGTGGATTTCCATGATGGAGAAAGCTGTATTTAACCAATCAAATCCGGAGTTATCAGGCAGTGAAAGGATTTCCCTCATCCCCGCCTCAAAGGCCATTCGTGTGACCTTGGCACTGTGGGCTTGCTTGAGCATGTAACGACATGGACTCATTTTTGAGACCGAAAAGCCAAGCAGGCCTGGCTCAATTGGGAACGCAAATGGACAGCTCAGGGCAAGATTCAACCCTGTTTCCACTTCAGATCAAAATCCTCCACTTGCGAAGGGCTGCTCGCAGAGAACTGATTTGAACTCAGAACATTCAGTAGCAGGTAATATGTAATACATAGCACAATAAGGAGACTGTGGAATGACTCCCATGCTTTCTCTAAGAGCTCGACAAGAATGAAAGTAAAAGTTCGATATGACTGATTAGAGAGTACACGGTTTCTGGTTGGCGCGATTCTCTTGAAACTAGGCGCCCGTTGTACAGCTTCTGATTAGTTCTCTAGCTCTCGTTCATGTATTAAAAAGAGTGAATCTGACCAAGGCCAGATGATAACGAGGCTATCACAACTTCTTTCGCGGCACCATTTATATAAGAATCATGCTTAGTAAGTTACAGAGTAGAGATATCCTTGCTTATGCCAATGCTGCCCATTGTTCCCTCACAGGTCATTTGGTACTTTCGAAGTCTTGGACGCGGGGTCTCGCCTGCCAGCAACGCCCTGGCCTTCCCTCTCTGGCTTGGGGTCGAGCGGCTTGTCAAGGCCCAACCGATGCGCCGTGGTGTACGTAGCGATGCCTCCATCCGGATCAGCCTCCGTGACGAGCTCCTTCCTGCGGGTGTCCACTAGTAGTCGAATGAGGTCTGGTCGCATGTAGTGGCCGGCGAAGTCGGCCAGGACCTTGGTCAGGTGCGTCTCGTTTAGGTCAATGTCCACAAAGAGAAGCCCGTCGAAGTCCTTCTCTGGCTTCACGACCAGACTACCGTCAGGGCGGTAGATGCGGGCGTGTCCATTGTAAGGAGTGGGGTCGGTTTCGGGCTCGACACCCTCGGGGGTGGTCTTCTTGAGTCCCTCGACACTGAGGCGCTGGAATGGAGCCAGGGTCCAGGTACCGGTCTCGTATGCATACGCTGGCGTGACGAAGTCGGACGCGGTGTCTGCATAGTTCGTCGCGGGGTCAGGCGCAACCTGACGCTCGACGCCGGGATAGACTGGCCAAGCAGCAATATGAATCTGCTCGCCTTGGGCAACGTTGAGGGACTTCAGGAATGGGTTCATGTTCTCCCAGCAGTTGAGCTGGCCCAATCTTCCAAGCTCTGTCTGTGTAACAGACTGAAAAGTGTCGCCGGACCCGTCGCCATAGACGAGCTTCTCGACATGGGTAGGCTTGATCTTGCGTCGGTGGTTGATAATGTTGCCCTCCGGGTCAATAAGAGTCTGGGCGAGGTACAACGTGGCGTGGTCGATCTCGGAGAAGCCAAGCGAGACATAAATCTGATTATCGCGGGCTGCACGACGAATTCGGCGCATTTCTTCAGAATCAACTGGAAGAGAGTTCTCCCGGTACTTCTTCAGCATCGGGAGTGACTGCAGGTAGTTGACTTTCCACATCCAGTAGGGGTAGCCCGGGATCCCTGCCAGGGAATTAGTGTATGACAGTGAGACTGGGGCTCGAACTTGCAAAGAGAACGAGTTCGCCAAGGAGGATATCCTACTCACAGACTTCAGGGAAGGCAACAAGCTTGCAGCCAGCTTGGCCAGCTTCGTTGATGAAGTTGACAGTCTTCTGGACGCAAGCCTCGAGGTCGAACCACTACGACATGTGAGCAACAGGGCCATGAGAGATTTCGTAGTGTCTACAATGCATCAAACTTACTCCTGGCTCCGAGGTGACAGCTGCAGCCTTGTACTTGGTGATAGGCATCATGAAGGGATTGCTCAAAATGAGTTTCTTCGACTGTGTAAGAATAGATTGTTTGTCCTTTGTGAAGCTTTCGCTGAAGTGTTTGCGGAACGAGGATGCTTCTTGAAAACTCAAAAGGCGCTGCTTATGCAGGACTCATCTTTAAATACATTCTCATCCAGTGTAACACAAAGATTGTTGGGGCTCATCAACGTCATGGTCTCACGAGTTCGACTGGGCGCTGGTTTGGGACACCACCACGCATCGGGCTCTGGTGTGGAAGAATCCCGAACACAGTTCTGCAACATGCCGTCAGGGCTTCGATGGTAACGCGGCTTCTATGCACCAAAAGCCTTTTCGGGACTGAGTCTTCCGCTGTCAGACCACTGTGCCTTGGGTTATTTGCTCACTGAGAGAATATCAATGGAGACCGTTTTATGGGGCCCACCAGTTCTACTTAGCTGCAGCTGCGCATCAAACACTCCCAATCTGTATTCGGCTATGAGATGATCGTATCAACTGGGATTACTTGATGTCAATCTGACTAAAGTCTAATATTGCTGGTGGTTGGCACATCTGCTACTAATTATTGCGCGACCTTTGCCCCTGTGGACCTCTCCGTGGGCCTCTGCCCCAACCCTTTCCACCCGAGGGTTCGATGACATCTCTGAAACATGTCACCACTGAATCAAGACTGAATTTCACATCACCGGACTACGGGGCCGGCCGATAAACATGATCATGTCATCGAACGCGTTCTCGGACCGGTGCAGACTCGGTAAGTTCGGCCCCACGCCCGGTCTTTGTGTTCAAATCCCGGCCGCATGAGCCCGATCAAATGCCGCTCGTGCCCACATATTTACGTCTTGCGAGCAATACGCGCCAGTTTACCCATTCTCAATTGACATGATAGGTGCCTAGAGACGGGAATTTATTTTTGCATGGAGGTCGACCAAACGGCGCATGGAACTACCCGCTCAGGTGGCCAGGGTGCCAATCAAGATGCGCGCACATGCGTATGCTCCCTCAGGTGCGTGAGATAATGGATGGCTGATGTTTGCGGAGAAAGGAACTTGATCCCCACTCTGCCACAAACATTCTCTGGCCTCTGATGAAGACCGGGACGCCACGCAGATCGCATCCAATCAGGCCCTGCGTCCGTACTACCACTGGCTCAATTTGCCAACCGGCAAGGTCTAAATGCACGTTTCGATCAAGGACTCGTCTAGATAAGATTCTATGTTTCTTTGCTTGTGATCTTTGTTTCTAGGGCGCTGGACCAATCAAGAGCACTGGGCACGTGGGCTACCTAAGTAGCGCAGAGACAAGATGCGCCTCAGACCTCCGGGAAACACATCTGGACGAGATGAATATGACAAGCCGTATCTGATTGCAGTTTCTGTTCGGACTAGCGGCCAGGAGAAACACTTGTCCATCATATTGTTACCATGATTACAAGACCGAAGCAGTAGGCCGTGTTGTAGGTTGGTGTCTCATCAGGCGGGAAGCAAGTGGTGTATGCAGAGAGGCCATTGTATGTTCGACCTGCTCTCCGAAGATTGGTTCTTGTATCTTTGCAACAATCACAGGATCAAGATGCTGATGGGCTAGGTGGTGGCCTGACAAGTTGGCCGTCTGTGAATGAGGAGTGATGGGGGATCTACGTTTTCTGGTCATACCTACGTTAAAAAGTGGAAACAGTTTACGCAATCAAGACAGTTTTCGCACATTCAAAGCAAAATAATCGAACTGGTGTCTTCACAGCAAGCTTAGTTGATCACTGACAAGATAAATCTAATTCTCTTGCTTCAATCACCCAACTGCCGTCATTTTGTTTTCCCACCATTCTAAGGATGGCTGCGAAACAAAGCTCCAATTACTTCCGGCTGTCACTTTGAGTGCCTCTCGCAGTCTTTCCCCTCCTCTCCCCTGTTGAGCTCTTCTCATGAGGTACCGCGCTCATGTTCCTATTGCTGTTCTTGTTTGTCGTGGTGCTGCCAACCCTGCTTGTGGTGTTCCCAGACCTGCCGACATGCTGAACGGTAGACTTAGTTGAAGCTGATCCACGAGAGCGGCCACTGCGTGGAGACGGGGCTTGTGTGGCCGCTAGAGGTTGAGGAGCTGCAGGAAGAGCTCTCTCAACCTGCGCAGTCGGTGGTGGCAAGCTTTGGCTGGTGCTGTCCGCTTTCGTCGGGTTCGTTGGTTTGGTGTGCTTCGCCATTATCGTGTCTTCTATTCTGACTGGAGCAGGCCTTTGGGGGGCTTCTCTATCAGAGAATGCTGATTCTCGTCGCGGACCCATCTCCTCCTTCCATTCAGACACGAGCTTGATTTTCTTGCGCTTTAATTCGTCCGCCGCGGCGCCCGGACCTGTCCTCTTGCCTTCCACAACGTAGGCAAATAGACCCCCTTCATCTAGCATGAAGTCCTTCAGCACATTGGCGTTGCCGTCTACCATGCTCTTGAGGGCGTGTTGGATGAGCAAAGAATGCGTGACTAGGATGATGCAGTCGCTGTCATCCATGTCGAAGATGGCATTGTGCAATCTTTCTACCCTGGCCCTCATAATCTCATCTGTGGTCATTCTCTCGTCTCTGTCCAAATTCTCGTCTGTCTCAATCCACTCATACCCATGAGCTCCGCCTTTAGTAGGGGGCGGTGGCTCTATAGGGTTCTTTGCGCGAGTGTATTCCCTCAGTAAAATATCTGGGCCATTTCCTGTCCTCTGTTCGAGGAGTTCATCGAGAACGTGGGCTTTTCCCGATGGAATGCCAATGCCTGCGAGCGCGTGCTCGAAAGTCATCATGGTACGATATAATAGACTGACGAAGGCCCTCTTCGGCATCATGAACCCCTGTTTCTTAAGTTGTAGCAATTTCGCATTTGCATCATCGGCCTGCTGAACCCCTCGCTTAGTGAGCGGTGGGTCAATAATGCAATATTCTTGCCCTTCATATGTAAATATTGGCTGCCTTTTGTACTCGGGGTCCTTCGAAAAGTAAGTTTCTATGTTCGTGCATGTTTCAGGTGAGTTTTCTCATTACCTTTGTCCATCTCAGGACACCAAACACTTTCTTCCACACATTGTGATCTGCCTCTCCGTGCCGCAGGACGTACACGAGTTTCTGGCACTTGCCATTGTCCTTGTTCGCATTGTTGAAGTCCCTAATAGATTTTGTGATCTGATGTCCGCAGAGTTTGAAGCTCGAAGACGGTTTGTTTGCAATTGCTTTCTTGAGTCGTAGCTTGCACAACAGACATGGCTTTCTCACCAACGCTCCATTTAAGCCCATGCTTTCTTTATCTACCAGGGTTTTGGTTGTCTCCTCCTGAACAATACCCGCAGCGTTGAGAATCCTCTTGAAAGTACGCCGTATCTGGAAGCTATTATAAGGCTTCCCGTCATAGCCTGCCTTGAACCTCACATTCAGGTAGTCTCCGGTCTTAGCCATGATTGCAAAGCCTCAAGTGAAAGTAAAAAAAAAGGGGGGGGGTGTGATTTCTTGTTGGAAGGGATGTGTTGGAAGAAGTCAATTAGCTGATAGCTGCCATTCGAGACATTCCAGCCTCTTAAATCATCGATGGGTGTGATTTCTGTGGCCTCATAGCTGCAAATCTGCCTGCAGTTCCATAACCTTCATGTAGTGATATAAATAGTCCGCTGGCCGTGGTCGAATGGTGGTCTCTGAGCGTTGCACGAATTAACCAACAAAGGGCGCACTATATGCTACGAAGAAGCCAACGCTGGTTTCGGGATATCTGATTGGATGTCGCATGGTCTCAATTTTCCCGGCTGAAGCAAACGACCTTGGGTGGCCTGATTGTGTTGGTGCGTTGGTGTGTGAGAAATGGCCACCGGTCAGGCCGCCCTAACAGCGTCCCCAATGGCCAAGGCCACGGATGGGAGTTTGGGGCCATGTCACGCAAGATGGGAGTCGACTTGAGAACTTTGGGAACCAAATTCTCTTTTCAAACTCTGATGCACGATATATCAACATGAAGCCAAATCCAACCAGAATGACTTTGTCATCGTCATCAGAGGATACTGACACCCTGGCCAGCTGATGCCTGTGGATTTTGTGAGGTTGCGTAGGTCCCTTGAGACTAGCTGCGATAGGCCTCAATCATCATATCAAAAGATTTGACGGAGTACTCCTCCCTCGCCTAGGCACCGGGTAATTTGATACTCTGGCCTGTGTCTGGTGACCATGAAGAACATAATCCGCGCCCGCACACCTCGTGCATTTGCACATAGCTGGAGTGATCCGAGTCCTAAGTCTCGCGTGTTCTGTCTATTCATTGAAAATGATACCTGTGAGTTCAATTTATCAGTTCCGAAGTTTGGTCTCCAGTGTTTGCCGTCAGTAGTACGCGGAATTTTGAGCACGTGCCTGGTCTATACATGGCGAAGGGAGCCAGCGAGCCAGCGAGCTTTCGTTTCCTAACTTCTTCAATTTTCTCATATCAAGAGATATTAGCAGTGATATATCTTTGATTGGTATGAATATCTGGAACAGCTATCACCAAAGGAAAGGAATGCACTGCGATTGCAAACCCTATTAAAGTAATGGGATTCTGGCTATGAATTTTCCTACCCTTCATGGTGTTATGATGTGATAAGTCGAAATTCACCTTCATTATCCCCTCTCTTGCATTCAGGTAGAATTTTGATCATTTACTTAGGCGGTTTTGGTAGCAAGTCGCATGGTGTTTGGCTCTGTTGTATTCCTATGGCGATACGGCATCTACTCACGTATGAGTCAACGTCAGAGATCAACCTAACTGTCGCTGGGAAGCTCTATATCTCTTATGCACATGTAGCAGCTGTGTTGATTGCTCGATTTCCCTGTCTATAGTCTCAGTGAAATCCATTGCAATCCACAAAATTCTCAGCGAGTTCTAATTCCTCAATATCTTCCTCAAGAAGACCTTTGTGGAAAACTGGAGGTGACTATACTCACAGTAGACAAAGGTCTTCCAAGGGAAGTATTTCGCATGCGTGTTCGAGTCATACGATGAAATAATGTGATGCTTTTTCCGGAATGGTATTACTTGTTGCTTTGAACTACGGCTGTGTTCCCGCATCCGGATCCAGACAAGGACCACGTGAGATACTAGTCTTAATTCCAGATAAGCAAATTCAATACAATTATCCAAGTTAACAAACGATGTGAAAGCTCAGTACTTAGTAACTCGCAGCCTGTGCTCACTTGCACCGGGTCATCATTTCGCCCACAGCTTCACTTTCCCTAACTCGGTTCAACAACACAAATACGTTTTACATCAACGTCAAGTGCAACGAGGACATCTCGTTTGGAGACAGTAGAGTGCGTTGAACAGCAAAGGTAGGCATGTCCACTTCAGCTGTGTCGAATGCGCCAGGGACGGTTGGGTCTTCCAGCAGCGGGGAAACCCTGGCTAGGGCCCAAGCTATAACAACGGGTGTGAGTTTCAAGAAGGAGACAGTAACCCTTCGGACACTCGTTACTATACAAACATGTCCTCAAGGGTTCAGATCCCGTTTAGGATATCACGCCAATTTTTACATTACGCGCCCCAGCAGCGTAGAAAGGGAGATCGGACATATCACAGCCTGGCGTATTTCCAAACCGACGGGGGCTAATCGCAACATCAATCCGGGATACTGGTTGGATGAGTGGTGTCGTCCAAACCTTAGATTATATAATGACAGTGACAAGGAGCTAGCCTACTGTTTAAGGGCCTTGTATGGTACAGGCATTAACAGCTCACCCGAGCCATTGCGACGCATCAACAGCGATGAGGTGAAAAATTCGCTTCGCGACACAGGCCATGATCTTGTCTTTATACAGTCAATATACATCAAATGGCGCGAAGACCCAAATGACGAACAAACCGGAGTAAGTGATTGTTTATTACTTGTTTATATTGTTTCTCTGTATTACTAACATGCAATGATTCAGTACAGTGGCAGCGGCCTCTGTCCAACGTTTTTAGACAGTTTTTACAGACTGTTGGGTAGCCAGCTGTTACCGAATTGGTTCTCGTTCAATGGACCAATTACATATTTACTACTGCCTGGTCTACCATTAGGCGCCCCAGAAAACGACTATTGGAAACACCAGCAGCAAATATTGGGTATGACTGGGGAACAATTGGATGATCACGTTTTCGATCGTTTGACGGAACTCTACCAACGTCCGCGGTACGGATATGATTGCTACGTAAAATCCTCTCCAGTTGCATCTGCAGGTATTACAGTATTTGGTCGCACCATTGAGCCTGAAGACTGCAATCCAAGAGCAGGGGACCGTATACTCTTAGCGACAGATGTGCAAGCGTCCGATCCTCCTGTGATTCACTCCTCTCCGAGCCCCCTCAGACACCAGGAGAGGGCCCCCAGCAATGACGACGAGGAGACATGAACAGCATGTACGGTTTCCAGAGGCAAAAGCGATAAGTTTTTGAAGGTTTTGCTTGGATTCAAGCCCTTCTGTCTACTTGACGTGCTGGTTGCGGGTTGAAAATTATGGTCTTCGATGTCCTTGGTAGGGTTGAAGGAAGGGACGCTACGTGGGCCATGCTGCATCACAGCTGCTTTGACGCAACAGCATGACCGAATCGAGAAGGGGCTACTGAGTCCCTTGAGCTGGCCCTGCACAAAGTCGTCACTAATTGGCCTCTACCGGAACCTTTGGTATTTTGGATCGGAAGGAGCGAATTGCGAGAATGCTGGGTGAAATGCTTGCGGTCCGGCCAGCCCCATAAGTTTACGAAGCTATTCCGGGATCCCAACTGATAATGAGAAGCACCCACATCATGATACCCTAATAATGAATAGTTGAGATTTGTTTACAACTCTTATGGAACCATATCCCATTGCACAATGAATTAGCTCGAACGTAGTGTTGAGGGTGGGCAAGTGACCACTTCAATATTGCCGTTTGAAGCTCCACCCACATTCGACACCTTGGCGTTGTGTTTCCTGGGAAGAGGCTCGATCATGCAGAACTAGCTACTATCCCATCATAAGCCTCTTGAGAATGTCATAAACTTTAGGCTTGCTTGCTCTCTTCTGAATAAGTGGCGCCGGATTTCAACCATGGCTTCTACCGCATATATTTAGGCACTTAGTGATCGCAAAACGCGAAACAGCAATGACCTAATAACTGTAGAATCTGTGGCATTATCAGGTCTGATACCACGAGATTCTATAGTACTCTTGCTTCTAAGATGCACTTTGCAGCGCTGAATCTTGAGGCTGAGGCCATAATTAGACGTCGACAAGATGCTAAGTAAGCGGACATCTTCATTTTTCAAACCAGCTCGACGTCTCACAACGAACGTCTTTTGAATGTCTCGCGTGCTATATAAGCTGTCCTTCTCACGATTACTCCACATGAATGAAGGTGCTTGAATCTGAGAGTCGTGTTGAATAGCTATGGAGCCGCCTGGGCATGGCGAGCAATTAAAGACGGAAATCAGTCCACCGTCAAGCGTACTGACAATTGCAAGTATCGCATGTTGCCGAATACATATTTCATATGATGTCACTTTCAATATACACGACTCCAATAGTTACTAGGGCTAAAACTGAAGGCTGCTTGATTGCACTTTCGGATCAAGTGACTGAACCGTCCGGCAAAACCTCGGGAGATCTCGCTCAACATCTGCGACTAGTACAGACTTCGAACGTTCAATTGTCCGTCTTACATCTCCTCATTCCTACATTTACACACTAAATCTCAATACTCTTGACTCCCAAATTCGGCACCTATGATGGCATCACACGGTCTACTGGAAGTCGATTATATTGAGATCAAAGTCATAGTCGACAATGAAGTCGACCCCATCTCACCATCCAACAACCCCGCTGTACAGTACACCGGGTTCCTCCAAGGAGTTTCGCTGGACCGACTACCCTCGGGAGATGACAGAGGGGGCGCGGTGGCCGAGTTGAAGATGGGAAACATCTGCTGCGGAGCCCATGGACTGTCACTCATGATCACCGCCAAGAAAGGTGACGCAACGCACACAATGCTGTTTGACACTGGCCCGGAGGAGTCGACATGGGAACGGAATGCCACGCGAATCCGCGCTAACATCGCCTCGATCGAGCACATACACCTGTCTCACTGGCACCGCGACCACTCAGGAGGGATGCTCGAGGCCATACGAATGATAAACGCGTCCAAGATACAGAGAGGAGTCAACACCAAGCCTCCCAAGGTCGTTGTCGATCTGCATCCGGACAGACCGGACTACAGGGGCATGATGACGCCCGACGGCACGATCGTCAGCCTAGAGGCAGATCCTGCTTTCGACGAGATTAAGGACGCTGGTGGGGTTTTACTCAAGAAGAGTGACGTGCATCCTGTGTTGGATGGGTTCTTCCTCACCTCCGGCGCCATTCCTCGCGCGACTCCGTATGAGCTCGGAATCAGAGGCGGTATGCGATTCAGCGAGAGCACTGGCAAATGGTCTTCAGATGAGTCCATTAGCGACGAGCGACTGGTCATGTGCAACCTCAAGGGCAAAGGCCTTGTCGTCTTCACAGGCTGCAGCCACGCTGGTGTTATCAATGTTTCCAAGCATGCCATTGATCTTGTGCAAGGAGTACCATTATACGCCGTGGTTGGAGGTTTCCACCTGGCTGACAACCAGCCTGAGAAGTTGGAGTCTTCTCTTGCAGACCTCAAGAGCCTGGGACCTAAGGTACTCATGCCCGGGCACTGCACCGGATACAAGTTCAAATTTCTGATTGAGCAGGCCATTCCTGGTATCCTGGCTCCCTCATTTTGTGGTACAACGTATACCCTAGTATAAGGAGGGATGAATAAGGAGGAGGTTTCACACCCAGAATTAGCATGAATGCCAATGATAATTCGTGATCTGCCGAAGAGGCTGACAACCAAACGAAATCAATGACCGAGCATCTTCTTTCCTGTACTGAATGTATTTATGAACACACGAAAGACATCACGAATTGACCTCCTAGCATCTGGGGCAAGTGCCACTCAGTCAAGATGATAATGCGAGCTTATGGAAAGCATTGGTCGCTCCTAGTATGCTTCGGCTAAAGTGTACAGTACTTGAATAGAGTCTTGTCCTTTTTGTGGTACTTACGGATAGGGAGAGTATATGATGATGGCTTATCATCTGACCTGTGTTTCAGGCCCTCTAGGCGCGTTGATGACCGTCTTAGCGGTAAGTAAATGTTTTGCAAGTTTGTGATTGTGCATATACACCTAAGTTATATACATTGTGACGTATGCACTTAACAGTCCGGCCTTTCCTCGAAGCTTTCCCATCACGCTGTCGAAGTCAAACTGAACCCACCCAGCGTCCCACTCCATCCACTTCCTTCTCCGCCGATCTTGTTCAAAGGAGCCTCAAAGGCGATCTCCGCCCAGTGGAAGCTCAAGCCATTGTACCCAATCTTGGTGAGAAATTCTTCCTCAGGCGCAGAATTGACGGACGCATAGGTCCTGTTCCCTCGCGCGATGATGCTCAAATCAAGCGTCTCGTTCAGAGGCAGCGAGGTGTTGAGACGGAAGTAGTTGCCGCCAGCGAAGAAGGTAATATTCGGCGTCAAAAGGAGCGTAGAGTCGCCACCAGTCAGCAGCGTTGCGTTCGAGGGAAGATCGAGCGACGAGATAGTCAGCCCGGAGAGTGTGAGTGTGTAATTGCGTCCTTTGGATGACAACGGCGTCACGACCGAGCAAGAAGGCGACACTGCGAGCAAGGATCCACTGGATACGCAGTCGGTTTCTACGCTGAAGCTGTTGGGCGAAGCGTCTGCGAACGAGGCGTTGCCTGCAAAAGTGTAATTGAATATGACCTCGCCTTCAGAAGGAATGGTGCGGTCGAGGTTCTGTCCGGGTACGGCAGGATGTAGGGTCTCAAATACGTTGCCAAAGTCTGCCTCTGATAGGTTTCCTCCCCATTGCTTGTCGGCGAGGGCAGGGATACCGTCACGCCAGGCGTAATACGCTTCGGTATACACTGATGTGTTGGCGCCGTAATCATTCCACATCGGGACGATAGACCCCAGGACGAATGGATTGGACTCGGGAGGGTTTTGGGACGCGTTCTTTTGATCGAAGACATGTGGACGCCAATAGCTTTCGTCTGGCGGCGTGCCATAAAATGTCTTGGTCAAGTTGATGTGGTTCAAGTATCCCCCTGCAGGAGCCCACTTATTCACGATGTAGAAATCGTCATTGGAGTTGACCACGGAGTAGTTGTTCAGTATGTAGTCGAAATAGGGGTTATCCTCGAAGAATTCCCAGTGTTGAACAGATACGTTTTGATAGATGTTGTGGTACGTGTCGTTGTAGACCGGTGGGAACGTGCCCCATATCCTAATGAACTTGCCTGATTCACCGCCGACATAGCTGGCCATGGCGTTCACGAAGGTATTGTAGTCGGCCGATGGTCCGGTGTACTCATCTGCGCCGATGGAGACCACCTTGGTGTGGAACCAAGGAAGGAACTCGCCCCAGATCGTTTTCATTGTTGGAATCGTCTCAGGATGGCTGATATTCAGAAGACTCAAGTCACCTGAATATCCCAATTCAGGCTTCCATTGCACAATGACCAGTGCGTGACCCGGTGCCTCGATCTCCGGAATGATGGTGACACCACGAGAAGCACATGTCGATTGGATCTCGTCAAAGTCTTCGCGAGTATATGACTCGTTCTTGTACTTGTTCAGGCCCGCAAGTGCTTCAGCGTCAGACCACAACCTAAATCTAGCATACAACTCCAGAGAGCGCTCTTCGGAGTAAATTGCCACATTGTTGTATAGGTTGTCGCTGAGGTGAAGGTGGAATGTATTCTGTTTAAAGAATGACATGTACGAACACAGTTCCGTGATAAACTCTTTGGGGTAGAAGTGGCGGCCGGCATCAAGCATCATGCCTCTAGTAGCCCATCCAGGTGTATCTGATCCGGAGCCCTGTTGGATGGACCCATTGTTCAGTGTGGCTTGTTGCAGGACTGTCCGCGTTCCCCACCAGGCACCGAGCGGGCTGGCACCAGTGATGGTGATCGCGTTCGAGTTCACAGAGATAGTGTAACCTTCTGGGGACGGGTCTCCTGACGCGTTGAGATAGGCGCTTGGATCGCCCAGCGTCAGGAAGATGCTATCGGACGTGCCATTGGTACCATTGGTGACTGTCGCGTCGATGTTGAAGATGTTTGCCAGATCATCCGCGAATGTTTGAGCGAACTCGAACAGAGTGGGCGGGATCAAGGTAGCCATTGAATCATCCACGGACGAGGCATACTGGGCATCTACCACGATGTTTTGGACACTGGACAAGTCATAAGTCCCGTCCGACACGCTGTACGGCAGTGTTGGTATCCCGAGAAGATCGCCGGCAACGTATGCTGTAAGAACCTGTCAGCGGGGCGAACTGATTTCGTGGCGGAGGGCTTCAACCAACATGTTGCCCAAAGGCCCGCGAGGGCCATCTTCACAGGCGAAACTTTCATTGCCACGCTCGTCTTTTCTGTCAGCCACGACAGAACCTTTTGCGTAGATACAATGGTGAGGTCCATCGTGTCAACCTGAGGCTGGCCAGCTATGGCTGTTATTTATCCGGGCCTGTCACCAGTCACGAGACCCGGTCGCCATCAACGCGAAGAATCGTCATCGAGCATATCCTGGACTGACTCCGCACTCCAGAAGCGTTTGTTGGGGTAACGTTACCGGTGATCTTGAACCTTGAAGTTGCCTAGATAGAACCATGTGGGGAATGTTCCCCTGGCTAGACTTGTTCGTGATTACATGCGCAGTACCATCCTGGCGGGCACCACCTTGGATGAACTGTTATCATGTGGGAGGTCCGATACGAACGCGTAAGGTCGTACCTGAGACCTCAATATGGTATAGCATGTAGCCATGGTGCCATGCCTATCTCAACGTCCAATGGCGCGAATCATTCTGCCAGGGAGCGGCCCGTCGCCCGGGGTCTGATGCCGAATGCGGACTGGGTGCCGCGATCATTTCCGAGCTGCTGTCCAAGGTGGTCAAGCCCTAACCCTCAGGACGACATAATTTCCTCTCTAATGCGTCCGGCTTGAGCTTTCTAATGGTATGTACTGACCCGTATCAGGTTGAGTAACTTACTGATGTCACTATGCTAGTCGCCTGTAGGCAGGTCAGGTAATCTGGCGTAACTGCCCTGCAGAACAGAACTCGCTGATCATTGAGGAGGCGGGTATGGCAGGCATCAGAGAACAACCTTGGAATTGAGACATCGTGAACTTTGTCAATTACCTGCAGTCAGTGTTTGCATGCTTCCATGACTGCAGGCACTGTTTTGATGAGCTGTGAGATCGAGATTCAAGGACTTGTATTCACAGATCTCTCATTTTTCTCAAATTGGTATTTTCAATTACCGTCTCTACATGATCAGGCAATGTTGGGTGCCACAAATAGCTTTAGTAACTGAGGTGATTGTCATTACAAGTGTTCCAGACAAGGCTGCTGAGTCTCGAAATATTGTACAAATGAGACATATGCGCCAGGTTCTTACATGTAATGAGGCAGGCTAAATATTCTTTTTGCCACGTGTTTTTCAGGTCTTCTACACTGACCTCAGAATGAAAGTAGCTTTACTATTATTATACTACACAATCATCGAGCCTTAGTTTCAAAGAAGTCTCTTTCATCGGGATCTGGATCAGTCGACGAAGTACCTGGCTCCGGCTATATAGCATAGATGAAGTGTTTGTATATATTCTACAACTCAGAGTCTGAGGGCGGTTACCCTGAGATTCTTTACAACCTCAAATCAATGCTAAAGGCTGACTTGCTGCTGATCTCACTAGTATCCGGTACTTATTGGCCGAGACTTGACCCTTGAGCTGAATATCATGTTTAGTCTCAGCAGTTGTTCTGCCGCGACTGTAGGGGCTTGTGCTATCTTCCTCAAGCCTATTCCACAACGACTGAGCAGTTGGGAAGGTTCACAGGCCAGAAGCAAACGTCATACCTTCAAGTCGTATTCCTTTTGGTCAGCTCATTTTGGGCTCGAACGTCGCGAAACTCAAGACAAATTGTTTGGACACCAAGGCTCTGGTTGATGTGCTCGATACTCCGGTCACTCGTGCCATCAAGATCTTGGACAGCGCCCTTGGCGAAGAGTCGGCTGGAGACCGTACCGTGCCGAGCCCGCGAATCTTACAACTGAATCAAACACCAGCCCAGAATCGGGTGCCACTATTGCAGAGGGCTCGGACGAGCAGCTTGGGGTTACTGTGAAGAATCTCTTGGACAAGGTTCAAGGTATCATAGACAGGTTTGGGTATGTTCAATCTTCTATTCATACTACTTCTCTACTTGTCCTATTCTATTGTGGATGAGATATAAGCATCATCGGTGATTCATTTTCGTCCTTGCAAGGCAGCAGTGAAGATCAAGATTCCCGGCAGCGACCAACCCATGCTTGTTCATGGTTATTTTCTTATCGGGAAGTCCCCTTAGTGCCGAGCAGCGCTGGCCGACACCCTGCAGGAGCCCGAATCCAAAGAGTTGATTCTGCCTACCAAGTCTGTCAGCACATTGGCCTACCTTTTGAAATGGTTGTGTACTCAGAGCATTCTCTCCGACCACCCGAAACTCCATGTATCTTTGCTGTGCTCGGCCGAGCATGTCGGGGCCAAACCTGATTCATCTCTGGATGTTCGCCAGCCATATGTCCATGCTCAAGCTGAGGAACCACGTCGTTGATATTCTCGTCCATGAGATCAACGACTTCCTCGATTTTGACCAGCGCAGTCAGGGAGAGATCGATGACACTCGCACCGTGATGAGCATTCTCTGGCCTGGCATGGATCGGAGCCAACGTCGTATGGTTCACGGCGACACCGAGATGTGACTTCGCATTTTGATATTGGATTAGTTTGCGAATCCAATGGTATGCACTACTCCAGCACTGGTGGGGATGTGGTGAGTCCGCTGTATATGAATGCTTGCCTTGCAGCGCTATGTCAAGCTTCAGTCAGTACTCTCCTCCATCTGTCTTTTGTTTCAAAAGGTTGGTTGGGGCTTTGGAAACTGACTCTGAGGAATGTAGTATCAAACGAAGGCTGAAGCTAGACGGCTCAGGGCAGGCGGCCTGTCTCGCAACTTTCTACAGAGACTACGCTCCCCACGCGATCGAGAAGAATCATTCCATGGGAGATGATGGATTGATCGATTTTTACTCCAACTTCTGGTTAAAGGCGTGGAAGCAACACGGCACACAGTGGGGCGTCTTTGCAAGATCAAGCCGTAGACTTACCACGTCGAGGACGGTACAGATTCGCGTGGCAGCAAGGGCCGAAAAGTGACCGAGACACGGAGGCAGTAAATCTGATCCGGAAGAGGCAGATCGATTGTGGGACACAGGCCGTGCTCTCCAGATCTGCCATGAGGTCTCGGCCGATCATATGCGTGTTTTTGAGAACGAGCCACGCCACAAGCCAGGCCGTGCGGACCTCCAAACTGCCTTGGTTCTCCTAGAATGTATCAGAGCTCACTCTGTCTGACTGCCAAGTCATCAAATCTTTTTTGGAGTATTGAAGGAATTTTATTTGAGTCTCGCCACGTCGGGTCCGGACCAATAGTTCACACGCGCACAAATTCTCAAAGCGCATGCATTCTGCCTTGTTTCCGTACAAAGCCTGCTCGCGCTCGTCTGGCCTCCACTAGAGCATCCGGCTCTGCCGAGCTATGTTATGACACGTTTCATTTGCGTATCTCTAATTTTCCGATTGATTCACAGATACTGGCAATAATCTCATCGCCCTCAATTCGCAATATTGAGTCATTGGCGTATTGACCCAAGTCTCTGAGGCCTGTCCATCAGGCAATGCAACCGTGGACTGAGACAGAGAGCCTTCCATCGCCTTTCTCGAAAGGCCATACCGTAATAGGAAATCGATGCAGGCTGCTGGGGCGCCTTACGATTTGGGCCGGGGACCCGTCGTGCCGGTGCTGCGACGCCAGGGGCGCGGGTGTGACATTCGGCACTGGTTTCACGTTTCGGGGCCAGCCGACACTGTCATTCCACCAGCATGCGAATCATGATTCAGTCTACAGCAGAGAGAAATGGTGTCAGGTCACCACAGATGGCGTTCGCGGGGTGATGGTCTAGCAACACGGCTAGTGTAGTCACCGATCGCCTGCCACATTGGTACATGTGCATGCGATTCGACCACGACCCCACGGGCGCTAGATGGGAAGATTTGGAAGCCGAACAATTTCATTTTGCTCACATCAACTATTCGCTTCCCACATCGTTTGCGATAGATTCGAGCTCTGATTTAGGGTTTTGTAACACGCGTATCTAAGAGGATATCACGAAAGTCAAGCCGGGGTCCGTAGGGGACGTTGGGGTTATTCGTCCCTTCTCCTGCAAGGCACACTCAAAACCTACTCGGGCAGCCCCTTCAAACAATGGAAAGGCCGACATCGAAAATCACTGTGCTGATTCTCTCCAAGTCTTGAATTCCCTTGTGAGTGTGTCATATATGGCGCTTGCACACACCACAACTGGGCCTGCCAACTCTGTAAGTCGCAACACATGTGGATACAGATTCAAACGGATTTACCCTAGGGTAGTCATTGGTGCGACTGGAACACCGCTCAAAGTCTTTCCACAGGGCAGATTGCGAGCAGAAATCTGCTAGAATAGCGATCAGAACGGCGTCACGGAGTCTGTGAATAGCGACTAACATCTCTGCCACAACGAGAAATTGACGATATACGCAACACCGAATAGGAGAGATTGCGAGGCGGTGCGAGAGAGCGATTGCAACGTCTTGGCTGTTTCTGCTGCTCAAGTACCAAGCACGGCGATTAGGTTTGATCGACGTTAACCATAAAGAAAAACATATACTGGAGACATGACGTACGATTGGGGCTCTATATTGTCGCAAAGCACCAATCCGAGTGTGTTTTCGCGGAGATGGAAACATGGAATGAGACGACACGTCCAAAGATGGAGTGACTCCACGCCGAGAGATGCCAAACATGAAATCGGGCAAGACGAAGACCATACTCTGGCCACTCATCTCGGCGTGTGCGGCAGATGTGAGGTGAGACCCTGAACCCTAACGTGCTGTCAGGTAAAGGCCTCGGCCGAAATCGTCTGCCATTCGCATGTGCATTCCATGTCATCGCCACTCTCGTCGTCCCAAGCACAGCGAGAAGATGGATGGGAAGACTTGACTGGCCCGCGCGGTCTATTTTTGTGGTTCCTAGTCTGCCTCACCAAGCGAATCCGGGCGCCCAGGCGGCCAGCGAAGCCTAATGGAGCAGACGAACAGAGATCCTAGAACGCGCCAGGGAGGGGAGCCCAGGTGGCGGTGATCCCAGAGCCTTGTGTGACTGATCAGCAAAGCTTACCAGAAAATCCTCGCATGGACTGTAGAAGGGGGAAAGCACAATGAGCAATGCCTTGTGCTGTGTTTCTCATGGATTTCCGGATGCGGTTTAGCGATGGAAACACATGAAGCACGGATTTGAGACGACTTCATCTGCAGCATTTCGCTCTCGGTAGACAGCCCTTCTTCGAGGCTGTCAACTGTCAACGCAATTCTGGGACGACCGGGTCAAGTAATTTCAAATGCGATGAACAGTCCACTGGCTTACTTGGCAATCGATGCGTCGACGGTGGGATGGCTCAATCCATCCACTGATGCGGCGACCTGGAGAGTTGACAGGTCGAAGGCGGACAATATAGGCAAGTCGGGAGGAAGATGGCGGACCAATCGCAAGTTGCCGGCGAGCCAAGTGCCTGGGTTGTCTGGATCTCCAAGCCGTTCCCCAGCGATCGCCCTTAGTCCCGCAGCCATGCTGGGAGCGACGTGGGGAGCCGCCTTGACCCCTACCGAGACCTGGTCGTGTTTCGACCGATCTTCCAACACAGCGGTTCGACAGACAAGCTTGGATCATAGTTTGAAAACTTCCTTTGCGCTTCCAGATCTGGGAACGTCAAGCGGCAGGGGTATTTCCTGCGTGCATCGAAATCTAGAAACTTGTCACATATTCGCGTGGCTGTGTTTATTCCTAATGAGGAGAGGTTGGGAGAAGTGCGGCTTCCAAGATGTCAAAGAAGGCCCGTTCGTTGCGACTCAAAACGTCCAAAGAAAGCCTCTCAAGATGGGACTATTTATCTCGACGGCATTCCCTTCGAGCTACTTTTCCTCCCTCGTACTCGGCTCATCACTCTTTCGATAACAGTTATTAACCCTTCCTTCTCCTTCATTTCCGCGGCACTGGATGCCAGTTAAGCCCAGGCGACTTTAACAAGTAATACCAAGCAACCATGAAGTTCACACTCCTGACCACGCTCCTGGCGGGCTCCGCCATCGCGGCTCCATCATTGAACAAGAGGGATCTGGCGACGATCCAGCAAGCCATCGGCTCTGTCCAGACTGCTCTTGACGGGCTCGGAACAGCAGTCGACGCCGTCAACGCTCAAGACCCCAACAGCGTGACCGGCATCCTCGGCGCGAGCACCAACGCACAGAACACCATCAAGACCGCCACCACGCAGATCCAGGGCACCGACGCCTTGTCCCTGACAGACGCCCTGTCCCTGCAACAGACCGCCACCGGCCTGACCACCTCGGCCAACAAGACCGTCCAGAGCCTCATCGCCAAGAAGCCCGTCTTCGACCAGCTCGGTGTCTCCTCAGTTGTCGCCACTCAACTCCAGGACCAGAAGACCTCTGCCTCAGCCCTCGGTGACGCCGTCGTGCAGAAGATCCCCGCCATCGGTCAGAGCATTGCTCAGCAGTCTCTCGGTCAAATCAACACTGTCCTCGATTCGGCCATCCAGACCTACTCCGCCGGTGCAACGACTGGTAATTCTTCCCCCCTGCAGAAAGATTTCTTATTTGTTTGGTCCCTGAAAGCTGACTCGAAATAGGTGCCGCTACTGGAGGTGCTAGTGCTAAGCCAGGCAACGGAACTTCGACCGCGGCCCCCAAGGCTGGATCCGGCTCAGGCACATCCAGTGCCACTCCCAAGTCCTCCGCTGCTCCTAAGGCTGGTGGCGCTGGCAGCACTTCCGGTACTTCATCGAGCACCCCTGCTGCTGCGCCAGCTGGCGGCGCCGCAGGTGCTGGTGGCCTCGTAAGTGTTCACCGATGTTTCAAGCAATCGCCTGGCCCGAGCCCAGCCGTAAAGCCGTACACGGCAATGGTTTGGCTCGTATCCGGACTTGGATTCTTCGAATCACATTGCTAACTTGGGATTTTCTTCTAGGGCGCTTTGTTGGGTGGTCTTACGGGAGGCGGAGCTGGTGGCGCCGGCGGTGCGGCTGGTGGCGCTGGTGGACTTGTAAGTTCCCCGATATCACGGTGAAATGGCATTGCGATTTGTACTCAGCTTTGCCGGCTGGCAAGTGCCGACTTTGAGCATGAACAGAGTGCTAACGACATACTCAGGGCGCCCTCCTGGGAGGCTTGACTGGCGGTGCGGGTGCTGCCGGAGGAGCGGCTGGCGGTGCTGGTGGTGCGGCCGGTGGAGCTGGTGGACTTGTAAGTCATCTTTGATATTCTTCCTTCTCAAGGTTCCTCAACTAACATCATCTCAGGGTGCTCTCCTCGGAGCTCTCGGCGGTGCTGCATAAGCGGTTCGCCCTCAGCTTGGTTTAAGCAGAGTGTCAGCTCTGGCCTGTGGTGTCGCCCAGTGAAACAACTGGCGAGTGTGGGTTCCGTTCTCGGCTTGCTGCTTGATGTAGCGAGATGGTACGCTGCCTTGCGACGAGTTACGAATTCCCTTGTATCCTCCATAGTGTCTAGTACACTTAAAAGTGTCAATGCATGTAGATTACCTCTCATCTTTGTGTGGACTGCTTGGCGATAGCACAGGACTGAGGCAGATACTAAATTGTAGATAACGGGAAAACAAGCGGTATTCTTTTCATTTCACAGATTCTTGGATTCGGAAATCACTGCAATGACGTCAAAAATGTCCAACAGTTGTTGATGCAGACACCACCATGCTTCTCGTATTTATCAAGTCTTCCGGCCATTCCTATCGCTGTCCCGTATATGTGTAGTGATCTGTGCCAAATCTTTTGAGATATTTCAGATTATCCCACAAGAGGTCATCCCGCAGAAGATTGTCCCATAGTCGGTCATTCCGCAGTCGATTATCCCACAATAGGTTATCCTACAGTAGGTTATGCGATAACAAGACAAGCAACAGCAATTTATCCCATAAAAGATGATTCCACAGCAAGTTGGGTGATAGCAAGTAAACCTAGGAGAGATTAGTCCACAACAGGTTATCCCATAACAAGTTATTCTACTGTGGAACAACAGCTCTTCCTGTAACAGGTTATCCCACAACCGATTGTCCCATGGCAGATTTCGATATAGGAAGTTTTGCTACGATCAAGTTCCCTCGCGTGAACGAGACGAAGTTTACCAGTGAGATCCGCCATGGTAAATCTCAGAAAATAATCAAGAGTTGAAACGTGCATGAGGGAACGCAACCTGGTATGATGTCGGTTCAGGACAGGCCCGTAGTATTGCTTATAGTTCTCGCTAAGTCCTCCGCGGTGCTTTGGACGTTGTCCTTGTCTCCGTTGAGTAAACATCGAAACAACGACAATGACGTCGGAAATTTGGTAGTGGTGGAGCTGGAGTCATGGATTTCCGAATTGTGTCGGTATCTTGTTCTTCATGCCCGTTCTGCAATCTTTACTTACCACTCTCTTCACAAAGCGACCAACCACCGAGATGGCCGAAGGCTGAATCATTCTCTTACGGTGGGAATCCATTCTGGACGACGAAACAGAGGAGTCTCGGCATGAACCACTTTGTGTATCTACGGGAGGCACGTGGAAGAGCACAAACGTGCCTCTGAACCTCAGAGCCCAAACCTGTTTGCTATAGTCATAAAACTGTCTCTTCATAATTACGTTGATCATTCAGTCGTGAGTATTGGCATAGTAGCTCTGTCATGTCAGGACTTGGACTTTCGGTAAAATAGAGAACGTCATATAGGACTATACTATTATGATTTAAAGTCTACTAATATCTAAACTGATTATACTACAAAATTGTCCCTCTCCTCGGCCTTCCAGGAGGGATATCGGCGTCTAGCCATTGAGACCGTCGCTTAGACTGCCCTTGATCTGCCAATAAAGAGGAAACACTCGCTTCGGCGTCTCGATGATTCTTCGGAGTACCCAGATCGACGAACCCAGGGTCCTTACCGCCGTGAAATCTGACCCACATGCGGCCTGCTTCGTCACGAATCCTGCCCAGCTCAGGCGCCGCACGGCCATTACTCCTTACAAACGTTTCACTCCTATTGAGCCCATCACCATCCCTTCGATCATGGGACGATCCGCCGGGGCCGTGGAGCCCGAAGAACATCAACGGTAACAAGCTCCCTTTCCACACGGGCTGATCCGGATCGGTATAATTCTTGACGATGATCCACAGGAGGAGCACGGCACAGATCAAAACTAGGATTATCGGTAGGGACACCCACCGCTGGTCGAAATACGTGCACGTGGAGCTCTCATAGACCAGTCCCAGCGTCGACGAACGCTGAGGGGTGTCCCCCACCTTGACGTCCGGCCCGTTGCCGGTCATGCGAAGCTTGTTTGTGACGGTAGTGGCAAAGTCCTCGATGGCTTGGTCGAGGGACTCGAATGTGGCGTTCATTTGGCCCCACAGCGGTGCGAGCCACCATGAGTCGCCACAGTTGATGTGGCCCGCCTGCGAGCTGTCGTAGGAGCAGTCTCCAGAGAAGAGTGAGTTGCTCATCTGGTTGCTCATGGCTGACGCGTAGGTCCCGTCCATCTTGTAGAGGCAGGCGTTTGGCACGCTGGTGTTCGTAACGGTATTGTCCAGTTGGTTGGTTAGTGATATGTTTGCCCAGGTTCGACCCGAAATGTGCGGCGCGGCTGACATGTTATTCGGCATGTACCAGGTACTGGCGTTCATGATGTGCGAGGCGAGAGACGTGTTGCTAATATTGGTGAAGTAATCACCGTCGTCAAGAATGCAAGGCGAGCGAACGGCAGTGTAGTTCCATGTGTAGGTATACGAACTTGTTTCCTGCTTGTTGGGAAGCGCGGGTTTCGTTCGGACAATTTCCTCCGAGTATCTGCCTCCTCTATATCGCCCGCGGTACTCCTTCATGCAGGGGTAAAGCGTGCATGAGGTGGCAATGTAGTCACCGAGACCGTCGAAGTACTGATTATCGGATTGTGAAATCTTGTGCGGACAGTCGTAAAAACCCGAGTTGGGCCTCTTTGTGCAGGGCGACGTTGAGGACAGCAGCATGCTAAAGTTGCTGATGGCCACACTTGCTGCTGTAGCGAAGTCCTCACTGAAGAGATCAGTTGCCCAAGTGAGATTGCTGTAGCCCACCCACATGTACTGTCCGCCTGGGCCATAATTGATGAAGGCCTCATAGTCTGGCAGAGTCAGATTGCCTCCCTTGTCAGGTCCACTGACATACTTTGTCGTGTCCAGGCATGCACTGCAGAGACCTATACTCGCGTGGGTCGCACCAGTGCCATAATCCTCCCATGTGCAGTTCGAGCTAGCACAGGAGACCTCGACTTCATTGTCCTTGCCATCAGGATTTGTGAGTCCTCCGATCATGGCACCCTTCATATCGATTTCGAGCTCGAACGTTCCCGCTCCGATACGGTAATAGGCTGACCTTCCTGGAACATAATTGGCGGATGGAATCTCTGCCCTCGCATTTGGCAGCAACGTTGGACACATTGCTGTTTTCAGTGCCTGTTGGGTAAATGGACCCACTGCGAGGCTGGCAATCGTGACCAATGCAGCTGCGATGCCCAATAGTCCAGCAGAGGTCCAGCCAAAATTCCACAAGACGACCGCCAACAACCGCAGACTTCCGAGTACGGATCGAGAGGCAGAGTCAAAGTCTTGCAGGTGGTGTAGGGGTCGTGTGCGTTCGGTGAACCATGTCCACTTAATCTGACCAACGATCTCAGCGACAGCCGCAAGCATTGCTGCCCGCAGAAATGTCGACAGCAAAGCGATTACAGTGTTGAGATTGATGTCGAACGGCCATTCTGGCATGGTTTTCCTGTCATAATGCGCCAGGAGAAAGATGATGGCGGCTATGAGGAGGACTGCGACCAGGATGGTAAGAATCTCAAGGAACCAGTGTTGAAGAACCTCAGAAAGATGGCTTGGCGATCTTGCGTTCCTTGATCCGCTCGGGTGCTGGTTGTGCCGAGGCTGGTGGTCTTCTTGGAAAGGCCAAGATGGCGTATCTGGATCTGTTGACCTCCCCGCTTCCATCGTGGGTGATGATTTCGCCGACCATGTTCCAATTTCTTTATCTGTTGCCGTCATACCGTGGGACTTCATGTCAGGGTTCGCTGTTGCGTGAGAAGGTTCAATTTCCAGGGAGCTTCGCGCACTGGCGGCATTGGAGGAGGATTCTCCACGGGGTGGCTGTGTTGAGTCGCCTACCCGTGAGCGCTGCTGGAGCTCAATGCCCACCGAGGCGGCCATGTCTCAAGGTAGACAAGTGATGTCTGGGGCGAGATGGCAAAGTCGACTAGTGCACGGGTCTAGTCAAAGGATAGAAAAGGTTATCCCCGGCCGGACCATGTGAACAAAATACCAGAGCTCGGAAAGGCCACGAGCCTTTCATCAGGGGAGGCCTAAATTGGAATAACGCTGGGGATCATCCAAGCTTCAAATAACCTCAAACATCGCGAACTCCTTTACACCAATCAAGATGTCCATAATGCTGGGTCGTCCGCCCGATTGGGCTTGACAATATCCACTTCAGCCCTATATGACTCGCTGCACAATTTCAAGCATTTTTCAACACGAACGGCTAATAAAGACGGTCAGGGTACATCAAATCCGAATTGTTACCTGATGAACGATCCCTACTTCAACTGTTTTCCTTGGCTGATGATCTTCGCGACCTTCATATTGCCATACAGGCCACTGTGTGACGCAATGACAGGCTGTAATGCATGTCGACCCCGCCTCTCAGCTCTGGTTTTCAGCCTGGATCGTCCTCAACATGCCGAAACGGGATGACACGGAGTACACGATAACATGACTCCAGCCATGAGTCGCGTCGCCCGTGGAGAGAATGTGGAAGCGCTGACCGTCGCAGAAAGGACAGCCTCAAGAATGGCAAGGTTCTATCCACATGCTCATAACTCCAACTCATCCGATTCCACAGTGGCGTGGACGAAATCCCTGATTTCCGATTTAGGGTACATGTACGGACGGACCTTTTGTCTGACCATCGTCCTTTGTTCGAATGCGTACGCCATGCCTATGAGCTTCTCTTCGGAGAAACTCTCCCCTAAGAAGCTGATGCCGAAAGGCACGTTTGGCCCAATCTCGACAAGATTACCAAAATTATTCTTTATGATCGGCATGTCGTCCGGATACCGGCACATTGGAACAGTCACCGCTGGAGTACCCAGCATTGCTGGTGGGTACTCCGCGAAATATGTGGGCAGCACAATGGCATCCAGCGAGTGGTTCTTCATCGCGCCTAGAATTCCCAGGTTTCCGATCAATTGCATACCGTATGTACGGTTAAACCAAACGTCAGGATGGGTGTTGTTCAAGCCGCTCTCAAGTGCAAGATCAAATACGTAGGTGTCGCGGGCTGGGTACTCCTCCTCTGGAAAATGACGAGTGAAGTTCCAGACATCCTGCAGTGAGGAGATATTATTTGGGTTTGAATCAAGGTGAGAGAGATATCTCGCGATGTCTGTGAGAAGGTCCGCACGAAGGACGCTCGACATGTATTGGCCCTCCACATATGATTTCCAGCCGGGAAGGAAAATGTCGTCGATAACTTCTGCACCAGCGGAGCGAATGACGGCCAGAGAATCGTTGAAGGCGGCTATCAGGGGCTCGGCGACTGCTTCAGGTATGCCAAACTCGGAGAAGTCGATGAGCCCGCGAGTGACCCCAATGCGCTTGCCTTTGAGAGCCGCGAGCTGGCATGCCGAAACGTAATCGGGGAACCCATTGGTACCAAAAGGAATAGCAGAGGTGTAATTGTCCAAAGTGTCCTTGCCCACAATAGCACTGAGTAGAAAAGCTGCGTCCTTCACGGTCCGCGCCAGTGGTCCCACGGTATCTTGGTGTTCGGAAATCGGGATCACAAGATGTCGCGAGGTGAGTCCCACAGTGGGCTTGACTGGGTCATTGTTAGTCAAGTGGACTGCCAACAAATTCACGGTGGATGCCGATCGCTTAGGCAGAATTCACCAACGAAGATCGCCCTGGGGGAAAACATAATCTGCGGAAAACAACTTACTTCCAACGACATTGTTGAAGCAGGCCGGGCACTGTATCGAACCCGCAGTCTCCGTACCCAGTGTGGCCCACGCTAACCCAAGAGAAGTTGCGACGCCACTTCCCGCTGAAGATCCGCAAGGATCCTGACCCGGATAGTAAGCAGCTTCAGTCTGCCCACCATGCGCAGACCATCCACTGCTCGAATTTTGACTCCTTGCCTCTGACCACTGGCTCAAGTTGGACTTTCCTAGGATGATTACACCTGCTTCACGGAGCTTTGCAGCAACAGTACTATCATACGGTACTGTTGCGCCTAGGAGTGCATACGATCCGGCGGTGGTGTTCATTTTGTCTGCCGTGGCGATGTTGTTCTTGATAAGGACGGGTATCCCGTGCAAGGGACCGAGGACATCTCCATTTTGTCGGGCTATATCGAGGGATACGGCGATACTGAGAGCATCAGGGTTAATTTCTGTGACGGCATGCAGGCGGTGATTTGTTTCCTCGATCCGGGCGACGTAAGCTTGAACGAGATCCGCACTGGTGAATGCGCCGCTTTCAAGCCCGAGAGAAAGATCTGTCAGAGTCGCATCAAGCAGCAACGGCAACACGGATGCGGCCCCGCGGTGAGTGAATGTGAGAGGTTGCGGTACTGTCGCTAGAATTGACGTGGCAAAAAGAGCCAAGACCACGGCGACTGAACCTGCATTGCCGGCCATGGTCACCAAAATCGCTTCTCAGAGCGTCGAGCGATTGAGATGATATCGGTTAGCGAAGATTCTGACGAGTGTTGTTGATAACGGGCGTGGCTGTGGGTGTCAGCATGATACGGATGCCCCCCGGCTTACCACATGCGCGTGCTAGTCCAATATGGACTAGGTGATGCAACAGTAAGATGCCTACCACCGTATGATTGAGGCACATCACCAATTTGCTTTTCCACACCTGGGAGAGAGGGACAAATCAAAACGAAGTCACGCCAAGATGGAAGACGACCGAATAATATGGATCGGGGACAGTGCCGCCTGTGGCATGTGAATGATGTTCAAAATAAACATAAAGCAAGAGTTTAAGTTGCATCAACTCAATGTTGCGAGCGAGAATAGGGAGGGTTCCCTCAGAACCACGAACAACTCGGCATGTAGTCAGAAAGTCTTGCTCCAGGAAGAAGACGTCCGTGCGATCACGTCTGACGACGTAAGCTCTTGTGACTTGCACAACTATCTGTAGATATCTATGTATAAGTAACGTCTATCTTGTCACTTTCCAATTTTGTGAATATTTTGCACAACCTTGGTATCCTTGGAAGCTATAGATTAGTCGACAATGGCAATTCCATGCAAGTATGGCTCTCATGACCCGGTCACTTCCTCATCCTTAATTGACTCGGATTCCTGCACATATACGTCCACAGGGTATAGAATTGAGACAGGGATCAAGGATTAGACAGACTTAGGAGCGCGCGCCAATACTTCAGACGGGAAAAGGAGAGAGGGGAAGATGTGAAGCAGGCCAACTCCTCTGCACTAGGCGTTAGACAAGAGGTCAAAAGTAAACATGAATTTCATCTGGAAGAAAAACGAGATTGATCGTACTATTCAAGTATCACTCGGAACCTAATTCGCAGCTGCGTCTCCTTGGGTTTGAGCTGCATTCGCGGCTCCTTTAGCCTGCTGTGCCTGACCTTGAGCGCCTTGTTTGGCAGCAGTACCGGCTGCTTGAGCAGCCTGGCCTTGAGCAGCCTGTCCTTGAGCAGCCTGGCCTTGAGCTCCCTTTTGGGCCGCAGCAGCGCCTGCTTGGGCAGCCTGTCCTTGGCCTCCCTTCTTAGCCGCCGCGGCAGCAGCAGCAGCTCCTTGAGCAGCCTGGCCTTGGCCGCCCTGCTTCGCAGCGGCACCGCCTCCCCCAGTGACTGCATCGACATCGACTCCGGCAGCTTTCAGGGTTGCGACATCGGCCTGATTGCCAGAGTCCACGATGGCCTGGACGGCCTTCTCGAAGGCTGCGCCAGAGTCGGCGGCTCCGGCTAGTAGTTGTCATTATAAGCTAGATGTTCTTTGGCTACATGGGAGCTGCGGGCCATTGACGTACCGTCACCATTTTGAGACAGCAACACAGCAGCGTCCACCTTGGCGGCGGCGGTTATACCCTACATGTTAGGTAAGTCTCGGTGTTCATATTCTCCGCTATCCGTGGCAATGGACGCTGGCTGAACTCACGTCTGCGCCATTGTTGGCCTTCGCATTCACTCCGTTGTCAGCTGCGGCCGCAGCAGGAGGAGCTTTTGCGGCAGCGGCATTAGCAGCGGCAGCAGCAGCATTATTGCCCTGTCCTTTGGCCTGTGCACCATTGGCCTTGCCTTGTTGCTTTTGAGCTTGAGCCTGGGTCTGGGCCTGAGTGCCTTGCCCGGCTTTGTTCTGAGGCAAGGCTACGGTGAAAGTCGCCAAGAGGGTAACGAGAGCCAGGGACAGCTTCATATTTGCAATAATTAGACGAGTAGATAGTACGTTAAACGAGGGACTGTTCAATTAAAAGTGGTCGCCGAGACGGTTGAGCACAGCTAAGTGGGTGTTAGTTTATCTTTCGTAAAGCTGGACATCCTCATGTACTCGCCTCTCAATGAATAGAAACAGATGGTGGTGGCGGTCAAGCCTGAACATAGTGCCTGGCAGCTCTCGACCGAATCGTCTTATATTTCCTTCCCAGAGGTGAGAAAGTAGGTTGGGTCATGCCCGATTGGCTTTCCTCCGAACACACACGAGACGACAACTCCCGTAAAGTTTGTCCTATATGCTATCAAGGGGTTCGGCTTCGTGATGAAACTGTCCTGCGCGTGTCCGATCGACAGGGGTCGAACTGCCAAGGCGCCACAAAGTGGCTGCGCTTAGCATCTTTGAAGCAAGGCTTAATTTTCTGGGTGGTAGAATCGCCCGAACAAGGTTAAGCCGAAGTCACTTAGGACAATGCTTGGTTTGACAGATGACACAGTTGCCCGGCGCGGGCATAGTCTTCATGCGAGGCGGCGCCTACGGGCGTTGTGTCCGAACTTTCGAGCGGGCGCCCTGATGCCACTATACGCATCACCAGATTAAGCATCCTCATATGCCTTCGGCGCCCCATGTCTCAAAACCTTCTCCCCGAAGCCAGAACTCGAGCCTCATCCGGCCCGTCGGCTGAACTTGTCATTGAGGATGGACTCAAACCCAGCCTCCTTTCAAGGATCAATAAGGTTCTGCGTCGAAGCTACGGGCTCGCCGTGGGGATACACAATTGTGGTCTCAGAGCTGGTCACCTGTTCGTCAGTAACTTCAGAAATGATATCGCAAGTTCCGGACGTCCATTTGCTTGGTTTCGCACCTTAAAACTCGCCATATAAGGTCGTCCCACATGATCTATGACACTCTAGACACGCTTAGCTGACACCTTGTCATGATCTTCGGGTCACGTTTTACTCACGCGTAGAAGAAATTACTTGGTTGAAGACCGTTCCCCTTCAGGCGTAGCCAACCGGATTTTAAGCTTCTCATCTCGGGTCACTCGCCGCACCCTTACATTTAAGCCGCACCTCATGGATCAGTCTTGGCTGGCCAGCACACTTTTATGACGCAGCGAGAGTTCATAGCGGCCGACAGATGTCTTGCACCGCTTCTCTGTTCTGGCTGAGTGGGTATTCAAAGTATTCAAGAGATCATTATTTTGAGAGATACGTTGAGACGTTTGTCCTGGTCGATTTCAACATTGACTACCAGTGCACCGACATTGCTCTACTGCCCGGACATTCTGTTGCGACAGTCTCGGGACATTATTGTCTCAAGAATAAATTCTGCCATTCCCACCGCCATCGCCAAGAACGCCTTTCACGGCACAGCATGCACGTATCCCCATCCACAAGGAATCATGTCTGACTAAAGCGGTACCAGACCCTTGCATGTGAAAACCGTGCTGTCTTTACATTTTCAAGTGGCAAATAATCAGCTTTGTCACGCGATGTAAATTGTGCGCGCAATGTCTCCAGGCTCACAGATGACTAGGTTTGGATAGGGGAAACCTTGATTCGGCTGAGACAATAGCGACGGTCTCTGGTATCAAAAGAAGAACATTGCTTGTCACTTCACATTCAAAACGGAAGCGGTTGGGTTTGCTCTGCTCGAGAGATGAAGTCTCATTCGATAAATTCTCTGTATGTGCAGTTGCATTGCGGCTTGAAATATGTACACGTCAAAACGCTTGTCACCTCGGCCTCCATCAAGAAGCTCATGTGAGCATCCATGTACTACCTCTTATCTCTCCCTCAAAAGAAGTCCGCCAAGGCGGCCACGAATCCCTTGGCAACCAAAGTGTGAATAGCCTGTCCAGGGTGGTAGTTGTCATACCACACGGCAGAAGTCCCGTCCGCATTCGCAGCTGTGATGTCACTGTCCAGGCCGAATGAGGTCGGGTCATTGAAGACCTCCCAGAAATACGAGGTGGTGTTGAAGACCTGAGCAGTGACACCGGTGTTGCTGGACTTGAAGTCAGCAAGCTTCGTGGCGAGCTTGGAGTTGAACGAGTCGAGGTTGGAGATGAGCCCCTCCACGGAAGTTTCAGACTGGTCCTTGAACGCTGGCGCCTTGTAAAAGGCTGCAGTAAAAGAAGCGTCAGTTATAATTCAATCACAACGGTGACCTCGTATTTTTCACGGAAAGGGGGACTCACGCGGAACTGTGTTGAGCACAAAGTTTCTCGCGCCGTCTGTGTACAAGTTTTGCAACAGATCGAAGTACTTTGTCAGTGCCTCATCAATGGGGCATGTTGTATACTGAGAAGATTGCCAAAAGCATTGACCAATATCGTTGATGCCTATCCAGACGGCAACAAGCAGGTTCTCAGCCGTCCACGGAGCCTCGGTCGGGGCGGGAACCAAGTTGTCCTCAAACTCGCCCACCTGTGCAATCAAGTCTGTAGTGACGCCAGTGTTGATAATGGCATTAGAGATGTCAGCGCCATAATAAGCAAAGTCGTAGGTAAGCACCAGGGAGCTGTTAAGCTGCTCGGTCACCATGCCGACCCAGTTCAGACCGCCAGTGGTGGTGGAGCCGCCTGATCCTAAAGGATTTGAGGCCGAGGGGAAGCCTCCCTCGATGTAGAAGCCGGTTGACGAGTACGAGTCACCACTAGAATTTGAGAAAGGTTAGAAATCAAGGTCAGGTTTGCAGGGATAAGTATTCACTGACAACACGGCAAAATACTTGGTGCCATCGCTGGATGCTGATGAGGAGGACGAAGCGGCAGCTGCAGAGCTGGTCGGGGCAGCGCTCGAGGCCGAGGTAGAAACAGCTTGAACCGGGAGATTGCTGGCGACCAAAGACGAGGTGGTCGTCGGCGCAGCCGAAGTTGGAGTCGTCTCGGAGCCGGAGCCGGAGCTTCCCCTTGGAACGCACGCAGCAGAGGCAGAAGACAAGGCCGTAGCCAAGGCAATAATTTGGCTGACAGAGAACATTTTGAGCTGTTTCTAGTGTGTAAGTAAAGAGTGGATGGAATGGAAACCAGTTCCGTGAGCGATCTCAAGAAATGAACGAAAAAAATGCTGCTGGACGCCGCTGCAAATGAAACTAAACAAGGTGTGGAATGGAAACAAAGATACAGGAAGAAACGAAACAAGTATTGGCCAAAAATTCCAGCATTTCAACAGGTGGAAAGGGGCTGCCGTCGGCAAGGATAAAACGGTAGGCCATGTTCCGAAAAGCACCTCGGACAACATCGCCGAGCAACGCGCGGCAAGAAATTAAAGGGGCGGCTGCTGGCCCCGCAAAGCCTCAATCCGCAACAACACGGCCACTAGGACGCATTTCACCTTAAAGGGGAATCATTTTCCGAACCCCAAAACCGCTTATTTTTCTTAATTGAAAGTTGGAAAATGTCCCAGGTTCAATATGTATTGGGGAAAAATAATAACCATATTTGCGAAGTCGGATTAAGGTTTGCGGCTCAACGATTTTATGGCGATCCTCCACATCAGCACAAGCAAGGATTCCCTGCACCAACATATCGAAACATATTAACTGAAGTTCCCTTCTGCGCTGAGGATATTTTCCCTAAGGTCTGACAGACTAGTCCCAAAAGTACGGTGAAAATGGAATCTGGATTATTCATTACTAATGCCAGAGTGCCAGTGAGAACGGAAAGGGGTAAAGACAAGGACACTCGGAGATTTGGGTATGTTTTAGATACGCGCTCCTTCAGACTCGAGATTCGCCAAAGTTTCTATGTAGTTAAACATTGGGCTCAATAAACCTCTTGTGGGTCATCGTCTCATTCATACGCCTGAGAAGTGGATAGCATACGTGGTTCCGGCCTCGGTAAGTCTGTCCGTTCCATGAAACTGAGCTGAAAGGATTCCTCTGGACTGCGATGTGCGCACATTTTCTTTTGCCAATGCAACAGTCTCTTCATTATCACAGGCTTTCGAAAAATGGTGTCTGCAAATGAAATCAAGTGTTCACCATCTACAAGATCCAAATCCACATCCCCAGCCTTCAACGGCCTGATCCCTCCGCATTCGCGACACCTCCCATTTCGATGTCATCCAATTTGGTTGAAATACTAGGGTCGATGGACAAGTTCGCAAAACCTCTTGTGATGACCTTCTGCTCGAACCGCCGATCGATCTGCTCAAAAGACAGGTCCTTGGTTTCGGGCAGCTCAATCCACATCACTCCAAAAGCAACAACTGACGTGGCGAAAAAGATCCAACCCATGAGGCCCCCGAGATTTCCCTCGGTAGGGTTGAACATGTATGGGACGACAATGTTCCATATCGTGCTGTAGAAGTAGTTGAAAAAGAAGCCTATGGCCAGCGTCTTGGCTCTCAGTCTGATGCTGGAAACCTCTGCAGCGACCGCAAGAGCAGGGCCGTTGGCAGGGCCAATGCTGAGCCAGACCATCTGTAAGGTGATTGCCACGCACCACAAAGACGCCGAGGATTGTGTTGGCACAGACGCGGCAATGCCCATGATGAAGAAAAGAACAGCAGCGAGGGCAATACCTGACAAGACGATGGTCCGACGACCGACACGTGCCATCGCCCAGAGGGTCAAGATGCTGGAAAATATAGACATGGCGATGCCGACTTCTACCATCATAGCCGTGTTTGTTGCGGACAAGCCCGCGAGAACCATGAAGTAAGGTGAGTTGTTGATGAAGGTTGCGCCTGTCATTTGCGAAAGGCCATTGGCGTATAGCACAATACGAGTTCGTCGCCAATTTGTACCCCTGAAGCAGTCACGGAATGATGCCTCTCCGGATTCGACCAAAGCTTCGCGTTGAATGGTCTCTTGCATAGTCTTGAGGCGGGCTTGAACTTGAATCCAAGTGTTGGTTCGATGTAGCTTGGTAAGGGCCTTGGTAGCGGAGTCTGTCTGGTTCTTGCGAATGAGGTAGTATGGTGACTCTGGAACGATGAAAGCGCCGAGGACAAGAAGCGCCGGCCAAATCCACTCCGCAGCAAAAACTACTTTGTACGATGACTGGTCCATGATTGTGACACGGCTAAGTGAGACAGATGCGGCGATGAGGTACCCGACACTCTAATAAAAACACAATAGTCAGTCTTTGGTAATAACAATGAACGTGGAATGAATGCTGAGGTGGGTACATACCAAAGACACAGTGTATACGGCCAGCGCGATACCTCTGATCTTTGTCGGTGCGATTTCTGATATATATGTCTGCCCAGAAGCAAGTGCCATGCCGAGACCGAGGCTATTGATCATCTTTCCCACCAGAAATTGCGGGCTTGCAGAGGAAGTGAACACCACTGCCACCCCAATTATCGATAAGGCGCCCGCGATGAGCATTGTATACCGACGGCCGAGTCGATCTGAGATGGGTCCAGATACCCAAGCTCCGAGTGCTGTCGTGAGTTGTGGAATGGCATTCCACAATGATTGCCAGTAAGCTGGGATGATATATTCGCCATTTTCGAGGATGCCGAATTGTTTACTGCGAATTGAATACGAAGTCAGCATATCGGGCACATCGTCAGTATCAGGAATCGCAAGTACTACTCACACAAACGGTTGCATGTCTAGACAAAGAGACAAGGTGATATTGTCGAAGCCATACATCAATGCCCCGATATTGCCATACAAAGCACACAGGATAATGATTGGATTCTTGAGTAGAGTCTGGGCGACACCAAGTCTATCTTCGTCCAGCAAAGAGTCGTGCCCGGCATCTTGTCCAAATGATGATTGATTTGCCTCCTCAATATGGGCAGTCTGCGACTTCTGCTCTTCGGGGAGCGGCTGTAGTCCAGTCTCAGGCCCCATTTTGATATTCAAAGAAAATGTTGGTCAGAAAAGTGAACAGGTCTCTGGAGGTAGATGATTGTCGTGTTCGGTATCAGAAAGAAGAGGAAGGAGAGCAGAAAAGAGAAAGTGGATCACAATAGTTTGTCAATTACAGTCTCGGGAACTGTTGCAGCGAGGCCACCGCCATCCCCGGTATTCAACAGAGTATCTCAGCCTACCCCACGGGGAAGACGCTTAGTTTTGTGGGTCCTGCACTCGGAAAACCCGCCGACTCACTATGAAAAACCCCTGTTTGCATCAGCGGCTTATCCGCCGGCTATCCCGGACACAGCCTTACGCGGCTCTGTTCGACGTTATCTCCGCACACAACATGCTGATCAAGAAAACAATTAGTTGAGTCCTTGCGGCACTTTGTTCCTTCTTTCTCATTCGTTGCCATCAAACTGGGGCTATTATCAAGGCAGCTCAAGGTAAAACATGCAAAATTCACCATTTGTTCCAGGCAAGTCCAGTTGGATATGGACGCCGAATTTCGATGATTCAGCGGCCAAGGGACAATTTGTTTTGTTTCGGAAGACCTTTGAGCTCGAAAGGGAGCCGGCATCAGAAGTCCTCTTGCATGTGTCAGCTGATACTCGCTTTCGCTTGTATCTAAATGGAGTGAGCGTCGGCTTCGGGCCGGCCAAGAGCTATCTTTCCCGGTGGTATTACGACACGATAAACATAGCCGGACATCTCAAACAAGGCTCAAATGTATTGGCAGCGAGAGTTTTGCGCTTCTCAAGTAGCCATGATGGCTGCCTTAGCATGATCAGGAGCCCATTTCCAGGCTTCATTCTAAGCTGCGAAGTTGGGGTAAGTTTTTCTCTAATGTTGGCTCTTGCTATTTCACCTCTGATAAACTGTCTTCTAGGACCTCAATCTCGGTACCGATTATGGGTGGAAAACATGCAAGGATACTGCAACAAGTCTAGTTCCAGATGAAGACTGGGATTACAGGCTGGGACCTCAATTTCTCAGCCTAAATGAAAATGTGGATGGCAGCAAGCTGCAAAATGGCTGGCAACTGGCAGGATTCGATGACAGTACCTGGCCTGCCGCGATACCCGCAACACCTCAACGAAAAATGTCTCCCATGGTCGATCCTTGGCGATTGTTCCCCAGAGGCATACCAGTTTTGCCAGAAAACACCACTCGCTTCGATGGTGTCGTGAGATGTTCAGACCCAGCGTCGGCCGAAGAGTGGAGACAGCTGCTTTCAGGAAACGCTGCGGTCAGCGTTCCTGCGAACTCATCACACTGGGTTGAGATCGAGACAAGTGAGTTGACAACTGGATTCATAGACCTCCTTATGACTTCCAATGAATTCGACAACAATACATCGGCGCCAAGAGTCGAGATACTCTGTTCCGAATGCTATGAAGCTCCGATGGAATCAGTCACTAGCCGCGTTAAAAATGACAGAACTGATTATAACAATGGAATCTTGTATGGGATGAAGGACACATACGCCCTTCACAAGGGATCCAACCATTATTCTCCTTTCTGGTTCCGCACTTTCCGCTACATTCGCCTTACCGTCACGACAACCGGATCCAGTGCTCCAGTCAGCATTGATTCTCTCACTTTCCGCTCAACACACTACCCCCTCGAAATACGAACCAAGATTCAAACATCAGATACCCTGACCCGCAAGCTCTGGGACATAAGTGTCAATACCCTGCGCAATTGCATGCATGAAACATACGAAGACTGTCCTTTCTACGAGCAGAATCAGTTCGCCATGGACACACGCAGCATGATCCTGTTCACGTACCTCCTCTCCCGCGACGATTGCCTGGCCCGCAAAGCGATGCAAGAATTCTACGCCACCCGACGCGAGGACGGCCTGATTGAGACTCATGCCCCGTGTCCTGGGCGAGCTACAAACATTCCCACCTTCTCGCTGTTCTGGGTACTGATGGTCTGGGACCACATGGTGCACTTCGGAGACGAAGCACTGGTCAGGAGCTACTTGGGAGCCGTTGACGGTGTGTTGAACTACTTCCACCAGCGAGTCAATCCAGTTACCGGCCTTGTCGGCCAATTTGATCAAGACACTTGGGCTTTTGTGGACTGGGCTGAAGGATGGGCGACACCGTCGAAGGGCTTTTGGGGCCTCGCTGTGCCACCGGCATATTACAAAACCGGATCGGCGACGTACCACTCTCTTGTCTATGCTTACGTCTTGTCCAGAGCAAGCGAGTTGTGCTGCTTCCTGGGAAGATATGACACAGCTGAAGAGTACACTCGAAGACGCGATGAACTCATTGAGGCAGTCAGAAAGCACTGTTTCGATAGGGAAACCGGTTTCTTCCTCGATGGGCCTGGAACAAATGGCGAAGTCAGCCAACACTGCCAGATCTTTGCGGTCTTAGCAGGATGTGTCAGCGGCGAGGACGCCAAGGTGCTCTTGAGGCGATCAATTCTTCAGAGAGAACAATATGGTCTTGTCAAGGCGAGCTTTGCTTTGGGATTCTACATGTTCAGGGCCGTCAGCCTCGCCGATGTTTACGAAGAGTGCTGGTCTACGTTGATTCAGCCGTGGGAGAGGATGATTGCCGACAACTTGACGACTTGGGCTGAAAGCGAGAGCATGATGCGGAGCGACTGCCATGGTTGGAGTGCCACTCCGGTGTGGGAAATTGGGACTGAGATTCTTGGGGTGAAGCTAAGAAGCCAGAAGTACATCGACCACGTGCTTGGCAAAGGCACACTTGATATCGAAGACAAGAAAGGCCAATCTGGCACTCAGATTGTGCCCCGGAAGAGTCTCGTCCGCGGTCACATCAGCGCTGATGTTCTCGTTGGAGATGGACAGGATGACTTGGTGCACGTCGAGATCTCCGAAGGCTTGGAATAAGCTACCCCAGGGGGGCAGAGGGCTCTGTCGTTGAGGAGAAGTGGGAATGGAGCCACCGTCATACGCAAAGCCTGGCAGCGGGCTTGAATGGCTCAGGGCACTCTAGACTACATGCAATCAAATTATCTTTTGCATTCGCTGTCTTAGATATGACGATTGCGAGTAGGCGTCATGCTATGTGTGTGCGCACCTGAGTTGGACAATTCAAGGACGAATAAAGGGTTGCGGCGAAAATAAGAGAAAGATGGGGCCTTATCGGTCTTCGGGCCATTTCAGGCGAACATAAGTTGACAATAATTATATCCTCTTTCAATAGAGCGTGGATGGATATGAGGACCCGCCGACAAGGCCGTTTCCGTAAGACCAGGCTGCAGGCTGTGAAGGTCTCGATGAAGGCTTCGACGCAGGTGGCCCACGCATACTCAAACATGTCAGCATTGAAATCTGAAATGAAGACCTGTGCTGTGTTAAACACATGGATTGTTTACTCGTTCATGGAAGTTAGAGAGCGACTGTTGATGAATGAAATAAAGGAATAAAGATAATGAAGGAGCCAGCCAAGCAAGCGAAATGAACAGCGGTGTCAGGTTTCAGGATAGATGTTTCGACGAACCGCCATAAGATAACTCAACTCGTAAACGCTCTGACGATTCCCAAACCAGCCAGGTTCGACTCCCTCCGACTCTCATTTAGAGTTTCCCATTCACCGTCCAACTGCCTGATAGACATCCCTGTCTGAATCATCCTCATTGTTCTCTCGCTCGAATCTTTGAGCAACTTCTCGGTGTCACTGATCGCCTGTTCCAGTGACAGCGGCGCGTTCAAAATACTCGTGAATGCCTCAATGCCCTCTTCGTACACCGTGTCAGCCCCGTCCCCGATGGTCCCAGCCAACGCGATGACCTGAGCGCCATAGTCGCGAGCTCGGCGTGCAACTTCAACAGTCATTTTACCTTTGGCAGACTGCGAGTCTAAGCTCCCTTCAGCAGTAAAGACGAAGTCCCAGCGCTGTTCGAGGATATCGTCGATGTGGAAGTAATCATTGATGGCTTCAGATCGGGCGCGAAGCTCAGCGCCTAGCAGCATCAAGCCTGCTCCTAGCCCACCAGAGGCGCCACTGCCTGGGACGTGGGAGATATCGGTAGCGAGAATAGGTTGTAGGGCGGCTGCAAATCTGTCCAGGGCGTCAGATAATACCTCGACCTGGGTTTGCGTTGCACCTTTCTGGGGACCATAGACTCTAGCCACGCCGTCAGGGCCGCAGAGGATGTTCTTGATGTTGCAGACGGCTTCGATTTTGGCGCAATCCGCTGCTCCTGGTCGAAGACGAGGGTGAATGTCTTTGATGGAGATACTAGTCAGCTGTGGCAGCAAAGCTCCGCCACTGGCAGGCGGCAGCTCGTTTCCATCTGCATCAAGAAGTTTTACACCCAGGGCCTGCAGCATACCCGCTCCACCATCCGAGGTGCCAGAGTCACCACAACCGATGATAATCTTCGAGGCACCTGTATTAAGAGCAGTTCTCATCAATTCTCCCACACCATAAGTTGTTGTCCGCGTCGGGTCACGGTGTGTCTTCGGAACAAGCCGGAGGCCAGCAGCAGCCGCCATGTCCAAGACCGCGATTTCCTTGTTTTCACCGGTAAGACCAAAGTGGCTTTGAACAGCTTCCCCAATGGGTCCCATGACGATGGTCTCAATGATTTCCCCACCCTGGGCAGCGATAAGAGCCTTGCAGAAGCCCTCACCACCGTCGTGGAGCGGAAGTTTGATGACGGTGGCAGTGTCCTCAACAATCACCCGGCGAATGCCATCTTCGATTGCCGCAGCTACATCCTCTGGCCCAAGCGCTTCTTTGAAACCGGATGGTGCAATGAGAATACGAAGATCCAGAGGACGAGGACTCCGGCTGCGTACCGGCGAGTGGCTACCACGAATGCTGCTTCCTGGCGAGAGGCGGTTCGGAGGCGGAGACAGGCTGGAGGGAGGAGAGGTCCGCGGAGGTGGTCTGCGAAGATCGCTCGCCTTGCGAGCTCGGTTGCCGATGAATGGAGATGTCATTCTCCAAGTTGGATTGATGCAAGTGAACGTATAAGCGAGTGGCAGAGACTGAGACGTTTGGTTTGTGTTGCAGTTGAGTACTTTCACTGCACTGTCTCAAATGACTTGGTCAACATTATCATGACAATTACTCGGGACGTTCTCATCACGATATTTTGTACTCGCGTGCTCGACTACCTCTTTCAGAACGAAGCACTGTCGACCAACACCGAGGCTAGAGAATAGCCCTATCTTCCAGCCCTGCCCGGGACAAATGCGCTGTCAGATGAGCTTGAGGATGCAAGCTCAGCCTTGACACTCCATATTTAGCAGCAGCAAGAAACAATCGGGGATCATCCACAGCCACCTTTTACAAAGACCTACAAGGACTTGAAGTCGTATGATTGACATGATGGCTATCTCGCTGCCAACATGTCTGCGGTCGAATTATTCCGATGTCGCCATGTCCTGCGGCGAGCCCAGTCCACTAATACGGTGAAACTACCGTCATTTGCTCAAGTGTGTCATTTCTCAGGGGATTTTCTTGACTAGCATGGGTTCATCGCCTTTTATCGCAAGCTGAACAATGTCACGCTGAGATAGGACCGCGCCTCACGATCAATCTAGTAATCCAGCTTCTGTGTGGCCGCAGAGTGTCTCTTGCAGAACATGGATATGTATTTGACGTCAATGCCAAGTCTGTTAGCTGTGCTTGGCCACCTGGTTTGATAGGCACTAGAAAGTCGACCGTTTGTGGCATAGCCACTCACAGGTGCGCTTGTCGTTGCTAAGTTTGGAACATCCAAAGACAAGTGCAGTTGGGGTCTGAAAGATGGGGCACGATAACACAGCCAATCTTCTCGGCGTCTCTTGATCCACGCTCGAGTACCTCTATCAGGTCAGTGGACATACCACCGCCTCGGGTTCGGCGGGCTATATGCAACCCCCAAAGAACAATCGGAAGACACGCCCAGGTATAACTGCCGATGGTGTGAGTGGTCGACCGGGGGGAATAACCGTCACTGGTCGACAACAACAGGCCCCTGCGGCCTTTGCAAGGCATGGTATCTTGATCTGCTCAAGTGCTGTACAAGTGTGTCTTGGCCAGAATGCAGCCACCCTCGGCGGATCATGGCCACTCATCGCCAGCTGTTCGTATACCGAAATAATGTCCATTCACGGAGGCTAGTAGATGTGAGCTGCGGCGGACTCTCTCCGCCCCTGTGGCTATTCCTACAGGCCATGAGCACGTGCTTGTCACTGACACACAATGGCTCAATACGTCTTCTGCCAGACCGCTGTAGCGGGTTCAGGAATTGGATAAAACCTTTTATGGCCCAACGATGCTTCTTCGTCAGGCTTTAACAAAGCAATCTCGGGCAGTTCGTGTGATTGGTGCACTGGTAGATCACAAACCAAAATGCCACTCAGAAAACACCGATACGAGAGGCCTGATCCAGCGGAAGATGGCATCCATCGGCTTAGTCGCTTGCAGACTTTCTCCTTCGAGACTCGTACCAATAGCACACCTATCATCAAACTCGACAGTGTACTACGGTTCAACCATGGCAACAATACCACAGAGTCATTAGACTCGCTCTTGGAGCGGCCTTCTGAAGAAGAAGAAGAAGAAGAAGAAGCCGGAGAAGGCAATAATAGAAGCTTAAAGCAAGATCCCAATTTGGTAGGTGGTCACATCGCTGACCGTTTTCGATTTACCCATACCCTTCAACAGCGAAACTTTGCGATAAGCCGCTAACGACAGCAAACCTCATCAGGTAACCTGGGATAGCCCATACGATATCGAGAATCCTCTTAATTGGTCCGCTGGTAGGAAATGGACAGCGACCATTCTCGTCTCCTGCTTCACCTTCATCTCGCCATTCTCGTCCACCATGGTCACGCCTGCCCTCGAAGACATCGGTGATCAATATGACATACCTGAAGGTTTTGCCAGGGCCTTGGTGCTTTCAATCTTCCTCCTTGGCTTTGCACAGGGACCGTTCGTTCTTGCTCCATTGTCGGAATTGTTCGGCCGTGTCAAGGTTCTACAATGGGCCAACCTGATTTACTTGATCTTCAATACCGTCTGCCCTTTTGCCAAGACAAAAGAACAACTGTACCTCTTCCGGTTCCTCAGCGGCATAGGAGGAAGTGCACCTCAAGCTGTAAGCTTTGTTTACTAGAGATCAAGACGACCCGTGCTGATTTCATTCACCCTCGCAGCTGTGCAATGGCGTGCTGGCTGACTGCTGGCGCAAAGAAGAACGAGGCAAAGGCCAAGCCATCTACGGAATGCTCACCTTCATCAGTCCCACAGTGGCACCAATCATGGGCGCCTACGTGGTCGACAAGATTTACTGGGGTTGGATCTTTTGGATCACATCAATATTCGATCTTCTAGTTCAAACAGCAGCATACTTCTTTCTCCGCGAGACATATGCCCCGAAGATTCTAGGTGATAAGGCAAAGAAGATGCGCAAGGTCACAGGAAATCCTGACCTAAGGACGGAGTATGACAATCCCGATCGAAGCTACGCCAGTATTGTCAGAAGACGCCTTGTCCTACCCTTCATCATGTTGTTTGCCCACCCCGCCATCCAGTTTCCAAGTCTGTACCGGGCCTTTCTCTATGGCATCATGTATTTGGTGTAAGTAGCATTTGATTCGAATACAAATCTCCGAAGATGTTGGCTGTTGGTATTAACAAAAATGCAGTCTTTCCACTTATGAACAAGTATGGGACGGCATCTACGACATGGACAAGGGCCAGGCAAGTTTGAACTATTTGTCTCTAGGCGCAGGCTTCATCGTCGGACTTCAAATAAGCCATCCTGTGATGGACAAAGTAAGTGAATTCACCCCAGAACTGAGACACAGCTCTCTCTAACACAATACAGTTATATGCTTACTACCAACGTCGATACAATACAACGGATGGGCTACCAGAATGGCGCATCCCACCAATGATCATAGGCGGCATCCTCCCGCCCGCGGGTCTTTTCCTCTACGGGTGGTCCGCTCAGAACCAACTTCACTGGATGGTTCCAAATACGGGCTGCTTCCTCCTCGCCGTAGGTCTGATCATCGCCTTCCAATCCGCACAGGCATATGTCACCGATGCATACGACCATCGCTATGCCGCCTCGGCGGCTGCCGTGGGAGCTTTCATGCGCACGATGGCTGGATTTGGCTTCCCTTTGTTTGCACCACGAATGTATGATGTTATGGGTCTGGGCTGGGGGAATACGTTTTTAGGACTCATGACAGTATTCATCGGCATTGGGTCCCCAGTTGTATTGTGGTTCTACGGGGAGCGGCTGCGAAAATGGAGCACAAAGGGTCTGTAATGAAGAACCGTATAAATATATCACGAACTTGTAGATGTAAGAAAAGTCTTAGATGATTTAGAATTCTGAAAGCGGATAGAATAGTCAAGGGCAATACTTGTGCTAGGAGAAATTCAGTGGCGACGATACTGCAGGTGTCTCTCGAAGTGTAGCATCATCACAGCTACAGCCCTGGCTTTTCAGTCGGTCTCATTCTCTCCGCACCATGACATTTTGTTGACATTCAAAATTATCATACTTTAATCACTGATTCGACATCTTATTGTCTTTGCCCTTTACCAACCACACGCCTTTGAACAGCCTTCCACGCAGCTCTGTGGTCAATCCGGCCGTCTCATCTGTGGTTCAAACGGCCACGACGTCCTGCCCGACGCTCACAACTGGGGGTCAATCCGCAGCATCCCAGCGAGCCTTGGCCGCATATGCTGTAACGCAAAATGCCCAATCGGCAAAGTCCGCGGTCAGGCTTCACCTAAAAGATCGCTTGTCCCGGTGCGTAGGATTCACGGTCGGGCATGCGCCCTGCTGCGCCAGCGCACAGTGGAGTCGGTTTGCCAACTCTTCTCTTCCGATTTACTTCAGATCCCAGCAGAATATTCTTTTTGGCTGTCATTGTAGCCATGCCGGTTTGTTGAGAAACGTGTAAATGGAATTGTGGCTCAGCAAATCTCAAGAATTGCCCATGTCTATACGTGCAGACACTCCTCAAATTATGATAAGCTCTTCTCGATTCGTGACAATCTATTCTAGAGGTCAATAAATGGACAAGCATACTCGAATGGCTGTGTTCTCCGGCTTTCTATCCCGACACCGCCACTGCGATTCAAGCTGTGCTCTATCAAAGGCTGCCACGTCGCAACGCACTTGCCCTCGAAACTCGACTGGCAATAATATCGGACTGGTGGTAGATATGCCTTGAGAAATTATTTATAGAGCGCCCCATGCCACGCGATTGTTTCCCGTTTGGTCGGGTGAACCGAGCCGGGCCTCACACTGTTGATGCTCTGGCCAAGGAGCGGGGCCAACGCTCGCACCCGAATTCTACGACGACAAAGGACAAGATGCTATCACTTTGCAAAATCTCCTGGCATGTGAGGCTCAGTCTATCTGGCCTAGTGGCTTCCCTGCCTTTACAGACTCCAACGCATGAGCGAAGAAGAGGTCTGAGTAGCCAAGCAGGGTGGCGGAGAGAGCAGAGCAACAATCATGAAAACGTACATGCCCTCAGGCTCAGCGGCAGTTTCGGCCCTTACATTGGGGCGCTCGCAACCTTGGTTTGAGAATTTTCAATTTGCTACCAATTGAAGCCTATCTAGGAGGGCTCGGGTCAGGTCAGCTGCGGTGTAGGGGAGGGCTCTCATATCTTGGGTGCCGAAAGGAGGCAATGCCCTCTGATGGTTGGTTGAGGTTGGGAAAGTCGATCGACCAGTGCTACAAAATACTTCAATGGGCTCATTTTATAAGCAAACGGATGTAAAGGGCTGGCATTGAATTGATGAATTCTACATTTCCTTTGAACCGTATTATTCCTCTGTATTGTCGTGTATTTAACAAAGTTTTCTGACCAAATCTTTCACTATAGGCCTCTGTCTGGCCGTACAAACATCTGGCGATAGCATCTAGCACACTGTGCATCAGCGAGGCCCGGCCTCGCTCTCGTTATTCCAGCCGTACTTTTGTACGATGTAAGCCCTGGCAGTAGATTGCCATCGCTTGGTATCGCGCGCATCCTCTAACATTTCCGTCCAGAGTCGGTGCGTAGTAGACGCCAGACCGTAGGAGACCAACAACCCAAAGCTGAAGATGCGCCTGCCTCTATCGTGAACTGACGTAGGGATCTTCTGGAGGGCCGTAGTCGAGCTTGCGCTTCTGGATCCACTGCATCAAGTGGCGAGACCCCTTTCCGCGGCTGCTGCCGCGGCTCTTCACGAAATCCAGGCCCTTCTTGAGCTCCTCCATGCCAATATCTCTAGTGTGGACCATCGCGCCGTGTCTAATCGGGTAAAAGTTCCCAGGCACCCTTTCGCTGTCCTGGAACACGGGATCCTTGGGCAGGAGATTGAGCAGGTGCTCGGAACCGCTCCAGAGGTTCTCGAGGTGCAGCATGGCCAGCTTGGGCATGCACCGGAAATGCTTCAGTATCGGCTCCCAGGTTCCCCCGGTGATATGTACCTCCCTCAGATCGACGTGCGTTAAAGTCGGGTGGTTGCGCAAGAAGAGCAGAAGAGAATTTGGCGCGGCCCAGATACCTCGGAGGGTGAGACGCTGGAGCTTGGGGAAGCGCAAGCTTTTGGAAATGTGGTTGAAGATATTGTTATATGCCCAGGGAGCACCTTCCATGGTATTGTACATAAAGAGGTCCAGGGTTTCGAGGTTTGGGGTATGCCTGAGGAAGGCAGCGACCCCTGGGAAGTTTTCGGCTGCCCTGACTGCGGTGTCGTTTGCGGGCATTCGGATCGCAGGGAGATGTCTCATAGAACCATCATTGTCAAAGATGATATCTGATGTCACTGAAACTAAGGTTACTGTTGAAAAGGCGAGATTTAGGTTCTTAATGTTGGTGCCTGTGCGTGCTAGAAAGTCGGAATTTGCGAGGTCTTTATCCAGATCGAGGAATAGCGGTGACTACATGCTTCATTCAGTGATCTCATCCTAGAAAATAAACCAGGCGGAAGAAATAGAGACCGCACTTACTTGTACTTTGCCAAAGCAGTCGTTGAAAATAGAAAAAGTCGCGACCTCCACTTGGCTTTTGCTCATCGCAGATGTCACGATTTTGAGTAGCCTGTGACAGTCCGCCCAGAGACAGTTCCAATTCACCCCTCGGCCGGCATTTGTTGGATCAGGACTGTCGAGACGCGGGCGAACCACCCGTGTCGTCAATTTCAGTACGTCCAGTGAGCCGAGGTTCTCGAGACTACGGGACAGGCCTGCCACGATGTCGTCACTAAACTGTCCTTTCTGCTCATGACGGCTACTCATGATGCCATAGAGCTGCCCTATCCTATCCAGCAGTTCTTTATTCCGCTCGGTCGCAGTCATTTTCCTTGCTGTCCGCACGGGATCACGTAGGCGCCGGATCCTCGCGAGCAGGCTACTCGGATCGTGGAAGACGGCGACCACAATGAGACTCTTGACGGCGGGCCTGAAAGCAGAATGCGCGGTTACCTCACGCAGGCGCCGCAAGCTGGTTGGTGTGAGGTCTGTCTCCTGCTCGCTATAATATGCGAGGAAAGCTGGGCTTAGGCATTTCCGCGCATGTAGTAGCGATGCCAGGCGGAGGGTCCTGATTGAGAGGAGGTCCAGGTGGGACAGGATTTGATTGTAGAGCTCATTTGGCAGTGCCTTCAACCGGTCGCATGCATCTGCCATAACTCCAGCAGTATTTTTTTTTTTTTAAAAAAAAAGATAGGAAACAGGAAATAGCCACGAGCTGTGGGTCTGGTATCAAAAGGGCCTCCCAGATTGGGATCAATTGATGTCGTGCCTGAGGATGCGGGCAGTGTGGGGTCGCTCGATATGGACGCCTCCTGGGAGAGGCGGTTGGTCCTTGGATTGCGGTCTTATATGGGAACTTCAAGCGACCACGAAAGCCAGCAACCCAGGATAGTATTCGTTCGTTGGAGTAGGTCAAAGCGATGGGTGAATGAGAGCGCGTCGGATGGAATGACGGCGTTTAGACTCAGGAACTTGGGATGAGGCGATGTTCCCTGCTGGGTTGCCGGGCACGTGTGCATGGAGACATGTGTACGTTAGTGGTGGCCTAGAAGCTGACCGTCGTTTGTCTATTCCGCCCCGTCCTCGCACCAAGCAAAAGCCACCATTCAACGTTGTGCACCAGCACAAAAAGCCCATTATCTGGTTGTCATTTGTCTTCACAGACCGGAATCCCCTCGGAGTTTGATCCAGGGAGAGTGGATGGGAAAGTCACTGCTTGCTTCGAATACGTGTTAAGAAACCTACTTGCTTACAACTGTGATACTAACAGCTGAGGGGAGTGGGGGACTGCCGCGACTTCACCTCAACCTTGAAAACGCCGGTCATCATTTCTCACTTACGCGCGCCAGGATTCGCAGCTCACAAGAAGACCGAAATCGAACTTTTATTGCTCCGAATGCTAGATTTGAGGCACAACACAGGCTACTGGCAAATTTGTCCGCACATTGCACATAGTGAAAGCTGTCGCACACCATGAAGCAAGCCAAGCTGAACAAGTACAGTATGTCAAGGACAAGCCCCAATGTCTGGCTAGTCCACACCCACTTCAGACCATCACTGCAGCAATCCGTCCCCACTCAAGCCTGGTCCTTGTTCCGCTGCCCAACATACAGGGCCAGTCCATAGTCCTCGGTGGTGAAGGTGATCTTGCTCCCGCTGGGGAAGAAGAAGTGGTCGCCCGGCACGGCCTTGGTCTTCTGGCCCGTCTCGTCACTGATGGTGAACTCGCCCTCGAGGATGATCTTCATCTCATCATACATGTACAGGTACTCAAGCTCCTTGCCCTTTTCAAGGCGGAAGATACCCGATGACATCGGCTTCTCCGGGTTCACCTTCTCCGAGCTGAAGATATCCTGCAGGTAGACGTTGGGCTCGGCCAGGAGCTTGGGCTTGAACTCCTTGGGGGCATTCTTGTACACGGAGAAGGCGAGTGGCTTGCTTTCCTCGGTGGCCATTGCGCCAGTGTAAGTTCAAGACGTACTGGTGTTGAGGTCCTTGGTTGTGTTCGGTTATCTAGTTCACTGAATTGGGCATCAGTCACCAATATGTCAGTGTTCCAGATATTCTGGTCGTCACTTACACTGGTATACAGCAACACGAGAGCTTGAGTGTGGGTAACGGCGGTGGCTGAATGGCTCTATTAACAGCTGATGTTCAAGCAGCGTGGATCTATTTAAACTCCAGAGACCTCCTCATCTGAGAAGGCCGGATTTCATCATCTCGAGCCAACATCGCCGTTCTCGCCAAAGGCAGTTACGGCATCTGAGGGATAGATGTTCCTCCCGCATGGCAAGTCCCCAATTCTCTTGCCAGTCTTATCTCGCGGCGCTCCGGCCTCCAATCTGGAGCCCCGGAGAAGGTGTGGGGAAAGCTTGGAGGATAGAGCTGGTCCGAGAACGGCGATAGTGACAAGCTCTCGGCGATGCCACGGTATTCAGACTTAGGGAGCTGCCATGGATGAATGGGTTGGTCAGGGACCCCGTGACCAGCTCATGCTGTGCGATGTTGTTGCCGGCAGCTCGCCCAAGTTGTTGATAGTCCCCCAAGTAGGGCTGACTCGCAGCTCCACTGCACTACGTGAGGAGAACACTAGACGATAATCTTTCTGGTCAGCTAGCTGCGCAGGCGAGGATAAGCCAGAACGAGTCCAGAGGAGAGACGTGTCTTCTCTTCCGTTCTCGAAATATCAGATACTGTGAGATGTGGTTGAGGTCTGGTGTGTTTCGGCGTGGTAAGTAATGGGGCAGTGTGCACTGAGCCCAAAGTTGGGGTGCAAGCTGGCCCATGCTCCCCCTCCACAGCTGCCCCACCTGGAGCTTCCCTGTCCCTTTTGGAGCTTAATCGATTCGACATCGACCGCAGTCCTTTCCAACAATTCAACAATACTACGACCGACCATTTCGCGACGGCACGGGTCAATTATGCGAGCAGTCGAAGCCCCAGTCCTCTGAAAGGCCAGTTCTTTGGGTCTGCTCGAATCGAGTTCAAACCTTGTCGTGTCGTCCTCGAATCCATGAAACCGATCGCACGCGTCCTCGAACATGCAGGGCTGCAACGACCGATGCCTTCGACGAGGCTCCTTCAACCCGCCTTTCCAATCTAGAGTCTCTGAAGCCTGCGAGGACGACTCGATGGAACATGATGAAAAGCGCGAGCATCCAGAAATTTGGTCCTCGGGTTATCCAAGAGGCAGACTAGACGCTCCCATGGGTCTACAGCGTGATTTTCGATGAGATCGCGTGGATCGTGTTCACGTTATCTGCAAAATATGGCACAGCCTGGGCGGGAAACGAGAGAAACATTACGGAGAAACGCTCCAATTTTTGCAGTGGCACATGCTGGCGTTCTCTGGGAGACTCAAGTAGTGCTTGGGAAATAAGGGGGGGGGGGGGCTGCGTTGGCTTCTTCCAGTCATGCTGGCGTTGTTCTGTCCCAGCGGGCAACAAAGGATTTTCGGGTTTCCTCAACTGATGATCAATCCCGTCACATCAGGTCCCACTCGCCATTGTTGAAAGCATGCTCCACCTAGGCTCTCCTAGTTGGAGAGCATAGATCGTGATGCGCTACATTCCTCTGTTATCTTTTCTTCGCCGCTGGTGTCACTCAGAAACCTTGACTGGGTCGGGGCATAGATCAAGGTGAATCAGGTATCATATTTCCCAGCTACCTTGCCCTATGAAGACGGCCACTTGCCTCCCAAAGTCACCTCACTTCCCCCAACCGGAACCCCCATGATGCCCCCCTCGCACGCTGGCACCATCACTCTGTCCAGTCTGGCCACTGTAGCCGCCTTGAGTGCCTGAGCCGTCAGTGCCTGAGCCTTGACTATCTGGGCCTTGACTGCCCGAGCCTTGACTGCCCGAGCCTTGACTGCCCGAATTTTGAGCGTCTGAGTCTTGAGGCATTGCTAATGCTTTCACGAAATCGATGAATCAGCTGGGTTCTTGTCTTGTTGACTCTGAAATTGCGATGTCGATAGTGATGCTAGTTTCTTTTCCGTGGCGTCCGATGCTGTGTTGTCGATGGCAATGCTGGTTTCTTTCCTGTTGCTTCTAGTGCTTGGACGCTGATAGCAATGCTGGATTTCAATTATGTTGCGTTTTGAGTCGCATGTCTTCTGGCATTCTTCTGAAACCTGTGCCCTTTTTATATTGATGCGTCTCAAGCTGTGTGTCAAACATCTATATATGACTTGGATTACAAACTGAGTTTTGTGTTGGTGTGACAGACAGTACAGGAGAGTCCCTATCAAACAGTCACCACAATCTTCTTCGCCGACACACCCTTCTTGCCCACCTCGAACGCCTCCTGGACCTTGTCCAGCCCATGCCCGACAATTTGTGGCTCCGGCGCCGGCACAAACCTGCCCTGTGCGAGAGCACTAGGCAAAAAGTCACCGTACACTGCCTCTGCAACACCATCGTTGTACAGGTCAGATCCCCAGACAAACTCGACCTTGACTCCCTTCAAACTTTTCTTCACCAGGGTTGTGGCCCACGCCCAGCTTACCTGGGCCAACCACGACATCAGATTCAATGCTCCTGGCTGCGGTGGACCCGGCCCAATCAGGGACATTTGCGCGACATACTTCTTGTCGGTGCCCTTACAGCAGGCTGAGACGATATCTATGCATGGTATGATCGACCAGGCTCCGATGGCAACGGCCCCGGCACATCCTGTCCCAATTTTCTGGGTGGCCTTGATGATGTCCCCAACGCAACCCGCACTGCGGTAGTCGAATACCTCGTGCGCTCCAAGTGAGCGGACATAGTCGAAGTTGTGCTTGCCGGCGGTAGCAATGACGGTGTACCCAGCCGCAACGCCGAGCTGTACACAATTCATCCCGACGGCGGTGCTCGCCCCCCAAACGACAAGGACTTTGCCAGCCTTCTTCCCTTCCTTTGGAGAGTAATTTTGAATGGAAGGCAAGCTCAGCCCCATATACTTCTCACAGTGGATCCCGCTGGCGGCAGTACTCAGGCAGACCGGCAGCACACAGGCGCGCTCGAACGTTACTGCATCCGGTATCCGCGCAACCAAGCGGGCCTGGAGGACGACGTATTCCTGGAAGGCGCCCTCACTGGCCCCGGCGCTCTTGTTGTCTGCCCCGAACGCGTGGCCCAGTACGCGGTCCCCGATCTGGAAGGCGCTCACGGAGGAACCGACCTCGACGACCTCGCCTGCAACATCCTCGCCCAGCACGAAAGGGTACTTGACCCAAGGGAATATCATGTCGCCCAGGTCCTGTTTTGCCCAGTCGCAGAGGTTCACCGCGATGGCGCGGGAACGGATTACAATCTCGTTTGGACCGGGCTGGGTGTATGGCGCGGACGAGACGGTCAGGCGGGCTTTGGGCTTCTGGAGCCAGGCTGCTTTGTTTGATGGTGGCATTTTGGTGAGAGTTATATGCACGTTCCTGTTATTAGAAGTGATATGAGAGTGTTGGTGTCAATATTTGGCAATTACAGACAGGCAGATGCAAATGAAAGTGCTACACATGGAGACCTGCGGACGCCTGAACTGGATGTGGCGAGCGGTTTTAAATACTCGTACCTAAGTGCTTCATGATTTCAGCGATGGAGCAGATACCTATGATCACTTCATTATAAGCCGCATAACACACAAATCGGAAGTATCGATTGACCCACAACTCCGATCGTGAGGACCAAAATGGGTGGGGGGTAAGCCATGCCGTCGTGTAGAATACGAACGAGGGTTAGCGTCGATTTCGGTCCCGCTTTGCCTGGTCAGTCGCTGGGTCCTAGCCTCACCCTTGGCAACGATGGTGGGATTCAAGCGTTTTTCAGGCTCGTTCTTGGGCGGTAGGGTGTATTAGGCTTTGTATCCCGTTCTCAGCTTCGGTGGTGGTTTCGAATCGAATTTCGTTGAACTAGCATCTTGAGTCTTCACAGTCTGATGATTCTGATGATTCATCGTCGGTCTTGTTGAACTACAAGACAGGACCTGCATGCGTTAATACGGCTACGCCGTACACCGCAAGTAAGTACATTAATAAGTACTCATGTCGAAACAGAATTTTGCTACACCGTCGCGCGCTTTGTGGGCTATATACCTGAGTATCTAACCTAACACAGGATTCAGGCGGCTGGTAGTATTTTTGGACCTGGTGCCTGGAGACAGGTTCGTGCCGTTGGGGCAAGTTTGATCGAGGTGTACCAAGTTCAGTGAAGCGCATGTTAGCTTGACCCCTTCCTCACTTTAGCACAGTTATATTGTGAATTACAATGATTCCGGATCTAGGGGTCGCTAAACAGGAGGGTTGATGATAGAGGTATTGTTCTCGATCTTTCCAATCATCTTCAACATCGCGCAGAGCCGGCGAGTCTATTTCCTTATTCTAGCAACCATGCTGTCTATATTGGTGTTCGTTTTCGTCGCTTGCTAGGATACATTTCCTTCTAGATCAAATCTACGCGGAGCTACCTAGTTAGCGAATATCGTTCTTTTTTTTCTTGTTCCTTTGTCGCAACGCTTCGCTGGATAAGCATTAGTCGAATCTGGATGGTGAGTGGCCTGGGCCGATTGACCGGACGAGAAATAAATCTCAGAGCAGTCGTTGCAGACCAGGAGCCCTCAATCAGAGGGTATTTGGCCGGATCCAGTAGAACCCGACACATATGTATGAAAGATTACCGGACAAGACGGCTTGGCCTAGGCAAGCAAGCGTCGAAAGACGATCAAGGCCTGAGAAGGCAGCGGATCAGATTTTTTCAGGATCCGTTAAAATACCCTCAGGTTGGTAGATTGCCAATGAAATGGCTCGTTGATCTGACAAATTCTTCCGCAAGTGTTGGTCGCAGAAAGTCTGCTAATATATGATGATAGCAGAAGTGGCATTTGATATTCGCCACACAAAACCTGATGAGAACGCCACCTAGAGGTGAAAGACACCCAGAAATTGGCTGGAAACTCAATAATGGAATCATGAAGAGCGCCAGTGAGTGTTTAAGTAAAGGCAGATAGAAAAAATGACGAGGGTCTCCCCAATTTGATGATGGCTCAACCACAAATTCAAAAGTAAGGGGTCAAGGTTGGGAACGTCAAGACCCTTAAATCTGTACAGTTTCGAGGCATCGAGAAGCATTTCCACACTGGTAGACAGATCATAGCCTGGAACATCGGCTATACAACGGTGCAGACATCCAATAGTACACATACCAGGTTCCTTTGTTGTCGTCTTGTTTGAATTTCCACCTCCCTGTTCAAGCTCGGCGAAGCGGCGAAGGATCCCGCGGGATCGCCTTGCATCGGCATGAGTCATTCTGAGCGAGAGTATGGCCTGGTACGTACTGCACTAGCAGGATCACGCACTATTTAGCCGACTAATTGATACTGCTGTACCACCATTCGAAGGCCTAGACCCTGAAATTCTCAGGACAACCTGGGTACTAATCACAACCCAAGCAGCTTCACATACGATCCAATCCATGCCTGATTCACCAATTGAATTACATGGGACTAAGTGACGCAACCGTTACAGGATTTTCTATTGATGTATGTCGAAGATGGTGAGTCTGGAAACAAAATTGGGTGGATATAAAGGGTGGACATGTCGCTACGCGCAATGGCAGAAGAGGAGCCCAGCAACTTGGTTAAGATCAGCCAGCCAGCTTCCAGCAGTCCTTGACTGTGTGCCTTAAGAATGCTTCACACCCAAGCTACGTCGACCTCGCCCAGCACAGCTCACACAAATAAAATGACGGCAAGTACGGACCTGATGGGTGCTTCCGTAGTAGAGGCACCATCCACAGGAAAGGGCAAGGCCACTGCATCACAGAAGTCGCTTCCAAATAGGTAACTCACTCTAACATTCGCGTTGGTATATCCGAGAAGAGTGCTTGAGCCCGTACTTACATGGCATCAGAACCAATAGCCCAGAGGTTCCCACCGAAGAAGACAAAGACGACGTGGAAGCTTCAGATATCGACGAGACCACGCTCCAGGAGTCAAAAAGTGAGCCCGAAGGACCGACCTTCACCTCAACAAAATGCCTGTTCTGCAACACCGCCTCTCCAGACTTCGAGTCCAATCTGTCCCACATGAGCAAGAAGCACTCCTTCTTCATCCCCTCAGCCATAGACAACAACTCCCTCACGCTCGCGGTCGACCTGGAGACCCTGGTGCAGTACATGCACCTCGTGATATCGACCTACCACGAGTGTCTCTTCTGCCACACGCAGAGACAGAGCGCGCACGCCGTGCAGCAGCACATGATGGGCAAGGGCCACTGTCGAGTCGATCTGGAGGACGATGAGAGCGAGTTCCGGGACTTTTACGAGGACCTCGGGGACGGAAGCGATGGCAGCTCCACCGAGGACGGGCTTGGCTCCGAGGACGAGGTGGAAGCAGCACCGGCATCGAGCAGGGGGACGAGTGGTGCGCCCCTGAGGCTGAGGGATAAAAGCCTCCTCCTTTCCTCGGGCAAGCTCCTCTCCCATCGCTCAGCGCAGCTTCCGAAATACCACCGCCCTCTCTCCGAGACGCCAAAGCCCACCCGCCGTGGCGCGGACCAGGCCCTTCTGGGATCGGATCCACTGTCCAATTTCACACAATCGGCTGCACCCAACGAAGACGGCATCGACCCATCGGTGTCCCCAGCGGAGCCCTCTGCGGACACAAGCCGGGCCCTGACCCGTCTGGAGCGCCGCGCAGAGACCAACAGCCGCTCGACGCTCTCGGTCGCGCTGGCAAAGATGTCGCTCAACGACCGCACCGCCCTGGCGCACCTGCCGCCAGCAGAGCAGCGGGCCTTCGTGGTGCGACAGTTCAAGCAGCAGGATAAGGCGCGGCAGCAGTCGCGCAGTTATTGGAGTAAGGTTGAGCTACGCGGCAACAAGACCGCGAAGAAATGATTTGTGTAAGCATGCGCTGATGACGATTCAATAACAGGCAGAATGGAACGCAAGAATAACAGCGTGCTGATGAAGCACTTCGTTTCGGATGTGCCGGGCCCGAAGTTGGGCTGAGGTTTGGTCGTCCGCTGGTTGGTGATCTGTTGCGGTCGGTGGGTGGAGGGCCGAACGAGTTGGTCGAATTATGGGGGTTGGAAAGGCTGGGCCTTTTTCATCTTTCTGGCGGCGGTCCCGGTGAAGCTGGGAGCAATACAAGAATATCATCCCCGGCTACGAATGATCCGTGTATTCCACATGGCGCCAGCCGTGAGCGTACTTGTACGGGGAGGAGTACATTACAGTACAATATGCGGCGTGCCGAGATTGGGGGGTTTCCAGTGGCAGCTTGGGTCCAGGCGTTGCAAAGCTTCCATCTTGAGCAAGGTACGAGGCGTAGACTGTGAAGTCGGGAATTCATACGAAAGATCTCGTTTTGGCGGGCATTCTGTCTTCAGTCAACAAGGATTTTAAAAGGAAATAGAGAAACTGGAAGACATACTCAAGCCAGATTTCAATTGGGAGTACCCCTCATAATACGCCTCAACTCAGCCTATCGACTCACATGTATTTTTCCTGCTCGAAATAGCTCTCACAATTGTCCCCCACGCCGAATACATGGCACTGACAAGCCTCAAGACTCGGACAGCTATAGCCGAAATATCAGCGAACCATACCACCGACATCCATTGCAACTATTCGTCAAAAAGAAGAGACTTACTAGACCGGCTCCATCCCAAAGAAGACATGCCACAAGTGCTCCATCAGCCTCCCCGAGTTCATACTCGGTAACGGCACCTCAATCAACCACTCCCTCAGCTTGACCCACCATTCCTGATCCCTGCGCAGCACCCTCGCCCTGCTGACGGCAAACTGCGCACAGCACGGCGCGGCCAGGTGCGCGGGGACGGCCGCCTCCTCGGGGAACCGGCCCGGCTCGAGGAACGCGTCGAGCACCGTGACGAGGTGCTCCTTGCGCGACAGCTGGGGAAAGTCAGCCCAGTCGGCGGGCTCGCCGCCCTCGAGCTTGACGACGTTCTCGCAGCCGGGCAGGCAGCGGGCCGAGGCGTAGCCCGCCTTGAGGATGTACTCTGGCCTGAGGCGTGAGACCTCTTCCACACTGGACAGCTTCTGATGCCAGGCGGTAGCGTGGGCGTGGTGGAAGAATATGACGTCCGGCAGGGCGTCGTAGTTGTCGATGATGTAGGTCAGGTAGACCATGGCCTCGTTGCCGCGGTTGGAGGGGACGCTGAGTCTTGGGGAAAGGGGCGCGTCGACGCGGTAGTGGTTCAGGGTCCAGTTCAGGGAGGAGGGGATCTGTGAAAGCCATGCCGTGTCTTCCTTTGTGGTGGAAGCGACGACCAGGGCCTTGGATATAGTGCTGGGCTGAAGGCTGCTCGATGTGGTTGTCAGTGGTGAAGGAGATTGTGTTTGGCGGCCAAAGAGCAGCTTGACAATGAAGGTGAGTAGAATTGCGAAAGCGAAAGGATATAACAGCAACGACAGGGCGGCGCGAAGCTGCCGTCTCCGGTAGAGGCCCATCTTTGCAAGCTTGGATATGCGTACACGCGCTCACAAATGCACGAATTCTGGCAAAGTCAATCACTCAACCACCTCTTCAACCAGATAATACGAGGTTGAGATTCTATGGGATTTAAGGAAAATGCCAAGCTGAAACAATTATGACAAGCGTCTAGAAGCTGTAGAGGTTCAGCTTTGACAGCCTAGGTTGAGACGAATTCTGTGTCAGATGCGCTCATCAGGGACGTCTGCTCCACTGTAGCCTGTGACAGAGGCATCACTGGATGCAACACAGACATGATCTTGTGCGATGAGGCTATTCAGACAGACAGCACGTTGAGTGGAGATCAGACAAGGGAGTAGGCAACTCCAGTGCCTTTTGTTGTGTTGAAGAGGTGTTTGATATGACAAGCTGATGGACTCGATCCATGGCTAGGGGCTGGCAGGTGAGGATCAATAATGGAGACGTGAGATTATGGCCACGGTGCAGATCTTGCTGACCACCCTCGGTGGCCATCCAACAGTAATTGACTGACTGTAATTGGATTTCTTAATTGGTGTTGAGAGACGGATCTCGCCGTTGAGATGAGATGCAGACATGTACCAACACTGTGCAGCGTTGATGATTGTGGGTGCTTCGGGGCCGGGACAGCCCGAACAGCGACGTCGACCGTCCCGAGTTACCCCGCGAACCGGCACATTTACAGGGGGCTGGGGGAGCTCCCAGGGCCGAAATCTTAGGGGCACATCGGAAAAGCTGCAAAGAAGGCAGGGCTGGTCGCTCATCATCCGAGGTCTAACACCCAAGTTAAGCATGGGTGCAGGCTGAGGAGCTCTGCCGTGCTCTCCACCCGCCCTGACCATGAGGCATTGGGGGGAGGCGCATGTTTGTACTGTGTCGACGCAACCATCACGCGACAAACCACCTGCCAGCTCCAATTCCAAAACTCCAACCCAGCTAATTTTTGCAGCACCACGCCAGCCTGTCATTGTCTCTTCTCTCCCTGCCTGTGTCTCCCCTTCTTGTTATCCCATGAGAAAACAGCCAGACACAATGGGTATCATCAAAAAGACGTTATACACGACCGTCCTCACAGGCACCGCCTTCGTGGGCTACGTCGCCGGCTCCACCTCCATCATCCGCCCGCTGCCCCGCGAAGACCCCATTTGGAATTCCAATACCTACCGCCGCTACAACGTGCAAGGCAACCCCTCCACCCAAGATGTCTGCATCAAACGCATACCATTATCCAAGATCCGACCAGAGCTGCTGGAGAAGGAAGGCGACCTAGCGCTCGAGTTCTGCCGCGGCGTCTGGGCCGGCTGGGGTAGGCTTCCTTACACCTTTCTATGCTTCTCTTCTATTCTTCTTGCGCTGGGTCTATGATTAATGATGGGCCCAAATACTAACAACTCGGAAATCAATCAGGCTACCACTCCCAGCGCCGCATCCTCGCCAACAAGTACCAAGCCCAGACCTCCGACCAGCTCTGGTCCCCGCGCGACCTGGCCACATCCAACTACGAGCCCGGCACACGAATAACAGACCACTTCGAGGTCGTCGAGAAGACACCCTCGGCCATTACCGTGCGCTGCGGCGACAGCCCCTCTCGAAACCCCGGCCCACGCGAGAGCGACGGCCTGTTCGTCATGTACGCCGAGGTCGACAAGGAGCGGGGCGAGGTCGAGCTGGGCCTCAAGAGCTGCTTCTTCGACTCCAAGAACAAGCACGACGGCATCCTGGGGCCCATGCCCAAGTACATGGAGAAGGCTCACCAGTGGTACTCGAGATTGTGGATGGTCAGCGCCAGCCGCTGGGTGACCAAGGGCATCTTCTGATCAACAGGTGGTGGGAAGATGGGGCAGGTCGCGAGTTTAGTCGAATTCAGCATTGGGAACCCAGCCCAGCCAGTTTATGAAAGCACTGCTTCAAGGTCAGGTACATATCAGCTTTCTGGAGGATCGGACAGGTTTCTTGCATGGGAGAACGACCACTCTCGGGAGAGGTGTGGAGGATGGCTCGAGGCTGCCGGCTACATTAATAGTGGAGCGACGCGTTCATTTCAATGCGGCGAGGAGCGACGCTGCGGTCCAAAAATTTGTACATTACATTCATGGTCGACGCAGCCAATGATCAATTTTTTCCAGTCGGCCGATTCGAGCATTCCAGCAACTCAGCGAGTCAGCAAAGCATGCCAGGCGATACGCAGAATCGGGGGCTTCTGCGTTTTCTACCATAAGCACAGCATATATATTCTTCCCGAGAGATGGGTATCATCGGCTACTCGGGACCGTCGGCAGCCGAGTGGGCATCGGAGGTCAGCCATGGACTCTCCGTCCGGGAGTAAGCCTCCACAGCGGCATCATCTGCCGGGTCCGGAGGGAGTTGGGAAACGATCATCCCTGAGAAGGCGGCCGCACGACAGGAGCACAATTGGGAAGACCCAATGACCATTCTAAATCATCCTGAGTTTGGGCTTTGGCTTGCATTAGACCCGTTGCGGCATGTCCACCCGGTTTTAGTTTCCCACCCGAATCACTTCGATATCGGGACCGGCCTCGAGGCGAGGAGGGAGGGGTGCGTGGGGCAGATCTCCGATAAGCGTTTGCCCAGAATGACCCTCGTCGCCCGTGGGTTTCTCCCTTTAACATCCAAATTTGGAAACAGAGTTCCCCCCCTCGACGGGTCATCAGCAGAACGATAGTAGGCAACGTGTTTGGCATTTTAGACTATAAACTTGCCGGTTTATCACCACGGGCGTCTTCTATCTCGTCTCGCTTTCCTCACTGAAGGGAATTTGTTTCTCCCCAAAACCGGCCCGGTAGACGAGTATAAAACCAGTTCAAGCCAAATTATAGATTCACTATCCGCTTGGGCTTGACTCGACCCTCACATATCTTGCCCCATTGTTTGGTTGGTTCTTAGCACTGTCCTCAAACCAGCAACATGACTGCCAACGACACTACAACATCCACAGCATCGGAGCCGGCAGCCCTCAGCCAGACCAAAACCACTACCAGTGCCAACGGCGTCGAGAAGAAGTCGGCACCATCACACCCTCTGGGCCCCCTGACTGCAAATGAGATCACTCAGTCATCAGATCTGATCAGGGCACAATGGCCCGAGGGCACCAAGTTCCAGTTCAAGGTTGTCACCCTCTTGGAGCCACCAAAGACTGAGTTGGCTCCATACTTGGAGGCGGAGAGGGCTGGCCGGCCAGTCAAATCCATTGATAGAAGGAGCCAGGTGGTGTACTACCTTCGCAACACTGTATGCATTCCGTGATCACCAAAATTCTCCCACTAAACCCACGAGCAAGAACTCATACGCTCATAGGATAAACTGCACGAAGCTGTCGTCAACCTCAGCACCGCCAAAGTCGAGAGCAATGTCCGGCTCGGCCCTTTCATTCACGCTCCCGGTGATGGGGAGGAGATCATCGCCATCGAGAAAGCCATGCTAGCCGATCCCGGCGTGCAAGCCGAGCTGGAGAAGCTGAAGCTGCCAGAGGGCAGTGTTGTCGTCTCCGATCCCTGGATCTACGGGTCCGATGGCGTCCACGAGGGCCTCTTCTCCGACCACAAGCGGGTCAAGCAGTGCTTCCTGTACATGCGCGACCCACAAAACTCACGGGAGGAAGACAGCTGCCACTACGCATTCCCACTTCCCATTTCGCCTGTTGTCGACACTGTTGACTATAAGGTCACTCGGATCGACATCGTGCCCACCGGCAAAGACACCACCGTGAAGCCGCTCGAGGCGTGGAAGGGTCCCGTGCCACCAAACGAATATATTCCTGAGGCGCAGCCTAATGGGCTCCGAAAGGACCTGAAGCCACTGCGGGTGGTTCAACCCGAGGGAGCAAGTTTTACCGTCGAGGAGTTCAGTGCAGACGGCTTGGGCAAGGTGATCAAATGGCAGAAGTGGGAATTCAAAGTCGGCTTTAACCAGCGCGAGGGCATGGTCCTGTACGATGTGCACTACGACGGCAAGCCTCTGTTCTATCGTCTATCCCTCTCCGACATGGCCATCCCCTACGCTGATCCGCGTCACCCCTTCCACAAGAAGCAGGCTTTCGACCTAGGTGATGTCGGAGCTGGCATCATGGCCAACAATCTCAGCCTGGGTTGCGACTGCCTGGGCTCCATTTACTACATCTCAAGCGTACTGGCGGACACCGAGGGCAAGCCCCAGGACTACCCCAACGTCGTCTGTATCCACGAGCAAGATTCCGGCCTCCTGTGGAAGCACACCAACTACCGCACCAACCGTGCCGTCGCCGTGCGCAACCGCGAGCTAGTGCTGCAGACCATCCTGACGGTCAGCAACTACGAATACATTCTCGCCTGGAACTTCAGCCTGGCCGGAGACATCACCTACGAAGTCCGTGCAACCGGCATCCTGTCGACGCAGCCCGTGGACCTGGACCTCACCAAGGAGCCGCACCCCTACGGCACAGTCGTGCACCCGGGCGTGCTAGCCGCCTACCACCAGCACTTCTTCTCACTCCGCGTGGACCCAATGATCGCAGGCGCAGAGAACCAGCAGGTAGTCTACGAGGAGGCGCACGCGCTCCCCCGCGACGCAAAGGAGAACCCGCACGGCGTGGGCTACACCGTCAAGCGCACGCCCATCACGACATCAGGCGGGTACGACCTGGACACCGCCAACAACCGCACCTTCAAGATCGTCAACACGGGCGTCAAGAACCCGGTCAACGGCAGCAGCGTCGCCTACAAGCTGCACGTGCCGCCGATGCAGCCCATCCTCGCCGACGCCGAGAGCTACCACGCCCGGCGCGCCGAGTTCGCCGACCACAGCATCTACGTCACGCGGTACGCGGAGAACGAGCTCTTCGCGGGCGGCTACTACACGAACCAGTCGCGCGGCGGCACCGGCGTGCGGGCGTGGGCGGGCCGTCAGGATGACCTCGCCCCTGCTGCTGCCGGTAGCCCCGGCCCGGTCGTCTGGGTCCAGTTTGGCATCAACCATATTCCTCGGGTTGAGGACTTCCCTGTCATGCCGATGGAGATGCTCAAGGTTACCATGCGGCCTGTCAACTTCTTTGATCGGAACCCGGCGCTGGATGTGCCGCCCAGTCGGCAGGAGTTCAACTGCAGCGTGGGGCTCAACGGGGTTGTGGATGGCGTTGCTGAGTTGAAGATTGGGGAGGGTGGTAAGGCGTGCTGTCAGTAGAGGCACTGCCGTTGGGATTTGATCTTGTTTTTGCAGGTATATCGCGCTGCTTCTGCTGTCGGAGTATCTGGTGTTTTGATATTATGTTGGTCAGTAGTCGCGATATATCATGATAGCTGTTCGAGTATCGCTGCGCCAAATATCGTGTGACGACACGGCCACGCAAGAGTATACCGGATTCCAGAGGGCATTCACACATTCCAACCTTTTCCATGGCATGTAGCCTCAGCCGTAGTGTGACGACTACGGCGCCATCATACCATCTAAATTTTCTTTCCGGCTTGGGCTTTTATGAGTATGCTATCAGGGCTACGTCTTACTTCGCATCATTAGTAGCATTTTCTCGGATGAAGTTTGCTCTGGCCTATTCCACACTTCAGTGGGCCCGTGGTAAAGCCAACAAAAATCAATTTCTACCCTGGTATCATCCCATTCATCATTCTACCCGTTTCATCTTGTCGAGCATCTATTCGCTTAGCGGTCCAATGTCCTCCTGTATAACGATGAAAACAAAAAAAAATAACATCCATGAAACGACCAATGCTGCACATGCAGTACCCACTGAGCCAGCAACAAATCCTATAGTCCCGGGTCTCCTTTTAGCCCTTTCTTCCCAGCTACGCCATGACATTTGAACTTTCCATCCTAGTGGATTTTATCGAGCAATTTTCTTTCATTACTTCCTCATATCTTCTCTGCTGACCGAGGTGGAGTACCGATCGTGGTGCACCTGGTGTCGCAGCTCGTGGGTGTCATCGCCGTGGCGGCCGACTCTCTGCGCCGCGCGCATCTCACGGAAGGCAAAGAAGGCGATTCCGAACGCATAAGCTGATAGCATACTATGAAGACAAGGTTAGTTCTACGGTCTGTTTCGGATCTCGACGGTCGGGGAGGAGGGAGGGTCAGCCTTACCTCAAGCAGATGGACATGCCCACGACGACCCAGCTCAGGGTGCACCCTACACCGACGCAGACCGAAATATTCGCCTGGATGAGGAGGAACACGACTGCCGCCCAGAAGACGACCTCCAAGCCATTGATGATGCTGTAGGCCTTCAGGCTCCTCCACCTGCGCAGTCGCTGCACGTGTTCCGTCAGGAGTTGGTAAAGGATGAAGTTAATGGATTTCGCCGACTGAGAACAACAGATATATCAATTAGCCTCGATCAATGATTATATCAAAGAAAGTTTGCAGTTCCCGACTTACAAATCCCAGCGCTATCGTGTTGGCCCTGGTCCTGGTGTTCACACCGGGCAGAAAGAGTCGGGCAGTGGAGATGGAGCACACTCCAATGATCAGGACTAACTCCACGAGGTGTACCGGGAGCTTGAATCGGTAGTCGAAGAGACCCATTTTCGGTATGTGTTTCCGGTCTTGTGTATTGAATGGTTTCGATCAAGGAAGGCGGCAGTGGGTCAAAGATGCTGCAGCAGCGTGGGCTTCGAGGTGGATATTGAGACCCGGGATTACAGAACAGTATAGCTGGCTAAGAAGGAAACAATAGACAAGATAGGAGAGATGCTGATGAGGATATTCAGAATCATTGCATTAAGTCGTGGAGTTGTCATTCATCTTATAGACCATGTTTCTACATTCTGCTAAACTGATCTTCATCGCTCTCGTACCTGTGATGCGAAGGCACTACAATAATGGAAAGTTCGGAACGAAGCGAGAGAGCCATAGCCTCGACTGAATCCATTAAGCCCGATAAGCCACAGCCCTGCGTGTCGGTAGGGTAGCTGCTCTCAATTTGCGCGGTGAAGAACTGTGGTGCTGCAAGCTTCTAGACCACACACGGAACGTTGAAGTACGAATACGGGAGCGACCTGACAGCCCGGCCCACGGCTGACGTCTGGGACCCGAGAACGCGGTTCCCAGGGTGGCTCATAACAATTGACCGCCAGTAAAAACTGCAAGACCCTACCGATCTTGGCTTGGCAGATCGAGCTAATACTATTTTTGCTTGGAGGACAAAGCATAAAAGCCCAAGCGTCGTTGTTCCAGGCCGATAGACTCCAGCGATATCTTAACACCGATCGCTGTCTGACAGTGACGAGCAGCTAAAACCGTCATTCCAAAATAGTGCACGCGTCCCCGGGAAAGACCCCTATTATTGTTGAGGGCCCACGAGAGTTCCCTTCTTGGTGGAACATCACATACTCAGTGATCTATTAATATCTAAGCGACCACATCACCCACACTCAGGAAGATTTACAATAAACCGTGCTTTAGCTCCGGATTGTAGCTAGCCCCCGATTGCGAATTTCTAACTCTCTCGTTTTCGCAATCAACCGTCCTCATAGTTGTAAATCCCAACCTTAAACTTTCACTATCTTTGCAATGGGCTCGACAGTGATCTGCGCAAGGACTGCGCCTAACCAAATGAATTTCGGGTCATCATCATGTCCTCATGCCCGGTTTCAAGGAGAACTCAGCAAAGCGGCGCGCTTCACGTCCTACCTCGATATCCTCGTCCGGATCAACGCGTACGCACGCTCATGTTGGAGGTGATACCCAAAGCTGATCATGATTCTGCAGATGGTCATTTCAATAGCAAGCGGTCATGCTTGACTTCCTATCTGATGCTTGAGGCTTCATGTCTAGCGATGCATGGCTAATGAGTCTCAGCGTCGCCCGTCCCTCGATGGCTAGACGACCGTCCGTTTCCGGCATAGTCAGTTACTCTACAGAATCCGAGCTACAAATGACGGCCTTTCGCCCGACTTCTTAAGTTGTTCATCGAACGTCCTGAGTCGAATTTCCCCCTCACTCAGCGTTGATTTCTGCCTAGGCTATTCCATCATGGGCACTCAGCTGCACAGACCTCCTAACCAAGAACGCCTGGGCGCAATGACGAAGTCGACGGCAGTGTCACGAAATCTTGAGTACATCCCAACGGTGGACGCCCTCAGATGTGAAGACCTGGATGCCTGCAACATTGCAGATCTGGAAATGAGCAGCCATTTCATCCTGGCGGCGATCAACTCTTCCGTATATTGTCAGACATGCGCAAGACTTTGGAACGACGAATCTCTTGTGCAGACGCTCGACCAAGCTTGAAATAATGAAGTGGTGGGTGGTGGGTGGCGGTTGACATTCAATGGTGACTCTTGATCCAGATGATGGCTCACCTGATACTGAAGCTCTGCTCGGATGGCTCTCAAATCTTCGATTCGTTTGTTCTGCATAGTGGTTGAGCCAATCTTTCCGTTTCAGGATCGTGGTGCCTATTTTCCCTGCTTGGCTTGATCTGGCTATTTCGATATATCGGTTGCATGCGAACTTCAACTGCGCCGTCTGAATTTGTTGACTACCATCTGATGATTTTTCACAGCCATCACGATTCTCGGTGTACCCGAATTTGTCATGCGAATCCCACAGCCTCGTCCCTACACCATCTTGAATTCCTACGAGGATCGCGTCGAGCACAGCGACTAGTCAAAAAGACCGTCTGACTACTAGGAAAAATGGACCACAATCTGCAAAATAATGGTTGGTAGGGCTAGAAATTTTGGCGAGCTGAGCAGACTTGCTGCAAATCACCCTCCATCCCGGTCTGATCGAGCCAAGGCCATTCGCCCGTATCTTGATGGCGTCCTCGGCGCTGAGAAATAAGCGTCCCGGGGCGTAGTGCAGATTCTCCAATGATGACAGCGCTGACTGGATGCCTGCATGAACGGCACAGGCTATTGCTTCCTCTAAACATTGGTGTGTGTGCAGAAGAGCCTCATCTACCAGGGTTTTCAGTGGCCCCGATTCACATGTGTCGCCAAGTGGGCGTCGGTGCATGCGCACCAGGCTTGTTTTTGTCCTACAGCCCAAGATGTATAGATATACATTTATCCTTGATAAATACTGGTCATTTCCGCGTTTCCGGAAATTCTGCGCATTTGCAGGCCCTACAATTCATTGAAATGCCAAATTGTCCACTGCATACACGGATCACAGCATGGGCGACCACGACATTACACCTACATGCCTCAGTGCAGAGGAACACAAGGATGATGAAGTTAGAGATATGATACTTCACTATCTTGGCTGTCTAGAGTTTTGTGAAAGGGAACAATATTTCGAACGCCTAGACAAAGAGCATCAGAAGCAGGTCGAGTCCGAGTTGCGTCGCATCCAATACCTACGACACGTCTTACAACACGACAGAGAGGAGTCTTCTCTGCTACGGAACTTGGCGAAAAGTATGAAGGCATGGAGAGCGTGCGAGTTATACACAGACCCGGACGGCATCAGGGCAGTACAGACTTGGAGATTGACCATGGGCCGGCCCAATTCCAAAGAGCAGAGAGACCCAGGTACTTCTAATTCGCAGTATTCAACCCCTGCCTACGACCCCGATCGAGATTTGAACGCATACCTTATCCGATATGTGCAGTCTCAACCGGAGAAAGAACTCAAGGACCCTCGATTCAACGGCCATTTTCCGAACCACAAGATTGCTGTGTCTCATTTGTTGAAAGAAAAGGAAAAGTCGAATCCTTTGGCCAAGGAATCACATCCGAAAGAAAGCATTAGCTACTTTCACTTCCCTGCAAATAACATGCAGGTCAGTCTCGCCCCCATATCCTCATGCAAAGCGATTGTCTAGAACCACTTCCTTTCAATTTCAATGCAGTTCATTTAACAGATTATAGTGGATTGAGGTATGAACCCCATTGATAGCAAATTACTCGAGAGACAAAGTTCCAGGACACTGTGCTGACTCCAAAGTCAGAAAGCCATTGCGCGATATTTCGACGAGGATGATCTAAAGTACGATGGAATCTTTAGAGGAAAGTTGCACAAGAGAACTAAGACATCTGCAATTCTGCGACCCGAATTCTGGAAAGGACAGCAACACGGGGGCCGGTCGGCTTCTGTTCATGCTCGACATCTCCGGCCACTTTGTGAGACGGTCTCATCTAGTGAGCTTCATTCCTATTCTCTTGGCGGCATCTCCAAAGACTTCAAAGTGTCTTTATCTTCGCGGAGCCACAGACATCACTGTTATGTACTGACGAGGTTCAGATCCGGACCAAGTTGAAGCTGCACCTAAGAATATTGTTCTATTTGTGAGTCCTTTCTTAGCGTGTAATTCATACTTAATTACGTAGAGTCCATCAGCTGATGTATGGTTATCTACCTCCAAGATGCCATATTTGCACTGGGAGACAGATCGACAAAGGGAAAAGCTGTCCCAGACGCTTGATACTGAGTCTAAAAGACATTGGGATGAGAGACAAGAGAGGGACAGCAGACTAAAGAAACAACGACAGAGTGATCGCGGAGATTTGACCATCCCTTGCCTGTCCAAGAAAGGCAAGGATGTGGCGTGGCCGAAAGACGACCAACGTTCCCAGAGCCCTGCCCGTCGTGCTAGTACTTTCCTCTGGCGAAACTGGCTCAAGAATCGCAAAGAAGGAGCCGCTGAATCTTCTCCCTTCAAGAAGGAGAAGAGCAGAATTATTGCAGGAACCCCAGTAGGGCAAATACTACTGGATGCTGCCGTGCTCTACGAAGCCATGGCGAACTATCGAGATAGGAGGTTCATCCAAAAATACCTTCACAATGATCCTCCTCTACATCCACGCCGTACCTTGGATCAGGCCTACTATTGGACCCTAAAGACAACTAAATCGAGAGACCGAGACCAAGTCGTCTATCGTGGAACGACCGTTGATCAGAACCTCCGGCATAACTTGAAACCAACACAGAAACTGAAAGGCCGAGGACTGGATTTGAAGAAGTTGAAACACGAAAAGTGCGATAGAACGCAAATATTCAAATGGGACTGTGAAGAAAGGAACAATGAAAATAGACCAGCCTTCTCACATAGGCGCCCCCGAGACCACGCCACCTCGACAGATTGCACTCCCGAGGAAATTAAAAACATTGCCAATCGGTGTCCACACTGCCGAGATCATATCCGGAAAGTTTCACGAGTGGTCATGGTTGACCAGTTGTGGATGTGGATTCTCGACGAACAGACAATAATAACCTGCTTCCCTAAACGTTACGGCGTGAACAAGCAGGACTCTTCTGGCGTTCACAAGTCCATCCGCTCAAGGATGAAGAACCTCAGAAAAGATCACATAAGAACGGTGTTCGACCTGGCATTGATCATTCTGGATGAATGTTCGAACACTTTTTTTGACCGAACCAAGACCCAGGTGAGTGGTTATTCGGCGCTCATTCTCCTAGTAGCTTGCCTAGCTTACTATTCATTCAGGACCGTCAACCTCAAGTAATGGACATTTTCTCGGAGTCGATCGGCAACGTTGTAAGTACAGCTCCTAGACACCATGGCTAGACACCACGGCTTCAAGCGACTGACAACATTCTAGAATAACAAGCAGACTATCAGCTTCGAGCATCTTTGGGAATGGACTGGAAAGCTCGGAAACTTCGCTAGACCGGGTCATCTCCCAACAAACCTAAGCGACTTCGTCATCCCGCTACTGAACATCAACAAGGAGGGACAACTACAGCGTGAGATCAAAGATATCATTGATGAGCTTGACATAATGATATATATCACAACTCAGCAAAGGGATGTCATGAAAAAGTTCAAGAAAGAAGTGACTCACATATTAGATCCTTCGGGTACCTGGAAGGACAAGCTGCCCACTACCCCAGTCGGCGAATCCAAGGACAAGAATTGGAAACGCCACGACGACTATTTCTGGTTTGTCAACACGGCCGACGAGTTGTTGAGTGATGTTGACGACCAGATCGGCGAGCTCGAGGGCCTGAGGAAGAGCGCGGAGAGTACGTCAACAAGTGTAAGTCCCATGATGATTCTGTAATGGCCCGAAGAGAATTTGCAGCTGATATCGGACATTTGTAGCTGGACCACCTCCTCAATCTCAAACAGCAACAGGCTTCCGTCTTCCAGACTTGGCAGTCTACTAAACAAGCTGAGGAGACGATGAGGCAAGGTCGAGCCATCATCATCTTCACTGTTATGACAATCATCTTCGTAAGCACTCTTTCATTTGAGCGGGCTGTGAGGTCTAGGCTGATTGAACACAACAGCTCCCATTGGGCTTCATCGCGAGCATCTTCGGCATGAACAACAAGGAGATCGCGGGTAACGACAATCCAATGACTCTTCAGAGCCAGTTCAGATACATGTGTAAGAGCCACACCATTCGAGTCGCAACCCTCAGCTCCAACTAACTGCTGATTACAGTCGCAATATCCACTGGCATAATCTTCTTTGCCCTCGTCATCGCGTTCAGCGACTACGTCAGGACTGTCATCTGGCTCATCTACAAGTACCTCATCACCCTCACGATAATTAAGTCAGGCCTGTACGATAGAGTATACTTGAGCCTGGACTGGAAGAGCAGAGACCTCGTGCGCAAGGTCGAAGACAAAGTCACAAAGATGAAATCCGAGGTCAAAGCAGCCCGGCAGAAGCGGATGAAGAAGCACACCAAGTTCTCCAACCCCGTTGAAGAAGAAAGCTTGTCAGGAAGCGACGCCAAGGATGCCGGCGCCGGGTCCAGTTCTGGCGCAAGCGCCCGCCCGCATGGCAACACAGTCGGCGCCGCAGACAGGCCGGTTGGGCTGGGCAGTCGCCGCCGGCGTGGTTCTTTATGGTTGAGCACAAGGGAGTCTGATGATGAGAACCAACATCATGTCATTCGGATGGATGAGATTCGCGCTGTGAATCCTACGAGCGCAACATCAACAGTCCCACCAACTTCGGCGAGAAACCCCGTCAAGCATGCCGTCTCGCAACCATAAGAATAGCAAGCTCGTGAGCCAGCAGTGGGGACGAAGGTCCTTGAACAGGGTAGAATTTGTAATGGTAAATTGAGGTATAATGATGAGGACTTCTAAAGTAGTCGGTAAGCATATGCTTTGAAACCAGCGACAGCGGTGTCCAATTGTATCTAGAAGCTGTCAACATGTGTGTAGAAGCCAAAGAGAGAGACTGACGCAAAAATTGATAATGACTTAGCCCATTATTTCACGCATGGTCGTCACAGGCCGTAAATCACAGATTCTAGCAAACATGCAGCAGAAGGGGGACAAAACCCAGAAAGGCCAGGCTGAAGGTGTAGTGAGCTGGCTGAGGTCATGCAGATTTGCAGCAGAGTCACACAAAGACATGAAGCACACTCAATTCAAGGCCAAAAATATCGATTCGTCAAGGGGGAGACCCCGTAGAGCTATTAACACCAACGCCTTTTTTGTCATTCCCAAGCCAAGCCGGTACGCCTCATCATCCACAGTTAATGCTTGTTGTTGCCCGTTCCCCCTGATTTGCTGAAATGGTGTACTCAACGCATCCGATCAATACTGGTCCGGTCCCGTAATGATAGCCACCCTCATGGTGATAGTGACACACAGGGGCTTGGGCCCCTAAAAATTGCTGCATTCCTTCTTTGACAAAAAACCAAGGTGACTGGCACTTTGCCCGTGATAGAGGGTGACTCACCCCCCCACCTTTTTTTTTTCTTTAGTCAATGGAGGCATCTTTCCAAGCAGATGTGTGGACACAGGGATCGGTGAGCTGGTGCTGCTTCAACATCGCCCCTTTTCTGTTCGTCTTTCGTGATCACCTCTCCGTCGGAGACCGCCGTGACAGCCAATTTCGTGCTCCACTTTTCACCGTTTTCTCCAATTGGCCATTGCGTTCCAGATCTCCTCCACAATGGACGGGAAATCAGAAGCCTCCGCGATCCCAGCTTCCATTCAGCTATACGTACAATCAAGCTAAACAAAGGGCCCAACCGCCAGACTCTCGCCGCATTCTAGTTAGGAAACGCCCTAGCGGCGGTCGAGAAGCGGCGGAGGAGGTCGGGCAGCTGGCCGCGCTGCAGGGTGGCGAGGGCCTCGCGGACGTCCTCGAGGGGGATCTTCTCGCGCTTGGTCTCCTGGATCCAGTAGCGGAAGGGCCCGAGGTTGGCCTGCAGGGCGGTGCCGAGCTCCATGCAGCGCTCCATACGGTTGTGCTCCCCGTGCATGCGCGTGTAGTGCGTAACTATCTTGCTGACGTCGCGCAGGGGCCAGGACGACGGCTCCGACGGCTGCTTGGGTGCCGGGTGCTGCAGGTACTTCTGCGACGTGCACAGCGTGCACATCCAGTGGCCTAGGCGCTGGTATGCGCTGCCGCCCGGCCCGGTCTCGTCCGCGCCGCCTCCCGGCGTGGTGCCCTGGGCCACGGCGTTGGGGCCGACGTGCGCACCGCTGGGGTTGGCAGAGATGGATGGGACGATGGGGGTCGATGGAGTAGGAGCGGCGAGGACGGATCCCGTCGCTGCCTTGATTTTCGGGGTTGCTGCGTCGGCTACGACGTTCTCCACGGTGGTATCCTCATTAGTGGTATCGCCGCTGTGAGCGACATCGACCGTGGTGGCATCGCCCGTAACTTTGTTGTCCTCCTCCGCGGGGCTACCCAGCGGTGAACCAACCTCAACACGTGGGCGCTTGGCCAAGGGACGAGACTCGCCCTCGTCTCCGCTCGCTACATTTTCCGTGGTTAGTGTGACTGAATGACCAAATACACAGGGGGTATTCATTTTTGCCCCGGTTGGAAGGCCAAAAAGACCAGAACATCCGGAACAAGGGGGTGCAGGGTGCGGCGCTGCCAGACTTACGGGTGGCCACAGTGATCTCGGAGGGCAGTATGCGCTTAGCGCCGGCGCTCGCCAAAGCAGCAGCCTTCTGGGCGCTGTTGGGAGGAGGCTGAGAGCCGGGAGTGGAAGCCGGTGCCAGAGATTCCCGAGCGCGGTTCTTGGATCCGAGGGGACGGCCTGGGCCACGACGCTCCTGAGGAGGCTCCGCATTCATGAATGAGACTTGCTGAGCAGGATTGGGCGTGTACATCTGGTGGCCGTAAGGCGCAGGAGCAGGACCAAAGCGGTAAGCGTTGTGCATCTCGGCCTCTCGCATGTGGATGCGGTGATTGACCTGGCGGAGCTGGTGTCCAAGATCCAAGAGCCGCAACTGGTAGCTTCGAGACTCGGCGGGCGTGATGTTAACCATGCCGACCTGATGACGAGTCCACTCTACATCGTAGCGCAGACCATCACGATCCTCCTTCAGCTGGCGCAACATGAGCTCATTCAGGTCAACGGGCGTGTTCTCGAAATCGAAGCTTCCCTTGCGAGGCAGTCGGGAACCAGCAGGAGTTCCGTTGGTGGTTCCGTTTATGACTGCTGCATGACCGTTGCGGCCATCATCGCCAACCATGTCGGCATCACCATCTGCATCTCCGTGGGGGGCGCTGGTCATCTTGCGGCCGAACTTGGAAGAAGTCTGCGAGGGCGCAACGGTAAGAGTGGGTCTGATGAGCGAATATCACACGGGAGATGAATTGTGGATGTGGCGTGACGCAAATATTGATGAATGGACGCATTCACGTCACATGCGATGCCTGGGCTTTGAAGTGGCCAGGGAGGACTGAGTGCACACTCAAATCAGTCTAAGATGACTTACCTCACCATGGAAGACATCTGCAAAGTCGTGGTCATTGAGGATCTTCGTAAGAGGACCAAGTCGCTGCTGGGGCTCGTCGCTGGCGACAGCGGCTGAGGCAGCTTGACGGCGAGGCATTTTGAGTTATCGTAGTGTAGGTGAGAAGGTGCCGTCTGATAGGCGCAGCAAAAAGAAGAAAGAAAAGAAAATAAAACAAATATACACCAATCTCGTGCACGTTGGCAGACGAGGTGGTTGCGCTGGAGTGTGCAGAAATGTCAAGTGCAGGTGCGCTAAACAGAGGCCGCTGTTTTGAGTTTGAATTCCCGGGCCCAATTAATATTCGTTGTTGAGTGGATGATGGACGGTCATCAGTGAAAGGCGACAGAAAGTGGTTGCCGAATTGATGTGAATCAATGGTAAGTGGGAATGGAATGGTGGGCGAAAACAATTAGGGCGGGGAAGTGGACGAGTCTGAAGCTTGGACGGGGACGGGATGGATGGTGTTTGATGATGGGAGAAGGGCCAGGGGAATAGAAAAGAAAAGAAAAAAAGTTTTTCTTTCTCTGTTTTCCCTGGCGGCAGGCGGGAGTTGCTTTCTGCCCCTGTCAATTTTTTTGGTTCCCGGGGTCGTGCTTTCTTTCTTCCTTATTCGGCCAGATCTTTGGGTGCTTGGCTCCTAGCTCCTAGCTGCTCGCTTCTCCTTGCTCGCTGCTCGCCGCTGGTATGCTTTTTTCGCTGGCGCCGGACCAGCCCCACTTTTCAAGTTCCTCAACGTGTGTTTCTCTCTCTGGCTACGGATCTCATGAAAATGGCCAGATGGATCGCAAGTGTGGGCGACGTCAGAGAAAACCCGACCTGGCTGCAGACCTGCCAATTGGGATGGGAAGGGACAGATAATCTGATTTCCTGATCGAGACGTGATTTTTCTTCCCTCCTCGATGATATCAATGCTGACGTCGAGACAACTTCAATGTTGATGTCCAGCTCAAGCTCCAGTGCAAGTGAATTCGAATTGTTGGGATGGAATGAGAGGCGAATCAATTCATCACTCATCAGATTGAAGCGAAGGAAGGTCTCGGTGGCAACTTAGAGCAATTGTCGTCACAAGATGGTGGTGATTCACAGGTTAGTGCTACATGCACTGAGGCAGCCGGTGTTGAGTGAGTGGTAAGGGGGAAAAGAAAATTGGGGGAAATTCGGGTTTTGGCGTGGGCCCAGAATTTTACATGTGTGAGACATCAACTTTAAAATCGCGCTGCTGCTTCGGGATTATTAGTTCATCTTAGCCGACAATTTCTGGTCCCCTCAAAATTCTCTTCTAAAGCTTAGTCAAGCGGAGATCTCCATCAACTCATTACCTACAAAGATGATAAGAAAACAAAGGCCAACGTGGATATTCAAAATTTGTCCTAGAACAATTGCGGTAGAATCTAGACTTTGTTATTGTTGCATTCAGATTCTTCGGAAGATTCAGTCACTCCGACGAATTGATACCTAGGTAGATTGAAACACACAAGAATGAGCATAGCAGCATGTTTATCGGGTTGCATAGCACAATCCAGAAATCAATACCTCAATTGCAGCATCACGGTCTGATATCATGAATTTCCTCATGCAAATCTGGAATTGCGGCGTCTCTAAATGTTATACAATAGGCGCCAAATGCTCTGTAAAGCACACGGAAGACGACCGGCCATACTTTGTGCTTTGTGTGCCTAATCCGGGCCTGCATTGGCCCAGGGATTGTGCATGCCGTGGGATAATCATCGAGATAGTCGATTACGACTCCCTGGAGCAAGAAATCGTCTTCCCAACATTATACAGTTGTGCGTGTTATGTCTTCTCCGCCTGAGAGATAGATTTTTGAGACATGCATATAGATGCGCGGGGAAATGGCAATGCCGACCCAGACTAAACTGACTGATCGATTCAACGTACTACTATGCCTTGGAAAGATGTATCATTACACCAAGGTCCGATCGCAATGGCTGCATTGAGCGGGTGGCCGTAACCACTCCCAGAGTTCCTACTCCAAAGGTGGAATACGCAGCCTTATGCCAGAGATTCGGCCTCAGGGCGGACATGTCATAGATTATGTGTTGATAACTTCTTCTGTATTCGCATACATGCATCTATAGGTCGTCGGCGGGACCTAAAATAGATTACCCGGCGCGTGAACATTTTGTGATTGAATCAGATCAGAGGCAGCGTTACACCTACATCTGGAACAACAAGTCGAAAATCGGATTCGACTATGCGAATATCGCCACCTTTTCAAATATAATTAATGACTCTTCGCAGTCTCTTTGGCATTGAACGGTTAATCTAGCGCAAAAAGCCGACTGGCGGGCATCTGTAGCCCGGCGTATCCGTGCGGTCAAGCTTGGAATGACGGGTGGGAAACTACTTTCGTAGGCACCCCTTAGGTCTTTCAGCACCTAGTTGTTCCAATTGATAGTGGGAGATTACTTCAGCTTGACCTAAGCAGGATTAACTGAGGGTTTGTGACTACTGTTCCATGCTCCTGGATCCACTAATATAGAATCCCTGGATATCTACGGCGCTTCATCGCTACCAGCCTCGGTATTTGGGACCGTATAGCATAGGGCGACAATCAGTGACCTGCTTTCAGCAATACTCATTCGAAGAAGGGTGACTACCATTTGGTGCCTTAATGACGGCTCAATATTATCAAAACGGAGGATATGAGCCAACATACTCAGCATTACGGGATTCTTCCATGATTTGCAAAATCCATCCTACATTGTTTGAACGAGCAAGGTGTTTCTATATCATGATGATTCGTGCATAATAATACTCATCGTCGTGGATCACAAACTCTGCTAGCATTTCATGTTTCTAACAGAAGCGGGTCAAAGCGCGTTGGGCAGGGTGTACTTCTGACCGCACATTTGACAATGGCGATGATAACTGATTATCAAAGTTGGCTGCATGAAAGTGATAATCTAACCCTATCAGAGACCGAAGTAGAGAAGACTATATGAGGACCAGAAAGGGCCAGTTCCATGAAGGCAGCTCTTTGAGAATGCTGATAACGGTCAACGGCGGCGGTACTGGTGGTCCCCAGAATAGTATTGGTCTCTGAGAATGCTGAGGAAGAATTGTCGTAAGACTGATGTCGTACGGGATGATAGATACTTGGCGAGCCCCTTGAAAGCTCTAAGTACCATGAATTGATTTGTCTCTACTTCTCCTTCTACATATAGATAGGATGTTGGTTCGTCCCGCAAGCCCGGCTTCGGCCGCATCTCAAGACAGCTCCGGGACACACATCCTCTAGCAGTACATCGGTCCTCCCGCCCTCTTGTTATTGCTAAAATGCATCATTTCGACATTTTTAAACGGAGAATGCTCATAGTTTTGATCTGTGTCCTGTCATGAAGACTCAGTGCAGGCATGTTCATTGTACGAATCTATGTCTTGGACACTTGCATGTCTCCATTCTGGCCTCCTCAGTGTGGCCAACTCTGCTTTCATGACGCGTATAAATCGTCTATTAGTTCATTCCCAAAAATCAATATCAAGAGATAATTAATGGATTTTAGAAAGAAATGTATGTAGCTAGGATGACACGTCCGCTTTCACGTGTCTCAGGCATGGATGTGATGGCGCTGAGAGCTCAATCAAATTGAGAAATCTCGCTGCAAGCTGCAAAAGCTTTTTTATCAAGCCACTGAGAGCTCCTATTTGACGTACTTGAAAAATTGTTCTGAGATGTGTCTTTCTAGTAAATGCGCTCCAACTGGGCTCTCGTTATTTGCCAGCGACACTATGAAATGGCGAAGACAAGAAAACAAGAGACAGAAAGGAGTAGAAGAAATATGAACAAGGTGAGGAGGAAAATATTGAGGCAATGGAAGAAAATGAACGAAATATTTCAGTTGTTTCGACCTTGGTGACATTACGCTCGTGGCTCTGGGGAGGACTTTGCTGCCCTTTGTGTCTCATTCAACAATTTCAGCTAGATAATTGATCATCTACTTATCTGGAGGGTTTGGCAAAATCTGTTGGGATTTTTACATGTTTCCTAGTTCTTAACCAAGGTTCTTTGCTCTGTCTCCTTATTGAAGCATACTTACTACACTAAGGCGGGCTGCTATAAAAGCACGAGACGGCCTCTGCCTTCATAACGTAAGGCGACTTTGTCCGTGATCTCCGCCTAGTAACAACAGTCCACTTCCAGAAACGCGGTCAATTCCTGAAGCCTGAATTTGCTCGGTTGGCTGAATTATGTGGGTTTCAAGCCCTTGTCTATAGCTCGCTAGTATGATGAAACCGCAAATCTCGGGAGTTGTTGCCGCTGTCATAAAATGAGACTTGGTCCCAGCACTTTGGAGGATAGTTCATTTCTTCGGCATGACATCTGAAGTCAAGGAAAGACTTGAGATGAGTAATTGGTGTTGGTAGCTGAGCTGCCACCAGTTGACCAGTGACAAGGGTTTAGTCCTCGCATCTACCGGAAACAATTATTGATGCGTCCGGGATGTGTAAGCAAGATTTCGCAGCAGCGCAATGTCCTACCTTGGAAATATTGTTCATGGGCCAGCCATTCGCCATCCTTGTAGTGCCCTGGGGGCGGCAACTAAGTCCCGTTCAGAGTAAACAACTACCCGCAGTTGAAGCTGATTTCTCACATCGACCGGCCGTGCACTGACAGGCATGTCCAACGGCACATCTACATCGGACCAGGCCGTTTGACGTTGAGCCATGTCCCAGATTCACAATGATCGGCATTGGCATGCAATCAATCGGTTTGCTTGCCACCATGCCAGCTCTCCTGAAACTCTAGAGCCGATCCTGCACGTGGCGGTCACCCAAAAAGGAGTGCCGCGTAGCTCATTGGATGGCATGACACTAGAGCACCAGTTCCCAGGAAGTTCGGAGTATATGTGGACTTCAGAGAGCTTCACACGCAGACTAGATCAACCTTTACAGAGGAAGGAGTATAGACTGCCGGGTCCGAAACAGCCCCGGCGATTCGCCGGCGATCCGGTAATCAAGCTCCGTGTGCTCCACCTACAATACCTACGTTGACATCCGTGAATGCCGCCTTGGTGGTGTATTGACAGTGCAGGCACTGACCTCGGGATTGTGAGCACCGACGGCACTGTCTAATCTAGGCCGATAGGTCGACGTCCACCGGACATGAAGTAAAAACTAAATCGAATAACACTGTAGTGCCGATGAAATTCAGAATTATCCAGTGGTCCGCTTACATGTTGATCGTATCGAGGAACGGATAAGGGAACGTGGAACTTGCCCGACATAATGCGTGGAGAATGGTCAGCATCCCAATCGGTCCGAAGAAGACACCGCCTCGCAGTTGAGAGATGGTCTCTAGTGCAGGAGAATCAGAGTCACAGGCGCATGTATGGACACTCGCGGAAGTCACGGCGGAGCAGAGACTTATCAGGCCCACAGGTTTGTATTCTTGCCGCGAGGAAAGCTACCCAGATATGTTGGTAATCACTCCCACTGCAATGGATACGGGGTCAGCACGTGCTTAATTCCGGGCTGCCGGGCGAGCATAAACTCGCGATGGTCATCGATCTCGGTGCCACCTCGGTGAAGGTGAGTGGTGCCGCGCCAGCAAGAGAAAAAGACACGCTCGACGATCTTGTCCAGCTTGCGCCGGGAAACGGGCCGAATTGGATCTGCCTCAGCGGTGGGTTCTTCTCCAGTTGAATCTCGGGGGGCCAATCTGGGGAAGGGAATAACGCTGCGTAACAAAGCAACAGACGTGTCTGATAAGTGGGTCGATTCTCGACTGGGTAGTCAGTGGTACACAAAAAGAAAGCACATTTTTTGAGCGGATGACGTCGACTAGGCTTTTGCGGGTATGACGTCGGTTACCCGTGCCGTACCCGGTCTATCCGACCAACGGGATGTTTTACTGTCGCCAGGCAATACGCTGCCAAGCAGGGAGATCAGCCGCACAGAGCCGCAAAGAGTCGTGGTCATTGTAGGGCGGATGTGCCAATCAGCTCGAGTCCCCCAACGGTCAGATGGTCAGAAATGACAAAACGGTCGAGTCTGGAGGAACAACCCATGCCGTTGTATCGATGTCATGCTGGCCTGGGCATACGGAAGCAGGATTCGCGGTTTTTTTTAACCCCGTGGGCAGCATTAATTTGGTGGAGTTTGCTGCTGGGACCTTCCCCATATATCCACAACTGCGACCCCGTGGAGAGACTGACTATCATTTATGGAGAAGGTTTGAACGGCACATCGACACTGCACTAGAGTGGCCCTTCTTCGGCGTTGCATCACATAGTACAGCCATAAAACGTCCTTACTTCCCTTTACTGCCTACATTTGAGCTCCTAACATTTCGCGCTTCTCATCTCTCCAGCCTCTACTTACTGCTTCCATTGTTTTCCTCTATACTGATGAGCTACAATTATACTCCATTTCCTTCTTTTGAAGTCCGTTCCTCGATATGTTAAGTCTAAACGGCAAGGTCACTTTTGACCATGTCAATCCCAACTCCGAAACGAGCACTGATGCTCGACAAGAGCTTGCTCATCTTGACTACTCCCCTCTCAAGCGGGTATCAGGCCGGAGTTTCTGTATGGGTCTCTTAGTGTCCATGGGTGGTCTGATCTTTGGGTATGCACTCGCATTGGAGTTTCCAAACTATGCATAATTTATGTTGCATACGCACAGTCGCTGACTACAAGAAACTGCAGATACGACACTGGTCAAATATCGGGCTTTCAAGAAATGCCCGACTTCCTACAACGATTCGGCGAGCTGCAACCCGACGGGTCTTACGGGTTCAGTACTGTACGATCCGGCCTGATTGTCGGTCTGCTGTCGATAGGCACCCTGGTCGGGGCCCTCATCGCCGCCCCCTTCGCGGACAAGTTCGGGCGGAGGCCATCAATATGCTTTTGGAGCATCATTGTCGCCGTTGGGTTCGTCATCCAGGTCGCCTCGAGCTCCTCCTGGCAGCAGTTCATGATCGGCCGGCTGGTCGCGGGCTTTGGCGTCGGCGCACTGAGCCTGCTGGTGCCCATGTTCCAGGCCGAGACCGCCCCTCCATGGATCCGCGGCGCCCTCGTGTGCACGTACCAGCTGTTCATCACGATGGGCATCTTCCTCGCTGCATGTTTCAACTATGGCACGTACACACACCAGCGGGATAACTCCGGCTCGTGGCGCATCGTCGTCGGCCTTGGCTGGCTCTGGACGCTGATTCTTGGTGTCGGCATCTGGGGCTTCAAGGAGACCCCGCGGTATGTCTACCGCCAGGGCCGTAGCGCAGAGGCAAAGGAGACTCTGCAACGTGTGTACGGTGCTCCAGACAACCACTACGCTATCTATATACAGATGGAGGAGCTGGAGCACAAGTTCCGCGCTGAGATGCAGCAGAAAGGAACAGGTCCTATTGCCGGCATGGTTGACATGTTCAAAGCCCCTAGAATGGCATATCGGATTGCCCTTGGAATCATGCTTCAAATGTTTCAGCAGCTTACTGGTGCCAACTACTTCTTCTACTACGGAACGGTATGTGTACCCCCTCTTGCGGCACAATAGGTGGTGCAGCCAATTAGATGTCCATACTAATGGCAGTCGACAGACAATTTTCAATTCAGTTCAGATCTCATCATTTGTCACGCAACTGATTCTCAACGGAATCAACTTCGGAGTAACATTCATCGGACTGTACCTCGTGGAGCACTACGGCCGACGCAAGTGTCTCGTGGCTGGATCCATTTGGATGTTTGTCTTCTTCATGGTTTTCGCATCTGTGGGTCACTTCGTTCTCGATGTTAACGACCCATCGAGCACTCCCGAAGCCGGCATCGCACTTATTGTCATGGCTTGTTTGTTCATCTTGGGCTACGCGACGACCTGGGGGCCTATGGTCTGGACGCTCATTGCAGAGATCTACCCTTCCAAGTACCGTGCAAAGGGCATGGCTCTGGCAACAGCAAGCAACTGGACATGGAACTTCCTCATTGCCTTCTTCACGCCGTTCATAACCGAAGATATCGACTTTGCGCTGGGCTACGTCTTTGCTGGTTGCAACTTGGTCGCCGGCATATTGGTATATTTCTTCGTCATTGAAGGCCAGGGCAGAACGTTAGAAGAAATAGATACGATGTATCTAGAACGAGTGAACCCGCGCCAGTCGGCCAAGTGGGTCCCTCCCTCAGCAGAGGAGATGGCAAGAATAAGGAGGAAGGCTGGTATGGAAGAGTTGCCCAGCGACGGCGAGAAGGAGAGCAGCGACGGTGGTGTTTTGCATAGTAAGCCAGAGGTTAGGGACGAGCACGCCGAGAACGTGTAGACGTCGTCTCATTAATGTATCAAGGAGCAACTTTGCAGCACAGACGGCTTGTGGAGGTGGCCAGGGGGTACCGGAGGGATGGTCCCTGCGACAACGTGCTGAACGCTTGCGTAAGGTTAAAATTCAAACACTTTGCATTGCATTGAACAATCACAATCCGTCAGTGTTTCCCACACGCGTGACACCAAGTTGTCAAAACATTGACGTGACCGGCTACTCCTGCAAGAATTTCATTGCCTCAAATGTTATAGCGGCTTGTCCCGTTGACGAGCAGAGCACAACGGATATTGATGTTTGATTGTCTGACCCGAGGTTTCGCCCACGTGGGCTACACGTGTAGCTGTTAAGCGTCGAAACGTGAGGTGTGACACAGGCCCCTTTCTCCATAGGCTGGCGGCAAATGTGGGAACCGCGGAACAGCAGGCGACAATCGCACCCTGTCGAATGACCTGCTTACTCGATGCAGGCTCCACGTCTAATTGATAGCCGATTGCCAAATCCTCCCAGCCGGTATATGTCGCCGCGCGAGTTGTGCTGATGACCGCGGCAGTCGAGTCAACAACCCAGGACCAACATCAGGCAAATCCGGGCAGCGGCAGATTACGCGAGCGCCGACTCTTGCCCAAGTGACACGATCAAGCGGGCGATAAGGTTAACATATCACCGCACCGCAGGCGCCGGACATTTCTCACCACTTTGAGACCCGGGTCCCCATCTGCTGTGGATATGAGCACGGACAATCAGTCTGTTCAGGCTCGAACTCTCCACAGATTCCACAGCCCACTGCGGTAAATGCCTGGTGAACAATGGGTCCTAGCGCTTCGCTGCTGGGTCCAACACCGGATGAGCAGCCATCGGATGTTGCCATTTGAGTTGGAGCCGTGCACTTCCGCCTCGGCCTTCAAATATAAGGCTGCCCGGGTGACAAGGTCGACGGAGGCCCCTGAGGCTGTTCGTGTTGATCGTTCTTAGCTACTAATGTTATTAGAATCTTGGTACTCACCTGCTTAAGCATCGCTCCAGCCTGGTTTGGTAATGGTGTAATATTGTCAATATGTTCGTTCAAGAGTCCTTAGGGCACGATGACTTGACAGCCTTCAGCACCGCCGACCACAGCAGCAGGGCATGGTCCGTGTTGACTGTCAACATTCTTTTCATATGTCTGGTGGCTATCTTTGTCTCTCTGAGGGCTTTCACCAAGCTGTCCATGACAAGGAAGTTGTATCTGGATGACTGTAAGTAGTGTTGGCTCAAGGACTTCATTCTTTCCTTTGTACTAACCATGCTCCGGACGATAGACCTCATGATCGGTTCCGCCTTCTGGTTCTTCTCATTCTGTGCTGTCAACCTCGCCGCTGTGCCCGTTGGTGTCGGACGACATATTTGGGATCTACCAGGCGATACCAAAGAGGAGCAATTCGCCGTCGCCACCCGGGTCCAGAAACTCAATTACCTCGCCCTCATCCTGCTCTCACCCTCCATCGTGCTGGCCAAGATCTCAGTCATCGCCACCCTACTGAGGATCTTTCCCAATCCACTGAAATACCTTCGACTCTTCCTTTTTGCCACAGCTGCTCTTGTCATCCTGTGCTGCACGTGCCAAGCCTTCTTGGTCATCTTCCAGTGCTCGCCTGTGCAATTCAGCTGGGTCATTGGAGGGCCGGAGCAAGGAAAGTGCTACGGACTCGAGACGGTGGTCCTTGCCCTGGGGATCGTGAACGTCGTGACCGACTTTGTGATATGCCTCACTCCTATCCCGTATTTTCTGAGGTTGAAGATGCCGGCAGCACAGAAGGCATGTCTTTGTGCCCTGTTTCTGACTGGGCTGATGTAAGTCTCATCCATGCCGTCGCACGATTAGAGGGGATTTATCATCTAACTATTGTGATAGTGCCTGTGCCTTCAGTATTGTCAGGGTTGTGTCTCTTCGGGGTTTGGCCGACAACATTGACGTTACTTGTGAGTACCTAATCTCCTGTCTCGTTGGACTATCATTGACATGATTTCAATTGTAGTTGTCACCGTCTCTTACTACAACTGGTCTGTGGTTGAGACAGGTTTCATTATCATTACTGGCTCTGTGCCGGCGCTGAGGCCACTGCTGCAAACCATTTTGCCAGAATTCTTCAAGTCAAACAACTTCCCTTCGCTGTTCTCTTCACCTCGAAGAAGCGTCTGGAAGAATGTTGACTCATCAGCATCAACGAAGGGAATAATTACCGTCACAAAGGAGTACGAAGTTGTGGAATTGAAGAAGTCGGATACGCAAGATGTATAAGGCAGCATAATTATGAAATATACCCTAATTCCAATTCCGCTAGACATTCGACATTGTTCAAACACCTACATCTTCTCATTTGCTGTGAGTATACGACCAACAGTGTACACAAAAGGGTCTAGCTGCAATCTCGGACGAATATCCACGCAGTCGTCGCAGGTTATTGTAGCAAAGCCATTGTGCAAGATCGATTTTATTTTCACACCATTCCCTACGCCAAGTCCTACGTTGGTTAAGTAGATCCTGGAAATCATCTGCGTGCTGGTGTGCCCTCCCAAATCTTGGGGCCCCATAGTATGATGTCCTGCACGCTGCTGACATTGCATGTGCTCATCTGGCATGGCAAGGCTGATCCGAGCGCCCTGGCTTTGGATCCCTGAAGTACATCGATCATAAATCAGATTTTCCCAGTCGTTGATTCGTGGTGCTTTGCGACTTGGCTTGTGCGGTGAGTAACCGTGCTTATCCACAACCCTTCGGTCACAACTGGGCATCATGCTAAACAGTTGTCTTCGAGTAGCCAGTAACATGATCTATATGAATGAAGTGGTAATTTTCATCTTTTCAAATCATCTTCTCATTAAAGTATTGACTGAAAAATGAAAGCTCAGAGGATTGACTCGGGCTCAAGATTTGAACGAATACACGGGTGCCGAGAAAGCCGCCAAGATAATGCAGGTACTGACTCTCATCACTCTCGGCGTGGGAGGGGCGGTTCCTTGATATGCGGGTCAAGGTTGTAGGCGGGGTGGAAGAAGATGGGGAGCAGGCCACATGATTAGACAGCTGAAGATCGCCCGGATACTGACGATCAACGTCAGTCTGGGTCATAAACTTTGGCGGGAACAGGTTTGACTTAGCCGCGTTGGCGGCGACCTTGTTGAGCGGGCCAGGGATCACATTCTCGGGTTGCAAGCAATCTCCGGTCTGCACAAGTCCGGAGCTAAAGACAATGCAAGCCGTTGTAGTGGACATGACATTTGCTTTCTTTAAACAGCTTCGAATTTTTTATGACACGAGCACTTTGATGGTCAACTAAAGAACGGATAGGTGGGCTGATAGTTGAACAGGTTTTTGGACTTGAAAACGGCCATGCCAGAACATCGCTCTGGACCTTCCCCATCTCTCAAAATTCCTCATTTTCATCCACTCCTCCTTCCAAGCTCTCAGAAACATCTTCTTACACTCAGGTTGAGGTAAGACTGGTCAGATGGTAGGCCTTGTACGCCTCTGGAGCGGCTTTTGAAACCAACGATGACAGCAGCGATAACTGTGCGGCCATCAAGTGTAGGTCGCATCGCATCGGTCACTGTGGCTCCTCTCGCCTCCCTCTCGAGTACCCGAAATTCTAGACATACGTCTTTGCGCCGCCAATATCCATCCTCAAATCACCCGAGGTGTAATGGTGCGCAAAGCATCCGAATATTCAGATAGCTCTCCTCCGTGGTTGGCGTCTCATTCAGGCGCTGTTCTTCATTGCCGTTGGATCTTTCTTCTCGGGCTTCTTCTTCTTTTCCTGCTTCGTCTCGTCCCAGACAGTCTTGAAGACCTCATCTAGCTTGTTTGCGGCCTCAAAGACCTCAGAGCCATCCTGGTTGAACAGCTTGGCGGCATGTACCACCCGCTTGGAGTCCTCCCTGAACTCCTTCGCAGTCTTGTATTCGCCGTCCTCCATGTTCTCTTTCATCGTGCTCAAATCCACTGCAGCATCTGGAGTCAGCCACCAAAGCGCTAAAGCAGAACCTGTTACGGAAACTGGGAGAAATAATCAAGCCACCATGTGCCGATGGCCTGTCTCAGAATCTGCAGACTGACGAAAGGCCTTGACGCAAGTAATCAAATAGACCACAGATGGCAGACGTTTGCTCCTGAAAGGATTGAGATGGTATTCGGAAGCTGCTTACTAGGAAACTCGACGATGCTGCGGTAGTGCGGAAGGTTCAATGCAACGTGGTCAACAGGGTACAGAAAGTGAACGTTGCAATCGGAATACTTGTCGCTGAGCAGCTCATTGATGACCCGGTAACAGTGCTTGAGCTCTGTCGCCTGCTTCTGCTTGAAGAGCTCAAGGGCGGACTGGACAGTAATAGTGCTCGTCGCGACCTTGCTCTTCTTCACATTCTGGACATTCTGCTCACCATGGGATGTAGCAGCAGCACGCTTCGTGCCCTTGCCAGTGCTCGGCTTCCGCAGGTAGCCTTCCTCAACCAAGGCTCTCGCACGCTCAGGGAACTGGCCGAGTAGCTCCCGGTCAACGTCACGGCATGTCCTCTTGTTTTTGATGCAGGAGCTGCAAGGGCGGGCGCCGTCGCAAATGCGTAGGTGTTTGAAGCAGTACCAGCATCTGGGGAAGTCTCGCGGGATGATGGTCGTGGTGGACGCAGTGGTGGAGGTAGCAACTGTGGAAGTGGAAGCGGCTGGGGCTGCCGGGTAGGTCTGGGGCAGGTCTTCCTGGGTGATCAAGGATTGGCAATGGGGTAAGCCGTTACTGGCAGCGTCGATGAATTGATGAACGGTCTCAGGGATTGCGGTGCTCGCCTCACACTCAACCGACTGAGTGGTTGGGCCAACACGATCTTGGCTTCGTTCCATACCTGGTACCCAGGGTCAGCTAACTCAATCCAGTGCAGCAAGGAGTGTAGATGAATTGGATACTGACCGGGGTCTACTTCGTCGGTGACGCGATGAGCCTTAGCTAGACCGTGGGAGGATTTGGCCTCCAGGTTGTCAGCAGGTGAAGCCATATTGCTGTTTCTCTCAGTGACCAGTACAAGGGGGGCCGACATAGAGCAGCTTCTTACGATCGCCGTTGGTGGGAAGAGCAGACTTGCAGCTGATCAATGATGATGTCGTTGTTGGCCTCGTTAGGAAACAATGAGCAACGACAGAATGGACGAGGGTAACAGACTGAAAAGAAAACATGGCCAGTGCCCCGTCCCCGAGGGACAACACCCTCGCAAGGGCCTAGGCTTTGCTCGCTGATTCAGCGAGGCCGACGGGGCACGCGAGGCGGAGAGACGAGGCTAGGAGCGTTGGACCGAGTGACCACTTCAGCAGCCCTTGAGTCTAATTCGCCGGCTCAAGATAACAATCTTGGCCAGCTTGTGAGCCTCAGCTCGATGCTTTCGGGTATAGCAGCAGCCCACACAGTATCTCATCTTGGTCAATGCCTTTCTATGAAATTCGTTTCATGTCCGACAAAGAAAATGATTTTTGGGATGGACGTGGTCGTATTACCAAACAGCCATCAAGGGGGAATGTCGCCGATTTGTGGGTAGTAGTGATATCCTTGCAGTAGGCTGACATACAGATTTAAATTAGGTATCAGAAGAAACCACTAGGTAAATATCACAGATAGACTCCATCCCCTGGCAAGCGTTTGAGTGAACACGATGATTGTTCGGCCTGGTTGCTTATTAGACAGCCTATGCTAGCTGCCATAAAGTTGCTTAGATTCAACTCGAATCTGCTCAGGGCATGAGGTCTTTAGGCCTGGCTGATTGACAAAGCAAGTGAGGTAGTATGCAATCGTACAAATCACTCATTGCTTATTCACGCTTGTGCTCTTGAAGACCAAGGGCTCAAGCCTTGTTGTCAGTCAGGTTTATCATCAATTCAACAGGAGCGACATCAGCCTTGGTACCTTCACTTCAGTATATTACAACATGATATTAGGATGGAAGAGTTTGCCATGTGTGACCCTCGTGCTGTTTGATCATTGTCTGCGCTCATTTGACGCGCCTGTTCCCGTCTGAGGTCAGGTCACTATGCTTATAAGTACTGCATCTCTTTCTGCATCCGAAATTGAGCTGACTCAAATACAATGCTTCCAGACGTTCTTTCAATATAATTAGTTGCATTTAGGGTCTGGCAGCAACATGTAATGATGTCCGCGATGAGAAATTCCAGTCAAAGAACATGGAGGCAAAGACCAGGTAGATCAAATAAAAATTCCGGTCCAAGTTCCTTGGGTTTATTATAGTGGATTAGGAGCACCTTAAAAAAATACAGACGCTATCTCAACTAACTGACGATTCATAATTACTAAAGATTGAGATCGCGGTGGACGCACTTGAGCTATTTGAGCCCTCATCAATTATTCGTTCACGCCCATTTGTGAATGCTATGATGGATCAAATTCGACTGTGGTTGATATTATTAAGCATTTGTTTTGTCCGACGTTGAATTTAGTTCGCAGAAGCTTGCCTCTTACCCTGGGAGTGGGCCTAGGGATGATGCAAATATCGGACATTCTAGGAATTACCAGAGTGTGTTCAATTTAGATACGTCTGTAAGTATGAAGTCCGAAGCCGCGTTTGAATTGGTACTCGGCAGACTGCACGTTGTCTCACAAGGGGTGGAGCTGCTGCCAAGTTGCTGTCGCCAGTCCAATGTGAAGATGCACATTCTGGGTTGCCAATGTCGGTCAAAATGGGCCCGTGTCTTCACATACGACCATCCTCAGGGTCTTCTTCGCCTCTGTTAATTGATCCGCGCTTCCAATCGTTGTACTGTGGCCATAAAGCATGCATTTGCGTCGTCTGCAGTTTGATCCAACCAGGGGTCGGGGAGATGTCTGCGAACAGAAGCTGTGTAAGTGCACTCGTTCTGGCCACTTATTCGTCAAGTATTGATGGATGGCTGCTGGAAATGGACCCTTATCACTTCAGCATGCATGGCATCTGCAGTCACCAGGGACTGTCCTCCCGTGCAGCATCATGACCGGGTTCCTGGGCGACCCACCCGCCATCACTTGCATGTCTCCCTCCCGAAGCTTTCTGATTCTCTCCTCTGAGAAAAGCTGATGGTCTGAGCTTGGGTCAAGATCGTCTCGCGAACGACCTCTGAGCCAGAAACATCCCCAGTCGTTGTGGTAACACAGTAGACGGCAACGGTTGCCTGCATCAGGGCCCAACTCCACATTTGCCACCGAGGGCCTTCGTTTGTAGTACTGGATGACTCAACATCTGTCCCAACTGAAAGTTAGCAAATAGCTGCTGGCGTCCAATGGTTGACCGTCCTACCCATCCCAAGCCAGTCTAGCAATTTAGTGAAGACCCAGTACACTCGGGAACGTCAAGTAGCGATCTCGAGGTCACGAGAACCTGTTCGCAATCGTAAAGATCTCGCTGCTCTCTCGATGGAGTCTAGCCCTCAATTTCCTGCCGAATAAGGTTGTTATTAGGCAAACTTGCAGAAACCAGTGCAGGGTAGGGTGATCGGGATCCCTTACGAGCACCAGAGCTGACCACCCAATCGGACGAGGAGAATGGCGTGCAGGATCTTGCATATTATGTGGTTTGTACCGAGCGATTCTGCAGTTGCTGATACCTGCCATCAAGACAAGGTTCTGGATGTCGTGCTCCCATCCTCTCTCCCGAGCATGATTCAATACGATTCGCACACCCTGACTGGCAATCATCATTCCGCACTTGGTATGCTTCTTGGTACTGGCACTTGCTGCGACACATTCACTCACAGGCTATTCGCGTATCGATGTCTCAGGCCTTTTAGGCCGCGGCGTGTGAGTTATGGAAAGAGATCCGCATCGAAACCCCGCGGGCGAACGGAGAAGCCAATGAGAGTCAGTCCGCTCGTCGATACTTCTAGTTTCTTCCGATTAATTTATTGACGGAACGATGTCCATGTTGACAAGCCAATATTGAGATGTGAGAATCCTCCGTGACAAGTGACAAACCCATTTGCTGTCCCGCGCGACAAGGTCTTTGTAGGGTAGGCAGACATACACACTTCCTCATCATCTCGTATGGGGGAGGGGGAGGCCACAAAAGAGGCAAGACTGAAATACAATTTTGAAAACGTTGCATGTCGGGTCCTGCAGGTCTCCCGCCCATGAGAACCTCAGGGATTGTAATGCGTGATAAGCTGTAAAATGGAATGACGTTGCCCATCTGAACCACTTTCGACATGGCCATGTTCCATGGAAGGGTTCGCAATGCGTGTGAAGTTAAGATAAACTTAAACCTCTGGCCAAATTCTTGATCTTTCATCCAATGTTTCGTGAATTGCTTTCAACATAACAGAGTCTGATATGAGTTTTCCGGATTTGCTTGCCCACCGTCTTCATCACTTCCTTGATTGTTTTGCACCTTCATCCTACCAACTCTAAAACAACCCAAGGCCTCACAATTCTGCCTCCAACTCCAAAGTCAAGAGGCTGACCGCTTACGGTGTGAGCAGCCATAATCATAATTCAACCAGAATCACCGACACGCTCTTGCGCTTCAAATACTGGACCCCTACCTGACTCCACGCCGTGCCCAACAGTTCGGCGGGCCTCATCGGCAGCCTGCCTTGAACCTGCATGCGGAACCAGAACCTTAGACCGCCTCTCTCACAGAACCATTTGCCTCACCATCCGGCAAAAGCCAGTCGTTCCTCTCCGCCTTTCAGTGCTGCGGCCTTGCGAACAGCGATCATCCCATCTCGCCAATATCATTCAGCCTACCCACAGTCAGAAAACAAACCACAGTGGGGAAAGAATCACAAGCGCGACAAGACTGTCAGGCCGGAAGACACATAACGTGACAGAGGGCTGGATTGCACAGCATCAGCGGTGAGAAAATACTGAACTTTCACTCGCGCAACGTCATCAGAAAGGCAGTCTCGGCGACGGCGAGGAGCTTCAGCCATTCAGTCCCTTCGACCTCTCCGGAGGCAAACCTCACAGAAGCCAGTAAGGATACGCAAGCCTGCAAGATGTTTATCAGAAGCACGGGTCCCGTCGGAGAGGTGTTCAATGAATGGCAAGGTCAATGGGGCTCATCACCTGAGACCAACTTCGCTTTTGATCTCTCAAACACAGACTTGTTCTTGAAGCAAGATACCCAAAGTCTCTACCTCCTGTATGCAAAACAGGTTGCATTTTGTGCCGGCCTTCAGAAGATGGCGCCCAGTCGCAGCGATAATTCCTACGGCACTTTCAATGTGGACAGACCCGAGTCTCAACAGTACCAGCTTCGGACCAACGACTTTGATCAATCCATGGTGTGGTTTCAGAATGTAAGATGCTTATTTTCTCCAGTCCTTTGTTCCATGTCTCGGAAAATGGTGGGACACTGACCTCGAAGTCTCTTGCAGATGGAAGATCCAAACGAAGCATTCCGTTCACTGGCCGGCAACAGCCACCACCATGCTCCGACTGAGCTTACACTGGCACCCGGTCACAACTCGCAACATGTCTCACATCCATCCTCGAGAAATAGCAACCATGGCAATGTTCGTGCCCGCCGACAGAGCAGTTTCCACGCGAACAATGGTGCTCCGCAGCCCGAAGCAAATCTCGCAAATGCTGAGAGCATTTGGAATACTGCCTCAAACTCATCCAGGGTCAATGATGCCTCCTCTCGTGCCGCCAATCCTCAAGGCTCACACAGATGGCCAGCAGCCCCTGGCGGCAACAACGAATACATCCAAGCATATGGTTTTCATGATCATTTGGCCCATGGACTACCCATTTTTCAGAGTAGCCAGACCGTCGGCCCATCATTCGATCTGGGTACGGCGACGGGCGGTGTACCCAACCCCGACAGCTCTTCCTCCTCTAGCTGCCGTGTGAACGGGAGCTCACCCAACACATTGTTTGGCAGCTTCTCATCCTCGATTGGGCCACCTGACATGATGGACATGGATGTCACGGACGAGTGCTTCCATAGCCCTTCCGTTTTTCCAGCCGAGGCTCCGTCCTGCCACAACCCCGGCGCCATCCCACAAGCCTTCCTTTCCACCTCCCTTACGCACAGCTTGCCCATCGCTCCCCGAGCAGTCTTTGCGGAACCGGAGACCATATCGCCCAATATGCTCCGTCTCAAGAACGTTCCCAGCCTACCTAGCTCATCCTCTTCCGAGTCATTGCACAATCCTTTCCGGATGGACAGTGACTCTGACGTGGCGTCAGGCGTTCCTGTGTCTCAGGAGGAGATTTTGTCATCCTCTGTCCGGCCAGCAAGACGTGAATCAGCATCGAAGATTAACCCTGCGGGCCGGAAGCAGCTGCCGGACAAGGCACCCCGTGCCAAGGCTGCCGCTCCCGCCAGTGGACCAAAACGCCGCCATGGGGGTGAGGCGGCTGCTGATAAAGCTTCAGCAACCAACTCCAAGCGAACAAAGCCAAAAACCAAGGCTCCTTCCAACACCCAGTCACATTCATCTCACCAGCGTCACACAGGTGGATCCGAAGCCAATGTTAAGCCAACTCATGGCAAGGCATCGTCCAAAGCCCTCGCCAGCACCAATTCCGACGGTGCCGCGGAGGCGTCTGTGACCCCGCCTCGCTCCGAGAGGGACGAGTTTCTGGTCACATCCAAGATGGCGGGCATGACATACAAGGAGATTCGCAAGAAGGGCGGCTTTACGGAGGCAGAGTCTACCCTTCGAGGCCGCTTCCGCACCTTGACCAAGCCGAAGGAGGCGAGGGTGCGGAAGCCTGAATTCCTGGAGATTGACGTAAGTCTTTGTACTCACTTCTTTTATCAGAGAACGGCTGCTGCTTCCATTCCCTTCCCTGTTCAGTGGTCTCAGCTTACGTGGCTTCGTTTCCCTTTCATGATACCAATATGTACTAATCTCGTGTCACCCGTAACGCAGGACAAGCTTCTTAAGAGGGCCGTGATCAAATTCACGAAGGATGTGGACGAAATCACCCGTGACAATGTTCCCTGGAAGTTGGTGTCCGAATACATAGTGGATCACGGTGGCTCGTACCTCTTTGGTTACACCACTGTTCGCAAGAGGTGGGAGTACCTGATGGTCACCAGTGAGGAACAGGTCAGGCAGGACAGGCAGGACCACAAGTTCCAGCTGTAGGAGACGAAAGGGCTAGGCGATTGGTGGTCCAATTTCTTTAGTCTCTACTTGGTTCCAGTCAGGTGCCTTGGGCTTGACATATTCTCAACAGTCGTGTGCATTTTCTCTGGAAGTTGGAGTGGCCGGTGAAATCTCATACGTTTCTATCTGTATCTGACCAAAACGTGCCAGAAGGACTAGACCGCGGTCATTGTGGGCCCAGACATCGTTCCACGATTCTGAACAAATAATGAATTAATGACCATAATTTTGCAACTGAGGCAGTCGCTCCCAATCCCTTGAAGTCTGGCCTCTTCATTTTCCCATAGTTCAATAGAGTCCACCCTTGAGCGACATTTTCCAAATATGCTGAGCCACACACGATATTTATGAACTGTAAAGCAGGCGGTGAACTAATTCTCTGAATTTCCCGAATAACATAACTGTTTCAACACTCTGATGGCTCATCGTTCGTTGTTGATATATTTAACAACCAAGAGGGGAATATTTCGGCGGTTGCTCATCTGTGAAGTATCAAGTTAGCTACCGGAGCGCTGGGGAAGGAATGCTGTGGAAGAGGGTGAAGCTGGACACAGTACGCGTCTAGCCTGCCTGGCAGGCTCCAGGTAGCCAGGTTTCGAAAGTAAACAGAGAAGATCCTTCTGGATATGGCAGATGCCAAAAATGGGGAAGAGGAGAATACTATCTGAAAGGTGCTTACAAGGCGGCGGGGCCGGGGCCGGGGTCGGCGATTCTTGCCTGTCCGCACCGCGTGTCACGGCCGCGGCTGGACGAGCCACAACATTGTCCCCCTGCGTGCGATCGCTACGAGGTTGATTTCGCCCCCAATTCAAAGCTCGTTCCTCGATTTCCCGGGTAGAGCGAGGTGCGAAGCCAAACTCTAAGCTTGATGTGCCCGCCAACGCAGCGCGGGCGGCGTGTTCATTCCCGGGGTCCGCATTGGTCTGGGACACAACAGGCTCATCACGCGTCGTGGTCCGCGCCCAACATTTATAGACCATGAAGACGATAATGATCGCCGTAATTAGGATGAGTCCCGATACCACCGCCGTCGCGATAATCTGCGGCGGCGTCCTAGGAAGCAATGGAGCTGTTGAGTGTAGGTCTCGAGTGGTGATACTGGCGTGGTCGATGAATGGATTACCATCAAAAGGCGGGAGGGAGTAGATCATCCCCCGAAAAGAAGTCAATGGAGCCATAGCTGGGTTTGGTTAATCAAGAGGGCTTGAGGGTTCAAAATGCTGTTTTGGTCACGAAGGAAGATTTGTGAAATATAAGTTTCAACGGATTTGAAAAGAGGATCGAGCTTCTGTTGCTCTGCTCAAATATCATTCTTTCCTCTCATTTAATTTAGACATGTGCGCGCGAACTTACAAATTACTGCATTTAAATTTCTAAACGACCACATAATTGATATGCATGTTTTCGCCCATGGTCCGGCGGAGACTAGGCCGTACTATACATTTAGGTCCCACCCGAGCTGTATGGTAAGCCCTGTTCTACCATTCTGTCTTTCATTTAGGTACGTACTAGTATGTAAATCAAATTCAACAAATATATTCATGGCCCTCCAAATGTGTTAGCTAGCTCTCTACATGGGCTCGGTGGTTCCATGGTGAATCACCGTCAGTTCTAAGCCTTGGGCCAGAAAACTTCATGTCGACCGAGCACATGCACCCGAATGCCACAACCTAGATTCAAGCCGAGATAGTCCAGACATCAGAATCCTGCCGACGCAATTGCAACTGACCGAAGGGGGGGGGTTCCAGAGTCAAACATGGATGCCCGATTGGCGATCAACTGTGTTGAGACTCTACCTAGCAACAGCTTCGTTCGATCGTCGCTTAACAGCAGGACCACAAGAAGAAGAAAGGTGAGGAAGACCAAAAATTCTGAGGAGGCGGTCTACATGTGTGCGGGATCTCAAAGATCCTGTTGCAACCCCAAAATTTGCTAGGATAACTCATGTTCTACCAGATTTCGTCGAATTCTTACTGATTTTGAAATTTTCTCGAGCTTTGCTGAAATTTTCTTGTCGGTCGGGTTTGCGAAGCTTTCCTGTGATGCAACAGGATATTTCTTAGGCTTAAGGTTCTTGTCTGTCCATAGACCATGTCATGCCAGTCTGACTGGGCCAGACGGCACGTGTGAGTGTATGATTATGATAATCACATTTTTCACGGCCAGGATTACAAGACAAAGAGAGTTGTTTCTCAGAATGTTCGCGGATCTCATTATTCAATCCATGCGTGTTTTTGTCATCAACCCTGATAATCGTATCTCTGTTTGCGGCACAGAGGCCAGTCATTCCCGTCTTCATTTGCTTGTCCTAACCGAAACGCCTGTAATTCCTTCCAGATTGATCAGGTTTGACGCTCTTTATCGGCCTGTAAACCCCAGCAAGAGTTGAGCAGATTCCGTTCCTTTTCAAATTCGAGAGCCAACTCGTATTCGTGGCCCCATCCATTCCCACTGAAGTGTTTCTGGTCGTAATTCGTTTCCCGCACGCTCTCTAGCTGCGGTCCCTGAAAGGCAGGCGAGCACCGATCCCGACGCGGCAGGGAGCACGAACCCTTGCCATGAATTTCGGTTCATATCAATCTTCCATGTTGACCTTCTGAAGGACATAGGCTGGGTGGAAATGATTGGACAGCGCGGCGTGTTCGATCCTATTGTCTTCCTCATTCTTGCACGATGCATCAACGTTCTGCTTGTCTCCATGTACGGCTTGTTGGACAGACGAAGACTACTAGCCCTCGTTCTCTTCTTCCGGGATTGTCCCAAGCGTAGTGCCGCCTATAACGTCGTCGCACATAGTCCCGCACCCGTATTCATCTGCCTCGACAGCCCGCACGAATTCGGGAGCCAGCTCGATGGGCACGCAGTGAAAACAGTCACGGTATAGCACGTACTCACGGCCCCCGTCGTCCGTGAGTAGTTTAAGCTTCGCAAACTCGGGGTCTGCGTGGCAGTACGAGTGCGCCCAGGCGGCTGCCTCTGCCGGAGGTGATGATGGAGTAGCAGTACCGTGGCTATTGAAAGCTGGTGCGTTGTTTGGTTGTGTATGTTTTGCTTCTATATGACACACGGCTTTGATGACAGATGCTTTCTGGCCGTCGGAGACTACATCCCTTCCAGCCACGTGTGCAAAATTCGCTGAGATTGATTCGGCCGTTTCTGGTGTGAGCACGTCTTCATTTCCCAGCTGGCTTGTTCTTTCTGCGCCGATGCACCTGTTGTGATAGTTTTGTGGAGTGCCCTTATCAATAAGCTTGTGGTAGTGCTGAAAATCTTTCAGGAGATCCAGATCATCTTCTGTCCGAACCGACTCTAAGTCAAATTTTGTATGGAAATAAGCTGATTTCTGATCGTTTTCACCGTCGTGAGATGTGCTGATGCTGGTGGCCCACGAAGACCGTCGACTAGAAGTGAGACTGCTTGACAGGCTTGAGCAGTTCTCCACGGATACTGAAGACAGAGATGGAGAAGTACATCCGTTGATATTCATGCTAGATATATTTGCAACCAGACCGTACAGATCGCTATCTTTGATACCTCTGCACTGGTCGTCGAACATTTTGCGAAATAGTATCATGCTGTCGCTGCCAGGTGTGTGGATATTCAGATGGCAAGGTGAATGTGGGTCTGACATTCGAGAATATTCCCTGTCAGCGTATTCACCTCTTTCGATTCCTTCCCACAGAAACTCATCAGGGAACGAGGTGCAGAAAGAGGCCCATGCGCCGCTACCCGACAGACATAAGTCGGGTAGGGTCAATGAGAACTCCTGCCGTTGCGCCGGGGTGGTGATGTGTACCAGGTTATGGTGTGATTTCTTGAGCACAGGAACCGGAGGAAGAAAATGCTGCATTGTGGTACTTGTATAAATGTCCTGGAACGAGAAACCCTCGCTGCCAGGCGAACAAGGGATCGGCAGTGACTCGGTTGAGCTCGTAGTGTCCGTCGTCTCAAGTTCGTCCGCATCAGTGCCAAAAATGCTCGGATCGAAAAGAGCGCGGAAGGGCTCCATCGCCCCGTACTTTTGGAGGCACTCGTCGAGAATACACAGATAGCTCGGCCGAGGCTCTTGGTGAGAGACCGTGGGCGTTGATGGTTTAGTAGCGAGATCGCATGGCTCCTCGGGCGTGGCTGTGGTGCTGGCTGGCCACATACGGACCCAAAATGTGGGTTGGCAAGTCCCTGCCAAGTTTATGCCCAGCATGCTCGTGTGACGAATCGCTGGCAGACTAGGGCGTCTCATCATGAAGACTTCCTTCGCAGCTATCGACTGCCACTACGCAGTGAATGCGAATGATGCCCCCGCGAGATGGTCGAAACTCAAAATCAATGCTAAGTTGCAGAAGTCCCGGGGTCTCAGACCGAACCCTCACGTTGGAATGGTTATTTGGTTGTTGTAAATGTGCGCATTTGTCTTAATCGGTTGATGCCGTCGAGTACGCGTCTTGTTGCAGTTGGAGTAAAGCTGGGCCAAGCGTGCGTGTGATTGCTTTGTATGAGGTTTAAAATCAACTTGGTGTGAAATGAATGAAACTGCTTTGCGAGAAAACAAGGCGAAGGAGATGGGGGAGTCTTGCATCGAAATATTCAATTAGAGGTGTCTGGCCGTTGCAGTGAGTCCAAGGTGGGCGAATTCCAGTAGCTGGTTGCTAGGGGTCCAGTTGAGGTGGTGATGGCGCGTGCCTGTGGTTGCGCCGGGGACAGTAGAAAAGGAGTAGGGGGCACCGACACATCCCTTGGTCGGATGCGGTCATCAGACAGCCCAGCAGCAAACTCAAGGAGCCTTCTCAATGGATGGAATTTTGCAAATAACTTCCATCTGATTTTATCTCCTGAGACTTCTTGTCGTTTTCCTGCACACAATTGTTCCGGAATCACACATCAACTATCAGTCACACCTCGCGACTTGGATTAGACTGATCAGCAGGTTCACGGCAAACATTCTTGAAAAGATCACATATATTGCAATCGATGTGCTGCATCTCGGTGATAAGTAAAGAGAGGTGTGCAATCGACTTGTGGGATTGAGTGCACATTTCAACATGCACGTTTCCGTCTGTGGAGTTCCATCCAAGGGCGGGCAGGGGCGCTCTTCATTTTCGCATTTGTTCTACCACTTCCCATAGCCATGAGTTTAATATGTTTCCAGAAGAAAAAAGAAGTATATAAATATCCTTGCTCCATCTCTCTCTTCCTGGTGATCTGTCCACGTTCACAATTCATAGCGCCGAGGATGATCAGATCCCCGAGGAGGGTCGGGCGAATACGCGGCCGGTATGATCGCCATCGTCCAATTGCAAAGTCGTTGAAGTTGCTTCTACTTTACAATTAATCAGCACAGTACTGCAACTGCTTTCTACGACCTGCGAAAATTCGCATGTGATTCCTTTGCCCACAACGTACCATGTAGAAATATTATAGGTTGACTGACGTTGCGCGTACCGTACTTGGATGCCCATGTTATCATCTCGATAGATGCCATGCGCCAAGCCGTTGGTGCCCAGTGCAATGCGGCCAACTCTACTATAGTGCAGCTCTGTATATCCTGTGGATCCTCTTACTTGACCCTCTTCCTCGAGCATATCTATACATAGATACGTGTATACGTACACTCTATGCGGCCTCAAAAGCGCCCGTCTTCAGTGGTTAGAACGGCGCCACGCTGGTCGTAGTGCTTTAGATATTAGATGGAGCAACGTGGCTAACGATCGAATTGCGAGCTTCGCAGCCCAATCACAGTTGGTAAATGTGGGTGTACCCATAGCTAGCTAGGGCGAGCAAAACGTGCAGCAACTGAGCTCGGCCGTGTTTTGAGTAGATCTCACTGAATGATTCATCAAGAAGGGACTTCGGTGCGATGCAGGTCATATTAGGTAATACGATACATGTCTTGTCCACGGCCAAGTCATAATGCTGGCTTTAAAAGGCCTAATGACATTTTCGCATCGATTGCGTGGCTTCGCCGCTGTTTGGCTTGAATACTCTTTGCAATACGGATACGAGCACTTCCTGGCCTGCATTTGTTTATCTGCCGATCGCAGAGCAGGGATGCCGCGTCAGTTCTTGACTAGCCATCCACTAATCATCTAATCATAAAAAGGAGGACTCGGAGCCGGTCGGACTAGACAGCATGCTCTGGTCAAGGAACTTGTGGTGCCCAACTCTCAGATGTTCTTCATGATCATGAAAAAGGCCCATGTCATCAACTTTATCACAAACTCGCGTGATCTCTGTGGATGTTCGCCGCAGGATTTGAGCTGCGCACATGAGGCTTTTTGTCTAGTCATTGACTCGTTTCTCAGCCGTAAATTTACACATGTGCACCCTCTTCAAGTCGACCGATGGTTTCTCTCAACCAAGTTTGATTCCAGATACCGTCGACCACAATGAGTGGCATCTGTCAGTGGTATGTGCGATTGCGTTCAGGGTTGTCAGGCAGGGATCAGAGCATCCTCGAACGACTCATAAGGATGGGTCCGTCACCAGATTGACAACCTCCAGGGTCCATCGAGCACGACGAGTTGGCTCGGAGCTCCGAGATTCACCACACAGATACTTTGGTGCAGGTCCGAACCGGTATACAGCAGTATCCGCCTGTTTACGCAAACATAACGACAGCAGAGTGGCACAAGCGGCGATCGATATGTATATAAATCATTTGAAGTTGTGCCTTGCGGTAAGGAGCACTCCCAGGTCCCCAGGATTCTTACGTTCCTCTGCCACAACAACTGCTCTTCCAAATTAGCCTCTGGAGTATTGAGCATCCTATCACATCATGATGATGGCCCGCCGCAACCTCAGGTTGGCTCTGTCTGCGGCCGCTCTCATGGCCCGTGCGGATGCCGAGATGTACGGCAAGGTCATCCAAACCACCCTTGGTCCGGTTCAGGGCTACCAGTACTTCACCAACCAGACCGAGCTCGAGACCTACTTCGGCGTCTCGTCCAGCAACGTTGCCAATTTCCTTGGCATTCCGTTCGCCGCCTCAACAGCCTACCAGAACCGTTGGAGGGCCCCTCAACCCAGAGAGCCATGGAACCAGACTTTGGTTGCCGACACATGGGGCGCTCCATGCCCCAGCAAGGATACCGCGGGCTACAGCGAGGACTGCTTAAACCTCAACGTGTGGACTTCAGCCAACTCCTCGACCGACAAGCTCCCTGTCATAGTCTGGAACCAGGGCTCCGACGAGACCTCCAACAATGCATGGTGGTACGGTGGTGGAATGGCTCTACAGCATGATATTATTGTCGTGACTTTCAACCGTCGCGATGACGCCTTCGGCTTCTTGGCCCATCCGGACCTGAACGCCGAGTCTCTTGCTGAGAACGGCCATAACTCCTCAGGCAACTGGGGTATTCTAGACCACAAGGCCGCCCTGGAGTGGGTTCAGTCCAATATCGCCAACTTTGGTGGAGATCCAGATAGAGTCACTATCATGGGCCAGTCTTTCGGCTCCTCCCAGGTCTACCACGCCGTGAACAGTGCTTTGTTCAAGGGGCTCTTCGCCGGTGCCATCTCTGAGTCCGGCATCCACTACCCTACCAACCCGTGGATCAACGGTTTAGCGACCTCATATGTCAACATGTCCCGCGCACTTGAGCACGGTGTAAACTACACGACCAACCACAACGCCACCAGCATCGCGGAGCTGCGGTCTGAGAGCGTCTCCGTCGATGACCTGCTCGTGGGCTCGCAAGATCGCGTCGGCGCAGCAGACATGTGGTGGGTCACTGCCGTCAGCGCTGGCTACCCTCTGATTTTCAAGCCCGTACTGGACAACTATGTCCTGCCCGAGAAATACATGGACCAGTTGCTGCAGGGCCCAGCTAACGATGTTCCTCTGATCACTGGTGGCACCCATGATGAAAATGGCGCGTCTCCTACCAATTCCTACAACGCCTCCTATATCAACGAGGTGTGTGCACTGAAATGGGCCAATCTGTCGTCGCAGTACTTTGAGCTGTACCCCACTGGCAACACCACCACCTCCGCCAATGCAGCGTGGAATCTCGCGACCCTCGACCTCGGCTCCGTCTCCCAATGGATGTACGCGACCGATCGCGTCGTCCGCTCGAACGCCACCGCTCCTATCTGGACATACCTCTGGAACCACGCGCCCCCAGGACAGGACCAGGGCGCTTTCCACCAGTCCGAGATCATGTACGTGCTGAATGCGCTGTATGCCAACAGCGATGTCTACCCCTTTGTCGATCAGGACTTCTATATCCAGAGCGTGGTCTCTGCATACTGGGCAAACTTTGTCAAGACGGGAAACCCAAATTACGGCGACTCATATGGCAACGCCAGCGCCAGCCTGCCCTACTGGGCGCCCAACACCGCCGATACCGGAAACATGTTCAACATTGGTGACTCGTTCCAAAACATCAGCCTTGCAGGAAACGAGACCATTGGTAGTGCGACCTCAGAGGCGAAAATCTCTCTCATCCAACAATATTATGCTCAGCAAACTGCCTTTTAGATAGATTGAGTTCAGATGAGTTCACAATCGGTCTTACTTCATCCGATCTCGCGGCTGCCTAGGCTCCGAGATGAGGCTCTGATCCAAGATGAGACGGATCATGCTTTTTATGTGTGCATATTGAATGATCTTGTACATAAATAAATCAATGCACATGTCTCTTCATCACAGGTGTTCGAGGCCAGGCTGAATGTGATTATATTGATTTGTCAATTCTGCGACTCGCATCTGCCTGAAATTTTCGGTACTAGAAGTTTCTCTCGTCTATATTGTAGCTTATGCTCTCGTTGATCCGATAGGCCTCTTCAGTCGACACATCTCTTAGATTTCAAATGGCCTGACTTTTGAGACTGGACATTGAGGCAGATCGCGGACTACGATGAGAACATTTCCCGAACAGTCGGGACCTGTGTTTGGCTAAGGAAAGGGTCTCTCTCTTCCTCCTTTAATCTTATTTTGCTTTTTCTCTTCTTCTTGCACATGTTTGCGGCGGCCTCACGAGGAAGATTTATCTTGGTTGCATCTTATTCCATACTCGATTCGTGTGCCACTTATGTGCCTGCCTTGATGCTATTGATGCATGCGTGATTATTGGCACTCAGTCGAAGCATTGCGGATGCTGTTGACACGAAGATGATTTAGCATGGCATACACGCTCTTGTGGCACCCATGTCAGGAAATGTCAGCAAAACAATACATTAATATCCGAGTCTTCCAAATACTGGACTCGTATGCCACTCGCGTCTCAGACGGAAGCACACTTCTCCGTGCTCATCTCATCCGGCCACAGTACCTAATCTGGCCAGGCTAGAGGTATGTCTATGCCTAATCAATGCCCCCGTGCCTCCCATGTCCGAGGAATCTGAGTTGGTGGTACGACTCGGTATGCGATCCGGTCCCAGGGTCCAATGGAGCCTCCGGACTCTTTCAATATCGATGCCTTATAGTATACTTGACCACCATTGTCCCGCAAGGGTTGCTGGTCAATGTAGTTCGACTACTGCGGTAAGCGTGTGACCGGGGCAGCATGGCCAGGTTCACCCAGTGCATGGGTTGCATGTCGATTGATTCACTTTACTGCCTATGGTTTAGCTCTTCGACTCGTCACGTTCGAGGGTACGATGGTGGGTTGCACTCAGACGGCACTTGTCTCCGTGGTTGATTTTGAATTTTTGGCAGTCTTCTGCTCCAAATTATAGCGTCGTAGTCAGGCTACTGCGAGGACTTGAAAGCATGAAGTGAGGGAGAGGGCCGGCTACGCCTAGGGGTTGATCTGAAACGGCCGTCCCATCAACGAATGATCTGCAGCCACAATGCTACATATACCATGAACCGCATTCATAACATGATGTATTTTGTTTGAGAGATATTCTGTGCTCATGGTACCCACAGCTGTTGATCTACGGTTATCCGGACAGCTGCCATCTGCCAGTGTCAGGGTCCTTGGCGGGTGTCGAGTGCGGCGATTCGTACCCCCTGTTCAACACCCCCTGTGACTTACTATACCCAAATGGGTAGCTGGGCCGGCGCAGATGTACCCTCCCTAGGGAGTACTTTTACGCCACACTAGGTCTGTATAAGTACACGCTTAATAGCCTTATACACCTAAAGTGCAGTGTATGCTAGCAGGCTGGGGCGCGTATGTATTAGTTAACTAACTTACAGCTATCGCTAAACACCTATTTAGCTATACATGTGATTACTTTAAGGTTAAGTAATGGTTTAGGGGTGGTATATATATATTTGTTATTTATAGTGCTTTTAGGCTAAATCACTCAAATCTATAGTCTTTTCCGTTTAATTAAAATATTAGTAATAGCTAGCAGCTAACTGGCGTTCCGTTAAGTATAAATTTGTAGTTCTTTACTGTTGTTTAGCTTAATGTTGTTGTTGTTGCTACTGCCGCTGTTATTGCTACTATAAGTTTTTTAAGCGGCTGGTTGCTTGTTTGACTTAATGTTGTTATTATTATTGCGCGTTGCTTAATAAACCGCTAAATTGTAATAATATTAATAATTTTGGTTATGTGGTGTAGCTGATTAAAGGGTGATAATAATATTTGAAAACTCTGATTAAGCTTAGTGCTTAAATGATGATACACTTTTGTGGTAACTTTGAGCTTTTTTTTTTTGGAGCTTGGGGCTGTGGGTTTAAGTTGCCTTTGTAATTTCTTTTTTGGGCAGCGTTTTTTTTGCTATTGCTACTGCTAATACTGTAATATTACCGATGCTATTGCTTAATTGCTATTAAGTGGATGAAAGGAGGGTCGCTGCTGTTAGCTGAGGGTGATAAGGGCGGGTTGCTTTTGGGTGATGGTAAGGATGAGCTGTTATCGAGTGGCGGGGATGATGGCGGGCTGTTATTGCTGCTGCTGCTGATGCTGTGATATTGCCAATTCCATCGCCCAGCTGCTGTTAGCTGGGAGTAACAAGGGCCGCTGCCTATTAGTTAAGGGAGATAAGGGCTGCTGCTTATTAGCTGGGGGTAATAAGGGTGGGCTGCTGTTGAATAATAGTGATAAAAGCAGGCTGCTGTTGCTGCCATTGCTGCTATTGTCGCTGTTGTTGTTGTTAGCGGCCAGGCCGCCACTTATCATTACTAGGAATAGCAGAACAATCATCCCTAGGGTTATAGTAATGGTTAGAGCCTTTGTAGCTATTAAAGCTGTTGCTGCTATAAGTTCCTTAAGCGGTTAGGCGCTTGCTAAAGCTTATAGTTTTTAAAAGCTAGCTGCTTAGCTAATTAATTAGTTACTAAGTTAATTAATTAATAAAAGTGTAAAGTAATAGTGTAAAGCAGTTTAGTAGCATTTTTACTTAGTTAAACTTAAGTAAAAAAAGTAGGTTTATTATAAAGTAAGTGCTTTTAGTTTAAATTACTTAAATTTAATTTTTTTTTTATTTAATTAAAATATTAATAATTAGCTATTATTAGCTAATATGCTAATTAAAAAGGTATTATGCTTATTAATAATTAATAACTAAATTATTGCTATTTATTTATAGGTAATAGTTAGCATTTAAGGCCTTAAAGGAATTACTATATAAACTTATTAAAAGTTGCTTTTTTGCTTAAACAGCTAGCTAATTATTAAAGGCTATAAAAGTAATAGTTAATAGTTTCTTTATATATAATAAGTATATTTTAATACTAATTTTATAATAATTGTATTAATACTGTTTAGCTTGGGCTTTGCGGCAGCTAATTTGATATTAGCTATATAAATAATCCAATTAATTTTGCTATTAATATATAATTACTATTACTTTACTAAGCTAGTGGATATAGCAGTTGCTAACTTTTAGAGAGAGGGCTATATTCTTAATATAGCTTAAATTACTGTAGTGGTAGTACTATAGCTGGTTTAGCTGTTGTATAGCTTTTTTTCTAACTCGAAAGGGTTTATAAGGATTCTGAATAAGCTGCTTATAATAGTAGGAATAAGCGATAAGGTATTTTTAGTATTGCTTTTAGTATAGAGTTTGTTAATAAAGGCGTAGCTAAACTTGATTGTGGAGTATTATTTAGCCCTTTTAGCGTTTAGTAAAAGTATACTTTTTGTGCTTAGTAGAACTTGTTTAGTTTAAGAACGTTTAGCAGCTTATATAGTGCGTTATATAGCTTTTGCTCCTTTTAGTGTAAAAGCTTTAAGTAATAAATATTCTTAAAAGGGTTATTTGCTTATTAAAAAGTTATTAGCTTAACTAATTTATATAAGGTAAATATATACCCTTTAAGATTTTAACTATTAGTAGTAAGAAATATTCTCTTTTTGTAATTTTTTTATATACACAATTTTTAAAGATTTACTATAATTTAAAACTTTGTATAAATACTGTATAAAAATATAGTGGCAATAAAGTATACTTATTTGCTTTTAAATTTTGTTTATGTAAAGTTTAAGTAAGTAGGCTTTAAAATTTTTATATACCCTTATTATTGTAATATATTACTTTTAAATTAATACTATTATACTTTTTAAAATGTAAAATATAAGATTTTATATTAAATTAATATTTTAATACTTCTAAAGCAAATTAAGGAATTCTTTGTTAATTTAAAATTTATACTAGTCTTTATAAACATTACTAGCTAAAAGCAAGCTTTTAAGCATTTATGTAAATTTATTATTTTAACCATATAAAAATAATTTAAACTTATAATAGCTACTTTTGCTTAGCTGCATAATTATTAAACAATAATTGCAATAGTTAAACGTATAAGCAATTAAAATTTATATACAATAAGTAAAGATTTTATAATAATAGTTAATAAAGTTTATAGCAAAAGTATTAATATACAAAAACTATGCAAATATCTTTATAAACTAACTAAATTAGTTTTTTTCTTAAAAGTACTTAAAATTTTAAACAAAAGCATTATAGTTCTCTTACAATTTAGCATAAATAAAATCGCTAAACCATTTATATATACTCTAAGAGTTCTATATATATTCTTTTAGGCTAGCATTATTATTAACTATTATAGGAAAGGTGTTAATTAAGCAATTACATTAAGCAAGCGTTTTAAGCATAAATAGGTTAGCAGTTAGCATTAGGAATTCAATTTAGAAGTTCTTTATTGCCTTAATAAAGTTTTTAAAAATATACTATATATACAACTGCAATTATATTATTTTATATACTTTTTTAATTGTATTGCATTAAGCTTTATTTTAATTAGTTAAAGCAATAATAGGGTTGTTAGCTTTAGCTAAACAATATAATTTTTTATCCTGCTTAAATGTTTATATAAAAAAAGGCTCATCTTTTACAGAACTAATAGTATAGGCTAAATTTAGTATAGTTTTAACAGCTAACTAAATAATAATTTTAAAAAGCGGAATATTAAAAAAGTTAATTTGCAATAGTATAAAATTACTGTAAAAGAATTAGCTGTTATATAAAACTTGCTTTATAAGTATTATTAATAATAATAACCTTTGAATTTTTTACTAAAATATTAAAATTCTTAAAAAATAACTAATAAGCATACTTTAGCTAGCCCTTTTTATTAACCTTATAGTTATAATAATTACAAGTTTTCGCTATTAAAAGAATAAAGTATTAAATAAAAGTATAATTGCTATATTCTTTTTATTAAATTGCAAAAAGCAAGCTTTTAATATTTTTTTAGCAAACAAATATATACTTATTATTCTTTACTTTAAAAAACAGCTAAATTAATTAATAAGTTTGCTTAATTAAAAAAGCAATACTTTTAATATATTTACAACTCTTATAATTAATTTACTATAAAGATAGTAAACTATAAAAGGTAATTTTAAAGCTATAATTATATAGTAATACTTTAAAGAAATTAATTTTTCACTTATAACTAATCCTCTTTAAGCAGTTAATATTAAAAGTAAAAAAATAGCTAATTTTAACTGTTTTAGTATTGGGAGTATTAGCATTAGGAAAAGGGTAGCTGCTATAAGTATAATAAAACTATATCTTTTTACTCAATTTGTTTTTATTTTAAAATTACTTTTTAGCAACTATATAGCCCTAAATATTGCTATAAAGGTTTATAAATAACTTAAAGTCTTTTTTAGTTAAAAATTGATAATTATAAGGTAAAGAAAGCATTATAAGTATAATAGGCTAGTTTTTAGCTATAGCTATGCTTTTTAAGTTATTTATAAGGTTATTATCTTAATTATCAAAAAACTCTATTTTTAAGGCTGCTAAATTAGTAAGTATAACTAAAGGAATTATTTTTAAAGTTACTAAATCTAATAAAGCTATTTTTAGTAATAAAAAAAGTGTGATTATTGTATAAATGATAAAGTTAATTTAGGTAGTTGCATATATAAGAGTAGTGATTGCATGCATTAAAAAAAGTAATATAGCTATAGCTTAACTGTGCAATAAGCAACTAACTAAGCAATAAAAAAGTAGCAATTTTATAAAGTATAAAGAAGGATGTAAGGGTTTATATGCTATTTTGGCTGGCAGGGGTTGATTGAGTTTTTTGGCAGCATGATAGCCTATTTGGGCTAAAAAGTCACAGGGAGTATTGAACAGGGGGTACGAATCGCCGCACTCGCGGGTGTCGCAGAGACATCTTGCATTAAGGAGAATCCATGCACGGAGATCTGGTCACGATCTGCTCCGGATGACTCCTCTATCGGTTCAGACAGCTCGGATCCGGAAAAGACAGCCCCCAAGCTCCTACCCCGGCCAAGGGGCTTAAATGCACACCTGCTTGAGAGTATATCATAACGTGTGTGCGCCTTGTCTCTGGTGGGATGTGGCTCTTGAAGGTCTTCTTCCTCCCTCGATGCTGTCACAGCCGATGAAGCCACCTGCAAAGGCTTCATGAGATCCTAAACCACTTCAACTCAGTGCTGGTTGGGCCGACCACCGATATATAGGTCGCGATGTATTGGCTATACATGCTCATTTACCTGGGGGCAGTCTACGCTGCCTCTCCCGACAACCACAAGAGAGACCTGGCGTCAATTCAAGCTTCCCTCGACGCCATCAACGTCGGTCTCCAAAGAGTCGACACAGCGATCCTGGGAATCGCCCAAGGCACAGGCGCCTCCCTCCTACAGCTCGGCATGCAAGCCGTGCCACTGCTTCAGAATGCGAGCGCCCAGATCCGACAATCCGAGCCGCTGAGTCTTGAGGACTCACTCAACCTCGCCACGACGACGTCTGCACTGCGGCAGAACACCAACCTCACCATCAACGACCTCATCGCGCAGAAGCCTATCCTGGATCAGACGGGCTCCTCTGCGCTGGTAGCCGCCGGTCTGCAGCAGCAGAGGGATGCCAGCAACGACCTGGCCGTTGCACTCGCCAGCAAGGTCGCGCCGAACACGCCCAACGTCGTCCAGGCTCTGAACGAGCTCTCTGGCATCTTCGACCGGGCCATCGCCGCGTTTAGTGGCGCGAACCCAGGGGCCGCTTCACAACTGCCTCCCGCACCGACTTTGACGGCTTCTCCAGGTGACCTCGCGCCTGTCACGCTTCCGGCCCCGGCCGCATCAGCGGCTAATGCTGTGTCGCAGCCTCTGACCGGGATGGGATCTATCAATCCTGACGGATCGTGCAATTGTGCTGTTGAGTGCCCAGCTGGTTCGTTGGGTGGCTCGATGGTCATGCGCTTCGTGTAGGCGTCTCGGCTGGATGTGCAATCATCTAGCAAGTGGTGATTTCTTTCTTGTGTTTAAGTAGGGTAGCTACGGATATGTCGCTGTTGCAGTCGTTGACCACAGGGCAAGGAGGCGCAAAAGGTTGCAATTTTGACTCTAGGGTTTACCATTCCGAAATGATTGTTGGGCAGGTAATGGAGTCGAAAGAGAGATTATAATATGTCGTACCAAAAGGACCGAAAATTAAAACGTTAACTTTTATCCATGTCTCTAGTGATCAGCTGAATGGTGAATGAAGCTTGTGTTAGCAAAATACAGAATACCCAATGAATAATAACACAATAATCCATACCTGCCTGTCATTCGCGTCCCTCAGTGCGATCATCACAGTTAAACTTCCGGCAATGCCCTATCGCCCGAAAGTCTGACAGCCTCCGTCGCTCAGGTCAGGTGTAATGTTTGCATACCTGTTCTGAACTGTACGCAGAGACAACCGGCAGCGACGGAGTATTTTGTCTGCCGTGAACGATGCTACTGTGATAGCGAAGCTGGCGTCATCCCTGGAAGTATAGTCTGAAACAACACGGTGGTATCCATGCGATTGGCTCACAGAGTCACTTTCCTCTCCAATCCCAGATGATCCATGTACCTAGCTTAGCACCAGCCTCGGTTCACATGCGGAAGCTGTTGATATACATTGTTTCGATTGCCTTGCTCAAGACTGTCAATGTTTTAAAGTGAACTCAATCATCCCTCACCTACTGTCCCTCTGTCAAATGCATGTGGTCTGACAGTCGAGGTGTGAGTAAACATCATGGCTGATCCTAAGGACTCCGCCAGCAAGGCGGCAATCCCGCTGGAGCTACTGAAAGTCGAGGCTGCATTTGTGAAGCGTGCGTTGACCTCCTCATCCGGCAAGCGCACAAAGGGATTGGGGGCCCCGACCTACAAGCGAGATGTCATGTATGCCGCCAGTAAGCATCACCCGGACACCGCGGTCTGTTTTCTAGAGGACCACTCCTGCCAGACTTGACAGTGGGCTATGCTTGAAAGACAGGCTATGGGCAGGAAATAATCCATTTTTGGTCCATTGTTTGTTGTAGCGAAGATTCCTCCATGGAACCCAAGAGCTGACTGGGTGCTGCAGTGAGAGAGCTTCTTGGCGGATTGAGCACGCAACAGATACAAGCCATTGTTCCAACGACGGATAAAGTGTATGAGAGAGTGGCCAAATGGAAACACGAGAAGCTCAAAAGCGTAGAACTGGGCTCAGGTGCTCAGGGGCACTGGATCGGGCCTGAACAGGCCAACCACGTCATGCTGTATTTCCATGGTGCGTTCTTCAAGCTTGTACGTCCTCGCTGCCTTTGCTGACTGATTCCCAGGTGGTGGCTTCTATGCACCAGCAACCATGGGGCATCTAAGATATCAGTTCACGTTGCAACGTGATATGGCGAAACGAGGCCAGGACTTCGCGATATTTTCCTTGACGTATACCCTTTCACCCGGCGCGGCATACCCCACGCAGCTCAAGCAGGCCGCATTGGCACTCAATTACCTACTAGTGGACGAGCATCGCGATCCATCGTCAATACTACTCGGCGGAGACTCAGCCGGTGGAAATTTGGCTGCCGCATTGCTGGAACATATTGCTCGTCCGCACCCTCAAGTCCCGGCCGTTACGCTTTCACGCCCCTTACATGCCGCCCTCCTGATCTCGCCGTGGATATCCTTCCAAGTCAATGAGTCATCTATCTCCAGTAACGCCGAATCCGACTATTTGACGCCAAGGGCATTGAGGCGAGCGTCCAACGCCTATATCGAGCCGGGGGGACAGCATGATCAATACTCGCAACCCGTCACTTCTCCGGCAGAGTGGTGGGCTGACATAGCCCGCAGCGTGGTGGACAAGATGATGATCTGGGGAGGAGGAGGCGAGGTCCTGATTGATGGAATTCGGGCCTTCGCCGCGACGGTCAAGAACGGGTTCTCCGAGGCCGATGCTGAGAGAGTCAATCGTGACGAGCAGAAAGGGACGGACAGGTTCACATTCGTTGTAACGCCGAAGCATTCGCATGAGGAGATGATCATTGATGAGGTCTTCTTCAGGAGCAAGAAAGGCGAAGGTGCGGAGGTAATTGAAAGATGGTTGTCTGGAGTGCTAAAATTGTTGTAACTCATCTGCCATTTGAAAGGAAGTTCTCTGATTAGGTAATACCTTTTGCTCGCATCCCTATCTGCTTATCTTCTCTGTTTTAGAAAAATTGCTGGAATCTTTGTGCATATGGGACCTAAGCGTTGCAGTTCTAGTTACGACAATCCGGATACATGTCATCCCATTGTGAAACCTTTTTATGCTTCCAAATAGATATAATCGTGAAATGTTCATAAGTACAATAGACGGAATGATCACACTTAGACAAGTAGGATCATTGACATTCAGTCATAAAACTAGTGGCTTGTGTGCCAACGCGGTAGTCACCTGTGTTTGCAAAGCAATGTCGACTTACTGTCTCCGTGAGTAGTTTGTTTGGACTTAAAAGACCTTTTGAGGTCAGACCATCAGTCCTACCGTCTTGTGTTCTCACCTTGAGCAACAAAATTACTGAAATGTAACTTTAGAACAATCCATCGAGTAGGGTGCTTCGAAAGATTCATTCTTGCCATAAGGTTAAACGCGTCCACGTGTGCCAACCATGACGTTGTACTTAAATGTTTGGAAAATTCGACGCTTCTCTGAAAATTATATACGACACAGCCCATGCCTATGCGGTTACAGCGTGAGTGGGTGCCTTCAACAGATCACTCGTGCAGCCGTTCAGAGGTTTTGTCCATTGGATCCTCCTACACCTACAAAACACTGCATTGTACATATTTCATGGCTGCATACATATTTACGGTGAATCCATTGTTATCGGTAATTGCTTACTCATATGAATACTCTGATAACCTATGCATGTCTTATACTTTTTTTTGGTGTACTTGAAATGGTGGTATCCTAGGTCCCATAGAGCCATGCCGATCAGTCAATAGTGATGAAGCACGCTCCGTCGATCCGGAGATCTTACTGGCCATGTCATGGATACATTCAAGGAATCAGACTGCGATGCCTTTGAGACTTCTCGGATGGCCACCGACATTACTTTGTGCTGAGCACCAGGACGGTCCAACCCATGGTCGATTCAAGCAGGTATGCTTCACATCGAAGACATCATAGAGGTATGATAGTATAAATCAAATAGGAACGTTTGCCTGCCAATGGGGTATAGACAATTGACGAGCACCACGCAGTTATAAACATGACAACACAGCTAACACTCTTCAAGTGTCTCTTATTGCAGCATGGTCGAATCACAGCATCATGGACAGCATTTTACGTGATAATTTATGTCTCTTCAAATCTGTGGTCTGCAAGTATTTACTACTCAAGCGTTCGATTCAAGTAGAGGAACTAGATCTGACAACATTAGGAACTCACTAAGATGGCTACTTAATTACACGGCCGCCGATCTACCCCCTCCAACCTCAACAGCTCAAAGCTTTTGGAGTTCACAAAAACAACAATAAGATCCCGCTACTTGGGGGATTTTGTTCCAAAATTTCCCGAGCGTCTCAGTGTCCCCTCAAGACGTCTCCATTTCCGCTATCGATATTGCATTCAGGGCTATAGTTCAGAATGACATTGGGAATAAGGATTTGAGCAACTTGGGCGACTCAGAGATTGTGCACTCAATGAGACACAAAAGCTGTTAGGCGGTCGGAAGTCTAACGAATTATAAAACCACATCTTTGATACGCATTTGCTTTTAGTATCACAACTTAGTCACTCACGGTCTGGAGACACAAGACCATCGTTGAAAGCCTAGGACCATCTGTTGAACCACCACGCTCACCCGTGTCATGAAGCTTCACAATGTCCTGGTCGCGATAGGCTTCCAATGCTCAATCCCTCTCTCTGTGGACACGAGCCAAACGACGCCGCCTTCCCAGCCACCCATGTCATGAGACTCATGCCCCAGATCCACGCCAGACTGCTTTACTGCGTCTTCGATTTCTTTCAGCTTCGCTTCATCGATGGTCACATCGCCACTGCCGCGCATCGTCAACTAACGTCAAACCAATAAAGAGATTGGGCCTCAGAAATAACCAGCGCCTAGAAATGAATGGACAGGACTCACTACATCAGACTGACATGAGGTCCAAAGGCCTCCCTCCAATCCGAAAGCCACGATTTCGTTTTTGGGCCGACGTCATCCTCCCCCTCGACACCGCGCGCCCTAGCAATGGCTGCGACGTCCTTCGCGCCATCGAAATCGCACTTGATGTAGCATCTCCGGAAATAGAAGTCCTGCGACTTCACACTCTCGAAGCGCACCACTGACTTGGACGCCTCAGGAAACGGAATGCTATCCAGCCATTTCTGGGGCTGATCACCGTAGACGCTGGGGTCGATGCCGGACGTTAGGGTCAGGTGTGGCGCGAAGGTTGGTGGGCGCGGGGACTGATCTGGGAAGTGCGCTGGGAGGGTCGTATCGATGAGCTTGGTGATGATCCCGTGCAGAGGGTGGGTTGGTGGTGGCGTCAGCCACAGTGAAGAGCCTGCCATTGTACTATGCGTTTTTTGGGGGCCGGTGGATGAGAATTGGTGGGATATCGAGAGCTGAAGGGCCTCTGAAGGTGAGGGTGAGTGGAAGGTGGTCGAAGGTTGAACAAGGGAGCGGGGCCAGGGTTCAACCCGGCTCGTTTCTCTCACTACAGCGACGTGACACGACATTTCACAATCAGCGTTCCCAAGACTGAACATGTGACGATGTTTTGTGAGGTTTTTTGACCACAACATTCCATGGCATCGCACATAAGCTGAGTATAGAACATATACACAGGTTATTTATCAAGTTCAACAAAGAGCCAGCTGTGGGACGAGTCGGGAAGTTGACGGACGACATAGACGAGCCGCGTAGAGGATTGTATGGGTCAAAAGTGGTATCAATCGAATAAAAGACATTATCAACGCTCATCGTCAGTCATTAGCCGCTCCCTAACAGGAGCACTCAAGCCCCACTCCGTCTCCTGCCGGACCTCCCCTTCCTCCCCTTCCTCCGCCACCATACCTTGATCTTCTTTCTGAGCGCCGTATTAAACCCGTACGTCAGCGCGTTCGCCAGCCCGACAAATTGACTGCTCGACTGCAGCGCCGCCAGCACCCTGCTCTGCGACGTGTTGCCCGTCGCCTCCATGAAGCGGTTGACCAGCCCGGGGATCCACAGGATCACGTACATGATCGGGTACGCGTTGAGCAACAGCATGCGCTTGATCTCACGCTCCATCTGCCGCGTTTGCCGCCGCTGTGGGAACTCGCTGTCGGTCGTGACCATGGCGTCGAATTTGCTCCCGCTGAGCGCCGGTGGTGGTGCCTTGCGGTTCGCAGTCGTCTTCATCGTCGGTGGCCGGTGGCCCGTCTCCTCCTCGATGATCTGGTCGTGGATGTCGTTGTAGTCGACATCCGAGTCGGACACGGAGCACATCGAGCTGGCCCTGCTGCGTCGTGCTCTCTTGCGGTCCCCGGACGCGAACTCATCGTGCATATCGTCTTCATTGGTCCTCACGTAGGCTGCTTCGGGGGCTGACATCTCCCATTGGTCCTCCAGCACCCTCGATATCCTCGACTTGCTGACTGTCGACAGCTCCGTGTCTTGCTGCTCGTCGTCCTGGCCGTTGTCCATTTTGTTAAATCCCTTCCGCCGGCGCCGGGAGCGCTCCGTCGCGCCGCTCAGGTCAGTGATAGTGGTGCTGACCATCGAGCGGAAGTGCCGGTTCATGTACCACCACACGAAGATGTAGATCCCGGCGGTAAAGAAGATGATGGCAATTCTCCACCCGTGCGTCAGTGCATACCGAAGGCCCGTCTGAGAGCTCATAATCCAGCACCAGTTGCCGCTCACGGGGCCCATCTTGCCCATGGAAGTTGCTATCGTCGCGGTGATGAAGGGAATCACCCATACGGAGACGCAGATTGCGACCTTACGCCATGTCGAGGCGTTTGGCATATATGTCGTCCGGGTTATGGTAAGGAGTGTGACGAGCGCGATGACGAGGATAGAGAAGTCCGATGCTTGCACGGACATTTGGCCAATAAAACCATTTATTGTGCATGCTGTGCTGGGATACAGAGCATGATCGCGTAGATATATAATTCCTGATACTGTATTGTTCAGTGTATTTACGAATTCTGTACACGACGTCAGTGTTCGTCTTCACTGAAGTAACCAGTCGATGCAATGGACATGAATCGATTATGCTAGGCCATATGTGGAGGGCAAAGGGCACGTACCAGCCAATGCCAGGTTGAAGACCAAGGCATGACGAAAAGAACGTTGCTCATGGCGATAATAGGCGTACGAGGCCAGGACGCACGATGTAGCTATGAATGAAATGAGACTGCCGGAGAAGGTGACTGAGGCAACGAGCCCGTCGAAGCCCGCCCTTGGATCCATCGTGACTTGTATAAGCACCACAGGCTCGAGTGATGTCGATAATTTGAGAGTAATGACTGGTAGCGGCGGTCACACCGGATGAGCACGCCGACCCAGCCGAAATAGACACTGCCAAAGAGAGTGATGACCCTCCCCCAGAGTGGATCGTGGGGTCTTCGTCCGCAGGTGTCGAAGTCAGGGGTCGCGGGTCATGAGATTCGTGCCATCAATTCGGTCGTTGGGCAGGACGTCGGTCGAGTGGTGATAATTTCGACTCGCGAACAAACTCAGGAAAGCGAAAAAAGGCTGACAGCAGAGGAAAGAGATGGCTTTACTCGATTACCCATGGAGCCAAGCAGGGCGCAGCGGAACCCATGCGTGGACGAGTGGATCATCGCCATCAAGAACTCCGAGATATTATACCAGTACAGAGTGCTGCCGCACGTAAATATCACGACTGACTCGTGGCCCGTACAAAGATGAATTCAGGGGTTGGCGCGGGCTTCCACGTCGATCCCTGATCCGCAAATGACCCGACCGGGTCCAGCAACCTGGATTGGCGAGGGCCAAGTCCTGGAATGTCTATTTCGGGCCTGCCCTGAAAAATTGACGTTTATGCAGATTGGGTGAAGCGCGCGGGCGGCTGTTTGATTTCGCAGCAAAAGGTCTGAGCACACGGGCGAGGCATTCCAGCCAAGCACAAAAGCCCTACAGCTGCCGTGCATCGTCCCAAGTCGCTTATACAGATCCTTTGGGGAAGCTTATCTATAATGGCTGGACCGCATGGAGTGTGGTGTCGCGCATAGCCGCAGCGCGGTCTTACTGCGGCTGTTATCGCCAACCCTCGCTTGAGCGAGCGAGCTTTGCCGAGTTTCGGCGGGCTTGACGTGATCTGGGGGAGGTCCCACTTCACGGGATCCACAAGCCCTCTCTCGTCAGTTTCAGAAAACCACGGGGTGACCAAGTGAGGCGAAGACAAGCTTCGCGAAGTTTCAACCCGCCTGTCCGAGTCGATGGACAAAAAGAAGCACGAACATGACAGAGTCTCTGCTAGTCGTCGCCGTCGTCGCCGTAAATGTCGTTTAAGCGTTAGCCTTTGCTCTTGGCAGGAGTGCGCTGCAAGTCACGCCTGCTCGCACGGTTTGCATCTAACGTTGCAGAATCGACTCAGCCATTGGACGAACTTGGGCTCCGGACCGTTGTGAGGCTGATTGAACCTGATTCGGCAGAGCAACTTCACCTCGTGGCAGTGACATCTGATACCGGCAGCTTGTACTCGCAACCTGCAAACGGTCTCGTCAATGCCGTGGCAGTGTCCCAACGGGGTGTCTGAAGAGAAGGGGGATAGTTCGCACGCTTGCGCGAGTCGTTGATTGACATCGGACTTTCGGACTCAAAACATGCCCCTGCAAATAGTCAGTCTGAGGTAACCCGTGCAGACAATGGATTAACCACGTGAGGCCAAATGAAACATATACTCTTGCTATTCCCGAAAAGGATTTAGACTAAATCTTAAATACAACACCATAGGAGTCTAATTCTTTTATGTCAAGTGCAAAATACTCGGTACAATGGAGTTTTTCCTACTAGTGTCTTTTCTATGCATTTAGTAATGCTATTATCATGAGAAGCTTTACTCAAAGCTGAGGCAGTGGGAGATTTAAGTAGAAGAGAATGAGTTTTGCCGAGTGAGCAAGACTTTTGAAGACGTGCAGCAACTTGAGACTGAGAGGAGCTGAGCTATCAAGCAAGTGCACCTCAGCACATGAACATTAATTCCTTACGTCTACGTCGAGCTTCCCAAGTGGCTGTCACTACTAGTATCCCTGAGCCATGACAGCCCTATACCTTCAGCAGCCGGGTCTTGAAAGTGGCTCCAGCCTCAGGTTACCATGTACCTTTCTCTCGCTCCTGTAGGTTAGCTATGACGATTGCTGAGCCAGTTGGCCCAGCCAGCCCTCCAAGTCAGCCATTACACGTTCCCCAAGAGACTCATCAAAAAGGCAATCCTGCCAGCTGCCGCCAACGCACAGCCGCTCTCCGGATACCGTCAGGGGCGAGATGTTGATCGCAGCGGCAGTCGTCTCCGTGCTCAGTGCGAACTGCGCCCTCCGGATCGCCCAGACGTCATCAGTACTAGACGATACCGGCGGCAGGGACGGTGCACTACCGCTGCCGGGGCCCGTCTTGGACGACTTCCCGTCCAGGACACCGGTGCCCGTGATCCACCACGAGTGCACCCGGGGCTTGCGGGCCGCGTTGGCCATCTCCTGCTGCCAGTCCCCGATGAACTTCATGATTCCAACTATGTCATTCTTGAGACCCATTGCGAGCCTCTGTTCCATTTCTCCCCGCACCCTGGCGGCGTCCGACCAGATCAGGTCCACAAGCTCGGCGGACAATACCTCGGCTCTGTTCCCTCCCTCGACTGTTCCAGAGGTGGGTGGGTCGGTTGCAGAGCGGGAGACCAGGGAGCGGATCTGGCTCACGAGCCCGCGCTCGAATTCGTGCGTCATGATAGTCACGAAGTTCCCCATGGTTCGGTCGGGCTCGAGCCAGGGGTACGCCGGGGGTTTCGGGTCCACGTATCGCCGCATGTCCATGGTGGTGCCGCTTGCGAAAGCAGGCGCGGCGTCCTCAGCCAGCTGCGAGGCGAGTGAGGTGAGTGTGAGCACATGGAGGAGGCCGGTGAGTGTTGTCTTGTGCTGTCGGCAAGCGCGTAGGATGTTCCCCAGCGGTTCGGCCTCGACTGTGAAGGCGCGAACCTGTGTCTTGAATGGGCTTGAGCGGCTAGGTATCGGTGCCCATTTTGCCAGTGTTGGCTTTGCTGTGAGCATTGTTGGGCCCCATTCTTCCCACATTGTTTTGAGGATAAAAGGGAGCGTCACAGGCAGCTTGCAAATTTCCTCGACCGGTGGAGGTAAATTGGGAGGCGAGTCTGGCAATTTGATTACTGACAAGTCGTCTGTGTCATTCTCTGCGTCTTTCCCCAGTGCTGCGCTGTCCAGACTTTCCAGAAGACTTGCATGGAATATCTTGCCACTCATGCCGTCGCAGTGAGGGTGATTCCAAGTGAACACGATCTCCACAAACTGTGTTTGCTGAGGACGAATGACGACAACTCTCCATCCTGGCCGGCTGTCAAGTTCAGGGTACGTGGCATCAACCTCGTCTGCGAGGATTTCTTGTAAGATACCTTCGAGCTCCGCCTCAGAGTCCTTGAAGTGCCATGTGACGTGCTGGCGCAAGTTAAGGGTCTCTAACTGAACCCACGTGGGGCTCTTGGAGTGAGCATCTGCAATTGCAACCTGCAGGACACCATGTTTGAGAACCGCGTCGACAATGGCGTTTTCAACGGCTCGAACCAGCTCATCTCGCGACTCAGGACCCGAGAGCGTCACGGGAATCGAGTATCGGCTTGAAACAGAGGTACCTCTGTATTGGTCCAACAGGTACATAGCAAGCTGGTATACCTCACTACGTGCGTCAGCTTATGCCTTGCGGCTTAAAGATAGCAGTGGGGTGACAGACTTGTTGCCGAGTTTGCGTAGCAGCTTGGGCTCTGCGCGGTCTGTTGTGCTTTTGTGCTTCGAACGGAACATCGTGAAGACCTCATAGGAGATGCAATGTCCGGGTAGCCTGCCTGGTCAGATGGGGAGGTGCCTGGTCTCCGATGGACGTTCGTGCATGTGGGCGGCTCCGGTGCTCTCAGGTGCGACGAATATCCTCGGTACGTCTTGCCGAGAAGCGAGTAGCTGGCTAAGGGAGCGTTTAGCGCCAAAACGATGATGACAAGAAGGGCTGAGTGTTGGTGTCGCACAAAGTCGGAAGAGCCTCAAAAGACTTGAAAACGGAGGGTATCACAGGCTTCAATACGTTGTTGCCTAGAAGTCTGTGTAACAGCTGAGACCCCCATCGGCCAAGAACATTGGATAGCCGCGTCTGGAATCGTATATTGCTTCCTTGCATGCATTCCGTCTTGTGAAACATTCGAACACGTTACTTACACACCGTGCGAGCACCAGACTGTGCGAGTTTGTTTGTCTTACACTGCCCGGAGCTCGAGTTCTTCGCCTGCAGTCATCTCGAACAATCATACCACGTTAATGAAAAGTGCACCTGGGAATTCACCTGTGATTGGGCCTCGGCAGGCGACACCAACATAAGTGCATGCGAGTTGGCCCCCAAGCCACCCAACAGCTGCAGGGCTCCAAACGATCCCTGGCCCCCTCATTTCATACAATCTCTTATTTCCGATCAGGTGGGATACACGACAGATGATAGTCAGCACCGGTATGTCAACCCATTCGCCTGTCAACCAATGACCATTGCATCACTATGCATCAAAGTAATCCTCCAAATCCTTCCGGCTGCGGGAGCCCTGCTTGGGAAAGGATTCACACTTAGCCGTTATGCCGAGCCCACCGAAATAGCAAGAATGGCGCACTCCACATCCAATCGCTTCTTCGGATGTGGGATGCCAAAGTGGCGGCTTACACGTATCTCATGCGGCTGATTCTACTACATGACGGTCTGCCCCCAATTCTGCAATGTCGTTGTGAACCATGAGCTCTGCTGCTGCTGCTCTTCCAAATCCACTCCCATCTTCACGTCTACCAAGATGTGGGCCATTCTGGGGCGCGCGGCGACTTTAACGGACCTCGACGGACCCGCGATCGAGCCGCCAGCGGGGACCACGCCCAACTTCGACGTTCAGGACCGCCATCATGCTGTCGGATACTTTGTGGTCATCTTTTGCAGCATTCTTGCGACCCTAGCCGTCCTACTACGCCTGGCTTCAAGGTATCACATGGGAAGATTCCACATTGAAGATGTGTTCCTCGTCATGGGTTTGGTATGTGGAAGTTCTTTGCGCACATGTCTCACTGGGCGCTGCTGACTCGTTTCAGGGAGTGTATGCTGGATACATGTACCCGCTCTACGAGTGTTCAATATGGCCGGGCATCAATGTCCACGAGTGGGACGTGAAGCTGAGGGACCTTGAACGTATCTTGTGGGTAAGAGCACAACTTGAGCATCTGCATATGGATTGTGCGTCACAGTTTCACACTGACAACCCCAAAGCTCATACATCTAGCATCGATCAACTATGGCGTCTCCATTATGTTTGTCAAGCTCGCCATCCTACTCGATTGGTTACGCATTTTCGTGCCCAGGGGTCAGAAGAACAAGATGTACTGGACTTTTCAATTCTTGATCTGGGGTAATGTCATTTATTACGTCTCTGGAACCTTTCTCGAAATATTCCGGTGCTGGCCCCGACAAAAGATTTGGGATCCATTGTTTGTGGGGGGCAGCTGCCCGATCGACATCGCGGCCAACAACTTCGCATCCACCCTCATTAACCTGGCCTCTGACATTGCTATCCTCTTACTACCTCAGTGGGTTATATGGAAATTGCATATGTCAAAGGCTAAGAGGATGGGTATATCACTGCTGTTTGTTATTGGTATCTTGTAAGTGCCCGCCGGCTGGGCACAACTTGCCTGAATAACCAGTTGACTCGATACTGACTTTACTCTTCACCCCAAAGTGCCACTGCCGCCGGTTTAGCTCGCTTGGTCTATCTTTTGCAGCTGCTCTACTCTGACGATGAGTACTTCTGGATAGCAAACGTCGGTCTTTGGGGCGCCGGCGAGATCGCGGCTGGATTCCTCATCGTAGGTGTTCCCGGTATCCCCAAGGTCGTCCAGGGCATCCAGGCCTCGGATTCCTTTACGAATCTTCTCAGCAAGCTCGGAATCTCCACCGTGCAAATGCAGTCAGATCCCACCAGTGGCCGGCCCAGTATCAAGAATTTTGGCAGGAGTACGACGCCGCGGAAGCGACGTGGGCTTTGGGACATCAGCGATGCGGATACGTTTGGCTTGGTCTCGGTACAGGCGACACCCGGCGACCCAGCGGCCCACAAGGCAGACCACCCACCCAATGCCATCATCAGGGAGACTCGATGGGATGTGGACGTGGAAAGGGAGCAGGGGCCTTATGAGCGCACGTGATAGAGGTTAAAGCTTCGGCATAGCGGCGAGTGATTGCAGTACTCGATTCGACGACAAAAAGGATAAAAGCATTTGGACACCTTGGTTCCACCCACGACTTCCCCTAGAAGACCGGCGGGTCCTTTGGTACCCCCGGAATACCTGTGTAATTCTTTTCACCTCTTTTTCGAGTACTTACATCGCTATCTCTGGCTGTATCTAGTAATTAAATATGTTTGACATCGATTCTCAAAGTGAAAGACTTATGTGATATTCGTAATATCGCGAAACAGCCTTATGTTGTTGTGTGAAGTTGGCACACAAAAATGAAAACGTCAATGCCCAGCCGCGAACAGAGACGAGGTCACATTCAGCCTTTAGCCACGTCGTCTTGCCCAGCCATCTAGACCTGGCTAGGCGTATCCTGGTAGTGCAAAATCCGACTGCTGACAAGGTCTCAGTCGCGAGAAGACGGCATGGGTTCACTACGAAACGACAATATTGCTCGGGTGCTTGATGGTAACGTCAGAATCCTTCCAAGTGCAACCCTGAATCCGAGCTGAGATCTCATTTTCGTCCAATTAATTGACTGGCTTACGCGGTTTGTTCACGGAGGGACAGTGTAGGCAGACACGAGCACGAAATCGGGACTTTTAGTCTGCATACATCAGCGGCAACGTGCATAAGGTCGAACGAAGGATTCGGCCCTCTTGATAACATCAATAGTGGCCGGTTTGAGAGATTCTTCAGTCTTCTTTGGGAAAGGCTGCCCGTCCAGAGTTGCATTCCATCAAGAAAAGGGGGTCGTACAGCAAAAAGACCCTCTGTCTTGCCCCAGCTGCCTGAAGGACTGTACGACGGATAGTTCGACTTCCGGACCGCACCGCGGCTCAGCTCCGTCAACGGCTCTTTCACTGCCGTCACATGCATCCTTAGTTCGTCTTTTAGCGGAAACATTTCTCAAGCTGATCCTTCCTGTCACCCGGTTAATACGGGCCGTGGACATACGGGAATACCCGGGCTCAACTTTTATGTCCACTTTTGTGGTGTCGGTAGGGCTGGTTAGGCTGATCACCTTCCGGACACAGTGCCTACGAGCAAGAACATGACGGAATGTATCGATACTTGAAGAGTGAGTTTTGTGGAAGTATACCTCCACAAGCTGATCTTAGCAGGTAAGACTAAGGGGAAGTGGATCAATCAATGAAGTCAACATGCATATTGGTTGTCGGCCTCCCTTTCTTCTGCCTGCAATATCAGACACCATGGGCCTTCCATCTGTCAACGCAGCCTCCTACATTTCATCCTTGTCTCCGGAAATGAAGATAGAAGGTGCGAAACTGTAGAAGCGCCTCGACTATCATAGCTCAAGGAGCATTTACTCACCATGACAGTCACGGTTGACAGAGGCTCACCACTGGGCCCTTCTGGGTCCGCTGCGATCCGGATTCGACAACAGTGCGTGCGGCCACACGCGACCAAAGCCCTCCCGCTATTCTACCGCAACATTGAGGACGCTCTCGACGTCCGCCGCGCCGCACACAACTTCTACTCCATCTCACAAAACAGTTGGCAGACATACGACCATGTCGCTGATTTTTGCTCAGGAGATATCCTGGGCCTCGCAGCCAGCCCGGAACGGCGTGCCGAGTTCTTGGCCGAGCAGGCGGCCCACCCGGATTTCAGCCTGGGATCAACCGGCGTCCGGCTCATGGACGGCAACTACCCTTACCTAGAGGAGGCCGAGAGCCAGATCGCCGCCTTTCACGGCGCAGAGGCCGGGCTTCTTGTGAGCTCGGCCTTCGAGGCCAATATCGCCGTCTGGACTGCTATCCCACGACCGGGGGACGTCATCTTGTACGATTCCCTAGTTCACGCCAGTACTCTTGAGGGTATCAAACAATCCCTAGCTATCCAGAAGATCGAATTTCCTCATAGCGACATTGAGGCCTTCCGATCGGCATTGCAGGATGCCCTTGATACGCAGCCGCTCGTGCGACAGGGAAAGCGTTGTGTTCTTGTTGCGCTTGAGTCCTTCTACAGCATGGACGGAGATGTGTGCCCACTCCAAGAATTTATCAGCGTTGCAAAGGAAGTATTCCATGGCCAAGAGGGAAATGTTCAGTTCGTGGTGGACGAGGCACATAGTGTTGGGGTCATTGGGCCTAAGGGCGCAGGGTTGGTTTGTGAACTGGGTCTGCAGGATGAGATCGCGGTTGTTGTGCACTCATATGGGAAGGCAATGGGCGCGACAGGTGGTACGCTTTCCTCTTCTAGCATATGTACGGTGTTACTACTTCCGATTACCCATCTGCTAACGACTCGCAGCCATTATTCTAGGGAATAGGACCGTAAAGAGTGCCCTTGTCAACTTTGGCCGCTCTATCATCTATACCACCTCGCCATCATTTCTCTTTGTGGCAGCCATCAAATCCGGTTATTCTTTGCTGACAAGTGGCCGCACACTTGAGGTGAGATCTACCTTACCAAACTCAAAGGACACACGTTGACATATTCTAGGCCCAAGAACACATTCAGGAACTGGCCAGGCACTTCTATGAGTCTATTACCTCACATCCTGATTGGGAAAAGGCTGAAGAAGACGGGCTTCTTTCCGTTCCCTTGGTAGAGGGGTGGGAAGAACGCCCCTTTTTCACTCACATTGTCACAGTATCCACCCGCCAGAAATATGTATGGTGGCTATACTTCGCGTTGCTATCAGCTGGTTTCTGCACCTTTCCCGTGAATTACCCAGTTGTGCCCCTTGGACAAGGCCGGCTTCGCATCATACTCCACGCTTCCAACACTCATGAGCAGGTTACCCAATTTATAGATGCGACATTCGCGTGGGTGGAGGAAATGAGGGAGATAGAAGCTGGAGCAACGACAGAGAAGGTGTCAAAGGCAGCAAAGGAGTTCTACACATGGATGAAAGAAGAAAACCTAAGCGGATATGGCTTTGCCGAGTAGTTTTATCACTTTGTATTTTGGTTTTTGTCAGTAGCCAAATTCAGTACAAGAACAACAATAGAAGAGTCGCAATTCTACAAGACGCATACTCAATTCAATACCCAGCACTCTTAGTTGCGTGGGCTGTAACATGGAGCGGGAGATGTATGCAGATCCAAATTCACATGTTGGTGGCGATTTGCAATCACCCTAGCCTTCTTCTGCCTGGTCGTCAAAAGCCGAAACTCGTCGAAGAAGCCTGGCCTAGGCAAAGTGGCTGCGTGGGGGCCAGCCACCTGGACGGATGTCAGAACTTTCTGGCGCCACTTAGTTTTTCGTGATGCGAAGATGGTGTTCCGTAATTTGGCAGTCTCCGTGCCACAGCGTCTGGCTACAGCGATGTCACACAAAGCAGCGCCTTTCACTAATTCAGCAGCTCGATGCAGGGAAAACGGCTTGGCACCAATCCTGGCGCTTAGACTCATTCCTATGAATCCTTCCACCTGGCCTGATGGATTCAGCCTTATCCAATCTAGTTGGGTTAGACGTGTGACCTGTCTCTTGTGTTGGTCGAGAAAAAATCGGACACCCACATACAGTGATTGAAGACTGTGCAGTCAACAGCTGTACCTTTAGTGGATAAGCGCTAACATTGAAGCTACGCTCCATGCGAGCATGGGCCTGGAACTTGATCTGCAGTCATGTTTCTATACTCTGATTAGCTTCAAATTCATTAGGTCAGTAACCGAGTGTGTGAGACACTGTCTGCGCTGTGAGGTGTCAGTTCTGGTTCTATGAAAAGTTGGCTGTGATCTGCCTGCCCAGACAAGGTAGTCTGCTACGTCCAGAGCTCTTTGGTGGTGGTTGTCACTGTACTTCAGATCGTAATGTCATGTCAAGGTACCCCGGATGCCTTTTCGATCAATGTCGTGTTGTCTGTGAAATAGCCCCCAGGTGCATCACCCTGTCACGGATGTGCCTGATTTGGGTTGTATTATGAAGTCAAGTATCTTCAGCCCCAAGCGGCTCACTGATGCCATCACTTCGGACTGGCGCTTGAAGTCGACCTTGGCTTGGTGTTGGCCTTATTGTTTATAATACAGTCAACACTCTGCACTGATTGTTCAAATCAACGTATTGAGACTTGCCCACGTCCATGTGCAGTCTTTGATGCGGTGCTATTCCATACCCTTTGAGATGAGTAATTAGGCACCCAGTCCAAAGTCTAAGTGCTTACCGTCCATCTTTGAGGCACAAACACAACACGCCAGCATACTTCATCTCCCTAATATTCTTCTTCATTTTTGAAGTCCAATATCTTCCTGAGCTGGACAACATGGAGCCCATAGCAGTTACGGGCTTCTCCTTCAAGCTGGCCCAGGGGGCCGAAGATGAGGCCAGCTTGTGGGAGATCTTGGAGAGTGGAAGAAATGTCATGACACCGTATCCTGAGTCTCGAGTGAAGAACATTGACGCTTTTCACGAAGCAAACTCTGCTGCCCAGAATAACGTACGTTCATGAGTTCTGCACTTGTGGAAGAGTATAATCCTAACCTTATGTAAAGCTACCATCTAGAGGAGGTCACTTCCTGAAGGGAGATCCTGCTGCTTTCGATGCACCTTTTTTTTCCATCACCCCCAAAGGTCAGCAAAACCCAGGAGCTTGTAATTACCGAGTTTATATGCTGAAATGAAGAACAGAGGCGGCCGCTATGGACCCTGCACAGCGTATGTTGCTGGAAACGGCGTATCGAGCCCTGGAAAATGGTATGTTGTTGTCTCACTAAAACCTGTGAATGCTTCTTGTGTGATCATTTCTGATGAAGTATAGCCGGAATCCCTGTTGAGCGTGTGGCGGGTACCAAGACGGCTGTCTTCTCCGGTTCCATGACGGAGGATTACATGAGAATCGTGGTCAAGGCCCCTGATGAAGCGCCAACACACGTATCTAGTGGTACATCGCCAGCCCTGTTGGCCAACAGACTCGGATGGTACTTCGATCTTAGGGGACCAAATATGCAAGTAGACACTGCTTGTTCTTCGAGCATGGTTGCCACCCATCTGGCCTGCCAGAGCTTGCAGAGAGGAGAAGCATCCATGGTGAGGAAAAGAATGCGTCGATAACTCATCAGAAGATCCCATAGCTGACCTCTTCTCAGGCACTGGTCACCGGCTCTAACGTGATCTTGAGCCCGGAGACGTCCATGTATCTGGGCAACCTCAATCTGTTGTCCAAAGATGGACTGAGCTACAGTTTTGATCAGCGAGCAAACGGATACTCAAGGGGCGAAGGCATCGTGGTGCTTGTCATGAAGAGACTCAGCGACGCCATCAGAGATGGAGACGTCATCCGCGGAGTCATCAGGGCAACATCATCGAACTCAGATGGAAGGACCCCGGGTATAACTCAGCCAAGCGTCACCGCCCAGGAGGAGCTCATCCGAGGGGTATATCAGAGTTGCAATCTCGGCCTCGAATCGACACGATACGTAGAAGCCCATGGTAAGTGGCACTTTAGAACCCTACTGATTGAGACATCCGGACTGAAATGATTTGAATAGGTACCGGGACGCAAATTGGAGACACGACCGAGATGAAGGCCCTAGGTAGAATCTTCAGGTCGAGCCGTTCTCGAGAAGAACCGCTATATGTGTAAGTGCTCTTTGAAATTCATCAACCCCAAATCCCTTCGACACGATCGCAATTCTCCTAACAATGTACACAGAGGCTCTTTGAAAGCCAGTTTCGGCCATACAGAAGGCGCCAGTGGACTTGCAAGTATCATCAAGTGCATCTTGATGCTCGAAAAGGGTATCATACCACCCAATGCATTGTTCGAGAAGCTGAACCCCAAGATCCCCGCGAGATCCAGCAATATCCAGGTACTGCAGCGTGCGCTCAATCCTACTGTCAATGGCCCAAGTATGCTAACGGAATGGCTTTCAGATTCCCACAAAACGCATCGCATGGCCGTGTGACGGTCTTCGTCGGATCTCTATCAACTCATTCGGGTTCGGCGGGTCCAATGGACACGCCATTATGGATGACGCGCAAGGCATGCTAGCAATTCTCGCTGTCAACGGGGCTCGCCGCACTCTCGCCCCTTTATCGCCCCCAAAGCCGGCACAGATCGAGAACGGCATCCCAAACGGCAATGGCATGCTGAATGGTCATGGCTTGCCAAATGGTCACGATATCCCAAATGGCGATGGCTTATCAAATGGCCATGTCGTCACAAATGGTCATGCTACGCCAAATGGTGTCAATGGTGCTGGTACCCCTAATGGCCTCAACGGGTCAAAGCATGCATCTGTCGGTGTTAAGCAGAAGCCCATCCCGCAGACAAGCACACAGGAGGAGCCCACGCAGGAGACAGCTGACCATGTGCCCTCCTCTCCCAAAGCGTCAAGCTACGAACTGCTCGTATGGTCGGCGAAAGACGAGGCCACTCTGACGAAAATGCTGCAAGACCACGAGCAGTACTTTACAACTAACATCTATGGGTCCGCGCCCCGACTGGAGAAGCTCGCATACACTCTTGCGGCTCGGCGCAGCGTCATGAACTGGAGATGCTACTCTGTTGTAAGCACCGACATGTCTGCTGAGAACCCCGCCCGTCTCCAGCCTTCCAGAGGGGTTCGACCTTCCCGCGAGAAGGGGCTAGCCTTCGTCTTCACTGGTCAGGGAGCCCAGTACGCACGCATGGGTCTGGAGCTTCTGCAGTATCCTGTGTTTGAGTCGTCACTTGCCAAGGCAGATAGCTTTTACCACCAGCTGGGCGCCGAGTGGTCGATCCTAGGTAAGAAAGAAACCCCATTCTCTGGACAATATTCCTTGACCCAACACGCTCACGGGAAATACTGACGATCAAAATTTGTGTATACAGACGTGTTACAGAACGGAACAGGAATTGACACGCCCGGTATCAGTCAACCGCTGTGCACAGCCCTGCAGCTTGCGCTCGTTGATCTGCTTGAAGATCTCGGTCTTGTTCCGAATGTCGTGGTTGGCCACTCGTCAGGCGAGGTTGCCGCGGCGTACTCTGTTGGGGCTCTGTCATTCGAGTCGGCCTGCAAGGTTGCTTACTACAGAGGATGGCTTACCGGAAAGCTGGTGAAGTCCATCAGCGCGGACCCCGGTGCTATGATGTCTGCCAACCTCCCGGAGGCCCAAGTCGATGCATATCTGGAGAAGGTCGGGCTGGACGTAAGCGCGTCAACCAGGAAGATACATGTCGCCTGCGTCAACAGTCCGTCCAACGTGACCCTGTCTGGCAACGAGAAGGCCATTGATCAGCTCAAGGAACACCTTGACGCCGACGGGATATTCAGCCAGAAGCTGAGGACAGGGGTTGCTTACCACTCCCCTGTCATGAAGGCCATCGTCGAGGAGTACCTCAGCTGTGTCGGCCCTGTGGAGGCGAGACCTTCAGCCCACAACACGGCCGCCTTCATGGTGTCATCCGTGACAGGTCAGAGCATCTCACCCGCTTCGCTTTCCAATGGACAGTACTGGGTGGACAACCTAGTCTCGCCTGTCCGGTTCGCCGATGCACTGCAGTACATCGTTCTTGGAGCACCCAAAATGGAAAGTGGCTTCAAGACGGTGACCGACTTCCTCGAGGTTGGACCTCATGCGGCTCTGCGGCGGCCTGTGCAAGACACATTGAGACAGGCCGTTGGCGGCGGAAGCTTCAGATATACATCTCTGCTTTCCAGATTCGAATCGCCAGTCAAGAGCGTGCTGACGACGGTGGGCGCGTTCTTCACCCAGGGATACCCGGTGTCCATCACGGCGGCGATACGACAAGGTAGTGATAGCGAGCAACACCCTTCATATCTCGTCGATCTTCCCCAATACCCCTTTGACCATACCCAGCTGCACTGGCACGAGTCCCGTATCAGCCGCGACTGGCGTTTCCGCGAGCCCGTCCCCAGGACGGTCTTGGGCACACGCTCGCCGGATTGGAATCCGCTGCTCCCCCGATGGCGAAAGCTTCTGAGCGTGGAGGACATGCCGTGGATTGCAGACCACATCATTGACAAGACCATCCTCTACCCCGCGACAGGGAGTATCATGATGGCTTTAGAGGCCGTGAAGCAGATGGCCAATCCCCATAAGCACATCCTCGGTTACTACGTCAAAGAAGCCTCCTTCACAGCCCCTATTATCATCCACCAAGAGGGAACAACCGAGGTTACAACAGCTTTGCGTCCACTGCATCAGGCCTACGAGAAAACTTCTCAGCGCTTCGAAGTCCAGCTCTTTGCTTATATAGACACCTTCTGGAGCCAGTGCTTCAGTGCCACTATCCATATTGAGTATGAAGAGGCCCTTGACGAGGTGGACGGTGGACATGAGGCGCAAAGTACGGCCCAGAGCCTTGCCCAACGCTACATGCAGGCCAAAGAATCCTCCAACAAGCGTGTCGAGAAGGACAACTTCTACCAGTGGCTTTACAACCACGGCCTCAAATATGGCGAAAAGTTCTCGCTAGCCGAGGACCTACACTGGGACGGCCATGAGCGGACGACAGCGCGCGTCAGCGTCGAACCACCGCTGGAAGCGTATGCAGGCGTTGTTCACCCCGCGGTCCTCGATGCCGCCTGCCATATTTGCTACGCCGCACCGTCAGAAGGCGCATCGGTATCCCTACCGACTATCATCCCCCACAGGATGCGGTCCGCCTGGATCTCAGCCAAGGGCTGGCAGCATCCGGAGACAAAGGAGATCAGGGTGGCGACGGAATCGAAGTTGAAGACCGTCGGATCGGGCATAGAGACGTCCGTCGTGGTCCTGGCAGATGATGGGTCGCCGCTCTGCCACATTGAGGACTTTGAACTATCCCCAGTCCTGAGCAACGATCCAAGCAGCAGCGAGAGGAAGACAAAGCCGATCCATCTCATCGAGTGGAAGCCGCAGCTGTCCTTGCTTGAGCAGGACGCGTTGCAAACCTACTGTGGGACACCCTCTTCCTCGGAAGAAGAGAGACCCGTGGTCGAGCTCAGGAAGATACTGCAGTCTATCGTGCGGCTGAAGGCTCGGGAGCTTAGGTCTTTCGACTCATCAGCGATGCCGCCGCATATCAAAGAGTATGTGGGTTGGATCATCAGCCAATACCAATCATTGCAAGACAGCACAGATGCCGAAGTTCTCGATGAGGCCAGCCTGAATTCCGCTTTGGAGGACCTGGTATTGGAGAAACCATCCTGGAGGATCTTGACAGAGATTTCTCAGTACCTGACCACTCTTGCCAGTGCGAAATGCGATGTTGACGCACAGCCCTTCTCAGCGGCGGCAGCACAAGACTTTCACAAAGACTTCCTCGACCGCATCTGTGATGGCAGGCTTACTCGTTACCTGGAGCTTCTGGTGCATCAGACCCCCGAGTTGAAGATTCTCGAGGTCGGCTCTGGTGGCGACAAGGGCTCTATCACCAGTTTCCTGCTGTCCATACTCCATCAGGTTGAAGACCGTACGGCTGGCATGGCCTTTGCTGAATATGTGTATACCGATGCATCAGCGGAGGCCCTTGACCAGGCCCGAGAGCAGCTCGTGGACCACGAAGATCGGATGATGTACAAGAGTTTGGACCCGAGAGAAGATATGACCAAGCAAGGTTTCGAGGCCGGTTCATATGACTTGATCGTGGCTTGCTACGCCTCGCGCGTAGCTGGCAGTCTGTCAGCGACCCTAAAGAGTATTCGGCATGTTCTGAAGCCAGGAGGTCACCTTATTCTGCACGACATAACTGCGACGGATTCGCTTATCACGGACTTCGCATTCGGAGTCCTGCCGGGTTGGTGGTCTGCTGAGGACAAGACGCAAGACACTCAGAGGCCGACCATGACAGATGCTGAGTGGCATTCTTTGCTAAAGGAAAGTGGATTCTCTGGAAACGACCTGGTCGTAAGAGACTATCAATCCGATGCTGCGCATCACGCTAGTATCATACTCTCCACTGCCCTGGATGCATCCACAGCTCCATCGTCAACTACCCAAAGCAGGACTCTGCTGGTCGTGGATGGCGACGATGAGCATCAGAGGAGCGTGGCTACATCCTTGGCTGGAGACCTGTCCGTCTCAAGCGGACGAAAGGCCGATGTCTATCCCGTCACTGCTTGGGCCGATGCAAAGGTGAAAGAAAACGACTTGGTGGTTTTCCTCGCCGATCTAGGCAGGCCGTTCCTGGCCAACATTCCTGAGCCCACGTTCGACGTCCTCAAGAACTGGATACAGCAGGCTGAGAACCTCTTATGGGTCACGTCTGCGGACATCCAAGACACTTCAACAGCAGCAAGCTTATTTGCTCATTCTGGTCTGAAGGACGGCTTCCTCCGTTCACTGCGCGCAGAGTTCAACAGCAAACATATCGTCTCGCTCTCACTGGAGGGATCGGGGAAGAAGGAGGATAGTACAGCCGGCAATACCAAGCATATTGCAACGGTCTTGGACTGCGCGTTCGGAGCTGCCGGCGCGAGTGCGCCGCCATCCACTGAGCTTGAATTCCGTGTCCGGGACGGTCAGATCTTGGTACCGCGTCTAGTTGAGGACAACGAGAGCAACCGGGAACTAGCCTCATGCGACCACCCCGAGATGCGCACCGAGCCGTGGCTCCCAGGCCCGCCACTCAAGCTCGACATGGGCATGCGCGGGCACCTGGAGACGCTGCGCTTCGAGGAGGACACTGACTACCACGAGGCGGACCTGGGCCCGGACGAAGTCGAGATCGAGGCTCGTTCCTGGGCCGTGAACTTCCGCGATGTGTTCGGCGCCCTTGGCCGGTTGGAGCACGAGGCCTTCTCCTTTGGGTCGGATTGTGCCGGAGTGGTGACCAGAGTTGGCCGGGAGTGCTCACGCATTAAGCCTGGGGACCGCGTCTGCATGCTTGCAACGGGCTGTATGCGTACGTTCCCGCGGGCAGGTGAGCGGCTTGTCGTCCCAATCCCGGAGTCGCTGTCGTTTGAGGAGGCCTGCGCCGTTATCAACCCAGCCATCACGGCCTGGCAGGCCCTGATGGAGGTGGCACGCCTACGCGAGGGCGATAAAGTGCTGATCCACTCGGCCTCGGGCGCGACGGGACAGCTGGCCGTACAAATCGCACAGCTTGCCGGCGCTGAGGTGTTTGCCACGGTAGGGTATGAACACAAGAAGAGGCTGCTGATGGACCAGTATGGCATCCCGGAGGATCACATCTTCTATAGCAGGAATACCTCGTTCGCAAGTGGTATTATGAGGGTAACGGGTGGCTATGGCGTCGATGTTGTCCTCAACTCGCTGGTCGGGGAAAGTCTGCGGGCCTCGTGGGAGTGCATTGCCCCGTATGGAAGGTTCATTGAGATTGGAAAGGCCGACATCAACGCAAACTCCTCATTGCCCATGGCGCACTTCGCCAACAACGTCATGTTCTGTGCGGTCGATCTGAGGCACCTCTTCTTCGACACGGGAAGGAAAGAGACTGCAAGCAGGCTTATGGAGAAGGCCATGGGCCTGGCTTCTGATGGCCGCATCTACTACCCCCGGCCTCTGCATGTGTACGATGTCAACGCTGTGGAGGATGCCTTCCGTTATTTCCAGAGCGGCAAAAATACTGGTCGCATTGTGATAAGAGTGGATCGTTCAACTCAAGTCCAGGTAAGGAGCTTCGCAAGAATCAATTTCTGGATTAGACGCAGATAACTAACGACTTCGTGTTCAGAAATATCTCATTAACAAGAGAACCTGGTCATTCAAGGAGGACGCCACGTACCTTGTTGCTGGAGGGCTGGGTGGGATCGGCCGGTCCATACTGAGATGGCTAGTGAAGAGGGGCGCGAAACACTTGATTGTCCCATCAAGATCAGGATTAGCAGATTCTGGAGCAGCTGCCGATGTTGTGGGCGAACTTCGTGAGCAAGGCGTCACTGTTGTGGCACCAAAGTGTGATGTCTCGTCGCTCGAGTCAATCTCGCAAGTGCTTGAGGAATGTGGCAGCACGATGCCACCCGTCCGTGGATGCATCAATGCAGCCATGGTGCTTAGTGTAAGTCCTCCGGCGAGACCCAGACCTGCGTTGAATTGCTCTCGGTTCTCTCAGTCGCTGACAAAACCCCTACAGGACGCCATTTTCGACAATATGAGCTATGACCAGTGGTCCAGTACCATCCGCTCCAAGGTCCCGTCCTCTTGGAACCTACATCTCCTGCTTCCCGACGTGGATTTCTTTATCATGCTGTCATCTGTCGCCGGCGTTCTTGGACACCCCGGCCAGACGAACTATGCAGCCGGGAATACCTTCCAAGATTCCCTGGCCCACTACAGAACCTATCACGGCCAGAACGCTCTATCCATCGACCTCGGCGTCATGGGCGACGTGGGCCGTGTGGCCGAGACGGAGAACCTGCAGAGGCACTTGGAGCGAACACAAGGCCTCGACCCGATCGAGGAGCACGAATTCCTCTCCCTGCTGGACGTGTGCTGCGACCCTATACGGCCCATCACTGGCCCGGACGCCGCCGGATGTCAGATCTCCATGGGCCTCATGACACCAGCCGACAGGTTGTCTCGCGCGCTGGAGCCCCTGGAGTTCCTCCATCGGCCGCTGTTCGCCTACTTCAGCCGGCCCCGTGGGGGCGCCTTGCAGCACGCCGGCTCTGCTGCCGCCGGCGGTGACGCCGTCGACACCGCAGAGCTGTTCCGGCAGGCGGCGTCACCCGAGGATCGGGCGGCTGTGGTGGTGGATGCGCTCGCCAAGAAGTTGGCGCGGGCCCTTGCTATCAAGCCTGATGATGTTGACGTGACACAGCCCCTTCATGCCTTCGGTGTAGACTCCCTTGTTGCCGTGGAGCTGCGGAATTGGATGGGGAAGCAGTTTGCTGCGGATGTGCCGGTATTTGAGATCATGGGCGGCAGTACGGTGCTGGCGGTTGGAGAGCTGGTAACGAAAGTCAGTCAGATCGCAAGGAGCGGTTGAGAGACATTTAGATCCGAGCTAGAATTAGGACGAATGGATTAGAGAGTTCGTTTATTAGAGTCGTCTGCCAAGTACATCATGTTCAACCAACTCGTACTGGTACACGGCTGTTGAAAATTGAGGCTGCCTGGCCATTGCCCTTGGGCCTTTCACTCGATCATCGAGTGGCATTCAGTCGCCGAATCTGCAATTCTGTAAGACAGACCAGCTCTGTTGGAGTAGATACTAGAACTCATATCCAAAGCTGAAGGGCTGGATTGTGTGGAATTATTCCCTGTTGACAACTTTCGCATACATGTCCCACAAGGGTTGATGCAAATAGCCGGCCCTGGTACAGACTCAGGCAAGTATAGGGCTCAAGACGAGTCCCTTACCCCTTCCTCAGATGAGTGTATCCATTCCTGTCTTCTCAAATATCACGGGCGCTCGGATGTTGGAAGAGCTGCCGGGACAGTCAGTCCGAATTAATGAGGAGCAGGATACTGGAGGTGCGCAAATCCAGTAATCCACCGTCTACTTGGTTGTCCAGACAGGCAGACCAAGGTTGAATGGTCTGGAAGGGTCGTGGCAAAACGATTGGGCGGCAGTAGAGCAGATAGCTTAATAGGGCTGTCACCAAGCCCCTGCCATGTTGTTATCACGCTTGGAGCGGTCTTGGCCGGTGATATTAGAGCCTAGCAGGGTTGGTGCATGCTGCCGGACCAAGACGTCCTCCATAGATGTAGGGTGCTTCCTGCTTGTGAGCCGTGACAGTTGAGGAGACACATAGTCATGCTCAATCCAGACCATTTGAGAGCACTGGAGAACTGAGACGAGACACTGTGAAGCTCAACCCACCTCGCCCAACGTCTAACGGATAACGGCTGGCTGGCGGGGCAGTGGGGCAGCTTTGTTCGTTATCGATAGCGGGATGACAAGGATGTGTCATATTCAAGTACTGTTCATGTACCCTGGTATCGGCAGTCGAAGTCAACAGAAGATGGACAAAACGATATGCCGCAACAAACATGGGGAGAATTCAGATAAATTCAGCCAGAGTTGCTAAATATCTCAACTACCTCACTAGCATTGGTCAGAAAAATCTAAAGCGCAGGAATGCAGGCGATCAAGGTGCTGGTCTACCTGAATAAGTGCCACTCGAATTCAAGGAAATGGGTACTTGGTTCCCAAAAATTAACGGTAGGTACTTACCCCGGCACAAGCGCCCATCCACTTTTGACCGCAAAATTACGTCGGTCGCATGTAGCTCAAAGCATTTTGGGCGGAATGAAAGCTCCAGCCTCAGCCTGTGTCTACATTTTGAGGATTCCTCTCTGCCAACTTCCATTCTAGAACCATCGTCGTCACACCTTGCCATACCAATCCAACCTATCTGCTCTCTCGCTCCAGCCAAGCACCCTCTTCCCTGCCCACCTTCCTTTGAGGCAATATTTCTGCCCTCTGACCACATCATATCTCGACCTCTCGACCTCTCGTCGCCCAATCCAGTGCACCACTCAACAGTCACCTCAGGCCCAATATACCCACCCCGCCATCGACTGAGCCTGTCCTCCTCCCATCGGTCGATTCCTCCAGGACCTGCCTGTTCTTAGACAAGGAACCTCTTAAACACAGAGAAAACCATCCAAGCCCCATTGCGACCGTCCATACGAGGCCAACAAATACAGCAGGGCGCATTCTCGGTCGCATCGACAATATCCTACATTACATACCTTCAGCATGCCGAACGAAGAGCCCAACACAAACGGCAACAGCCGCCTACGCATCATCTCGAACCGCCTGCCCCTGACCATCAAGCGCAGTGACGATGGCCAGTACAATTTCTCCATGTCCTCTGGTGGCCTTGTCACCGGCCTGAGCGGTCTGTCCAAGACCATGACCTACGAGTGGTACGGCTGGCCTGGTTTGCAAGTACCCGAAAACGAGACTGGCCACATGAAGGACATGCTCAAGAAGGAGTGCAATGCTCACCCGGTCTTCATCGACGACGATCTGGCCGACAAGCATTACAATGGTTTCTCCAGTATGCTCCCCGCCCTGTCCTGACCCCCTCCCGCAACACCACGCCACATTGTGCTGACATCCTGTTACACAGATGAGATTCTTTGGCCACTCTTCCACTACCACCCCGGCGAGATCACCTTCGACGAGTCTGCCTGGGCCGCCTACCATGAAGTCAACCAGCTCTTTGCCAAGACTGTCGTCGCCGACGTCGAGGACAATGACATGATCTGGGTCCATGACTACCACCTTATGCTCCTTCCCCAGATGCTGCGGGAGCTGATTGGCGACTCCAAGAAGAACGTCAAGATCGGCTTCTTCCTCCACACTCCCTTTCCCTCTTCCGAAGTCTACCGTATCATCCCCGTCCGCGAGGCCCTCCTGTATGGCGTCCTGCACTGTGACTTGATCGGCTTCCACACCTATGACTATGCCCGTCACTTCTTGTCCTCATGCAGCCGTATCCTGTCAGCAACAACAACACCCAATGGCGTCGACTTCAACGGGAAGTTTGTAACTGTCGGCGCTTTCCCCATTGGTATCGACCCGGAAAAGTTCGTCGAAGGCCTTAAGAAACAGAAGGTCCAGGAGCGTATCGCTGCGCTGGCACGCAAGTTCGAGGGCGTCAAGCTCATCGTTGGTGTTGACAGACTGGACTATATCAAGGGCGTGCCTCAGAAGCTTCACGCATTGGAGGTCTTCCTGACAGAGCATCCCGAGTGGATCGGCAAGATTGTCTTGGTACAGGTTGCCGTGCCATCTCGGCAGGACGTCGAAGAGTACCAGAACCTGCGCGCAGTGGTGAATGAGCTCGTCGGCCGCATCAACGGCCGGTTTGGCACGATCGAGTTCATGCCCATCCACTTCCTGCACCAGAGCGTCAGCTTCGAGGAGCTGACGGCCCTGTACGCCGTCTCCGACGCCTGCTTCGTGACCTCGACGCGTGACGGCATGAACCTGGTCTCGTACGAGTACATCGCCACGCAGCGCGAGCGCCACGGCGTCATGATCCTGTCCGAGTTCACCGGTGCCGCGCAGTCCCTCTCTGGCTCCCTGATCGTCAACCCCTGGAACACGGAGGACATGGCAAATGCGATCCATGATGCTGTGACCATGTCGGCCGAGCAGCGCGAGGCCAACTACCGAAAACTGGAGAAGTATGTGTTCAAGTACACGTCCGCGTGGTGGGGCAAGCAGTTTGTCACCGAAATGAAGCGGCTGGACGCTACCGTAGGCAAGGGCCAGGGCGGCATCCCCGTCGGCAATGGACCACCCAAGATCCCCTTGAAGGAGAAGATCAACGACAAGATCAAGGGTGCCGTAGAGACTGTCACGGGCGGAAAGGCTGGCGACAAAGAGACCGAAGAGGCGTCCTAGAAAGCCCGCGGACGTCCAAAGTCGGGCAGCCACCCGTGGAGTCAATATTGAGAAATGACATGGTGTGGCAAACACTGAACTGAGAATTACCAGGGAAATCGTTTCGACACATACACTGTGGCACTACCGCTTGAGAAGCAAGATTGGGTGGGTGGTTGGACGGATGACACAACCTAACCTACAAAACCCACATAGTTCCGGTTATCACTACTTGTAGCATTTGGAGTTGGAGTCTCGGAATAGGCACAATACAGGCGTTTCCCTTCTGGAACATTCTCGTGAGCCGTTGTATGAATCAGTGCCATAATATCTAGTGTCACATATCAGATACCGTTGCCCTCTGCAGTAAGTGATCAATCGTTTGGTATTCCAGCTATCTAAGGTATCTATCTTATGTATCATGATCCCACGTCATTCACCCATAGAGCCCAGCCTGTTTCAGTCACAGCATGAACGGCAAGAAATAAGGTGGGCCTGGAACCATTTCATTCTTATACGCACTCGCATGGGGGAGGTATCTAAGCACTTGTCAAAAATAGACAGAAAAGAAGCACGCAGTAGGTAATCAGTCAAGGTGAAGCGAAATCAAGGACAAAAAAGAAGTCTCGATCCCAGGAGGGACCGAACAAGCCGTATTGTTGGTAAAACGCCCCAAGCTGTGAAATCAAATAAGCCACTCCGGTGCTGTCCCTGCCCTTGTTGTCCCTCATATGTCCCCACATTCAAAGCCCCTTGATTCTCGTTTTGAGGCAACGACACTAAGCTCGCCTAGAGGAAGGGCGATCCCACTGTAAAGCTAACACGCTAGTCGAGGTATCTCACAACACACTGCAGCCACTAAGGCCAATATCCGACATCTAGTATGGCGAGTTGACGATATCCTCCTTCCTCAGCCGGTCAACAGGACCACCCCTCCTAGGCGTGGAATAGGCACCAGCGCTGCGTCTCGTACTCGGGCCCGCGATACTCTCGCGGGTAGGTCGCTTGAGCTTCTCCTTCTGCAGCATGTTGACCTCGTTCGGCAGCGCGTAGATGACGTTGCGGTCGCTTCCAAATCGGAAGTCATCCGCCTTGACAGTATCCGCATAGCGCTTGATCATGTACGGCGCCTTCTGTCCCCTCAGGACCCGCTTGAGGTTCCACTCGATCACATAAGGGCCCGTGGCCGAGATGATTGAAGTCTCCTCCGAGTTCTGGCCGGCGTTGAACTTGGCTGGGGTGAAAGACACTCCCTTGCCGGTTTCGTAGGCGAATTGGGCAACGTGCTCCGGCGTCAGCGCCAGACGGCGGGGCTGTGGTTTTGCATCTGCGGCGAAGGACTTCTCAAAGCCAAGCTTGCCCTCATTCTTGCCAGACTTTTGCTGCGCGTCGATGAGGAGCAGGTACGTACGGCAAGTTGCCAACACCCAACGACCGTCAGCAGAGACGTCAAGCCCGATGATGGGCTCGCCGAGGGCGGGAATATGCGTCTTTGCGTTGATGCCGAGTCGGTCGAATAGTCGGATATCACCCTTGTTAGAGGCAACAGCAATGTGGCCCTTCTCTGTAGTTGCGACGGACGAGAAGTCGTTCTTGGAGACATATTGCTTCAGTTGTGAGTCAACGAGCTTGTTGCCCGACAGTCGAGGATCGACTCGGTAGAGGGCGTTGCGGCTGATACCGAGGAAGGTGGGCTCGGACGTCATCTGTGCGAATTTGTTCTCCGGAGCAAACGTGATGGCGTCGATATCATCATGGATCTTCCACTCGTCGACAACTTTGCCGTACTCAAGATCCATGCGGTAGAGCTTGTTAGGATCGGTGTCGTTTTGCAAGATCATATTGTTGTCCTCGTTGTGCAGCATCACCTTCTTGGGCGTGAAGAGCTTGCCATCAGGAGTCTCGACCTTGGAGATGGTGGTGCTGAACTCGAGCTTATTGTTGGGCGTATGCCTGAAGACGCCGATCTTGGAGCCCCGAACAACAAATGACCGGTCATGCTTGTAGCCAACGGCGATGGCTTTGTTTGTCTCCTTGTCGTTTGGCTTGACCGCGACGTCGTCCTCGTCCTCGTCGCTGTCGTAGTGCTCGCTCCGGGGGGCGTCATCGTCCTCTTCTTCCTCCTCCTCGGTATGCTCTTCCTCTTCCTCAGGCTCAGCCTCCTGAGCTTCAGCGTCCTCCATCGCAAGATCTGCAAAGGCATCCGTAACATAGTCACGCTCTGTCTCCTTTACTTTCGTCCACTTGATCTCGTTCAGCTGCTCCCAAAGAGCCCGAAGCAGCCCTTCCTGGAAACGCTCGAGCTGTGTCTGATCCTTAAACCGTAGCAGCCACGAGTAGGCAGAGCCATCATCAGAGAACTGATTGAAGATGAAGGATAAGAACTCAAAGTTGAACACAGGGTTGATGTCGGCAATGACGGGGATGCCAAGCCAGCTGCGGTCCTTGCTCTCCACATTGAGCCAGTACTTCCAGTTGCCAACCTCAGTGACTGTTGCAGTGACAGAGGCGTCCTGCAGGACGAAGGCGCCCGAGGGAAAGTCGAAGAAGTGAAGCTCCGCAGACTCGGCAGCTAATAGCTCACTCGGCTCCGGTGCAGCTTCGAACTTGGGAGGAGCGGTACTTCTTGCCTTGGGAGACGTCTCCTCGTGTTCTTCCTCGGCTGGCTGCTTGCCCCTCTTGACCCCAATATTGGTAGTAGTTGGGCGCTTGTTCAGAGACATCTGATCAACTGAGTCGATGGAACGACCAAGGGTGGGGCTGTGAATAGGACTCGCTTGGGGTATAGGCTGCTCGTCGAACTCGAACTGCTGCAGATCCTGGTCGGAAGCCGTTGTGAAAGGTTTGCGGTACTTGCGTTCGTACTGGCACTGCTTTGCCACGAGCTCGAATTGCTCGATCTGCTGGCCACCTGCGGCTGGGTCGCACACGAACTCGAAGACGTCGCCCGCGTCACCGCTGAGATCCTTCCAGCAAAGGACTTTCTCAGTCGAAGTCTCTCTATTCTTGACGCGGAAGTGGATGGCCTCGTCGAGGAGGAATGTCTTCTCGTCGCGATCGGATGCAAGAGCGTCGATTTCAGCGTCCTCACCTTCTTCCTCGGCTAGCAACTCGGCTTCACCTTCCTCAAAGACGCGCTGGACGACTAGTTGGTACTGGAAATCCTGACCGGTTCTTCGGATGCGAGCAGAGGCATCCTTGAAGATGAGCTCGGAGTAGCCCTTTGGAGAGAGAGGTCGGACTAGGTAGAGTTGGCCCTGGGGGAGCTCGATCATGGACTCTTGGCCACCAGCGCCGAAGATGAGTTTGCTGACTGAGACAGATGTTAGTTGGTGTTGGTTGGAAGTGAAACAAGACAAAGTCTTGGGTGTGATAGAATGGATGGTTGGGTTCCAGCTCCCTGGCCAGAGACCAGTGGCGATGATGTGACTGAGGGGTGTGTGTGCTGGTGTTTATGCAGATTGGCGGGGCAACAAGTCGGCAAGGCAGGACAGTGCAGTGCAATGAGGACTCACCATTTCGCAGGACGAACATCTTGACAGGTCAGCGACAGTCAAGATGGCGTGGAAGGCTGTACGCTGTTTTCAGTTCCGGGCCAGCGATGCGAGGGAAAGGTGGAAAGGTGCTGGATGTTGCGAGAGGTTGAAGGAGAATGAACTCGCAAAGCCCTGTCACTGCACCTGCTACTGATAGAAGATGATCAGCCTAGACCTCTGGGAAGGCAGGCACAGGGGAGGCCCCCGGTCGTGGTTGCTGCGTCATTCTAAGCGAGTGAATGAAAATTGGCCCAGGCCGCTGGGAGGCCTGAGCTTGCCACATGACGCACGGACATCGATTCCGCTAGGCCAAGGAAGGCAAGGCGCAAAGCAGCGTCTGATCTGGCATGCTACCTGCAGATGCACGAAAGGGGCACTCTCGTACCAGCAAGTTAAGACTCCGTGCGCACAGATCGTTCCTCTTTTCGCTTTGAGAATACAAGTCACTTGCCTTCCATACATGTATATACATAAAGATCCTGGCTCAGTTGGTATGTGTACCAGACCATGATATCTTCCTCCTTCGAAAGAACCCAGTCACATGCCTACGGGCTCTAGCAGGGAAAGTCGACCAGGCGAACTTTCTTTCCTGAGCCGAAATGATACACACGTCGCGTTTCGTCCAGGACATTGCTCACAAGGAGGGCACTTCTGCGCCCAACATAACAGGCTAAAATGTTTAATAATTTCCTCAGGGAACTTGACAGCGTTTCTACTTTATTGTAGCAGTGGTCTCAAGTCACATTCCTTTCCATGGTGTGCAAAGATACCGTGCCATACTCAACTGTTGGAACTAATCTCCCATGTCCAATTCCTGGTCTCGCTATGCCTACTCCTTTCCTTCCCGATAGAAATATTCCGAGCCTCAACGAAACCAAATAATTCCCCAATCCATTCCCTCATCAATCACGTCTAGTCTGAGTACCTACCTCAGGAACGATATCTTGACGAACTCCGCCCAAAACCGCTGCAACAAGGTCACCTACAGCTCTTCAGCAGCCACATGCGACTCCTCACTCTTCACCTCTGTCTGCTTCTCCGCAACCATAACAGTCTCGTCCGCTTCCATGCTCTCCGTCTCCTTCTCCTCAGTCACCGCATGCCCTGTGCTCAGGCCCAATGCGTCATCCACAATTAGCCTGGCCACATTCTTGCCCATAAGAGCATTCGTTTCCATTGTTGAGATGAAGCCTTCCATACCAGACGTATAGTAGACTCCGTTGCCAACGATAGGATCCTGGAACGTGACCCGCGGCAGGGCCTTGGGGTAAGAGTGAAAAACATGCTTGTGCAGCCACGAGACTGGCTCCACGACAACTGTATCGTTGTCTCCAGCAGGTGTAGCTGCAGGGGCCGCGCCAGTGAGCGTCTTAGGGACCTCGACACCCAGGACAGAGGAGAGGAACTCGGATGTGACCTCCATGGGCGAGAAGATCTTGTACAGATATTCCGTCTTGCCGGTCGATGGGTTGGTGATGGAACGTAGAGTACTGATGGAAAAAAATCCCGTCTTGCCTGCGCCCTCGAGGCCCGAGCTGCCGTCGGCAGCCTTGGCGAAAGCGGTGAGGACGCTCGTAGGGACCTGGGCGCCAGGCTTGAGACCGAGATACTCGGCGCTCAGCTGGAAGGGAGAGGCGAACAGCGTGACGTATAGCTTCACATAGGGAATCTCGTCGATGGCGGTCTGGAGGACGTCGTCGGAGGTCTTGATGTCGCTGAACTGGTATGGTGTGGCAAGGACAACATTGTCGAAAGCGACGCCAGCCGAGCCGCCGTTGACCAAGTATTTGGGGTTTGCCGCTCCCGGCTTCGTTCCCACAGAGATGGAAGAGACTGAGGTGTTCAGGTAGAGGTGAGCTCCCGACTTTGCAACCATCCGTTCGAAAATCTTCCAGTTGCCACCGACCACTGCCTTGGCTCCCTCGGGCGCCATAGAGACCATCGTATCAAGACCATGGATGGAGTCGAGGTTAGATGCGTAGTTGACCCTCGTGGCCGCCTCGACAATGTCATGTGAGAATGCCGCAGAGATGCCGTTGTCGGCCAAATATTGCTCCCCAGTCACGCTGGTGACCTTCACCAGATCCAACTCAAACGCCCGCGTGCTCAACGATCTGAAGGGGAAATATGGCTCCTCGTATAGCTTGAGGAACGTGGCCACGGTCGACTGCATAAGCTTCTGTGCTTTATACGGTGACGTGCCATACTTCCATAGTAGCTTCGTTATATCCCACCACCATGAGGTGCTGGAGGCAGACTCGTACACAAAGTTGTCGCCATCCCAGATCACGGTCAGTCGATCGGCGTCGCCATAGGGGTCCCGGAGATCCAAATCGAAGTCCTGGCTAGCATTCCACAAAATCTTATTAACGTCGACGAAAATACTGGCTCCAACCTCGACAGGCTCCGAGGGGATGCCGTAAGCATCGACCGTCAGAGTCCGGCCACCGATGCGGTCCGTCTTCTCATAAACAGTTATGTTTAATTCTACTCCAGCTTCAGAGGCATACTTCGATAAGTGATACGCAGCGGAAGAGCCGGCAGCACCCGCACCTAGAGATCGTGTCAGCAGCGAGGACCAGATAGTACATTGAAAAGTCCACCCGTGGTGCTGCCTTTCATATCGAGGCCCCTCTTGAAAAGGATTTCATGCCCAGTTCCATGCATGGCATGGGTAACAGGAACACGTGTTCGATGCTGCCCGTGGCTGAACGGCCCACTGACCTATAATAGCAACCTGTCTCACATTGCTCGCGGCATCGTCAACCAAGACAGACTGCGACGTGTCCGTATTGTCTGCTCCTGGTGAAGCAAGCAGACCAGGGATGGCCGCTTTGAAGCTATCAAGCCACTTCATCCTTGCTTCGGATCAGGATCAGGATCAGGATAATCAATGAGATCGACAAGGTCGACGTAGGTAAGATCAGACGGAGCCGAGCTCAGACGTATGTTGACCGAGTCGACAGAGCAACGGTCAAAGGGATGCAAAGTAAACAAGAGAATCAATACACGGCAAGATTAAAAACAAGGCTCAAGCATGCCTCCTTCTGTTACAAGTACAAAGACGCGCACGTCGTCCCCTCACTGGCTCGAGTATGATGAGGAAGCAACCACCTGCTCACGAAAGCTTGACGGGTCTATGGGATGGGGGAGAAGTGGTGGAACATTTCCAAACACTTGTCATTGTCTCATGCAGCCCTGTGGATGGCGAGTACCTTGCATGTGCACTGAAACGCGTGAGATGACAAGTACCTCCCATTCCAGGAGCTTCCAAGGTTGACACCGCCTGGCTGGCCCAAGCTCTCCCTCCTGTCGGGTTCCTCCTGCACTGTCCAGGACTGCCAGGCGGCCCCACGTCCCCTACCCCTGCCGGCAGCGTCTCCTAGCGGCAAGGCCAAAAATTCTAGAAGGTGAACGCGGAGAGAGGGACACAGAGCAGCTTGCAGCTTCATCACACCGCGGCGGCCTGAAGAAGACGACTGCATCCCCTCGAGCTCTCTCACCCCCCTGGAAAGCTCACACGCGACTGCTCAGCCCTCCTTCTCGATCGCACTCTGTCAAGATGTCGGCGGCACAACTCCTCAACCCCAAGGCCGAGTCAAGAGTACGGAGCTCCTTTCCGTGAACCCCTCCACATCCTCTGCTAACGGGTATCTGTCTACAGCGGCGGGGCGAAGCTCTCAAGGTCAACATCAGCGCCGGTGAGGGTCTGCAAGATGTCCTCAAGTCCAACCTCGGCCCCCTGGGCACGATCAAGATGTACGCCTGCCTTTCCCGACATATGCTTGTCCTTTGCTCTCAAGCGCAATCTGAACTGACCCTCAACGCGTCGACCACAGGCTCGTCGATGGCGCCGGCCAAATCAAGCTCACCAAAGACGGCAACGTCCTCCTCCGTGAGATGCAGATCCAGAACCCCACCGCCGTCATGATTGCCCGTGCTGCCACCGCCCAAGACGACATCTGCGGCGACGGTACCACCTCGGTCGTCCTGCTCGTCGGCGAGCTGCTCAAGCAAGCCGACCGTTACATCAGCGAAGGCCTGCACCCCCGGATCATCACCGATGGTTTCGAGATAGCCAAGACCGAGGCTTTGAAGTTTCTGGACTCGTTTAAGCTTTCCAAGGAGGTGGATCGTGAGCTGCTCCTCAACGTGGCGCGGACATCCCTGGCGACAAAGTTGAACGCTACGCTGGCAAACAAACTTACCCCTGATATTGTGGACGCCGTCCTGGCCATCTACGAGGCCGGTACCAAGCCCGATCTACACATGGTTGAGATCATGAAGATGCAGCACCGTACAGCAAGCGACACTCAGTTGATCAAGGGACTGGCGCTGGACCACGGTGCACGACACCCAGACATGCCTAAGAGGGTGGAAAACGCGTTTATCCTGACACTGAACGTTAGCTTGGAGTACGAGAAGACCGAGATCAACTCGAGCTTCTTCTACTCGAGCGCTGACCAGCGGGACAAGCTCGTTGACAGTGAGCGCCGATTCGTGGACGCCAAGCTCAAGAAGATTGTGGAGTTGAAGAAGGAGGTTTGCGGCAATGATCCCAAGAAGAACTTCGTCATCATCAACCAGAAGGGTATTGACCCTCTCTCGCTGGACGTTCTGGCGAAGAACGGTATCCTAGCACTCCGACGTGCCAAGAGGAGGAACATGGAGAGATTACAGCTCATCTGCGGTGGCATTTCACAGAACAGCGTCGATGACTTGTCACCCGACGTGCTAGGCTGGGCTGGTCAAGTCTATGAGCAGCAGCTGGGCGAGGAGAAGTACACATTCATTGAGGACGTCAAGGACCCCAAGTCAGTCACGCTACTGATCAAGGGCCCCAATGCGCACACCATCACACAAGTCACAGATGCGGTCCGTGATGGTCTGAGGAGCGTGTATAACATGATTGTCGACAAGAGCGTTGTGCCTGGTGGTGGTGCTTTCCAGGTCGCGTGCGCGGCGCACCTGAAGAGCGATGCTTTTGCAAAGACTGTCAAGGGCAAGGCCAAGTGGGGTGTTGAGGCGTTCGCAGATGCGCTCCTGATCATTCCCAAGACGCTGGCGGCGAACGCTGGCCACGATATCCAGGATGCTTGTGAGTGCAACTCATCTTCTCACCAATCCAGACCGTCTACTAATCCTCATTACAGTGGCTGCGCTCCAAGACGAGCACCGCGAAGGTGCAATCGTCGGCTTGGATCTGTCTACAGGCGAGCCCATGGACCCAACCTTGGAGGGTGTCTTCGACTCTTTCCGCGTGCTGAGGAATTGCGTTGCATCCAGCGCTGGTATTGCCTCGAACCTGCTACTCTGCGACGAGCTGCTGAAGGCCAGGCAAATGGGGCGTCAAGGTGGCCCAGGTCCAGGCATGGACGGACCCAATGACAGCATGTAACGGGAAAAGATAGATGTACGTCGAAGAGATGATACCATTGTAGAGGCAAGGCGTTTATAGTGTCTATATCAGAATGGCCAACGGTATAGAGACGCATCGGTACCATGTGGTCCCTTTTCGTCAACGTCCTCGGCAGCCTAATCAAGTCTACATATGCCAGCATGGGTATAGTCTTCTTTCAAGCCAATCTGGGGCAGCTCAGCAGAATTTCGACAGCGAAGCTGGACGATGTGACATTAGCAGGCTTCTCCCCAAACCACTCACATGCTTATCAGAGCTGATAAGAAGGACCCACTTTAAAGTTGTTGTGAGCTGCGAGCTCCAAGACAAATTTCGAACCCCGCCATCCGATGCAGCTGGTGTATAACGACGGCGATCTCTGCAAAGCAAGACAAAATGGCGCCATACGACAGTGACGACTCGCTCGACGAAGATCAGGACTATACAGAAACCAATGTCCTCCTCGGATACGCTTCCAAAGATGCAGACGAGGACACAATCAGCCGCCTAGGGGGCAGACCAGTGAGCCGGCCATCTCATCCAAGAAGACCACAAGCACGAACAAAACCGCAGAAGCTGACTTGTCCTCCATAGGAATGGCTCGATTCCTCCAAAGCACCATCCTCATCTCTCGCTCGCTGCAAGGTCTGCAATGACCTCATGGTGGTCCTCCTCCAGCTCAATGCCGAGCTAAACGAGCGCTTCCCAGGCCACGAGAGGCGGTTATACGTGTTCTCGTGCCGGCGGAAGTCATGTCGGCGGAAGGAGGGGAGCATACGTGCCCTGAGGGGAGTGCGAATTTCGGCTGAGGCGGCTGCGAAGGCTAAGCAACGCAAAGAGAAGGAGCAACAGGACAAGGAAGAGAAAGAGAAGGCTGAGGCGGAGAGGAAGGAGAAGGAAAAGGGCTTGGGCGAGGCACTATTCGGCGTCCAAGGCAAAGGAGCGTTTGGGGCCGGCGGAGCAGCGAACCCGTTCTCCTCAGGCGGCAGTTCTGCTGGCGCGAATCCCTTCGCGAAGCCTTCCGGAAACCCATTTAGCACAGGAAGCGCCGAGACAACACAAACAAAATCACCACAGCCCGAACCGGAGTCCGAACCGACATCATCCAAGTACTCCACGAAAGACCTACCCAAGACCTTTGCCGAAACACTATCCCTCAACAACCCCCAAGAAGCCGAGAAACTCGGCCCTCCTCCCCCGCCAGAGCCGTGGCCGTCAGAGTCCGAGCAGCCAAAGCTGTACCCCTTGAGCTACCTCGCCGACGCAGACTACGAGACACTTGACCCAATCCCGGCGCCGAAAGATGTCCCGACCAGCATGGACATCGACGACGGCGCCGGGGCCGGCTCAGGCGGCGGCAAGGAGGACAAGGACGTGTTCGAGAGCACGATCGACAGCACGTTCCAGAAGTTTGCGGACCGGCTCGCGCAGAACCCGGACCAGTGCATCCGCTACGAGTTCAACGGGCAGCCGCTGCTGTACAGCAAGACGGACGCCGTGGGCCGGAGGCTACACGACGGGGCGGGCGGTCGCGTGCCGCCCTGCCCCAACTGCCGCGGCGAGAGGGTCTTTGAGGTGCAGCTCGTGCCGGGCGCCATCGCCGAGCTGGAGAGCGAGGAGGATGGGCTTGAGGGCATGGACTGGGGCACTGTCATCGTTGGCACTTGCGCTACGGACTGCGTCCCGACGGGCACTGCTGATGGCGAGGCTGGGTATCTGGAGGAGTGGGCTGGTGTGCAGTGGGAGGAGTTGACGCAGAGGAGGTAGAGGGCTGGTGATAGATTTGCGCCGTCAAAACCGCAATCAGAGGGAGGACCTCGATGGTTCATTCGGTCCAGAATTTGGGGGGAGAAGCTGTGTACTAAACAGTCACGGTTCTTCTGGTTTGATAATTACTGGTGTTTCCAGGACATTCCAGACTTTAGTCCTAGCATGAGGAACATCCTGTGTGGACTTTGAATAGACAATTCTTATAGAAATGGCATCGATATTCATCTTATTGTGTGACCAAGTCATCAGTCAGAGATTAAATCTTGCGCCTAAAAGAGACATCTTCAGACTGCACACTTACACACGGGTATCTATCTTTGCTACGCAGGAAAGTGCCATCTGTAACTGCAATTCAGTGCAAACGTGGCAACTTTTATCACGGGACAGCGATACTGACTTGGAATAGAGGCATATCAATGGTACGATCACTTTGAGAGCTTTCTGCATGTCTGTTCAAACATCATGGACTTGCTCGCCTGCCACTCCATTACAGCCCAATGTATTCAACCTTCCATGGAGCACCCAAGACACAACACGTGGCCCAAACGTTGGTTATTGTCGGAATCAAAAAGCGCTGACAGTGTGCAGATTAGGGGATTTATATATTCTGACAGTTATACCCTGCTGCTACGATGAGACCGACAGCATGAGGTCCTGCGCCTATGTACAGTCCAGGCAAGACAGCCCCTCCAACCGCCTAGGCAGATACCGCCAATTGCTTTTGGGCAGCTAACGCTCGTCAAGATACCTAGGAATTGATCTCAAGACAGGAGTGTTAATTTCAAAACTCACTACCACTCGAGAGCGACGAAGTTTCACGTGATATCGGTTCAAACCTTTCCTCTCGTGGCCTGAGATAATTCCTGATGCCCCTAATCGGCCGCAAGTATTGCGGCGGCTCCGTCAGCTTGGATATCAGAGCAGAGTCAGATCCGTCGACATCAGCCAAAAATGCATAGTATAGCCCGCTGCGTAGTAGTTCTGCGTTGTCCGCGTTCGTTAAGAAATCATCGGTACTGATAAAATAAGTTCTTGGAGAACCTACCTCCGAGAAGATTGAGCATATCTAAAATGTTGAAGTAGAGGATCTGACAGATCCAGGTCGCCAGGAAAACTGGTACTAGGATGAATCCTAGAAGGACGCGAGCAATCCTTTTTCCATGAAAATCTATAGCCACGTGTCCGGTAGTCTTGGAGAGGAATTGTACGGCGTTCGCGGCTGAAATTGGCGTGGCGGGCGCTTCGTTGTTGTCGAATCCAGCTTTCTTGCGCGCGAACTTTATTAAATCTTCAAGATCATTGAGATTGTTTCGCGGCCGTGCAAGTGCGCGACAGGCAAGTGCAATTCTCCTCGCGGGTACCTCAAAGAAGATGTAACCAGTCCAAAATACCAATCTCCGCGGAATCTTGTCTTTCGAAGAATCTCGCCTAGAGTCTGGGCTGAGGCGGCCACCGTTATGAGCCTTGTGCTTGAGTTTCAGTCCTTCCCGGCCCTGGATGATCAAACTGGATCGCATCGTATCATTAGTGAGCTTGCTGAAATTGCTTGATACCTTGTCCACGACGCTTGCGAGAGCCTTGGCATTCATCAATACGAAAACCGTGATAGCCAGTGCAACGACTGAAGTGACCACCATGTTGATCACAAGACTTGTTTCTGGAGACCCATTCATGCTGAAAATGCTAGCGATAAAACCAAGGGGTAGGAAGACGACTGTGACATATGTGAACGACGCAATGTTCTGCTCGCTGCGAAAGCTGAGTTCCTCTCGGGCTCTGACGAGGCGATTTGAGCAGGATTCGCGCAATGACCTGATATTCGCGTGTAGGTATTGTAGCGTGCTAGTCTGACGCTTGATCTCACGATGGAGTTTCGTGATCGAGGCTCCATATTTTCTCTCACGATCACGAGTCCAGCGAGGCTTTTCTTTCCCTCTTTCCTCCTCTCTTGATTCCCATTGATCAACAATGACTTGAGTGGATGCAAGATCCTCTTCCAACGTCTGGAGCAGAGGCTCGAACCCCGCCCAGAGAGCGCTCCAAGATGAGTACGCATCTATGTTGGGAATGGGGCTGGAAAATGATCCTGATTTAACACCCAAGCAGGACTTTATCTCTGCCAAAATGTCTCCAGCGCTCAACGTCAAGTTCGTAAGTATTTCAGCAAAGAATCGTTGCTCAAGAACTTTTCGCTGGCGGTCCTTCGGTCTGTTAAGACAATTGTGAGACCCATGCCAGCCATTTTCCAAGCCTTTGTGAACGTATGCGAGCCAATGGCATGTCCAATAGCGGTCAAAAAGGTCACCGTTGAATCGAAAACTGGTCGAAGCCCGGGCAATTTTCTTCCCCCGACTTCCAGGAAACGGCTCGCTCTCGAACGGAGGGATTCCAGGCCACATATTATTAGATTCGTCTAGGATTTGGTAGTAACTCAAATGCAATTCCGTTTCCCAGGAGTTATGAACGATACTGCATCGGTCGATGGCGTGCTTTTCGTGGCGAGAATGCCTTCGAAAGAAGTCCATCATGTTTCGTCCCTCAGAGGTTTCACTTGCGCCAAAGCAGATGGAAACGATTTCCCCGTTAGCCCTGGAAAAGTAAAGCAGACGTTTTTTAGAATCTCGCTCTGTCCTGACAGGTGTGAGCAGTTTTTCAAGGAACTCAGGAGAGGTACCAAATTGGCAGTCGGGGCGGCGATCCCTCCGGTCGCCCTCGATAGACTTCGAGCTGGGGACATCTACGACACAAAAGCGTAATTCTCCCTCATCATATCTGTTCACGGTACTGGGTAAGCTTCCGGTATTTGGATGCTTGAAAGAAGCCATACCATACCTGTTGAATAGTCTAGGTATCCTGTCAGCCTCTGAGAACCCTGGCCCAGTCTCCAGATCATCCGAAGCGGTTTCGAAAACAACACTCTTCAGGGGCTTCCTCGTCATTAAGAACTGCGGATAGTTGAACAACCATTCATCCTCTATGATATTGCTGGATTCGATCGAATTGTTGAAAGGCACAGATTTCTTCATGACGAAACGTTGATGATTCTTTGCTCGACTGACATTCCCCAAGACCTCACGACCATCAGAATTAAGAGCTCGTGATCGCTGTAGAACGAATTCCGAAAGAAGCAGAAGCATCTCACGCTGTCCTGAATCACATATCCAGAGGCCGGCATCTCTCTGAGCTTGATGAAATTGCTCATTACCTGCAGGTCCTTGTGAATGGATATTGCTTTTGAGTCTTCCATCGAGGTTTGGCTCGGAATTTGTCGGCTCTATGATTGGCGAGGCAAGCCGGTTGTAAACATCGCTTAATCGACTCATATGGGTCAATAGAATATATGGTATCTCGAAACTAGCATTATAATATCGGTCCATGTCTTTGTCTGTAGATCGAAATCGCGGATTCCTCCTCGAAAGGTGTTGCTGTCCAGGAAAGGAACCATTTGGGCTGCACATGCGAAATAGAGCTTCTGTCGCTGTTTGAACCAGTTCATCCGGCAGCTTGCTGTTGATACTAAGTCCTCTGGTGCCCATCATAACGCATAGCGCGTGGCGCAAAGGATTTTTCCAGATTGATTCTTGGGTTCCATCATGATACTTCTGACAATCTATTGTTTTGCTCCACCCTTCCTTGTTGGCTGCATCGCCCGAAAAGAAATCAAACATTTCGTCGTAGAAGAGCGCTGTGTCGCGGGCATGTAACAGGAATCTGGATTCCCTCGTAGACCTCGTGACAGCGAGCATAGGTTGGCGCAAGACATCATTTTCTGTAACGAATCGCCCATAAACTTCACGCAAGAAGACTTCAGAAGCAAAATGCCTGCGTAGCCTCGCGATATCGTTCTTCGCAATCGGGGTGGGCGCGCTGTCACAATTCTACTGCTCGTCAGCGGGAACGGCAGGCTGACTCGAACGCTGACTCCAAGCGCCGTAGTTTCTTTCAAGGTACACACCTTAAGCATTAGATTCCATGCTTGACTATTACATTTCTCCAGCGACTTCAGTGCTCGCCAGATCCAGACGTGGTTTTTTTCAGCCGGAAGACACCAGTGCCCTCAACCTCAGCGCTCGGCCATGCATATTTCAAGCGCTTGTCTGAGGTTTCCATAAACACCAACCAGGGAGGAGCCCAATTGCTCATTAGCTCATACGCGACATCGTTCCCAGCTGATAGTTCCGTGTAGGCTGCTGCTTTCAGGATCTGAAATCCTGTGTCAAGGAGACTGTCTTCCGATGGGCAAGAACGGATGACACGGCGGGGCCGAAGTATGGGCTTTCCTGTGACCTGATACTTGGATTCAAAGCGTCGTCCGTCTCCTTCTTGATGAATGAGGTGAAGCCACTTGAGATGGCCTCGACAAGTTGTTTCGATTCGGGAGAGGATAGAATTAATGTCTGGCTCCTTTGGAAGATGACAAAGTCTCTTGTAGACTTCAACCAAAAATCGATATGCAAAACTAAAACAAATACGAGGGTTACTACATTCAATGTCCTCGGTGTTACCTGGAAGACTTACAAGCTAGAAGACCAGCGTATTGCATGGCCCGACATGTCGCCGCATGTCAAAGCAACTGCGTTTACATCATGCAAATAATGTGGAACGGCAGTGGAAGTAATGATACCAGAACTATCTGGCGTCACCTGGATTGAGCAAACCGACAGAATGTGCTCTAAATTCCTTCGGATCACGAATTCCAGGTGGTTCTGTGGTGATGATAGCCCAGGGGTACCGACTAAGATATCCATACGTACATGTTGCGTCTGGACGCGTTTTGTTTCCTCAACCTTGTTTTGATGTGACCACTTTACATCCTCAGGAGATTCGATGCAACCACCGTCGACGAAGTCGTCCCTGCTCTGCTCTCTGTTTGGATAGTGTTCTTTGAATGTTGAGAAAATCGAGGTTGGGAATGGGCGAAGTGGTGCTTGCTCTCTGAGAAATTGATCGACATGCATGCTTTGATAGGGAATGATGGCGGCCTTCCAGTGGACCTCGGGTGTTGCGAAGTGGACCAGTCTATATGCAACGACCAGCTCAACAGTTTGGCGTCGATCAGTTGGCTCTGGCATCTGCTGGCTCTTGACAACCACAGGCCACTTCTGCGGAGTGATCCCGTTTTCGAAACGTTGGACTTGTCCATCATTTGCGACAGAAGTAATGACAGTTACTCCGTATGGGGTCTTCTTTTCCACCTGGGTTTTATCTGGGTCAGGAGTCGACCCTTTTTGGTCGTCAAAGGTATCTCCTCTATAGAACGACTCGTAAGGCCCAGACTCATCTTCGTGACCTAGATGATGAGGTTTTATTAGCCGGGGAAATCTACGTAGTTGCCTCCAATGAATTATGTGTTGCAGTCTCTATACCTTCATTTCTTGGCAAAGGGCTACGCCCAGGCGACGTGTCTGAACGGCGCGTGTCGATATTGCCAACAGAATTTGGCGTAAAATCAGTTGCTCGCGTAGCCCCACACCCAAGACTAGCCTCTGGGAATCTATGCATCCAGACCCAACTGTAGCCTTTTGGCCCTGGTCCCACGTAATGATTGCGGGTTGTCCACCTGTTGAATTCGTTGGGCATGCAGAATTGATCCAGGTCCCTGATTTCCATTGGTTTGGAAAATTCCACATCAATTTGGATATCATTGTCGCCATCATTCCTCAGAAGGCACTGCTGTAGAATAGTTTTCTCATGAACCATCCATTGCGTAGTCAACTTCAGTTTGGGGTAGTTCTCAAAATCTCCTCGAGAATATTCGTGGCGCGGCCATCTCCAGTATGCCCACTTAAGCTGGGGCTGAGCGTTCGGCTTCGTGAGGAGATCCGGAAACCTCAGACCATAGGACCAGATATGTGGGATTGCTGGACCGATATGGAACGGCTGCTGCGACAATTCCCGAAGATCATCCGCTCTGCGTCCAACCCAACAAGGCGCTTGCACTGAAGGCTGGTCCGCGCTGAAGATGCCAGAGCTCCCAGTACCGAGGAAATGGCTGAACTGCAAAAGTTGTCCGAAGGCGCCAACAGTTGCCGTTGTTCCCTGATCGCCAAATGATGCATGGCACTTTGAGTTGGGGGCCGATTGCCAGATGCCGCAATGTCTATCCTCGATTCCCAAGACTAAAGAGGGATCGGAAGAGCCTGTTTCTTAAGGGAGATCAGTGTCTGGGGTAACAAAACTCATTCAGTTTGAGAAGGGACTTGCGGTGGACAAAGCGCCGTACATCAGCCTCGCTCACGGCATCCTCATCCCAGCACGGGAGAGCTGGCTGCCGAGTTTCCGACTCTGCTAGCTTTGGAATGCGGTAATTCATACTCGCTCGAGGCTAGTCGGACTGATTTCTCGAAGCCGTACTGCAACAAGTACGGAAGCACGCCAGGAGGTTGCTGGGAAAAGGAATGTTTGCGCGAGGACGACTTGCCACTTTGGACGGGGGCACGAAGGCGACTTATAAACCGCACAAACACGCCCGCATCCGACGAGCTCAAGCAGCCCCGAACGAATCCCGGGTATCACGATGTTTGGTCACAGCCTCCCATTCACGCTGGGCCAGAGTTTTTGTTGGGCGACATGCTCGTACAGAGCATGATGTCGGTCACACAGCATTCAAGAACGCAGCCAGGAGCGGTACACCCGTTTGAATGCCGAGCAAGCTATTGACGGAAGGAGGCTCAAAGTGAGACCAGAAAAATGGCCCCGAGGCCTTCTTACCGCTATCGAGCTTTGCGCATCAGAAGACTCCTCTTGATCTAAAGCACTGATGCGATGGCTGGTAAACAACGAGCGTGGTCAAGGTTAAATATCGTGGCAATTTTAAACCTCATGAGCCAACTGGGTGATGGTCGAGTGATGCTATTGCATTTCGCAGTCGATGTGCTCGTTCAACCTCTCAAGAAAGACTTGTTTTGGTGCGAGCTTGCGAAGAGTGGATGGAGGCAATTATAGACTTTTTTATTCCTCAGCTCGGCGAACGCCTGGCTACCAAGTCATCGATCAGGCCATCTTCGGGCCCAAGAATATCCCACCGTCCATAACGCCAATGTGCTAAATGCAACCATGCCACGCTCCGAAAGCCCCCCCCTCTCTTACCCGTCCGGGCTCGGGTTCTCCCTACTCGTCCATTCGCTGCATGAGGTTCATGCAACCTCTTCCCAAGATCTCCGGATAATGCGTGCGAACATATCCACGTTAACGTCCTCCCTGATCTCAGCCTTCTTGGCCTCGTTGTCGGCATTCTTGGGAATGAGCACCTTGTCGCCCTCTACTTTCCAGCCGCAGGTCTCGGTGACGTACTTCTCGACGGCGTCCTTGCCCTCAAGACCGAGCCAGCCCTCCAGGATGTCTGTCTGCACTTCCCTAAAGGCTTCGCTGACAAGCTGGGCGATGTGGACACGGATGGTGTCCTCGAAACCATCGATGTCGGTGGTCAGATCGGCGTACAAGTCGTCCGAATCCAGGGTTGCCCAGAAGCGGCTGAACGATGCGCCTTGGAGGTGTGCGTTGAGGGCGCGGAGCTTGGTGACTGCCTCGCTCAGCTCGGTGCCGGGTGCGAGGGATGAGGGAGCGAGGAGGTGGAGGGCGAGGTTGAACTGTGGTGACGGGAAGGCGGTCATGGCCTTGACGAGGATGTTTGTGATGACCTCATCCTTGATGCGGTCTGGGTTGAGTTGGTACCTTAACGGGCAGTAAGTTAGCCAGCAGTCATCGCGACATAATATGCGATTGTCCGTCGAGGCGGTGTCCAGCGTGCAAGATGTAGGTAGGTCAGATATAATTAGATGTGACTTCATGCGCCGCAGTCGCGTGGACCGCGGGACAGTCAGGTAATAGGAAACGTGATTAAATTTGAATCGTCACAATACACAAGCAGCACAGATGATATGGTCAAGAAGTCAAGGTGAACGTACAGCTTCAGCAGTACCCTGTTGGAGTTGCCGTCGCAAAACCGTTGCTCGCATTGCTGCTGGAGGTAGTTCTCGAGGGGGCCGACGGCCTCTGGGTTGTACCGCTCAAGACCAGTTATTATCTGGTTAATGTCTTGCGGCCTCTCCTGGGGATCCTCGGTGTTGCTCATGTTGGGCAACGTTGGGTGGGTGTTGCTGGGAGGTGCGGACAAGGTGTGTATAGCTTGGGTGAGGTTCAAAAGTCCAGTTGTCGAGGTCTATCTTCCATTGGGTTGCCCCACCATCAAAGATTGAACATGCGCGCCTGGGTAAGAGGAGTCAGGCTCCCTTTTGGTGTGTGATGCGCTAAGGCCCAAAGTGGACTAGCTCCCGGTCGACGGAAGAAGTCAGAGACCGCTCGGGCCAATTAGCGCGTCTAGCCCGACGAGACGCGACAATGGGCCTGGACGGCAGTGACATCACCAGTGCTCAAGGCAACCTCAGAGGCCCTTCACGTAGAGTCTGCCTACCAGATTACGTTTGCTATCCCATGCCAAGTTTACCTGTCGATAGGAGAGCAAGTATCGAGGTCAAGGGAATTTCGTCGCAGGAAACGTCTCATTCTCTATCAGTCCATCGGATTACCAATCTCCTAAAAGAAAGTCTATCAAAGACAACTGCCTCTTATGAGATCTTCATGAACGAATTGCACACCACATAATGGCGACGGGACGTTAGCATCTAATGATGTCCCGAGACTCATCAGGAAGTAGAAATGCCCTGAGTGACGGGTACCACCTGAGCCTTCCTGGATGATCAGCATATCATAAGACTCCGTGTAGCCTTGGAAGCGTCCATCATGGCCAGTCCAGCGAAGAAGCGGAAGCTGAATGGTGACAGCAAGCAGCCATCAAAGGGCCTTGAATATTTCTTTGCAAAGCAGAAGCAAAATGCGCCTGAGCCGATTCCTGAGAAGCCGGACGGGCCAGTCGCAACACCCAATGAGCGGGAGCTGACAGACGAGGAGCTTGCCAGAAAGCTTCAGGCCGAATGGGATCAGGAGGACGCTCAATCTGGACGGCCTGATGGAGATCAGGTTGGTGCAGAAGCGGAGAGCATCCAAGATGTCGACCAGCCCAAAGCACCAGCTACCAGGTTAGAAACACCCGAGACTCCCGGAACACCCCAAAGTGCACCTCCCTCAGCTTTCAAGCAGATGGGAAAGAACACACTGTCGTTGCAGTCCATGGCAGAAGCTGAGGAATCGGCTTCAGCGACAATTCCCCTAGACGAGAGTCCTTTAACATTCGAGCCGGCGAAGTACATTCCCGATCTGCAAAAAGCATGGGCTGCGGAAGGCGGAAACGCGTCATATGCTTTGCTCACAAGATGCTTCGTAATAGTGGGCGGGACAACAAAGCGGATAAAGACCGTCGATGCGCTGGTCAATTGCGTCCGCCTCCTCATCGAAGCAGACCCTGCCAGCCTTCTGCCTGCGGTTTGGCTCGCCACGAACTCTATATCACCGCCATACATCTCTCTTGAGCTGGGCTTGGGTGGCTCAGCGATCTCCAAGGCTTTGAAACAGGTCTGTGGTTTGGACGGCCGTGCCCTCAAGACTATTTACGACAAGTACGGCGACCCAGGGGACGTGGCTTTTGAAGCAAAGAAGAAGCAGAGCTTCACTTTGCGCAAGCCGAAGCCGCTGACAATTAGGGCTGTATACGAGTCTTTGGTCAAGATCGCAAACAGTTCTGGCCAGGGGAGCGTCGAGCAGAAGCAGAGGATCGTGGACCGTTTATTGCAAGATGCGAGGGGCGGCGAGGAGAGCAGGTATATCGTGCGAACTCTGTGTCAACACCTTCGCATTGGTGCAGTCAAAACAACCATGCTTATTGCCCTTTCTCGGGCTTTTCTGCTATCCCGTCCGCCGGGAGCTGACTTCCCCATCAGAGGCCAAAAGGAGCTCGCGGCAATGAAAAAGGAAGAACTCACGGAGATATACGCGAAGGCTGAAGAGATTGTGAAGGCTTGCTTTGCCCGGCGGCCCAATTACAACGATCTTGTCCCTGTCATGCTTGAGATCGGCGTATGTGAGGAATTATTAATTCGATGCGGTCTGACCTTACACGTCCCACTACGGCCCATGTTGGGCAGTATCACAAGAGATTTGGCCGAGATGTTGACGAAGCTCGACGGCCGCGAGTTTGCCTGCGAGTTCAAGTACGACGGCCAACGCGCCCAGATTCACTGCGACGAGAAGGGGAAAGTGACGATTTTCTCGCGCCACCTCGAGGTGATGACCGACAAGTACCCCGATCTTGTCGCTCTCATGCCCAAGATCCGAGGTGAGGGTGTCGGCAGCTTTATCATGGAAGGCGAAGTCGTCGCGATCGACCGTCAGAATGGAGAGCTCAAGACTTTCCAAACTTTGTCTAACAGAGCCAGGAAGGACGTACAAATCGGAAGCGTTACCATCGATGTCTGCATGTATGCTTTTGATTTAATGTATCTGAATGGACAGCCGCTCCTCGATCGACCATTTCGCGAGCGTCGAGAATTACTGCGATCGCTGTTCACGGAGGTTCCACACCATTTCACGTGGGTCAACAGCATCGATGCCACATCACAAGACCCGGAAACTGTCTCGGACTTCTTCAAGCAGGCCACAGACATCAAATGTGAAGGCATCATGGTCAAGATCCTCGACAACCTGCCTGACCTCGCCTACCAAGGCGACGATACAGGCGAGGCTGGCGAGGAGGCTACAAAGCCACCACCACCACCTGCAAGCGCGAAAGGAAAGAAGGCGAAGAAGGGCAAGGCCAAGGCCGAGGAGCAAGAAGGCGGCGAAGAAAAGAAGAAGTCCCGCCGCAAGCCCCTGCTCGCGACATACGAGCCGGACAAGCGCCTCGACTCGTGGCTGAAAGTCAAGAAAGACTACGGCACGACCTTTGACACGCTGGACCTCGTTCCCGTGGCCGGGTGGCACGGGCAGGGTCGGAAGAATAAATGGTGGTCGCCGATCCTGCTGGCGTGCCGCAACGACGAGACGGGCAGCCTCGAGGTTGTGACCAAATGCATCAGCGGGTTCACGGATGCCTTCTACAAGGCCAACAAGGAGTTCTACGACGACGGTGGCGAGGGCGGCAGCGGCGAGCCGAAAAACACGCACGCCCGTCAGCCGGGCTTCGTCGAGTACTCTGGCCCGCAGCCCGACGTCTGGTTCGAGCCGCAGGAGGTGTGGGAGATGGCATTTGCCGACATCACGCTCAGCCCCGTGTACACGGCTGCCATCGGGCTGGTCAGCGAGGACAGGGGGTTGAGTATGCGGTTCCCGCGGTTCCTGAAGAAGAGGGAGGACAAGGGTATCGAAGAGGCGAGCACGAGTGAGTTCCTGGCTGGGCTTTATAGGAAGCAGAGCGAGAAGGCGGCTGCTGCTCCGCCGGCGCAAGGAGACGCGGATGTCGACGATCAGGACCAGGACATTGGCATGGATGATATGTGATTAATTCAGCGCGGTATGCTAAGGGTATGGTGTGGTGTGATGTGTAGGACTATGCTACATGCAAACATTGTCCCAGAGACAGCAAGATGCAATCTGCAGACCGAATGCCCCAAGCTCTCCCACCTACTCCTTCCAAGCCTTGTACACAATGCGTGCTCCATATGTATCCCCCTTCTTCAGCAGCGTCTGGCCCTTCCACTCAGGCACGTTGAGCGCATTGACGTATCGACTAGGCTCAACGCAGAAGCCGCTGCGCGGCGCCCTTGCCGCGGCGCCACCCACGGCTGGCACGTCGATGTACTTGCCCGTGTAGAACTGGTAGGCGGGCTCGGTGCTGTAGACCTCGAGGTGGATGCCGGTGGCCGGGTGGCGGGCGGCGACGAGCCTCGTCAGCGGCCGGCCGCGGGTGTCGAGGGGCACGGAGGACGCGGTGGCGTCGTCGACGACGAAGCAGTCGTCCACGTCGGGCTCGGCCGCGCCCAGCGTGAAGGGCTTCTTGCTCTCGATTCCGGGGTAAGTGGCCGCCTTGGTCGTGGTCGGGATGCCGCCGTCGTCGACGGGGAGGTAGGCGTTTGATACGAGCTCGACCTCGGTGCCCTCGATGGAGGGGCCGCCTGAGAGGTTGAAGTAGCTGTTGGGCACATATCCGCTACGGTCAGATACATCGCGCAAAGGCAGTGAGTGACTGGGAGGTGGGGCCCACTTACGAGTGGTTCGTCATGTTGATGGCCGTCTCATCCGCACCGCCCACCAGCTTGGCCTCGTACTCCATGCCCAGGATCGTGGCGCCCTTGTCGTCCTTGCCCGCGGTGTAGACGACGGTCGCTTCGACGGTGCCGGGGAAGCCCTCGTCGCCGTCGGGCGAGTGCTGGGTGAACTTGACGCTCTCGCCGCCCTCCTTGAACTTGCCGAAGCCAGGGGCGGCCTCCTCCTTTGTGCCGATGGGCTTGGGCCCGTCCCAGACCTTCTTGCCCCAGCCCTTCTCGCCGCCGTGCAGGTTGTTGGGCCCGTTGTTGGCCTTCAGCTTGTAGGACTGGCCGTTGAGCGAGTCGATGGTGGCGGCCGAGATGCGGTTGGCGACCCGGCCGATGGTGGCGCCGAAGTGTGCGCTGTTGTGCGCCTCGTAGTGCTCCTGCGCTGGGAAGCCTTGCACGATGTTGATGCCGCCGACGTGGAATGACTGGAGGATGGCGCCCAGCGGCAGGAAGGAGATCTCGTCTGTGGACATGGTTGCAGCTGGTCCGCTCTGTGCTCTTAGGGAATGTCCTTGGTGTTGTCTGGCGTACAGTCGGTCGTGCTACGTGCGTGGCTCTGAGGACGACAAGAGGCAGAGGGGCAATGTGTGCGAGCTACCTAGCTAGCTAGGTTTATATAGAGCAGCAAGACACTGGAGCTCGTGAAGCGCAATCCATCGTGATTGGAGCGCAAGGAGCCGTGGTGGAAAATCATCCGCTCGCCATGGAGACGCCAGTATTCAGGCTATTTTGTAGCTGGTTGGTTCGATTGAGTGCTTGATGCTGGACGGGCTTGGTCCGCGGCTGCTTGCATGTTCCATGTTTCCTGGTTTCTCGGTCCGCGATGAGGTACATGGTTATGCGACGGTGGGGCTCGTGGGGTGATGGGCGCGGGGTAAAGCCCACCGTGGGCGTGACAGCTCGGCGCCATGAGATATTTAACTTCAATTAAGCCAAGCTCATCATATACACGTATCCAAATATCCTGTTGCCTTCCAAAGGTTTCTTTGACACAACTATTGAAACCAGAAATAGATTCCACTATAAACAAGCGCAACGCAAGAACACCTCCCAGCACCATCCAGTCTCCGTTGATTGGATTTGCGCCGCCCTGCTGGTCGATTTAATTATCGCCATTACCCTCGCCCTCGGCGTCACCTCGGTCACCACCAACATCAAGACCCTCAGCCGTGGGCGCCATGCTCCCCTCGGCAGCATCCTTCGCCCGCGGCACAATATTTTGGCCGTCACCTGATCCCCAACACTGAAGCTTGCTATGACAGGCCAGACCACACGGCCAATGTGTTTCTATCCGGTGGTGTTTCCGCTCTCGCACGCATAAATACCCATTTGCCGTTTTTTGTCTTGAAAACCGCCCCCAGTCCCATACATAGTGGGTGGACATACTTAAGCCCCCTCTTGGAATGCCGCCACTTCACCAATGACAGGCTCTGATGAGACCTGTCACTTTTGCAAAAGCCTACCTTGTCATCAGATTAACATCTCATGGAAGTAAGCGTTCGGATGGCAGGTTAGAACAAGGTCCATGCATAATCTGACGGCCTTCGCAATCAGACCATCGCTTGCTACTAGGCCACGACTTTGTAGGGACGCGTTTTCTGACTTCTTGAATCATGGAGTAACGACTGATTAAGGACAGACACAGTAGTGCTTGCTGGGCTGAGTTGGGACTGTTTACCAGAACTAAAATTCTCTTCACATGAATAGTACCGACGCCCTACATTAAATCAAAGCATCTATCAATGATTGTATTGCGCACTCTGTACTAGTATGTTTCTGCTCATATCCATGCTTAGCTGGAACTAGAAAGTCATGCACAAATTGCTAGGTCATAAGCCTCAGTAGCTCAATAAAGGTTCTCGTAATTAATTAGAGAGCATGGAGACATATAGCTCATAGAATGTACTGGAAATGAGCTAAAAAGGCCTCTCTATGGGTGGCATTCTGTGTAGTGTTCTTAACCGTTTAACGTTCTGTTCAAAGTTTGATCAAGAACACGGTGAGGCTTGCAGTAAAGGATTGCCCAAAATATAAACCATAAAGTATCAGAGGCAGAATGGAAGGTTCACTAAGCCCGAGGTCTCAATAGTCGTACTGCGTCAACATTGGCAGGGAATACTTCGCCAGATTGGTCCAACAATCGCAACAGCGATGACAATATTTTAGACGGGAGGACTTTTCGTCTAAAGGCTTTGCTTTTATAAAACGAGCCTCTTTGTTGTATATCTTATAAGAGTCCATCCGAAGTCTGGCTTTAATTTGAGAAAATGCCAGTGTGGATAATTTCCTGTGCATGAAGCCCCTCGGGGAGTACTTAAGTAGTGGAAATGGCATGGACATGACATACACGGGAGTCTGATACTATCTCTTGACTGTGAGCTTCAAAAAGTTTGATGAACTGTCAATTCCTTTCTTGTGGTCTAAAAGCTTATGGGGCATGTAAAGGAATAAAGGTAGTCGCCGACAAGTCGATGGCATATGGAGATCTAGAATTAAAGAGGTCACCTTGAGAATTGCATTTAGTGAACAATGATTTTTTGTCAAGGGGTCGGGCTCCATATTGAACGAGCATGGGAGTACTGGGGACATGTCATCGAATAACCTCTAGGTCGCGACTTCGTTCAGCAAGATACGATGGACTCATTAGACTAGCTAGCAACTGTTGCAGTTATTGGCCTCTGAAGAGTCATCCCCAGGAGGCCCCCTGGGCCAATTTCACGATGTAGCGACACAGAAGGGGATTTCAACACCATTCCACAGCCCTTCTCCATCCTTTTCACACCTCTATTCCATACCACCCGTGCAGATATAACATGACTGAGTCACGTGCGCGCAGACGAGGGAGGAGGCAGGCCCATCATGGCCATCAGAACCAGAGTGGCCAGCTGGGGGACAGCACCACCTACTCTGACCTCCTCCCGACAACGATAAGCCAGAATCCTGAAAAGATTTCTCAGACCCTCGGTATTCCAAAAAACGGCAAGTAGAAATTTTCTGATAGCCGAACAAGTCTCTCATCACCTCACAGTCTTCTATTCTTCTACCAGTACTGCAAGCAACGTCGCTCCAAGAGGCACCAGCTCCGACGAGAAGGAGCTCGCGTCCCGACTGAAGGGTAAGCCTCGCCAGAATTAACAGCTTCGCATCCTATCACTGATGTATCTCACAGACACTGCACTCTACCACGCAGCTTTGAGACCACACAAGGATCAGGCAACATCTACAAACGAGGTGGAAGAGCAGGATGAAATGGCTGAGGTCAACAAAAAAGGTCAGTGTCGCATCGAACGATGGCTTTGAGCGGTTTACTGAAATCTTGACCCTAGGAATGCAACAAAGCAACACTGACGGCAAGATGACTGATAGCATTAAAGCTGAGAGCAAGGAAACTGGTACGTGACTTGTCGCAATGCATTGCGTGAGCGCACTGTTCAAAAAGCTACTGACAACTGCTCAACAGAGAATCCTATCGCCTCCGTCGGCACCAATCGCAATTGTGCCGTCACGATCTGGAGCATCCCCGATGGTTCCACCGAGTCCATGATCCTCGAGGCTATCGCCGAGCACAAGCCAGGCAAGGTTCTCGCCTGCGACGTCTACGTAATCCCCGGGCCCAACAACGTCCCTCCCGCCATGTCCGTTGCCAGCGTCCGGTTCATGCGCCCCGAGGCTGCCACGCGCCTGGTTCAGATCGGCAACAAGCCAGACCAGGGTATCTACGTCAAGGGAAAGAGGGCCAAGATCACGCTTGCTCACCGACCACAGCCCGCATACCTGAAAGAGCCGGCGAGTCGCGTTGTCATCTTCCGCGGCCCCAGGGCCATCGTCAATCCCATCGCCCTACGCAAGTTGTGGGGCTTCAAGGAGCAGACTGAGACCATCAATGTGGGAAAGGTCGAAAAGGGCATGTGTCAGATCGAGTGGCGCTTCTGCTCCTATGCTTACAACGCGGAGCCTGCCTTTTGTGTCTTCGATGACCTGTACGGAAGGTGTGAGGACTGCTCGGTTGAGTACGGAGTTGATCCCTGTGCCTGATCCGAGGTCAAGAGGAAAGAAGCTTGATACCTAAGATAATACGGGATGAAATGAAGAGAGTTGGACGCCTCTCATGGGGTGACTTTCAATAGGCTGCATTCAACGTGATGCCCTCCATAGACTCCTGTGTGGACACCTTCTATGAGATCACCACTTCTGTCTCGCGAGGGAATACCTGCCATGACTGCGCTTCATGGTCCACTTAATGACGATTTATTTTGAAGTGCTCCATGACTTTGTTATTCTGACCTTACCGTCCCAGCATCGGAATCCATGCAAACGCCAAACTTATAAGTTCCCAGATTGAGGCAAGTATGGGACCGCCGTTTCTGAGTTTCTGGACCTCTCGGCCACTCCGATTTCGGATTCCTCGATCTGGAAGATTCTTGCTCCAAACGATTCAGTATCGGTTCAAAGGCTACTATAGAGCAGAGATTACAGAGGCGTGGCGACTTGGGATCAGCCAGAGGGAATGTCTTCTCTGCCTGCTTATGCAATTACGCAGCATACGCCAGTATGCAATTGACGAGCTACTGCAAATGTGGGTTGACCGCTACTGATTTCATGTCGCTTACCTGCAGACAGGCTACGCTTCAATTCTTGTTTCCTGACCCCGCCTCAGCAGCCTTATTGTGCCTGAATTCTGACACCGGCACCACGACCTCATTAGTGCTTTGGACTTGGCCCAGGATGAAGAGCTGGCACGAAAGAGACTGCAGACGGCCGGATGTAGTGCTGATGGAAAATAATCCGACATGCCTCAGCTGTGGATCACTCTTCATTCATAATGAAGACGAGGCACAGGGACAGCTGAGCAAGCACACCCCAGCGGTCGATAAAGCCTCATCCCGCCTCACTCTCGACTGGCCCTCTTCGATCACTTTTTCCAGTCCAGACGACGTCACGGACCCAGGAGTCAGGAGAATTCATACTAACTTGGATCAAGAGATCGTTAAAGGTAGCGGAACTTCCGAAATGACACCCTCAAAGTACGAGCCCTTCACGGAACACGACTTAACGACAAGGACAGAAGTCGGGTACAGCGTAGGAACAGGACTCCTCACGGATCATGCAGTGACTTCAGTTTATGGAACTCAGAAATCTACCAAAAAGTTGGATCCATACGCAGCTTCAAGAATTCAAATGCAAAGCATGAATCCAGATGCTGTGTATCACTCGTTGATGGGTACTGATGAGATCCGCCTCCTTCATTTGGACTCTTATGATACTGTAGCACAACCTCTTCACGGGTTCCTTAGGCCAACAAAGTTGTCTCACCGACCTGATTATATCGCTTTGTCCTATACGTGGGCAGATGCAGATGGAGACAGAACTTTACGCGAGAGGATCTTCCTCGGGAGTGCTTGGACCCCGTTCGCAATCACGAGGAACTGCGCAGCAGCACTCCGTCGGCTACGATCGAGAGGGGGTACACGCACTGTTTGGATAGACGCTATTTGTATTGATCAGGCAAATACTGGAGAGAGATCTCACCAGGTCTCACTGATGAGGGATATCTATTCACGGGCCGAATCCGTGGCTATTTTCCTGGGCGGAGACACAGGCCATGACACTAGCAGCCCATCAGCACAACTAATGCAAAGGCTGAGTGATGATCGCTTTCGCGCCGGGAAAGCAGTAAAATATGATTGGGGCGGCGAGTTCGACTTTCACAGTGTCTTGGATCTATTTCGGCGACCGTATTGGTCGCGCATCTGGGTGATACAGGAGGTTCTGCTTGCAAGGAGGGCTGATCTCATATTTGGAAGTGCAAGCATACCCTTCCATGAGTTCACCGAAAACTTCATGAAAAGACTTCCAGAAGCTGCCAAGGACCTGTTGCCTCTATGGGTGTACTCTCATGGCACTTCGCCCTTTGGGGATGTGGCAGCATTTTCTGACCTTTTAAACAAAACCTCCACATGCAAAGCATCTGATGAAAGAGACATGGTCTTTGCTTTGTTTGGACTTATGCAAGGAGCGAGTCTGGAAGGCTTGATAGCCGATTATACGAAGACGTTGTCGGAGATTTATATTGGTCTTGCCGCGTACTTCCTGATTCGCCACGGACAGTCAGGGCTTCTCAAAGCGGCTGCGTGTGCGGCTTTCAGCACTCAAATACGAGACCAAGATGATATCCATGCTCCGGATCGTCAATTGCCATCGTGGATTCCATTCGGCAGAGCTTTGTCTCTCCATGAGACCGAGCTCTTCCAGGACAGGAAGCCTCCCACTCTCAATCGATGGCGGGCGATTCTTGCCGCGTGTGGCAGGAGACCGGGCCGTATGGAATACCATCACCTGACCGTCATACATCCGAGAAGCTACGAGCCCTCTCAGGCACCCCTGAATACTTTCAGAGTATTTGGTGAGAATGGCATACTACTACTTCGAGCATCGCCTATTGTTCATGTATCACATGTGGATTCCGACATCCTACAAACCGCTTTGACTTGCAATTTATAACAGGTATATGACCGCCATACTTGCCTACTCACGGCGAATCAAACCAGTTGGGGCATATGCATCCAGACGGACGCTTTATTTGACCTAGATGACAACTGGATCATTGAAGTGCCCGGTTGTGACGAATTGCTACACCTTACGCCCTCCGGCAGAGCACCTGGCACGTATGAGATCGCTTCGTTGTCGTCAGTACTCTTGGTCACACGATCCCGACGACCAGTACAATCAGACCTGACTGAGCAAAACGGGTCGTTGTCGGAGGAACCCCCGAGCAGGGACTATAGACTTTGGATGCCACTAATGTCCTTTGGCCTGCAGGAATTACTTTTTCTCTCTACGTGGGACTCCACGACTCAAATGGACAAATTGATAGCTCCACGTGCGCCAGGAGTTGGCGATTCACTGATCGACCTATCACAAACAATTTTGATGGAGTACAGTCGGTGGCTGGAAACGAGATTCACACCTCCCACTGGCGATGACTGGCTTGGCAAGTTTGACGCTGTGGTGAGAACGGTGTCCATGTACTTGGAGAGATGGGAGGACCTCGATCTTTGGTCTAGAATGTACCGCCTCGTGGTTGCACTATCATGGTCTGAAAAGTTGAAGGAGCTCGCAAGAATAAAAGCGGACGTCTGGCATTATCTGACCCAGAGGGAACGGTGGACTGATTCTCACGACGAAACGGAGGATCTCATGCGTTGGGAACTTAGGCTTTGTCAACTTTTTGATGACATAGTGGGACGACTTGTGGACATTCCTCTGGAAACAAATGAAGGCGAAAAATGCCTAGGACACTTTATGTCGACGAAAACCTGCTCGTTATTGCGGAACAGTATCAACAATATACCAGACACCTGGAGTGTCGAAGATATCCAAGCCAAAGAAGCGACAATCTTCGAAGACTGGACGGGAGTGGAATCATGCTGGGAATTCATGGAGCAGTCGACGATTGTGTGCTATGATTTGCGGATCAAATTTGTTCAGTTGCGTACCCTGAAGCGGCTTTTTGGGTCGGAGCATCGCGATTTCTTGATATCCTAGTAATATAATCCCTTCCTACCTTGATAATTCTTGACCATACCGTATCTAGTCTATGTGCCACTCTTGAAGTCTATCGACTATGCAGGGGTGAACCGCCTCTCAGGGGCCTGGAGTCAGCATTTAATTGTATGCATATTTGCCAAACGTATGCACTTCTGCTGATGTAAAACCGGAACCACCAAAACAAAACTTTAGGTCACTGGCGGCCGAGAATGGGTAAATAAAATTAAAACCTATCGGAATAAGGAAGCCGTCTCCTTTTAGCCAGGATATCTTTGAAAAAGTCCTTGAAGCAACGTGGGTTCATATCAGGGTAGAGATCAGTGGCAAGAATGTAGCCTAGACGCTTCGCTCCCTCGGGACTGTTGTCGCCATCAATGAAAGACGAGTAGTAATACTCCAACCAGAACTTGCCCACGAGGAGAAAATAATTGCTTGGATCATTTTGACTCTTGGAGCTAATATCGTCGATCATGCTTTTGAGCTCATCCGCCGAAGCCTGGAGGACGCATGTTAATGGTTGGCCTGATGGTTTCTGAAGGCTGAAAGATTCTGGAAGACGTACGTATTTGCGGAGAGCTTTCTCCCCTGTCAACTCCTCGGCGATGCCGAACATCTCGTTGAAAGATAAGCTCGCTCCTGCAGCCATTACTCTCTTATTGATCGTCCTGGGGTCTGCGATGATACGAGCGACAAAATTCCCAACGTCTTCGTTGTCAACCACGTATGTCTTCATTTCTCCGTCCCCAGGAACTAGATTCTGGATGAATCAGGGAGAGCAATAGCATGGTCTGTCTTTCCCGAGGGTATCTTGGGAATGAATCCGTTATACCACCAGCCGACATCGATTATTGTGTAGGACAGTCCAGAAGCCGCGAGCTCCGCGTAAATCTCCTCTTTCTGCAGTTGTGTCAGAAAATGTACACACAGAAACTAAAAATACAAGCACATTTCCTCTCATTCTTGGGGCGATGACATACTTCCTTTTGAACGGTGCTGACACCGTTTGGGGTGATAGCCATGGCGAAAGCGCTGGGTATGAAACGTTTGACGTTGGCAAGCTTGGCGGCGCGGATCAAAGGCAGTTGGGACTCCAGGGCATTGGGAGGAACCGACGCAATGATTACATCTTGCCCCTGCAACGCTGATACAAGTTCCGCTTCCGGCCCATTTAAGTCAACAGCGACGACGTTGACGCCTTGCGCGGCCAACTCCGTGTAGACCGGCTTCGAGGACGATGCAGACCGGGCCAAAGCAGTCACTTTCTACACCATTCAATATCAGATCAGGTTCCGTTGGCAGAGATGGTCTCGTACGCATATGTCAGTATGAGGAAACTCACATATATAGGAGTCTTCGATTCGAGCAACCCGCTTAGTATTCGCCCGGCCGATTCGCCGGCGGCGCCGAAAATTGCAACTTTGATGCCTTCCGAAGACATTATGGTGTGTGCCAGAAATCAAACTGATCAGACGATGGCAGTAACTGAAAATCTACATTGTCGGCGGGACTGAACAAAAAGTACTCGAGCGGGCCTGTCACATTTATAAACATCTTTTCTGCTATACCTGAAAATAGAATCGATCCAGTCTCCTGGCGTAATGGTGGTTTCCTCGGCACAATCAATGATCGTCTAATCAATACTCATTGATGCGTCGCGACATTGACAGGTGGTCCGGTAGTACAGAGTCGGAATAAGGACCCTATGTGTCCGATCATTCCAAGCACGGAGCTTAGAGGTTACCGGTCCGGGGGTTCGGGGAGTCGGATGCCGGAACAATCGACAGCGGAGGGACAGGGAGCCCGATTCAAAGACCATGGCTTAGGACCCGCGTAACGGCACTATCTGACTTACAGCTAAGTACAAAGCCACCAGAAACTCAGATCCTGATGAATTTTCAACCGCCTCTCTGAAGACAGCAGTCTATACTGACTGTACCGGAATCATGAAATATTGACATATCATAAGTAGCAACTCGTACAATTCATTATTTCAAGTCATAGGTATTGGTGTTTTCACAGGGTATTTGGAAACAACGCTTTTTTGATCAGGCTGCAAAGGGGAGCGCCGGAACATCTGTGGGGTCTTTGAAGTATAAACGCTGTCGGAGCCTCTAACCTCATTACTAAGCAGCTAAGCCCAAACAACCTAGTGAGGGTCCCGGCCATGATGATAGCCTTCTTCGCAATCGCTCTATCCTCCCCGGGACAAGATAGACACGTCTCCGGAACAACAGCATGCTGACCAGCCCCTGAGCTCTAACCCCGATGACATCCGATATGATGAGTGGGAATATTGCTCAGCGGTCAGCGGGTTTGGGAGAACGGTCCCGATGGGCTTGTACTCCTTGTCGAATGCGAAAGGTTGTACTACAAACCACCATTTCCAGGCGTCCCCGCTAATTGAAACATAGGTCAAATGTGATTCCAGACTGCCTGCATGCTCGGCCTGTACGTCGCGACGCCTGGATTGTGCGTATTCGCACGCTAGACTCCGCGCACCCACTAACCGGAAGTAAGTCTCTGTGTGCTTGCAGGTTCGCACCCGACGCTGATCTCCGTCTTCCAACTAGATCTCGTGGTGATGTGGCTCGAATCACGGAGCAGGACGAACAGATGGTTGGCAATTTGCTGTCTAATACCACGACAGCTGGCCAGCTGCAACGGAAGCCCCTTCATCTGTCTCCCTTGGCCCATCTCGGATTCGATAATCTGTTCGAGGAGTCCTACATAATCCATCCAGACATTCTATATCGGTTGATACTTCGTGACGCGATTCCCATTGCAAGAGTGTCGTTGCCGAGTCCACATGTCCCTAGATTCAAATTTCAAAGTGGGTTGTAATACAGGGCATATCTCGCTATACCTCCACAGAAGCTTGCCGCTGATCAGTCCAAGGCTCCTGCGCCATCTTTAATCCCGAACACATCAAGTGCGTCGACTACATGCTCGGAAGTCACAGCTTCAGTAAATTGTGCGCCGAGAAACCATCGACATTTTCGCCCACGACGATGCTCGCTGACCGCCCTGACTATCCGTCTCCTGCTGCCGACGCTGCGATGCATTGCCTGAGAAGTGAGAGCCTACGTCCCATTCTTCGACACACTCTAATGAAGTCCACTTAGCCTTTCTCAAGCACTTTAACAACATTTTCTCTTTTTTCGAAACCGATGAGATAACGACTGTGTTCCAACATCATTTTGACAGAACACAGCCTTCTAGATCGGGCGGGCATGCCGCTGTGAATATGGTTTGTGCATGTGCTTTATGGATGACGGATGATGCACAAAACAGGGCATCGGACAAACTTTTCCAGAACGCTCTCCGAATGCTGCCGGATATCTTGATGGAAGTGCCCGATAGTATTAACATTGGTGCGTTGCTCTTAATGGTATGCTCATTCTAACACCGAGGCGCTGTAGATATTGACGTTATTTCTTATCCAGGCCACCTACCTCACGTCAACTTCTAGAAGCTCCACAGCGTCGATGATCTTGGGATCGACTGCGCAAATGGTTCTACTGGCCGGTTACCACGCGACCCTTTCCAGTGCAGCCCCCACATCCGCACAAGATCTGCAGAAGAGCCGGCTCCTGTATCGTACCTATATTTTGGATCAAGACCTATCCCTAAGGCTTGGAAAACCACCGCTTCTCACTGAAAGCCTCATTGTTTGCTTGCCTGATAAGCGTTCGGAAGATTGCCTGGGCATCATCTGCCTGCCTGGAGGCACAACGGTCAACTGCTTGCGAGAGCAAGTTGCCGTGGCCAGGATCCAAAACAGAGCATGGGAGGGGCTTCGATCACCATCTTCTTACACGAAGTCTAGTGAAGAGTTCCTAGATACAAGTAATCGATTACTTGAACAGCTTCGACAATGGAAGGACAGCCTACCGACGTCAATAATACCGCCAGCAAGACCCACAGAGCCTGGTAATCTCCAACAGATTCAAATCACGGATATACATTGGATCTACTTTCAGACTGTAATTGCTATATACTCCTCCATCTTCACCCATCCCCTGCTCTTCAGCGACCCTGCCGTTCGCGACCAGTCAGCAGCTGCAGTGGGCCAGTGTGCAGGCGCAGTGAGAGAGCTACTTGCTTTGGCTAAGCGCCTCGACTACAACCATCCCTTAGCGCAGTGAGTACCGGCTTCATGTGTCTTTATGGTTGCATAGTACTGATGTGATTCAATATGAAAAGACGGCCTCTCAGTCAAATCGGCTGGAATTTGGACAGCCTACTCATACATATAATGCTGAACAAGCGAACTTCTGGGGCCCAAAGGGACGTCCAGCTCTTGAGAAGTGCTCTTGATAGTTTTGAAACAGACGATCCTCAACATGAAGACAAGTCGGCGTCTGATGCACTTGTCATTATGTACAAAATTGCTAAGGAAGCCGTGGCACCGCCGCACGAGTTCGGGCAAGAGTGATGTCTAAGAGCATTGCAATTGTAGTCACATTTCTAGTGGGCAGGATGTGCTGCAGCTCATTTCTGAAATCGATGTGATGCGCAACTCCGCCATGCGTGAAAACAGCCCGTCTGGCTGTGTGAAACACTTTCATCGGCGTGTCCGTACAGATGGACCTTGCACTTGCGAATCGACGTACTGGAAGCCGTCGTCGCCTGCAGCTACTGATAGCAGACGACTCATGGCTTCTATGCGGTAGGATACGGGCGAGAATTGACCGAATAGGTTGCCGAAGTTCTCGCGATCTAATTGTTTCCAAAAATGGTCGTCGGAACTTGTCGCCGGCGAATGCTGCTTGAGTGTGGCGTTGAAGTGCTCTCCCTCCGCTTCTTTGCCTCAATCCTGGCCGAGGGCTAGGGACATGATTCATGAGCGAGGCGCCAATGAAAAGTGGATATATGCACCGGTGTATATGCCAGATGTACAAGTCGCTAGAGTAGTAGTGATGGCGGAGTGAGAACCGCTGAGGCGATGACCCTTACCGACGTTCAGCCGGCGACATGTTGCCCTGCTCATGCCCGCAATGCCTGTGATATCAGCCAGGAACAGATCTTGGTTTTGTGGCTGCGACACTACCGCATACGCTGAGTGCATTACCGAGTGACTCATGCCCTGGTCAAAGCCCCGCGACAGACATAATATGTTACAGCCATGGTCACAGCTATTCCATAAATGCAGTTCATGCTGAGAACACAATACTTGACTTGAGAAGCCCATCTCACTGCGGTAGAAACTTCTGTTTTTCAATATCAAAAACATTACCTTACCAATTAAACGCACACGATCTAAACCCGAAAATCTTGCGGCAAAGCAATGGCGCAGCCTCAACCACACCTCCTCACAAAGGGCGAGTTGCGAAGAGTCGAAGACTGCGTAAATGAAAACGTCAAACTTGCAGACTGCTGGAAGAGCGAGAAAGTTGTCATTGTGGCGTGCGAGCCGACCGGGCCTGACCTTCCGGGCATGCCGCTAATCGACCTGGACATACTGTCGCCAGCGGGGAACCCCGTCTGGGGGTCAAAGACTGGCGAGCGGCACCCTACGCGGCAAATTTGCAAGAAGATCATCACCGTCCTGGAAAAGACAAAGGAAAACAAGAGGCTCCGGCCGAGGCCGTGGCATGGCATGTACGACTGTCGCGAAGAATTCTCGCTATACCACGATGACGCAGTTGCCAAAGTACGAGAGATATTCTCTGAGCTATACTCCCAATACGTGTCCATCTGCGTTGTCAGTCACGATCTGCGCGACTCACTCAATTCGATTGAGAAGTTTGGCATCGAGCTGCCCGACAGCACTGTGTTCGTCGACCTCATCAAGGTCTTGGAACACCAGAGCCGCCAGTCCGAGAAGGGGACGCCAGAGGAACTGAAAAAGTATACCGACGACAACGTGGCGATTCGGAACGGGCGGTATGACCGACGGCCCTGGCCACTGACAGGACAATTTGGCATGCCCAACATGGCTCTGCTGGAAGTGCTTGGCCCAGCTGCTGAGTCCCATCGGCGAGATAAAACCGAGAAAAGAGACGCCGCAATGAAGAGGATTGCACGGAGAATGGCAGTAGAGGATATTCCGGTCAGGAACAAAGGCCGTTCTTGAACTGCAGACTGCCTTGTCAAACATTACTATTTTGGTGTCTAGGTATTAGAAGACCTTGAAACCGCCCTCCAGCTGCGTTTGCCAAAGGCCTTCAGGATCATACTCCTTCGCAACATTCTGCAGCATCTCCTTCGTCTCGGCCCCATATCCGCCGATGACATCCTGCCAGTCTGCCGCATAGTTCATATAAAACCATTCAGTCTCCAATCCCTCGTCCCGGATCATACCTTCAAACTCAGCAATCATCTTCTTGGCTGCGTCCTCGAGCCCATTTGTGGCACGCTCATCCTGCCAGCTCAGGCACAGCTGGAAGACTACGACGTCTTTCCAGGGATGACCAGCGTTCGATGAAGGTACTGGAGGCCAGCCGAGGCCATTGGGAAGTGCGGATGAGTTGGTGGACTCGCATGGACGCGGCATGCCTGACTGAATGTACAGCTCCGAAAAGGGATGATCCGTTCCGATGGAATTGGCCTCGGTCACGGCAGGTATGTTGGTGAGCCAATGATCGTAGATGCGGTGTAGGATTGTGGGCGAAATGTGGAAGGACAGCGTCGTCCAGATTGTACTGTTCTAATGTCAGATCATTCTGCTATCTAGTAACGATGCGCACTTGAGATGATGATGAATGTCTATGAATACTCACCGGTAGAGGCCACCTGACTTAAACCCGTCATTCGCCGCTTTGGAGTGTGCAGATGGCAGTGCCACCTGTGTAAGGTCCAAAGAGTGAGGTCCGATATTAGTGATGCGGCCCAGAGCTCCCGGAGCTTCGTCGGCTCTGCTGTACCACATCGATGACCCAGGAATGAGCTTGCCGTTGGTGCCATTGTACTGGTACGAAATCCATCCGGCTGCGTATGGATCGTAGTTCTCGGGTTTCTTAAACTCGCTGAAAGCCGTGATGAGAGACTTGTCCTGTTCAGCTTCATAGTTGATGAGACCTCCCCAAACCGGACGGGCTGGGAAAGCCTGCAGGTCGAAGCGTGTGATGATTCCAAAATTAGACTGGCCACCCTTGACAGCAGCGAGCAGGTCAGCATGAGAAGTGGAGTTTGCGTTGATAATTGATGAGTCGGCTAGGACGATTTCAACGTTGAGAATTGAATCAGCTGCCCATCCTCGCTCGGGACCGGAGAACGAGATAGCCCCTGCTTCTGTCAGTGACGCTGTCAACAGAGTACTAATATGTGAACGTACCTCCGGTAGTGAAACCTGCCACTCCTACTCCCCCAAGCCTTGGTCCCAATGCAGACATGCCGTACAGTTCCAATTGTTCGTACAGCTGCTGGCCCGTGGTCCCTGCGCCAACCTGGGCAACATCTCCCTCCAACTCGACCTTGTTCATCCTTTCAAGGCTAATTGTGACACCGTTTTGAATGTTGTTGAAGCCCACGTTAATGCTGTGTCCTCCTCCCCTCAAGGCGAACTTGGCCCCGTCCTCGCGAAGGACGGTAACAGCAGCTGCGACATCCGTGGCTGTGATTGGCTGAACGACGCAGTTGGGATGGAGCTGGGTTTGTCGCCATGGGTACGAGGCGATGGATGCATTGTAAGTGTTGCTGTCCGGAAAGAATACTAGCTCTGGAAGCTTTTCGGCTAAGGCACTACAAGTTGAGGCAGTGGATGTGTACTCGGCGGTCACTCCAGACAACAAGAGCGCCAGCACGGGCACAAAAGACAAATACAACATGATGGGAATGTATTTTGATGAACGTTTCAGGACTTAGTTTAGAGTGAGACAGCTTTAGCTACATAATTTATGCGACGGTCGCTTCAATATTTATACAGAAGATGTCTGCCTGCGATCTGTCTAAGCCTCGTCGCCACTTCTGGGGTCACCGAGAGGTTTGCGAAGCGAGGCTAGGCGCCACGGCATAAGCTTACATTCACACAAAGAAAATAAGTTAGTACGGCGTCAAGCGAAGGCTGAGAAACGCCATGGATCAAGTATCTAACGCACTTGAGCAATAGCTCATCAGCATAACGAAAAATACATGGGCAAAAGTTAGTCAAGTGAGACAAAGACCTATTGAAGAGCCTTGGCGATAATCGTGTTATGCACTTGACCGGGGAGGAGAGCCTGCTATTGGTAAAAGTACGTTGCTCAAAGTAAATGATCATTAAAAATCAGACGAAAGGATTGTGTTAATTCATTTGGACTTAATCCTTCCGTCTTACCTGAATACGAGCCTTTCCACTCCTAATTATTGTTGCCCTGTTAGATATTACGTTATAGCGGTTCAGATTCTAAACGTGTCAGTTGGGCTGGCATTACTGAGGTTATGAGATGCACTGTTTACAGATATGGGTGCACGATGACTGCTTGCACATCTATCCGCTTGTAGGAAACCAACTGTTATACCTTATCATCTTTATCGACTTTACCCCGCACGTGCAGGGCTCACGTCATCTATACACATCGTATCCAGTCCCCGTCTGACTTCACCGACCGATTAAATATCACCAAGAACATGCTCAACAAGCGGCAAACCCCTTGATTCTACCGATAATGAGCTACCAGCCTCACTGACCAACATGGAAAACTGGCATGAAGTAAGCTGCCGAAGAGCAGATGTAATAGTCATTGACGCGATGCCCACTTGCTTGAGCTGTGGGTCCTTTTACAGCCGCGATGAGACGTACAACTTCGGCGAACTTCACAAAGGCCAGTCACAAAGTGAAGAGACTTCCGCCAACTTAAATCTAGACTGGCCACCTACAATTGAGTTTTCTCGTCCTGATGAGGTTGAAGACGCCAGTATAAGAGGCACCTTGAAGCAACTGGGGAGAATCCTGGAGGAACAACAGCAGCGGCAACAACGTTTTAATCAGAGCCGAGAGAACAATAGTGAGACAAGCCCTAGACCTTCTGGCACTGGCAGCCATGGTGATCTGCTAGAGAAGCTTAATCTCGGGACAAGTTACGATCACAAAGGCGCCGAACAAGGCCAGAAGGAACATCCAAGTAAAACAACAAACGACACGAAGTCCGTGATTTACGACCCGCTCACAGGCGTTGACGAAATACGCTTGCTGTATCTATCGCCCTCAAAGCTCACACATGATGAGGTTCTTCATGGCACTTTAGTGACTACGAGCCTATCTACGCGCCCAATTTACACGGCACTCTCTTATACCTGGGCCAACGCAGATGGCAGCCGCAGTCTGAGTGAAGAAATATTTCTGGGCAACTTATGGACACCCCTTCCCATTACCTCGAATTGCGCAGCAGCTTTACGGCGAATCCGCTCTGTGCATGAGATAAAGATACTATGGGTCGACTCCGTGTGTATGGATCAGCTCAGCACAAGCGAGAAATCACATCAGGTTGGGTTGATGCGTGATAGTAAGCAGCCTCCGGATGTAATTTTAAACCTTTCAAGAAAGAGATATCTGCTATCCGTGGTTTCCTTCTTATTACTTTCCTCAGAACATTTTGTCAGGATATAGATTCAGAGACACCATGGACATATGATGGGCGAATTATTTTCCCCCTTGTTTTAAAAGCTTCTGCTTTGGCGCTTTAGTCGCTGACTCCAGATACCATAGTCTACTCCCGGGCATCGTCGGTCACAGTATTTCTCGGTGACGATGAGGAGACCCCAGATGCCCGTCTCTTGAAAAAGACGAGCGAGAACGTGTTCTACAGCGGCACCCAAGGGGATGTCACCTGGGACGCTTGGAGAGATGAAATGGCTGTTCGTGCTCTTTTCGATCGGCCATACTGGTCTCGCGTATGGGTTGTCCAGGAAATTCTATTGTCAAAAGAGGCAGAAGTCGTCCTGGGAAACTCCTCCATACCCCTTCAATCTCTGCTCAAGGCCCGCTTAGTTGAACCCAACAAATCCAACAGAGCATTCAATATCCCGTCATGGCTCCGGTTGCGAAAGATCCTCCCCATAGAAGACTTCCACGGTTTCTCAACCCTTCTCAATGAGACCTCGAGCTGCCTTGCAGCGGACTCCAAAGACAAAGTCTTTGCGCTACTGGGCCTGGTGCAGGGTGCTCATTTGGAAGGGTTAGCCGCCGACTACTCAAAGTCCGCAGCTGAAATAAATATCGGCATAGCAGCCTATTTTCTAACTCGACATGGGCAAGGCAATATATTGAAACAGGCAGCTTACGAGGATAAATGGGAATATTCCGGTCCGGTGCCAGGCTCACCCTCGTGGGTGCCTTCGTGGACCAGTTCCAATAGACCTAATTTCGCGGATGATATCGACAGACAGTTTCGTGAGGATCAAAAGCGTGACACTTTCTCTACAGACAGGGATGAGACGCTTAGATACTACGACACAATCAGACCGAGGAGTGCAAGCCATACGTCCTTGAACTACAGCAGACGCAAAGGGTTCTCATTTCGAGTGCTGCAGGGAACCGGAGCTCTACTGGTGGAAGCATACCCCGTGCTCCGGTATGACCGAGGATTAGGAGCTCTCAAATTCTGCCACATTCGATCTAACTCCGTCATTCTCACTCCATCTACATCCGCTGTGAAATGGGCCATTTACGCTGCGCGTGACGGGTCCGACCCGTCCCATTCCTTCGCCTTACAGGATGACTGGATTGTGGAGGTACCAAATTGTGACGACTTTCTCCTCCTGAGACCAATAGATGCACTTCCCGGAGTGTACCGCATAGTGGCGGTGTGCGGCCTCGCTATCGCTGTGGCATGGAATGATGGTGAGGGATTCCAGTCGCAAAGAGCATCTCCTCATGCGCCTAGCTACAGAGGTGATGAGCTCGTCTCCCGTCTAGTTACTTTCGATCAGCAAGAGTTTCTCTTCCTGGATTCCTGGGCGCATTCGAGGTTCACAAATGTTTCGCACAGCCCTTCCTCAGATACGGTGGGCACTGAAACGATAGTTGTGTCCTCTCCATTGTTAGCAGTAGATAGGAGACGATACGCGCAGTGGGTCGACCACATAAGCCACTACCCAGAGGCGGAAATGGACTCTGCTGGCTTGGAACACACTCTCAAGAAGGTTTCAATTTATCTCGATCGATGGCAGGACTTGGCCCTTTGGAACAGAATGATTTCAGAATTGGAAGCAGTCTCCTGGCCCGAGGCATTTCGGGCTCTAGCTGAGATCAGGATGGAGATTTGGCCGGACCAATCTCTGCCAGAGACACAGCCCTCTGATCCCAGGCAAGCTGAAGGCACTAGCGATGGTTCACTTCCGCCTGTGGAGAATTTTGAGGTCATTGTCGGTAAAGTGAGGTATTTGCTTTCTTTACTGACTAATTGTGGTATTTCTTTGCGGCAAGTTGGCACGATGAATGCCCTTGGACTATTGCTCGATACTGATGCATCTTCCATACTCGGGGTTCTCAGGGCGAATGAAGTCGATATTGAGAGTGGTTTAAGAGAGCTTGAGTCTCATCTTGAGTACATGCGGGATTCACTTCCTATGTGCAACTTGATGAGGGAGAAGTTTATCCAGCGCCAGTTTCTGAGACAACTATATATGAGAAGGGAGCATCGCGATTTTCTCATATGCTGAAAATTTCGCGTCTCTAGTCTTGTTTTTAGTGTTGCTCGATAATAATTTAGTAGACAGATAGGCATTCAAGGCCTGCCTGGCGCACATATTTATTCGGCTTCCCAGAATATCGGTAAAAAGTTCGTAAATGTGCAAGTGATGACGAAGCATTTGATGATCCAGAGAACAACTGACTCACTATTCATCTATGCGTTACGGCTTACGACATTAATTAGGAGGTAGAACCTTGAGAAACTTGGTAGCTCTTCGCGTGAAATGCATTATTTGTGGGTGAAAATCAACTTTATGGTGTTTTGTGAGCCAACTGACGGGTCTGGTTAGTGCTCTGGCTTTGGCATGCTATTGTAAGAACTTGTGCAGCCAGACCACCGTCGTCAAGTCTCAATCAGTCGCCGTCTGGCTCATAAAGAGACGCAAAGTGCGTTATTTGCAAAGGAGTCTAGCACGTCAGTCGCCTCGTAAATGGCGCCAAGGTGAAAGTGGTTCGCATATTTTGCTGTGCCCCCACTGGTCGGCCGGGTCGGAGCTGCCGCACGAAACTTTATAATACGCGTCGTTGGAGCCGCATAGTAGTAATACAAGATGGCCAAGATCACTAATAGAGAACCACTCCTTCCAGAGACCGGAAGAAGTCATTCGGGACTCATCCTACGATACAAGTCGAGATCATCCTGTGCACTGTAAATACACCAACAGCGTCACTTGAGTTGTCAACAGAATGGCCGGCGACCCATTCCGTATCGCTATCATCGGTGCCGGCATCGCAGGCCTGGCAGCTGCACTCTCGGTCCGCAGGCTGCTCCCTAATCAACTCATCCAAATCACCATTTATGAAAAAGCCACCGAGCTCCGTGAGATCGGCGCCAGTATTGGTCTCAACCCGAGCGGACTGCGCATCCTAGATAAACTCGGCGTAGATGCAGCACTTGATGGGTCTATCTCGTTCCGGCAGCGAGGTCAATGGCCCATGATCTACCGGCATTGGTCGACAAATGAAGAGCTGGGGCACGATGAGGTGAGAAGCGAGGTCAAGGAGAGGCACCTCATGGGCCGATTCCACAGGGCACATCTGCAAGCGGCTTTGGTGCAGGCTGTAAAGGAGGCCGGCGGTGTCGAGATTAGATTAGGGGTTAGGATCGCCGAAGTTACGATCGAGAGAGAAGGGACTCCCGCTGTCATCATCTTTGAGAAAGGTGATAAGATCGAGGCCGACTTGGTCCTCGGGGCAGATGGGATACATTCGAAAGTGAGGCAAGCCTTTGCGTCCCAGCACGAGCTGAAGTGGACTGGTCAGGTTGCGTTTCGATCGGCATTTGATGTGTCCTTGGTCGACCATATCGATGGTTTACCTGATGATGCCGTCTTCTGGGTTGGCCATGAGAGGACTCTGTTCGCTTCGAGGCTAGGTACGGAACCTTCCTCTTTCTCTCTCTCTTTCTACGCGACGGTGATAAAGGTTGTTCAATGCTGAATGTTCATATCCAGGAAAGAACCAGTATACTGTAGTTGGCAGTTACATTGCCGACCCTGAAGATCCAAGTAGTCCGTACCGCAACGCTAAATGGAGTGGTCCAGGTGACGTGGAGTTTCTCAGGAGCCTATACAGAGTAATTCTAAATGCTCCCAAATTCTCGACTCAGCTGCTGACTCTCAAAGCAGGGATGGAACCCTGTAGTGGAATCCATAGTCAACGCTGTGCCGTACACAAAGACATACCCCAACCACGCCGGCACAGCTCTTTCCAGCCTCGTCTTCGAGGGCCGGGTCGCCCTGCTTGGTGACGCTGGACATACTCATGGCGGAGCCTTCGCAGCAGGAGGATCGCTGGCTATCAACGACGCATACGCCTTGACACTTGCACTAGCTCATGTGTGGCCACAGGAAGGCAAGCCTACTCAAGAGCTTCTAGGAAAGGCTCTAACACTCTACGACGAGACGCGCCGGCCGCTTGTGACGCGTGTCTTAGATCTAGTCCATGGCGCCGCGCAGAAAAAAAGATGGACCGGGGTCAATGGAAAGGATGGGGAAAAGAAAGAGACTGATGCGGAAATGAGAAGCCGTATCGCAAATAGGCCAGATATGACCTGGTTAACAGAGCATGATGTAGAAGCGGAGTTCCTGAGGGTGGTCTCACACGAGAAGAATGGCATCTACACAACTGCGTAATGTAATAGACGAAACATTCCACTGGAAAAATGGCGGACGGATCAAGACATATTATTTCTTATATTTTGAATTTGTATTTCGATCAACCGGTAGGTGACGAGGTCACCACCAGGACAGAGTCGGCGATGACTACGTAAAAATATTTTGAATGTGTCCTGAGCCCTGGGAGCCAGTCCGAGACATCTGAAACAATCGTAGTACCACACCTATTTTACCGCCTACCTTCTACGTACATAAATCCTCTTAAACTCTGGGTTGTGGTCGTGGCTTTTTCAGTAGTCTGAGAGGTTTGGCAGATGTAGTTGGGTAAGTGCCCCCAGAGTTGCACGAAATGCCTCCATCACCATGATCATAGCCGGACTCACAAGCTTCTACGAGCTCGATGGAATCACTGCTCGAACATAAGAATATGCTCCTCATCGCGACGTCCATGTACTCGTCACCTCCAAGATCCAGGCCGTTGCTCACCGCAAATTCCAGAGCGTCGACCATCAGGAGATCGTAATCGTTATTAAGGTCGTGAAGTTCCTGACCTCCATACTTTTGGTTGTTAGTACAGCGTTGTCCGTCATGGGGATCCTTGGTCTGGCTCACTGTAACACTGGTAGTTAAGACTGAAGACTTCGTGAATTCTGTGGTCACATAAGACACTTCGGTCACAGTGTGTACAGCGGTCTGCGTCGCTGGGGGTACGGTCTTGGTTGTTGTCGTACTTGGAACTGTTGCGATCTTCGTGGTAGTGATGGTGACGGGTGTGGATGCTGTATCATTCCCTGGTGTCTGAGATGTGTCATTCTGTGGGGTCTGTAGTGAGTGTTCACATTTGCTCAAGAGCGCCCCCAAGGTTGCGGTTGAAGCAGCGAGGATGAACGCCAAAATAGCGAGGATAATGATGGTCATCCACTTTCTTCTACCTTCTGTCTGCATGGCTTGATACACAGGCCACTCGGTCTGCTGCGTTCGATTGAGGTTTCTCAAAGGTATTTCCTCAAAGTTTTGACGGTTTGGAAGACTGTACACTGAACTCATGTTGTCTGTTGATAGAAATAAGCTGATAAGTGTGAAGATGGAAAGCTTTCGAAAACCATCGCGGCGCATTTGGAGACGTTTAAATAGCATGGAAACATAACGCGAGACGAGAGCAGTGGTTAAGTGACTGGAGCAGGTAGCCTGTCACAATCTTTGTGAATCGTCTGAGTTCGACTCTCCCCGCTGACAAGTCACTCGTTTGGTGCTCCCAAAATGCATGCACATTGAATCCTCAGGCTGGCAGGTAAGTAGGAGCTACCTGGTTGCCATTGGGATATAGAGAATGTCAAGGTGCACCCTGACGAGTAAAGCCTCCCAAGTCCATCAACCTATCCTTCATAAAGCCTGATGTTCTCTTTAAAAGTCTCCCAGCTTCAATCCTGCACCACATCAGTGAGGAATTAGTGAACGTTATCACCAGACTCTATGACTTGCTAGCAGTCCTTGCTCCCAGCATACCCTACTGCTCATGATGATGCAATTCATGATGAAGGAAACAGGAGAACCACAATTCGACAACATTTCCGATCTAATCTCATGACTCTGGCCTTGTTATTGGCAAGTTGGCAAGTGAGCAAGTCACTTTGCCAAGTCAGATAATTGGCGTCCGGAAAGTCAGATGATGATCCAAGCAGTGTGGAGATGAATTTAGAGCTGTGGACGAGGCTGCTCGAGAAGCTCCTAAAGACTGCTGCGAAAAAGAAAAAAAAATATTTCCTTTTCAGACATTAAAGAGCTTGAATACGCTTCGCTATCAAATGGTTGGTCTCGGTGTCAGGGATATGAGCTCGGATCCGGGAGAATCGGTGTATTCAGCAGTCTGCAACTGATGCCCAGTGAAATCGACGGAATGCAAATAAAATGATGACTCGACTTCGGGAATGTTGAGAGGTGCTACGCTGTGCACTTAAAGCGTCAACAATATTGGAATTCAAGGCCTTTGATCGGTTGTGAAAGCCCTACCCCGAGTGAATATCCCTTTCCGTACCTTTCTGTCCCAACCTAGCAGCTTGTGGAAACCATACCGCGTCATTTGTTGTACTGGTGATATGTCCGGCCAGTGAGGCGACTCGATTGGAGCCACAGATTCAAATGTATGTCTCGTTCTACTGATTGTTAGAGTTGGCAGCTCGGCCAATTTGAGCCATGCAACTTTAGAGCTGACGTTGTCCAAAACTTGTCCCGCGGTGGACTTAGAACTATAGATGATTAGACCCAATCCTGGTCACCATATTTATCCAAATACCCGTGCACCGAACCAAGTGCGGGTATATCGGGGCCGGCTGTCTTCTCCAATCGTCAGTAGCTTCATGTTGTGCTTGGATAAACGACCTCCCTTGTATGGGGCATAAGTGGTAGATCAAGGCGCTAGAAACCCACACCACCTGCAGTCTTAGACACCGTAGCATTATAAAGCATTATATGAGTAATGACCGTTGCTACTTCAGGATGTCCGCGTGATCCGGGTCTTCCACTATTCCAGCAAGGATTTCACGAGCGTTCAATGATAGCCGGCCAGCGTCACTGTGAATACAATTATAACATTTAAAGCAAAACCAAGCTTTTCAGCTGGCGATAAATTTGGAAGCTCAGTTCAGGGGTGCTACCTCAAGTCAATACTCAAGCCGGGAAGAAGCTAAGGCGGTCAACCCCGGAAAGCTTGAAACATGGACCCTCTTTTTCACACTGACAGCATCCTCAGCCGTTGTGTTGCCCATCTGCCCACCCCAAACTTCACTCCGTCCCACGCTTTTAGACTCCTCGATGCCCCGTCCCGGATCATACCGGTTCATGCAAGTGATGAAATTCCACTGAAAGGCTCGACTACAATGACTTGAACTGGCATGCATACCTACAATGATGTTTGGCATTGGCTTGGAGCAATTCGGTATGGTCCGAGGCGGGCCGAATGGGAAACATGATGGAACTCAAAATACGGTGCTCGTGGAGCAGTGATCGGCAAAATACCACCTTGAACCTTATTGAACCACATGATTCGAAGCCGACTGCCGTTGCGGCTTAGAGAAGCTCGTTTAAACACGACACCTCGCGCCTACCACCATGCTGGTCCAGCTCCAGGTGGGCACCATGGGGTCACTTTTGTCCTCCAATGGCGCGCGCGGGCTACCCCTTTCGTCTTGACGATCCCTGCCTCCGTAGGTTCATGTAAATGAAACTTTGTTTCCAGTACTTCTGGTCCACGCCCACAGGCACTGATAAATATGTGAGCAAGCTCGTCGAATTACAATATTCGGCGCCTGGCAGTTCATCGCATCTCTTGGGGCATTCTTAATCTTGGACAGCGCGGAGAATCCCTGCATTGTCTCGCCTCGCCAGATCTTATAACATTCCACTAAAGTGAGAGTCTTCTTCTAAGGCGGCTTCTCCAAGCATCCACCATGATGATCTCTAGCCTCTTCGTCGCCTTCCTGGCCGGCCTCACTGCTGCCTCGCCCTCCAGCCCACTCCACGAGCGTGAGCTGAAGAAACGAGCGACCACCCTCATCCCAGACACCAGCTTCAGCTCCACCGAGACTTTTGAGTCCTATTTCAACTACAACTACCCATGGGGCGACACACACAACGGTGCCGCACTGATGTCCAAGGCACAAGTCAGCATTATTCACAACGCCTACCTGCAGCTCAAGTCGGACTACACTGGGCCACAATCGGGCAACAGCAAGCTGTCTTACAACAGTGGAACAGTATATGCGAAGCAGAAGTTCACGGTTCAGAAAGGCGGCGGTCTCGACTTCAAGGCCAACTTCGTGGCACCCGTTGCTAAGGGTACCTGGCCTGCTTTCTGGCTCAATGGAGCCAATAGCTGGCCTCCAGAGATTGATCTGGCCGAGTGGAAAGGCACTGGCAAGATCAGCTTCAATACCTTGTAGGTCTAGGACTCCACATCGCTCCTGAGACACCTTCTCAGCCGTGACAAAAATCTCAGGTCGCTAATGCGCAGAAATATAGCAACACAAGCTCAGAGGTCAAGGCCGTGGATGTGACTTACCCCTCGCCCACGACCGCGTGGCGTACGATTCTCGCAGAGCTGCGCGCTGAGTCTGATGGGACGACGGTGAAGATTAACTTCTACATGGATGGCACGCTCATCACGACGCAGTACGGGGCAAAGATGGTTGGAGCGCCGTTCAACCTGATCATTGACTACCAAATGCTTGGATCCAGCGGCTCTCCCGGACCCACGACCACTACTTACTTCGACGTCCAGTATCTGAGTGTCACGAGTTACAACCCTTGAGATATTTCGAAGGCTCATAAAGTACTTGGCATTTCTCTTTCATGTATATATATGCGTACACGCTATTATGGTACATTTGACGATTCGACCTCAGGTCCCCCGCACTGCCTAGCTAGTCTAGGTTCTTCGTGAATTCTTGGTCAATCCCCCGGCATAAATATACCCAGGCTCAATCCCCCAAAGGAACAATTTTGTAACTAACTTGGTCTCATCAAATTGTAAAGTTGGGAGCCTATCATAGTAAACAGGCTGACGTACAAAAAGGGCTTGGTCCCAGTGTTTTTTTTCTCTCCATGACTAATTACCGGCCTCGCTCGATATACCAACGACGTTGACCAATACTACCCGGCGCTGCAGCACGAGTACAAAATCGGTAGTCTGTCCTGTGTCCATTGTACCACCGACTACCCATCATGCTGGCGAATAGGGTTGTCATTGATCCATCCTCGGACGTACTGCTCTGCCTTGCTGTTACCGTCGTGCCAGTCCGGGAGGTGCACAAAGAGATAGTTGCGGTTCTCTGGCGACATCCAGATCACTTCCTGCCCCATGGGCGATATCAGAACGGCTTCTCGTTGCTTGACCCTCAAGAGGTCTATGACGTCGGCCCATGAGCCTTCCGAAAGCCTGCATTTCCTCAGGCGGATGGCGGCTGTGTGAGGCTCAATTGGTTGCAACAGACTGGCGAGCCTCTCGACATCGAACTGGACTTCCATGAGCGCAATTTTCTGCAGATTGGACCACTGCCGTTGCGGTTCGAGCTCGACGCGCCGCAGACACAGCTCTTTCAGTGATTTGGGTGGAAGACAGGAATAAAGTTGGCACTTCATATCTGGTTCAGGCAACCTGTTCCCGGGGTAAGCATGGCTGGTGTATTTGAACTTTTGCAAATCTTGCAATGCCAGTTGAATCGATCTCGACATTTCCTCAGAAAAAGCCATTGGCTGTGGTCGCCTGGTTCTGGTGATTTCGAAGTGTAGTTCCGAGATGTGAATACTGGGATCATTAAAGGCCGCCAGAAGTGAAGGAATCATCCACTCGAAGCTTCGAGAGGCGTGGGGATGGAATCTGTGAAGTTGTAGCCATGTGGAACCTCGAGGTCTCGCAATCGTGGAAAGGAGGTTGTATATGGTAGCCCGACGTATTGTTTGCTGGTATTGTCGCCCAAAGTCGTTGCAATCGGTAATTTCGATTCTCAGCTTCTGCTTGCTCCTTTGCAATGCATTCAAAACAACGGCAAGAAATTTTTGCTGTGAAACAAAATGTTGCTCGCAGTACCGCAGGCTGTATAGCTCGTGATGAATTCCTAGTCCTGCGAATAGGTGTCGAATTCCCGTCCACCTGCCTGTTCGCCAAGCTTCAATGTAATAGTTGGCGAGCAGACGAGCGTCCTTTTTCATCAAAGGGCTGTAAAGTTCCAAATGTCTAACCATCTCATGCACATATGCGAACTGGTTTCTGTGCAAGAAAGGGTCGTATGCCAGCAGCCGAATGCGGATCATCCTAACACCTTTGCAGATTGCGGGTTGTTCCATTATTGACTGGAGCCGAGTAAGGGAGTTCTCGCTAATGTCCACCCCGACAAATTTGATGAGAAACTCCGAGCTGAGTCTATTGAATTTCCGGCACGTAAGTCGAATACTCTGGATATCTCGAGTGCCCTGATCGTAACGAGCCCTCTCTTCATCATTCTGGCGGTTGGAATCGGGGGGTGTGTCATGGACCGCTTGAAATATTTGTATAAGGATCTCCTCTGGAAATCCAAGCAGTTGCCGGCTCTGCGGATCTTTGATGATCTTTTCGGTGTCCATAGCGCCCATGGTTTCTCGCGAGCAATATGCACCGATTGCGGCGACGAGAAGTGATGCTGATACTGAGACTAAAAAAGATTGACGAGATTTCATGGTAGCAGAATGCAGATTCTATCCGAAGATGATAGACTCGGGGCGGAAAACCTGACCGAGTACAGAATGGTGCGTTATATGAACCCTCAGGGGACTCATTTTGTCCATAATATTTACACGCAATTTTCTTGGTCCAGGCTATCTACTGAGCCCTAGTTCCAGTATATGCGCCACTTGAAAATTTGAGAACCGTGATGGATGGTACACTTTGCTATAGATGACTCTACTACGTTTCAGCGGAGGTATTGCATAGAATGAAAACAGGGGAAAAGAAAGAAGGTAAGACAATAAGGCCATTATCCAAGCCATCCGTTATCAACAAGCAGCCCGCATGACCTGTTATAGATTCCCAAAGACACTAGAAAATTCCTCAAACTAGATTAAAACTTGTTTTTTTTCTTCCGGGAAATATTTCCATGGCCCTGGAGACCGTAGTATCCTCGATCTGGATCATAACTAGACCATGCTCGTGCTGGTGTGCACGCAGAAGGTGGCCAATACCTAGAAAACCGTTGATCAGATCTGGCCCTTTTCAATCAAAATCTGGTCATTACCATCTTACTAGAACGACTGGACCGAGAAGCATGCTGTGAAGGGCCAAATAAAGTGACGGGAACATATGTGCAGCCGCAAGCCAAATGGCGTTCAGGCTCTCGACCTTCAATATCGTCAACTTTTGCACTTTCGCAGTACATGACAAGCCTCTATTTGATTAGCCTCTTACATTTTTATTTTGTTTACTTTCTTAAATTAAAAAATCAACAATAAACAAACAGTAAACCAAGCAGCATCGCTCAGGAATTCACACCGCTCAGCTTCCATGCCATGACGTTCACTTTACGTGCTGAGGCACAACGTAGGGGGCTTATAAATAGTCTCTGTTTTCACTTGCATCTGAAGGCGTTCAGCCAAAATCTTCGGGCGTGAGGAGCCCAGCTTTTATGAAAGACGATAGTTTCACATCAATAGCTGGTGCTTCCCCCCCAATTAATTAAGAGATTTCTACTATCGGTAAAAGCGGAGAAGGCTCTCGAGGCACATTCATCGTTTTCATATCTAACAAGCAAGAAAAGAAGTACATTTGTGTTTCACGCTACCCTGACAGTGTGGCGTCAGAGCACTCAACCTACCGCAGACTACACTGTCGACTTCATCGTCTCTCGCAAGGCGGGGCTCAGACTAATGCACACGATAGCAGGACACAAGCTGGGTGATGAAAGCCCTGAGAGGGTTGAACTCACCATTCGCAAGGGAAAGACACACAAGCAATACAAAAGGGTATACAGCAGAAGGACAACAAGGTCCAACGCGCTGCGAACGGAGACGACTTGGACGCAATTCAATCGGGAGGTTATGATTCCCGTCAAATATCCGCGCCTGGAAATGTGAACTAGTTGAGCACTAGCCATGGCCCGCCTGTGTGTTGGTCCCGTCGTTGAGACAACCGTGCAGCAGGCTCAGCCATGCATAGAGGCATGGTTCAATTGAAGTGGTAATTGGTTGGACGTCATAGCATGCAAGACCTTTGTACAATTGCGCCAGACAGCGAGATCGGACACATCGTTTTTGAAAAGTGAACGAACAAAGCAGGCCGCTCACGAGGTGCAATGATGGATCGGTCCTCAGCAATAAAGTCCATCCACACTACATTGCGCTCTCCAGATGGGTAATCACGTACCACCAACTGTGCTCAGAAAATGAGAACATCTGGCGGACACGAATAAATCTCAACGTTATCCAATGTCATTGACGGTTGACCGAGAGGCCCGAGCCTGTGTGGGACGGCAATTCAGGCCGCCCACGCAGACCGATATGTACGAACTGTACGACTGACTGACTGGCGAACCCTTGAACCCACGAAGCGAAACGAAGCGAAACAGGTCTCTTTTCTTTCTTCCCAGACAGACGGACACACACAAAAAACAAATATAAAGCGGAAGATATGGGCAATGAAGCCTGCTCCATGTGACAAAAAAAGACACCAACGCCATGCGATGCATGCAGATTAAAACGCAGTACTGATCAAATCAATTCGGTGGGTGATTTGGGGGGGTTCGGCCTTCGCCAAGCCGCAAAACCGTCCTCTCCCATCTGTGCCCTCCTCCACTTCCCGGTTCCCTCAAAGCTTCGTCGTTCCACCAGTGCAACCTCGGGTCCGAGATGGCCCACCCAGCACCCGAGCCTAGCCTTCCGTCAGGACCTCAAAGATGCCGACATTCGGCACCTCCTTCTCCACCCGCCCAAAGACGAGCTTGCTCCGCGGCGCCTGCGGCTCCTTGAGCATCTGCTCCATCGAGAGCTCGGGCTCGGACGGCCGGGAGCTTGTCGGGAATGCTGAGAAGTTCGCGGGGGCCGCGGGCGGCGACGACGGTCCGTCGAAGAAGTACTCCGACAGGCGCTCGGCGAGGGCGTCGGGCGTGGGGATGTTGACGGGCGAGAGGAACTGCGGCCTGCTGATGCGGCGGAACGCGCGGGGCTTGAAGGAGTTGGCGGTCGTGGCGGCGTCGCCCGTCGACGTGCGCGGCCGCGGCAGGTCGTGCAGCATATCCATCGCCGAGCCGCTGGCGAAGCTGGGCAGCGGCATGGTGCTGATCCTGTTGAAGTCGGCGCGTGGTGGAGGAGGTGTGCCGCCCTGCTGCTGCGACGAGAGTGGGCTGACTGGGCGTACTTCCTTCTTGGGCTGATGTGGTGTTTCCGGCTCTGAGGGTCCGGCGGCACCGTCGAAGCCGAAGCTGAAGCCGCCGAATTCGTGCAGCGATGGCCGTGACTCGCGCTCTCGTCCGTCGTCGTCGTGTCTCGGTGGGCTGAGTGGCCTCTGCAGCGGGAGTGACTCGATCTCGTGTTTGGCCGACTTCTCCATGGGCAGTATGGGCGTGGTGACTGTCCGCCTCGGGCTGAGTGGGCTCTCGGTGCTGGGCGGGCTGAGCGGCGGGCTCGATGGTGGGCTGGCGGTTAGTGGAGGGCTGATGGGCTCAGTCTGGTGCCTCCCCAGGTTACCGTAGGGCGTCGACACGACACGCATGCTCTGTCGCCATTGCGAGCCGCTCACAGGCCTGGGTTTCTGACGCGGCCAGTCGACGGGCTCGTGCGGTGAGTTCAGGAAGGAGGGCGTCGGGCGCAGGACTTTTGCTTCTGCTCGGGCTCGGCGTTGCTCCTCAAAGTACTCGACGCCCTTGGACACGGGCACATTGGTTTCGGTGGAGCTGTTGAGCTCGTGCAGCAGGTTGTGCAGCTGGTCCTCGTCGAGACCTTCGACCAGGTCGAAGATGTGCTCGACGGACGAGCGGGATCTGACACGGGTTTGGGAAGACATTTCTGCGTCGTCAACCCTTACATGTGCTGTGCTGCGCTGTGGTATGGTGGATTATGTTGTCTTCTAATCTTTGTTTTCCTAGGATTCGTGTCGGAGATCTCGTCTCGATCGATATTCACGGAGGAATAGATGGACGGACACGATTCAGGGGTAAACGTAAACGCAAGGAAAGGAGCGTAGGGTTGCGCAAGGGCGGGAAAGAGTAGACACAATGAGATGCAATGCGGTTTGCGATTCAGAGAGGAAAAAAGGAGTGTGGGTTACTGCTATTGCGTATGCAGAAAACTGAAATGCCTCATGGCATCCGGATGTGAAGATCAAGATTGGTGCCCGGATTCAAGTCAGGGCGTGATGGTGATGGTGATGCTACGACGGGAACGGACAGACAGGTGCATGAGAGAGAAGTGTTTGCGTGCGCAGGAACGGAACGGAACCTTGGAAGGATGGATGGAGAATGGATTCAGGGGGGGCCGAATGGAGCGGAAGTCATGCAATCAAAATCTCAAATCCATCAGCCAAACAGAAGAACCCGCCCCCAGCAACGTTGGCGACGGCGTAATTATTTTCATGCTTCAGTCCTGGCCCAAGCTTTTTTTCCCTGGCCCTCCAGGCCGTCCTCTGCCACCGTCTGCCAGTCTGCTTGTTTGCAACGTGCTCGCACGGTTTCAGGTTAATCAAAGGTAGATCCCAGGGTCGGGCTCAGCTCAATTTCGGCCCACCGTGGAAGCGATGGCGTTTTCTCCATTTATTTGTCCCGGAATGGGAGACCCCTGACGATCGGGCTGTCTGCCAGTGAATGCACGAGTTGAGACAAGTGATCTGCGCCCAGCTGCAGCATTCGAGAGTTTAAACTCGCAGCTGAAATATTGAGCGACACTGCAGATGCCGATACACATTGACTGCCTGGGTAACTATCTGCTCTGATTATTTACGGATGTACGTAGATGGATAGTCTATCTACCTGTCTCGTTGTCATGTCGATGTCGACGACTCTCCGGCCCGGATGAGGACGAGGACGCGGCCAAGCCTTCACCCCTTCAGAATCTCGCTTGCACAAGAGACCGCTTCTGCTTCACCTGCCAGTCGCTCCGTCCCGCGCTTCACTTGACCTAGGCACTTACCTGCTGTGTTGGCGGCCAGTCTAACCGGCTTCGCTGGCCTGTCTATCATGTTATTTCAGGAGTTCAGGGGTCGACCTGGTCCCAGGCCAAGGGCTGCCACCGCACCCGTCTTTCTTGTCTCGGCCCCCAGCCAGGCCAGGCCTGTCTGCAAGCCCTCGGGCCAGCGCGATCCAATGCCCCGGATTCGCGTGATCTCACCTTGCATCCGTACCTGCATCTGACGTGCAGGGCCTGCTGTCAAGCCACTTTTTTACCAGTAGATGGCATTTCGAGGTGCCAATGGTGACAGTAAGTTTGGAGGCTCATGCTTCTGATCGGCGTCATCGAGCCACGACCCACAAGCGCCCTACGACGCAGGAACCCAGCGTCGGAACATTTCTCTGCTGATCAAAACAGTCTCCATGTCCTTTAAGTCAACTTTGCACTACATGTACAGTATTGCTGCTATTGCTCTGAAGCCGGTAGAGGCAGTTTCGATCGGGACTGCTAGCTTAATGTGACGTGCTCTAGCTGAAGTGCGGTGATCTCCGCGCAATATTTCGATCCACCCAACATGTCTAGTCCCGGCAGTTACTCGCGGTCTTCTACGCCTCAATTGCCGAAAAACACAGAACTGTGTTCAAGAGGCGAGAGCACGCACCGAGCCTTCTGTGCAAATAGTGTAGTGTTCCCTCAGACAACATTGATCTATTCAAGATCGAATGTCACATCGTGCCGAGTCAGGTTCATCGTAGGGTTAGTGCTTAGCTATGCTACGACTTAAGCTTTCTTGCTTAGTGCATAGTCCCGGTGCGAGTGCTCTTTGCTAGAGAGGCCATAGTGGAAGCCCATAGCACCGGCTATGTCTGTAATTAATGCCATCGTTCAAAAACCATCATGAGTCGGCGGCTGCACTAGTACGTACCGTACATCCTAGCCTGTCTTAATAGATTCTGGAGTGCAACACCATCACAGAGTGCTTACAGCAATACTCGCTATGATTTCAAGATGAAGTCAGTGTGAACCGGTGAAACATTCGTTCAAGGCGGGTTTGAGTAATTTTTCGGAGCAGTCGTCTATGATGGGAATTCGAAATGCCTAGTAGACAGCGTATTTGAATGCCGAGACGGGCGGGAGTAACTTATGAGACAGTTTCTCTCTGCTCTCCCCTTTCTGCGTCCTCTTTTTGACCCAGCCCGCAAGAATTGCAGCAATGGCTCAGGCCCTGGGAATTGTTACTTCCGAGTGGGGCTATGTCCCAAACACCCTCGGCCTGGTCAATTTCGGAACAGAAGCCTTCACGGGCGACCCTGACCCTTATTTATTATCTAGGTCTGGAACCAACCCGTCGACAATATGGATAGCCGCCGGCGTCGACCCGGAGGGCTCGGGGCCAGGCTTGGGCTACGCGGGCGGCATCATGCCTGATGTTCGCGTGTATAGCCAAAGGGCAGTGCTTGTGGGCAAGACTTTAAATTTTAATGTGAGTACAACTATTCAGTAGCGGTGATCTAGGTGTCTGGAATTACAAGAGAGTAAGCCGACTGTGCTTGCGAAGGTTTCGAGGTTCCGCGGTGAGGGCGACTCGACCCGATAGGCGAAATTTCGCAACACTTATATTTTCAAATACTATTGTTTGGACTGTTTCTTACGACTTGGACGTTCAGCCATGAATGGTTGCTGATCGGTGGCATTTCATAAATCAGGGTGTTTGGTCTGGTGACACAAATAACATCGTGGTTCCCCAAACAGAGCAGGAGTTGGGACACTACACTTTGTTCTCAGGAAACTACGATGGGCGTGAGGGCGGTGATAACAACGTATGGTAAGAACATTTTTTTTTCTATGGCTCCACTGCCCGCCCATCTACAGTGAAGCTCTTCGAATATGCCCTGTTCGCGAAGCGAAACGCCTGCATTGATTGCAGGCAGAGCAGTCACTTCTTAATACATCCAACCACATGGAAAGACAAGATAAAATGGTGAAACATCTCTCATGACTAACCAACTGCAAGTATCGCTTGGGCCACCATTCATTGGCCATCGAAAGGGACAGAGCACGCGTGGTCAGGAGGCTGGGGTCGTGCATGCGAGAAGTTGGGCGCTCAATGGTACTGTGAGTGACTAGACCATGTCCCCCACCCTGTTCCGACAGACTACCGTGTACGAATTTTGAAGTTTCTGACGGAGCACCATAGACAGCGGGATGATTGTCCCTGGCAGCGGTGGTTACGTTCCCGACTGCATCTGGGTTTACAACTGGAACGATGAAAAAGATCTGGATTATCCGAAAGGCACCAACGCAACTAACCGGCCCGTCCAAGGATTCCATGTGAACTGGGTAGACATGAAAACAAGTGAAGACGATCCCCGTCTCAATACCAGCGCAGAAGCTTTGTGTGACAGTCGTTCATTCAGACTGTACAAGAACTATGATCCGCGGGAGCTTAACTTGCGACCGGGTGAAATTGACAAAAGGCCTGACATTGTCCCGACGACAAGTCTTTCTACAACCTCTAAGACGACCACAACTCGAACTTCAACGGAAACTTCCGAAACCACAACTGAGTCAACAACAACAACAGCTGAGCCGACAACAACAAGTGAGCCGACCACGACAACTGAACCGACCACGACAACTGAGCCGACAGCAACAACTGAGCCGACCACGACAAGTGATACAAGTACAAGTGAGAGCACAACGACTGAGCGTACGACGACTGAGTATACGACGACTGAGGAGACGACAACCGAGTATACGACCACCAAGATCACCAAGACAAAGACGGATCCTGAATCGACTACGACAACGCGGTCTGAAAGCTCTGAAGAAACAAGTAGCACAACAATCAGCACCACTAGGTTTCCCTCTTCGTCCACCACCTCAGATTCGTGGATCACCAAGACTATAACCATCGACAAACGACAGCAAGATGCCTCGCACGGCGAGCAGCAGCCGCAGCGGCAGAGGCAGCAGCAACGGCCCCGGAAACCCAGCCAACCTGTCCGTCGAGGCCCAAGCATGGCCGAGAGGTTCGCCAACGTCCTAGTCATCAACAACCACGAGCGGCATACGGCCGAGGGCCTGTGCAAGAGCAAGGGGTCGCGCGGCCCCAGCTTTGCTGATGCCCGGGGCCGGATGTACTGCGACATGGATACCAAGACGCTGTATCCTTTCTGCGACAGCAATGGCAAAACTGGGCATTCTGGTAATGAGAAGCCGTGCTTTGACTTTGAGGGCTCCAACATGCTTCGTGGGCCAGGGGTACAGAAGCGTCAGGCTCCTAGAATCCAGGACTGGCGGCGGGTTTGATTGTGCGCTCTTCCATCGGTAAAAGTATGGAAAAATATGTGCTCGAAAATGTGTTTCTTTTTACAGCTTTCTCACAAGCGGGGAAATCAAGGACAACAGCTAGTAGACACTCCTTAGATATATGACGATTGGTAGATACTCCTTGTAAACATTATCATCGAGATACTCAAGCGGCCTATATTGGATAGCAAAACATTATCGTCGTTGCCTCAATCAAAAGCATATTGCAGCTCGCTCGCATCATGATGGGGAAACAATCTCACACTCATCTGTTATGCAGGGACTTTCAGCCGATGACATGCCTGCCTAAATATGTGTGTTAGAAGGACAAAGTAAGGCGGAGTCTGAATCTGGAAGCACTCACTTTACAGCACTCCGCGATCTCCTAGCCCAAACTTCAATAGGTGCCACTTTTGGGGGCACCCTAACCAGTTGCTTTGCAAGCAGCGTTGGTCAATCCCTAACCCTGACCTCAGGCGAGTCCCGACCCGACTTCAGGACTGACTCTACACATGTGGAATCTAGTTTTGACTCTCAGACCCTCCAACCCTCTACACATGTGCCCCTGGATCTAGACCTGGGGCCTAAAAAAGCAAGCTAACCGCATATGGGCAATCCTTATTCACGATCCACGATCCCCGGGCCCGCCAGGGTCCTCGGCTTCATGGCAAAAAATCTGGGATTTCGACACATTGCCCTGACTCTGCCTGACCCTTTCTCCTGGCCCCAACCGACCAAAACACCCTTAGACCCAATCAGGATGGCGACGGTTCGGACAGAGGCTCACAAACTCGGGTCGCGACGGTGACCACCAGACAAATCTCCTTGCGCCCCTCCTTTGTACAACCTGGTGGCCATCTCTTGACCGACTCGGTGTACCATCAAAACCAAGATTAGCCACCCGTCAGGCCTTCGCTTCTGTCGCCGCCGTCCTCCAGTCCTTTCCCCATCATTCTTCTCTCTCTTTGTGCTCGGGACAGTCCAGATGAGGGCCCCCATTACTCTGCTGCCTCCCACGAGCAGCCTGCCTCGGCTGCGCTGCTCGTCCCCAGACGACCTGACTCTAGACAAGATCGATCGCGCGTTACATGACCTCCGCAACATCTACTGCCCCCTTCCTCGAGCTGCTGCCTTCAGCAAGCCGTCCCTGCCACCCAGCCAAGACGACTCCCTCCTTGTGCCCCGGGCCACGACAGCCAACGCGAGCAGCGGTGCATCGACACCCCAGCCTGTCGACTCCGGATACGCATCGGGCGACGAACAAGAAGCCGACCCTTGTGATACCATAACGGATCAAGACCACGTTGCCGAACTCCGCCAGGACCCCTACGAGCGACAGTTCGCCGTCCGCTGGCTGACGACCCTGATCTCGCGCGCGGACGAGCTGCTGCCCGATGCCGACGAAGATGCACAGCAGCGACTTGTTGATGATGCCTCATACATATTGGCCTCGTTCAGCACTGCGACGGACGCGGACGAGGACGAGGGGTCGGGCGCGATCGAGAGGGAGTTCTGCTTCCCGCAGGACGGGCAGGCGGGCGACAAGATTGAGGTGCGATTGACCGACGGAACTCCGGCCACGGGGACGGATCACACGGATGTGGGCTTGCAGAGCTGGGGCGCGTCGATTGTGGTGTCGGATCTGATGTGCTCTTACCCAGAGAGGTTCGATCTGACTGTCGAAAAGCTGGGTCGCGCGCCGCGCATCGTCGAGTTGGGCGCCGGGACGGGCTTGGTGGGCATCACTATGGCCAAGTTGCTTCCTCGACTTGGTGTGCCTTGCGCAAAGGTCATCGCGACAGACTACCACCCCGCTGTGCTTGAAAATTTGCAAAGTAATATTGTCGCAAACTTCACCGAGCGAGACAATGCCGCTGTTGAGACCTGTCTGCTCGATTGGTCGAATCCCTGCCTCGACCCGCCTCTTGACATTGCAGCAGAGATGCTCATTGCGACAGATGTGGTCTATGCCCCAGAGCATGCAGCCTGGCTGCGCGACTGCGCCGCTAAGTTGCTTGCCCGCGACGGTGTTTTCTGGCTCATTGCATCGGTTAGGCCTAATGGCCGGTTTGAGGGCGTCACCGATACCGTCGAGACATCCTTTGCGGATGTCAAGGACTGTCCCAAGTCGGAAGATGGGAAGATGGTATTGCGGATTGTGGGCAAGGAGAGGCTGGAGAAGAGGAAGGGTGTCGGGCGAGCTGACGAGGTTGGATACAAGGTGTTCCGAATTGGCTGGGTGGAGATGGAATAGACGGAGGCATCATGACGAAACGATATACACGCGCAATATGGAAGCGATAGAGGTAGACATCATTACTACCCCAGATAATTAGACTGGCATCGTAGAAGAGAGAAGATAGACGTTGTAGAAAGCAACAGGTGGTTAGACTAGAAATAGAATAAGATAGAAAGAGGTCGCGTGTGCTTGATGGTGGTGGTCTGATTCTCCTCCACCTTGGCATCTGCCTCTCCAAACTCAAATGCTCCCGCGTGCCGACCCCTGTCGGAATGTCCTCCAATGCGACCTCATTCCCAAGACCAGTCTGGCGGCCACGGAACCGCTGGCTGCCTCCCCACTCTCATGCATATCAGCTCCTCTCCCGCACCTCACCTCCCCATGTCTACATCTTTGATGCTGCGCATGATGGACCCGGCCCCAGGCGCGACATCTGAAATGCAATGCAGCTGAGGCCATGGGCTGCTGCCTCTCTTCGCTGCTGCTCACAACGGAGAGCTTTCGCCTCATACCAGTACAGGCCACTCCCCGATGCGTCACAATGTCTGGACCCTGAGAAATTTGTCCGTCTCCTGGAGGTGCGGAGGCACAATGGAGAAGGACGTCCGAGCAGTTCAAGCAATGAGCTTAGCTTCTCGTTGAAGATATTCAGGCTGTCCCAGACACCCGAATTCGAAGCCCTTTCCTACACTTGGGGTGATCCGTTGACGCCTTTCTCGAAAGCTTGCAAACCAGAGTCGGACGAGCGCTCACAATTGCAACACCATTTCCGCCATCACAGGAGCAGAGACTCAGTCCCACACATCGTTGTTGACTCCCAGTCTCTTGCAGTGACGCCCAATCTCCTTTCTGCCTTGCAGATGCTCGCCTCAAGGTCCTCTTCTATTACAGCCACCATCAGCTCGAGGCAGCACCCTTCTCCGCTCTTACGCGGCCTCTCCTGCAAACCTCAGTATTTCTGGATAGACGCAATTTGTGTCGACCAGTCCAATGTCTTGGAGCGGAATGCTCAGGTCGCTATCATGGCAGATGTGTTCCGCTCGGCGCAGGGTGTGATTATCTGGCTTGGGCCAGAGGACCAATTCACAACAGACGCACTCGAGGTTGTCGAAGCCATCTCGCCCTTGATAACGCTAAGGTCTTCTCATTTGAGCTCCAAAGCGAAACAGGCTTGGGACGACACCAGCTACACAGACTTTTTCGACAGCAGCTGGTATTCGAGAGTCGCCGAGGCCATCGGGCTGCGGGGCAACATCACCCACCACCAATGGCTGGGCCTTCTCGCGCTGGTCAGCCGGCCGTGGTTCCAACGGGCCTGGGTGGTTCAGGAGCTCGCTCTCGCGAGGCGGGCCACCGTCGTCTGTGGCGACCGCATGGTCTATTGGACCCAGCTGGCCACGACGTTATCCTTCATACACGCCAAGCGGTGGTACCACCACCTCTGCACCGAAAAGATGCGGCACATTCCTAGCGTTCGCGACGACCCGGGCATTTATTCCGATTTTCTGACTTCGCGGACCGAATTCCCCCCGGGAGCTCTCTCGCTCATGCGCACTCGGAAGATTCTCAGACTCAGGGAACGGGCTCGCAGCCACCATGTTGACTTGGTCGGCGACCGTGGTCCTAGGGCCCAGGACGTTGGGACTGTTCCTGGTAGTGACAGTGATGCTCTATCCCAACCTGTCAAAGCTGCACCGGACCCTATCCCTCTCGACCGGCTCATACAAGTCCACCGGGATAAGCTCGCCACGGACCCTCGAGACAAGGTGTACGCCTTCGCTGGTCTCGCGGATACGAAGACGTCGGTATGTGGAGCACCGGCGACGTCTATCTGGCCGGACTACGAGCTTCCAGTCCAAGATGTCTATACGCGGTTGATGACGCAGCTACTGTTCGCCCATCGAGGCCTGCATATGTTGTCACACGTGCAGGATGCAAGTCTTACGAAGCTGGAGGGTCTGCCGAGCTGGGTCCCTGACTTCAGCGTCCAGCTGTCGCCCTACCCGCTTCGGTTTCGTGGCGCGGTATCTTGGTCGGCCTGTGGGAATTCGCGATGGGAGCCTCCAGTGAGCGACGAAGGCATGAGCCGAGGAATCCTCCGTGTTCAGGGGTCAAAGATCGGCGTGGTCGAGGATACTGCATTGTTGCAGCACGAGGCGGAATGCTCGACAGAGTACTGGGCTAGTATTGTGAACCTAGCACTGGGTCTGGATGAAAAGTACCCCCAGCTCCCAGACTGGACCATGGCCGGAGCGATGCCCCAATCTCGTCTCGAGGTCCTTTGGCGAACGTTGATAACGGACGTGTACTCACGGCAACACCCAGCACCGCGTCATTGCGCGAAATTGTTCATGGAGTACATCCTGAACCTGCAAATCAGACATACCCTAGCGCCGTGGTCTGATATTGACTTCATGCCACACCAGAGTCATACTCACGCCCCGGACGTCCAACCACGCTGGCATGAACTGCTCAAATCAGAGCCGGAAGGCCTTGCCGAGTACAAGAGGTGCATGACGACGATAATGGAAGCCATTTTCCAAGGCTCATACTCGCCGATAAATCTAGCAGAGCTGCAACATGAGTTTGATATCGCCAGCGGCAGTTCAAGGCGACTGTTTCGGACGGACAACGGCCTTCTTGGGACAGGTATGAAGTCGGTCAGGAAAGGCGACGAGGTCTGGGTACTGGCTGGCTCCAAAGTGCCGATGCTTGTGAGGAAGAGACCGAATCTTGATCGTGGCAATGAGTTTTCCCTGGTCGGCGAGACGTACGTCCATGGCGTTATGCACTGGGAGCGCAGCGGGCATGATTTCCCTGAGCTAAAGTATATCATTTTGAAGTGATAGAGCAGAGTGGCCAGCATCGAGCTGTGCCATAGTTCTTTAAACGGCAGGTTCCAAGCTACGGCTAAGTTAGAACGGTAATCCTGTCACCTGAACCGAGTTTTGCGCCGTCTGCCAGCAACCTTGATGCTGTTCCATTCGCCACCTGCGTTGCACTTCTTCCTCAGATGTTCCGTCGAATCTACATGTCTTGTGCCAATCTTGACATTTGAATCAGCATGGCTATCGTCATTGACAGAATTAATAAAGAGGCATCCGATGTTCACGACGCCATCAAGGCGTCAGCATGAAGACTGCTTCCGAAGCTGAGGGCCAGATGTACGATGACTTGGCTGGTCGACTTGCAGTGATCACAGGCGGACGTGACTCGATAGGCCTGTGGACACCCAGAACTTTTGATTATCTGGTGATGATGTTGACCCTTCTCGATGGGACTGTTTCGTCGAGTGGCTTGTTCTGGTGCCAGATCTGCAGGTGAGTACGCCTTGCCACATGAGCCGCACGTCCTGTGCCTCGACTTTCGGCATGATTTTGGAAAAGGAGTGGATGGATCGGGAGGAAATTGAAAACGAATCCGCCGCACCAAATTTCAACGCAGCAGCAAGTATTAGATGCTTTTGAAGAAGAAATCTTCTCCACAGTATTCAGCCTAAGCCAATGTTCTTGAATAAGGCTTCAGCCAGCCTGTTTACGCGTACGCGCAGTATCCCTCAAGTGCTCCCCAAAACCCTAGAGCCAAATAGAGAATTTGGCTCCTGCGATGAGTCAGCAGACAACCTCATCGGTAGCTTTGCCTTTCCTTCGTAAATACATGAACACCGCCGGTTACTCTTATGATGACCTGGTTTCATCAACGAATCGCAGCCCATCCAGTGGCTATCAGTCCTGCAGGAGGCTCGAGGGAGGGTAATGTCGGAGGAGCAGCTTAACGCTCGCAGCAGAATCCATCTCCTGAACCCCGACGTGTTCCAAAGCCGGGCGATATTTGGATCGAACTAAAGGCCCACCAGCTCATAGTGCTAAGAGATTTGATGGGTGTGAGATGGTCGCAAACCTCAAAATTCATGGAACGGTCGGAAAAGACATGCAGAACAAAGTATGAGCGTATCAAGAACAAGGGAGTAAAGGCTGGGGAAGATTCGGCCCAGCAAGACGTCGGCGCGCCGCAGGATGCCACCACACGTGAAAACACAGGAGTAAGGATCAAGTGGACGGCGGAAATGGTGAGTGAAAACTCGCAGAGGGGGATCGAATTTACAGGGATGGCGTCGGAGGCATTGGTTTGGCTTGGGAATCGGCCAAGCTGCGCTCCGATGCAGAGAGACTTAACAAAACACTTGCATGGGAGACGAGCTGAAAATAATAATCACGGACTTTCAGGAAGTTCATGTCAGATGCCAGAGATTCGAGGCAAAGGTGAGCAGAACGTCAGCATGGTCTTTGACTCAGGGGCCACGCGAGTGACAGCTGCGCGAGGCTCATCAGATTTTCACTGGACACATGGGTTTGGATGCTTCTATGTCTGGCTATAGGCACCTCATTTTGGATTCTTGGTACGATATTCTGGAAGTAGCAGCGACATCAATGTGATAATTTCTCGTAGAGTCAATGGTACTCCCTTTCTCCGAGTGAAAAAAGAGAACAACAACTGCTCAACTTAGCTAATCTAGTGCTTCAAACCGTTAAGAATCGAAGCGGCATATGAGAATCTTGAGATGATTTTGGGCCATGAAGGGGGCGTTATCATTTCAACGGGCGAGCTCTTTGGTTATCACATCTGCGGGTGAGTAGGAATTGTCGGGCGAGCCACGGTACATGCCTCGAGTCTCACGCTGAGTCCACTAGGAGTTTGTGATTTGGCGACGATCATTTCATGACTGAGAATCTTACAGTTACTCATTGTATATTCCATATAAATACTTCGTCTGTTTTGTCTCTGGATCCCCAATTTTCTCAAATCTTCTAAGCCCCTACACGATTTACCAAATCCACAAATCCACTCGGATTCCCGCGTCATCACAAAACAAAACGACCAGAGAGCATCATTGTCAGACAGATAGCAAAATACCAACTATACCCTCAATATATTCCAATATGTCCGATCAGTACCAGGATCGTGGAGGTGGCCAATCCTCTGCTCGAGACGCTCCTCGACAGACCCGACCTTACGCTGTGGGTAAGCCCATTCACAGTTATGCGGAATTTCTCGAAACTGCTCCACCAAATTTCGTACCAACTGCAGATGCGGCTTCTGGGGCAAGCCAATCACAAGCCTCATCAATGAATTTCCCACGGCCGCCGCAGGGGCAACAACCTCACGAGCAGCAACAGATACAGCAAGCTCCGCCAAGTTTCGCAACAGCAGGGCATACGCTCCCTGAGGCGAATCAATCACAAGCCCAATTGATGAGACTCGCACAGCCACCACAGGGACAACAATCTTATGGACAGCAAAAACGACAGCAAGCTCCGCCAAACTTCGCAACAACAGGTTATACAACTACCGGGACAAATCAACCTCGACTCCCATCGATGAATCTCCCGCAACCACCACAGGGAGCAACAATAGGGTATGCGATCCATGGGCTGAATCAACCACGAGACCCATCACTTAACTTTCCGCAGCTGCCTCCGCCAAACTTCAGACCAACAGCCCATGTGGCTCCTGATGCAAGTCAGTCACGAGCCTCATCAAGAGACTTCCTGCAGCCGCCTCCGCCAACTTTCGGACCTACAGGATATGAGGTTCTTCGGGCAAGTCATCCACAAGCCCCATCAATGAATTTTCAGCAGCCGCCACAGGGGCAACTACCTCGTGAGCAGCAACAGAGACAGCAACAGCTACAGTCGCAGTCACAACATGGCAGAGGAAGCCAAGCCGGGCGACAGGGAGCTTATAGGCCAGGCGAACATGACTTAAATCCTCCACGATTCGCAATGGCGCATTGGACTGAGGCAGACAATGCCAAGCTTCGGGAGTTAAGGGCTGCAGGGCTGGAGTGGGAAGATGTCGGGAGGGAACTTGGCCGGACTGGCCCCGCTGCCCGACAGCACGCTGACGATCTTAAAAAGAGAAAAGGCAAAAAAGACCGAGCTGGGTCAAGCCAAGCTAGACCAAGCTAAAGTGGACCAAGCCAGGCCCAGCAATACAGCCAAGCCCCTTCGCAGCATCAGGCACGGCATTGGCCCTGAAGGGTCATTGCTTCAGCACGACGGAGGCCGGTGCAATATGGGAGCATCGCAGGACAGATTGGCAGAATGACAATATATTTTTGGGACCAGGTACGTGCGAGCTGAAAATGCGCAAAGGCATACACGGCAGTACCTGATTATTTTGGACTCCTTGGTTCTCTTCATGGTTTGGAGAAAACAATTTTGGACCATATAAAATTTAAAAGAAGAAACAAAAAAAAAAGGAGGTAGCAGTAATATAAATCTGACTACTTCCCCAAAAAGTCAGCCCAACCCGAGGTGAAAAAGAAGTAACTTCGCTCGCTTCGGCTGCCCTTACCACTCGTATTCTTGACCTGTTGGTGTTGTTGTTGTCCCATTTCTCCTTAAGGGTACCAGCACGTTCGGAATGTTGTGTCAAAACATCATACAAGGCCGGCCATCCACCGCCAAGGGTGCGAATTTCGATGGGGCGACCAGTCTTGACATTCACGTAGGTGACGGAGCCTTTCACTTGGGCAAGAATGGCCTGCTGCTTGAGCGAATAGAGAGATGTGGTTCCGTTGTTACGCGTTGGCTCAATGCCGTTCGTGCCGGTGAGCCGCGATGAGCTGTCTCCAACGTAAGCTTCCTTATTTGATCAAAACGACGAATATTTATCACACATGGGAACGACAAAGCTTCACACGCACCGAGTCCAGATACTTGACCTGCCTCCGGATGTCCAACTCGTGCTTACGTACAATAGGCACAATAGTTCAGGCGTGAATCATGCCATCGTATCCCTGCTCGCTGAGGAACTCCTCGTAGCTCTCCACGAATCGATGGAAGCAGGTGCCCAGGAAGTGAATCTACTGCGAATGCAGAACATGGCCGAACGAGTCCTGGTCCTCAGCCCAGACGATACCACGCTCGGCTATTGTACTGGGGTCATAGCCCATGGCCTCGAGGGTAAAGAGGTCGCTGGCACGGAGGGCTGGATATGCATCAGTATTGGGATGCGGTTTTGGGGCACCGGCGTGTGAATAGGGTGAGAGGTGTGCGGCCGGATCGTGATGTCACCATTGGACTATTTTACCATCATCAGTGCGGGAAACCGGCTTTATTTCAGGCTCACGAAGGTTGCAAGAAACCTGCAGAGACCCTGCTGTCAGTGTCTACCTAGGGCCTTGTGTATTATACAAAAGGCTATGGGAGGATTGACCGATAAATGGTGAGCCAGAAATATGATTGAGGGAGTGAGCAGTAATGCATTGCGCGAGGAAATCTGATTCAGCGGGAATTAGCTTTAGAAGAATTTCTGCTAAGTTTGACCCTAAGAAGAACACTCGGTCACGACAGAATCTGAGCAGTCAAGATCACGAATATAAATTACTCATGACCATGTTCAGATGATATTGGATCGTTCAGGGAGCGTTGGATTGTCAAAAGGCTTGTTCTCCGGGTACTACGTTTGCAGATGAATAGTACGTACCAGGTGAGCCACCGCCTGTGACTCGACTCTTATCCATTTCGTCAACGGACGAGCTTTGGCAATCAGTGGTTCATAACCGATACTGTACCAGTCACTAACTTTCTTCATCATATAAATACTTGGGACTTCTCCCCTTTGAACCTTTTTCCCTTCCGTAGCTTTCTCCAGGCCCCCAAGACTCGGTCAAGCGTTCACCAAATCGACAAACGCATCAATTTTGTCCTTAAAGCACAGCCAACAGCTACCACAACTGTTTATTTGGAAACGACAAAAAAGCCATCTTCAATAAAACCGACATGGCCGAGCAGACTAAATCGTACAGAGCTCACCCGAACTCTACCGCCAGTGCCTCCCGCCAAATCTCGGCTCCCGCGTACGTTCAGCATGCTCCCTATCTCTCGCTCTTTCCTCGAGTTGCCAATGAGTATTCCGGGGAAATAGGCTATGCAAATCCTGGAACAAGTCTACAGGGAGAATCATCAACGAATCGACCTTCTGTGAGTGAGGGCTTCGGCGGCACAATGGCTTATGTCACCGGCCCGCAGGGTGGCACCCAATCTCACAATATGCCCCCGAGTCAACTCGCAAACATGAAAGTGCCTTTTGCCAAGAAGGAGCTACTACAACCACAGCCAAGGGAACTGACTCCGGAGGAACGAATGCAGCTTCAACAAGAAAACGAGCGACGAGAACAGGCGCGCCTTGAGGAGGAGCGTGAGCTGGAACGACTTCAGGATGATCTCCTACGAGATCTGCGGTTCCGTATGAACCCGGAGGCGGAGCAACAGAGGCAACGACAGCAAATGCAGCAGATGCAGCAGATGCAGCCCATGCAGCAGATGCAGCCCATGCAGCCCATGCAGCCCATGCAGCCCATACAGCAGCCTTACCCTCAGCCAGGAGGCCGAAGCACAGAACCATCTCTCGGAGGCAGAGCGGATCTCGAGCCCCGAGATAGAGCAGGTGACTCTTGGCCGGACGCAGAACTCACCATCCTTTTCAGGTTGAGAAACGAAGGAAAGACTTGGTATGAGATTGGGAAGGAATTGGGTCGGACATATACATCTTGTAAATCGATATATTACAAAAAAAAAGGGCGAACTCAGACAGCCGCAGTCTCACGCTCAACCTCAAGAGAAAGTATTCAAGAGATGGACAGAAAAAGAAAACAAGATGCTCGTGACGTTGAAGGATGAACAACATTGGGAGTGGGAGGCAATCGAAGCGGCAATGGGTCGGTCAAAGAAAGCCCTTCAAACACAATATGGCGAGTACAAGAGGCTGCAACGACTTAAAGGACGCTAAGCCTAGCAATATAGCGAAGATCTTTGGAATCGTCAGAACGGGTACTCAGAATCACGGTACTGGTTGTGAAGAATCACTTCTGTGGCATGAATGAGCACGTAGAGCCCTGGACGATCATGGGACTGATGAGCAAACAGGTATGGACTCTTATTACAGGTACGTGTAAGGGAAAGGTACGAAAAGGCATACACGGCAGTACCTGAATATTTTTGGACTCGTTGCTTCTTTTTTTGGTTTGAAGCAAACACTTTTGGACGGATTAAAATTTAAAAGAAGAAAAAGAATAGGAGATAGCAATAATATCAATCTGACACAAAGTGTGGAAAGGATGAAAGGGAACTCAGCTGGAGATGGTGTACTGATTGCTGGTCTCACCAACAGAGAGTCTTCCTCAGTAGCATTAGGATTCCGATGCGGGGCTATTGCAAATGTATAACTGGTCAGACAGGCATATACCGTGATGAAAATAATGACCAAGACCAAGCCATGACGTGCCGACCATTTGCAAATGTCAGCACTTGAGAATTCGGGACTTGGCAAATAATTACATCCCACGAGCACTTCCTGTATCTTCGGTCACCAACCATCTTCGCATCCAAACCCAGGTGTTAAGACCTGTCTCCCAAACATGGCGTCGCATAAGCTTTTCCAAGATATCCCACCCTTTCCGGATGACATACCCACGGCGTCCATGCAGACCATCTCGCTGGCAAGTCTGCATTCGGGCAATGAGGCCGCCGCCCAAAATCTTCTGGCCGCCTGTCAAGAACTGGGTTTCTTCCTGCTCGACCTGGATGGCGACGTGCTGGGAAATCAGTTGATAAAGGAGATTGATCAGCTCTTCTTGGCCGGTAGAGACATCATGGACCTCCCAAGGGAGACCAAAGAGCAGTACCTGCACGATGTCCCAAGAAGCTTTCTCGGGTAAGCTACTCTCCTGGATTTGATCCTTTTTTTTCTTTCTTTTTTTTTTTTTGGTATTGGAGTCTCAATTCCATGCCCATCTTACACATGAAAGGTTCAAACCTCGTGGCTCTGCCAAAACCGAGACCGACGAACCAGATCGGTTTGAATGGTTCAATGTGGGCCAGGACGGCCTCATGGGAAACACGACTCTGCAGCCGCTCCCGCCGCTCGTACACACCCACCTGGAACTCTTCACCTCGTTTTTGATCCATGGCCGAAGTGTGATCGCCACGATCAGCTCAGCCATCGCGACCCAGCTCGGTCTACCGACGGATACCTTCACATCCTTGCAGGAGCCCACCAAGCCCTCCGGCACTGTCGTCCGCCTAATCAAAGCGTTCGCAAGTCCAGCCACAGAGGACCTCCGCACAAGCATGATCCACCACACCGACTTTGGAACCATCACCCTGCTCGCAAACGTGCTCGGCGGGCTTCAGATCCTGGCCCCCGGTCGGTCCCCTGCAGATGACTCCGCCTGGCTGTGGGTGCGGCCGCGTCCGGGCTGTCTGGTGGTGAATCTCGGCGACGCCATGGTCCAGTGGACGGGTGGCTTGCTACGCAGCAATGTTCATCGTATCAAGTATGCCCCGGGTGCACAGCGCTTTCGCGATCGGCTCAGTCTGGCTCTTCTTGTCAGGCCCGAGCGCAATGCACGCATGAAGAGTTTGGTTGGCGACGGAGACGATGACGAGGACAGTCAGCTGACTGCTTGGGAGTGGGAAGTCAAGAAGGTTATGGCGTTGACGAGGGGAGATACCGTCGCGCAGAGTCAGGGAGGGAAACAACATGCGATGAAAGCTAAGAATTTTAGCATTAGTGTCTAGTGTGGTCGTATTACCGATATGTAGTTCTCTCACTCATGCTGTTCATCAGAAGACCAGACAGGGCGATCTTTCATACAATATTCATGCAACCTAGTGACTCTGCTGCACCCACTCATCTGTTATAAAAGACTTGGCGGCGGACAAAAGCTGGCGGCGGCGGCGGTGGTGGGGAGGGAGACCGGCTACGGTAACCACCCAGCCTCTCCCTCTCCACGACTCTCACCATTTCTGCAGCCCTTACACGGCGGTCATACATAGCGTCTCCATCATAATACTCATCGGGAATCCTCTGGTAGCCACCCCTCACATGCGAGCCAAATGAGGCAGCCCAGCGGAGGATATTACCCAGCTCACCGGTCCAAAGCAGCCCAAAGAAGACGACAGCCGCCGTGACCGGGATGGCTGTGGCCCAATACACCCACTGGCCAAGGTCCATGTCTCGCACGTCCTTTGTGTTTATGCCAAATATGCTCGCAATAGAGCTCAGTGGGAGAAATATGACAGTCACGATGGTGAATGCATAGATGGCGCGCTCCTGGCGGTCTTTGGTAGTCTCGACTTTGTTTTGATTCTGCAAACACTGTCAGCATACATGCTCAGGGAGGCAAAGCTGTAGGTCCACTAGTTGGAGTGGTGTACAAACCTCTTCTTCCAGCAGCGAGGCTTGGTATCGAAACTCGCCAAACTCCCGCTTTCGACGGTCAATGTGTCGGAAACACTCCTCGGTAAACAGCTTGCGATATCCACCCGCATCTGTAGGTGCCAGCTTGAAGTCAGGGTTAGACTGGGTGGTGTCGTAGTACACTTGTGCGTCCTCGTCATAATAAGCGGAGTGTGTACGGTTGTCTCGGTCATATGTTACTGTCCGATTTGAAAAGTCGTTGTCTTGGTATCTAGATCTGGCATATGTGTGGGATCTTGTATTTTCGGCATTGTACATGGGCGATCTCACTGAGACGTCGATAGTCCTTGGGGAGGACCTGCTCCTGGGGGAGTTGCGCCTTGAGCTTGACTCGACCCGGCTTCTGTAGCTCTCATACCCGATGTTGGGGTTGTCCATAGACGTCATGTACTCGTTACTTGCTACTTGTGGCTTGGAGTTCGTTTCTAGGACATCCATGATTCGATGTTGAGCGTCGAGAGTTTTCTGTATGACCGTGATTTCCTGCTTCAGGAGCCCTATTCGGCGTTCATGTAATCGATCCGAAGGCTTGTTTGCAATATCGGCCGCCTGGTCATCATGAATTGTCAACTGTGTGTGCGGAGCAATGCTTCAATCTTTTTGGAGATATTACTAACCACAGACTCAAGATACGCGGAGTATGTCTGACTGATGTCAGGGAGACCTGCCGTCGAATCTTGAAGCATCTTCAGGCTCATCAATGATAAGAGTTCCATTGGTAGAATCACAGCATTCTCCGTAAGAGATTTTGTGAACATTGACTTGACGATCTCCTCGATGCCTCCCTCAATGAGCAGCTGAGCAATAAGAAGGAGAGTTTCGCTCATAACTTCATCGTATGGAACAAAAATGAGACTCATCGTAAGATGCAGCCAGGCATTTTTGAAGTCGTCGGGAATGGTCATGTTCATCTGGCTAGAACTATCCGAGTATCCAAAGGTTTCGTTGAATGAAGCGATGGTGACGGTTAGACTTCTCATAACCCTGATGACAAAGGAACGATGCCTGCGAATCCTTTTGGCTAGCGGAGAGCCCTCTCTAGGATGCTGCTCGAGAAATCAGTCAATTTTTAAACGTCATTTGAAACAACAAAGACATTTCAAAGCCCTTGGTTCTCACCTCCACAAGAAATTTCAAGGCACCCCAGAACTTGCCCACAGTTGCCACCTCTACATGCGCCGGGAAGAAGAACCGAAAAATAGTGTCGGCAGCATTGAATATGTCCACGTCTTCCTCATAGTCTTGTTGGTCTTTGCTTGAGGAATCCAAGGATTGGCTCAGATGAGAGCCCCGCTTTTCCAATATTCCGTAAACATCGTTGCGGGAAGAAGGATTACAACCTCGGTAGGCTTTACGATCAGTAAAGTTTGTCTGGTTCAGAAGGAAGTCTTCGACCTCGAGGAGGTGTTCGTTCAAGACTGATTCGTCAACACCCGAGGGCTGCGAGACCCCTTCAAGGAATGCAAAGATCGAAATGGACTCAGGACTGGGGATTGAGTTGGTCCTGCTTGCATGATCTGGCTTCCAGTCCGGGGAAAGCTTTTCAGCCTGCTCGACGCTAGACTTAACTTGAGGCCCACTGGCCTGTTTGTTCTTCGTAGAATCTTGAGTGCTTGAAATTTGGGTACCACCTGGCAATTGTTGAAGACGTCGTGGAGGTGGTTTGGGATCGGGTCTGGTTTGCATTTAGTCTCGTAGAGAAGAGAGAAGATGAAGAATCATCTCGGCTTACCCGATATCAACGTCCATGACCAAATTCTTGTTGACGCGTTGGGCGCCGTGCCAGATTCTGGGCCAGTCTTCTGCACTGATTTGGCGTTTGTTTATGAAAAACACTACTCGCCTAGGCCAAAACTCTCGGAAGTGAGACAAGAAGTCCTTTATCATGTTAGCGATCGTCACTCGTTTGAATAAGATCTGGAGGTAGTGGAGCTTACTGTCCAGGTTTGGCATTCTTCCAAGAGGAATGCCCAAGTAACAGATCCGCGATAGGATACCATCAGCCGTGACTTGGCTGGGGATATGACATTCTCTATTGCAATTTTAGTCATGCTCCCTCTGGACTCAGCACAAAGTGTATCTTCGGTCATCCGTCCATAGGTCAGGAGCAGAGCTGCAAATGATACGAATTAGTGCCATGTTCCAATGCGTGCGCAAGAAAGGCGAAGGGAAATTGGAGAAGGTAGGTTACATTTGTCGATTATTAGGCACCACAGCTGCGCGATGTGGAAGCAACGTCCGTTGGCTGCCCGGCCGTTCTGACACACTGCCTGTTGCATGTCGCGCTCACGGGCACTCTTTGAGAACTGCGCCTGAAGAAGCGTCTGGACGGGGAATTCAGATGACTTCTCAGCAGAGAGTAGACCAGAGTAGTTCTCAAGACTGAAGTACGGAAGGCAGACCCATATCGCGGTCCGAGTGACGACACTGCGATCCTTGCCGCCATCGGGTATTTTGTACGGAACAACTGATGGCTCCATGTACTGTACATCTTTACCGTTTGACGTCTGTATAGTTTTGACGAACTTGCGTTTGACGCGAGGGAGAAGTTGGGCAATTGCTTTCCTCTCTGAAACGTTCAGGGTAGGGACCTGGGATGCGATAGTCTACATTTCTTATTAGCAGACGCCGCCATAGAAACAACACTGCTCTATAATTACCGCAAAATCATCAAAGTCCATGGAAGATCGTGTGGTGTGTCTGCCAGACCTATTAGATATGATTGGTGGCTCCAGAAAAGGAGCATTAGACCTACATCCATCTGAAGAGATGCTTCTGCTTGACAGCGGTAGTCCTTTGCACAGACAATTTCACAGTATGCGGGTCTCCCAAACGGCTCTCACCAGTATACCGAGACTCGAAAACATAAGTAGCCCGAACACGTGGTGTTCCATTCTCCTGCGGTACTGAGCCATTTTCGGATTTTTCTACATCCTCTTCACGAGAAGAAGATGGCGCCCGTGATGCGCGAGAAGGAGAGAAAGAGTAGACTGTGGAGCTATCATTTTCAGTATATCCAGATTCGCGGCGGGAGGTATGGTATGATCGAATGACGACCCTTTCCACAGATTCAGACGAGTCGCTGCTGGAATTGTATTCGTCATCGTCTTCGAATCTAGTTCGTTTAGATCGAGATCTTGCGTCGCTTCTCCGCTCAACCACTATCGGCGATGGCGACCTGTGACGAGGGGTTTCGCTTGTTCGCCGACGATTGAGTTCCTCATCAATCAAGGAGCTTGACTGAGGTGCTGGTGAGAAATGATCATTTTCTACCCTTGTGGCCACCGCTTGAACGTAGTGGACCGGTGGCTGGGGATAAAATGCTTGCTGGGGATAATATGTTTCTGGTCTTGGGCCTGACGAGGGACCAGTCGGAAAGACCGGTGCATAGTAGACAGGCTGGAGGAAAGAATCAGTCGCATATTTCGCATTATATGCCGAACATTCGGATAGCCTCACCTGCGCATGATGACTATAGCCTGGCCCCGGCGGAGGGGCATACGTCGTACCTGGAACAGCGGTAGGTTGCGTATGCTGCTGTTGAGCACCTCCTAGACGGGCCGGCAATGTTTCACGACGGCGGGGCGGAGGAAAGTCCATGCTTGAGTGGCATCTGGTGACTGAATGTCGAAGTTTCGCCTTCAATGAATCTTACTGGTATGTCCTATTAAACCACTGTGTGAAGGATTTGCGGCTGAACGAGCGGGGATAAGACCGGCTTCTGCATGCACGTCGCCGGGGCGGATGGGTTGCATTCGCGACCCACCAGCATCGTCCTATTGACAAAATCGGCTTGGCGCCAGTACAAGCCGAATTCTAGACACATAGGGCTGGTCTTTCTGGCAATACCACATGGCCAACCCTAAATGTTTGCTACATGCGAGGCTGTAAATATGTGGATTGAATCGGCTGGCACACTGGGTTTGAGCGCAAGTCATTTGTCCCTGGGAGATGACTTCACGGCTTTGCTTCTTCACATATGAATATCCTGTATCTGGAACTTACATGATCGAACGAGAACGTACTGGACGGTCCTTTGCGTTTCACTGCTTCCAGACGCAGACTAGGTATTCGTGTCGAGAACACTGATCGGACCGTATATCTTGTGCCTAGGTAAGACGGGCTAACCACGTGTAAGCTTGATCTTACAGAGGGTTTCCTCGAGTCGCACACCTATTCTTCTGGTCCCTGTCCATAGTGTGGAGTGCATGCACTGATCGTTCGGATTTTCCTCACAACAATAGACCCATTTAACTCATATGCGCTGATGTCGCGGCACTTGAATGCGGCCATAGGATAATTCCAGCTGAGGCATAGCACTGGGAGACTAAAGAGCGCTAGATGTTTATGGGAACGGTGCAGAGCACACACCATGGCTCGAAAGCAGGGTGCTATGATAGGGCAGTTTGGTGAGAAATTCTCTTGGCAGCTGTCATCGCCGGCCGGAGTGAAAAACTTGGATGATACCAGCTTATTAGGTGGACATTGATGCGAGCGAATCAATGTTCATGAGTGCCTCGAATTGATCATTATTATGTGTATCAGAAATACATTCAGACAGTCGACCGTCGTTGAAAGCCCGGTGGTTGTTCCTTTGACACGGAGCCGAGGCAAACCTGCAAACACCCAGCGACGCGTCGCGATCGGACCGCGCCGTGACGGGGGAGCTGGTTCACGAGAGATGGATATGGTACCGAGTACCCCAAAAGACATTAAATTCCTGGGTATGACGATGCAGGCCTGAGCACAGGTCATTTATATCCAGGCCAACAATATCAAACCAAAAGATCTGGCCCAGCTTTGGGGAGAAGATGACCCAAATGTTCAGGCGGTCAGCAAGGTTGAGAAATTGTGACTTGAGATCAACATGACGTCTGATGGAACCCCGATCCGTCCGTTGTTATTACCGGCAGATCATCAGCCCAAGCGTGCTTTCGGATGATTTCTCCCAGGGGGCTGGGCTGGCTGGGCGAAGCTTAACTGGACCTTGCCGTTAGCTGGCCGAGTGGGGCTCAGCCTGCCAGCACCACTTACAGGCCCCAGTCGTTTGCTCCCACTGGGCGCTGTGCCTGAGAATGCTACGCCCCATGTCGTCATCCCAATCTTGCGGGCACAGATGTGATAATGTAATGTAAACAGTTGGTTCCAGGGGATCTTCCGGCCTGCCCTTTGACATCACACTGGCCCGGTACCACAGGCCTCTCTGCCTTGCCTCTCTGGGCCTTGGCCCATCAATGGCCTGTGCCTTGATCATTAACGGCGCTGGGATCACCTTGGCGGAGAACAAAGCTTGACCAGCGAGCTACAAAATGCTTGTTCTCCTCCCGGCTGCCTCCATGAAAACCAGATCTTGGCCAGCTCAACTCAGTTCAGCTCAGTTCAGCTCAGTTCAGCTCAGCTTAGGTCTCCAGCCCTCACACCATCCCACCTCCTGAGAGCCAGCTCCCACGATGCATGTGGCCTCCAACCTGCTGGGAGGAGCTCTCCTGCTCCCTCTCACCCAAGCCGCCGTGCCTTTGTTCAGCAACTATGCCTTCAACCCCCTCGAACACCTTGGCGGCGTGGCACCCTACTTCGAGCCCCTCGACCCGGAGATAGACCCTGCGGCGCCTCAAGGATGCACGCCCGTTCGCGCAGCCTACCTGGTGCGGCATGCTGCTATCTACGCCAACGACTTCGACTACGAGGAGTACATGGAGCCCTTCATCTCCAAGTTCCAGAACAAGACCTCGATAGACTGGTCCAAGATCCCGGACCTCAGCTTCCTGAGCAAGTGGTCCCCGCCCATCAGCGAGGCCGAGAGCGAGCTGCTCACACGCGTCGGCAAGCTCGAGGCCACCCAACTGGGGGCCAGCATGTCCTTCCGGTACCCCAACCTGAAGCTGCCCAAGAAGATATGGGCCAGCTCGGCCGAGCGGACGTACGAGTCGGCCAAGGCCCTGATCCGGGGCTTCGAGCCCGCCGGCGAGGACAACACCATCAGCCTGGTGTCTGTCTACGAGAGCGACGAGGGCGGCGCCGACAACCTGACCCCCTACAAGGCCTGCCCCAAGTACAGCTCCAGCGCGGGTAGCGACCAGAGCAGCGTGTACTTGAAGAAGTTCACCAAGCCCATCGTGGCGCGGCTCAACGCCGCGGCGCCCGCCTTCAACTTCACGTCCGACGACGTCTACGGCATGATGCAGCTATGCGGGTACGAGTCCGTGATCCGAGGCAGCTCGCCGTTCTGCGACCTCGACCTGTTCAGCCCGGATGACTGGCTGGCGTGGGAATACACCGCGGACGTGCAATATCACTACAACGTCGGTTACGGCAGCGAGGTAACCGGGGCCATCGGCCTGCCATGGGTCAACGCGACCGCTGGGCTGCTGATGGCCGAGCCGGACAGCTCGGACGTGCAGGACCTGTATGTCAGCTTCACGCATCGCGAGTTGCCGCCGACGGTGCTGGTGGCCATGGGCCTGTTTAACAACTCGGCGTTTGGCGGTTCCGAGGCGACCATCAATGATACTATGCCCCTGGACAGGATCAACTACCGCCGTGCCTGGAAGAGCAGCCATGTCTTGCCTTTCATGACTAACATTGCCTTTGAGAGACTTAACTGCACTGGCAGCTATGGGTACGAGGATGGGGACTACTACCGTGTGCTGGTCAACAATGCGCCGCAGCCACTGCCGGATTGCGGCGATGGGCCCGGAACCACCTGCTCCAGGTCGACATTTGAGACATGGGTGCAGGACAGGGCGGATCTGTTTAGCGGATTCTCGGAGAAGTGTGGTACCGCGTCCGAGTATGACAACTCGACGGATTCCGTGACGTTTTACTCGGACAAGGCTGAGAACGGGACGTTCGTTGGCAAGAGGAATCTGTTTGACGAGGAGTAGAGATACCCAGGAAGCGTCGACGTAATTACCATAATCACAAATAATGAAAAACTTAATGAGAGCAAGGGAAGCAACGCGAGTCGCTCCGCAGTCAAGTGATCAAATGGGTGCCTCCGGAAGAAGCCAACCCCTTTTCTTGTCACCCTTCATGTGAGACTTGCACGCGCTGACTGAGATTACTGCCGAGCGCAAGCAGATCACGGGCTCGCCGACACTGTCTGCGTGACTGGAACCTGTCGACAAGTCCGGATATTATTAAGCCACTCGGCCAGGCAGACAACGACCGCCCCCAAGTGCCGTAGCCAGGTTAGGCCAGCGTCGATGGTTATCTTCGCTCCCATTTGCTTCTTGCTTGGCGGATTCGAGGGTGAGGCTTGGATGACTGGCGATATGATCAGCCATGAAGCGACTGTGTTCTGCTCTCAATCTTGCCGGCCAGTTCCGCTGGGTCGGAGTGAAATGTAGAGGGTAACGGGCAAACCTGGATCGTAGGATGTGTGCTGGTCGAGGAACGTCCAGGCCGCTTGGTTTATAACGCGTCAACAACGCACGTTGACAGGAACGTGAAAGACCTCGGGGTTGACAGTTCACCATATCCTTCGACATCATTGGCGCAACGCGACGAAACGACAACATCCCGAGTCTTGCTCTTGAGGTTTGTCGACGCATGATCAAAGAGTGGAAGGTTGCCCCGTGACTCCAGTCGAGCACAAGCGACGTCTGAGATGACGAGAGAGGACCCTCAAATGAAGGGACTCGTTCATCGCACATCAGAGCATCTCGGCGTGTTTTCTAGATCGCGCATATCGGCGGGTTTCATGGAAAATGTGGATAAGGGCCGTCGATCGCAGGGATCTCGCCGCGTGGGAGGATGCAGCCCCGGGACCCGCCGCCGTGATACGCCGCCGCGAAAAGGCCGAGAATGACGACGTCAGCGGGCCGGTGAGTTGATATGAGGCCGGCGAAGGCTGGCTGGCGAGCGAGACGTTTAGTCTTTACCGCGGTTGCCCATCGCGAAGAGCGATCGTTCAGCACGGTGGAGACAGCGTGAATCCTACAGCCACTGATGTGTATCTGGGATCGTGCAGTCAAACTTTTACGCTGCGCTCCGAAGGAGGCTGTCGTGGTTGCCCTGGTCATTCAAGGCTCCGACAGCAGGTTTTTGATGAAAGACGTGAGCTTCGCTTGGTCTGGTAAGATTGAAGGATTGGGGCATCTCCAAATACAGCAAGATGAACCTTGCCTAGGTAAAGTTTTCTTTGCTAGTTAACAGCCTCGTCAAGTGATATCTGCTGCTAAGAGAAGATGGCAGCCCACCTCGGCCGCCACTACAGAGGTGTTTGTCTGGTGCAGTTTTGTTTCATCTCGTACCTCTTCTTCAAGGTCCAGGGTTCGGGGAGTCAAGTACAGGTGGGGAGTCAGGCACTTCAGTTCAGTACAGTTCAGTCCATCCGTCGGGCAAAATCCGGGTGCTGAGCATGGGGAAAGAGCGGATCTGCAGCAGACTGGGATGCCCCATGACGTCAACTCTATTGGTCGGGATGCCGAGGGCAGTTGCACACTGCATTCAGCGCTTGCGCCTGCGGTTTTGGTCAGTATGGAGAGGCAGGAATGTGAGGTTACTGTATGAGTGGGAAGGGACAGAGTGCATCGTATATCGTGTGGCAGTGTCAACAAGGGAACGATCAACACTGTCACCAACTATCATGCTGTCTTTTCCCCTGAGCTGAGGTCGGATAGATCTGTGAGACAACCTTGAGCACATTCAGCCTCCAATCGATCTTCAGTGGCCCAGAACATTGGAACGTGCATGCGCAGCAGCATCTGTCACTCGGATCGTCAGTGCTGAATTGACTTTCTCCCTTGCCTTCACGTGGTGGATGAACAGACGACATGCAGTTACAATCAACCTGCAGTCGTTCATCGATTGTCGATCAATCAACACGTTGCTGGCCACCGCCCCTTCATCTACAATTATTTCCCCTGTCTGCTTGTCCTTGCAATCGGCCCATCTCAGCCCAAGACCCATTTCGACCCGTTCGCCAGCTCAGGCGTATTCAGACGTCGAGAAGGTTTTGTTGGCTGCACTGGCTTGTTTCCAGGGGACACCACAGCTCATGGTCCCACAATGCACGGCACACAGGAGCTGCAAACTGCCTGACATGACGTCGCCCGTCCCCATCTCACTCCCCCAGCTTTTTCGACCCCGGACCCATCCATACACACACAGATGGGGATCTCCACAAACTGGGGGCATCATTAACTCTAGCCTATTACCTACCAAACCGCTTGCACCACTAACCCCAGCCTGCAACAGCAGCGGGATGAGAGCCTAAATCCCCCAATTCCCCAGACACCCGCCAAGCTAGGCCCCCTCCCTTACCCAAGCCTGTCGTCTCACGGATTTCCTTTTCTGGTAACCCGCCTGTCGAACTCGGCCTTCTCCGTCCACTCACGTCCCCTCCTTCGGCTGGTACGTTGCCATCGTACCTCACCCGACAATTTGGATTTTTTTTGGTCTGTGCAGCGGCTCCTGGTGGTACCTCGATGCCGTCCAAGCGGCGACGTGCCTGGTTCGCCTGACACGCTTCTTATAAATCTACACTTCGCCCTCATGCCGCTGCTCCAAGACACCCAGGATCTCGGCTCGGCTGCAGTAGTTACAGGCATTGCCTCTTTTTTATGACTTCTCTTCCCTCTTGGGGCAACCCGAACTTGGCATCATACCTCGACGACAGTTTTAGTCTGATTCATGGTGCTTACACCACCAACCTCGCCTTCGCCGGTCCATCTCTCATCCCAGCTACACCGTACCGGGAGAGTATAGTAGACATGTTCAACGTGGCCATCATATAATAACTTCGAACCTTGTCACACTCCACCTGTCCCGACCGGTTCTCATCCGCTTCTGATAGTACAAATCCAAGCATTGGAAGAGTTTCCAGCAGCCCACATCCGAGCTCTGTCTCTCACAGCATATCAAAAGCCTTCACCATGAAGAAATTCTACGGCCTCAGGGGCCATTCCCTGAACTGGGCTGTCGGCGTTATTGCAGGCTGTGATTTCCTGCTGTTTGGATATGGTACGGCTCACATCGTCCTCGTTGACATCGCTCAGAATCACCGCTGACCTTCAATCTAGACCAAGGTGTCATGGGTGGCATCTTGACCCTGCCCATCTTCCTTGCTCAGTTCCCAGATATCGACCCGTCCGCTGGCCCAGACTCAGCTACCCGCTCCACGTACCAAGGCATTGCCGTCGCGTCCTACAACTTGGGGTGCTTCCTCGGCGCTGTCATCACCATCTTTATCGGCAATCCCCTTGGCCGCAAGAAAATGATCATGCTTGGAACCTCAATCATGCTCGTTGGCGCCGCACTCCAGGCTTCGGCATACACTCTCCCTCACTTCATTGTTGGCAGGATCATCACCGGCCTAGGAAACGGAGGCAATACGTCCACCGTCCCAACCTGGCAGTCCGAGACTTCTCACGCTCACAAGCGTGGCAAGCTCGTCATGATCGAGGGCGCCCTGATCACCGGCGGTATCATGATATCCTATTGGGTTGATCTTGGCCTCTCCTTCGCTCCTGGTTCCGTGGCTTGGCGATTCCCTTTGGCATTCCAGATTGTCTTCTGTCTTTTCATCCTGGCCTTCATCCCGGGTCTTCCTGAGTCTCCTCGGTGGCTCATCCTTAAAGGACGCGAGGATGAGGCGCGTGAGGTCCTCGCCGCCTTGAGCGACGTGGATGTCAGCGACAAGGTCATCAACAGCGAGTTCAACGAAATCAAGGACACCGTTCTCGAGATGTCCAAGGGGACATTCGCCGACCTGTTCACCATGGGGAAGGACCGCAATCTGCATCGCACACTCCTCGCCTATATCAACCAAATGTTCCAACAAATTTCTGGAATCAACCTCATCACATACTACGCCGCCGTCATCTACAGCAACCTGGGCATGTCCGACTTCATGTCCCGTCTCCTCGCGGCCCTCAACGGCACAGAGTACTTCATCGCCTCCTGGCCTGCAGTCTTCCTCGTGGAGCGCGTCGGCCGCAGGAAGCTCATGCTCTTCGGCGCTGTGGGCCAGGCGGCCACCATGGCAATCCTGGCGGGCGTCAACTCGGACCCGAACAACAAAGGTGCCAACATAGCGGGCATCGTCTTCTTGTTCGTCTTCAACACGTTTTTCGCTGTCGGGTGGCTTGGTATGACTTGGCTCTACCCTGCTGAGATTGTGCCGCTCCGCATCCGTGCACCTGCGAACGCGCTGTCCACATCTGGAAACTGGATCTTCAACTTCATGGTTGTCATGATCACCCCGGTCGCCTTCGACACCATCGGCTACCAGACCTACATCATCTTCGCCGTCATCAACGCCTTCATGGTGCCCTCCGTCTACTTCTTCTACCCCGAGACCGCGTACCGGAGTCTCGAGGAGATGGACAGCATCTTCCACAACGTCTCGCCTGGCTTCAAGGGCGTGTTCGAGGTCGTGCACCAGGCCAAGGTCGAGCCGAGGCGGTACGGCAAGAACGGCGAGCTGCTGGTCGACTATTCCGATACCGAGGAGGGCCGTGCCCATGGACACGGTCTGGGGCGGCACGGCGATGAGGAGAAGGCTACCACTAGCCACGGGGACAATGGTTCGTCCTCCCAAGGTGGTAATGGTGTGTTAGTGCAGCACGATGAGGAGAAGGCCTAGGTGTTTAGCAACTAGGTCTATTTGGAATAGTTTTGGACTTCATTTTTATGGTCAACAATAGATACCCTGATCTTGTTGGGAGAAGTAGGAGGAGATTGAGGAGGTAGTGATACGGCTATTACGGCTAGAAGAAGAGAACAATTTTATAATCACGCCGCCGAGTTTACTATTCTGTGGACACCGCACCCGAATGATCAAGGAGACCAGACTAGACCTTGGTCCCAAAACTGCTTGACGAAATGTCTCATGCGTGTTGTTCTGCCAATTAGTCTAGTGGTGAGCGCACAAGTCCAGCGTATCTACTCGAAAAAGTTGCACGCACTTTGCAAACACCGAGATGAGCGGATTTGTTGAGGCTGTTCGCGAAAACATCGGATTTTACACATTCTAGCCTTCCCAGTCAAAATCGTCTCGGGAATTTCTCTCACTGACAAACTGACAAAGTTTTCACGTCCCAGTTCCGCTGGCAGTATACTCGGCCTTAATTATCCAATGTTTCCCCTTTTCATCCTCTGCTTTATTTTGTTGTTGCATGTGTTCCGTGCCTTGGATCAAGTAGATTTAGATATACTCTTCAATATTTATAGCTTTGTCGGGACATACTAGCATCTACCATGATGGGAATTCACGTAGGGTTGTCGGCTTAGACCACACTGCCGTCTCGTCTAAGTTGCGTGCGCGGCTGACAGCCTGTTGGCGATGGAAAGTATCACGCACCCAGGCTACAAAACGGAAATAGAGCGGAGAAGAACTGGTGATCACCGGTATGTGCCCGACTTTGCCAAATATCTGAGTAACTTCTTAGTGCACATGGCTTCAAGCATAGTGTAGTGTTACATCATAGTGTACGTGAGTGGTTTCAAACATCATTTTCGCCACGGGAACACCTCTCCTCGGACTGGTTCGCGAGGCCTCTTTTAAGATTTACTCCAAACCACTAGGGGCCTTGCGACCTGTCGTCCTCCTGGCTTATATGTGCATTTATTTGGATACTACCCATTCCTCATCAATCACCGTCAGACCCTCGTAGCCCTTGCGCACAACCTCAGTATCCACAACAAAGATCGCAACAAGCTTCGCAGGGATTTCAATGCTGTTGTTCTCCCCAACCGTGTGGTGGCAGCTGGGAGTCTCCATGAAGCTCTCTCCCGCCTCGTACACCCTGGGCGGATTCCCGTTCATGCCGCTCAGTATGCTCCCCTCGGTCACATGCGCCACGACTGTGGCTCCTGCGTGTGTGTGGGGTGGGGTAAAGCCGCCTGGCGGGTATGTGACTTCGAGGCCGACGATGGACTTCCCAGGTGCGTTCTTGAGCTCGTAATCGTATAGGATGGTGATGGTCTCGCAGGGCCGAGATCTGTGAGGTGGCTATATTCAGTACTTTATCTCGCTTACTAGCAAAGAAGTCCCAACACACTACTCACTGTGCGTCTGTTTCTTTGGACTCCATAGTGAACGTAAGTGATGCGCTCTGTGAAGACTCGTTCACTAGTTGAACACTCGTTGTCGTCTTAATACAGGGCTTGATAGGACGATGCAGCCGGCTTCTGTACACGGGTACCAAGGGGCTAATTTATTTCAACGAGGATCATAGAAGACATGTCAAGGTACGAGCTGGTGGATGAAAGGAAATGTATCACATGTCGACCGGTCAAATGTGATGCGAGTCGGCGAGGCCGGCGTGGTCGGGCGGTACCCGTCCCGGGCGGGTATCCGGGTATTCGACCACAGGTCCGAATCCGACCCCTAGCTCATTCGGTTATCACCTTTTCTGACATGTTCCTTTTTTCGAGAGCTATTCACCATAGCACGACCCATTCATATCATTATTTTTAGCTGTAGCATGATCCCCAAATTCAGACGGATATTCTCCTCGGGACGCCACTTCAAGGGTTCCCGACACGCGCAGACGGCTACTTAGTAGGACAGCCAAAAGAATTTAAAAACGCCTCCCTCGCGAATGATCTTCTACCAGCCCTAGTGAATATGTCGTTGTCTCCTCCATAGCGTTGTCTTAGCACCTTCGATATTCAAACAATTCTTATTAAGCCCAATGAAGGCCATCCAAGTCCTTGGGGACGTATCATCCCCGCGAGTTACTACTAGTGACTCCATGGTAAAGCCCGCCCCTCGTCGCAACGAGTTCCTCGTCAAAGTGTACGCTGCAGGAATCACTGGAGACGAGGTGCTCTGGCCCGAGCTCTATAACACCGCGACTCGGATCCCAGGACATGAAATATCGGGGGTCATCTCCGCCACAGGTCCCGACTATCATGGGCCATTGGAAGTCGGCCAGGAAGTCTTTGCACTCATCTCAGCCAACCGCGGCGAGGGCCAGGCTGAATACGCCATCTGTCTTGTTGATGAGGTCGCCCTGAAGCCGGCATCATTGTCTCATGAGGAAGCTGCAGCACTGCCGATCCCGTTTCTAACCGCTTGGGAGGCGATCGTGGACCACGGGAAGGCGGAACCCGACAAGAGAGTCCTAATCACGGGAGCCTCTGGAGCAGTTGGGTCCTTGGCTGTACAGCTCGCCACCAAAATGACCGGTTGCCATGTCATTGCTCTGGCCTCGCCACGCAATCACGAGTATTTGCGGAAGCTGGGGGCTCGTGAAGTTCTTGATTACAACAGTTCGAGCTGGGAGCACCAGGTCAAGGATGTAGACCTGGTGTTTGATACGGTGGGTGGAGATGTTCTGACCAGGTCTTGGGAAGCTATCAAGGAAGACGGGGCTATCATCACGGTCGGGGATCCGCCACCACCCTGGGCATTCGGGGGAAGTGAACCTGCTGAGTCTGCCAGCCTCCCTGGCGTGCGGTACAAGCACTTCATCGTGTCGCCAAATTCTGAGAGATTGGGCAGCCTGGCTGGAATGCTTGATGATGGTTTGATCGAGGCTCTGGCAGTAAAGACATTCCCAGTCGATGAGGCGGAACAGGCATGGGCACATGCGCGGCTGAGAAATCGGGGACCGAAGGTGGTAGTCAATTTTGTGGAAGCCATCCAGGAAGACTAAATTGACCTTAACAGTAACCATTCTACGTGATAGTTAGAACTGGATATACGGACGGACAGTTACTATTAATTGAATTACTTTGTCGAATAGCGTCGAGTATGGTCTCCAACTGGCCTTGGTTGGAATTCAGCAGCTGATTGAATTCGACAAATTCTCATTCGTTTTAGCTATTTTCAGCGACTTTTTTCCTTTCTTTTTTTCTCTCTTTTTTTTCCTTCGCAAGCGTGTGAATTTCTTGATACGACCAATATAGGGAGTTTTCTTCTCTCTGAAGTAAACTCCATTCTACTGCATACAACCTTCTCTAGCAGTAAAATATTACGAGCCCAGTTTCTTAGGTAGTAGATGTGCGTACTTTGAACCACTACATAGGCTTCCTCTACACTCTGTAATTGCTTCAAATAGATAATTTTTCATATCATAGCTCATTGCCCATCCACTGCTCTAGTTCAGGGCCTAGATCGCTCAGATTGTACCACCCACAGACATCTTCCATCGACCCCAAAGATCCCAGGAGACTGTCAGAACTACTAGAAGCTTCAGCTGCAGATTCGAGACTTTCAAGACTTTCAGCACCTGAGAGGCTCGGTACATCGCTCGACTTGCGCGTATTGCTACTGGTGGGGGGTTTGGAGCCACCGAGCCTCAGCACATGACGAGCAATAGTCTGTATTTCATTTACATTGCTTGCAGTCCTCGGCCAGAACTCGCCTAAGTCTTTGAGGCAACCGATAGTCATTCGGATCTGATCTCTGGCAATCGCCAACTCTTTCCCGCTTAGCTGGAAGGCGCAGGCTGAGAGCAGGGCCAGTGTCCCTTCGCTGACCATGCAGGTAACAAAGGGAGTGTGATGGAACGGTCGAGCTGGTAATGCCAGGAGACGTATTTGTGCTTCCACTGACTTTAGTACACGGACTGTGTGTACGTTGATGAGATCCGGTGTGGGATTATCCGGAGGCGGCTCTCTTGCGCAGCTTGAGACATCCTCAACGGGGTTAAATTTGAGATCAGACAGCGGCCTATGCAGACCGATCGTGGCTCTAATGGTATTGTCAGCAGGAAAAGTCATATAACAATTGGACACAATGATTATGTGGAATTCTTACACATGAATGAGCAGGTGTGCTTGAAACATGAGCTCGTCGATGTCTCCGGTCTTCGTCATAACCAGTTTGCGGTCTTTCGGAAGCAAGAGTGACCATGCGTCAATGATGGAGTCAGCGGACTGAATCATACCCACTGAGTCCTCTTTGGCTGCAATCTTGGGCGAGGTTGATATCGCCAATGCTGCACACCTGACTGCACCGATCAGGTATGCGAACGAGGAAAACGAGGAGCCCTCAGGGGCGAACTCCCGGCAGTCAAAGTCTGCTAGGGACTTCGAGACTGGAATTCGCTGGAGTAAGTCAGCTTTCTGGCCAGAAGTAACACAGTCAAGAGGATCGCAGAACTGACTCCTGACTCATACTCGAGCTCCTCGCACGGGAGATCAACGGTCGCGTCGATATCCACAACGGCAAAGTTCATTGTTCCCAACGTCCCTGCGTAGTAGGCGTCCACAATATATAACATCCACCATGTCCGCCTCCAACACTCTGCCAACACGGGATTTCCAGCACCGTGATCGTTGGCAAATTCTTGCCGGTACATTTCCAGGTCAAGGGCGAGCTTCACTGCAGATTTCATCTGGCAATTGGCTTCTGTCTTGTAGCTATGCCAGAACAACACAACAGAGTACAACAGACGGCACTGAACAAGTACAGGGTCTGTTGGTTGCGTCTGCGAAATGCAGGCCTCAGCGTGGTCCTTTAGCTGGACAGACCATTCTTGAGCGGCGTATATGTGTCCAACCAGGCGCATAACAGCGATAAGTGGTGTAAGATCAAACAGTTTGGCCGGATCATTGTAAACATGTGTAAAGGTCTTCCGAGGCGGAAGAAATGGGTGAAACTTGTGAAAGTTTCTATAGTACGAGGTAACCAGAGGATCTGTCTCAACGTCTTCAATCTGGGTCCGAGGTGTTCGTGGTGACATCGGAGTAGAAGTTTCATTATTCAATCCAGTGCCATCCGGTATAATCAAGTCATTGGAAGTATTTTGCATTTCCACAAGTCGAGACGTTGATTCCCGATGCGGTCGAACCACGGGCGTTATTTGCGGAGGGCCGTCGTGCGTGGAGTCGGGGGTGATGGTTTCCGCCGCTGCGAGCCGTTTGCGCCTCTCTGCTAGCGCGGCACGATCCAGTCCACCTCGACGTGACGGGGCATAGTGGCAGTCTCTTGCGACCTCGAGACAACGGTTGCAATGTGGTCGTGTGGCATCGCATTTCAGATGGCGTGAGCGGCATGGCAGACAAGCCAAAGAGGAGCGCGTTGCTCCGCGGGCCTGTGACGTCGCTGTACTGGTAGCATTCACGGGCATTGAGTTGGAAGTGAGCTGGCTAAGGAACAAGGCTTAAATGGGGACTCATCTTGGGTTTGCGTGTGAAGTAGAAAGAGAGAGGCGGAACCTGCCGGGTAGGCTATTCGGGTATCCGTTGCGGCAATGCGGGTATCCGGTGTGCTACCGTCAGCGGGCGCCCGCACCACAAGCTGGTAACGCTTGCACATACTTCGCGCCTCTCTTATAACACGTGCCACCATGCTGTATTTGCGTACTAAGTGACCGTTGGAAACCCGGAACGCCAAAGCGCGGACATGAAAGACTACCTTTGATGTTGCCAACCTATGTCTCACCTGATGACGACACCGAGCACACGGTGTGTGGTCTCAGCGGAAGTAATAAATAGCTGGTCGCATTCAATATGCCATGTCCACATCTTAATCTGACCAAATCACATTCCACGGTAAAAAGGTTTATTCTCGTCTTATTCACACCCCTCAGATTCTCACAACAATGCCGAAGAAAATTATCATTATAGGCGCTGGGTTTGCCGGTCTATGGAGTGCCCTTTCAGCTAAGCGTCTCATCAACCTCAGGAATCAAGAGGAAGAAATCAAGATATTGGTCATCGCTCCCGAGCCAAGCTTGGTTCTTCGTCCAAGACTGTACGAAGCCAACGCTGCCAGCATGACTCACCCTCTTGGTGCTCTGTTACGCTCTGGAGACATTGAATTCTTCCAAGGCAAGGTCGAAACCATTGACACCAAAGCGCACTATATTCACGCCCGGTCTACATCAAATGTGAAATTGACAACTCCTTTCAGCTACGATCGCCTCATTCTCGCAGCTGGTAGTTCGGTCAAAAAGCCTCAGAGTATTCCAGGACTCCAGGAGTTTGCATTCGATATCGATGCTCTTGAATCTGCCACTAGACTCGAGGAGCATCTCAATGGCCTCGCAGCCGCCCCCAAAAGTCCTGCTCGCGATACCATTGTTGTGTGCGGAGCCGGCTTCACCGGCATCGAGCTTGCAACCGAACTACCCAGGCGTCTCCTTGGACACATTGCCAACCCTCGCGTCATCATCGTTGAGAGCGCAGATCAGCTCGGGCCTGGCCTTGGACCCGGGCCCCGGCCCGTCATCACCCAAGCCCTAGAAGAGCTGAAGATAGAAGTCAGAACTGGAGCAGCGGTCTCATCTGTGGATGCCGAGGGTTTAACTCTCACATCCGGTGAGCGTATCGAGACCAAGACCACTATCTGGACTGCAGGAGTGGTGGCAACACCCCTGACGCAGCAGATTGATGGGCCCAAGGACAACCTCTCTCGCCTCCACGTTGATAGTTATCTTCAAACCTTGTCAACCGAACACGTCTTTGCTACTGGTGATGCCGCTTGTGCTCTGGCAGACAAAAAAGACCACCATGCTCTGATGTCGTGCCAGCATGCGCTCCAGCTCGGCCGCGTTTCTGGTCACAATGCCGCGGCAGGTCTGTTGGGCGAACCGATGGTGGAGTACTCGCAGGCTGCATACATCTGCTGTCTCGACCTTGGCCCTTGGGGTGCTGTAATTGGTCGGGGATGGGAGAGGAAGGTGGATTTGAAGGGCTACCAGGCGAAGAAGGTCAAGGAGTTCATCAATCAGAAGTTGATATACCCCCCGGATGATGCCATGGAGGCTGTGGACTTGGCCAATCCTGTTGGGCCTAACTCAGATGAACTACTTGAGCACATACTTGGGATTTTGGGACAAGATCGAGAGACCTAAGGCTCACGGTAGATTCCGACGGTGAGATCAACTTTCGAGATCACTGAGGTTAGATCACCATTTTTAAGCCACGCCCATAGACCTCAATATTCGCTGTACTAAGAGACATTGGACACATAAGCTCTTCACTCAGTCTCTGGATACTCTAAAACAAGATTGTGTTCATGACCTTACAAGAACCAGAATTGTTTGAAATGATCAAACGAAGCACCCGCTACAGCGGAGTGCTGTATAAAACCGTTTTGTTTCCGCGAATTCAGTTGCATCGAGTCTAGCAGATATTGAAGTGCCGCTGCTCTAGTCAGATTTTGTGATCTTCGATGCAACCATGATTCAATACCTTAAATTTTCAGCTGATCATCCCTTCAGTGACACACCTTTTCTGGGCCTCAGGCTGGCGTTTATGTGAGGAGGGTGTGAGAGAAAAAGCTGACTCTGCCATACATACAAACTTAGCTTCTTGTAAATTAGAGATCTATGCCCATTCACAGTTTCATGTTGAAAAACTGCATCCAGTAATTGGTCAATATTAGATGTTTTCAGCTGCGTCTGTTCCTGCTAAGCCAAGGCCGTGACGCGGTCTCCTTACGTACGGCTCTCGGCAGAGGCAGTGCTAGCACGTGTGACGGCTTCGATCAAAAACAGAATCACAGGCTCAACACTATTGCCGTGATTATATGTATCAGTGACAGTGGCAATTATATATCGAGAATTGAATTGAGAGGCGGGTGTATCAATTCGGAGATGTTTCGTGATATTCACTCCTTATTACGAAAATTGTGAGAGAGCGAATACACTTGTCGCATGCAACTGCTTGCCTAATATACAACCGTCCAGACTGAATCACTATGAGCGGCACCGATTTTAACAGGCCGGTAGCAGTCATAACCGGCGCGGCGGGTAGTCTCGGACGAGCGATCGCCCAGGAGTTCGCACTCGAGGGCCGGTCGCTCATCCTCTGCGACCTCAAATCCGTCGACGCAGCCATGCACTCCGTCCGGAACCTCTTGTCCACACGCTCCATCACGGCAGTGACTGGAGACATCACACGCGCCGATTTCCCTTCTCAGGTGAAAGCCGCGCTTGGCGGACGAAAGATCTCGGCCCTGGTCCACACAGCTGGCGTCTCACCGGCCATCAAGGACGGTAAGCGCATCTTCGATGTCAACTTCACTGCTACCAGGCGCCTGGTCGACGCACTCGCTCCCGAAATGCAGCAGCCAGGTGGAGTGGTGATCCTCGTCGCGTCACTTGGTGGGAAATTGGTGCAAAACTATGTGGTCGACCTCGCCGTGAAGCGGCACCTTAACGGGTCGCGGTCGCCGACGCTGTGGGCACTCAAACGCTGGCCGTACACAGCATACTCGATGTCCAAGAGGTGCATGCAGATTTATGCCAGGAAGATGGTACGACCCCTGGCGCAGCCCTCAGCGACCGGGCCAGGAGGAGTGCGTATAGTGACTGTGTCGCCAGGGGTCATCGAGACGGATATGACTCTCCACTATGCTTCTCGTCCGAATTTGTCTACCCTCGTTAATTCTGGCCCAATGGAACGGATGGGAAGGCCTGAGGAGGTCGTGCCCGTGATCAAGTTTTTGGCTTCGGAGGGGGCGAGCTACATCACCGGCGCTGACGTGTTGGTTGATGGTGGGATCATTGCATCCAAGAGACGGGTTCTGAAGAATACGGCTAAGGTTGTGATGAAGGAGAGACGAGAGAAGAAGAAAGCCATGAAGAAGTTCGAGAAACAAGAGAGATTGAGAGCTTTGGATGTCAAAGGAAAGGCAAAAGCAAAGGAACCTCCCGTTTATAAGGAGATTGAAGAATAGTTTCTTATCGTCAATAGTACCTAATAGTAATGATGCTTCTTGCGAATCAACTTCCCTATTTTCAGGATCCAGATCAGCTTGCCTCAACGCATCACGAGAATGACTTTGCACAAGTGCTTGGAGTCATCACTGCGAACTGTCCAGGACTTCAAGTGCATGCCATGGATAAGTAGTTGGTTGATTCAGGAAAATAAGTAGCTAAGTTGGGCATCATGACGAGCCCTCTGAAGTGAAATGTCTCACAGGATATTCCTTTCCTCGAGCGGGCGGACAGAGCAGGTGTACTGATAACTCAATCGTGTACCCCAATCGACGTTTTCCAGGCGACGCCTGTTTAATCATCCCAGTCCTCTCTGATCAGCTCTGATCCCTTCTCAGCAATCATGTACACAGAAGCAAGAATATTGACATCCGGCAAAATCGGCATCACACTACAGTCGATGACCCTCAACGAGTCAACTCCGTAAACCCTCAAGCGAGGATCGACGACACCACCGTCCTCAAGAGGCAGCATCTGCACGGTACCAGAAGCGTGCCAGTTTGGAAATGTGTTGGCCTTAACATATTCGAAGATAGCATCCTCATCATCATCAGACACGTTTTCAACTCCCGGGCTCACCTCGCCATTGTTTGGCCCAACGGTGTACTGTGACAGCTCTGGATCAGCGAGAATCCGACGCAGATCCCGGAATGACTCTATGGCGACAGCCCGGTCTGTTCCGGTATCTTCGGTGTAGTACTTTATAACACGTTAGCGGCTTTATTCGTAGTACATATCCCAGTCTTGGTTGCAGAGTGGCATCACTTACGTTTGGATTGATCACGGGCGGGTCAGACATGGAACTTGATCGTAAACTGACGTTCCCTCGTGATAGCTGTACCATGGAGCTCGCGGTAAGCGAGATGTAAGATTCATTGTCTCGAGGTGCATAGAAAGGTGTTGGAATCCAGGGATACCACACGCTTTCGTAAAGAAACTCGATATGATTCTGACTAGCGAGATTACGAGTGATGATCTCGGTCAGATTGAGGGCTTCAAGTTCGTCTTCTGAGAATTTTAGGAAGCCATTGGTAATACCAGAGGGGGCAGTATATGGCCCTGATAAGTTCTGGAAGTACTGAGCTTGAGCATTCTGCAGGTTCTGCACGGTCGCAGCCATTTCTGTTGTAGAGGACTCAGGTCGGGCAGTGGCCATGATGCTGAATACACTGTGATCGTTCAAACTAAGATAATTTTAGCATTTGATTGCCAGGATGAATCTTCGCACCTTACTTGCGTCCAACGTTCTCGTTCACAACCAGCGGCGTAATTCCGAAGGCGTCGAGCTCTGAGGCGGGCCCGATACCCTATAATCAGCCGACGAGTCAGTGAACAATATTCCGAATGTTGTTAAGGTGTCTGTTTGTGATCTGTGCTTACCGAGAGCATCAACATCTGAGGGGAATGGAAAGCACCCATGCTCAGGATGACTTCCTTTGATGCGTTAACTTGGTGGATCAACCCGGTACTCTGGTCGACAAAGACGACTCCAGTTGCGGTAGGGGTGTCACCCTCCGTGTCCATGACCAATTCTGAGACAGGTGCGTTGAAAAGAACGTCCAGGTTAGATCGATTTTGGGCCTGTCGGTAGAAGCTATCAAAGCTAGAGCTCCGACGCAGTCTGTTATCCAGTGTGCCCAACCCCTGCTTAACTCCCGTTGGATTTCCGGTGTTCAGCTCGTTCACGATCGAAACGTTGATTGCTTCGAGTGCGCGCATGAAGCCGACATTGGAGTCAGGAACGTAGCCTTGGTAGCTGAGCTGAAGGGGTCCGTCGCCATAAGCGTCGGCTTCATATGTTTGGAAAGTCTGGTCAAAGCCATTGGCCTGGGCATATACAGCGTCCTCAGGCTTGTTGAGGTGGGTGCTCTAAATCTGATTGTTAGCATATGCATACGCCAATCAGGTAGGCTAGACCCAAATAAAGCTGCAAGTAGTTTCACAGCGTGAATACAATTGTCAGACACATGGACAGGGGGATCGCCTTATTCCTCCGGTGACGGCAAGCTGTAAAGGAGCCAGAAGCTGGATAAACGACATAACAGACATTCGTACTTTGACGAAGAGGGGATACACATCGTCCCAACCCCATCCTGGATTACCCAAAGCAACCCATTCATCGTAGACACTCGCACTTCCTCGGGCGTAATACAGACCGTTTGTGGAGCTAGATCCACCCCCGGCCTTACCACCTATCTTCGCGTTAGCGCTTTGCTACCAGATCCTCACAGTGAAGGACAATTTACGCAGATATTGAAGCTGCCGGCCTTCTAGCCCTCTCTGTGGAACGGTGACAAAATTCCAGTCAATGGTGCTCCCTATAAGCTCCGTTAATCAAGGCATAATGCAATGAAATTTTGGCAGGTTAAACGCGCCTTTAATGAATTGATTCCCTCCTGGGGTTTGGTATGCCGCAACGATTGTAGGTTCTTGACCAGCCTCCAAAACGAGGACCCTTTGGTTACCAGACTCGGTGAGCCGGTTAGCAAGTACAAGTCCAGCCGTTCCACCTGTTGGAATATTTTGCTAAGTCAGTAGCAAGCAATAGAATAAAAAAAAGCCTTTCGCAGCATCTGGTAAGCTGCTTACCTCCGCAGATGACGAAGTCATATTCGTCTTCAACCGACTGTCTCTTAATCAAGGAGATGGGCTTTGCTGTTGCATGGTTGACCGATAAAAGTACAGCCTGTAAGAGGAGCAAGATTTTCAAGGAAGCCATGTTGGTCAAGACCAAGTGAGTATGAGTGATCGGCGAGTAGTATCAATCAGCGCTCAGAGGCTGATCACCTGATGGAATGGTCCAAGATGACCTACGAGTCTCAAAAGTTGGGACAACAGAGATGTTCATCCGTTAAACTGCTAGCTGAGCACGCTTAAGGCTTATATGATATTTAGACAACGGTACATGCTTGCACCATTCATTTGTCCTGGAAGCATGAACTCAGAAATTCATCGTAATATTATGCCAAGATCCGCCGGCGGATTGGCTGGGCGACATTGGCAAGGCTCAGCATACAAGCCACTCCAGTCGGGAGAGCGAAAGGATGGGATTGGCATTCTTGTCCCACCCCGTGACTTCAATATATCTTGCCCAAGGCATATTGGTAGCTTGCAAAGACGTCAGTTCGCATGCAGCAGGATTCTCAGGGGCGTCGAAACAGACAATTTTTACTACGCGGCAAGCTCGGCGGATTAGACTCCCTCATTTGCGCATGTGAGGCTCAGGCTGAACTCTCGAATTCGTATTCTTCGGTTCCGCCAGGGAGACCTACACGCATCTAACACGCAACATACAGTATTTCCCGAACGATTCCAAATCGCCAAAGAGCCAAGAGCTTACCGCGTAATCTCCACCCCGCGGTGAGATGCTGAGCTCGAAGCTACTCCGGAAAATCCGAGGCTCCGTTCCCTTTCATCAGCCAAGCGAACTCTAGCTGAACTAGCTCAGCGTGACTTCCGTAGATAAGAGGCCAAGTTGAAGCCCCTCACCTGTGTGCCTCGTTCTCTTTGGAGAGGCAGTGATCGATTCTAGGTTTAGTTCGTGACGGCATCCTTGGCATAACGCTGGGTTGAAATCTCGTACGGCCAGAAATCAATATTCATCAATCAGACTTTAGTGGGGCCGACCGATGTAAAGCCCAGGCCCAGACGTTGCATCGCAATGAAGCTACCGTTATGCACCCGGATGGCGACAGGAACGAATTCGATGATTGAGTGCGTTCGATAGGGAGATTTATGTGTACAAAATTTTAATAGACTCGCGACAACAACATTCTTGAAACCATGCATGGACACTTTCCAGAAGAGGCGCTTGTCCTATGGACACAATTGCGGAACTTGGCCTTTTGATTGCAGGTTGCTCCAGCCTACCTCCTGCGCCGAAATGCTAGTACCAAAGAAAATGAACGCTGTATATAACTGACACCAGTGATGAGTGACAACAAAGGCAATGATGAGATTAATGTTCAAGGAAACATTTCCCGTTCAATGAGCGCGTGATCCTCGCCCGGGATTCTTTCTAGGCGTGGCCATGAGGTCCTGGCCCATCCGCACAACCCTCTCCAGCTCGTTCCTCATAGTATCGATGGCTGCCTTAGCCTTCGCCTTTTCAGAGTTCAAGCGATCATTCAACGAGCCATTCTCAACACGGAGGTTTGACACCGTCTCATGGGCTTCACGCAGGGCCTCATTGACGCGGTCAACCTCGAGTCTGAGCTCTGACACCCTTGAGTCTCGCATAACCAGATCGACGCCATGCCTCTGGGACATGGAGAAGACCTCCTCCTTATGCTTTGTCCGCAGCTCTTCGAGCTGGTCTTTCAACTCTGAGGTCTGCTCCAGGGCCAAGCCCAGATTCTCCTCCAGCATCGTGATGTTCCACTCTTTCTCCTTGACAGCTTCGGACCATTCGTCCGCGTCAGCATCGTTCTGCTCCTTGGCCGCCCGTAAGTCTTTGTTGGCTGTGTCCAAATCACCCTCCAATCTTTGCACGAGGCCCTCCAGCTCGGACACATCTCGGGTATACGACTTGACGGCGCCCTTGAGCCGCTGCACCCCGATCTCGAGCTCCTTGATGTGCGCATCCTTCTTCTTGGCCTGGTCGGCCAGTGCGTCCTTCTCGGCCTTCACGGCGTCCATGATCTCCGCACGGGCACTGAGCTGTTTGCGCAGCGAATGCTCGAGGACATGGTACTCGTCGATGGCATCCTCGCACTCGAGAGTCCGCTTCGCAAGCTCGCGCAACCGTGTAAGGAGAAGGTCCAGTACCGACGCGCCGGCTGCCGTGAGTGGTAGGGCGATTTCTCCGGGCGTGAGGTACTCGAGCTCCAGGCGCGCGGTCCTGAATGCGGAGGACAGCGACAGCACGACCTCCGCGGCGTCATTACCAGGGAAGCCGAGCTCACCTAGAGACGCGTCCAGGCCAGTGAGTACCGCGCTGCGGTCCGAGAAGGCCTGCAGGAGGTTGTTGAACTGGGCCTCGACCTTGACGGCAGGCGAGCGTGAATCCATGATCAGAGCTGCCGCGGAGCCGTCCTTGGGCGCGAAGGGGGACAGCTTCTCGGACAAGCGTGCTGTCATCGACTCATATGTCTCAAGCGTGCCGGTGAGCTTGGCAATTTCCAGCTGGAGCGATGCGAGCTCGTCTTCCAGCTCTTCCCTGTCGGCCTTGGTGAACGAGGTTTGCACTGCGGCCTGGGAAGTAGGAGTGACAGGATGCCGCCTGCTTGGCATTATCGGTCCTAGATGTGGACTGGTCGACGGGGGTGTGGGAAATGAGTTTCTTATGTTTGCCGACCGACGGGAAGGCGTGCTGCAAGCCAGTTCCGCGATTGTCCTGTCGCCGAACTCGAGATCCTCATCTTCGTCGTCGATGTCAAGCTCCATGTCCGAGTACTCGCTGGGGCAAGGATCTCGAACTTGTATGGCCCAGTCCATGTGAGTGGTATTGTAGTCGATGGTGTCCTCGGTCTCGTTTGACGAGTCAGGACTCTTCAGGACCCGTCTGAGCTGCGAGACCTGCCTTTTAAGCTCGTCGATGCTATCCTGAGTGTCGTCTTCTTCTTGACCAATTTCTGTGGCACCAGATAAGCGACGGATCTCAGCGTCCTTGGCAGCAACCTCAGACTTCAGAGTAGCAATCTCGTCACTGGTTTGTTGTGCCTTTCTTTTCCGCTCGGCAGTGATGACGTTGATCTCCTCGCTGAGTCCATTACGCCGGATGCGTCTCTTAACGCGACCATCCAGAACTTGACGGAGCGGGAGGAAGGTCACCTCGCCACTATATCGCGTGTCAATGGTAGAGTCAAACGCATCTGGGCGGTCTACAGCGACTGGACCAGAGTGACGACGTCTCTTAGTTCCAGAGCCAGGCTCGAGCGTTGTCCGACGGATGTGCGGTGTCAACCCCGTCGATCCAGACACGGGTTCGTCATCGACTTGGGCATTGTGGTCAGAGGCAGGACCTGGGTCTGAGAAGCGGACTCTCTTCTTGGCTCCACGGCTAGGCGTCGAAACATTTGGGGACTTTGGCGGCTGCGGTTCTTGAGGATGACTGTGTAACACGGCGCTGCTCCGACGCGTCCGCCGCAGTGCAATGGGGAGGTCTTCAAGCACAACAGACATAGTCCTCGTTTAGACGTGGGGTGATAATAATATGGTACACATGCACAGCAGTATGCAGCGATCCGGGGCTCGGCTGGGTTTGGATGTGGAGTGAGAGGATCCTAGGCCTGATCCTGGGATGCAGTATTCAAATACCTGGGATGGCCAGGGTGCGCTGATTCGGAATCGGGCTGCCCTGTGCCTCACCAGGCGGAGGAATAAACGCGTTTCGAGCTCGACCCCATTTGTTGTTATCAAAATATTTACTTACCGCCGAATGTGGTCTAGCGTGGCCCACACTCGCACAGGAGACCCACGAGCTTGGGTCCACTGATCCGGATCGTGACGCGACCTTCCCCGCAACACTACGAGCCTGTCAGTAAGTACGACAGCACCTTCGTTCTTTTGCTTTTTGCAATTCTTTTTCTGTTGCATTGACTCTAACGGTGACGGGCTGCAGATTCTTCTCAGTATGTACTGAGTGATGTTCGGGGAATTCACTTATATTCTCCCGTGATATATGAGTTTCCTTTATGATAGATTTTCTTGTTCTAGGCAATAGTCCTGGAACGTGTGGGATGTCCTGTGCGATTCTACAAGATTCACGTCCTTTGCTCAACGTGAGTTCCCCAGCCCAGTTCTTGTCTATGTCTCTTGTACGCAGTCGTGAGAGCTGGCAGTAATTATGCAGAAGACTACTTCCTAGCTATGAAGAACATGAGTAGCTGAATGAGATTGGACTTTCCCCGATGAGTATGGTGGTCCTGGACATTGGAGTTTGAGGTTGTAGCGCCAATTCATCAGGCGCCCATAAGCCCGGCCTGACAACTGGGAACAAAACACAGATTGGTGGAGATGGACTTGACACAGCACCATACAGCTCCTTGTTTCTCTTCTTTCGATGAAACGGTCCAGTTCGTGTTGGGAGCTGCAGATATTGGGGGGCATGAGTTTTGAAAACATGTGAGGGACACAGCGTCACTGCTCTGTCACCCTTGAACGGTTCCCGCCGGCGGCCCGCCGGCCGCTGTCAGGGCACCGCGACCGGGTCTTCCCTCCAAAAGATCTGTACTGCAAACCACTCCTACAGGAGGGCTGCCTTCCACAGTCTTCCTCGCTTGTTCCATTTCGGCCTTGACCCGAGCCAATGTAACGAAAGACGTCGCCCCTTTATCTTGCTACTCTCGCTCTTTTCAAAATATTTCCTCAAATGTTCTGGTTCTAGCCGCCGATCTGTACGAGATCCTATGCTCAACCTATCAATCCATGGACATGCCAAGACTCTTCTTTCGGCGCTTTTCTCGGATGTCAATCCCCATTCTCAAGACTTGGGATTGTGCCCAAAGTTCTCGCAACACGCTGTCCTGTTTTCTTGGCGCCTTGTGAACCTGCCCTTTGTTTGCCAACTGCTCGTGCCCACCCGACAATGGTGATTACGTAGCAAGCACTCGATACTCCAATGGCGCACTTCATTCACGTTTAGTGGTCATCATCCTACCATGAGAAGGAGGAGTTGTGACTTGAGAAAGCATGCTGAGCATTGCACTTTTGACTGTCGGATGCACTAAGTTTGCGTGCTCAATCAGCTTTTTCGGAGTTATGAACAGCGTACGATATATTCAAATTGTCATCACGAAAGACCAAATGGTACTTGAAGACAGAAAGATGGCCCGCAAATGATCGATAAACATTCTTGTCTTGGTGGCCGAACTTGGGCCGGAAATACGACGGATTAGACTTCAGCAAGGAGAGAAAGGGATCATCTAATGGCAGATTTGTATGCTGTCAGATGGTCCTTCCCATCGTACATCGACAATGCATCGGCCTCGCAACGTAACTTCAGGTGTCTTGGTCATCTTGGCAGTCGACAGCCAAGCACTTGCAGTGATGATGGGAACAAGGTTCAAGGCGCCTCGTGAGAGTGAAGAGATGATGGCAGTAAACCCGCAGCCGTGGGTCTCAGATTGCACGAAGCGTCTTTTAGATCTGGTCTCACCAGAACCGCTGCAAGCTTCGAGGAAACTGTACTCAGCATGATCACCATAGTAACACCGATCTGTCTTTCCGTCTCTTGAACCCCCTTTCTCGGAGGGAGTATTATTTTGGCTAGGCTGACGTAGTGTCCACTATGACATATCAAACCCTGCGTTGACGGCATAGCTTTGAAATGTCAAATGTGACAAGCTTCCGCAAGCCGGAGTCGAGACCAAACATGTTATCCACGGACGACGTAAACACAAAACCAAACTGTGCCAGCCCTTATTTGGAGCGCAAGTGGATGCTCGAAATTCTAGACCCGGAAAACCGGAAGCCGGCGGGCTGGGTGGCTCCGACCCATCTTTTGCGCCTCAGCTGTCAACCCACATTGTAAGATGCTTACTCGTCTGCATACAAAGCATATGCGCGGATCATATAACGCACCATATAGCCACGTCTGTGGAGAGCCCCATCCATACAATACGGGTTTTGTTGCACGATATCATATACTCCTTCTCTACTCCACTCATTTCTTATATTTCGGCGCGAAATGACGGGCGATCTTTGTCAGTGATCTACAACTCTATACGCATGTCTTCCCAGGATTCCGGACAGACCCGGTGCTCGGGGCGATCTTTCATATTGCCTCATTTACCTGGGATCGATCACGGACCGACCTCAGATGAACATGGAAATACACGGCCCTTCCATGCAAGCCCGGAGACACCTTTTTCTAGGTTAGTCCATGTGCAAGTCGAATACGAATTGTGCGGACCTGGGATAGCTTTTCTTGCAGATCATCTATGACCGCTTTCTGAGGCAAGATGACTTCGATGCAATCCGCTATAGATTGGAAGGCGTTGGCTTTAGTCGTTTCCTTGACCTCCGTTGGCATCGTCAAGATCCTAGCTAGCGTCGCCTTGACTCTGCGGAAAATACCAGTGCTACTGTACCACGGCATGCTTGAATGGCTCGGATTTGATGGCTCGGAACATCCCGCATTGCAGCGTAGGGGTCTTTACGTCGCTTCGAACCCTGTGGGGTTTGCCACTCTAATTATGCTCTGGGCAGGTCAAGATAGGTTTTGTGGCGCTGCCCAGTATGTGGAAGACAGTCAGTACCATGATATTTCGTGATGAATAAGTTGCCAATCCACCCCGTTGTTTGATCCCCTGATAGGCGCTAGGATGATGCTTCTCCACACCATTTTTGGGATTGCTTGCATGCAGTACTTAGTGGAATTTCAAGTAGGCGCTTAGGCCCCTTGGCTGAATCAGGGCTCGGCCGTTTGAGAGAGAAGCTTGTTTTGCCTGGTCCGATCTCCGTCTGCGTCTCGCCGAGGGCTGGGGTTGACACCTGAGCAATCCGTCCTACGTCCTCAACCTATCTCGACGCCTGATGATCGATCCAATCAAGCAAGATCGTTATTGAAGAATATCGGACAAGACGGCCGTCACAGCGCCTGAGGAGTCTCATCTTTCTGGATGCAAAATTTCCCGAAGTTCTATCTAAAGTGTTGCTAATTCGATACAACGGGCCCGTGTGCTGTCAACTCAACATCGATCTCGCAGTGGGGCCCGGCGCGGTAGCACACAGCTTGACATGATGCCTCGACGTTTCGATGAACGAGACACAGAAGGAACCAACAGAACGGCCAGACGAGTCCCACCTCTCGACCTACCGTCTCGGTTGTAAGAGGGTTTCGCCTAGGCTTGGCTTGTGCGGGTGGTCTCCTGTCAGGCCAAAGGTGCCGCGGGGAATTCTAGGCCAAGAGGCGTGTTGCAGGGGCAGTCCGTGGAAGATGTGAAGCACATGTCGCCCTGGCTGTTGCAGCAGCTCGTCGATCTCCCTGGCAGGAGACAAAACAAAACCGATTTGTGTAATTCTTCGGCACCATAATACCCGAGACCAAGCCCTTCCCGAATAATGACTCCAGGCCAATGCATGAAACGTCGTTTCTTTATGTTCATATTAGACTAATACCATCGACTGCCACCATTTCACCTACCGCACTCTTTCGAGACCTACGGTGACCGCATTGCCGCATGCTTTCACATGGCTGTGCCGTCTTTCTTTCCGCTGAAGACCCAACGGTGACCGCAGGCAAGCTCAAGGCTGGGGACGCAGCACAGTCTCGGTCAGGATGGCTGTGGAGACAATAAGGCGAGGTCGTGGTTTTCACAAACGACGCCACAGGCCAAATATTGCTCGGGCCGAATCAGCGAAGACAGTCGTGAGAGAGACTGTCAAGGCCCCTCCATTGTTTCGTCGCCAGGGAAAAGGCAAAGATGGCAAAGGAGGTGAGTGATCAAGATTTATTCCTTTCACGAGCGGCAGGAGGAATAACATTGGTGGCAAAGATGGCAAAGGTAAAGAGGATGGTGGCAAGGGGAAATCTACTCCATCTGCCCCTCCTCCAGCTCCAGCAGTTGAGCCTTTGCCGACTGCGGCTGCTCCGTCGAACTCAATCGTCCTTAATGCTGGCGATCCTGCGCAAGAGACGCCTGTGCCACCGCTAAACCCTCCATCAACAGTTGCACCACCTCCGCCGCCGCCAGCACCACCTGCGCCGCCGGGAGTGACGACTTCAAGCAGTCTCACGACCTCGACGGCGGTGACCTCAGTCCAGACAATACAAACCAGCGTACAGACTCAGACAACCGTCATCACGACGGCACAAACCTCCACACAAGTATCAACGCAAGTGACGACCATCGTGAGTACACAAACAACCACATCGACCTCCCCGGTCGACAGTCCGCGTATGACCCTGACATCCTTCATGACCGCATCTCCTTCGTCGACTGCACAAACGAGCCTCTTAACGGCTTCCACCACGAGCAATCCCTTCATCGCCAGTACTCCATATCAAGCTGCCCCATCGAACACCACCTCGCCTGCTGCTGCATCCCGAGCACCAACCATCGCTCCCGGAACTATAGCGGGTATCGTTGGTACGCAACTCTGGCCTGCTTGATGCGTTCGTTGGAAGAAGTGGCTGACCGTGAAACAGTTGGAATACTTTCCTTTTTCTTCATAATACTCGGAGCAGTCTGCCTCTGCTCTCGTCGTACACGGCAACGCCTACTAACCCCGGTGACGAGACGCTTCACCAACAACTCAATGTTCAACAGCGGATCTCGAGGAATCGACTCAGTCCGCCGACCATCCGGACGCGGGGGCGACATGCACAAATCGCTCATGTCCGAGGCAGAGTCAATGGCTTACACTGCAAGCCCTGTCGACGTGAAGCCGCAAATGGCATCCGTACAGCCCAGCCGTGGCCTGTCACAAAATCCAGTCTTCATGGCGCCATACTCGCGGCCAAACTCATGGCGGACCTGGCGACCTAGTGCCACATTCGCACAAGGGCTCGAGCCTCTCCCGGATGACATACAGCTTCCACCGCCTCCACCGCATGCTCTGACGCGAAATTCGGCCTTCCCACGGACCTCAGAAGTAAGTACGGGAGCGGATAGCAGCATGCCTGAATATGCGTGGCACACTGCATCAAACGCCGATCTCACGGGTCTTGCGCCTGCACCGGCGCAGGCTCTCGCGCCGGAGTATGTGGGCGGGCCGCACGAGCCAGCTCAAGACTGGCTCCAGCAAACAGACGGGCACGGATCGTATGTGACCTACTCGGACACGCCGCTAGCGACGCCAAGGACGCCGATGGTCGTGGAAGGTGAGCAACTGGCCCCGCTGGCCACCAGCCAAGAGGCCTCACCGGTTGACAATGATGACGGCAGCGGAGAGAGCGGAGACGCCACAAGAAGCGACAGCTGGGGAGCCAGAGGTGGCAGCAGCGGCGGTGGAAACGACGAACACGAACCCGAGGGCGGCATTCAAGAAGCGCAGCTGGGCCGGCAGGCTGGAGAGGGTGGCAGCCATGGCGGCGGCCCGGAAGGGCTCAAGGAGGAGTCACCGCGCGAGCAAGGCAAGCAGACGCAGCAGGGGCAGCAGGACGAGTCGGGCGAGCGTGACGAGCAAGTTTTCGAGGAAGTCGAGGCGGTCGAAAGACAGCCAAGCGTCAGGTTGAGTAGCCGGTTGTCTTCCCATGCTCCGTCTTCCTGGGATGGGGAGTCAGACGCGGACTTCTCATGGTCTGAGGCAGCAAGTGAGCCGTACACGGCCCCGAGGGATGGCTTCGGGCTGTCGATCATCGGCGCGAGACGTGCTTCCAGGTCGGGGACTGGAGGCGGCGATCCCCGGCGGCCTTGACAAAGCTGAGGATGGCTGGATATTGCTGTGTACAAGATACCCCTGGTTTGAGCCACAGGAAGGCAGAGTCTGGGAGCTGGTACCCCAAGACTATGTACTTGACCATCTAGTGCTAAATCTTAATCCGTGGCCTCACGGCCCGAGATTAATCACCTCGATGATGTTCGTCCAACATGCAAGGTGCTATCGCGGATGCTTTCTGATTGATATTAATTATTTGGTACGTATTCGAGAGCCCAAGCAAGAGCAAGATTCGTAAGACGCTTTTGCTCTGCATCCGACTTGACGATTTCCTTCATTAGAACCCCAGCGTGTGATTTGCTCTACGCACAACCTCCTTTTCTCCTTCGCTGCCGTTCCTTGGCTCTGGGATAGGCTCAAGGCCCACTGAAGCCAGACCATCGGTGTTGGCAATTGATCTCAGGAAGCTCTCGGTTGGCCTGTCGACATGCTCTGACTCGCCTTTGCCGCCAGGGAAATCCGGACCAGGGGTTCCATTACGCCAGGCGTCTCGCATTCTGGAGACATACTTGGCGTTGATCTCCGTGATTGGGCAAACTGGAATATACAACACACTAGAGTCTCTCTTGCCCTTGTGCTCGAAGTCCACGGCGTGAATAGCTGTGGTGTGTCAGACGATGCTGGATTTGACCAAAGCGATCACGCAAACTGGCAGTGAAGAACGGGAGAGAATACGCTCGATATCCAAAACAATTGAAGCTGGCACCAGGGCATTGGGAAGAGCAAGCATGCTGTAGAAGAGGAGGAAAAACTTACTATCACAATGCCAAACAACAAAGTCGCCAGGGTTCACCCGCGGCGTATGCACCATCGTTCGGTCCAACTCCAGGTGTGGATGCATAGCCAACTTCGGAAACTCCATACCGTATCCTGGAGTAGCACCAGGTATCTCACTTGTCATTTGGTCGCCAGCCGTGAACTCCCAGTTATCAGGTGCCAGGAATTCCAGTCTTTCGGCACTGCCCCCCTTAGCGACCTCCAGGTCGACCGTCTTCTTCGGCCTGAAGAATGGCCTGAGCAGCGTATAAGCCGACGCAAGCTTCAACAGCGGGTTGAATAATACCGCTCCCTCTCTTGGCCCAACGCTGCTCATGCTCAGCCACCCCTGGTACATCCGGAACACGCTGCACGCGCCGAGGCCATTATACAGGTCGTTGACAGCATTGACCCGTGTGCTGCCGTCCCAGGGGTCGTACTTTGTTTCCCATTCGCCCTCGAACACAGCGTCGTACACGCCCCCTTTGCCGTAGCCCTCCCGCATCCACCGCTCCACACTGCCTCCGTCCATATGCGGCCCTAGGGCGAAAGCGGCGTCGCCTGGCTGGCGTATGCGGAGGCGATCGGCGTAGGAGAGGGGTTGCGAGATGGATATGAGCGAGCTGGGGTCGGACAGGGACCACGTTGCTTGCATCAGGGCTTTTTGCACCTTCATGAAGTTCGGGTTCGTGCGAGCGTGCAGCTGTGGCGCTGACCAATATAGCTCCCAGACTTGTGGGTCGTTTTGCGGAAAGCCTAACAACAGCGTAAGTTAATAACATTGCGCAGACAACAGGTCATGTACATGGGAATTTCTTCTTCGGTGGCTCTCGTTATGATTTGGTGTAAAGTGTGACTTTACCTTTTGTTTGTGGGTTCTTGCGAATATACTCCTCGAGATCGAATTTGTACTGGCGTGCTTCGTCTTCCGGTATAACTCCCCTAATAACCGCGGCGCCGCGTTTCTTGATTGCATCCTTGGCTGTGGAGAGGTCCTCGTCGAGATGGTCAAATCGCACTTCTGGGATCACTTTTGAGCCCAATTCGTCGATTACACTATTCTCAATTTCCAGTCTTTGGAGTAGTCTGTGCCAGCTGGCTTTTACCTTCTCTTCTCGTCCTTCAACCAACGACAATTTGAGTTGGCGAAAATGATCTGGAAGTGGTTCATCTTTCACACCGGCCAAGGAGGCGAACGAGTCTGATATGTCGCCTTCTCGTTTATCCTGACTCGCAGTCGCCACGGCCGCCATATTGACCGCGCGCCGTTGGGAGGCAGCGACTGCCAAGTGGCGGCCGGCTCGCTTGATTGCTGACTGGAGCATCTTGCGCAATTTCAAGAGAGTGATAGTAAAGTGAGAGAATCTTCAGTTACCTTCAAAACACGAAGTGCCTGGGAGTCTCACCATATTTCCTATCAGATGCGGGTTTGGGGATTATAAAGATGCCGCTCTTCCTGAATCTTGTCGGTACTACCTCTTTGAGAAAGACCGCAGGGCACTTACTTGACTTATACCTTCACACTACTGTCCGTGATCACGAAATGAGTGGACATGGATCTTGGATTAATATCCTAGACTGCAAGTTTCGGCACCCTAGTGACGCAATTGCAGCCAGACGGCGCCCAGGCGGATCAAAGTCAACGGTGCGCCATCTCGCTTAGACGGCCATGAGTAAACGGGCCCGGGAATTTGGAGAATGGCATACGCCTTAGACTAAATTAAGTCTATGGTCATATTCGGTCTGTGGGCTGGGATAAAATTACCCCAGACTCCATCCTATCTCACCAGCTTCGTCTCGGGCGCGGGGAAGTGGGTGAACCGTGTGGAGTTCAAATGTTGCGGCTCCGACGGAAAAGTCCAAAGCTTGAGATGAGCAGACCCACATCGGGACTTCTTGAAACGGTTATGCTCCGACTTCATGCCTTCAGGACACCTCACCGCCGCCGAGCCACCCGCTAAGTCAGACACGACGAAAAAGCAGCTTTCAAGGGCTGCGAGCCTGTTGCCGTCCGTCAATCCGACATTTGTCTCAAGTCTAGGTCACAGACAAGCGTACTTGAGCCTCGGTCACGTTCGGACCGCCCAGTTCAGGAATAGCCGCAGTAAATCCCGCAGCCCGCCCGCCTCAATCTTCGGGAATACTCCGACACGTCTAACAGTCCCTCAGGCTAAACCTGTCTGCTCGCCGAATTCGTCTACTCCGATCGGATTCTCCCTTCTCAGCCATGGCTGAGCCCCCACAGAAAAGACCCGTCAAGTTCGTTGCCTCGGATCAAGATGGTTTGCCTGTGAAACGGCGTCAGGTTCAGCAGGCCTGCGATCCATGTCGCAAAAGAAAGGTGAGGCATTCATGCGCATCCAATATCGCCCTGTGTGCTACCATGACGGCCTTGATATAGCATGCGAATCACCGAGATCGGTCTGCACAGCAGTGACTGTATTTGTGGGGTGGGGCAAAGAGTCACCAGTAATACTAACATGAGCATTAGAAACGATGCTCTCACGTATCAGACTCGCCAGGGCCGCGCTTCTTCGCCGATGCTTCTCATCAGAAAAGTATCTATGCTCATCTCCAGGCCGACCCGCAGCAGCCTGACGGCTCCGGTTCTAATCGTTCAGGGACTCTTCCAAACTCTCCCCAATCACCAGAGCAGAACTCAGGGGCATCTTCAACTCGAGAGGTTGCTTCTCAGCTCATTGAGCTGTCAACCTCTCGGTTTGTAGGAGACCTCAGCCCCGAGAGCATCTTCCTCGAAGCCACAAGCAAGATAGCCAGAGATCCATCCCGGCGAAATACCTCTGACATTGGTACCTGGCTGCCAGTTCGACGATCTGACGATGATAGCAATGTCAGGAGGCAGAGTTCAGTGGCGACACAGGACGAACCCGCGGGCTCGCAGTCTGCTCAAGACGGCCCAATATCATTTCGTACTCTGTCAGGGAGGCTGCCTCCCTCAACTGGAAGCCCGGAACACCACGACGATGGTCCACAATCCCGGTGAGTACCCGGACCTCTTTATGTCTTCAGTCGATGTATCTCATATTCTTCCTCTTTCACCAAATGTTGGAATTGAACCTGCACCCCCTTACATGACCAGCCTGGAAAGATCACTCATGGTGCCGATTCTATGACCTTTTTGTTACAATAGACTCCATGCTAGTTCTATTGTTATGTCGCGTTGCCATCCTCACCCATAGTTCATTCAGTCCACATGTGCCAGACTGGAGCGTCCACTCCATGTTTTGTTGAAAACTTCACTTTTCACTTCGCATTTTCGGAAGGAGGGCACTCAATGGGGCGGTTAAAGCCGGTTCCCCAATTGACATGCTCTGGCATCCGTCTATGGTTGATTGGCTGTTCCATTGAAACTCTTTTCCCTCTTTTGACTGATCGTTTCAACAGTGATCGAGGTGGAGTCTTGAGACCATCTAATATTTCCGCGGTGTGTCCGCCTGACGAGGATTATCATCACCTCTACGCAATTTATCTGGACCGATTCCAGACAATGTGGCCCATACTCAGGGAAGCCGACGTACATGCTACACGCAGACCAAAATGCGCAAAAGACATTATTTTCAGACAGGTTCGTGATGCCCTTATAGAATACCGATGTTGTTGCCCAACTTCAGCCATCTGCTTAAGAACACATTGTTGTGCAAAGAGCCTGGCCCATAGGACAATTCGAAAGCATACGAAGTAACGGCTTTTGGGTGGCCGTAGCATTATCTACTTAACAATGATCTGGCGCTCTGGGGCATGATGTTGAATCCCGTTCTGCTGAGCATGTCCCCTGCCTGACGCCATACGGGCCATGATGAATCTGTCTCCAAAATGGCGTGTTTTGCTAACAGCATCTTGAAGGCTATTTCCCTTGCAACAAGTGTTGAGACATGCGCGTCAAGATACTTGCGCCTCGATTCTGGTGGTCCAATTCTATCAGTTCCAGACTTCCAACGACCATTGTTCAAGGCCCTGCTTTCATTCTTGGACGAGCAGGTTCTCACCGATCGAACGGACCACATTCGAGCCCTCTTCCTTGCCTTCTTTTACCAACCAACGCGCGCATCAGAGCAGGATCTGCCCGCGCTCATATTTTCCCAGGCCGTGCATTACTCTCAGAGCATAGGCATCCACCTGGTGGGGTCTGGGGTACAGGACGAGCGAAGTAAAGAGGCCGAGACGCTGTACTGCGCCCTCTGGGCCCTTGACAGGATGAACGCGGCCTTCCACGGCCGGCCCTGCCTCCTGCACGAACAAGATACCGACCGCGTCTTGAATGAGTGCATAGCCGCCCAGAAAGAACCCGGTTTTAGGTTGCTTTTGAGTGTTGTCACCATGCTAGATAAGGTCATCTGCCTGTATCGTCCTCGCAGCAAGGAAGATGACACAGTGGTGCTTCCGGTCTTCGAAAGCATGATCATGGATGCTGGGGCGGACAAAATCGCTCCATGGATGCACTGTAAGTAATGATTCGCTCTACGTGCTGTTACAACTCCCATGAACATTGCAATGTCAATCTCCACGATGTCGGAAAATTACATCCCATATACAGTTTGTTCTCTGATTTATCTGTGGTTCCGAAACCCGGAAGTAAGCTAACCATGGGCCTGTTCGTAACTCAGCCAGCATAGAGATATTCTACCACGCCATTTCTATCCTCTCTTGTCGACAACCATCCAGCGCCTTCGCCCCATCGGCCCCAGCACAAGCTCATCTCCCACATCCCAATATCAATGCCCGTCGGTCGTTGTCCGCGGACCGCATAGTTGACTCGGTAACCTTCGCAATGTCGTTTCCAACATCGCCAGACCGTATCACAATCACACCATTTGTACCTTACGCCCTCGCACTGTCGCTGTCCGTCTCGTACCGGAAGATGCGGTATTCCAAAATTCCATTGTACCGGCTAAGAGGGAAGACAAGATTCAAGGAGGTTGTAGCCTTACTGAAGAGGCTGGGCGATATATTCACATGTGCTCGCGTCAATGCAGGACTGGGTGAAGCCATTCTGCAGGAGATGGATAAGACGACAAAAGGGCTGGTCAACTCAGGAGCCGCAGGAGTCGCAAACGGTACTACTCCAAGCCCGACTGACGCAAGACCAGCAAGCCGCAGGGCGTTGCCCGCTGAGGTAACACTCGGCAGCAAGAGAAACGTGTACGTCAGGGAAACAGACAAACAGCCACCAGGAAGCATCGCCGCTACACCAAGGTCAACCCATACACAGACAGGCGAGAGCCCCTTGCAGCAACTTCCCACTCCACGTTTGCAGCAGGCTCCAGGAAGACCTTCACCTGCACCACTGAACACGGCGCCTGATGAAGGCGTCGTGGCGGCTCAACAGCCTAGTTCATCCCAGGCCCTGCCGGCTACGGCTCTGGGCGATATGCTGGATGTTGACATCTTCGGGCACTTTGACCCCGGCTTCGACTTGAACACGGTTGATGCTGCGCTGTCGGCAAATCTCGACATGGGATTTCCGCAAATGTGGACCACGCCCTGGCAAAATTGGCCAAGTTGAGGAATGGCAATGTATCAAACCTGGAGTATCTGCTTTCATCGGCACAAAGGAAAACAGGATGCCAAGTGGGGTATGATGGGGCAGTCTGTCTCACGAGAGCTGTCCGACAGACGATTGTCCCATGAGATCTGTTTCACTGTGGCATTCAGCTGCTGTCATAAGTATTGCGGAAGACTATTCGAGATACTGCAGCGGATAGATAGAGTGAACATCGCAGATCACTGACGCGATTGTCCGCCTACCTGTACTATCACTTGTAAGAGCTAGGGTCTGCAAGGAATCCAGAGAATCTACACGGCCTGCATCTAAGTCACGCTACCACTTGGGCAGTGAATGAAGAAGGATTCACTACAGCAGTCAGCGACAGACCTAAGACGATTGAATTGATTTAGCTCAATTAGTTGTGTCTCATTGTGGATTGAAGTGAATTTCGAGTCTGAACGACGTATTATTAATGCTGGTTAACTTACCAGCAACGCATTTGAAACTTGCCTTAAAACCTGCCACTTCGTAGACACAGTCTCAAGACTTGTGACTCTCGTTTCATTTCTTCTCTAAAGCTTTACAGAAACAAGCAAGCCTCCGCTGGTATCTAACAACATCAGAACTTCTCAACATGTCCCTCCACATGTGGATCTGGATATGGATCCTCATCCTGACTCTCACACTCATGCCGCTCGCCTACCACATCTTGATCAATTGTCTTACCATCCGCCTCGTCAACGGTTGCGCCGAAGAGATCTTGGAGGATAAGGCCATGATCTTAGGATGGCCCGCTGGTAAGCATCCGTAGTTGGCGATTGTTTTCCTCTCCTGTGCTGACTGCAATCTAGAATCACTACAAACGGTCATGGGTGGCTGTCAAGCCAGCGCTCGGCGCAGCCTGCAAGAGATCTCGATCCGTTTCGGTGCGGGAGTCCACGAGCTCATTCCTTCTCTCTGTCGGGAGATCCGAGACTGTCTGGATCGAGAGGTGGACAAGGAGCTGGAACTCGTTCGTGCAAGTGGACGCTTCCTAAAGCTGTACACACTCATGTCACCCGTCGTAGCCGTCATGAGTCTGTGTTCGTCAGCCTTACTTGCCTGGATTTTTGTTCAACTCGCGGAGTGGTACTATTAATTTGGTGGTTGGAGTCATGGGCTGGAAACTGTTCGGGAGTCCGTCATCGGCTGGTCTTTAATGCCATGCCTAGATGCAGCAGAGTTTAGTGCCTAATGAAGACAACCGGAATTAGCTGTCGGGAAATTCCTTCTGACGGAGAATTCCTTGGTTGTGCCACTAGTAATTCTGCAAAGACTTCCTTTCATGCAATAAAATGGTCACCTGGAAAGAGTAGCGGACAAAATGACGCTCGCCAAGTAAATGATGTTCCGTGACTGGGACAAATACAAACTGAAACCACGAATTGAGTTCCAGGTTCAGATCTTTGTGTTTTGCAAGTGTGCCACACTCGCACACAAACAATCGCATTGTGTTACCGTTGTCATTCCACAGCTGCGAAGATCTTCGGGGGCGGCTGAGCTGAGCACTCCGCCAATGTCACAGTTATCGTGTGGTGTGTGTCCACCGTTGTGTGATTGGCCGGCTGCGGAAATGGAGGTTTGCCAGCTGGTACCAAACACCACTAATGCAACATCTTGGGTGGAAGAGCCGCCTGTACGGTGAGTAAGGACCATGATAAAGTGAGAGCTTCCCTTGCTTTCCCAGCTGTACCATAAATATCACCGTAGAGCGGACTTCATTCCGGACTTGGTATGGGTGCAATCCAACAAGACGCATCGGCAGCACCATAAAGAGTCTGACCGCCGCTAATGAAATGTCCTTTGCGGAGTTTACGTTCAGAACACACTTTGAATTCTCCGAAATTGCAGCGCAATCATCATGACATACAACGTTCTGCCCGATGGTGGCCTCGTTATACAGCACACACAAGTCTTCAGGCCAGCGGACATTGACTTGCAACAGTCTTCATCCTCCAGTTATATCCGCACGATTCCCGAACTCATCGAGTACAACGCAAAGATCAACCCGAGTGCTCTTTACTGTGTGCAAGCACTGAAGCCACGTGATGGAGAAACAACAAAGGCTGAGCAGGTCACCATGCTTCAGCTCCGCCGTGCGGTATGGCAGTGCTCCGATGATCTGCGAGGATGCTTTACCGGCCTCGACGATTCGAATGTGAGCAGCAGTGATCAGGCTCATGTTAAGCCCGACCCGGTGGCCTTGGTTATGGACAGTGACATCAGCCTGTTGATCCACCTGTTCTCTCTTCTATCTATGGGTGTTCCAGCGATTCTGCTTTCTGCTCGACTCAATCCCGCGTCTATCCAGCATCTACTCACAACTCTCAAGGCGCAAGCTGTCATTACGTCTCCTCGACATGTGGACACTGTGAAGGCAGCCTTCGAGACAACAAGTCTCGAGTATGGTCGGGGTGGCACCAAAATACAAGTGGCAAGGGCTTTCGAGGACTACTTGTCAGACTCGAAGGAAGGCAAAGCTGACGCAGCTGACGCCAAGATATTCTGGCCGCAACACTTTGTCGGCGATTCGGACCGCAACGTGATCATCCTTCACACATCTGGGACTACTGGTCTTCCCAAGCCTGTGTACCAGTCACACAAAATGTTGCTTGGATATGCATGCTGCCATCGCCGCACCGAAATGGAAGATGTTGAGGGGCTGAATTTGTCCATGCTTCCCCTATACCACGTGAGTCACATTTTAAACCTAGAACTATATTCCGCCTCAGAAACACACTAAATACACAACACAATGTTAGGGATTCGGCTTAGTCGTTGCTTGTCTGGCACTCGGAATCGGAAAGCCCATCCTCCTGCCGCCACCCCATGAAATCTCAACAGCGTGTTCTACAGTGGCACTCCTACGAAAACATAAAGCCAAATCTTTCACAACAGTTCCTTATATTCTGGAGGAGATTTCAAAGCTCCCTGATGATGATGGAATCGCACCTCTCAAGGCCTTGCAGTATGTGGCCTGTGGTGGAGGCCCACTTAGTGTTGCTACCGGAGACCAATTGGTTGAGAAAGGTGTCAAGCTTCTCAATCACTTCGGATCAACCGAAACCGGTCCACTCGGCCCTTTCATGGTCCCAGGGAAAGGATATGACTGGCACTATTGGCCACTGAGGAACGACGTACACGTCAATGTTGAGCCAAGTGGTATTGACGAGGCCAGTGGACAGCAATATTATCAGCTTTCTGTAACGCCATTCGGATGGACCGAGCCATTTGTCCTCCAGGATCGTTTCTTGAGTGATACTAAATCATCAACCCCTGCATTCCGGGCCATCGGCCGGCAAGATGACCTGCTTGTCTTAGTCAATGGAATGAAAGTACAACCAAAGGCACTGGAATCTATCGTGTCTGATAGCAACCTTGTAAAAGCTGCTCTGGCCTTTGGTGAAGGAGAATTCGAGATTGGCTTGCTGCTTGAGCCTTCACAGCCAGTCGAAGACATGCAAAAGTTCAAGACAGCAATATGGCCACTCGTCCAGAAGGCATGTCGGCAAATGGACAGCCACGCCCAAATATCATCCCTGGCGCACCTTGTGGTCCTGGGCCCTGGAGAAAGCCTTCCAAGGTCTGACAAGGGCTCAGTGTTACGCAAAGAAGCATATCAGCAATATGAAAGGAGAATTCGCCGGGTGTACAGCAACGAAGATTCTGAAAGAAGCGTTCAAACGGTCTCGGAGCCTGAAAACGGCCGTCTCGAAGACACATTAGGGGCGATGATCAGGGGCGAGATGCAACTTTCTCAGCCTTTGGAACCTGATGATGACTTCTTCGAATTGGGAGTCAACTCGCTTCAGGTGGTCCGCATTCAGAGAGGAATTATCGCTATCGTGAAAGGGAGCCATGGTCTCTTGCCCAAAGGAAAAATCACAGCCGACTTGGTGTACAAACACCCCACCATAAACAAGCTCTGCCAGATCCTGAGGGGACAAACATTATCCAATATCAATGGAGAGGAGACACTGATCGACGAATACGTCTCACGCTTTAGTTTATCGCAAGAGCAAAACGGACTGACTATACTGCTCACAGGAAGTACCGGCAGTCTTGGCTCGTATCTTCTCTCACATCTGGCAACTCTGCCGCAGGTGACAGAAGTTGTCTGCTTTGCCCGCAGCTCTAGAAGCTATGATGATGTACCCACTTCGTTGGTTGAGCAGCACATTGAGGCTGCGGAACAGAAGGGCGCCACGATACCGTCGAACCTGCGGACCAAGGTGGCCGTTGTCCAAGGAAATCCAACTGCGGCTCGGTTCGGCTTGACCTCCGACGCCTATGAGGGATTATGCAGCAAGATCACCCACATCTTGCACGCAGCTTGGCCAGTCGATTTTCAGCGGCCACTTGAGTCCTTCGAAAGCCAGTTTGGCTTCCTGCAAGGACTCCTGCAGCTGGCACGAGATGTCCGTACCAAGAGGCCTCTGCTGAAACCACGACTGCTCTTTGTCTCATCGATTGCAGTTGTAGGCAAATATCCCGTCATCTACGGCAGTCACACTGTACCAGAAGAGGTCATCACGGATCCACGATGTACTAGTCTCGGCTACGGCAAGGCAAAACTGGTATGCGAGCGCATCCTTGCGAAAGCCGCCGATGACTGGCCCTCAGAGATGGAGGTGAGTTTTGTCAGGGCGGGCCAGCTGTCTGGGGCTGAGGGCAGTGGGTATTGGAACGCGAAGGAGCATTTGCCTGCCTTGATCAAGATATCGCATGAGTCCCGGGTGTTTCCGCGGCTTGATGGGGTGAGCTTCCCAATACTGATTCATGCGTGCTCGGTGGACTGACATAATTCGCATTTACAGACACTGTCGTGGCTGCCGATCGATGTCGCCGCGAGGTCGATGGTTGAACTGCTCTTCTCATCGGGTCCCATGAAACTGGCTTATCACATGGAAAACCCTATTCGACAAGATTGGATGGCTGTGATGAGCGAGATCGCAAAGGAGCTGGGGCATAAGCCGTCATGTTTTGTCGAATTTGAAGAGTGGACGAGGTTAATAAACCAGAGAGGGTCCACAGAGAACGATTCGGGCAGTGGCCTTTTGACGGACTTCCTTGGAAAGGAATTTCAGCACATGTCGGACGGCGACATTGTCTTGGATACATCAAGGGCCCGAAAAGTTTCCAAAATCTTAAGAAATGCACAAAGTGTCTCGTCGCAAACGATTGCTAAGTATATCCAGGCTTGGAGGGAAGTTGGACTGCTTCTGTAAGCTTTAGGTAGAGTCGGTCTGGACGCATGGTTGGGATAGAGAGGGATCTCCTTTGTCGCAAATTAGATAAAGAATATAGCAGCATACATCAGGAACAGGCGCAAAGCCCCCAATTCATTTTGACGAGCACATCCTCAAAATAACTGAAAGGAAATCTGCTCCGTGTTTTGACAGTCCCCAACATGTCACTTACTGCAATTCACTGGAGGTTCGGAGTCGAGTATGCGACTTCGCAACCGTACACCTGCTGTATCGCATAGGAGAAATTGTTCAGGCTAGGGTATCATTGATAGTCCATACATGATCATCCCTTTTTTGATATCTCGTGATGTGCTCATGAGCACGCAATCCCAGTTCGGACGATCTTGCCATATCGTCTGTCCATTGCGCAACAGCCCTTGGCGCCAAAGGGATTGGCCATTCTCATCGGCCCGCGCCGTTAGCCCTGATTAGAGTTATTTGACAAAAGGGCCGCCCACCACTACAAGATGGATCACAACTCGCAGTCGCAATCGTTTCACGATAACTTCATTCTCTCACATGCATCTCATTCCTTTGTTCTTTATTTCGATCTACTTTCCATCGATGCACTTCACATTGGATCTGTTTCTTGGATTTGTGAGACGGCCTATAATTGCACCGCTATTCCGCGTTGTAACGCTATTCCCCGATGAGAATTTGTCAGCGTCTACCAGCATGATTGGTGACAAGACGTTGCAGCACGCCAACGCCCCAGTGTAATCCGCTTGCATTAGTAAACATAATGGGACAGAGGGCTGACGGGCAGGGGTAAGTCACCTTGGAAACGCAAAGTCCCCGAAATGCGCTAGAAAAGTCTCAGCTCAGAGCTGCTCCTCATCTGCACCTCGGTGACCAGTTGGTTTGAACACGCCAGTGCATGAATGACGGTGGAACATTCCCTTGGGCTCTTATAAAGCGGCAGAGTTCGTCTAGCACGAAGTCCACTCTAGATCCCACCATCTCTACCTCCCCAACTGAAACTGGCCCCACACATTCCACGTTAGGCGCATCTGAACATCAATATCGCACATCGTCACTTCTCACTGTCTCCAGGCTTCAGGTCAAGATGGCTGACACCTCTTTCTTCAACTCGATTGTTCCCATGATGGGTAGCATCCTCGACGCTCTTCAAGCTATTCTCACCAAGGCCGAGAGTCATGCCAAAGAGAACAATGTTGACGTCAATGCCGAATACGCCACAGCCAAGCTATATGAAGACATGAAACCTGTGCCTTTCCAAGTTCAAGCCGTTTCTAACGGGGTCAAGTTATTTGTCGAGAGGGTAGCGGGTGTGCAGGTGGGGGTATGGGACGACGACGAGACTACCTTCGAGCAGCTCTTTGCTCGGATCAACAAGACCCGGGAGCTGCTAAACAGTGTCAAGCCAGAAGCCGTCAACGACAAAGAGAGCCAGTTGGTCGATGTGTAAGTCAATGACCAGTATGTGGAGCTTATGATTGAACTGGATATGCTAATATCAATGCAGGAAAGCTGGACCCTTTGTCTACAAGACAAGTGGTTTAGCCTATGCCACAACCTTTGCGATTCCGAACATCTACTTCCACCTACAAACCACCTATGCTATTCTGCGGATGAAAGGGGTTCCTCTGGGGAAGAGGGATTACCTTTTCTCCTTTATGACAAAGGACCCAAACTCGACGTTTGCGAAGGCATAAGATAGGTGCGCAAGAAACTGAGACCTCAGCTCGTGACGCAGTCAAATACAAAATGTAAAGAATGAGCCAATGAATCAATCACCAGATCTGGCCCTTTACGTCTGATAGTAAAATAAAATGATGACTTAATCTTGATCAAAAGCCCAAGTGCCACACCAATGACTTTTCGATGTCTGTCACAGAGTCCATCGGCTGGACAAGCCGTAGCATATGCTGATCTGGCCTGATGAGAAGACCGCCTCCGGAGTTCAGCTTCGCTTCCGTAGCAAAAAGATATCCCTGGCTCTCATAAACAAAGTCAAAGTCATCGTAAGCGACGCTCAGGTTTAATGTGACCCCGTACCGCTTCATCGCAGCCTCCAGCGCTCCGAAGCGCTGGGCCCATTGGTCTCGCGAACCGACGAGAAGGGTGAAACTATCATACGGGCATAGGTCCAATGTTGAATACTGGCGTGACTTGATGTCCTGTTCCGAGAATTCCTTGACGTATGAGACGTCGACGGGGGCCAAGTCTGCAGTCCCCAATATCCTGATCCATGCATGTGGAAGCCGAGCCCCAGGCACGAACTTGTGGGTATAGTGCGATGCGTGGGCGGGAGCTTCGTTCCTCCCATAGACATAGCCAATATGAATTTCAAGCTTGAAACATTTCAATTTGCAAGTCTCCCTTTGGTGACATCAGGTGTGTGTACTCACATTATCGAAATGTTCCCTCTGCCCCTCGACCTCATCGGCGATCATCTGCTGCTTTTCTGGATCGTGAATGCTCCGCAACAGGGTCGCCCTCGCTTCTTGGACGTCTTTGATCCCAGCAGTGCCCAGAATCTTTAAGAAGGAGAAGATCTTCTTTCCGTTCTTAACACTCTGAGCTGCGTTCACCATAGCGATAGGCCGGCGCTCCTCGACGTAAGTCTCTAAAAGCCTAGGCGTTGCCCGGCCCTGAAGCACCGCAGCAATCTTATACGCAATGTTGTGCACATCTGCTAGTCCCGAGTTGAGTCCAAGCCCCCCAGTTGGTGGGAAAGAGTGAGCCGCGTCGCCGCAAAGGAAGACATTACCGATGTGGTACTTTTTGGCGACTTTTCTGCTAAGAATCCAAGGCCTGTAACTGAGAACATCGAATGTGACGTCGTCCCGCCCAATTGCTGCTCTAACAATCTCGCGGGCAATCTCCTCAGTCCAACTCTCTAATGGCAGTCTTCTGGAATCGAAGTTGCTGATCAAGACTTGATTGCCCGATAGATCGTACGCGATGACGAAGCCTGAGCAGGCTGGATCAGCGATCCAATGCAACATGCCTACTCGTTTCCCAACTACTGGTCGCAGGTCGGCGTTGAAATGAATTGTCATCATTGTCTCATCTGAGAAGTTGATATTAGTATTCATGAATTTGGCTGTACGTTGGAGGAAAATTATACGAATGTGAGGCTTCGGTTTGATGCGATCTTACAGCTGTCTTCTCCCTCGCTCTCTACGCCGAGCCATTTGCGAACTTGGCTCTTGGCACCGTCACAGCCCAACACAAAATTCGAACGAATTTTATATGTATCCTTGGTATCTCTCATCGCCACGGTGGTAAGAACCTGACTTCCTGCCTGAAGTTTGTCAATCACTGAGATCGAACGCGATATGAAGTATCATTGAATAACGGCCACATCTGGGAAGAACTTACCTGTGAGCAGGATTCGAAAGCAACACCTTTTCTAACTTCAACGTTGGGATCTCCTGTGAGACTTTTAGCAATGAAAGCTTCAAATTCTGGCTGAGGGACATTATGGATCATCTACAATGGTGACACATTCCAGATCAGTCCAGTCCCGAAGTGCAAGAACCTAGCTCCCTCGAAGTCTACATACCTCGGGTGTATCATTTAGCACGTCAGGGTCCATTCTCTCGTATGGAAGAACCCCAATCTTCTCTCCGCTGAGGTTGGTTAGAAACTTCACCCAGTGTGCATCGTCACGAGATGTTCCGATCTGACGAAGCGCTCTCGTGTCAAGCCCAAATTGTCTGCAAAGCTCGAAGCTTCTGGGGCAGATGGCGTGGGCCTTTGGAGCAGCTAATCGTTGGGGATATTTCTCGATAACGAGGGATTTTACTGCGTGGTATCTTAGTAAATGCACGTGCTTTCTGGGGTCAAGTGGCCAAATGAAGAATTCCACAAGTCACACATGCTAACCTCCGAGCCTAGAAAGCAGATATGCAGCAAGCAGGCCGCTAGCTCCGCCGCCAACTATAAGTACGGGAACGTCGACCGGTGCTTGGCTGCTATTCTGTGAATTCATGTTGTTATGTGAGAATTACAGAAGAAAGTACGAGGGTGGTTTGCCTCCAGATCTGCGAAAAATTGCTTCATAGAGGGAGGGCAATCGCCGCAAAAGAGACACTTTTGGGGGACTGTTTCACGTGAACCCGAATACACATATGAGACCGAAAGGAAGCTAGTGTAGTAACGGTAAAAGATGCCGAGGTTTTGCAGGCGCCAGAGCATAACGTGCTTGGCACAGAGGAGTAGTCAGACTGTTTCTTATTGTGAATTCCGTAAATCCGAGCAGAGCTGCATTTACATCCCGCACGTAAAGCTTACGAAGCATCACGGACATATCAGACACCAGGCCTTCTCAGCTTCCTATCCTCGGAAATCCAAACATGAAACGATATAATCACTCACCCATTTCTTGTCCCGTGGAGAAGGTCGTGAAATGCCAACATTCGTCCTGGGAAGTATTACGTCTTTGTGTTGGAAGCGCATTGAGCCATCTCACGAGGCCTGCCCGTCAGCTTGTGTATCTGCATTGAGTGCCCACGATATATCCCGTCGGTAATAACTTCCAAGTCACCTCTTCCCAAATGCACGCGTAGTCCCTACTTCCGTTACTACCAGCCCTTTCCCTCACACCCGCTACTTTCTAGTCCTCCTAAATGTCACTTCACCCTCATGTTGTTCCTGCTACTGTCTTCTCAATGGCTTTGCTGTATTTGAATCTTTGAGCCAAATAATTTATCATGTTGATTGTCCCATGTTGAAGATGACAATTGAATTCCTCAAGCAAGTGTAGGTCAATTTCAGAGGCTGTACCGGAAAGACAGATTTTGTCTGTCTGTCATGTCCAAAAGACCTTTGTCAACCTTTTGAAGATAGCGTTGCCCTGTAGAATCGGATCTTTCTACATAACCATTCCTGTCCACTGGATTTCCCGCCTGCAATGCATCTCGTCGTTGATTTTCCTTGTTGAGGAGCCAACGAATAGCAAATAGCAGGACGAAGTTGCAGACGTAAGATGCCTAGAGTAAATATGTCAGGATACGGTGCCTTTTTCCGTGTTGAACATGGGATGAGTGTTGTACGTACGAGACAGATGCTGTATGGCACATAATTCCTGGGCTTGTACTGAGCCCTCCAGAATAGCGTGCACAGGGTCTGGCCTAGAGAGTATCCAATTAGGAAAATAGCGTTGACAGCAAGTTTCTAATATGATCCTGAGATTAGTTCAAATTATGTCAAGCTGGAGCTGAGGTACTTCATGCTCTAGATCAAATTAAGGGAGTTATGGGTTCAAGTGATTTACCTTGGTGTGGCCTGAAGATGTAATGGCGACCCAGCCCACAATCATTGCCCAAGATGGCGCTCCACCAAAGCACATTACATAGTAAGCGCAAAGAAGCCCGACTCGGTTGCTCCACGGTAGACTCATGAGCAACACGACGGCTAGCACCGATGGGACGAAGAACGCAATGGCTATCCAGCCTCTAGCATTCTAATTCAAACATGTAGGTCAGACAACTGCCCTCATTATTCTTAAACCATGACAAATGATAACTTCAGGGTCAGTCATACTCACAGGAAAACGACGGAGGATAAGTGTCGCAAGTGTAGTAGATATGATTTGAGCTGCACCCGCGGGGATATTGAGCGCTGTAGTCTGCACAGTCGTAAAGCCGAATGACTGTATGATCAGGCTATATTGCGTTCCAATGCCGTTCTGAAGATTACTGAAGAGTAGCCATCGTCAGAGCCGCTACTGGTAGACTTTTCGGAGGCAAAGCACATGGTAGGCTGTATGGTGGAAAGTGATCTTGCAGACACTAGATGGGAAGGTATATTTGGTTGGAGCTTGGACTTACGAAATTGCAGCAAGGAAGAAAAACAGCCAAGTCTTGGGGTCTCTGATTGCTTCGATAACTTGTTCATGCTTCCACACCTTCGTCTCAATGCCAATTTGGTTCGACTGAATGCGCTCTACCGCTTTGATCTTCTCGTCCTTGGTCAAGAACCGAGCCTCTACAGGGTTGTCGGGAAACAACCACCAAAATAACACGCCAAGAATTAGTGACAGAAATGTATAGACGATCAACAGTAATTGCCACTGGGCAGGCTTTCTCGTGGGACTTGAATGTGCAATACCGTAGGCGAGGAAGCCAGATATGATCTGAGCAAATCCGTTGCACTGAATGGTCCACCCGATTCGTTGCCCAATCTCAGTGCGGTTGTAGAACATGGAGGTGGCTACCATCACGCCATTGGTCATACAGCCTTCAGAAGCACCTAATAAGAATCGAATTATGACTGTATGTCCACGGCACAGGTTAGAGCCGCGCATGATTCAATAGACTAATGCAGGACCACCGAAGGGAGACTGACAAAGACCACCGAAATTGGTACACAGGCACTGAAGCCCCAGAAATAAAGCCCAAAGTAGAATATTTGCTGCCAGATATTTGCCAACGGGGAAACGCTGCAAAGCCCAGGAATGGGGATATGACCAGATAATATATCCTGTGGTATGTTCGTCAGTAGACAGCTTGCGGACGCAGTCATTGATAAGGGCTTGCCAATGTAGAATGCAGACCCGAGAATATTGAACTGGTCCGCTGTAAGGTGATTGTCAGTGATAAGCCCCAGGATGGAGGATGCTCCTATAGTTGTCCTATATATGATTCATGGCGGCGGGTCAGCTACAGTGCTGGACTCAAGTAAATAACGGGTGTCGCCCACTTGTCCAGGTATTGTACTAACGCACAAGGCAGTAAAGAGTCAGCAGGGGCGGTATGAGGGTGCGCTTGTATGTCTTTTGGGTCACTGCTTACGAATGTATACTGAGAATAGCAGAGGGAGAATAACACGGTCAATCTTGTTCCGAATTCTCCGTGCCTCGGCAGGATCCAGGGATTCATTCTCGTGGCCGGCTACCAGATCAACAGCTGTGTCAACTCCCTTGTTCTTGTTAGTATTTCTAAGCAGCGCTGAGTGTCTGGCAGTTTAGCAAGGATCAGATGTCTCTCACGTTCTCATACTGTTTCACCAGATCAACGGTATGCTGGGTCGCTGGTGATTTTTGCGTCATATTACCGATTCGAATCTCAGTTTCCGGCAGCAATCAAACTCTATGCGTTCACCAGGTGGTGAGATTTCACTAGGTTTTGAACATTCTGAAGGTGGCACTTGTTTTTCTTTTGAACTACATTGGTGGAGCCTGTGTATCTTGGTCTTGTAGCATTGGAGAGCTACAGATACCGGCTCTCACCGGCGACGTATGCAGCTTGAGTAATTAAATTTGCAGATCGAGCTTAAAGTGTATGACAGCTCTGTCAAGGATACAAGTAATTGGCCCCAAGTGCATGAAGGCGGGTAGCACTGCAGCCGCTGTACTGCCGACAGACTTGGCATTGGTGAGACTGAGCCAGTCGATAGTTAACGAAGAGAGGGGGGGCTTTACTCAGCATGACACCCTCTCTGACCAAGATTATCATCACGTCGTGCACGGGGACAAGTGATAGATTGATTTTGCGTTCTCCAATCTCAAAGGCGCTTGTTTAATCTGACTGCCTCAGTCTCGTCAGTGTCTATCAACGGCTTCAACGGCTTCAACGGCCCTGCCATGGATTTCGACAAACTAATCGACCCAGTGACCTCCACTGGGACACTTACGTCCTTACTGCCAATGATCAATTTTTACTCAATTCTCATAGGATTTATTGGTATCTATTCAGCATGGCTTGCAATCTACCGGCTGTATCTTAGTCCCTCGGCAAAGTTCCCAGGCCCACGACTGGCGGCTCTCTGTTACTGGTATGAATTCTATTACGACGTTTGGCCGCATGAAGGACAGTACACTTGGAAGATTCGTGAACTCCATGAGAGGTACGGTATGTATGCCACAATAGCGAAACGAAGTGCAACGCAAGTTTGCATAGCTCAAAGAGAGACATTTCATGCTGACTGGCAATTTGAGGCCCCTTTGTCCGCATCAACCCATGTGAGGTTCATTGCAACGATCCAAATTTCTTCAATGTTCTATACGTCAGCTCGGCAAAGAGGAAAACCGACAAGTGGATATGGGCTGTTCGCCAATCGTAAGGCTTCAACGTCTTGGGAAAGCATGAGATTACGCTCACCGAGAACAGTTGGACGCGCATGTCATCCTTTAAGACTCTCCCGCATGATCTGCACAAGAGGAGAAGGAACCAAGTAGCTCCTTTCTTCTCGAAATCTTCGATCAGAAGACTCGAGCCTCTCATCATCGGCAAGATCAACAAGCTTTGCTCAAGGCTCGAAGAAAAGTCTCAGTTAGATCCGACATCAAAGGGAGTAGTAAACTTGACGCATGCCTTCATGGCGCTCACAGGCGATGTCATCACCAAAGTATGTTTTGGACAGCCCAGCGGCTTTCTAGACCTCGAAGACTTGGGCAGAGACTGGTATGAAGGCCGGGTTGTCGGGAGTCGTTCAAATCACCTTCTCCGCCAATTCCCGTGGCTCTTTTTGTTACCCTTGGGCCGGCTTTCAGGAAGAAAGTCAAGAGTGGCGGCAAGCCTGTTGTATGCACAGGAGAAACAGAAAGAGCTTCATCAGCGGGTGACAACTCTGGTAGAAGAGCATTCTGCCCAAATCACGGATGAGAAGGTCCCCGACAGCCCAGAAGATGATAGTCTGCCTGCTAATGTCTTCGCATCGATGCTTGATGCCGACGTACCGCCCTTCGAGAAGTCTGTTTCCCGGCTGACGGAGGAGGCGTTCACATTGAGTGGTGCTGGAACAATGACAACGGCAAACGCCCTGAACGCTATAGTCTACTACCTTCTCAGCCGACCAGAGTGCCTCGCAAGCCTCAGGGAGGAGTTGCGCAGGGCCTACCCGGACCCCTCCACAATTCGTTCAACTGCGGATCTTGAAAGGCTTCCTTATCTAACGGCAGTGGTAATGGAGGGATTGAGGCTGAGCAAGGGGCCCCCTCATCGTTTTGCCAGAGTTTCTCCGGATGAGGACTATTCGTATCGACGCCCAGACGGTCACGTCGAGATGATCCCCCGCGGGATCCCAGTCGGCATGTCGTTCATTGACATTCTGGAAGATCCAAAAATCTTCCCCGAGCCCGACGCTTTCAGACCTGAGCGTTGGCTGCCATCGGCACTCGGCTCGATTCCCGAAGAGGCGGCATTAGGTGAAGATGATGGTGGTGAGATGACTGAGGATTCAGCGAGTCGCCGTCGTAAATGGGCGCTTTCTACCGTCTTTGGTGGAGGATCACGAATGTGTATTGGGCTCCACCTCGCTTACTCCGAGATGTACTTGACCACTGCTATCCTCGTGTCGCGGTTTGGCCATCGACTCGAGCTCTATGATGTTGACTTCGAGAGGGATATCAAAATCACGATAGACGGCTTTGATGCTTATCCTGGCCGAGGTCATAAAGGCTTGCGAGTGATGGTTCTGCCAGAATAAGCTCGGCAACACGTCGGTGCGTAAGGTCTCTGCGTGAGGTATAGGAGACCGTGGACCGGGAAGGGCTTTCAGGGAAAGCTTATGAAGGAGACTACTATCAGAATCTCATGCATCTTACCCGAGACTGAGTACCTAGTCAAGCGCCCCAGTAGCTAATGCGAAACGTGATGTGCGGCCGATCCTGACTCTTTGTTTCCTCTTAGTAGATCCATCGGTCCAAGATGCGAGACCGAGGCGATCAAAATTTGTCAAGGCTTTGGGGAGCGAGATTGGCTGTAATGAGATTAATAATTGAAAATGATTATTTGGTATGCCTTATTGATTATCTTCCCGACGACTTTTCCGCTTTGACCTCACTTATGACTGGTTGCTGCATGTTCTCATCTTCCGCAAAGGGCCCAATCCAGGCGCGAGTGTAGTTATCCACGTCTACCAGTCGTCCAGGGTGCCGTAAGCCTGTCTCCAGGACTTCATCCTCTTGATACTCCAGGCCGCCCTTCCCATGTTGTCCAAGGGGCGGACTCTGCATCTCGATGTCGTGCCCGCCTCCCTGTTTCCCGTTGTACGGCTGCGGCTGATCGTCATCTTTCCACCGCCGTTGTGGGTCGAGGGAGATGTGGTAAGTACTTTCCACCCTGAACTCCCTCGTGATGAATATTTCCTGTATCTTTTGCGAGACCACTGGCCAGAAGACGGGGATGGAGCCCAAAATGCAGGAGAGCCTGTTTTCCGCTTCGCCGAGGACGAATATCTTGACGAAATCGTATGTCAAATCCGCTTTGTCACCCTCCTGGTTCAAGACGTGGTTTGTAACCAGGCGCAAGCCGGCAATCACATTAATGCTAGTAAGATGTATCAGCATCATCCACTAGCCTTGGGTCATTTCCGACAGGCGGCGTCTACTTACGCAATCCCCAGGCCAAATAAAACCAACAGGCCGACCTTTGTCTTACGCGAGGTGTCCCTCCGGAACAGCAGGGGAATGGGGAGGAGGAAGATCATGATATCGAGCGCCATGTTGATAGCATTGGCGGAAAGGACTGCTGCGTATAACTCGGTGCCGTCTCTAGAACCGTAGCTATGGCTTGGGTAAGCAGGTGGTTTGTATTAGATAAGACATCGATATGAGGATAGCGAGCTCACCCATAGCAGAATGCCTTTACTTGTCGGCGCCAGAAACCCTCCACTGGGAAACACGGGAACCAGCCCATGAACGCAAACGCGAGACCATATGCGCAAGTAAGGATGGTAAGCCCGATACAGAGCCGTCGGAGCCGCGGGTCCACGAAGGTCCGGAGGTATTGCAGAAGCAGTGAGACCTTGACCAGAGAGTTGCTGGTGGTGAACGATGCGTTTGAAATCCAGAATATCTTTGAACTGTATCAGCAAAGCCAGCACCAAAAGATTGTATGCAGTCGAGCTAGTTTACCTTAACTAATATTTCCAGATCCCCTGGTGCGATATCACGCATATGATGTCCCATGCCATATCTAGTTGCTAGAAAAGAGTGAGTGAACGTTCAAGGATCAGCTCAACGTTATGGGTAGCCTCCTACCAACAGCCAAGCTGATCCCACTTGTAGATCCGAAGACCTGTGAATGCTTCTTGTCAGCCTACTCATCCTCGGTGGTCTGAGTTGAGGATCGACAGTTGCGCATACCAAAGCGAGAACGATGAAAAAGTCATCCCATCCGGGCGCACGAACGATCCGGAACCGTGTGTAAAGCCGAAGAGCTACAGCGATCCACGCCAAAGCCTAGTTAATAGGCATTTACATTAGTCTCAGCTTCAGCGTTCTGCAGTCGAGTGGACGTACTAGAAATGGGACCAACACGGCAATGAAGTCAGTTTTGCGGTTTGGCCAGGACAGTCCATCGTCGGTATAGGTGCGATGGTCGGCAATAGCCGCCGTGGAGCTTAGATTGCCCGACATGTCTGCCATGGGAGCAAGCGAGGGGAAAGAGCAACCAGGCCCAACATTACATCTTAATAATTCCTCAAGGTGGCCAAGCGTTGGCAGAATAGTGGGGGGCAAAGCTCTAGAAGAATGCTATAAGAGGCGCGCCGCCCGGAAAGGCGTGCCAATATAATCTGGCCCGGGCCCCTCGCCTTCCGACCGTCCGGAAGATCGTCGGAGGATACCTGGCTAATACGATGCAAACATTATACGAGACAGGCTTCAAATGACGGACGGGACACAAGAATGGCAATAGGGCGGCTTGAGGTCGCTTCGATTGCATTTCCGCCCGTGTCAGCAAAGCGACCGGCAAATGACTCGACGGGCCTCCGACACCGTTGGCACACGTCCAATATGCTTGTCCAAACGCAGTGCCGAAGCTTAAACATAGTCTGACTCGCCTCTCCCCTGCATGCGGGCGACGTTTTCGGTGGCAGCTGGGAATAAGCTTTCGGCTGTTTGCCCACGGACTATTTGTCCTGGCCGTCAAACACGCCCCATCACCCTGGCCCTGCCACCCACATGGCAGCATGGCAGCATGGCAATACCCAACGGGGCTGGGGTGGTATATAGGAAGCAGGCCGTTTCACGTGGAGGCGACGTCGTTCCTCCACTAGGGCTGACATTTCCAGTTTCAGATAGTCTGGCGAGAGCTCAGATCCTATGCTGGTGATGGCGCCTTGTTGGCGTGAACCATGTTGGGATTGGCAACTTCCCATGCCTTGGCACCTGACCGGAATATCCGTGATGTGAATATAGGGCGGTCTCGACCTGACCTCTGGCGAAGTTCTTTGGGCGAGCTCAGATGCTGTTGTTCCAGCAGTGTTGCACTTAGGCAGTTCAGGTAGCTAGGCGTGCTAGGGTAGCTAAGCCAGGTAGCATCCAGGTCTGTCACAGCAGTCTGCATGTAAGCACACCGCATGGTCCTGCAATCAATCAGCTGAGGTTGCAGAATTGCCGAAGGATATTATAGAAAGGGATCTAGAAGGAATTGTTTCAATTCAAGCACCAAGTCGTCAAACATCCAGATTTATACTCGGTATAGGTTGTAGTTCTGTAATGGATTATCTTATAGGAAGGGTGTGTTGGTCGGGTAATAGGTGGCCATATGAGGCTCCGTGAGTTATCAAGAAAGGCGAAGTTGCTCCCGAAAACCAGGAGCCCGGACGAGCGGCCGACAAGGTTCGAATAAGCCGTCGCATGAGGCAAAACGACTTTACGTGATTCACTGGAAACCCATGGACGCTCAAGTGCAACCCAAGACGCCGGGTAAGGTCGGTGTCACACCAGAGACTACCAAGACCACAGGGTGACATCCGACATGGTCGGACGGCACATGTTTATATCGGCAAGTGGGAGCAGGAAAGCTTGCATTACACATCATCCTCCGCTAGAAGGCGGTTTTCCTGCAAACATCTGCCTAGCAGTATTCCAGTGCCACGCAGCCCCATATGCTCAGCAAACCCGCGACCTAGAAGGCAATCCACAAATCAAACGCCGACGCTATGCTTAGGAAAAGGTCACAACACACACGAGGCGGCCGCGGCAGGGCTCGTTCAGGCACCGGATATATCTCTTCCGGGTCCTAAATACCACTCTGCATCCTTCTTTCTGAGAAAACCGTTCGTATCGAAGAGGTCATCCTCACCGGGCAGCTTTTATGCGCTCTAGTGTTGAAAATAGCCCTGGGCTTCACACAGTCGAATGCAAGTGGTCTGGTCAACTAACCCGGCTTGAATCATGACCTGCTTCGCATACAAAAGGGCCAAGGCCTCTCAACCCAGCTCTTCACCGCTTAGACTTGGAAGGTGCCAACAAGAGGGAACATAAGCTTCCAGGTTCGTCATAGAGATCAGCGCTCGAGTCACCAAGCACCATATGAACAAAAGTCCTGGTAACTGAACTGAGATGACCCAGGTATAAGAGATTCTTCACCATCTTCCTCTGGAATTAAACTCCCCGGACAGTCAAAGTGAATATGTGTCTTCCGCTTTGGTTTCCTGCGCCCCATCCCGTGAGGGTGATACGAGAAATGTATGGACAATCGATCATCTTTGTGCAGCCCTTGTGCGCCACCTATATTCTCGAGGGCTGACGCAAGTCCTCAATGTGAAAATCTAACTGGTTGGAGTGATAGACATGGCCGCCCGGGTGCTTAGCGTCGGTATACAGACCGTTGATGCTATGCTGGTGAAAGGTGGAGGACTGTGTGCAGTGGAGGATGTGGTCAAGCCCTGGTGGATTCGTGAGTCGGAAGATGCCGTAGCTATGTGGATGTTAGCCGAGATCCGAATATCCATCCATGCTCATGTTCAGGGTGGGAACACAAGAGGAAAAGGGTGGGCCCAATGCTTACGAAGGGTCAGATCTTGGAGCACAAACGATGGCGATACTCTCCGGCATCATGACCTGATAGCCAGACTGAGTATGCAGATCTCTGGAGCTCATGAAGCACGTTTGAGTCGGATGGGTATGTATCCATCCAAACACCATGAGGTCCTCCCTCATGCAGAACTCGATGACATCTTCCTCGTTGTCCGTCTCGCAGGTGTCGGTGGTGCATGTCTGCTTTGGTATTACGAGGCAGCTTACAAACAAGGCGTTGTTGACTGATGTCCCGCACAGTATGCCACACATCTCGAGTCCCTTTCTAGTGTTTTGTGCAGCAATGGTGAGGAACTCGTCACGCAGCCTATCTGGCAGGAACACTGGCCGGATAGGAGTGCCATTCTCGAGGTAGGCCGCTGGCCTGAAGGTGTAGCGCTCTTTCCGGTCCATCGACTTCGGTGGCAGCTCTGGGGCCTGGGGCTGTCCGGTCGGCGAGGACGTGTTATATGCTGAGTCGAGTGAGGCGACAGGGTCCTTGTTCGGTCGCGGAGGGGCGGACTGTGGCTCGTAACGGGACTGCGATGAGGGCTCTTTCGCTGGACGAGGAGGTGGGCGAACAGGGCGGCGGTTGTACGTGTCACCGACAGAACCCTCGTACTGCGGCACCGAGGATCTCGAAATGGAAGGGTATTGGTAAGATGGTCGTCGATCATAAACACTGTAGCTGTTTGGTCGTGATGAGTAGTTGCTGTCCGGGCTTGGTGGTCGTCCGGCTTGGTCGCTTTGGTCCAGTCTGCGTCGCGCAGCGTCCATGTTGCGCCTGATGTCATCACCATCATCACGAGCGCCCCTTCCATCCCGAGGGACAGGAATGTCCCAGTCGTCCCAGAGTCCAGCGCCGCGTCGTGCCTGCTCTTCCTCTTCCGAAATCCCAGCTTGGCGGGTCGCCTTACGAGCCGCATCTCGCCGTCTGATTTCTCGTTGGGCAAGGTCGACTGCCAGGTCCTGATGCTCGCCTGCATCCAACAGCTTGGCCCGGACGTTTGGGTTCCACGACAGTGCTGGATCCCTCGCCGCCTGTTTCTCGTAGGGGGACTTCTCTCCTTCCAGCTGAACGGATCCATCGCGCTGGCTCGCATGTATCTTGACCCATTCATCGTGGGCTTCGGCAATCTGGGGCTTCAGGTGGGCCAGCGTGTCGATGACCTTTGGCAGGCCCGCAGCGAGCGGCTTCAGTCCCCTTTTCCCTTCGGGTGTCTTGGCCTCGGGATGCTTGGGAAGGTGCTCTAGAACGAGGGTCGAGTATCGGAGGAGGAGGAGGTAGGCTTGGCTCATGTTGCCTTCCCGAGCATACATGTTGCCCTGCGAGGGACCAGAGTGTTAGCAGCGAAAGGGCGGAGTGGCTGCAAAGACGATGGTACCTGACGGAGGAGGGTATCGGCGGCGCGCAGCCATTGCTTCAGGGCGACGAGACCATTAAACTCGAACTTTCTGGCCTCCACGTCAATCTCCTTGACACTCAGCGGCCGGTCTGGCAAAGTCCAAGTGGTGTTCATATTGGGCGACCTCGCTGGACTGTGCCGTCAAACGGTCTGGTGAAGAAGGTGGCTAGACGATCACTTCGGGGTGGCGGCGCATGTCGGAATGCGATAGGAAACGGTTGGGCTCGGCACAGGAGAGGAGGCGACGCGAGGTGGTACAATCAGTCAGTTGGTTAGTCGGTCGGTCAGTCTAGAGGAAGACTGTCTGACTACAGACTGAAAGTCTTGGAACACACGAGGTCCAGCATGCGCAGTGGGAAGGCAGGCAGAATACGACAGATATCACTGCAGCGTAGACTGTTGTCGTGTGTTTCGGCGATGGTTGTCAGTTAATTAATTTCTGGGCCGGCTCGTGTTGCAGATCAGGCGCCCACGCGTAGGCGGGCAGCGGACTAGCAAGGCTACCAAGGTACATGGCACTGCGCCCGCCAGAGGCAGCGTACACATCACTGTTGGGAGCTCGGCCTGGGAGCCCCGCGATCGATCATCGCCCTGCCGTCGGGGGATTCTTGGCGGGGCACTTGATGAGCCCGCCTGGTCAGTGCGCTTATCGGACCTGCGGGTGACCTAAGCATTCCGATACCGATATCGATAAGGGGACCAAAGAAAGCAACAACAGAATTAATTCTTCTCGAGTCTCTTGTCATAACTCAGATGTTGTCTCCAAATCAATACATAGATCTCCACATGTACCTAATTACGATATTGAGCTTATCTACTGTTCCCAATTCAGCATTTGAACTCTGATTGAAGCCAAGATATGCGAAGGGTAATCACTGGAACTTTTCTTCATGTCCGTTACCACCATTTCTTGATTGCCTCTCTCTCTATCTCTGCCAATTTGCGCAGAGTTCGTCACCATCTACAGTAAGCAGAGACATTCGCCCTTGAAGTTGGCAATCTTGGAATGTAGATCTGAACTACGTGCCAAGGGCGATCCTTTCAAGAGACTGAGAAAGCAGGTTGAGACAGAATGCAAGAGAGGTGTCACTTATTACCCTAGGCATATGCTTCCACGGACACCCGAGATTTTGAATGCGGTGGGCCTGATATTCCAAACAAGAATGAGATGGCCCAAACTCAGGACCAGCAGAGATTGCAAATAATTTTCGCAATATCTCCCCTGCTCAAGTGGTGCTGATGAGGCAAACACTTTGCTGTCCTTGCTGCTGTCCCTTGCCCTGTCAGCCTGCCCTGCGCCGCCCTGACGAAATGCTGTCCAGTGGTTCAGCGGTCCTGCTGTTCCAGGCCCTGCGCTGGGGCGCTCATCTCCGACGGTCGGGAGAAACCGGGACAGCACTCTCTTACCATGCCTCAGCGCCTGGACCACATCGTCCAACTTCTGTAACCTACGAACAGCCAACTCTGACGCCTGCTGGGCTGATTTTCCCGACTCTCACACAGATTCAGTGATACAAATTTCTGCGTCCTGTCTTGCATTGCCCACACTGACTCTCTGCTGGCCCCCACGCAAGGGATTGCAAGCGCAATCTCGACCAGCCTTCTGCACGCCGTAGTCTCCCGATTCTGTCTGTCATGCCACGCCATCCTGAGGCTCGTCCCGCCTCGGAACATGGCCGCCTACTTCCGTGTCTCTGGTTGCCAGTGTTTACCCAGCCCTTAGACGAGGCTGTAAGGCTGGCACAAAGTTTTGCCCGTACGATATAAAGCCTGCCCGTCCTCGAGACGGGCTGCTCACCATAATCAAGTCGTTCATCACGTTGTCATTACCGTATTCACACACACACCAAACCAACTCTTCATATATCAGCACGCATCTGACTCTCTCACTCAAGAGTGCCTCAAAATAAATTTAGACAAAGTAAACAACATGGGTTTCCAAAATCAAGACTTTACCGCAGTTCTCGATGCCAAGTGCCGAGGTATGTATGAACACAAACAAAACCCACTCCCGTATTATCCAATCAACCATGCTAACAAACCCACTTCAGAAACCATTGAGACCTCATACCCTCTCTTTGTGATACATCACAACCATGTCACCACCATTCCCGATGAGACAATCTTCCACCTCTGCCGCTGCATCTTCGCCTCGGCCCTGCAAAAGCTGCCCGTCCAGAACCAAGACGCAATAGACTTCCTGTGCCTGCGCAAGATGCTCTCGTCCATCTTCGACGCAGACCACCGCGCCTTCGTGCTCGACGAGCCGGACCAGCGCATCCTGGCGACCATGGACGCGGACGCCAAGGCCTGCATCTTCGCGCAGGCCATCGCGGGCCTGGTCTACCTGCTGCGCAAGGTGGCCACCTGCAGCCACACGCTGTCGCCCGAGGTCTTCGACGCCAAGCTGCAGCGGTTCGCCGCCAGCGAGGAGCGCAAGGTCATGCTCGACGCCATCGAGAAGAGCCCCGTGTGGTCCAACTGCTTCGAGAAGGCCCACATCGGCAACATGATCATGGACGCCGTCAGCGGCAAGCCCGTCGCTGGGGCCGAGGTCGTGGCCGCACCCGAGAACAAGAAGCGCGGCACCGAGGTGTCCGTCGTGGAGGTCAGCGAGCAGGACCTCGTCACCAAGCAGTTGTGGGACGACGGCCCTCACATGCAGAGGGATTTCGGCGTGCCCGATGTCTTCCAAATTATGGTTTTGAACTAGAGGGTCATTGCATGGGCGCTGGCAAGCAAAGTCAGCGGTATTTGGGACGGCGATAGAGGGCATCACAGGCGGGGATAAAAGGCGCAGTAACACAAGCATTGGTACCGGTACTGGGGTTTTTTGGATTTTCAGGCCTGGCGCTCATCTCCTAATCATGAGCGTGGCGTTGGGATTGGAATTGGCATTTTGCATTTTGGACCTGGCATCTGGTATCTTTAGATGAATAGAATGCCTCCCTCAGAACATATCATTCTCCATTCAACTCCATTTTCCAGTCCGGCCACTTGCGTGACATTTTAACGAACCGTGATGTTTTGAGAGGTCATCAGCGTCTTCCCTGGGTGCTTCCGCAGGTGACGCACCCGCCCAGGCCACGTCGCTGTGAGCTTGCTTGCTTCCCTGCTTCTCTGCCAGGTTCCGTCACACGCATGCACTCACGCACACACGCGGTCACCCACTCATGCCTTGGCCGCGCCAGCCGCGGCGGCAGACTGGCCCTGGGCGGCAGACTGGGCGCTGGTCTGGATCCTGATGATGTCGCCCTTGATCTTCTCGAGCTTCTCCTGGGTCTCCTTGATCTGGGCCTCCTGGCGGGTGATCTCCTTGTTGATGAACTCGAGGCGGCCGTCGACGGTAGCCTCCGCCTCGACCTTGTCCTGCTTGAGCAGCGCGGGCCCCACGAGCTTGTAGATGGCCTCGTCGTCCTTGAGCTTGCCGAACTCGCTCTTGACGCCGCTGTTCTCCTGCCTCTGAGCCTCGAGCTTCTGCCGCGACGACACTGTGGTCTGCAGCTCTGTGAGGAAGGGTTAGCGTTGCGGTCTCATACGATTCCATTTGTGTGTGCACAAACCTGTTTGTAATTTGGTAAAGTCCTCTGAGAGGGCCTGCAGCTTGGCCTGTGCCTCTGACATATTGTGAGCGATATGTGAGGTGTGGCTGTAGTGTTTATAGACTAGGTCAAAGTGGCCGTCGGCGGTGCTGGCTCAGGGGTCAGGGTGAGTTTCCGTCCGTCCCCTGATGAGTTTTGCGATCTTGATCTTATCTGGGAGGATCCTTGGCAGGCTTCAAAGCTGTGCTGATACTAGGCTGTCTATGAAAGGAAAGATGAAATAGATTCTGTATTCAGACACTCAATGAAGCATTGTGCTTTGAAAATGCAGCAGAGAAGAGACCAGTACTGAATGCTATGTTTAGGTAGGTTGTCTGCATTGTCCATCTGTGTGTTGTGTGTGTATCCTGTGGTTGGCACTCAATTCTGCCAGCTGAGTGAGTGTGGATGAGCCTCATTGTCCCTGTACCTGGGGGTACGGAGCACGCACTTCCCGCGCACTGGGTCAGGTCCAGCAGATCTGGTGCACTTAGGCTTTGTGTGTGTGTCTAGCTCAGTACCTCAGTACAGTAAACTACCTAACCCAGGTATGGAGTACCAAGGTATGGGGCCTGGAGTAACGTCACTTGTGCTCTAGCCTGCCAGTCCAGGCGCCGCTGTCTCTCTGCCCTTTCGACCCCGCCAATCCAAAAGAAATGGCGTGCCAAGGCCAGCAAGACTCCAGCTCGAAACGTCCACTCGTCCCAGGCCACTGACTGCTGAGTCCTTACTCAGTCGTATCTCGGCACCTCCTCCAACTATCCCTCGACCCGACTTGTCTGCCATTAGAGTGACGCCGATTGCGATTGCGACTGCGACCATAGCTACCGAGCCCACGGCTCTCGACTGGTGAAATCCTGCCTGCACGGCCCGGTGTTGACATCCTCAACCAGCGGGGCCACTATCAGCTCCTCCATCTCCACATTCGCCTCCGCCTCTGAACCCCCCTCCTCCGAGCAATAATAGCAGCAGCAGCAACAGCAGAAGCGGTGCCGACCGCAAAACAACACAACCAGCCATCATGTCCAACACCGACTTCCTCGGTCGCGCAATCGACCAGGTGCGCAAGGCCATCGAGGCCGACAATGCGGCCCAGTACGACAAGGCCTATCAGATGTACTACCAGTCGCTGGAACTCTTCATGCTCGCCCTCAAGTGGGAGAAGAACCCCAAGTCCAAGGAGATGATCCGCACAAAGACCGCCGAATACATGGACCGCGCCGAGAAGCTAAAAGCTCACCTGTCCGACGCCGACGCAAAGCGCAAGAAACCTGGCATGGTGGGTGCTAATGGCTCCTCCACCGGCGGCACGGGCAAGGGCAAGGAGAATGGCGAAGACGGCGCCCCCGTCGACGAGGACAGCAAGAAGTTGCGCAACGCCCTGGCCGGCGCCATCCTGCAGGACCGCCCCAATGTCAAGTGGGAGGACGTCGCCGGCCTCGAGGGCGCCAAGGAGGCCCTCAAGGAGGCCGTCCTACTGCCCATCAAGTTCCCCCAGATGTTCCAGGGAAACAGGAAGCCGTGGAAGGGTATCCTACTTTACGGGCCTCCCGGTACGGGAAAGAGTTACTTGGCTAAGGCGCTGGCCACCGAGGCGAAGAGCACCTTCTTCAGCGTGAGTAGTTCGGATCTGGTGAGCAAGTGGATGGGAGAGTCAGAAAGGTACGTCCGCCTCCGCGAGGAACAGACTGAGGAAGCACGAGGAAAGACAGGCGCGCTAACATGCTCGTCCCGACAGGCTAGTCAAACAACTCTTCAACATGGCCCGCGAGAATAAGCCATCCATCATCTTCATCGACGAGGTCGACGCCCTGTGCGGGCCCCGTGGCGAGGGCGAGTCCGAGGCCTCGAGGCGTATAAAAACAGAGATGCTGGTTCAGATGGACGGTGTCGGCAAGGACTCGACGGGCGTGCTCGTGCTGGGCGCCACAAACATCCCCTGGCAGCTGGACGCGGCCATCCGACGGCGTTTCCAGCGCCGCGTGCACATCTCGCTGCCCGACATCGCGGCGCGGACTACCATGTTCAAGATCGCCGTCGGCGACACCAAGACCAGCCTCAAGTCAGAGGACTACAGGGAGCTGGCCAAGCTGAGCGAGGGCTACTCGGGCAGCGACATTGCTGTCGCGGTGCAGGACGCGCTGATGCAACCCGTGCGCAAGATTCAGCAGGCTACACATTTCAAGAAGGTACGTGCTTTGACGCTTTTCTGATATCTACGTTCATTCAGGACCCCGCATCGTTCACCTTTTGGCTAACGCGGTATGGCAACGACAGGTCGAGTTAGACGGCCAGGAGAAGGTAACGCCCTGCTCGCCGGGCGAGCCTAATGCAATAGAGATGACGTGGGAGGAGGTGGATACGGAACAGCTGCTCGAGCCCATCGTCGACTTCAAGGACTTTGTGAAATCGGTCAAGTCGTCGCGGCCGACGGTGTCGCAAGAGGACCTGAAGCGGAACACCGAGTGGACACACGAGTTTGGCAGCGAAGGCTCATAGTGTGCGCGTGCTTCTGCAGATGCGTTAGAGTGCGGATGATAGAACACCGCGGGCCAAGCAGCGGCAGCCGCGGCAGCTCAGCAGATGCAGTAGGAAGGGCTATCGCTGAGCATCACGGCTTCGAGCTCCGTGGACGAGATATGAAGATCATGTGGGGTTTAGGCAGCGAGAGGGAGAGAGCTATGTGAGGTTGTTGCGGCGAGCATGGAACAGGGGAGAGTCTGAGCGGGCACAGCAGTACCAGGCTTGAATGGAAGGCCACTCTCAGCGGTGCATGCAGAGCAGAGAGGGGGAGGGTTATGACGACGGTGTTGATGTCGATATCAAATTAACTACTAAAGAAGCAAGCGAGCAAGCAAGCAGACGGGCGTCGCGGCGTTTAAATTTCTCTCACACAAAGCATAGGCCAAGGTCCCGGCGGGTGGTTGGATGGGCGGATGGGCTGGTCGATACATTTAAGGGCAAAGGGAATTGACAAAAGAAAAGAGAGCAATTCTGTAAATCCAATAATCGAGTAAAACACACAAAAAGTACTGTGAGCACCGCAGTGCTGATGTTGAACTTTTCACTGATACTTTCTTTCTTTTAGTTTTCCCCTTCCTGCAGCTACTACAGCTAGATGGGTATGAGGTTTGATTGATCGATTGATGATACAACACGTCGTGTCCAGTCAGTCAGCCAGTCAGCCAGTGGGCCAAAGCGGCCATATCAGAAAAAGATTTCGACTGAACAAAAACACAGAAAAAATGAATCCCTAACTCCAATGCCGATATCTCCCACGCCCTTGCAACTCCGAGACGAACCCAAGAACAGATCAATAGGAATGGAAATTCCCCGTGCGAGCTAACAGATCTCAGATACCCCCAAACCCGCCGGCCTTCTGCTTCTATGCAAACCCGAGATGTGCCTTGTGTTCCACAGAGGATCTCGCCTTTTCTTGGCGCTTCTTCTGCTGCTTCAAGAGACGCTTTTGGGCGCGTAAGATCTTCTTCGTCGTGAAATTATGGGTCAGAGGTGAAAGTTTCTTGGCCTTCCCCTTCTTAACCTTTGCCGGCCGCTCTGGCTTCTTCCGCATCTTGTCATCGGCGTCTTCCGCGCTGCGGCCAGGGCAAGGCAGAGGTTCAGGAGAATCCAGAAGGCTGACCTTTCTTTTCCCACCAGGCTTGAGGACTGAAGGTTCAGGTAGAGTTTGCGGGGTGTCAAGAGGCAAATTATCAGAAGACGAAGCATTCTAGGCCTCCACCTTCTTGTCCTTCTTCTTCTTCTTTTCCTTCTTGTCACCATCTGCATCGCTCTTCCTCTTCTTCTTGTCTTTCTTGTCAGACTTCTCTGTTGGCTCGTCGATGTCCATGGCCTCACTCTTGCGCTTCTTCTCTTTCTTGTCCTTCTTGGACTTCTTGCTCTCCTCGACCTCCTGCGCGGGGTGAGCGTCAATCATCTCAGTGTCGATGGCAAGGTCATCATTGCCATCTCCGAGAATGGCCTTCATTGCGTTGCTCATTGCCTCCTCATTCTTGATGGGCTTCTTGCCGGTGGCGTAAAACTCCAACCGGTCCTCAAGCTGTTGCCGCAGGACCTCACCGAAACGTGCTGAGGGGTGTTCTGAGAAGTTATCGATACGAGACGCCATACTGCACTTGTTGGCCAGGTATCTGCTGATGCGACCCTTGACACGGGGACCGGCACGTCCAATGAAGGATGATTGGTAGATCAAACCGTACTTGGGTGTGGCACCCTTGGTCTTGAGGGCACGGAAAAGAGCCTTCTCGGCACCGAGAATCTGGAGGGTGGAAGCAGGGTACTTGGCGAGGTTGGTGAGCGAGCCGGCATGTGAGATCAGACGTGCGGCGACGGGTGTTCCGAGGATGCACTGCAGGTTGGGGGCGACTTGACCCATCTTGGCGTCGAGGGAGTTGGAAAGGGATTTCCTGTAGTCGGCCATCTTGCTGACGGAGGTGGCAAATGACTTGACCATGATCATGTCGGACTCGGTGATGTCCAAGCCCATGGAGATCTTAGCGGCATTGATGATGTCCTGTGCCTTCTCACCATCGTCGTCGATCACAGCGGCGATCTCGTGCAGCTTGTCATCGCTCAGGGACTTCTTGTCACCGATGGCCAGAACCAACTTGGCGTAAGTACCATTGTCGGACACAATCTTGACCAGCTCGGGGAAGTGCCAGCCGTACCACTCGCGAACGCGCATGGAGCCCTGGTTGATGCCCTTGTCGAGCGCATCCAGTGTCGCGATGGCCTGGATGATGTGGTTGTCGTTCTTGTGCACGCTGAACTTGACCTTTGCGCGCGAGTAGGCGTGACCCATGCCGAGCTGAGCGCGGCCCAGATCACCATCTTGCAGGCCCTTGAGCAACTTCTCGGCGTGCACCCTGATACCGCGGAGGAGGTCTGCGACAACCTCTGAGGTCTCACTCGTCTCGCATTCGACGCCCTTGAAGGTGGAGCTGATCTCGCCGGCAAGCTTCTTGTCTTGGACACCGAGGACGATCTTGGACTTGTTGCCACTGGTCTGGGGGAGGTTCAACTCGAGGATGGACTTGAGATAGTCGGGCATGATACCCTCGGAAATGAGGTTGACATTTTCAAGGGTCTCGGCGGCGTTTCTGTCAAAATATGTCAGCGACGAGGCCCTGAAGCAATTATATCGGTCCTCGGTCGCAGTAAGTGGTGTCCTACCGGTATGGGGTGAAGTTGACGAGCTTCACATGTTTGCTGAAAGTCGCGAGGCTCTGAAGTGAGTTCTGCACCTCTTTCAGCTGCAGGCCAACGCTGTCGGCCTGGTTGACGACCTCGAAGACGGCATAACCAGCCGCCGACTCATACAGCAGATAATTGATGTTGGCCATCTTGATGGGGAAGTCTGGCAAGACGGCTGTGGCAGGAGTGCTGCTGCTGCTGCTGCTGCTGCTGACAGAGAGTGTGGATGTCGTTGCTTTAGACAGCCGGCAGCTCGAAGTTTTTTTTTCTTTACGATCCAAAATTTCTCTCTGCAGTTGGAGCTGCACCCAGACCAAGCGCACTGCACCGGCCCATGGATGGTGGGACATCCTTGTCCACGCTAGTCTCAGTGCACTAGCGATACCCCACATTACACCCAGCTGTGAGACGGCCCGTCGCCACAGCCACCAGCTGGTAGATCCCTACAGTACGGTGCGGTATGAGAGGACCCCTCGACGTTTGGATGTCGGCGGGTGGCACGGATTCAACGGTGTCGTCATCTTCCGAACGGCCGCCCATCAAGGCTGAAGCTCCATTTCTTGCAGCTGAGCCACCTCGTTCTTTGCCTCTGCAGGTTTCAAGATCCGAGCTTCATTGGAAGTAAACAAAAACGGCCCCTCAATTATTACTCGGTCTCGGGCTTTCTCGCCTGCACCATCTCCATCATGTTCGACAAACTCAAGGAGAAGGTGAAGCATGGTATGTTCCTGGCGGGTCTTCTCCAGTTTGTCTGATATGTCACATCATTTGCCGTCTCGGAAACTGCCATCTTGATTGTCTCTGTTAAGGCCGACAACGTGTGTCTTCCTAGGCTAGCTGGCTAGTTGACGCACGCCTTCATGGACATCCATCCATTCCCTTGTCAAATCACTCGAATCAAAGACGTCCTTGTGCTCCCCAGCTCCTCAACACCCCTGACACAACAGCTGTCATCGCCCCCCTTCTGCCATGTTTGGCCGGCTGGCCGCCCCTCCTTAGTATTAGCTACGCCACAGTACCTGCATATATCCGTACTCGTTTACACGTACCCGCGAGGCAGTGACCACCTCGTTCCCTCTTCACCATGCTAGCTAGAGGCCGCCTGTTGTCCATTATATCAGTCTTCCTTCTCCTTATAAGCCTTGCCCTCTTCATCCAGGCCCAGCAGATACCTCTTCTTCAACACAACATTCAGGAATTTGACAACTCTTACTCCCAAGGCCTCAATACGCAGCACCTAACGACCCCGAACGACACCATGGGCGGAGGACCAGTAACTAAGGGCTACCGAAGCGTAGCATACTTCGTCAACTGGGCCATCTACGGCCGCAAACACTTTCCCTGGGAGCTGCCAGTCGAAAATCTCACCCATATCCTTTATGCATTCGCCAATGTCCGACCAGAATCCGGCGAAGTGTAAGTCTCTCACGGCCGCTAGGAATCCTCGCTCTTAGACTAACACCTCCAACAGCTACCTTACTGACAGCTGGGCCGACTCGGAAATCCACTGGGATGGTGACAAGTGGGAGGATGGGCACAAGCTCTACGGCTGCCTAAAACAACTCAACCTTCTCAAGCGCCGCAACCGCAACCTGAAGGTACTCCTATCCATCGGCGGATGGACCTACTCCTCCAATTTCAAGCAGCCAGCATCGACGCCACAGGGCCGAGCCAACTTCGCCAGGACGGCCGTCAACCTTATCAAGAATTACGGCTTTGACGGGCTCGACATTGACTGGGAGTACCCACAGAACGCCTCAGAGGCCGCCGACTGGGTGGCCCTGCTGAAGGCCTGCCGGGAGGAAATGGATGCCTACGCGCGGTCACTGCCGCCGTCGCCCGAGCACGGGAACCACCACCATTTCGAACTGACTGTGGCCTGTCCGGCCGGGCCTCAGAACTACGAGAAGCTGGACCTGCGCGGCATGGATCGCTACCTGGACTTCTGGAACCTCATGGCCTACGACTATGCCGGGTCCTGGGATCAGGTCGCCGGTCACCAGGCGAACTTATACCCTAACAAGGTTCACCCCAACACCACACCCTTCAGCACCGCCAGGGCGTTGGAGTATTACACGCGCTACGTGCACCCATCCAAGATCGTGGTGGGCATGCCGCTGTACGGGCGCGCATTCGAGAACACGGACGGAGTGGGGCGGCCGTACAGCGGCATCGGAGAGGGCAGCTGGGAGCGGGGCGTGTACGACTACAAGGCGCTGCCGCTGGCGGGGGCTAAGGAGTTCTACGACCATGACAGCGGCGCGAGCTACAGCTACGACCCAAGCAGGAGGATGATGGTCAGCTACGACACGCTGCCCATGGCCAGGGACAAGGCCGTGTATATCAAGAACCACCACCTCGGCGGCGGCATGTGGTGGGAGAGCTCGTCGGACCGGAGGGGCAGGGAGAGCCTGATCGAGAACGTGGTGGACGTGTTTGGCGGGCCCGGCGCTCTGAGGAGGGACCTGAACCAGCTGGAATGCCCCGAGAGCGAGTGGGAGAACCTGAGGAACGGGTTCAGGGAGTAAGATACCACCTTGTCAGAACGATTAGCTTTTCCAAATATCGCTCCTTGTATATAGTCATACTTGTTTCCAGCCAAGCAAGCCTCGAAATTGAATCCTGATGCATACACTCCTCCCTAAGTCCTGATCTACAATAAGTAACTTCCTATGAGAATGCAGACCAAAGCATCAAAGAACAGCCATAAATGACCGGGCATCAGTCTACGCAAGGGCCGTCATGTGCATGGATGGAGTTTCTAAAGCAGCCATCCAACAGTCAATACCGAGATCCTTGACAGGTATGCATCGTGCCGAAGATGGCTTGTTTGTTTTTTACCAAGAAAGATAGACCAGGTGAAGCTTCGGGGGTTTTCATTTCCTGCCCCTTACTGGTCGACGCTGTATTTGTGCTGATTTGTTAATTGCGGAGCGGGTAGCAAGCCACAACGCACTTTCAAAAACCATTTGCGAGGTAAATGCTGCAGGGCAGGAAGAGTCCAACTTAGTTCAAAAGGCCCAAGTTCCTGAGATACGAGGGAGGTCGTCGAGTGCAGACATGTCACAATATCATAAAGGAAGCAAGGAATTAAGTCGTGATCATGACCTTCATTTTTGGTATTTTCCCATTCCGCCAGCCAGATGACGAGTACTAGATGAGTCCATGATCACATCCCGTGATACCTTATCGTAGTATCAGAAGCCCTTGAATGCGCAAGTGTCAAACTTTTCCCCGTCCCTGTGAATATTGAACCCGTTGCTCCGTCCGTCCATCCATGGAACCGAAATACACCGTTTATGAGGACTTCTCGAAGACGTAGGTGAGGTGGCAGCGACCGCAGTATTGACGGTCCTTGTGGGCAGCCATGAAGACACCAGCACCGCACTAGAGGGGAAGTGTTAGTAATCAATGTGATACCGAAGAGATTGTCGTGGGTAGGCTTACAGTGTCAGCGGGGCACTCGCGGCGGAGACGCTCGATCTTGCCGTCGCTGTCGACCTTGTAGTACTTAAGGACGGCCAACTTGGTCTTCTTGCGCTTGTGCTTGATCTTCTTGGGGGTGGTGTAGACCTTCTTCTTCCTCTTCTTGCCACCACCACGGAGTCGCAGCACCAGGTGCAGGGTGGACTCCTTCTGGATGTTGTAGTCGGAGAGGGTGCGGCCGTCCTCGAGCTGCTTGCCGGCGAAGATCAGACGCTGCTGGTCTGGGGGAATGCCTTCCTTGTCCTGGATCTTGGACTTGACATTGTCGATGGTGTCGGAAGACTCCACCTCAAGGGTGATAGTCTTGCCCGTGAGGGTCTTGACGAAGATCTGCATGATGGGCTGTCCTACTGGCAGGAAGGAGGAAGGGTTAGAAAAAAATCACGGCTGAGGCTGGCTTGGATTTAAAAAGGTGCAGGGCTTGGGTGGGAATTTGTGATGTGGGGCGATAAGGATATTTCAGTGGGAGAGCGTGCGAGCGATAGAGACGTCGAGCAGACGAAAGATTCGCACTGCACTTGGTCTGTCTGGCTTGCAGTCCCCAGCTGAAATGGAAATGCAAAAAAAGTTGTGGTGGCGATCAACTGTCGCAAGCGACGAGAAGAATGCCGGGTATCATGAACAAGAGGAAGACAAGACGGGGGGATCGAAAGTGCAGTGACATGAATGATCATGAAGGGGACAAGAAAGCCATGATGCCGTCGAGCAACAACATCATCGTGTTCGAGACGTACCTAGGGTATTATCCCGTCATAAGCCAGTCCCGTGAAGATGTTCGTTGATGGAGGAGGGAGGAAAGAAAATCAGAGCAGTGGCTGCGATTTGAGGTCGAGATTTTGGCAGGTTTGGGGCCACACGAGCCACTGTCTGGTGCAGCAGGATCTGAGCCAATGACAGGCCAGACTAGCGGGGCATTCACGTGACGGCAGTAGGGCACCATCGCCACGCTAACACCGGTTAGCCTTGGACCGCTGCAAAGTCTGTTAGGACTCAGGTTTTCTGGTTGTGGACCGCCATTTTCGCTGGGACTGGGCCGCTGCAGCAGAGCAAACCTCCATTAAATTTCCAGAGATCAGATTTCTGTTTCTCTCTCTCCCCTCAACGACCAACACTTAACGATTTTCGTCAGCCAAAGTCGTCAAGATGCCTAAGAAGGTATGATTCGCGCCCACACGTACCCCTCCAACAACTGCTTCAAGTCGTCACGATGGTCTGGAGGCCTTGCTACCACAGACACGGATTGTACTCGCCTTGCTGCTTGGACGTCCGCTCTGTCGCGTTCTCTGCTCCAACCATCGACACCACTCTTCGACGACATACTTCTTAACTGCGCAAATGCTGACTTACTGCTACCCAACTACAGAGAAAGAACAATGGCCGCAACAAGAAGGGTCGCGGCCACGTGAACCCCATCCGTTGCTCCAACTGCTCGCGATGCACGCCCAAGGACAAGGCCATCAAGAGATTCACCATCCGCAACATGGTTGAGTCTGCTGCTATTCGTATGTCAAGATAGCCAGGCTGCGGCTGCTGCTGCACTGCTATACCCAGCCCAATCGTTTCGTCGCCCACCATGCTAACCAACGTTTCCTGCAGGTGACATCTCTGACGCCTCGGTCTTCGCCGAGTACACCGTCCCCAAGATGTACCTCAAGCTGCAGTACTGCGTCTCTTGTGCCATTCACGGCAAGATCGTTCGGTACGTTTGTCCTGGATGGAGGACAACTGTGTCTGGCATGGTATCACGGCCGCCCTTTGGGCAAGCTGTATACCTGCCAGACACAGGCGGCTGAGAAGAACCTTGGCGGCAAACGGACTCCATCGCCATCCCCCTCCGACCGACGAACAAATATGCTGACTAGAACACCCAATAGTGTCCGATCTCGTGAGGGTCGTCGCAACCGTGCTCCTCCCCCACGTGTCCGATACAACAAGGACGGCAAGAAGATCACTCCTACCCAGGGTGCCAAGACTTCGTAAAAGAAGTGCAAGCAGATCACTGGAAGCTGGTAGTTGATTTCTCTCCCGCGATCCAACAAAATCATTCTTGAGGGTCAGGGAACAAGGGTTCTGGCATGGAAAAGCAATTGCACGATTTGCATGAAATGAATGCCACGGTACGGTTGAACGGCGTCTGGGGCCGCTCTCCTCTCTAGGTAGCGAGCGGCGTTAGGTTCAGATTCCCGTAGCTTCCGTCCAAATCAATGACACTTCGCCCGTATGGGCACAAGACGATACGTTCACACTTCTCGCGCTTGGCTGTTGAAAATGAACATGTGATCGCAGAGTCGAGCCTACCCCCGAAAGCTCTTCATTGCCTCCTTTCCAGTTCGAATAATAGCCTTCTCGTCTTGGGGTCGTCCCAGGTCCTCTTCCCATCGTGGACACTCAATCCCTCGTCCAACTCAGCTTTGACATCCCACTGCGTTCCCGTCCGCGTCTCGACCTCCTTGACGAGCCTTTTGAAGCTGTCGACATTGTGCTTGCATGTTCCCCTGTTGGCACCACCAACAGTAAGCGTCTGAGTGACAACGCCATCCAAGTTCCCCGTAGCTTGTCCAATAATCAGTACGCCCGGCTCATCGCGCAGCAGAGCGATCGCGTTTTCAAACGCAGTGATCTGCTCCTCCCACGTGAACAGGTGCAATATCATGCCCAGCTGCACGACCCGCAGCTGGCGCTTGAACTGGTCCAGCGGCTCTCCCTCAGCCAGCGGCTCGAGTATGTTCGCCTGCACCATCGCCACCTCCCCCGGCGAGTCGCGGAACAGCTCGTAGCCCAGCTTGATGAACGTGGGCGAGAGCTCTGCCCCTGCCACGGTCGCAGGCGGCGCCCCGTCGTGGATCAGCTTGCGGACGTCCTGGCCCAGGCAGGTGCCCACGTCCAGGAAGGTCGGCGACGAGGCCGACTTGAGAGTCGACAGGAGGCGCGCGTACAGGTCCCCCTGCGGCCGGCTCGAGAGGTTGAGCTCGAGGAAGCGGAACTGGCCCAGGCATGGGTAGTGGTGGACTTCCCAGGCCTTGTTGCGCTGTGCCGGACGATATGTCAATGGTTAGGGTCGACACGAGCAATTGGCCGGTTGCGACTCACGATCTGGATGACGTGCTCGTCTACGTCCCCCGGGGGAATGTGGCTGTAGGTCACCAGGACATCTCGGAACGCGTCTGGCACGACGACCGTCTCGTCGAACCAGAGTTTGCTTCGCTCGGCGGTGGCCGCCGGTGGATGCTCTGCCTGGGTCCCGGCTTCGCCGCCGGTGGACGGACCCGTATCCATATCCCCGGTCGGAGGGTCCGGTCTCTTTGGGATAAGCCGGGGTCGGAGGTACGGTCCAGACGTGTCAGCGCTGAAATCGGGCTTTTGGACCATTGCTTTGTCCCAGGCTCGCTGTGGGCAGTCCGTGGTTCCCGTTGTGCATGGGAGTTGGGACGGGATGATCGCATCATTCAACTGCCGGCGGGTTATCGTCTCGATGCAGGTCTTGCCTAGTGCCCGCTCGCGTCATGCGTGACGTCTCAAGAACTCCTCCCGTTTTGAACAGTCCGGATCGAATGTTCAGCCCTATACAGTTGATTATATGCCGTCTTCCCCAGGCTCTGCTTGTGGCGATATGTCCGATCTTTCCAAACATAACATCTCACGAAAGGATGACAGGCGGCCCCGATTGGCCATCAACGCTAACAATGCCACAGTCTCCTATGTCCAAGTAATGACAATCACCTGCCGCAAACGAGAATCTCCCCGAAGCCGCTGCCAATCACTGATCACTAATATACAGATTGTCTACTAGACACCCATCCTGTTCTCCCTCAATGCCTCGGCCTCATCCCCGGCATAGTCTTCAGTGTTTATTTCATTATAGAACGATGCGCAGTCACTAAGGTATCGCTAGCCATGTTAATTGGACAAACGTTCTACCATGAAGTGAGGTACGAAGTAAGTTGGACGGGAGCGATCGTCTAAACACCATCTCAAGAACTACCGACTTCCTGATGAAGCAAGATCTGCTTCCGGGCAACGGGATACTGGGCGCTCCGATATCTCCTGCGTTCTTGCATGCATCATCCACCTCAAGGCGGTTTTCTCCGGAGCTTCCCCAATCCAGAAGCCTTCTCACCCGGGGTCCCTTTTTGCTGTTTGGCTAGCGGTCTTTGGTGCTTGCAGAGTTTCGAAATTAGTGGGCTTGGTATAGGACGTTTCTGGATTGTGAAGATGTTTAGATTTCACAAGTGTGCTGAGTCTTTCCTTGTTTCTGAAGATTGCCGTTAAACGTAGGGAGGTGGCCCTTATGCTGTACTGAATGGCTGGGAAGTTACAAGTGCGTCAGGGTTCAGAAGAGACATTTCCATTCCATGTAGTGTTCTTTCGGTCGTATATACTGATGAGAACGGCCCGAGAAGCAACTTAGCCAAACACAAATGATGTGCAACAAGAGATTCGGAATCTTTCTTTGAGTGTTCATACTCACAATGTCGGCCAGGCTGTGTTGTTGTAGCTACTGCATCTGCACCTAAAGTTTTACGTGGTCCACACTCACAAATCGTTCATGTACTCACCATTAAAGAAGCGGTCTAAGAAAGACCTCACTAGGCTCGGGAGCGTGTTTCGTTAAATTTACAAGTTGTTCTATCAAAATACAGGAAGCTATCCTAACAGCCAGCACTTTCTACAGGCCCTCCTACATGAGTGTTCCCAATGGGGGACATTTTGGTCAGGCTGTACTCCAACATCCCGTTCATTGCGATTGAATTGTGACGCCCCTTCTCCTAGCATAGAGCAAGTCCATGGAGCCGCGGGCGTATGGATCCTGAATGCCGTAAATGTTTACCTAGCACGTCGGCCCCTGACGTTTCACTGGAATTACGAATCCTATGAAGGAATTTATGATGAAATGCGGTGAGCAGCGTCTACCGGATCCCCGCGGAAATGGACACCCGAGAAAAGTATACTCAGCATATGGTGCGCATTTAGAAACCAGGAGGTTGCAAACTGAAGCGAGTGATGGTATCCCAAGTATCATCTCGATTCATTTCAAGGCATGAACAAGCCGGATATGCGGTACAGAGCACACGAATGCCATTCAGACCTGGTCATACCAAGAGACCTTGAGCAATGTAAGGCGAACTGGTGCGTATCATGTCCTGCCCCGGTGCTACCGGTGAGCTATATGCGTAGTTTGAGTTTGGCTTCAATGATACCCTTCTCGCCTTCGCATCCACTTCCTTAGATTGTGATCTGCTGATTTTGATTCTAGGCCCTTCTCACGTAATACACGGCAGAGCGGTATGGGTCACGTCTTCCTTGACAACGTAAACGGCAATTTCTATTGGAGGAGTTGTTGTGAATCTTCATACAAACAATGATCTTACGAATAGTGGCTCATATTCCGCCAAAGGAAAAATGGGACCCTCCGCCGGCGCCAATGGCTTCCGAGCACTTTAGGGGACTTCTACTACAGTACTAAACGCAGATTGCGTCGAGACCCAAAGAAGAACCTCAGGCTCAGATGAACACAGCCCAAAAGATCGGTAGCGGCCTGAATGGATGGACACATCCGGCGATCTCTGGAACACGACGCGTTGAGACATTATCTGGATCGTCACGGTGGTCCAGCAACTCATGCGAGTGGCCCGTTGAGCCCCGTTTTGTTTCCACTACACCGATGGCGTGGTATCTCAGATTCCTCCGCCGCGTGGAATGCATATCTGACGGGCTGTGATCAGCAACGCATCGCCCGACGAGATGGCGCAGCGGGATGCCCAACGATTGTTCGGACGTCGCCCCGCGTCTCAGCTGATTCCAGTGGGAGGTGGAGGTGGTATTGCAAGGGCCCAAGGACTGACGAGTGCTACCACAGGCCGACAAATCGCAACAATTCAAGCGTAGCAATCAACTCATCTCTGGTGTGGGATGTCTGTGTCAGTCCGCGCAGCCTGGCAGCCCAGCGGAAGCTGATCATTCGTCCGCTCTTGGCGAGCTGAACCACGACAACTCCCGCACGGCTTCGTCTAAAAATGTCAGCTACGGAGAATAAAGATCTTGGCACCCGTTGAACTCATCTTTCGAAATCTGTCATATTCGAGGGGGCCGAGGCCTGCGCAAGCAGAGCGGTGGGAATAGAGTTCACAGCTGGGACATGAGGGTCTCGGCTCTGTGCACAGGCACATGCACATGCACATGCAGGGGTTCCGGACCTAACAGAGCCGTCAGAAGCGACAGCTATTTCTCGGCGAGTTTTGAGCCTGATTTGAATCTGTGTGATGGGACGAAAAACCAATTTGATGGGTAGTTCGAGGAGAAGAGGCTTGCGCAAGTCATGAACTACTCACAGGTCATAGTGCACGTGCTTGTTGTGTCTGCCAACTGTCAGAACTACTACCACACCAGGACTCGGTCCCTCTGTTAGCTGCATATAGTGTAGTATATCAGAACGGTCTTTAGCAATCATAACCCCTCTATAATATAATATGATTCTGTCAATATATCGACATGTCGGCTCTTGAGAGGCGTGCGGACCGCTGTCTAGTTAGAAACTATACTCAAGAGCCAGGGGTGGCATAAAGCCCAAGAATGTGGAGCTCCCCGTCACGCCTTACCTGTCGGGTAATTTTGTCATTGTTTGCGCGTACTCTCGTGCATAGCATAAGCGGCATAATCAACGAAATAAAGATCTCACCCTGCAGGCGCCCACGCTTGATCCCAGACAGCGGGAAGAGTCCTAGCGCAATAAGGTTCAGCCATCCAGACCGGTCAGCTTGTACCTGCCTCTAAGCATGTCATGCTACCTGGGCACTCCGCCTGAACGAACCATTGAGGATCGTAACAGGTCAAGCACATGCCGTGACGGGTGTCTAGGGCGAATCACGGGGAGTTTTTGGTAAATAGCGCAGTATTGCCTGTTTGATCTTCAGTCAAACATCATTGGCACTATTCCCCGGGTGCCAACCGACGGGTTTAATGCACGCGCGTCTGCGTGCGTGTTAGCGAGCGGGACCAAATACGTGGATTGCAACGCTGGAGGAACACGCAGTCAGAGGTTCGTCGTTTGTCAGTTGCCCCCTGCAAGGCTATGGTGAGGATCAGCGTGTGATGGGCGAATAGACAGAGCTAGACGGGTCTCGCGCTTATGCAAAAGCTCGTCCATGATGCTCGCAGGGCACTGATCGATAGTTTCCGAGGGGCCCGGGACGACGAAGTCACGGTTAGGCGAGCGTCAGAACGGTTTCCACTTTTTGCGTGTATAATTATTTGGGACCATCTCGATTCCCATGCAAACCATCCCCTGGGCAAGATTTCGCTACCAGAAAGTTAGGACGTTCCTCTCCCTCACGCCATCAGCCTGCGGTCGAAACTATACTGCCGAATGGCTGACTGCAGATCACAATATGACGCTGCGCAGGCCACGAGTCTCAACCTTGTGCCCAATAAGATTGTGCACGCAAAAGCATGGGATATTGTGGAATACCCATCTAGCCACGTGGAAACCCACATGTACTATAGTAAAGGACAAATGGGCAGACTGAGGCTATTCCTTCACTGACTGACGATTCGCACGTTCACTCTGCTGGCTCATGGTGATCTGACCTGCCCAGGTCCAGACTTGTCTGTGCAATGTCACTGCATAGACGCCGAGAACAAGCGCCTCACCGGTCGAGACTCAGCAGCATCCTGGTCATGGTTGTCGACTCCAAGATCCGTAGTCCCGTGGATGGAATTTCGGCGCCGAATTCGGGAGCTGGTGGTCCGGACTAGGCAGGTGGCTGCTAAAGAAAGTCGTGTCGACCAGTGCCTAGGTAGAATCTCGACTCGCAGTACGCCCAATGGTACCCATCTCCTTGGCTGTCACGAATAGGTGATGTGTGCCTCAAGAGCCCGTCGACGGTGACATCGTAGGCAGACTCCAAGGGGGGCGCAGGGGTGGGGGGGAGAACCGACAGGGGAGGTGTTGAGTAGCCCCACGTTTGACAGTGGTTTGAGAGGTTCGAATAAGCTTTGGCAGGGATCCATTGTTTCTCGACAACCCTATTCTGCGGGTCGGGTTCATGGAGCCGCAAACGCCTGAAATTTCTTCTCATTTCTGCGGCGGGGCTGGCTCCAGATCTTGGGAGGAAGCCCGAGGCTCCGCCTTCGCCTGCGCCTGACATGACGGCACGGACGTGGCCGCTTCATCCAAACCTTCAGGGCGAGCAGCTCTGAGGTCGTCTGATAACACGCAACGACGAGCCTAGGGAGGGGGCTTGCGCGCGCAAGAAAGGCAGAGCTGAGGAGCTGAACTTGTTCGTGCTCAGCCATCACACATCCCTGGGGGCCGAAATTCACCCTGCCTCTCAGATTGCTCGCTTGCTTCTTGGCTCGCTCGACGCGCAGTGCCCAATCCATTCCTAGAAAGGGGGGAGATTGAGATGGCCCTGCTACGCACAGCCAAGGCTTCCAGCCCTGTCCAGCCAGCTCAACGTCTCCCCCACGCTGAGGTTAGGTGCGCACGCGCGGGTCTGGGCGCCAGTGGGTCATTCGTAAGCGATCACATGGGTGGTGGAGTCATCGTCGCCCGATGAGGAAGACGTTTCCTCTCGATCTTCTCGATGGCGGCTGTGACGAGTCGTTCAATGGCTCTCACCCCTCGTCGATCGGAGTCATGCAAGTGACCGAGGCGGCAGGTCATGATGGGCGGGACTGATCCGGTGGGCTTTAGGGTAGGAAACGAACTGCCGCATGCACTATCTCCCCGGATGGCTGCTATAGCCTAGGTATTCTGTATAGTGTGTATCGAAACAAATAGTGGGCCGTGGCGGTCACGAACCACGCGAGCAAGAGTCAAGCGGGGCGTCTATGGAGCAATGTCAAGTCCGGCGGGCTCTAACGACAATACAAGCTCCGTCGCTCACAAATCCGTGACCCAGATGGCACAAAGCATCGGCCCGCCAGTTCGGTTCTCCCAGCCAACAACCAAGCGGTGAATCTTCGGGCAGCCCCGTGCCCTCACGCTCACTGGCACGGCACGGCTAGAATCCGAAAATAAGCATATATTTTACACCTCTGTAGTCGCCGTGCTAGCTCGCGCGTGGACACCAGCACGGCGTGAACAGCGAGGAAGAAGGTTGGTGAGAAGGGTTATCCTCGGACTGCCACTGTCCACTCTCAGCCCGACATCGTCGCCGTCTGGAGCTTTGAAACCCACAAACGACAAACTTTGCCTATGCAGCCCTCAGCACCTCGCGATAGGTCGGCGAGGGCCCTTGCCAGCCTCGGAGAGCGAGGTTGCACCTGTTTCAGGACCCCTGGTGCGGAAAGTCAATAAGGTCTACCCCTGGAGCGCGCCGAGGCCGACATGTCCGTCCGTTGTCAAATGAACTGTCTTGGCCCAGAAGAAACGAAAACGAAAGTTTAATTCACAGCCTTTTTGTCCTGGGGAGCCAATGCAGAGTTCCTCTGGAGGGTGTTGTAAGCGACAGCGTCCGACATGGACGTCCGAGAGCACACCTCTATAATGCAAATGGCGTACCTCGCTCTACCTCACTAGGTGCCCGAATGCGACTATACCGAGATACTGGCAGAAAACGATCATTTGCTTTCGGGTTGATGCTGCCGACTCGACAAGGTTCCAGTAGCCAAGTCCACGCTGCAAGTCATCATCTTGCTTAAAATGAAGTGAAAACCCAACTTCTCTTCCCCGGCCTATCCTATCCTCCCTTCCCGCCATCAACAACATAGCGAATGACCACAGGAGCGTGCTCCATATATCTAACCGGTGGTGTTCACCACTCGACTGCCCCAACCCAGCAGCCTCATTGAAGGCGAGAACACGAGCCCAGCATGGCCAAGGAAGTCGAGATGACCAACACGGAGCGGGCTCTCTTCGACTGGGAGTCCTCCGTCGACAGTATCAACAAGGAATCGATCGCGGACCCTTCGCAGGCGGAGACGACCACATCCACTCGTTCAAAGCGTGAATCCATGGACATCGCTGGCAGTGTCTTCCTCATCGCTTCTGACGGCCGCCTGCTGAGCCTGCCTATCCCCAGCGAGTCGCCCTCCGACCCCCTCAACTTCGAACGTTCCCGGCGGCTGTTCATATATGCGACATTGTTGATCCACTCATCCATCTGCATGTTTGCCATACAGTCTCCAGGCAATCTTTACAAGGCTTTCCTTCACACCTTCACCACAGAGGTATGGCCGCCTCGACCAGAGAGCTGTTCCCACGATGGCAACTAATGAGGATTTAGGAAATGGCACCATTCTCGGTCGAAACACTCTCTGGTAGCCCGACATTGATGATGGGACTGAGTTTCTTTCTCTGGATTCCCCTCTCCGTGGCCTTTGGCAGAAGACCAATCATTATCGCCTCAGCCTTGATGATGTCCGTGGCAAGCTTTTGGGCCGGTTTCACCAACAACTACCACCAGCTACTCGGGGCCATATGCGTCATGGGCCTGGCTGGTGGCGCTACACTGAGCACAGTATGTCATCTCATTCGTTTTGCCCGGATTTCAGTGGTACTAACAGGACTCATAGACCATCCTTCAACTCATCGACTTGACCTTCATTCATGAACGTCCTCTCGCCATCGCCACGTTCTGGTGTGTCGGTGGTGGCATACCGCTGCTGGTCCTCGCGAACTTGCCGTTGATAGTCGACGTCGGCAAAGACTACCACAGTGTCTACAGGGGACTGGCCATCCCCAGCATAATTCTTCTCATAGTCATATTCTTCTTTGTCCCCGAGACATATTTCCTACGACCACCAGTCGCCTTCGACGGCCGGGTCCTTGTCCAGTCCGGCACGGAGAAGGTACGCATGTACGAGGAGTGGTGGGACGTGCCAGGCGGCGACACGAGGTCGATCCGGGCCATGGAGAACGGCCTACCGAGCCTGACCGACCTGCCGGTACACACATGGCGGGTGACGCCGCTCCGCATCTGGAAGCGGTCGGTGTGCGAGCCGCGGGCCGCGTGGGCGGGCTTCATCCAGATATTCCTCTGCATGGCGAACCCGCTCGTCTTCTGGGTCACGCTGCTCAACGCCATCAACTTCGCGGGCATGATGTCCATCGGCATCGGCTTCCCCGTGCGCATGGCCGAGGCTCCCTACCACCTCCCCGCCTCCGCCGTCTCGCGCGTCAACTTCTCGGCCGCCTCGGGCAGCTTCCTCGCCCTGCCCGCCGCCTTCTTCATGCTCAACAACGTCATGAAGCGCCTGACGCTGCGCAACAAGGGTATCCGCCACGCAGAGTTCTACCTACCTGCGTTTGTCCTGCCCGTCGTGAGCGGCGCTCTCAGCGTCTTCATCTACGGCTTCGCCGCTCGCGATAAATGGCACCCCGCCGCGTACCACGTCGCTTATGGCCTCAACGCCTTCAGCTTCGCGTCAGGCAGTGTCGTCAACACCATGTGGGTGACCGAGTCCCTGCCTCAGTGGGCCGCCGCGGGCATCGCAGTGGTCGGCGGCGTGAGCTACGTCGCCAGCTACGGCATCACCGCCGTGCTGCCCATGTGGAACGCCGCTGTAGGCTACGTTGCCGTTAATTCCGCAATCGGCGTTGCTCTGCTGGTCGTCGGCCTATTCGCCGTCCCGATCGCCTTCTGGGGTAAGAGTGTGCGGCAGTTCATTAGCGGGAGATTCTCCGCCTACGAGGGCGGTGCCCTGAGGCCGCAGTGAGTGCGAGAAACCTGCGGCACAGGAGCAGCTGGGAGACTGGGTCGTCTCCCCCCTACACAGAAATTAACGGGATATCGAACACGCAGGAGTCAGGTCTGAAACAATTTGTCAAACGGTATTTAAGCGATGGAAAGCCTGGCTAGGTGGTTCCTGTGGTGTTGGGGCCGAGGAGGCAATGGGTTTCCTATGTCATACCTACAACATTAAGATCCACAGCAGAACCTGAATTGCTGTGCCTGGTACTTAATTGTTAACTACTATTCTCTCATAAAAAAAACAAAGCTTTTTGCTGCATGCGGTACTGTGGTCCAAGTGATCAATGATTAAATCTCCTGCCAATGGTTACTGTCTGCTGAAACTGCCTCAGCGTATGACGCATGCTTGAAAGTGGCCTGAGTGGCTTTCCCTTGGTACGGTATTCACCGGTATTCGTATGGTCTCATGAAGCCTAATTGACGCATGCCCAGGTATGACTGAGGTATGCATGAGACGCACGCTACAGACTGTCTTACTTCCCACAAAGGAAGATTAACGCAATCAGTACCGGACTATAAGGATATAGTACGAGAAACTAGAATCATCGACTTTTGTAGACCAGAGTAAAGAAGCCGCAGCTCTTCTTAAGCAACGAGCTATACGGTGTAAGTGCAGATCAATATGTAAGCAAATAGTACACATAATGACCACCGATATTGAGATGGCCTAGTTGTGTTTCTGTACTTCGAGGGGCTATTATTTCTCACACGTGCTATCTTACAATTCAAATTCACATGGTCTTCGGCAGTTGGTATGTATTCAGTAAAATGCTTTTCGTTGAGGCTTCCTATCAGGCAGATCACTCATGAAGCGAAGTTACGCTCTAAGATATTCTGCAAACCGTGCTAGTGCCTTCAGACAATGTGCGATCCTCGTATCCGACCTCAAATCGCGAATGACGACCGTGTGAAGTCAACAAGGATCTTCAGCCTGTTTTTTTTTGCAGGCCATTCGGGCCTATCCTGAACGGACCGCACCGTCTTGTCGATTTACATTGCTAGCTCCGCTCCATAGAGGACCATCATCTGTCGCTCACCCGATCGATGTCCACATCGGCAATTCAGATGCCAGGCCCGCAATATACCATGAACATGGCTTGGCATGAGTCGTCCTCGAAATCAGTAGCCAGGGAATCTGGGACCATCCGGAGGGAACATGCCACGGTACTCAGGTCGGTCGCGGACAGGGCGCCAAGGGCTGTTGTCCCCGTCGGTGTCCAGCTGGCGCCTCAGGCTGGCGATTTCATCGTCCATGTCAACAATCCTGTCTCGCATTCGGTCGCTGCGCGCGTCGAGCTGCTCAATTTGCGCCTTGTGGCGATCAGCCTGCTCCCTCAACTGGTTCTGCGCCTTGACCCTCATCTTCTTCAGCCGAGCGTTCTCCTGCTCTAGAACGGCGCTCTCCTGCTCTAGAGCGGCGTTCTCACGCTCTAGAGCGGCGTTCTCCTGTTCTAGAATGGCTTTCTGCTGCTCTAAAGCGGTGTTTCCCTCCTCGTGCTGCTTGATGTTGACCTGAAGCTCCTTGCAGTCTTGCCTCAAACGCAGGAAGACGTTTCCCATGGACTCGGGTCTCGCCTCGACGGGCAGCTTTTTCTTGGCCTGCTCGTCTTTGTCGCGCCACGCCATGCTCTGTGCCCGCGACCAATCTCCCACGAGCTCAATCAGTTTGGCGCGGGCGCTCGTGTGCGTCGCGCGCTCAGTAGGACCCGTGGCCTCGGTGGGCACGTCGCGGTTCTGTTTCTTCTGGCCATGATAGAACGCATGGCGGTAGTGCTCGACAATGTAACGGAGGGACGAGGCGGACAGGTGCTGTGAGATCTCGGGGTGCTTCATTGAGATTTTGGCGAGGGCAGTTTCGTAGAAGGCATCTTGGTTGATATCGATGACAATGACATCTTTGTCAAGAATGGCCTGGAAGATGGTACAGAGACGTTGAACGACAAGAGGTTGCTTGCCAGCGCAATTGCGGCGAATGTCCAAAGCCCCCAGCGCAATCATCATGTATGCTCTCTTTCTTCCAATGACGAACTTGCCTGGCTGGAAGTAAAAGCCAGGGATTCGGAGTGCACGGTCGATCTTTTCAATCTCAGCTTGGTCCACGGTGACCCAGTCGTGGGCCGTGGAAGAGGGCGAAGCCATCTTTGCACAGGAATAGATGAAGATTCTCTCGGGACGTTTCTTGCGGTGTACTGCAGCTGTTAGCTTCGTCACATCCATAACAAAGCGTAGACGCAAACGAGTATGATGATGTGCAATTGACGTTTGGTAAGGCTCTCATAAAAGGGCATGAACATACCAAATCTGCTGTTGATGACCCCAAACTATCTCACAACCTCAAATTGGTGCGGATGGATGGCCAACATCCTTTTTACTGGAAAGGACAGTGGGAAAAGATTTAGGTTAAGGTGGCCGAAAGATGGAAATTTGCCTAGAAAGAAATAATCGATGGGTAGCTGGCGCAGCGAGGCAGGGCGGACAAAGTGAATTGAGACCCAGTTGTTTGCAACGCCCCAAGTACTGATGGTCTTACACCGGTGAATATTCTCAAGAACACAGCTCCAATTGTACTAGAATATTAGGGGTTTGTAAGGTGTTTGCGAATGCGTATTCGAAGTGCCTGGTCTGTTCAGTCTCATAAAGTCGACCTGTATGCTATGTGATGATCGATGGATAATTCTTTTGATTTGCTCCTTAGTCATGAATTATTTCCCCTAGTCTTGCGGGCCTGATCTCCTTGATCCAATCTGAAGTTGCTTCGTCAAAGGTACATGACGACTTCCACATGATATTCTGTTTAAGACGGCCTGCTCCCACACAAAATGCGTACTAGTATATCCTTACTCAGATCTCAAGCTTACTACAACGAAGTGCTCGCTAGCTCTGGAGCACACCAGCTGTAACGGCCATGACGCCAGTATAAATAGCAACGCTCAAAAACAAATCCCTGCTGAACCCCCCGGCGCCGCATTCGACGCTCCCAGACTGCACAACCGACCCAACGACTGACATACCCACCAGACATACGACGATCAGGCGGCCCACAAAGCCAGGGACGACAGGAAACGCGAGGATCGGCAGCAGGACCGCCACGGCCAACGCGATGGCCACGTGCATTACCGACGAGGAGCCCACCGTAGGCGCGGGCGCGGGCGCGGGCGTAAGCTCCGCCTCCCAGGGGCCCGGTGCGAGCTTGGCATGATCAACCGTGATGGTTGGGACGGTGGCGGCGGCGGCATCCGCCTTGCCACCGGCGACCGGGGTGCCCGCCCGGGGCGAGATGGCCTCGGAGCTCGAGCGCGGCCGCGACAGTCTCGGGGTCGGCAGCGGGGCTAGACCGGGGCTGGGACTGTGGCTCATGCTGCTGCCGCGGAGGTGGCCGCGGTTGGTGCGCCACGAGTTGCCGTGCATGGTGCCAGGGATGGGGATCGGGGATGCCGGCTCTGGCTCGGCACCGGACCCGGACCCGGATGCGGGCTCGGCTTCGGCTTCGAGGGTCTTTAGGGTTTGGTAGTAGTGGTCCCGCGCTCGCGCTGCTGCAGTCGTGCCGCTGGCTGATGGGCTTGGGGCACGGCTTGGGGGTGATGAGGTTGGTGGGGCGAGGGTGACAAGGTCATCGCTGGAGTCAAGGAAGCGCGCTTCGACTTCTGTGACTGGTTGATGTGTGGCGAGGTAGCGGCGATACTCATGAATGTCAGAGGGAGACGGTGATGGGATGTCCCGTGTGGCTGTGTATGAAGATAGCGCATGGTCTATAGACAAGATATTAGCAAAGGATTCCCTTGTAGAGAATAAGATCAAGCCTTTTTTATGCGGGTTACTAACTGTACTGGCCTAGCTTGAACCCAATCTTGGCCAGGATGTCGGTCTTGTGTGACTGAAGCTCTCCCCCAGCCAGGGCCTCTGCTCGCCTGCTTGCTGGTAGTATACGGTTCTGCAGTCTTCTCGTCTGGGTATCTGTCGTGTCTAGTCTGTGTAATTGCTCCTCCAACTCGCTCAGTTCATCCTGCAGGTGAAGTAATAAGCGGTGGTTCATAGCCTTGAACCTCCTGTAGATGGGCTGGATGGTGGGCTCCGCCTCTAGTAAACTGCTCCGGTAAGCCATATTGCTGGCACTGCTGTGGCGTCTCGGGATGTGGTCTCGTGGCGTAGCGGTCGATGAGGATGTGTCAGAGCCGGGGTGGCTCCGAGCCCCTGGCGAAGACGACGCCGAGATCCGCGATGCGAGCAACTCATAGCCAGAGAGTGGCAATTTCTCAGCCCGTGGTAGATGCTTTGGGTGGCCTTGATTTGGTACGCGCGGGGTCAAGACGCTGACTGGGATGTGTGGCAGATTGGCCGTTCCTCGTGGCATCTCGGGTGTGCCATACCGATCCACGTCGAAGAGGCTGCTACGGCGCTTTCCTGCCGCGTGCAGACCCGTCTCGGCCAAGTTGGTGACGGGAGCCACCGGTGTCTCGTCCCCCTCCACGCTCCTCTCCGGGCTGGAGCTTCGTTCGGTGTCTGTCGTCCTCTCTGAGGACAAATCGCTATACGGACTGTCTGATGTGGTAGAGGATGACGAAGACGCGCTTTGGGCGCTTGGGGACGCCTTGCCATCGGTGGTGGTGGCGTTCCATGACGCAGTCTCCGGGATGCTTTGCTCTTTACCGTCGACTGCCACGGTGGGCGTATCCTCGTCCAGGGAGTTGAGGAAGTCCGGGATAGAGGGAGCTCCAACCTTGACGGCGGCGCCTTGGTCAGCTGCTGCAAGCTGCGACTCAGGAGCCATCCCGGCTAATGATGTCGTTTTGGGCGTCGAATCATCACTGCTTGAGCTGCCATAAGCACTGGTTCTGGTTGCGGGCAGCGTCAAACCAGAGAATGCGGATGGGAAAGACAGTCGAGCGCGCTTCGGCTGCCTTGTTAGCCGTCGTGATGCTGAGCCTCGCGGGTCGAGATCTGAGCCACTTGAGCCGAGTTGGTTTTCCTCAAATCCATGCCATGAGAAGTCGGCCGAGGCACGTCGGTGCAGCTCTGACCTTGCGACGGGTATTGCACTGCTTCTGCGCCGGTCTCTGCTCCTCGGGCGCGCCTTCAGAAGAGGATGAAGCTGTGGTGAGCCGCTCTGATGCCTCCTGCTTGGGTAGTCGTCCTTAATTGAGGGCAGCCCGCTATTCCCACAGACCATATCCTCGGAGTCGTGACGGTCCCGCGCCGCCTCCGCCTGCTCCTGTTGCTCGCCAATGGCCGCTGGGCCTGCGTCCCGGGCCTCAGGAACAGTCTCAACTGTAGGTAAGGCTCGGGCAGGCGACATGATATCTGACATTAAGAGCGAACTATCAAAGTAGCTGCCGAGAAGGATGTTGTGAGAGTGGGACGAATAGCTCTTAGGAACATACGATAAAATGTGATATCTGCCGACTGCGCATATACATTTGGGATGACTTTTGTGAAATAACCCGCCCAACGGTTGGCTTGGCAGGGTATGGCGGGAGGTTAACTATGCGGTCACGTTGGATGAAAGGCCCGAAAAGAAAACGGACAGCGGTGTGGTTTGAGGATCAAAAAAGGTAAATCCGTTGCCGCCATAGCAGCCTAAGACTCGAAACCCGCGAGGACGGGAGGCACAGGATAGCGCTGGTGATCATCTCGGCGCGCCTTGATAGTGGTCTGATTTTTTGTTCATTAGTGTTTGAGAAGTTCCGCGGGCGAGGCCAAGAAAGGACCAACAGGGACAGCTCGCTGCATCGCTAGGGCTGACACAGGGCGGCGAAGTTAGAGCCGCACAAAACATATACACGTATCTGTAAACACATACTTGACACGCAACTGTATATGCTTACAGCAAAATTGCCAGTCTCGTCTACTCCCGTTCAAGGTGGCATCATGCTGTGCAACGAGGCTCATCGCTTGCCCCTTGTCTGGCTGGCGGTATCTGAGCCGTCCGGGCCCAAAATGCGCATGTGCATGTGAGCGAGCAGAGAGGTGTTTCAGGACGGTAGGGCAGTTTGGGCCAAGTACCACGGTTACCATATCCAGTTCAGCCGCAAGCCGTGTCACGTCCGAAAGGGCCCCGCAGTTGCCCCTGAGCCTCCTGAAATCCGGGGACGCAGGTCAGCGTCAGGGGACCCCCCTTGAAACCACCCTGCCCCGGAACGTCCGAGGCCCTCCCGGATCTGCGGCTCTACGCCACAACACGGTAACGTGGTCAGCTGCTGCTGCGTGATACAAAAACAACCGCTCTCTCACGGCAGAGACGGCACGAATTTGATAATTGATGTTGCGTCGATTGGCTTTCGCGGTCCACAACAGAGAGCAAAAAACCAAAAATAACCAGATGCTGGGGAAACAGCCCCAGGATCAGCAAGATCAACTGTCACCGGCTGGTTCGAGTGGAGCTGCCTAGGTTTTTGGTGAAGACAACAACCGTGGATGTTGCAGTACGTATCTAAATAGCGGGGAGAGTACAGAAATCCAGGTAGATATCTGAGCTAAAACATTCCTAAAGATAGCTTGGTATAACTTCGCCTAGTCGATTCAACTACTTCATAACCACAGACAGTCTAGGTAAGCGGATCTACTACGAGAAGACCGTATACCGCGTCAACAACCGACGGGAATATGCCACTGAATGTGACTCACTTGGTACTATAGACGAACACATGTTTCGTGCAAGTTCCATTGCTGCGACTGCAGATCAAAGAGAGCATATGCTGGTTGCCAGAAATATAAAATGTCGGTGACAGGGCTCTTTGGGGCTGTCCATGTTTGATGGTACTCACACTCCGTTGCCGATTTGCCGGTTGCCTTGAAAATCATTGGATGTGCGAATAGTAATCGCTGACAGTACCTAGTCTCGCAAAGTCGTAGAGCCCGAATGAGGTCCCATTCGCTTGCGGGCTGCATTCAATCTATTCCCAAACGCGTTCTACAATCCTCATGCTTCTCTCTCCATTGACACTCCGCTTTCCAGTCAATGTCTGCGAGCCCCTCGCACTCTGCCTTGCCACACAGCCACTTCAAGTCAATTGATTTCCCTTCGACCCTCTCACAGATTCCAACACCTCGGTCTGTAGCGTCCAGGCAGGGCCTGTAGGAGTTAGACACACTCTTGATTGTTTTGCATGACGGACATGATGTTTCCACTCGATACTCTGCACCTAAATGCTCCGGCAGCCTTGTTAGTAGGTGAAGGGATGGGAAGCGCGATATCAGGGTCTTACACATTATATCTATACTCTCAGTTTTATGCGCGATGAGGGGATTGAAACTTATGCAACTTGACTAGAAAAGCCCGGACCTGCCTCCTCTACCCAAAGCAAACGCTGTCTTCTTTCGAAGTCGAATGGTCGAAACAAAGGGCCAAATCCCCGCTCACAAATATGGCACATGTTGGCGGGTCGTGCGATGCGCCCAACACGCTTCCATAACAAAGAGTGATCCGACAAAACCATCATTGCGTTCGCAATTGGATGCAGACCGGCGAGAAAGATTAGATGGCGGAGAGGCTTAATCAAAGCCACCTCTGTTCATGAAATTCCCAAAACCTGACTTTTCAAGACTTTAACCTAGTGCTGGATCGTTGCAGTCAGTCAGTCAGTCAATAAGTCGTCAAGTCACGGCCAAGGCACATGTGCAGAAACACTGCGAGACAGGCTACAGCTCGCACGAAGGGACGACGGCCCACATCACATGTAAGTTTGAGCACGAGCTTGTTGAAATTGCATATCATTGGCCTTCGCTGGAGACAGCCTTCCCTCGGCCGGGTGCGGACTCGAACTTTGCCCTCCACTTGTCGTCCTGCTTGAACATCGCAACACACTCAAGGGCCGACGGTGTGCCGTGGTCTGGGTCAGCGCCGCCGTCGATTAGAGCCTGTTCAGATCTCGTTAGCGAGGGCCAGCAATGCATCAAGGCATCAATGAGGCAGAACCCGGGCATCTTTAAAAGCATGTCATGGATGGTAAATTTTAAACCTGATAGTCGGAAGGACATAACATATATAACAAGGGCTCTGAGATTCCTGACCTCGATGACGTCATCCTCCTTCTTGAAAACTGCTCCCGCCAGCGGACTCTGGAGACGGTCGTTCAGCCTGTTGGGGTCTGCGCCGTGCTGAATGAGGAACTTGACGAGGTCGGCGTGGCCGTGGTAGGCCGCCAGCATGAGCTGCTCTGCTTGTCAGCTCTCGCGAAGTACACCGCACAGGGACTGTCCGGACATGTGGGGCGGTCCGGAATGTGACCTCGCCCCCAAGGTTTCGCGTACCAATGTGTCGCCCTTGTCGTTGGTCAGGTTCGGTGGCAGGCCGGCGGAAATTGCCTGTGTGAGGAGGTCCTTGTCGCCTTGCCTGGCTGCGTTGTACATTCGCGTTGCGAGCTCGATGGCTTCTGGGGGCAGTGAAGAGTTGGCGGCTGGACTTGGCCCGGCATTGTCCCGGTTGTCACTCATCTCGCCCGCTTTTTCTGCAGTTTGATATGCTTTAGACGATGTGACTCGAAGACTCGAGCCGAATTCTTGGTATTGAGAAGCGCGTTGGTTGATTTCGTGGTGAGATAGAGGCCTTTGATAGTGACAGCTATTGCAGGGCTCCACAACAGCTCGATGCCAATGTCAAGCTTGAATGGATGTCGGCCGTCAGCCAGCTGCCACCAGCTGTACACGCTGGACAACAATTGTCAGGTATCCTTTCACACTCACAGTCAAACAATCCTCGCCAACCACCGCCGTTCTCTGATGGAATCTACAGTTCTTTCATCCTGGAGGGGCACTCTTGTGTCAGTCGGCAAGGCCCGTTGCCAACCTGGGTAGGATCCATGCAAGAGCATGGATGATACAAGTCAGCACGCAGCTGACACCTCTTTCTTGCTCACGTACCGGCATGATGCATGGCCAGCTCATACATGTGCAATGCGCCGCAATCCACACGCAAAGATATAGACTCGCCAAATTTGAGCCTGACCGTCGACGGTCTCTTCTTCACCTTTTCCAATGCTTGATAAGCAGGCCCGGTTTCATATCTTCGTCAGTCGTGCTTTTCGCTCCTGATTCTAGTCTACTGGACGCGTAACTCGAGGGGGCATAATGGACAGTGATGGATGCCCAACGCCATTCTGAGATGCAACATAAGGAAATTTTGCCCGTGAGATACTCCAGTCGGTCACGGAGACAACCATATCCGGGTATGAAGTTGGCGGAGGATGTTGCGAGTCCCAAAACGCCTGTTGAGATTAGCTGGAGTCGATCAGGATCAGCCTTCGAGTTCCAGCTTGCGAATTCTCAGCAAAGCTTACACATGGATGAATGGGCTTGCGTGACTTTCGTCTTTGGGGATGTTCTGGAAGTACACTTCGCAGCCAAGCTGGCTAAAGTGGTTACAATTGGATGCCAAGTCACCGAAAGTCTTATCCAGACCTCATGCTTCTGTTAGTTGCATTCCATCAAATGGGAATGCAACCACTGACATTACCTCTCATGGCTCCAATATGATCCCGCCAACTGTTACATGCCGAGCATGAAAAGATGGAGACGGTGAACTTTCTCGGGCTCGGCGAGAGACATCGCTTCAGGATCAAATACTCTGCGTGAGGCTCTCTGAAGAATTTTCAGAGAATGCTGCTTTCTAAAACGTCGTAATAACATGTAACAGAGTATAATCTCGTAGATCACGCAACATGCACTCAATTGAAGAAAAGTCGGCCGTGGCAGAGCATCATGTCACAGTTGAGATATATCCAGATCCAAAAGGATCTCCCATCACCGGGCAGTCTCACGAGGACACAGCTGTGAGAGTCGATTACTCCGGAGCATCGGCGAAGACCGACCCTGCAGAGATCAAGCTTGTCCGCAAACTCGATATGTTCATCATGGTGAGTTCAGTCTCATCAACAACCTCCCCAGACAGGCCGCGAAGTAACATCCACTAGCCCGTTGTCTGGATCCTGGTGTTCTTGAACTTCTTCACCCGTCAGTCCCTCAGCGTCGCGCGGCTCGACGGCTTCGAGCGCGAGCTCGGCATCTCAGGGACCGAGTTCTCCCTCGCCATATCGATCCACTACATCGGCTACCTGCTGGTACAGGTCCCTTCCAACATGCTCCTGACCAAGGTCCCGCCGCCGATATACCTGTCCGTGACGATGGGTGTCATGTCGGTCGGCACCGCCCTCACGGCCGTCCTTCACAACGGCCGGAGCTTGCTCATCCAGCGCTTCTTCCTGGGGTTGGTCGCGGCACCGATCTACCCGGGCTGCATGTATGTCATCTCTCTTTTCTACAAGAGGAAGGAGATCGCGGCGCGCATGACCCTCGTTTACACGGCCACTATCTTCGCCACGGGCATGAACGGGCTTCTGGCCGCCCCTCTCTTCCGCGCCATGCGCGGCAAGCTCGGCTTGTCGGGCTGGAGGTGGCTGTATATTATCTTCGGCGCCATCGCGGTGGCCGTGTCCGCGCTGTCGTTCTTCATTCTGCCGGATGAGCCGCTCAAGACGAAGTGGCTCACCCCGGCGGAGCGCCAGCTAGCCCACGACAGGATAGCCGAGGACACCGTTGAGCTCGGAGAGGACGGGAGCATGGTGCAGGGGTTCAAGGATGCGATGAGGGATCGTAGGGTCTGGCTGTTTATGGTCATACAGCACGTCAATGCTTTTGCCGGCAGCCTGCGGATATTCCTGCCCACGCTGCTTGCAACACTTGGTAAGTGAGGCCCTGAGACGCTTCTCTGTCAGCCGGTACTGACCAATTCATCCAAAACAAGGGTTCGGCCAGTTCAAAACCCTCGTCATGACATGCCCACCCTACCTGATAGCCTGCGTCTCGGCGATGTGCGTGTCCATCTCTTCCGGGCACTTCAATGAGCGCACATGGCACCTCACCTCACTGAAGACGCTCGCGGCCGTTGGCTTCGCTCTCGCTGCGGCCACGATGAACCCCTCCGTGAGATATTTTGCGGCCTTCGTGTTCATCATCGGCACATGGGGCGGCACGTCCATCACGCAGTCGTGGATAGCCAGCACATGCGCGCAGACCAAGGAGAAGAGGGCCGTGGCAATCGGGCTGGGGAACATGTCTGCTAGTTCGACGTTGATCTGGACTCCGGTGCGCTTCATTCTCTTTTTCCTCTCTCCTTGTTTCCATCCGCAATGCATCGTCATTCACTGACTGGGGATCAGTACCTCTGGCCTGAATCGTCTGCTCCAAGATATGCCCTTCCGCTTATCACATGTGCTTCTGGTGCTGCTATGTCTGTGTTGCTATTCTGGCTCATGCAATGGGACCTCAGGCAGCAGAATAAGAGACTTCGTCAGACTGATGTAGCGAGTCGGGTGTTCTACGCTTATTGACTGGAGACTGGCACGACCGGGTTTAGTCATTTACTCGGAAGGTCGATGGTCCTGGGCTCGCTGAAATGACTTTTGATTACGTCCTTGATAGCCCAAGGTACTTGGAAACTGGAACCTGAGTTGGTACCGCTCAGGTGTGAATGGATCAGCCTCAATAGTTTGAACAGCAACAAACGCAGGTTCAAGTTTCCAAGAGGATAGCCGCATGACTAGGTGATGATAGACGTATTCGGCCAGTAAACAGGATTATTTTTGGCAATTGGCATCGAGGCCTTATCAACGAAGTGAACGATAACATTTAATACTGCGTCATAAACCTTCATAGAAAGCATCTTAACCACTTGTGAGTAGCCATTTTAGGGCTCTGTGCATTAGTTTCTATCGTGTAGCTTTCGGCAGCTGTCCTGGGGAAACTTTTTAGTAAAGGGACAGGACGATTAAGCCGCGTGATGTCAAGACTGGCGCAATATGCTTCTCAATACGGATTGTGTGCGAGTCAAATTGGAGACAATCGACCTCAGAAGCCATGATATGGTGTAGCTTGGTATACAAATGAGCCTTGCTGCCAGGAAGTTGAGGGTACGCATGGTGTTGTGGGGTGTGTCCGTATTCCCGAGCCTTGTAAGTGTATGCCTAGGTAAGCAGCTGTGAAAGCCCTCCTTCCGAGATATACTTCATTTGTTGAAACAGGGCCGATGTTGTTATCCCTAATTCACCAAAAACCAGTTGTTTACACATGTAAACAAGGGGTGCTATCTCCAAAGCAACAGGGTTCCATTTATTGAATGAAAAGGGTAGTAACAAACGGTCTCTAAGACAGCAATGTTGATTGATAAGATATATATGATACTAAGCTTAGGAAGTCCAGACTGCTCGAGTGTATCTTATGTTGAAAGCTCCTGCTTTCACCGGGTTGAAAAGCGCGAAATCTCACCTCATGCACGGCATTGAGCTGGAGCATCCCTTGAGCCTATAAGGACAATGTATTCGGGCAAATGTTGGAGCCAAGGGATGGAGTGGGGCTGGATGTACTCTGTGGGTAACTGAAAGGCGCCAGACCGCATTTCTTGACTCAATCCGTAAAGACACAAAACATCAGGTATGTAAAGGGTGCAGAGAGTTTTCGAATATATTTGACAGTTCTGAAGAGGAAGCAACGTCTTTATCAGTTGCGACTATGGTAATTCGAGGGAAGGAGGGGCAGATTGCGGTCTCCGAAGTAACAGCGCCCAAGCACAGACCTAGGCGGCTACATGCATTGTCTCCAGTTCTGAGGATCCGTTTGCTTCATGCTCTCCCTTCCCTTCGAATTCCTTTCCCACTGCATCAACCGTTGCTGGCTCGTCTCACTCTACTGTAGACAAACAAGACCATCAAAGATATTACAGCTGCGATCTCGTTCCCATCATGTCGTTCAATTGCACTCGATGTTGGCGATGCTTCAACTCGGCGCACGCCCAATGGCAGCACATGGTCGACAAAAACCACTTCGAACATGAATGTTCGTGCTGCAATGAGACACGTCCGACAGAGGAGTCGCGGAAGGAACATGAGGTTGACGTCCACCACTACTGTGCCGACTGCAGCCGCTATTTCATGAACCTCAACAACATCCAGCAGCACCTGCGCTCGTCCGTCCACCTCGGCGGCTCTATCAGCTGCCCCTTCTGCCAGCGCGGCTTCACCTCCGCCACGGGCCTGGTGCACCACATCGAGAGCAGCGCATGCCCCAAGGCCGCCGGCCTTGACCGCGACTCCGTTTACAGGATCGTGCGCCAGAAGGACCCGTCCGGCGTCATCTCCAAAAACCTCATCGGCTGGACGGGCTCCGACTCCTTCGAGGCCACCGGCAGGGCGTGGAACCCCTACCTGGGCGCCTTTGAGTGCTACCTCTGCAGCCGCACCTTTACCCAGCTCTCCAGCCTCAATCAGCACCTTCAGTCTCCTGCTCGTGGGTTGCCCTCCGTTTTATATCCCCTTCGGTGAGCTCGCTGTTAACACCGTGCAGACCAGCAGAAGTTATACCATTGTCCGAAATGCCCCAAGGAGTTCGTCAGCCTTGCTGCCATTGTCAATCATTTTGAGAGCGAGAGCTGTGGCTACACTCGATTCAGTACGGTGCAACAGGGTGTTCGGGGCCTCACGGATGGTAGCCGTCTACTTGCCTTCCGCTGAGTAGAAGTGGCGTTGGGAGACTGTCGCGGTGTTGTTGCCTGCCTCGATCACCCCAAATGGAATTGAAACGTTGGTAAACGAGCCTGCCAACGTGTTTGTATGTACTTGACGGCCTGAGTAGCGCTCACGCGTATCAATCGATTTGGTTTGGAGTCACGGATAACGTCCACTAGAAGCAGTCGACCTAGTGTGGTGCCGAGCAACCTGACGCGAGCATGGCCGACATCGATACTATGTTAATGTCAGGCGAAGGTCTGCGCCAACATGACAGGCGTATGAGCCATGGGATGCTAATAGACCATTGTCACAATTCTCTTCCGACCTGATCACGCTCAACTTGCGATTCGGAATAATGGCAATTCTTTGAGAAATAATTGAGGCCTAGGTTGCGAGCCCGTATGAGACCCATATTTGTGACGGACGAGGGTATAGTTCACTTTGTTGACCACTAAAGAGGCCGTGGAATTAGAGGGAAAAGAATTATGCATGACCTTTGATTTACGTCTAAGCTGTGTGAATCTCATGTTTCAGTGTATCCGACAGTTCCACAGAGAAGGTCAATCAGCGAGTCTCCAGTTTGGGCAGGAGCTTAGTCTGTTTTGAGTGGAACTGCGGTTTGCATGCTCACAGACCAGTACAAACACCGCATGTGCACTTTCAGTGGCCGCTTTTGACCACTACAGTCTATCAAGTTTATCCACTGATATATGCCGCCTATGTGCTACGCTTTGGATCAAGAGTTTAGAAAACGATAGCCAGCGATGATCGATAGCCAGCGATGATCGATAGCCAGCGATGATCGATAGCCAGCGATGAGAAGATCCCCAACGCGGCCGCTCACGCTAGTTATAGGTGGTCTCGATCTCTGCGAATCCTTCTCACCGTGTGCCTGAGCGGCCGTTTCGGACGGCTTTCAAATCGAGTTTGGTGGTCGGGTCACACTATAATACTGAGGGAGATTGGATGCGAGACACACCTCATTGTGGATTGGCCGTCATACAGCGTCTTCCTGGGTTCAACCAGTTACGTGGTGGGAATACTATAGTTTCCGTCTTATTGGAAGGCATGATCTCCGACCTGGGTGTGAATGGATCTATCCAGACCTGCTTGCATATTTGCACGTGGATATTATGAATGCCGAGGTAGTGAACGAGCTTTTTATTTCTTTTTTCAAGCTTTGAAACTGCATGAGCAGCCATCGAATGCATCTCCCAACGCCCATAGAATTTATCAGTCTGTAGTCCTTATACACAAGTGTCCACGCCTCCCCCCCCCTCCATGGTAATCGTATGTTGTATCTGTGCGTTGACTCCTGCTACACAACCGGTCAGTTTTTGACCCACGTCCCAAGTTGCTGGCGCCCAACAAGAGACTTTCCATTGGCGTCTTTCATCTTTTCCACCTTCAGCCCGTTCCAAACACCCGGGGCCGTGGGTACATAATCAACTTGAAGTACCTGATGGCCATGTCTGTTTTGGGGGTGGTAAGTGAGACCAGCAACCTGTGTACCGCGACCTCGAGATACGTTTCCATTATATTGCGGCACCACTCTAGTATCGAACTGACTGTTGCCCGTCAAGGAGAACCCCTCAACCGTTGGTCCATTGTGTTGTTCAACACCATCGTCTGCCACGCAATTACTGTAGACCGCCGTTTGTGTTTGACGAGTGTCACGAGGGACCTGGCCTACGTATTCAAAGCGGGCGGGTTGAGGAGCTTGACTAGGTGGCCCACGATGCGTCATTTGATTTTACTGCGACATTTCGGTCCGTGTCGGCGAGCATGGAGGTGTCGGCACTCCGTAGGTAGTAGTGCTCTGCTGACGGTGAGCCTGGACAAGGTCAGCACGGAAAAGGGAACTGGGACACAGGAAATGGATTCTCAGAGCATTGCTTACATCCATCGAAGTGATCCCAATACGAATGTCCTGTATAGCCAAGTAATTGATGCTTTGTAGGCGAAGTGACAAGGCTGTCTTCTTGTTTTCAAGGGTAGCGAACAGCTCCCCAAACGATCGTTCTTTGAGGATGAAGACAAGGGCTCGATGGAAACGTCCCCTTTTCAAGAGGATGGAGACGTCTTGGTGGGCGCCAATAGTGTGTAGTATGGACTGTGTCTCCCTCTGGACCTCGGTACCCAACACAGGATTGTTACTAATGTCTTCGCAGAGGCCTCGGAGGCCTTCCAATTGCTCCTGGTATTGCTTCAGAGACTGCGAAGAACCTTTAATCCTTTTAGCTAGATTCACAGTGGCAATGAATTGTACGAGAAACTGCGAGATCGCCGCTGCTGCCCCAAGTGCCTCCATGTCGGAAACCGAGGGTCCGAGTAGCCCAGGTCGCGGTCGCGATATACTCCCTTCGAGTCTGCTGAGCCTGAAGAATGATGGGGGTACATATTTTCAAGTTGGTATGAAGGTGTGAATAGTGATTTAATCGGTGTACTTACACGTCGTGACTGCTTCTGCGGGGTTTGCAGAGATCTGTATGGAGCCTTGTCTCAGCCCTCCTAACTGCCTTGTTGTGCTTTGCTGGGCGCAGCAATGCAGTAGCGGTGATCGGATGATGATTCTGTACTGACCGAGCCACTTGGCTTGCCTTTATATCCTAGTTGCAACGGCTTCTCCTGCTGTGTAACCGCAGCGTTAGTAATGCGTGACCAGACTACTTAGGCACCTAGGTACGTTGGGCATTAAACCAGCCTCCAACTTTAGATAGACGTCGTGTTGTTATCAGCTTGCCACCCACGTTTCTTCTTCTGATTGCAGCTTCTATCACAGTCCGTCTTGGCCCGATCCTCAGGACCATGCGATGCCCATGCTTATTTTCCTCCAATCTTAACACTCCTTCAGCGCACGGCAGATTCATCAGCTGTTTACATTCGCGAGCTCTGGGGCACTGGTCTTGCTTTATCGGCCTTGCGTTACCGGACTTCCGCTATCATAGACTTGGCAGCAGTGCGGCGTAGTCCGCAGACATGGTCACACCGAAAGATGAAGACAGTGATCATTCTTTCCTCGAAGGAGATTCTCTCACGGAGCACGGTCTTCCGGGATCATGGAATATTGTTTCTGCGTTCTCAGAATTGAGCAGTCGCTCAAACAAAATTCCTTCCATTCGAGTTACGATATAGGGAAAGGAGATGCTTTCCATCGGAGACCATTCGCCGTTGTTGGTTGTGTTTCAAACATGTCTATGAATGCTTCGTTGAATAGCTGTACGTCCAATAACGTAATGATTTAATTTCCGAACTATGGTCGGTACTTAAACCGTAAGGGCTGCATGAGCGATCGCCCCTGATATTGACGCAGTGTAGCCCACCGCACTCCTTGGATCGTCAAGCCAGCTGCATGTCATCCAATACTTTTTCTTTTTAAATTTCCTCACAGAGTCTCAATGGTCCTCCATATACACCCACGGAGCTGCAAGCAGACGGAAGCTGTGTCGTATCGCAGACAAGCACATGCAGCCTGATGCTGCGGCTTAAAGTTTGCGCCGCGAGGTGACAGACATCAATATGCATCCGGGCTCGCCAGTGGAGACAAACCAACCAACGAGAGCCGACAACCCAACAAGAGATGGAATCTCCCGATACCTCTCCCTGGGCGCAGTCTTCACAGGGGGTAGGGCAGGTGGTGGTCAGCAATTCTGCGGTCCGTACTACGACCATCGCGAGTCCCATCACCACTCCCCACCCTGGTTGAATCGAAACAGATTCTGGGTGGCTTGCTTTTTGATCATTGTTATAATGGTCTTGGGTATTATTGCTACGCCTATCACTGCTGTTTTGGCGAGGAAAGGTGGAGACAAGCAAGATAGCACTTTGCAACTCGCATGGTACAATCACCGGTATCTCGCCTTCACACAAATATAGAGGGCTGATCCCAGTGCAGGACATCTACAACATCCCTCTTCTGTGCTCGAGGCACAGAACCGTGCATTGTCACATATGTGTTACATCCTTCAGATATGAGTGCGGACCCGTCCACATCCACGGAACAGAGCATGTTCACTACGGACCCCATTTCGACATCACAATCTCAATTATCAGATCCGTCTCCCGCCTCGTCAGCAGCGGCAGCCGCTGTCTTGACTTCCGTGAACCAGGACGCAGCCATTAATGTTACCAATACCGCCACCCTGTCACCCGCTATAACGTCTGCCACCTGTCGATACAACTGTCTCAGCACCTCCTGCTTCTGGGGTTGCCCTGGCGCAGCTTGCAAAGATTACAACGATTGTGCGGATCCGTGGCCTTGTGACACTGTCGTTGGGACGTGCTGCAACACTGGCTGCATGACTGGATGGGGCTGCTCGGGGCGTGCTTGTCACCACTTCAGTGTGTCTCTACGGCTGGCGGGTCGACTTGCCAGTAACACTGTGGAATTGAGGTCGAGCCACCGGCCGGATAATGGAGTGTAGTAGTTGACCGGTGACAGTCCAAGAAAACAAGCTTAATTTGAGCAGTGTGGGGGTGGGGGTGGGGGTTCCACCCATTCAGGGGCGGCCCCGCGGGAACACGGACAAGGACGGGCATGTTCCATAGATCATTGAGCCCTTGGCAAATAGACATCTCCATAAATCTGTACTTGTACTGGCAACGACATCTGAGCGTTCTACCCCTAATCGGGGCAGTTTATGGGACTGCCAAAGGCCAGTGAATCACGAGTATCAACAAAAAAATTCCGGGATTTTGTCATCGTTTCTTGCTGTACAGGCTGCGACAGGCCGCATGGTAGCCCCTTAATACGAAATCCTCGTGTTGGTATGCTGCTAGAAAAACGCCAACTGCGGGAAGTGGAGAACGCATGAACCCAAATAGCATCATTATGGAGCAGCAACCCTCACTGGGCTGGGATGACACCTGCCACCTTCGGCCTACCCACCCCGAAATGAACCCACCCGCAACGTCGGGCTGGAAACATGGGATGAACGCATGCGCCCTATATAACATGGCCGTCGCCCAATGCATGGCAGAGGTTGTTCTGTTCGCGTCCATCGGCTCCCAGCGCTGACCAACACTCGCTTTTTTGGTTCCCGGACAGCTTCCGCTCGCTTGTGAAGAATGTCGGCCGCTCTGCTCTCCCTGGCTTGCTTGCCAGGCGCCCTTTCAGCGGTGCTTGAGCTTCCAATATGGCTGAAGAACGGCTACGTGAGTTGTGCCACGCAACCCTCATTTGAGGATGACATATACTAACGTGCAGTCCAGTCCGTGGTGGACGTGGAGGTTGGAACGCCACCTGTTACACACACACTGTTGTTTGACACTGGAAGCTCGACGACTTGGATGGTTGCCGGAACTTGCGATGGGACAGCCCTGTGTCCTAATAACAGCGGATTCAACCGCACCGGCTACAACGAGACGGCGTCGTCGACCGCAAATGCCACGGGCTCGTACGCCTCCATCGACTACCTCGGAGGAGTCACGGCCGGAGCGGGCATGGAGGACGTCTTCACGTTCCCCTCCGCCCCCGAGACCGTCTGGACACAGAGCTTCCTGGAGGCGTACCAGTCGTCCTGGTTCAACATCCCAGCGGATGGGTTCCTGGGCCTGGCCTTCAGCACCATCTCCGACGCAAACACGACGACCCTGGTGGAGACATTGCTGTGGTCTGGCAAGCTCGACGAGTCGCGCTTCGGCCTCTACTACGGTGTCGAGCTGGAGAGCACAGGCGACAGCGCCGGCGAGGGAAGGCTGACGCTGGGCGGCTCGCACGAGGACACTTATGTGGACGGCGACCTCGTCTGGGCCGACCTGTCCCCGCCTGACGAGCGCGCCCAGCTGTGGCGCGTCGACATGCAGTACGCGGTCGGCACGACGCCCAACAAGACGCAGTCGACTGTGACGCTCTCCGGAGCGTGGGGCGTGTTCGACACGGGCGCAGGGCGCATCTCGGTGCCTGACCCGCTGATCGACAGCATCTACGCCAGCATCGGCATGAACTGGACGGCCATCATCGGCGGCGACCACATCCCGCTGTGCACCGAGTTCACGGACGCGTGGTCGATTGAGTTCAACATCGGCGACGGGTATAACCCCAGCGCGCTTGTGCTCACGGGAGACATGCTCAAGAAGCCTGGGTTCGCGACGGGCGAGGACAAGTACTGCTGGCCGCCATTCGACACGAGCGGCTCCGATGGACTGTTCCTGTTCGGGTCGGACTTTCTGCAGATGCACTACACGGTGCATGACTTTGGAGGGTTCGAGCCCGAGAGCTACAAGGCGAGGATCGGATTTGGCGCGTTGAAGGACGAGTACCGGCCAGACCATGTCTGAGCGTTGCCTGGGTATTGACAGTCAGTCTACCTCTGTACATATGTAGCTAAAGGGTGAATTGAACAAACCATCAAAGGGCCCACTCGAAATATTTTGAAGTGCTCAGGTGGGCAGATAACTGCCTGCCACCCTGCCAGTGGAGTTACAGGTGTGACAATATCGTCAACACAGCAGGTGGGTGTTTGGCTGTCCAACTGGCAGTTGCACTTGGGCAGCTGGGGCCATGTGCCAGGCCACCCATTTTGCACGGGACTTTGTCATCCTGAATCGACCCAACCTCCTCGAGTTCAACCTTCGAAACAAGGCCACAAAGAAATTCGCAGGGGAGCCTTTTCACGTCACTCACGACTTTGTGGGAAAGTGCATCACAACCCGTTTGCTCCTCGTCCAGAATAGCTTCTGCTCACACCCCACAGCCTTCAATCGGCCCCAAGCGACCTTCCGTCCCATCAATCACCATGAACCCACCTTTTGATCCTCTTCGCCATAGAGGCTGGAGAGATATACAGTATCATCGTGAGATGCAGTCTCCTCTCCAACCATCCTCCCAGAACTTCATCCTGCCACCACCACGGCATCTGCCACCACCACGACATTTGCCTCCAGCAGCTTCATTTCCATTGCCATACAACGACGCAAACGGCCGCTACTACCACACGTCATCACCAAACAATTTCAGGCCTGTCCAATCCCACCACAGCGGACAACACAATTCTTGGGATGGAACCTTCGAAAACTACACTCTTAGTGCATGGAATTCCCAAGCTGGTTACTACGGCACACAACTTGCCATGCCGCCAACACAAAACAGCAGCTACTCGCTCCAAGACAAGTCAGCTGCGACACTTCCCCTCCATGGACAAGCACTCGGCACCAGCACTCTATCGCTAACATCGTTCAGTAATAGCTATGCCTATGAGATGAACCCCTTGTACACAGGCCAAGCGTTACCCCAGAATCAGCAGGATAGAAATGATCAGGAAAGCCCACCGACTGGAAGATACAGCGAAGGACCTCGAGGCAGGAAGCGGCATCAACGCCCCCACAGTAGACGCCTACACAACAACAACCAAGTGGACGGCAAAGAATTCCAGAACCTCGAACCCGAGACACCGACACGAGGCGGTCTTCAAAACGTCTCTCGAAGGCGGGAAGGTCGACCCCCGCCAGAGAGGATTCTACAGTCGGCTACGCGAATATCTCGAGAGTTCTTGGCGTCTCCCTGGAAGTCTGTTCGTCACGACGAAAGCGTCCCTGTAAAGCATGAACACAATGATGAGGATCAAACAAGCTCGTCTCGGGTCCCGAGGGTACAGGGGCGCAGACCGGGCTTAACACCGCTCTCCCCTACATCCAAGCCCTTCGGGCGGTCGTCAGCCTCCAAAAAATACAAGTCGAATCCACCACGGCACCGTCGACGGTCTTCACAAGTCACGAATTCACCGGCGTCTCACCAGGACCGTCAATCGCACAAGACCCAAGAAGCCAGCCCGGTGCATATAGGCGATACACAGGACACCAACAAGGGAAGTTCACGGTCGGTGTCAGACCTTTCGGACCTTGAGGGCAATCTCAAAATATCGAAGATGAACGGCTTACTCGACATCTGGGACTCTACAGTAAACCCAAATTGGGACAAGGAGGTGTTCGCATTGTGCGACTTGGGATACTGTAATTGCTGCAGACGGTACTATGTGCCACTGAGAACGCTCGGGCACGTTTGTCGAAGACGAACCCACCCAGTGGGCAAGCACATCAAGGCCTGATACTGATACCTGGAAATTATATGCACTAATTCCAGGCTTGTTTTACTCTTTCCTTTCTCTTCTCGAATTTTCTGTCCGTGTGTGTGTGATCCCATATGCGGCTTGACGTTACACTACCTAGGTAGTGTGGGCATAGTTCTGAGTCGATCTCGGCATCAGAGGCGGACTTGAAGGTAGCAGGGGCCGCCAGCCGCAGAGATAAGTGATATAATCAACCATATGTGCCGATTAACTCAGTATCTACTGCTTGTAAAGGCTGTGTGCGGTGAATGCGCACGGACCTGGGCTGCAAGTGACAAGCCCGGTGTGAGGCTCTGTGGAAGCCGCCACGGTCTATAGGGACTTAGATCGTGTTAAAGCTGCGACGAGGCTCTAAGCCAGGCCACAATTTCGGTGGGGATGTGGCCATAATTTGTTCGCAACTTCCACGGAGCTTGCACCTGGATCTTCTAATCGCCCCTTCTGCAAAACCATCGTTATTCCTGCCATCACCACGACAATGGACTGAGATCTGACAGCCACGGGCCTATCCCTGTGATCTCTGTATCTTAGGACGTCGCCATTCGATCAAAACGAAAAGAATACGTGAATTTTCCCACGACTCCTGCTGAAGGTGAAGAATAGCTGCCGCGTGCTGTGTTGATTCTCGCTCAACGATTGACGCTCTCGCCCATCACGCATACTCTATATACACTGGTAACCAGTCATCAACAGTATTTACCAAAGGGGGACGGCATGCTGAGGTGGTCAACTATGAGTTCCCACACCCCCAATCCAGCCCCGACTCCTGCGCCAGTCTCGTCCCCAATCTCTGAACTGAAGGCGGAAGTGCATCTTGAAATCGTTGAACACCTGATCGACGGAGGAAATATGTCAAAACAAGATCCGAAACCAGACCTGACAGCAGATGCAAGACGAAATCTCACCAATCTCTGTTTGGTTTCGCGGGGATGGAAAATTATCGCCTCGCACTTTCTGTACCGATCAGTAGAGATTGCGGACCTCCATACATTGTCACTGTTCGTAAGGACCATCAATACCCGTCCCGAGCTTGGAGAGCGAGTACGCAGCTTGTTTCTCAACCCCAAGATCTGTTCAGGATGCGGCCCCGGATTTGCAATCGACGTGGGTCAGCGTTTGCACAGCGTCCTCGCCGTAACCACAAACCTGCGGCTGTTATATCTCAACTTGGAAGAATGCCGGACTTGTTGGTACAATAGTAACCCTACCACCTTTCACTATGCAGGATCTGATGGTGAGTGACACTACTCCAATCACACTTCCGTCGCAGTCTGGCTATCTTCAGGATCACTGAGTGTGGTTTGAGATCTTGCGTCCCCAAAATTGGGAGCCATTGACCTGGTGCAAATCTTGTGTGATAATGAAAATTACTGACTAGTACGATCGCAGTCGGCTATGACTACTTCTTTTTCCTGGTAACATGGCATATTCAAGGCGCTGGAACTTTCCTGTCTCAACTCACAGACTTTTACTTTACCAGCAACGACATACCATACAGTTATTGTATATTCTTTACACTTCCTTCACTGCGAAGGGTCGTGTCGGTTAGGGACACAGGGCAGTGGGAAACGATCCTCAATGACGCTCATGGCATCGGACCCCATTACCCCCAGGTGACGGAGTTCGTGCTGAGGAGTTCTGCCATCGTCCCATCCCAGGTGCACCGCATCTGCGAGTGCTTCCCAAATTTGACGGTTCTCAGGCTCCGGAACAATCCTAAAAAGACAAACCAGCTATATGATCCCTCCGACTTTGAACAGAACTCTGAACAGAACTCTGAACAGAACTCTGAAGAGGACCCTGAAAAGGACCCTGAACAGGTCAAACTTGGTCAGCGAAATCTAAGCCGCGGCCTCGCCAGGCTGACAACGCTCGCCAAGCTGGAACTGCAGCTAGATTACCCCAAGCCAGAGGCCTCGAAACAAATCAACTTTCCCGTGCACCTGGGCCCCTACGGCGGCATCACCAGCCTCCGTGGGTTACACAATCTCAGGGATCTGACGATCGGCATGCACCATCTGATGCGCTTCCGTGGTCCGCGCGGCGAGTTCCAGGCGCAGCCGCTCCCACCCACGGTCCTGCCAGACCGTCTCGTGAACCTGCGGCTCTACACGTGCCTCAGCTGCTGGAACAACAAGCTCCGCCACTTCAAAAAAGACTTGCCCAGCGACCCTGCGTATGCGGGTCAGTCGACGCTCGACTTCGTGAAATCCCTCGCGGAGATGTTGTCACTCAGCAGCAACCTCAGGAGCCTCGAAGCCGTCAGTGTCTACTCCCAGACGGCTTGGTGGCTCAGCTTCGGCGTCGATTACCGGACAGTAAAGCACGACGAGGAAGAGGTTGGCCAGACCTGGAACGCGGGCGGGTTCGAGGAGTACTGCGGCATCTCTCGCTTTGAGACTGGCGGGCGGGAGATCCACTTCCGCGCGTACGAGACCGACGACCTTGATTGTGGCCGGGACCATCCTTATGATGAGGTTTGATGTGCGGGCTTGCTCTTTGCGAAGCACAGTGTCGTCTGAGAATATTGTTACTTACTTGCTATGGTTGGAGAAGGGTTTGGGCCGTGATGGTTTGCTTTGCTTTTTGGGTTGGTCTAAAGCCTCTCTCCTGGATGGGCTCTGCTGGTGTAAGCTGGAAATGATGGGACGGAGAATGGCAACTCATGCTACGGTCGTCGGCGTCTGTTTTGGATTACCATGTGCAACATCAATACTGATACCCATGTATTCTAGTAGTCAATACTGGAGGAAGGGCATGAAACAGAGGGATTATTCCTTTCCTCACTCGTCAGACTGAGGATCGAAAGAGCGAAAGAATCAGCCGCGTAAAATCCAGAAATGACCCCCAACCTTTTCGCGCTGTCTTGTGAGCTCGTCCAGCCTGTGTGATCATTTTGGTTTGGGATGATGAAAGGCATCAACGCATCATAGTCGGCTGCGATAGAGTGCACCCTTTTGTGGAAGTGGTGATGATGTGCCATGCATCAAAGTTCCAGCCAAGAGGTTAGGCGGGATGCTTAACGACACCTGCCTTAAGCGGGAATCTCAATGCCGATCACTGGGCGCGGGTTTGCCATGGCGCGATCTCTGCAATTATGGTGGTGATAGATTTGTCAAGCGGGAGTGAGGATTTAAATAAGATAGTGTGCCGTCGAATTTGCCGGGACTAAACTGGCCATATCGTCAGGTAAAACAGACTGAACCCCACCAGCCCGGCAAGATGAAGATCACCACCAACCTCCTCCGCCTCACCACTGCAGCGATGGGCCTGCTCGCCGTAGTCAACGCGCAGAACTCATCCACGGTCGGGCCCGAGACAGGCTCCCTCGTCATCGTGGGCGGTGGCACCCTCAGCGACAACATCTACCAGCGCGTCATCGACCTCGCCGGCGGCAGCGACGCCCCCATCGTGGTGATCCCCACGGCCGACGGCGCCGAGTCCTACGACCAGGACGCGGCGGGCGCGGCGGCGTTCCGGCGCCTCGGCGTCAAGAACGTCACGGTGCTGCACACGTACGACCCGCAGGTGGCGGACACGGAGGAGTTCGTACGGCCGCTGCTGGATGCGCGGGGCGTGTGGTTCGGCGGCGGGCGGCAGTGGCGCCTCGTCGATGCGTACGCGGGCACGCGGACTGAAGCCGAATTTGCAGCGGTCCTGAGCCGCGGCGGCGTCATCGGGGGGTCCAGTGCAGGCGCCAGCATCCAGGGGAGCTTCCTTGCGCGCGGCGACACTGCCAACAACCAGGTTATGGTCGGAGATCATCAGGTTGGGTTTGGTTATATCAAGAACACGGCTATCGACCAGCATGTGCTCGTACGCAACCGCGTGTTCGACATGTTTGACATCCTCAAGGTCAGGCCTGAGCTGCTTGGCTTTGGGATCGACGAGAACACGGCGCTGGTTGTTTCCGGGAATGATGCTGAGGTGATTGGGGCGAGCTATATTGCTGTCTACGATGGGGGATTTTGGTCGCGAGAGGGGAGTGATTTGAAGAATCTGCCTGATTCTTCGGCTATATTTTACTATCTGAGAAATGGAGATCGATACGACCTGGCGGCGCGAAAGGTGGTGGAATGAAAGGGACTACCTGACGTATAGAGATATTCAAACAAGCTGTTCCGTTGCTCCCGAGATGCTTCAACTTTCCTGACTCGGCCACTTCTTTGAGTTTAATTACATTCTCACCACCTCGTGTCGTCGACTCGTTGTGCTTGGCGTGAACACCTCCATCTTTGGGAAAGCTTTTTGTGAAGCATGGCGCCATCCTCTAGTGAGTGGCGAGAGGGGCATTGCAGTTGCGGGACAAGAAAAGCCAAGATTTTCCAAGAACCGATGTGGCAGGTACATATGTGCGCTGACGGCTACAAAGTTCCCCTCATGCTATCAATGATGAACCTTTCGACATGACTAAATGAAAGTGGACATAGAAGTGTTAACCATGCCTGCCTGAGCAGTATAAATGGTTCAATCTGACCTGCATATATCCATGATTGAGTATTATGTGCCTTGCTCCATGGTGATCGAATCCAAGCCCACTAGGTAACGTATCAGGCTGAACCTTCAGTGCCGATTCCTACCATGCGTTTCTCAAATTTCTTTTGGGCTTGTTCAAGTCTTGGCTCCATCACACTGAGCCATGCACAGTCCAACAAAAAGCAATATGACGGACATCAAGTGCTACGTGTAGAGACGAACGGGCGACCTAATGCTGTGTTGAAAAGACTGGCCAGCATATCCTTGCAGCCGTGGAAAGAAGAAACCGTGGGAAACTACTTCGATGTTGTCGTCCCACCTGAGAAACTCGCCGAATTCGAGTCCCTCAGTCTCAGAAGCACGACTCTCCATGCAGATCTCGGGAAGTCCATTGCGGCAGAGTCCGCTCCACTGAGCACGTGGAAGAGACAGGCCGACGACCTCTCCTGGTACGATACTTACCATCCATATGAAGAGCATATACAATATTTCGAAGACCTCCAGACGCTATTTCCAAACAACTCTGAGCTGATCTCCTCCGGTACATCCTATGAGGGTCGGGATCTGTTTGGCATTCACCTGTGGGGTGACGCCGGCCCCGGCAAGCCAGCGGTCCTGTACCACGGTACTGTGCACGCCCGGGAATGGATCACGACTTTGGTAATGAGGCCCTTGTCACTCATCATGAAGCATTAGGCTGATCAGACTCGACATAGGTTGTTGAGTATCTTACACTGCAGCTCATCAACGGCTACAAGGCGGGTGATAATGACACGAGGGCTTTTCTGGACAGTTTTGACTTCTACATCATTCCCATAGTCAATCCTGATGGTCAGTCGAGATTCTTGCCGTTGGAGCCTGGTATCAAACTTACATGGAATAGGCTTTGTCTACACTCAAACAACCAATCGACTGTGGCGAAAGAATCGCCAGCCAGGCCCAGGAAACTCAACCTGCGTCGGCCGTGATATCAACAGAAACTGGGAGTTTTCTTGGAACCCAACTAGCAGTGGTGCTTCTTCCGACCCGTGCGGGCAGACCTACGGTGGAGAAGCCCCTTCAGATTCGCCAGAGAACAAAGGCCTTGACGGCCTCGTGCGTGAGCTGCGAGACACCGTCGGCATAAAGCTGTACATTGACTGGCACAGCTACGGCCAGTACTTCCTCTTCCCTTACGGGTACAACGAGACTATTTACCTTCCTCAACTCGGGAAATGGAGCAGGACCGGATCCCTAATGAGCGAGACCATTCGGGACAGTTCCGATCGCAGGACTACATTCACGTTTGGCCCCGGGGGTGCTATTCTTTACCGCTCGGTGGGAAATTCCCGCGACCACGTGTATAGTATTGGAGGAGCGGACTTTTCGTGGACAATTGAGTTGCCAGACACGGGCACCTTCGGCTTTGTGCTGCCACCTGAGCAGATCAGGCCGACTGTTGAGGAACAGTGGGCTGGCCAGCAAGTGTTGTACAGTCTACTCAACGAGATCTTCTTTGACGACGAAGGACCTGCATAAATACTCCAAAGCCTGAGAGCGCCTGGGTCCCTATGAGGTTCGGAGAAGTACAAGTGCCTGTCGCAGGTAAAGGTTAGAGCTATCGAGTCCCTTCACCTGTTGGAATCTTGTAGCGCAAACATTCCGTCCTTGTGGGATAGCCTCTCTGGGCAACAATTTCCAATGCGACCGATATTATATGATCATAAACAATTTCAATTTATCAGCGCCAGTCGAGTTCCCTCTTGAGATGCGGTATCGCCGCTCTTCCACCGGGCATTGTCGTGCACCAGGATCAACTTGGCCCACCCAGCGCTTTCCCATTCCGAGGACGTTGCCGTAGGTTGGTCGACAATGAACAATAATCTTGGCCTAGTCACCAGAGTCGCGGGTTATATAAGCACGTTTTGAGCTCAACATTAAGTATATCTGTGTAATGAGGTGACTATCTATAATAAGGACTCTCCCGGATCAGCTGCTACAGCCAAAAGTGCTGCTCCCCACATCGCAGCTAGTGTCGAGGTCGCGGCAAACCACATGTCTGGCCCGTCGACCTTACCAATTCCAAATTGGTATACTCCAACATGCCAGCTGTGGAACTCTGCAACCCCATACGCTGCCCATCTCAGACTTCTCGCCGGGGGGAATGCTCCGTATGAAGCCGTCATGCTCGCTAGACCCAAGCAAACACAAGCAACAGAAGAAGCTAAGATAAAGGCCTTGTACAAAACAAACATTATGTCCTTGGACTCCGGTCTCTTCTTGTCCAAGTTTCCAGTGAGCTCGGAGGAATAAACGAAACTGGCCCAGGTAGACAGCAAGATACCCGGAACCATTTGCCATGGGGCAGAAGGGACCCAAGTGCCATAGCCAAGAAGAGACCTCAACCTCAACTTGAAAAGCCTGATAATAACGACAACCATCAACGAGAGAACAACAGAAACACTCTCTAGTCTGTCATGGAGCTTGACGTGCATGGTCATCGTGTCCCGATTGAAGTTCATATAGAAGCCACCTCCGCTCATTAGTCCACTGTCCGCGCGAGCATCATACTTCTCCCGGCCAAAGGAGCCAGCAGCAGAAGGATTGGTCAGGTACAAGCCAGTAAACACAGCCAACCAAAGACTTCCCGAGGAACCAAGACCTGTAGCGCCACTGATAGTAACTCGAGCGGCGGTGATTAATACGATGTAAACCCACAATCCATGTGTCTGGATAGGCTCATATGCTATGTTGGCACCTTGAGGTGGTGTTACCGACCGTAGTTTAAGAGTGGAGGCTGGAACGAGAACTGGGTTGGCGCATTGTGGCGGAGTAACGTTATTGGCCATCGTCGGTCGCTGATGATTGATGGAAGCAACGCCAGCCCATATCGAGATGAGCATGGCTTCGAAGACGACGCATGCTTGAGCATCTCGAGCTGCAGCTGCAGCAACAGAATGAGTAAGGAGGCCCGCAACACTTGTGATGTCCATTGTTCTCCGTCGACTTCCGACTCTGACGGTGATTGCGTCGACTGTCTTTACGACGACACTTTTACGCAGAAGTTCCGCGACAGTTGCGACGGTACCGTAAGTCCAGAAACTCTGCGCCCCAGCATTCACATCTCTCTCCCAGCAGTCAAAATCAGAGATCCACCGCTTGTCCTGACCCTCTGAGCTTGACTTGCGAGGAATAGCTCACTCGCTCGTATGACTTGCTCGTCACTTGCTTCTGCCAATGTGGAAAAGCTCCAAGACCCCGAAGCTACAATCTGCTTGCTTGCATCCTCAAGGTTAACGCCCCGGTCCGTGAATTTCCTTCGAAGCCTCTCAGCTTGGTCGATTATATCGGCGGAAACACCATTGTAGCAGTTCTTTTCGCAGCATCTCACATTTTTGAGGTCATCCCGATGCTGTTTCCGCGCTGTCTGAAGACCTGGTAGCAGCCAGTATTGAGGTACCATGCCATACAAGGTAGAAGTGCTGTTCCTGAAGAAGAGCCAACTGGCACCTATCAACGTCAGAACACCGCTTGGGTAATTTCCGACGTCACTGTCGGGTATTTGGGCCCAGCACACTCTCAATAGGCTCAGAAACATAATTTGGGTGGCTGAAGAAACATGGTGGAATTTGTGCGGGTTCTGCTTTTTCGTCACACAGGGGCCTGATAATGGCAAGAAGTGTGGTCAGCAACCACGAATACTCGAGAAGATGATTTTGCTCATTTTTAATATAGAGCAAGTCAAAGGTTTTACGGTCCAGCTTATCCGCCTCCCCGGGGACAATTTTACCAGCGGTCAGAACATCACGCTCCAGAACTGGCCACAATAGACATGGGTCAGATGTATGTACTACGTTTCACTTGCTGAGAAGTTTCTGAAGCTCTATATATCTGACACTCTCGTCCATGTTCCAACGCTGTGCACCAAACTCAACGCTTATCACAGACCTCCGAAGGCTTGCATTGCTGGGAATTTAGCTCCGATGGCTTGCATTGCTCGGAATACCTGAAGGCTGCGGATTTTTTTCATCCAATTGCACCTGAACTTTGATATTAATTCTCTCCCGTTATGTTTTGCCCATAAAACTTCTATCGATTTTCCGAGGGCACAAATTCTAATGCTGACTAGACTGGCTCCGCATACAGTCGTTTACGATATGTCTAACCCTATGGCGTGCCAAATCATGGGGAAGCATACCTGTTTTCCCCGAATGAAACATAACTTACGATCGAGGTCAGAAGAATTCGAAAGCAATCCTGCGTGCGAGCAGCAAGGCAGACACTGACACAGAGAGAAAGCTTCGACGACGGAACCCTGTCCGACCTCCTATATGAGCCAGTGTCGCCACCGCCGAGACGCCGTGGTGGTAGAACCTGTGGCCAGGCTGGGTAAGCCTATCATCTAATCCTGGTGTAAGAGGCGACTAGAAGTTGTACTCCTATATCACGCATTCTGCAGTGTCACCCTATCTGTTGGCGTTCTTGCACGACTGCGAAAGCAGGAGGACATGGCTGTGTTTCTACTGGTGCTCACCGCCTTCTACCGGTCGAAGGGTTGAGTGACATAGGCCCAGGCACCTCTTGTTTGTCTGGAAGATGCGGTGTGCGGAGAGATTTTTGGGGCGTAAGGTGATGGATATTAACGCGTGTAAAGGATTGACGGGCAACGCGGCCCTCACATGGACAGCTGAACTTTTGAAGTCTCTAGCTCGATGATTCGGCGTGCTTTGCGAGTTACTATTGGGCGACTGCCTGCCTTGAAGGCATCCATCAAGCCCGGGTGGAGCATAGCTTATGGCGACTTCGTTCTTCCAATGAGCTGTTGTCCTTTGTATCGTGAACGTGCCCGTCTCCCTTTATCGGTTCTTCCAGTCCCACAAACAACAAATCAATCGTACAGATGGGGTTCACTCTTGATTGGTTGCACCTTGTTACAATTATTGCTATCACGATCACTATTTATTACAAATGTAATTTATTTCACATTTCAATAGTCTCAAAGTGAAACCCAACTTTTATGTCGAAGTAGAATTAAGTTCTATCGCAGCAAAACAGGACTAGTATGGCCAGCTGACAGCCCCAATAAGAAACCCACGCACTCTTCGCTTGGGCCGGGCTGAGTCTTCTTCAAGTGGGAGTTATTTACAGCTCATAGAACGGTAGCGATTTTTTTTTTCATTTCTTTTTATGTTCTTGAAAGAACTATCAGTTGAATAATATAGTAAATCAATCCAAATGAGCAAGTATTTGGCACCAAAGCAGAAATTAGATCTTTCAAGCATAGACATCGTTTATCCCCAAACCCCCAATACTCTGGCCTAGATCGTGGAAGGCTAGAGTCCAGCCAGGTCGACCCACTTTCCTCTATTCTTTCTCCAGTCTTGCACGTTATAAGGAATCGACCGCTTCTGGAGTCCTGGGCCAACTATTTATTGATCAGTTTTTTGCGCAAAAAGCATAATGTTTCTGTCACGAGGACAGTGATGGAGAATTGGCCAGCGGCGTCCGAAATCACCATTCCGAGACATAGCAAATATCACAGTTGGGCAACTCACCAAGGTCATTCTGCTCCGTGTCGAAGCAGACATCGGTGTGGCTCTGCTGCTTGCACACTGGGTAGACTGTCCTCGTCTCCATGTCGCAGAAGTAGCCGTCCTCTTCATTCACGAAGCTTGGCCCCGCGGAGGAAGAGGATTCGCAGAGAGTGTGGGCAGAATGAGCAGGGAGGTCATCCACCACCAAAACATTGCTCCACTTCTGCTCGAATCGAAATTTGGCCGCAGCGACAGAACGTCGTGTTCTCGCGTTCTCGCGGGAAGTTGCTGGCTTCGAATAGCTCAGAGGCACGCCATGGTCGTCTGTTTCCTGTTTTTCGTAGATAATGCCTGTGGGATCATGGCTCTGAACTATACGAAACGGTTAGTACGTTTTTGCAAGAAACGTATCGAAACGAACTCCGGGTTTACTAGAGAAGATGATGCTGCCGCTTTGTAAGAGATACACTTGCACTCTTTCGTAACTGTCCTCCCACAAATATTGGGGAACGTCATCATCATAATCATCATGAACACATTTAATCGACTCACAGATGTTGAAACTAGGCGTTTGGCACTTGTCATGGGGGCTTTTCCCAATGCGCTTGTCGCCTTCACCCGGCTTCAAGTCGACCCAGTTTACTTGGAAAGCTGTGGCAGGCTGTCCACCATTCCGGTCGATCCACAAACAATTGGGCTAGATTTTGGCGTTAGCGGTTTAACATTCAGACGCGAAGTTTCAAGGGTAATCGTATGAGAGCTCCACTTGTGGCCCTGCTTTGAGGTGAGATGGAGAGGAACAAGCTTTACTTACATAGTAGTTGGTCCCGGGGATTACGACGCCGCTGACTGATTCCCATCGTTAGCTGATCCGATCGGCTCTTCAAAAGCCAAACCGGGCTGATTCACAGCCATCGATTGTCGTGTAAAGACTCACAGTACCATGTGCCAATTGTTGTATTGTCGCCCGCACACTCAGAGCCCCAATCACCGCTCCAAGCATAGTGACCTGTTAGACCCGGAAAGGCTGTGGTGGCGAGAGCAACGCATATCGCGTCGTTATTGGCTGTAAACAAGGTATATATGGGTTGCGGTGCGTGTCCTTCCCATTTGCCTTCGCCTCCGGCCCATAAGATTGCGGACGAGCCAGGTGCAACCCATCTATATCGTGTTGCATGTCAATGTCAGCCTCTATTGCCTTGTTGAACCCCGATCCCCCATACGAGTCAACGACAACACCCATTGAAGGGAACCATTGCAAACGATTTGAGACCTACTCGCCAGGGTCTGAAACCCCTCCGGTCTTGACTCCATAATAATTGAACACTGCAACGCTTGGAATTAGCTATCATTATGTTTCAGAGAACCCGGTTCGTACGAAAAGAGGTGAATCACTTAGTCTGTCCCACAAGCTGCAATTTATCAAAGATTCCTTAAGTCGAGAGCAGCAGTAAGACAGTCTATGTCTCTAGCACGGGGATGATTTCAAAGTGCTGGGGGGTCCGGAGGGGGGGGGGGTAATGCAGAAGCTACTGACTATGAACATCAGGGAGTTCGCCACCAGAATGGCCCAAGTCTCCATCGTCTACACCAAGGAAAATCCTGAAATACGCAGAATCTTCTTGAATTCGCCTCTCCTTTGGAATCGTTAGTCCGCGCGCGGTTGTCGTGAATGGTGCAAAAGCAGTGTAGTCCATACTGAGGAGGCCAAGGACGCCTCCTCTGATGGAGAAGAGAGTAGACATGTTTGCGGTGTTGATATGGTAGATCTCCGTTTAGGGTCTATTCAAAATATGTTGACCGGGAACGGATATTTCACAACTTCGATGTTTATGGCTGGGAACAGGGTCGCTCTTATGGATGTCACTTGGCTGCGCACGGATGGGTCCAAATTGGGACAGCATATGCGTCTGTCAGAGCCTTCTCCTCGTATCTGCAAGGCTCAAAATGCTTGGGTCAGAGTAACTACACTGTTTCACTGAGACTGAGAACACTGTCGCGCCTGGCCGGCATATTGACAAGTCGGCTTCGGTCTAAGGGTTCGACAGGAAGCCACCGTCGAAGCCTCTAGCGGGTCCGCTACGAGCTGTCCGGTACCGGCTTAAGCCAACTCTTCATGACACGGAACTTGAGGCGTAGCCACTTTATAATTCAAAATCTTTCGTGTTTAAAGTTTCTTAACAGTACCTTAAGGGGACTGCAGTGAGCGGACTGCGGTGCTAGTCGCAAGGGCATTAGTGGTTTATGTTGGTGAACGTATATACGTACTCATCAATTTGGCTTCCGCATACCCCGGCATGAATGGGAACTAGGGCCACTGCCCCCTTACAATACATGGTTTACCTTAAAGCCAATCAGAATTGCGCACTTTGAATAAGGCTGCATGTTGTATACAAGGCTGTACGCCACTGGGTACAAAGCGTCATCAGAGTCAAGCACTATTAAATACAGCGCGATGTCGCTTCGATTTAGTGAGTCAATGGTAACAGCACATTCTTGAAAGCAGCAGTAGAGTCTTTGTTGCCCCTGATCGTGTATTACTAAGTTAAGCGAAATAATCCTCAGTGATGAAGCCTTGCTCTATGATTGTTTTGGTGCTCAATAGACCTCGGTGACTCTAAGCTTCTCGGGCAGTCTGACAGCCTCAACCAGCTATTCAGCCACTATCAATGCCAAGCGACTGATAGACACCGAGAGATTGTTGAGCCATCCCTGTTAGGGAATTTGAGGGCTTCTTTGTCCCCATTAGCAGCTCATCCAATTTAGGACAATTTAGACCAGTCTAGCCATACTTGCACCCCTCGGTGTGGAGCGTACAGTCGCAATGATACAAAATGCGGTTCCACTTTTCTTTGTATCCTTTGCCCGGATCTTGATAGCCCCAAGTAACAATGTACTTTGCTGGTGCACCTAAGCTGTTTGGCTCGGTTGGGACTCGGTTGTAATTTTGACTCGTGAGCGGCACGGAAAGAGCTAATTTTTACTCATAGTCTTGTGTTCATGCCTCTTGGTGTGATGATCATGCACAAATATTGATCTCAGGCTTTGATTAAAACGCGAAGACATACGTTCCCCTTGCTCTTGAGATGGTTTGTACCGAACCTCTACCGGCGCGGACGGTGGTGCTTTAGCATTCTCATATTCAGCTTTGGTATTTCAAAAGACAAAATAAGGAGGATAATAACTATGTGAATTGAAATCAGTAGGAGCAGAGTTTGGAACTGTGCAGCGTTGTGCGGCCAGAGCCATTTTCTGTCACATTAAAGAAATTTGGCTTTGGTACAATGAGACATAGGCAGACTTGGATATGTAGCACCAGGACCGAGCATCCAATAGAAAGTCATGACTTTCAATGGGTCACATCAAATCCATATCTCCCAATGTACAGTATAGATGATCAATAGAGGTGAAGGGATATATCTGTAGAGGACAAGCTGTCTAAGCTTTCCAGATCATTGGAAATAGAACTTCTTTCTAGCGCGCGGTGTCAAATCTCGTGTAGATATATTATATAAAATTAATGAGTCCGGTAGATAGGAATCGCTTAACTCAGCGCTGTGTAAATGAAGCTGCCCCATCGGCATCAAGTGCTCATGGTGGCACAAGATCCCCGGGCGCCGCTTTCCAGGCCGCACTCACCACGACCGCCACCCTCGCTCCATCGCCTCCTTGTAGGGCTCGCTCAGCTGCTCGTCCTTGAGCAGCAACATGTCATACATCTTCCCCTGCACCGTCCCGGACCCGTCGTATGTCTCCGGGTCCGGGCACACCGGAAGCCTCTGCATCCTCGTCGACTCGACAATCTCGAGCGTCTCGTCCAGCTTCTGCCCTCCATCCAACGCGAATTCTTCGAGGTTCGTCGCGGGCCGGAATTGCACAAAGTAAAAGTCATCGCCATCTGGCCAGTCGGGCTCGTCGCATATGAAGAGCACGTCGTGGTGGTATGTCGCCGGCGTGCGCAGGTATGAAGATACCAGCCCTGGGAGCTTCTGTCTCCCTCCCGCAGACTCGTCGCTGCTCCTTGACCCTATCGGGCTCCGCAGAGCCTCAGTTTGCTCAGTATAGAGCCCCCTTACAGCCCTCTCTGCATCGTAGTGTTTCATGCAGTGCTCCACCGTCGCCCATGGCGCGAAATAGATATCCAAGCGGTAGGCATTTGTCTCTGGCGCGTAGCTGGACTCGCAGAGGGCCCTGAGGAGTTGAGACGCGTTGAACAGGTCTGGTGATGCGATATCCGGACACGTGACGTAGATGGAGAAGCTGTACAAGGGGGGCAATGGCTGGTCCGAGGGCGCCCAGAAGACCATCAGGGACACATTGTTGTCGTGGTCGCGGAACGGCAGCTCGTGGATCTTGATGCACCGGCTCATTTTCTCATCTCTGGCGGCCGTGTGCCATTGATTGAAGGGGAGGGAGTGAGAGAGCACATGCTCAAAGGATCACAAGTGAGATCAGACCTGTCATTGTCTTCTCCTTAAGTGTTGGCTTAGGCCGTGCAGCTAAAGCTGCACGTGACTTCCAAGGCTCTTACCTCCCTCCCTAGGTACCGTACATGTATAGGTAGTACCGCAGGATCTACATGCATGGGATTTGCTTCTTGCCAATGGGACAACAGACTGTTGCGCATGTTCCGTCAGAAATGCCTTGGACAGGAAATAGTCTTACTTCTTTCCCGACCTCTGAACGGTAATATTTGCGGGCTGCGGGCCGCGTCTCCTCGATGCTGTCGCCGGTCGTCTCACGCCACTTGCATTCCGCTCCCAAGACCCCTAGATATGTGCGTCTGCACACAATCAGTTCCAGATAGGCCTAGCCAATGTGTGCGGCGTAGCTGCCGCGCAACACTTTGCCACGCTCTCTCCACTGTGCTGAAACTGCTTCTTTCCCTCGGTTGAAGGCAGATTGCACGTTGGTCCTCTTGTATCGGGTTTCATGTTCCTGGTTTGGACCCCTCAGCTACTCTCTCCTCTCTTGCCGCCCCGCAGATGACTGGTCTGTCTGCGAGTCGCAAAATTGTACATAAGTCTCGCATTGTCAGTTTTTGTCGAAGTTTGGAGAAGCCGAGATTCTATTCATCTTCGCAAAAACTCTGCAAACCTGACATGGGGTACGAATCACTCACGATGCAGTATATCTCGTTGTAGGGACAACACATCAAGACGTCAGCGTGCTCTTTCCCAAGAGACACACATGGTGGTTAGCCAATCCATTTTCTACCAAGATTCTTTTCAATATTTTCCCCATTGCTCATTTAACAATTCAAGCGTGTAGCTTGATGACAAAATCATGCAAAAAGAAGCAAGACTGTAAAAAGATAGGGAAGGGATCCGCACACAGACAGACTCGGGCAGTGCTAGAGTGACAGGACAAATTCGATATTGCGTCTACTGGTAAATCCTTATGTGTTATTGAATGATATGCGTCTAAACGGACGCACTTGGAGATCAATATGAGCGCCTTCCGGGGAAACATGCACAAATGCTCGCAATATCTATTATACTTGCAATTGAAATCTTCCACTGAGTCAGGCTCAAGATCCGGCGCTTCATTTGCGACCATTGTTTTTCCCAGTTCAATATGTCTCCTCTCAGATGACAGAGTCACAGAAATATCTGATAAGCCTGGATCTCAACAAAGAAATAAGAAGACCATGGACGCCAGAGTGGCCTCGCATGAATTGGGAAACTTGATGCAACTGGCTTTCAGTCCGACCCATGCCAAACATATGTTTGGATATAAACTTCGAAATCTCGACTGTCTTTGGACGCCGTACTCACAATTCAAAAAGATAACAAACCGCAAACTTTGATGGGCGGATCCAGGATCTCGGCATTTCACGGAAAGCATGGAATCCGGATGTGACGCTGGACAGGTCAAATAAACACTGCTTGTCTATAGTACCTATGTAAACTGGTGAGGACGTTTTTTCTTTCTTTTTTTCTTTTTTTAATATATATGTATTTATTTTACAATGCAACACGGAACAGGAAAGACCTCCTGAGAAGCTGCCGGTCAATATCTCACATTCGTGTGGCTGTAGACACCTCAGGTATCGAGATCACCTCCACAGGGATACCACTCTATTTGGAAGTATCGATGTCACGACTTTGAGCCTCACAGTGGTGAATAGTTTTGACGCCTTCGGCTGTCCTGTTCATAAGCGCGAACCAATTCCCCTCGACAGGTGGATGCAAGTGTTCTGTGTCCTGAAGGGGAGAGAAACAGCACACCTGGTATGTCAGTCAATATCGAGGCGCAATCGCACCCCAAATCCCTTCAGCACAAGTCCGAAGCCCCCCGCCTGTTATGCCCCATGCAGCATCTACGGCTGGCTCCACGACAACCTCAAGCAACAAATAGACGGTGCGGCTTGGGTCCACTTCGTGTCTTCATCCTCGCTACCTTCCTGCTCATAACAAGCGGAGTCTACTCCTCGCTGTTCCCGAAGAGTACGGCTGAACACTGGGCTGCTCGTACGGGTCATTTGCTTCTCAGTTGGGTTTGTGATTCCCTAGCGCAGCAGCGACAACATTACTTCAATGGTGTCACGCTCAATGACATATATATCAGGGGCATGTGTGCCCTGCCCGGGACCCTGGTAACATTTGACGGGATCACCCTCGTCACAGGGGCCGTCGTCCGCGCGGTTTTCATGCACCTCCTAATAGCTGAAAGATAACATCCACAATGCTGGAGTCGCACAGACGCTCGCCTGGGGCATCACGGTTATGATGGCAGCTGCCATTCTCGCCCATTCCAGGTTGTCGTTCAGCTTCGGCCGTACTGGCACATCAACACCGGCTCGCTCCCGACATCCCTGGGAAAAGGGGAAGGGGCCTGCTTGCCTTCGGCGGGCTGGTGCTGTTTGTGCAAACAGGGACAAGAACACGCGTCTCGAGTTTGCGCGGCCGGTCATCGTCAGCCATAAATTGGTGATTGCTACTCTTTATATCCTCGCTTTTGTGGGCATCTTGGCCTTCCTGTTGCTCTGTCACCCGGCCAGTGTTGTAAGATGGTGGAAATTGTCTAGGGGCTTTTGCAACCACATGACCCTTCAGTGAGAGGCAGGTAGTCACGACGCACTGCCATCGAGGGCCGGACTCCTGCGCTGTTGGTAAGGAACTCGTAGTAATTCCTCGAGACTGTGTCTGGATTAGTCGGATTTGCTGCGTGTTGGGTGCAGCATGGCGTTTGATATACATCTATAGATAGCTATTCGGATTCAGAAGGCTGAGCATTTACGCACAGACTCTGGCAGTTTGAAGCGGATTCCGCGAGACATCGAGGGAGTTCCAACGTATATGAGCGCATTGACCATGAATCTAGTATCTAGGGATCCATGTGCTGCAGTTTCAAACGGTTCATTGTTGGATCAGGGCACGGGATCGACCACAACAGATGCACGAGACAGCAGACAGGGCCAATCAGTGTAGCATTGAATACCAACAATCTACAACCTTATCAATGACCCATTCCAAAATTGTGAGTGCGCGCGCGTGTCCAGTCACTTGAGTGATACTTGTGGCAAAACATCGAGGTGACCTGCGTTCATATGAAGCGAGTAAGACGGGAAGCGCGAATTGGAAGACAAATGCAGGTAATCTCCAAGCGCAACAGCTACGCCGCGCGAGCCGCAGTTCAAAAGCACCCATTATCTGTCAGCCTACCATCAGGAAGTCAAGACATACTGGTGGCGCCTTGAACACTTGTTAAAGACTCGCAACCAAGAAGAGAAGCTGTCGAGACAGCGACCATGCCCCTGATATTGCCAGCCGGAAGTACCAGTTGCAGGTCTATGGTCAATCAACAGAACAGGCGGCAGGCACTGCCATCGCAGGAACTATAAGTGCAGGACCGAGAAACACGCGCGGATTTCCCGCGAAAGGATATTAGGAACAATGTCAGATCTCAAAGTTGCAGAAATGTTTCTGGGATGTCTGCATTGCGGCAGCAAACGTTTGTGCCCGGGCTGGAGTCAGTTCTGGTAAGGTGCGTGCGGTCGTCTGCATGGTCAGGCCTGGCAAGTGATCCATGAAAGGGTGAGGGTGCTCGATCAGCATCTGCGGGCCCATCTTGATCGGGTATCTGGGGTCGCGGTTCGGTACGAGATGTGCCGGCGATTGGCTGAACTCCCCGAGGGAAAGGAGACCCTAACGCCTAGCAGGGCGAGGTCTTTTACCAGGGCCACTGTCTCATGGGGAATAGGATGGAGTCGTTCACGGTTGGAGATTGTGCGCGATGTTGCGCTGCTTGGGGGGAGTCTAATGATGGGGTGAAACAAAGAGCAGCGGAGAAGACTGGGCAGACCGGACGAAGCATTGGAGGCGACAAGACGACGAGACGAGACATGGACAGGTGGGCAATTGAAGAGCTGAACCATAGACGCGGTACCGTCCGAGGTTGGTGGGTGAGAAGGGTGGAAGCATCCGCAACGCGCAGGCTGCCCTGCCCTGCCCTGCAGGCAGCTGGGACCGGCCACCCAGAATCGACAGACTTTGAGTTTTTTGATTAAACCTTGGAATTCTACGTACTGTGTGTAACGTACAGTCGTACTTTTAAGGTACGGCGGCGACGCAGATAGTGCCAAGACGACCCAGGTAGATCGAATTCTCCGCCCTCCGAGCTGTGGTGCAACGGTGCATTCTCTGCCAGGTCGGTCTGTCCTGGTCTTGCAGACTTGAATGGCTGGAATATTGGCCATATAGGCCAAATAGGCCATATAGGGTGCCAGCACTTGCGGGTAGGCTTGGTTTTGGCTACAGCCGTCGGTAGTGGTGGCTCCTTGAGTGTTCCCTTCCCCTTGCCCGGATATATGAAAAAAGGCTGGAAGGGTGTGGGGAGGGCACGGAGGAAGGTGCGACTGCTTCTTTGTTCAGATCAGGACAGTTGAGAGGGTTGGAGAGGGCTAGAGAGGGCTAGAAGGGCTGGAGGAGGAAAGGGCCGTCTTTGGATGGGGAAGGAAGGAATGGGCGAATACCACTGTACTTGCAGGCAGGTGCTTGGGTGCATAGCATACCTACCAGGTAGGTAGGCATAGGTACTTTGGTACCTCGTGCCCCACCCCCGCCCCGCCCCAACCACGACCACGACCACGACTCCAAAACTTGGGAGGATTTTTAAGGTTCGAATGAGTGCAAGTACCAAGGTACTTTGAAACGGGCCATGTCCTTCCCGTCGTGGCCACCCACCATCACCGAACCCAACCCCAGTTTCTGGAGCTTCGTTTGGCTTTTGCTCTTTTTTTTCTGACGCTGCCAGACAGAGTACCATCCTCATGCCCAGTGTCTCTCCAGTGTTGCGCCTGATTGATCTGAAGCAATTGGCCTGTTCGACTGGACTGGATTGGACTGGAGTGGACTGGACTTGGAGTGGGTTTTTGGGTGGATAATGCCCTGACGACTCCCCTGACCTGCTTACGTGCGCAGGTGTCAAAACACATCCACCCGCCGTTGGAAACCAGATCTCAAAGCCGACCTCTACCAAGCATTTGACTTCCCCGTCTTGTCCCACACCCAAAACCCGCCTACCGCTGCGGCAAGCTTCCGGTGCAGCTCAACACGGCCACACACACGACTCGACTCGACATAGGCCCCTTGTCCCCCCAGGCTGACCTAGCATGGCATCGCCCAGCCCAACTGAACCCCAAGACGACTAGACGGCTGCCGGATTCGACGCGTCCGCTCCGCTCCACGTGCCAGGGACCAGTCTTCAGTCTTTCTGCTGGTCTGCCAGTCTACCCGGCTTCCCGAGGTTGTGCCCACAAATCCACTTCACACCAACTGCTGGACCTGTTGTTTGTCTGTTCAGCCTCATGATCCATCCATCCGGCACTGCTTGAGACGAGGCTCATCTCCTTGCTGCTAGACTCGATGACCAGGCAGGACGAACTATACAAACTGTAGTCAGGCGAACCTGCCTGGCCTGCCTGCCTGGCTCTGCATCTACATCCCTGAAACTTTCTCGATCCGTCCTCTCATCACTATCCATCGTCTTCGCCTCGGCCCTCACTTCTTCACCCCGGATCTTGGTGTCGGACCTGCCAGATCCACACCCCACGCCCAATGGATCGCCCTAAGGCCTCAGCCGACTCCGTCACTGTCAAGCCGGAGCAGCCCTCCCCTCCTATCAACTCCACCAACGGCAATGGTTCTGGCCATACCCCAGACTTATCTCTTGTCACAGCCCTCTCCCCAAGCCAGAGCCAGAATGGTCAGAGCAACGGCCCACAGAGTGCGTCTCCACTCAACGAGCAGCGCGCTTCCAAGATAGCCGCCTGCCTGTCCTGCCGCAGGAGTAAGGTTCGCTGCGAGAAGGGCGTCGATCCAGTTCGCTGTCGTCGATGCGCACAGACCGGCTCTGAATGTGTTCGCCCAACGTTCAACGTTGGCAGGAGGAAAGGTGTCAAGAAGTGAGTCCTGCTGGCCCCCCCCCCCCCGCCTCTGGATCATGAGGCCACCCCATACTGAACAACCCTACAGCAAACGTAAGGGCCTGGAGAAGGCTCTCTACCAGGTTGAGGAGGCGATCCGAAGAGCGGGGCCTGGCGTCCAAGGCGCTGATGCGGGAAAAGCCATCAATGAGCTTAAGGCCATGATAGCAGCTGGCCAAGGTGCTCACCTGAATAGCACTGGCGACAGCAATAAGCGGCCCCGGCTCAGCACTGCCGCCTCTAGCGAGCTTCAGGACTCGTCGTCGGAAGAAGAAGAAAGCCCCAGGCCGCGCAAGGACTCTCACAGGCGCCGAACATCCACTTTCTCCCACCACCCCGTAAAGCCCGAGGAGCGACTTGCCGTTGACGATGCTGAGAACCCCTTGCACATGTTGGCAAGGGCATCCAACCTGCACTTGTCCCCCGTCTCAAGCCACAGCCAGTCCCCAGGCACGGCAGCATCCCAGGCCCCCGCGAGCGTTGGTGTGGAGGAGAATGATCCCGAGATGAGATACGTGGAAAGCTTCTTCGGCACAGTCCACTTCAATGTGGATCGAGGCGAAGGCTACGATCCGATTGAACTGGGCCTGGTGACGGAGGATGAGGCCGAGAGGCTTTTTGACTTGTAAGATATGGACCTGTCTGAGATACCGCATACCACCGCTGCTGACACTCACCCCTTTAGCTTTCACAGGAATCTCGCACATACACGCTGGGGCCTGGATCCTGTCATCTACACCGTGCCCTGGACGCGGTCTCGTTCCTCGTTCCTCTTCACATCCATAATGGCCGCCGCTGCGCTGTTCATCGAGTCTGCTGGCGCTCTGTCAAAGCGACTGTCGAATCACTGCAGATGGCTGACCAACAAGGTTATCGAGAAACGGCACAGATCTACGGAGATCGTTCTGGCTTTCATGATCAATGTTCCCTGGATGGGCCCAGGTGTACACAGCACCGACGACGAGACATGCTGGTACGTGTCATTGGCAACGACTATTGCCATTGATTTACAGATGTCCAAGGTATCGATGCCAATGGAAGCATTCAAGAATGGCATCTCGGGAGACCTGGCCAGGCAAGACTGCATGGACCCAGAGCTCGCCCTGAGGTTAGGTGGCTTCAAGAGCGTCGACCCCAACTCAGAACTTGGGCGCAGGCTTGTAAGACGGAGGGAGCGATGTTGGATTGCCCTGTTCGTTCTCGAGAGAGGGATGTGTCTGGCTCGAGGCCGATCCTCGACACTTCCGATGACACCACTCATAAGAAAATGTGACCGATGGCACATATCAGACATAGCAGACCCGATGGATGGACACTTGGTGTCTATGGCTGTGTTGAGGAGGGACTTGGATGACCTATTCGCCGCCATTAGGTCGTTGTGCGATGGAGCCAAAGGAGGGCTAACAGACGGATCCCTCATCGCCCAGTCGTAAGTGACACCATCTCCAGAGCAGAACCAGCCGAATTCGCAGGTTTCAACTGACTCCCCGAAGAATACAGAGCACGGTCGACAAATTTTTTGAGCAATGGCATCTTGAGTGGGGCATGACTCTGGGCGGCACAGGACCTCGTAAGTTTCCTAGGTGCAGCACATTTCGGTTGTTACTGACTGGATAGAACACCGCCTGCCTCCCTACGTGGAGGTGCTTGTCACGCACACCCGCCTTTCCATTTACAGCAGTGTCATAAACCACCCTACCGCGCCACTCGAGGTGCGCCACTTCTTCAGGACGGCTGGCCTTTCAGCAGCTTTGAATGTGATGCGCGCCGCGGTCCAGGGAGAGGTGCAACTCTTCTCGATGCCCAACAACACGGCCATAATGGTGTCCTTTGCAGCCTGTTTCGCCTTGAAGCTGAGCACACAAATGTCGGGTGGGAACAGCAGCAGCGTTCTAGCGCCAAGTGTACGGACGCTGATTGAGGAGACTGCGGACATGATGGAGAAGATTGGAAATATCACTAAGCACCGTCAAGGCATGGGACGACTCTACGGGAGATATCTGAGGCTGCTGGTCAAGAAAGAAGCCAGCGCGGCTGAGACCGCAGGCCCCTCGCGGCACGGACACGGAACACCACGACCACCGGCGGCATACGCCGAATCGGCACGGCAAGCAGCAGGCGGCGTACCATTTTCGCACCAGTCCCACCCGCGGACGGGATCAGGGGCCAGTATGAGCCAGAGTGGATTCGCCATCCCGCAGCCACCGTCAGCTGGCCTCGGCGCGGCGTATGACACACCCGGTTGGTCGTCGCATCCAGCAGACCTGTTCCAATTCTCGGCCATGAGCGACGACCAGATCGTGGAGGCGCTCAACAGGACAGGGGGCGAGTTCGACACTGGTGGGTTTGGCGGAATGGGTGGGAGTGGGCCCAGCGGCGGCGGGGGTGGGTTCAGCTGGGAGGATGCGACCAACTTCGATTATATGTTGAACTGGAACAACCTGCCAGACTATGGACTCTAATGGGCCGGTAATTGGGCTACTGTAAAACCATACAGATTGGTGATGACAGCTGCTCTCTCGTCATTGCCATCGGACATTTGCGCGATATTTGAGAAAGAGACCTGTCAGCATCTATCCAGCATAAAAAGCAAGGTGTATTATATACTACACAATGCATTCCATCTCGAGACACTCGTCCTAAATGGGGGAACCTGGAATGCTTCATGCCGTGCCAACCGCGAAATAAAAAATCATGTCAAAGGCCAAGCCTGATCCAACCCAACACCATGAACACCAGGTATGTATGCAAGAACAGCACAAGAAGAAGAAATCCTGCCTCTTTGACTGGACCCAGGCAAGAGAGTTCAGACCTTGATCTCCACGGGCGGGCCGCCAACCGCCTTCCAGTTAACCACATCCTGCAGCTTCTCCATGAAGACGAATGTCAAGATTGTGTGCGGGCTGTGGGATGCAAGAGCTGTTAGCATGAACGATCCAAGCTTTTATAAGGCCCTCGGAGAAGGAAGGAAACCGGTGTTCAACTCACGTCAAGCGCAGCCACGCCGGCGTCCAGCCCTTCATGAGGAACAGGGGCCCCTCTTGGCGCAGGCCTTGGGTTGTGATCTGGAGGAGGCTCTGTTCCCAAGTCAGCTCCTTCATCATTGCCGAAAGAAAGCGGATTTAATGGAGGAGAGTGGAGTCAAGAAAATGAGAAACGCACAGAGGAACCGCCGGCCTTGCTGGCAGCCTGGACCCGGCTCTTGAGCACGTCGGCGGGTGCGCAGATGGTGGTGGCCACGGTGCCGGCGACGAGACTGGACAGCATGTGCGTTTTCACGTCGTCTTGCAGGGTCGTCTTTGCTAGCAGGGCGCGTTTGGCCGCGGTGTATCTGGTGGCAGGCGTGTTAGACATGATAACCACTGCCGCCTCCGTTCCTTTGCCTTACACAACAACCAACAACCACCAACAACCTGAAGAGGCGGATATATCAACAAAACCTACGGTGCAATCTGCCCAACATTCATCAGCACGCTCCTCACGACCGTGGGGCCCAGCCCTCGCGCGAAAGTGCCCAGCCCCTCGTCGCGCGCGATGCGCCAGAGCCCGCGTACGGCATCCGGGTAGTTTGCGGGCTCTGGTGGTGGCTTCGCGCCGTCGGCGCACATGCGCACGAGTATCACCTCTGCCGGGTTGCCGATGACGCCCGCGAGGCCGCCCGCTACCCCTGCGGCGCCGATGGTGGTCCAGGAGGAGAGCTGGCCGGTGGGCGATTTGGACTTTAGGTGCTGGGCCAGGATGTTGTACAGGCCGAAGCGGGCGGTTGAGTAGGTTGACTGGCGGAGGATGGAGGCTGAGAGGCCTGTCCAGAGGGAGGGGATCCCTGGGTGATTCTGTGTGAGCATTGGCCTGTACCTTCGTTGTATTTTTTGAGTATTTTAGTATAGGATGAGAGCTCACCGTCACGGGCTGCGAAGGAGGACAGGGTTTTGAGCATGGGGGCTCGTGTGTGCATTACTTGCATCCGACTTTGGTTCTGTCAGCATTTATCCTGTGATCTGTGACAGCCTTCCATGTTTTCTCACTATTTTGTCTGGTCCAATGGATGTGCTGCATGAAGTCATCGTCAGTTCGCGTTACCCGTGCTATTGCTCCTGGCCCAGTGGTTGACAGCTCACTGAAGCATACTGCCATAGAGGCAGCGGCACCGCTGAAGGGCGGGACTGTATTAGCGCATGCACCCTCTGAAGCCAGTTCAATTTCAGGTGCAAACTCACCCTAGCCACCAGGGCTGCTTCTGCTTTTCTCTCTGTGATTTACTCATGATCTGCCTCTTACTTTTCACGACAGCTTCAGGTCAGGTTCAGGTCTAGGCTCTCGACCAAAAGTCAACATTGCTCCTCTCATTTCAACTGCTATCTAGTCTATCTATGTTTCCGGCTCTCTAACTCTTCATTACAGCCCATGACCCTAGTCGCCAGTCGGTTCCTACAAGTGACAAGAGTGCAGCAGGCTTGTCCGACTCGCCCGAGCCCCGGCACGACACAATCTCGGCCGTGTTTCCGCCCAGCGCGACCTCAGCCCCCAGCACAGCTCCGCGGCTTTTCCGGACGGCTGTTTTTCTACCCGCCGCGCTTCCCGTTCCCAGTCGCCTTTCTTTGCATGTGCAAGTCCAAGCCCCAATAGCTGCAGCAGCTGGGTGTGTTCAGCCCCACGCCCTCCCCACGTTCCGGTCCAACGGCCGCGAAGGGGACGAGAACGAGACGAGATGATGATGCAACCGGCTGCCAGAACTCGTGCCATTCTCGGCTCTTTCTTGGCTGCCTTCAATTGTCCTGCTTATTGCGATCCCACAGACACACACGCACATCACTTATATGGTCAAGTAGGCTACTCGCAAGAAGCCGAGCTCATTTGAGAGTAGAGGTCTGGCCCAATTGAAGAGTATTCTCGTCTGGAGGGGCTCACACAGCATCTGCCGAGACATATACACCACCGTCAGAGAGCAACCCACACGACACACGCGCGCACACGCACACCATACGTCCACCATGTCGAAGCTCTCACCAGCCCTCAAGGAGCTCATCAATGCGCCCTTCTCCCGCCCTGGGCCGGCAAAGGCCCCGATCGGCATCGCCAAGATCTACGAGCGCATAGCCAGCGAGGCACAATCCAAGAACCTGGGCCCAAGGCCATGGATAGCCTTATCTGTATGTCGACACCTACTTCACCATCCTCTTGTCCCCCTGCTAAATGCAACATGCTGAACTCCCAATCCAGTCAGCAGCAACCTTCACCCTCAACTCCCCCGACTCCCTCGCAGCGCTCCAAGCCACAGCGTCCAACCCAGCCGCAAAGACCTACCGTCCCCTCGACCCGGTCCCCTCAGCCGAACTAATCCGCGAGGTCGGGCTCAAGTGCATCTCCTTCAACGGCATCCCGCGCTCGATAAACAGCCTGGGCGCCTTCCGCGCCTCGCTCCCCAAAGACGTCCAAGCCGGGCTCGAGACGCGCTCCTCACGCACCATCACCCCGGAGAACCTCGCGCGCCGCAACGAGACGGGGCTGGGGCTCTGGCGCAGCGTGTACGACCCCTTCGACGGCAAGCTCATCGCCCGGCTGGCCGAGTCCCACCCGGACCTGCCCGTGCACATCCTCGGCAGCCACTACGCGCCGCTGCTGTCGAACCCCGAGGGCGCCGAGCGCGGCGGGCTCGCGACCGTGGGGCGGGTGCTGACCAGCCTCGTGGCCATCGCGTGCCTGCGCGCGCAGACGGGCGTGGGCCCCCAGGTGCTGTCGCATGTGTTTGGGCTGCGCAAGGCGGTTGATCAGGGGATCCATGCGCGCGAGGCCGAGAGTGAGGCTGAGAAGGAGGGGATCGAGTGGCTTGCTTCGGATGAGGGCGGTGAGTGGGTGCTGCGGAGCGTGGATGGGATTGTCGAGGCTATTGGGAACAATTTTGCCTCCAAGTTGTAGAAGTGTTTTGATGGTGGAGGTGATAGAACGCTTGCAGATAACGTTGATCTCATGTTGAGAATACATATGCATCTGCGACTTGGCAAGAACTCGATTGAAGTTGTCCTATTATTCTGGGATATTGACTGCAATTCGTTCTATGTGCTCTCGGTAATCCACACTACTTGCGCCGGCTCCAGACTGAAATGCCCAGGAAGAGATGAAAAATTATGTCCAAAATCAAAATGCATCATCTACAAGAAAGCCCTCGCAAACAACCACTCCCAATATTACACCTACTCCATAACCTGGAGGTCATCAGCCACAACAAACTTAGCATCCGTCTTTGCCTTGACCTCCTCGACCTCCACGCCAGGCGCGATCTCAGTAAGCGTCAGGGTGCCCGCCTCGCGGTCGACCTGGAAGACGCAGAGATCCGTGATGATGGTGCTGACGACGCGGGCGCCCGTCAGCGGCAGCGTGCACAGCTGGACGACCTTGGAGGCGCCGTCCTTGGCGACGTGCTCGGTGGTGACGACGATCTTGGTCTGGTCCGGGTTCGACACCAGGTCCATCGCGCCGCCCATGCCCTTGAACACCTTGCCCGGGATCATGAAGTTGGCCAGGTCGCCCGACGCGGACACCTGCAGCGCCCCCAGGATCGACACGTCCACGTGCCCGCCGCGGATCATGGTGAAGGACTCGGACGAGTCGAAGGTCGCTGCGCCCGGGAGGAGGGTTACTGTTTCCTTGCCGGCGTTGATGATGTCGCTGGATGGGTGACACTGCTGTTAGCATCATGGAAGTTCCACAGATGATGTATGGAATAGATGGGGAAGGGGGCAGGTAAGAGGGAGGAATGGTCGGACTCACGGATCGACCTCATCCTTAGTCGGGTACGGCCCCATGCCCAGAATGCCGTTCTCGCTCTGCAGCCACACCTTGCGACCCTCAGGCACGAAGCTGGGCGCCAGCGTCGGCAGGCCCACTCCCAGGTTAACGTAGAAACCATCCTTGAGCTCCTTGGCCGCGCGCCGCGCAATGCGGTTCCGCTTCTCTTGTGCAGGGCTCACAGCGGCCTTGGCACCATCGCCGCTACCGGACTCCTCCTCGCGCAGCTTGAGGATATCGATCTGCTTCTCGGCCGTGGCGGGGACGATGCGGTCGACAAAGATACCCGGCAGGTCGACGTCGTTGGGGTCGATCTCGCCGATCTCGACGATGTGCTCGGCCTCGACGATGGTCAGGGTCGCGGCCTTGGCCATGATGGGCCCGAAGGCCTTGGTCGTGTAGCGGAAGACGCAGTTGCCCGCCTTGTCGGCCTTCCACGCGCGCAGGATCGCCACGTCGCCCGGGAGCGCCGTCTCCATCAGGTACGTCTTGCCGTTGAAGATGCGCGTCTCGCGCGGCCGCCCGTTCTCCAGCACCTTGCCTGACGGGGAGAGGCGCACGGGGATCTTGCCGTCCTGGAGGAGGGAGTCTAATTTTTGGGGATATACGTGTCAGATCAATGCGCGATCAGCGAGGATGAGGATCGTCTACTTACGAGCACCGGTGGCAGTGAAGAAGGCCGGGATGCCAGCACCCGCGCTCCGGATCCTCTCAGCCAGGGTGCCCTGTGGGCACAGCTCGATGGCGATGTCGCCGGTCAGGTACTTCTTCTCCAGGACCTTGTTGCTGCCCAGGTAGCTGAGGACCAGGCGGTTGACCTGGCCCTCCTTGGTCAGAACCGATAGTCCGCCCTTGCCCTCGACGCCGGCGTTGTTGGACACGGCCGTCAGCGAGTGCAGGCTGTCTTTGCCGCGGCGGTGCAGGGCGGTGATAAGAGTCTCTGCCACGCCGCAGAGGCCGAAGCCCGAGGACAGGATGGTGGAGCCTGACTTGATGTCTGCCACGGCCGCGTCGGCGTCAGGGAACAGCTTGGACGCGCCGCGGTTGGGCGTTGGCGCCGTGCTCTCACTCTCATGGGAGCTGAGCCCGGCTGAGCGGCGGGCTGTAGAGGAAGAGAACAGGCGACAGGAGGATGCTGCTACTGTTGTGGAGGCGAGAGCGGTTGTGGCATTAGTTCTCAGACAGCTATAGCGGCCGAGACATAATGGCACCGTCTTTACTGCTGCTGCTTGTGGTGATCGCGTAGAGGCGACGAGGGTGGGCATCGAGCGCCGCAGCTGGCGGGTTGTAGCAGCCATGTTTCTTGCTGTTGCTGGTGATGGCTGGATCCAATTGGTACTAAATGAAGCAAAATCTAGACAAGACAATATATCAACAAATAAATGCACAACTCGACCCTGGTGGCCGCGGACAAGGTGCTGGCTGTATGCTTCGGGCAGTGCTCGGGTTCTCCATGTTCATGACGCCGGAACAGCCCGTCGAGACCGTTCATCAATGCCCGCCGAAGCTCGGCGTTATCTTGACGTCAACGGGGTCGGGGGTCAGAACAAGTACCGCTCAGGGCCAGGGCCGTAATCAGGGTCCACTCTTCACTTTTCCTATTAGTGCCGGTACGTAAGCGCCACCCTTGGGGCCAAGACCAAACGATGAGAGAACAAGGAGAGAAGAGAGCGATGGTCAACATCGCAGTCGCAATGCCGGAAGCATGCTTTACTGTGACAGATGAGAAGCAAGTCTATCCCTTTCCTCATGTCTCTTCCGAGGGTATCTTGGTATATTCTAGATAAGGACTGATTGACATGTCTCTGCCTCCGCCTCTGTCTCAGCCTCTTGCTCTCTGCCCGTATAATAAGCGAGTCGAGTCACTTCTTCACCAGCCTCCAATCCCTAATCCCCCAATCCCCAATCCCCAATTCCCAATTCCCCGGCACTGGATCAGACCCAGTCCCCAGAACGGCCTAGGTCAGGATGTGGAGAGCCAAGAACCCCTCAGGAGGAGGAGGATTACTCATAGACACTCTGAATCAAACAAGTCATTGGACAGAGAACTGCTGCGGGGGTCAGCAGTGGTGGATTGCGGGGAAGTGGGCTCGCTCCAGTCGCTGAGATGGGTCTCCTGGGGAAGAAAATGAGCTTGATGCTGACAAGCTTCCGTGGGGTCTGGGGAAAGGCCACGCCAACTGTGGATGCCAGCAGGTCTTGGCCCTCAACGCTCAACGCTGCCGATTCCGCTTACGCTGCCCTTTCATTCACTTGACTCCATCTGGGCAGTTGACTCGGCTACTGGTGACTCTCTCCCTTCACACCGCGTCCGTCCCATGTTTCTTGTGTTTGGTTTTGTTTACGTAGCATCCGTCTGTCTTGCTATCTATATTTTGGCCCGCGCTGTCTCTGCGGAAAACTTTTAAGCCCCAATATCTATCTCCAAACCAATTTGTTCTTCTTGTTCAGATACTCAAATCTGCCCGTTGTTACTAGAGCACAAAGATGAAGCCCTCCTCCCTGGCAGACGTCGACAACGACGTCGACAAGCCCTCAGATGCCGTCATCGAGGACTCACACCTACACCACGAACACAATGCCCACATGACAAGAAACATCCTCTTCAAGACAGACACACGCGTCCTGCCTATCCTAGCCCTGCTGTTCCTGTGCTCCTTTCTCGACAGGACAAATGTTGGCAACGCAAAGATCATCGGCCTCGAGGAGGACCTGAATATCTCTAACCTGCAGTACAACCAGGGGCTGGCTGTATTCTATGCGACTTATGTTGCGAGGTCAGTCAGTGATTGGCACGGCACATCTATACCACCTACCAACCATATTCGTACACTGCCGTGCAACCCTATGTCAGAACAAACTTAGTTCAGATCGGCCTCGATACAACACTGTTTTCTCAACTGTATATTCCCAATCAAGTAGCTAACCACGTGCCATCCCACAGCGAGCTCCCCTCCAACCTGATTCTGAAGCGTCTCACCCCCCGCGTCTGGCTGGCCGCCCTGGCCTGCGCCTGGGGTATAGTGACCATGTGCCTAGGCTTCGTCCGTAACTATGGCTCCTTCGTCGCCGTTCGCGCCATCTTGGGCATGACAGAAGGTGGCCTGCTCCCCGGCATGGTGCTGTATCTCTCCGGTCTATACACGCGCGGCGAGATGGCCTTGCGAATTGGCATCTTCTACACCGCCGCGTCGCTGTCGGGTGCCTTTGGCGGGCTGCTCGCCCGAGGACTTTCTGCCATTGGACCCCGAGGTGGTTTGGAAGGCTGGAGGTGGATATTCATCATCGAGGGGCTGCTGACCGTCGTCTGTGGTGTCATCGCGTACTTCTTCCTCGCTAGCAACCTGCAGACTGCGTCTTTCCTCACTCCTGAGGAGCGGGAATTCGCTGCCAAGAGGCTGTCTGGGGAGACTACTGCAGGGGAGAGGTTCAAGTAAGCCATTTTCACTGGTCATATATCCTGCAATTGCATTTTCACCTCTGGAATATTCTTTGCTAATCTGGGATTGCAGCGTCAACCACGAGAGAGAAGAGAAGTTCCGGTGGTCCGAGGTCAAGCGAGGCGTTCTGAACATACAACTCTGGCTGACTGCCACCGCCTACTTCGCCATTCTCTCCGGGCTCTATTCCTTCGCCCTATTTCTACCAACAATTATCAACGACATGCACATCACCTCCAATGCCAACCAGACCCAGCTGTGGTCGGTCATTCCCTACGCCGTCGCCACCCCAGTCACAGGTTAGCAGTAATTCGCCTCAACAATCCTTTGCGATACATACTGACGCGTCCCTGATGCACAGTCTTCGTCGCTTTCCTCTCCGACCGCCTCAAGCTGCGCGGCACCATCATGCTCTTCACCCTCCCCATCGCCATCGTGGGTTACGCCGTCATCGCCAACGTCAGCTCAGCCCAGGTCCGGTTCGGCATGACCTGCCTCATGGCCATAGGCATGTACTCTAGCGTGCCATGCGTGCTGGTCTGGAACTCAAACAACTCCGCCGGCCACTACAAGCGGGCCACAACGTCCGCACTGCAGCTCGCCATCGCCAACGCCGGGGGTTTCGTCGCTAGTGAGTCCCTGCCCCTTGCATCCTTTCCTGAACTATTTCGTCCTTCAATGCGCATTTCCGTATTTTTATGTCTGGCCTCTCGTGTTAACATTTTCATCTAGCATTCAACTACCCTAGCTCTGAAGGGCCGCTGTACCACAAGGGCCACACAGTCATCCTAGGACTACTCTGCTACGCCTGGGTGGCTGTGCTAGCGAACGTGCTGTACTGCAAAAAGGTGAACAAGGACAAGCGGGACGGCAAGTATGCCGAGTTTGAGGGGAGCGGCGATGATAGGGACCCGCGATTTGTGATGATACTGTGAAAGCGTGCGCGTGATTTTGACAATTTGAGGCGGGCTATTGGGAGAATATACTCCGTACCCCTGGCCTTTTTAGAAGAGATCTTGGCTAATAATTGGATCTCGCATAATACATATTCTGAGTGACTGCATCTGTTGACTGAACTGTCTTCTGGGAAGGGCGTTCATGAAATATACTCCGAGCAGTGGTGAAGTATCATAGGGATCTAGTAAGGATGCCTCCTGCATAACAACAGGCAAATCTGCATCCTCAAGGACGGACACAACTTCACGTTCAGTCTGCTATGCCTAGTTGCTTTTTAAATCGTTTAGCTCGAAGCCAGCATGAGTCTCTAAAGCAGCCCGGACCATTACTGGCCCATCCACTTACTACACTACGCACCTAAGCAGATTATTGAATACAACCTGCCAAGATTCTCAAGTCAATATATCTGGTAGCTTTCAAACACAAAAGTGCCAAGCCACCAGCCGGGCCTCACAAGCAAAGCAAAGCCGGCTTCAACGACTTGGTTCACGATAATTGTCCCCTTCTAAACAAGACCTCAACATCCCGAGATGTTCCCACTTCCCGTCGCAGCTCCTCCGCGGAGTCCATCATGACCCAGCAAATGGGCCATGTTTCTGCAAGCACGGGGACCACTACACATTGGCACGCTGACTGGTATGCAGGAGGTAGCAGTCCCGCCCTGCATGAGATCTCGCGCGGCTGTAACGTCGAAGCGGGGCACCACTGCTGACAAGCAGGTATTTGGTCGCCCAAGGCTGTCCGCGGACACTTTCGGGCGTATGCTTGAGTGATTGGATAATGTGTCTTTTGGATGACTCTGCAAATGAATTGTGAATTGATGGCTCGCCTAGCAATTCAAGGCGAAAGATTGCCAGCGAGAGACAGACTTGGCCGAGTCTATCTCTTCGCTATCAATGATACTCGATTGACTGCGGACAACTGCGACCTTACATCTGGGCACGTGGTATGCTGCTCTTCAGTAAGCGATTGAGTTTGTTGACCCCACTCAAGTCCCGAGCACCTAGTCCATGATAACCTCGGAGCCCGTTCGGGAAGGAGCAGAGGCTGCAACTTAGTATGCGATGAAAATGCCACCATCACCAGAATGCCGTCCGCCTCGTCTCATTGGGTGTCACCGCCATCCTGGACGCGCAACTCAAAGTAGCACCAATATGAATAAAGGACTGGGGCGGTGGAAGTTACCTTCTCATCGGCTCCGTGGTACCCGCTTGAGTCTTTCTCCAGACAGGTCATGAATTATACAGGTGGTATCCAAGAACTCCGAACTCTGACCCCGCCCTCCGGAGGCACTTCCAGAACAGGATAGACAGGTGGCATCGTCAAGCCCGCACCAAAGCCAATGTCAAGGTCACAGGCCGGCACGAAGTGCACATGCCTCAATTACTCGACCGTGCGTTGGTCGTGATAGCTGCAATGCCTTTACGACGCACTGCCATCTGGAAATCCGCGGGCGCCGCTTCCAGAGTCTGGTGAGTATGAGAGATATCTATAAATTCGAGAGGATGTCTGCATATCTGGAGCATGGGAGAAGAGGAGCGGAAGAACTTATCTCTCGTCACATCGAAAACGATTCAACATAAGCACATTAATCCAGGGAAAACAATAAACATGCAATTCTCCAAGATCCTCATCACCAGCCTCTTCGGCCTCGCCGTCGCCAGCCCCATCGACAAGCGCACGGCGGCAGAGATCGAGACCGACATCGCCACCATCAGCTCGGACCTGACCTCCTTCAACACGGCCATCAACGCCTTCACCGGCTCGCTCCTTCAGGCCCTCTCGCTGCTCACCAGCTACAACACCCTGGCCTCCGCCACCACCACCGCAACCTCAGAGATCACTTCCACCGGCGCGCTGGCCGCCTCCGACTCGGCTACCATCTACGCGTCCGTGTCGAGCCTGACTACCCAGATCTCCGACACTCTGAGCGATGCTACGGCCAAGGTGCGTTCTGGCCTGTTGAGCTGAAATGGTGATGTTATTTAAGCAACTGACATGTTGGCTCTTGGTAGGAATCGGTTGTTGCCTCGTCCGGATACACGAGCTCGGTCTGCTCGGCTTTGTCAACGCTGTCTGTAAGTGTTATCCTCGGAGCATTGTTCCGTCTTCCGTGGATAGGGAGATACTGATGTGGTTTAGACGGACTCGGATGCATTCTTCACGGCCCTTGAAGGCACCAGTAAGTACTCCACCCACATGGGGCGCGAGTGTGCAGTGCTGATACTCCGTAGTCGATTCTGCCTACACTAGCCAGGTTGATGCCTTGCAGGCTACCGTCGCCTCTGGCTTCGCGAGCACGATATCTGCATATGGATGCTAAACGGATTTTTTTGTTTATCTTATTGAGCTCCTTTTCTTATGTTTCTGGTGTATGTCGATCACAGGGAGAATCTCGACGAAGTTGGGAAGTTCGTTGAGAAGTGGAAATAGGGAGGGGGGTTTTCACTGAAAAGCTCACTGGTTGAGACTGCCTATATGGTGTTCATGTACAAATTGCGAACTGTTGAAACCTCAAATGTGATACCACCAACTACGGATGTGAACGAAGTCGTGAACTAAACCGTCCCTGGAAATTCCATTCCAGTTTGCCCGAATCTCATTCCATGAACCCCATCGGCCGCAGGATCCTGTTGTTCCCATGAATTTTTCTGAATCTCTCCCTGCTGCCCAAAATCTGTGATCCCAGGCCAGAATGTCCCAAAAGGATATGCTTCGATCGTCGGAAAAGCTGCTATATCGTTTTCCTGCCCCAGGTTTCCAAACATGAAGTCCGAATTCATGTTCCCAAGGCCATCCCAGCTCAACACCGGACCATCTTGGTCAGCTCGGGGTGGTACTGGCGACAACCCCAGCGGTAAGCCAGTCGATTCCGCAACATTTTCAGACCCTCCCTGCTCATACCTGGACGTATCAGTGTTGGATTGTGGGTGGGTGTTTCGTGAGGAGGCGTGGTGGGCATTGGGTCGCCCTTGCCAGAGTTGTCTTAACATCCGGCTGTAACCATGACATATGTGTGTTTCGATAGATGGAGCTTCTTTCATTACGGCGATGAACCGAAGTACTAAATCGGCGACTTCTTGGCGCTGAACGTCGTTTTGAAAGGCTCCGGCGCATTGGGCCTTGTAGAGGAAGACTGTTGCGTACACTCCATATCTAGCAGCTGATTTTAGTGGCATCAATCTTCGAACAAGACTGGACTTACTGGTGGAACTTACAGATAATAACGTGATGGCAAGTAACATATTACTCGCTGTGGATCGAGACTATTCACCAGACCCAAAAGGTTCTTCGCTGCACTGATGGCGTCAAACACATACCGGCCATCGGGAGAAGACATGACTCCGCCTGAGAACAATTCCGCTAGAGGTCGTTTGCAAGTCCTTTGCCGTTTTGGCAATGACGGCCGAGGAGCCGCCGTTCGCGTAAGAACAGCTTGGAATGAGAAAGCGTTTATGTATAGACAGATGTACTCGTACGTCAAAAGCAGTGTGCTTTTGATTTTGTGGGATGCTTGAACGACGTTCCATTTCGCATGCCAGCTGTTAGTTGACCGAAGAAAGTCGTCCAGATAACGAGCGTAGTCGCCGTCATATACCATGGTCAGAGTCATTTCTGTCGACGAGTAGAGTATCGCGTGAGCATTGTGCAAGATCTGGGTGAGTTCAATGTTGGCCTGCAGGATGGATGCGTAATCTTCATCCCTGATGCCTGGAACAGGCTTGAGGCTAGGAAAGTCTTCGGCTGTGAATTGCGCGGATAAAGAGGGGCCACGAGACCAAAATGATTGCCCTAAGCGGGCAGAAATTTGTCGGTCCACCAGAAACACGTCTGGAGAAGCAATTAGCAACTTTCCTTTTCATGACAATTCTGCGTTACGATGTGTACTCACGGACCCAAATGAGCCTCTTGCGCTCCTCTCGTTCCTTCGACTCACTATCTCCAGCGTGTCTAAAGGCGGCTCGGTCCAAGCAGAGAAGGTAACCTTGTCGTATCGCAAGACCTACTAGAGACCAAGCCGTTCTATCTTCGCTAAACAGATTTTTCGGCGTCTCTGAAGCCGGCTGCTTGGTCTGAATGTGGGGCAACCACTCGGATAAGAGCAGCAGGCCTTCTACGGTCCGCGGGGTCTGGGCCCAGGATTGTGCCAGAAGTACTTCAAGCAAGAGGCGTTGAGTGTGATCCCAGCAGTACCGGTGTGTAAGAGAGTGATTTGGTGAGTCTCTTGAAGCGATGGTGAGAATGACCGTGAGTAAGAAGTAATCGGATCGCTGTAACTTTTCCACACCCGACGGCCCCAGCATGTAAGAGGGAACAATGGGGCAGTAAGGATGGTAGTTTCGGGCAAACCTACTCTTTATTATCAGTCGAATTCTTGACCTATTCAATGGGCTCGGAAGGCTGACGTGAGGAGCAACTCTGGCAAAACACTCGGATGCAGCAGTCCTCTCTGAACTAAATCATAATCATCGAGTGCCGTTGTGGGCGGTCTGCCGTGATGCTGGTCATGATCACCGTCGCTCATGGCAAGTACACTGTCGATGGACGAAGACGGACCAGGTATGGAGGGATTTGTGGTAGTGTTTGCAGGAGAACCACGCCCACGCTGATGCCGGCCATGACTTGAAGGCCGATTTGATGAGGCGTCGCTCGAGCGTGCCAGGAATTGCAGAGCATCTGCAGGGTTTCTAAGTTCCATGCGTAAGCTATCGTCTGTTGTCCGCTCTTCATATTTGTCGTTGTCCATCTGCGAATCATCGGTAGATGGGATAGCGTCGTCATGTTCTGATATTGAGGGCGCGGCGAAAGCGCGGCGAGCTTTGCCTTGGGTGCTGATGGAACGTTCTGAGGAATGCGTTGCTCCTTGGCCTGCTCGATTTGACCGAAAGTTGTTTCCTCGTCTAGACTCAACCAGCACACACTGGCTGCCCGAGTTGTGACACGACACACAGGGAGGCTTCTTTGGCTCGCCTACACCATCACTGCGAGGGACACATGAGCCAAACAGCTTCACGATGCATCGAGGCAGGATTCCTTACAGATTGCACTTGGCTTTGCGCCGTCGGCACCTTAAGCATGCCCGATAAGAACGTTTACCGGTTCCGATTGTCATGCCGTCGGTAGAGGGTTTTAGTACCAAGCATCGGGAATTGGGGAGGTTCGGAAGGAGAATATCAATTGTTTCTTGTAGAAACTTCACTCGGCAACGGTCGGCCATGCGGTCTGACTTCACATTTCCCGCATCCGATAAGTATCTGGGAGATGTGGGGTCCAGGGTTGCATTGCGGAGAACCAAATAGAGTGACATTTTTCCAAGATCTGGAAGCAAAATGCACAGATTATCTTGGGAGAAGGCATTATTCCTACAAGGTGATCAAATAGTGCTATAGACTAAATGACCTTCACTTCGAGTTCTTGGGGTCTTTTATTGTCTTCGCAAGCTTGTTTCAGAAACAAACTTATACAGAGGTGGCAATGAAATAGCTTGTCATTCCAACCGATGACAGCAAGTTCGGTCGGAGCATTCATAAAGTTACAGAACCAAGAAGTACTTGAAATGGTCGATTAAGCCGACCTGTAACTAAGTGGTTCGTTCTTTGCAACTAGGAGGATGGATGGTGTTCTGATTCCATCCTCAACCTCACCACTCGTCTGTCCACTTCGACCGTTATTGCTGGTCTCAGTTTGTGCGCGAGAATTAGAGTGATCTGGCTCGATATTCCACGCATTCTTGAATTTCCTAAGTTATAATACATTTCTTGCTAACACAACATGAACGCGAAGACGTAAATCGCTCAAGGAAGGCCTTGTCGAGTGTCTACGTGTTCATTTAGGCCCCACGCCTGGCTGCTGTCATCGTGGACAGTAGCACGTCTCATGTCCCTCTTGTATTTGAAGGCAAATTCACCGCCTACTGCCCTATGCATTGTGCAAGTGTTGTCCCAGACGACAAGGTCTCCAACATTTTCCCATTCAACCATAAGGCGGTACTTGTCTTGCGTAGCATGTGTAAAGAGCTTGTCGAAGAGTTGCTTGGATGCCTCAGATTCAAGACCCTCGATATGATGGATATGCATGGCAAGGTACAAGTTCATACGACCCGACCTCTCATGCTTCTGTGCTATCCTATGACGGCCCATAGGGTAATCCGTGGGTTCAATGTTTGCGAAGTGGTTCGGAGCGGCCAGCTTTCTGGAGTGCATAACGGAATGACACCCGATGTAGTCATTATCGAGGAGATCCTTCTTGGTCTCCTGGTCAAGGTCGTCCCACGCTGCTCTGGTGTCGCAGAATTCTGTGCTGCCACCAGTACCCGGGGGAGGCAGCTCATGAGAGAGCAGGAGAGAAAGGCCAGCCCGACGAGGATTGAAGCTGGAGTCGACGTGAAATAGACTGTTGCCCCTGTTGGCTTGGCCACGGGGGCTCTTCGGGTCCACGATAGATCCATCAACCTCTATATTGCCAACGTCGAATAGCTCATCATATTTGAGGCGGTTCTTCCTACCTGCCTTGTTATAGGGCTTGACATCGTCCAGCTCACCAAAACTGCGAGCCAGCTTGATGTGGGTCCCGTCGGTCAGGTTGCTCTTTCGAATAACAACTACACCGTACTGTAGTCAATCCGTCAGTTAAGAAGGTCATAGAGTAATGGCTAGTAGGTTTACCTTCTTCACTAATTCCTCTACCAAGTGATAGCTCTCCTCGGTGACATCTTCCGCAAAGTCGAAACCTTCAACCACAACGCCGAAACAAGGCTTCAACTGCTTGATCTGGGGAGCTGTGGTGGTGACCAAGGTAACAGTTTTCGTGGTGGCTGACATGGTGAGAGTTGGCTTGACTTGTCTGAATTCAAATGTTGCTCGAAAGTTATGATGCCCAAAGAGTTGGAGAAGATGGCAGTGAACTCTACCTCATAGCAATTGGAGAAAGGGCATTTAAATGCTTGTTCGTTGCTGGGTCAGAGTAGGCGCATCCGTCAAACTCCAATCCTTAGCCGAATCTTTGCCATCTTGTTTCGTCACTGCGTTCCGAAGTCGTCCTGCCTGGATTGTAGGCTCGAGTCCGTTGCCGAAGATGACGTTCCAGGGTTGATCTACAATGGCATTGAAGTGAGAATATCCATATGATGGCTTCATTGTTGGCTCAACTAAAGATAATGCGAGCGGAATTGTTTTCAAAAATTCCAATCTTGATTTCGCGACGACTAATCGCCGTCTGAATCAGGACTGCCCAGTTCGGGTAATTCAAATTCATCAGAAAAGTTCATAACAACGGTCATCGTCGGTAACCGATGTGTAGAAACAGTCACCGCCCGTAGCCGATACATAGCCGTCCGTAGCCGATGCCTCCACCGCTTTTATACCTTGGTAGAGACTAGCCAGAGCCAGTTCTAGCATATTGCAACCAACAGCACCTTAGCCAGTCTAGAGTGCAGAAATATTTGTACGTTACTGTCTGGAAACTGAATTCCATGCCTTGCCATCATGGCCTCCTCCTCATTGATAGAGTCTGGAAGAGTGGAAGGAGTTTGACCAACGACCACACACGACTGAAGTTGTGCGAAGTGTCGGAAATCATCAAAGGTGCTTTGGATCTGTATTTGATATACTACGGTACCGAATGCAGTATGACTTACATGATAAGCTATAAGACGAAGGCATTGATTCAGGCACGGTGGGTTCGCATTTCGCTACCTTGTTAATACGTGTGGATAGGCTCCCTGATGCGGATCGTTGATCCAGCCTCTTCCCATCGACCACAACAGCTTCCCCCGAAGATTTTTGACTATTCATCAAGCCATGCGGCAGCCATTTTCCCCTTGCACCTCCATACAATATTCCTCAATTCAGTCTCCCTCTACTCTTTCGTTCGAAGGCTCATATAGGGAACAGGACCAGAATCCAGCCTGTCCTTGTTCCGGCCTTTGGGAAAGATGACACCCAGCACTTCGGCCACCCCCTTAAACCAATTATTGCACCTGTGCTAGGTTCAATTACGAAGCCGCCGACTGTGATGTTGAAGTGGACCCCCTAGATCGATCCCGTCAGCATGCGAAGCTCACTTGCAACATCACGCATGATGCTAAACTCACCTCCAAGCCTGCGAACCGGCAACACCACCAGCAATCGCAGCTGCCACCACGACTATCAAGAAGAACAAGATGACAATAAAAGTCGGCCTGGAGACCCCACAGATCTTCCGCTCCTTTTCACCTGCCGGCTCGGCGAGCTCGAGATCCGGCCCTATACTCGACAGCCGCTCGGGCCGTGGTTTTCGATACCACGCCGAATGTGGTTCCTCTCCATCGGCTTCTCTGACATGGTCGTCGTCGTCGTCGGTGAGGACAGAATCAATTTGTGGCTGGCCCTGGATATTTGCTAGTCGAGGATGCCCATCAGGCTTCCGGTACCATGATGACTGCGGCTGGTCATCGACATCTTTGACCAGAGCTTGGTCCATGTTGTTTGAAGAGTCAGAATTGATTTCTCGATTTGCTTCTGAGCGGTACGCCTTCTTAGGGTGAAAGAATAGGCGATTTCAGGGTCTAGACTGGTCCAGTGTTAGAACATGGTTCGGCTCCTGCTGCAGAGGACGGTGAAGTCATGCCTACGTGTGAGCCTCGTGGCAATTGTGTGTAATGCTGCGATACGTGGGAAACATGGACGTCAACTAGCGACGGGAGTTCCGCAAACAGCACATAAGACAGATCGAAATTGAAACAGAACTAGGCTGCCAGCTGGCTACTACGTGCGAGAGCGAACTATTTTCATCCTACCCACCAAATACAAGCCCGAGCATGCGGGGATATAGAGGCTCATCATTCTTAGGTGCAGCTTGAAACAAAAGACGGAATGCGAAGCAAAAGTGCGCAGCGCGCATGCGGCACAGCATTGTACCAAGGCAGACAGATCAGCACGCTGCCTGGCTGCACCACAGAGCGAAGAGTGCGAGCGCTTATTAGTGGAGGAGGAGGCTGTGACACAGCCCGAATGCTTCTGCGAGGTGGGAAAATGTGGGCCGCAACATGTGCGCGCACCCACCCACCCACACAACACGCATGCACTGCGAGTGAGACAGGCGGCGCCATGGCACCGCCCGGTGAGGGAGTCCTTTTTGCGGGTCGCACATGACCCGTGGCGCGGCGGCACGGCAGAAATGGCTGGGAAACGTTGGCATTTGTGTGGTTGGGAGGCCCAGGCAGAGACCTGCATTAGCTAAGTGCGGCAGACCGGCGCCAAAGACTTCGTGATGATTTCATGTGCCAATGTGCATGCAGGCGCCTCGGAATTCTGCGATCGCAGAGCACTCAATGAACATGGTTGAAGTCGAGTTGTAATTATGTGTTGCTCTGGAGCTGTATTGTGCCATCTTGTATCCGCCCCTGGTCTATGTAGATACGCCCCGGTGAAGCCGTGTTCTATCCATTCAATGCAATGGTGTCGTAATGCAATGCCATCATAGGTCCCCCTGGTATCATTGAACATGAAAGTGCATCCACATCACATCTATCGTACATGTACGCCCGAAGGTCTCCGTCAGATCTTCGTCATCTTGAATCCCACCTGCACAAACCGTGCAGCAATGTAGACAAATACCGAACAACCCATAGCCAAGCCGCAGAATAGCTGCAGGCCCAGATAGTCACCGTGCTGGCGAGACACAATGGCGCCGGCGATGGGTGAGCCAGTCAGAGCACCGAAACTCATAGCAACGAACGCAATGCCGTTGCGGTTACCAATCTGGCGGATGTCGGAGATTTGTGCGATGAGGGAGGGGCTGATAGAGATGACGCCACCAGAGGCGAAACCAAAGAGGATCGCGAAGACGATGAGAGCGGCTGACGAGTTGTTGGAAGGAATCCAGACGGCAAGGGTCACAATCGTCGACAGCGTTGTTATACATACGACCGTGTTATAGCGGCCCACCTTGTCTGCGACAATCCCTGGAACAATTCGTCCGAATATGCTATTGTGACACGTTAGCACAGGGAATATAATTTTGCTCAATAGGGTTGGGGAGGATCTCTCTTACCTGACGGCGTTGATGATAGGCAGGAGATACTCAACGAGAGTCGGGTCCATGCCAGCCTTTTGTGCCTGCAAAATGACATAATTGAAGGGGATGAACATGCCCCAGAAGAAGAGGAAGTTTCCGGCCAAGGTCAGGGCGAACGCTGGCTCCCTGAAACCCGCGAGGTAGTCTGCGACGACCAGTGGCTTCGGCTGTGGAGGCAGCCTGGTCTTGATGGTCACGCAGCTGATGGCGAGCAGCCCTAGGTAGACAAAAGCCACTGCTCGCATCGTCCAAGGGAAGCCGATCTTGGGGATAAGCTTCTGGATCATGATCGGCATAACAACGCCGCCGACGGAGCTGCCGCTCACCATGATGCCGAGCGCTGCGGCTCTCTTCTTAAAGAACCAGGAGAAGACACTCGTCATGCAGGCGTTGAACACGGCCGACGCGGAAATTCCGGCGCACACTCCCTGCGCGAGGAAGAACTGCCAGTACTCGGAGCAGAGACTCGTCATCATCAAGGCGAAGATGTAGATTACCGTGCCGATGATGAGCATCCACCGCGGGCCGTAAACATCAAAGACGCGCCCGAAGATCAGTCCGAAGAAGACCATGCCCCAGACCTCCATTGACGTGATCCACGAGACGGTACTGGCCGAGTAGTCGGAAAGTGGGCCGCGAACGTAGTACTCCTGGAACACGCCGATGCAGTTGATGAACCCGAAGGTGCAAAAGAGGCCGCACCAGCCACCAAAGACCACCATCCAGGCCTGAAGCCCGCCGTCGGGGAAGTCGCTGGGGTGGAAACCTGAGCCAGGCGGTGGACCAGCGGCTTTCTTTTCGCCATCCTGAGCCGCCTCCCTCTCACCCTCTATGATGTCTGCCTCGGCGACGTTTCTTGGTTCTCCAAAGGTGTTTGCATTTGTTTGACTGTTCTTCGATTGGATGCGATCCAAGGACGGCCTTTTTGACTGGTAGGGGGTCGCATCTTCCTTTCGTTGCTTGTCGTCGAGGTCTCTCGACGAGTCTGACTTCGCGCTGACAGAGTCAGGCATTTTGAAGTTTGGCTAAGCGTTGAGAAGTTCCTGGTTGGTGTTTGTGCGCTTATACGCTTCTGACTTGGCTTCGAAGGCCAAGAGCGCGGGCGTGGCAATTTGAAGTTGAATTAAGCTTGTTTTCGCGCATTAGTTGAGCCTCAGGGGTGGGTTGGCAGTTCAGTTTTTAAATGCGTGCAGCAAAGGCTCGATTGGACAGAACGAAGAGTGGATGTGGTCTTGTCTTCAAGATCAGTGGTCAAATTTTGCACAGTGGACACTTGTATGTTCCAAGGGAGGAGAAAGGAGGCTTTTAATGGATCACCTTGAAAAAGAAAATTGATAATGGAAAGGGTGTATGGAAATTGCTCCGTACTTCAGCTCCAAGTTCGGAGCTACGACCGGCATTCTTGTCTGCAAAAGACCGAGTTTCCAGAGAGACAACAAGGCTGCCGCTACACCCCAGACTGCGGCACCAAGGGAGTCTGGGGGGCCAGCCCTTTCAAGGTCGAAAGATTAGGCCGATCCCGATCTAGACTATGCGGCCAGCTATGACTGAGCTCGGTAAGCAGCAGGCTGGCGCTAGCGTCTACGACCAAGGAAGCTGCTTGGGTGAAGGAATCCGGAGATAAAGGGCGTGGAGCCGTTGCGAGACCAACGGAATGTGGGTTGGTTGCTTGCCTGGGTCTGGCGTTGCCAGGGTACTCACAAGATCCAAGCCACAAGAATACACTGCTTGGGAGTTTATACAGGTATCATGATCAACATCAACATCAATATCGATATCAATGTCAATACCAATATCAATGTGATCCTAAATGATGTGTGGCGTGGTGATGTTGGGCAGGTGGCCCAAGTAGGGAGGGTCACCTGGCGAAGTGCCACTGCTCATCGTTCGCACATACTTTCCCTGAGTAAATCATGGCATTGATATCGCTGGACGGAAGCGAGTCTAGCGCCGAACGAAGATCGGGCCAAAAACGCCGTCTTGATCGGAGGTAAGTGGGACGCGAGTAGCGAAGCCAAGCGCCACGCCCTTACACATTGGCCCTTGTTGTCGGCCCCCACTGACTCGGGACGAACCTGTCCTCGGTTAGGGTCTTCGGAGATTCGAGCTGGTGCCAAGCAAAGTTATCTAAAGATCAGATAAAGTCGCCGTGGTATTTGATCGGCGTACCATTGAGCTGGGCTCCCGGAGCGTGGATTCGGACCTGCGAGTGCGCCGTAAGCATGCGCACAATACACCGATTACTGGGTGGACATTTCCGTGTCTTCGGGGCCGAATAAGCCGGTGACTCGGTCCGGGTTCACATCATGTCACCCGCGCTGACAAAATCTCATGCGCTCTCATCCTTCTCGTACCGGCCCCACCTCCTCATCCTGAGGGCTTGACAGCGAGTCTAACATACGAGGCGCTTTCCTGGGTTTAGCGAACTTTTGAAGGATTACTGAAATCGATTCCGTCTTCAGACAAGTGGCCAATGAAGACGCTGCTCAATTCCCAACTAACGATCTGCGAGGCTGACTGTGCCGCCATGTGAACGTTGGATCATCATTGTTTATTCGTAGATGCTGTGTTGATACATATGAATTACTGCAAGTGTGGCTGCCTCCTGGTCGAGGACGGTCACGCGATGGGACACCTCGCTCACGATCTGACAAAGTCGTTCAGATCCTTGCTGTCCTCGAAGCGAACCTTTCCGTCTTTGCCCACCGTGGCCACATGTACAGCCAACGGTTTCTCGCTCGTAGGTCCAGTCGGCGCTTCGGAGCCAGTCACTTGCTTCTGCGGCTTAGCAGCTGCCTCCACTGCTTTGGGCACCACGCCAGCCTCGGCGTCTGCAATCTCATTAACTTGCTCCCTCGTCAGAACGTCACTGACTCTGACGCCTCGGCTAGACATCAGTATAGTCGTAGGGCCCTTGAACTGTAGAAATAGTCGGTCTCCAAAGATAGACCTCCTAGCTGTTGTCCTGAGGCTGAACAGAACCCTGGCCAGAAACTTGTAGAAACCCGTCTCTTTGGTATCCTTCCAGAACTTGGCCCAGCCTTTCGGCACCAGGCTCTCCGGCAGAGATGGAAGCTGCAGGGTCCAGGATGAGCTCTTAAATCGGAAGGGCAGCGGCAAATTCCTATCCACGCTGTATGCAACTACATGACTGGGATGCACCACCAGCTCCTCGCCTTCGCCCAGCGTTACCTGGTATATCTGGCCCGGTGCAGCCAGTGCGACTAGGCCTCTGCCTGTGACATGGTGATTTCCCCAGTGTGCTGGTGCCAGCCCGCGTTGGATTCGAGGTGTGATGCTCAAGGTGTGCCCTGTCCAGGCGAGGAGGGCATTTCGCTGGGCAATCTGCCAGTCGGTGGTGCCGTCCAGGTGGAGAATGGAGAATGTGGTGTTCGGCGACTTGGTGGCGATAAGAGCTGTCACTGGAGAGGTCGACGATATCCGCTGGTAGAGGAATGGCATGGCGAGGAGGGCATGGCGGAAGGGGGAGAGAAGTCGGAGGGTGGATTGTGTCTGTTAAAATGGCGTGTGGTCAGTTGTGTATAGCTCCCTAGCGATTCACAGTTCTGCTCACGTTCTGCGCCTTGCCTGCTACAGTCACGAGAGTACCTCTTCTCGTGTAGAGCTTCTGGGAGGCTGAAAGGGTGACGGAGAGGAGGGAGTAGGGAGAGCCGAGTACTTCGAACCGAGCATCTGGTTGTAAGTCATGTTAGTGACCTGGTTCAGTCCAGTCGAGACAGACGTCCATAAGTACCTGCTGGGTCTCTTGCCTCGACCGCTGCGCCGAATGCATCACCTCCCAAGCGAGGAGACTCGGTCGATGGGGATGCGCTGATCTGAATTGCGCGGCACTGCAGGCAAATCCAGGAGGGCCGCACCCTGCCTAGAGGCCGTGCTGCCCTCACAAGGGGCATTTGACCTCGCATTATAGGGCTGTGGGCTGCTCGGAAGCAGCAGTGTTAGAGAAGGAGTGTCTGGAGTGGGATGCGTACAAGTTCACTCCACTGCATCGTCAAAATTCGGACCAGCCCGGTACCTGGCGTGCCTGGGATATGACGGAAGAGCTTCAGCAGCGCACGGGCCAGGCAACCGAGACTGGAGCTGCAGGGCAATTGGCGCAGTGCACTGGAAACTGTCGACCCCACAGTAACTTTTCGAACGGTGGCAGGGGTAAGCTCCACGGCCGTTACTGCGACAACCAAAACCTTCCACAATATGTACAATACAGGACAGGGGTCTGTCCCGTGCTATTCAAACTTGAGGCTTCTCAGCCCCTAGGACCTGTGCGCAGTACGGAGAAGGGGAAAGGAACCGTTGAATCGTATGACCAGGCGTCAATTGCACTTATTTCCTTTCAATTGATCTCACTCCGTAATCTTATCCTTCTTTCTATGCCCTACCATCGTCTGCACTGGTACCAACATGTCTGTGAGGGTTGTCGCAAGGATACGGCCGTTGCTGGACGGCGAGATCGAGAAGGATGTAATCGTCCGCGCAGACAGCAAGGATGGCAGCAAGAAGGCAAACATCGTCAGAATACCAAACCCAAAGAACGAGTCTGAGGATTTCAACTTCTCCTTCGGCGGTGTCTACGATCAGTTAGCGACACAGGAGGCCTTGTTTACTGCCGAAGGCAGGTCGAATCTTGACCCATGCGCACCGCCAACACAGACACTGACAGAAGCTCTACAACAGTCTCACCTCACTTGAAAGCCCTTTTCCAAGGCCTCGATGTTACAATATTCGCGTACGGAGTCACTGGCACGGGAAAGACATATACGATGCGAGGAGGGCTGAAGCTGGCTGACAGAGGCCTCATCCCCCGGCTCCTCAGCAATGTCTTCCGCCGAGGGAAAAAGATCACCAAGGACTCCAACGGCGCGACCATAGTCGACGTTACCCTGTCTTACTACGAAATTTACAACGACAAGGTGTTTGATCTCCTCCAGCCTCCAGAGAAGCGAACACCTTCCGGGCTGCCTCTGCGTGAAGCCAATGGCAAGACGATTGTAGTTGGTCTGTCAGAGCAGTCATGTGAGGACCTGAAAGATTTTGAGACGCTATACATTGAGGCGAACAACAACCGCATCACGGCAGCCACGAAGCTGAATGCCCACAGCAGTCGAAGTCATGCCATCTTGCGCGTCAAAGTCACCCAGACGACAGGTGACCAGGTCCTCGAGAGTACCGTGTCTATGATCGATCTAGCAGGATCAGAAGACAATCGTCGCACTGAAAACAACCGCGAGCGTCTTGTCGAATCTGCTGCTATCAACAAGTCCCTCTTCGTCCTCTCTCAGTGCGTCGATGCCATCTCTCGTGGTGACAAGCGAATTCCCTACCGTGAATCCAAGATGACGCGTATCCTGTCCCTTGGCCAAAATAATGGAATCACTGTCATGGTCCTGAACCTCGCTCCGGTCCGGAGCTATCACCTTGATACCCTAAGCAGCTTGAACGTCAGCTCACGTGCGAAGAGGATTGAGGTCCGGGAGATCGAGAACGAAATCGTTTTCAAGCAGGCGCCGCGGTCCATGACTTTGAGCGGAACAGGAATCCAAAGACAGCCTCTGAGGCCACTGACAAATGTGCACAACGTACATGCGGGGACGGTCGCCAAGGAGAAGGCAGAAAAGGAAAAGGAGAGGGAAAAGCCAGTCAAAGCGTTCAGTGTCTTTGTCGATAGCAAGACTTCACTTGCTCGTCCTGTCGCAGCAACACTGTCTTCTCAACCGAGGAACCCACTCTCCAGCAAACGCAAATCTGACGCCGTTGATGCGCCTGCCCGCCCGTTAAAAATGACACGGCCGTCTGCGTTGGCTCGACCTCAACCGACCATGTCAGCCGCACAAATCGAAGAAATGGTTGAGCGCAAAGTACAAGAAGTTTTAGCTTCCAGGGCAGCAGCGGAGTCTCAGCAACAGGAGGAGCGTGCGCCTCCTCCTGTTCAGCCGGCTTCGGCTGATATCAGCGAAGCTGTGCAACGGAGACTCGACGCTCTCGAGCGACGAATTGAAGATACTCAGGGTGAAGGAGCTGGTGGCAAATCAGAAGGGATGCGGCTCCTACTTCAAGCAAGAAAACTCAAAGAGAACGGGGAAGACGAGGCTGCACTGAACTGTTACGAGTCAGCGTTGCGATTTTTCCCAACGCAACCGAAGCTGCTTGGCAAAATTGAGAAGTTGAAGTCAAAGATTGCTGCAAAGCGTGCAAAAGTTGACGCTAGCGAGCAGACCCAGGAACAACAGAAGCCGCCCAACAGCAAGAAGAGGGCTGCAAGCCGCCAGCCTGAAGCAGAGGACGATGGCGACGATCCTGCATACGTCGATGACGACGCAGGCGCTGATGCAGATGAGAGCTACGTGGGCAGTGCTCCTATTAAATCGCAACCCAAGTCCAGAGCCAAGGCTTCATCCACTCCCGAGGTTGATCCCCTCGCTCGCCTCCCAGCAGACGACCCACGCACGCACCAGCTCCTTGATATTGTGAACTCGCGTGATGTGAACCTGATCAAGGGCCTCCGCGGCTTCGGGGCAAAGAAGGCACAGAGTCTGGTCGCGCGTATGAATGGTATTGACTATGGTGGTACTCGCCCAGACCACTTCAGGGTAGACTCGCTGGTTCAACTGAGCGGAGTCTTCGGCATGGGCGAGAAGGTTGTGGAGAAGGCGTGGGAGGGCCTTGATGGCTTGGGCCAAAGTGTGTGCTGAGTAAGTTTTTTTTTGGCCCCGTTGGCACGGGTAAGAAAGGTTTGTCTGTGGTTCATATTGCTTTCACGAGTTGTTCTTTATAGCAGGTGTTTGTTACGTTGTTGCTTTTGCCGGTCCCTGTTCTCATGCATGGCGAGGCGTTAAGGAAGCTTTTAAAGAGGAGCATTGCAAGTTAATTCAAGTACCATCGAAAAGACCAAGGATCCCCGTTCCAATCAGCGTGATACCATGAATGTTGCTCGGTCTTGCTCGCGGTCTGCGCAGTTTAGCAACCTCATCGCTTATACGAGGCTAGCACACAGTGAGCTCGTTTGTCATCGAGATCAGACTGACAACCCCTTCGCCACAACAGCTCATCGTTCAATGTCACGATGAACTACTTCAAACGTACTCCCGCTTTATGAACAACGACTTCTCAGTATTTCCTGCTCTCAAAACGCAAGCAAGCACAATCTTTACGCTATGCACACAGATTGTCATCGTCCATCATGGCGCATGGACTATCACAAAACCACTCGAGCTCGGCCGGTGCCGTTCCTTCTATTTGCAGCCCGGCGCGAAACGACATCATTTAGTGGAGAGTTCATTGAAATTCTGGTTCCAGAGTAGGGAACGCAGGAAGTACCGCGCCAAAGTATCACACTGGCCAAGGACTCCTAAAATTCGCGAGTTTGATGATTTTCTGGCTGTCTTGACTTATCCTCATAGGTGGCCCTTGACTACGCTTCGTGCTTTCGGGCTGGAACTTCGTTCGAGTGGATTGATCGCAGATAGGAGGCCACAGGATCTGAATACTTCAGTAGGCTTGCACTAGTGCTAAATTGACTCAGACGGATATGACTTCAGCCTTTGGTGCAGCTATCTAGATAATTACGTGTCACTAGACAAATTAGCTCTCTGCCAATCGCTGCCTACTGCGATACTAGGTCAATCGCGCATAGTCACTTGAACACTTCGCATGTTCCACTACGAATATGTCACTGAACTGGCTGTTCGCCTGGGCTGGGCCACGTTATTAACCCGTTTCCACCCCGACGTGCGCATGTGCAACGAGATCCTTGCTGTCGGATCCCACTATTTAATTATTATTGCTGCCTGGAAACGTTTCTGATTGCCTTATTGATCCTTTCCCACATCTGTAAAATGTGCTGCGTGATTCTCTTCATCGACTCAATAATCTGGTCACTCTTCGACATTATCAGGCGTGCGACGCGGTCGTCACACGATGGGACTGTTGTCGAGGAGGTCGGCGAGCGACCCAGAGAAATTGAGAATACAGGCCTCAGGGAACAGATCTCGACGCGCCAATTCATATTCATGGCGCTGGGAGGCTCCATCGGTGCCGGCTTGTTTATCGCCTCAGGCAAAGGCCTCCAACAAGGCGGACCAGGCGGGCTCTTCTTTGCGTTTGCCATCGTCGGCCTCGCGGTCTGGCTGACAATGTGCGCGCTGGGCGAGCTGTCGGCCAGCTTCCCCGTCCAGGGCTCCTTCTACGACTTCTCGATCCGATTTATCTCTCCCAGCTGGGGCTTTGCCATGGGATGGAACTATAATATCAACTTCATGCTTATAGTTCCCTTCGAAATTACGGTCATTATACTCATTGAGAGATACTGGGGCGACGCAGTGCCGGACATTGCGCTGGTTCCTGTTCTCATAGTAGGTTTGTTCGCAGTGCATATCCTCGGAGCGAAGGCATATGCTGAGGTGGAGCGTGCCCTCGGCATTGCGAAAATTATCGTCCTGGTGATGTTCACGATTACAGGTGTTGTCATTGCTGGTGGAGGAACGCGCGAAGCCAATGGGCGTGGCTTTGAAAACTGGCAAAAGTAGGTTATGCATCAGACTCATGATTGAGTCCAACTATGCTGACAACTTTGTTCTAGTGGACAAGCCTTTCTTAATGGTGGAGCTGGCTTCATATCCGTCTTCGTCGCCGCAGGAATGGCCTACGGCGGAACAGAAATGCTCGGCCTCGCGGCAGCGGAGTGCCGAGAACCTCGAAGGGTCATGCCGTTGGCATCGATGCTTGTTGTCGGCCGTCTGATAGTATGCTACCTTCTCCCACTATTCGTCGTCGGCCTCGTCCTCAAACCGTCAGCCTTCCTCGAGCCCGATTTCGCCAACCTTCACGCCATTTCGCCCTTTGTCGCTGCCGTTCAAAAGGCTGGCATCAAGGTTCTCCCGCATGTCATCAACGCCTTTCTTATCGCTGCGGTATTCAGTATGGGCAGCTCGGCATTCTTTGCTTCTTCGAGGAGCTTGACGGCAATCTGCAAACAAGGGATGGGCCCGAGAATATTCGCGAGGACTATGAAGAGCGGGTTGCCGTTAAACTCGCTTCTTGCTGTCTTGGTCGTGGCGCAGTTGGCCTGGATTGCCGCTGCTCCTGATGGGTCTTACATATTTGAGTGGCTCCTTGCACTGGCCTCGACGAGCAACTTCTTCACGGTAAAAACAGTTTCCCAAGCTCCCATCAAGAAAGAAATAGGAACGAGTTCACATTTTGACTGACAACTACAGTGGTTGAGCATATGCGTCTGCCATATACGCCTCCACCGCGCGATGAAGCGACAAGGCCGCAACGTCAACGAGCTCGAGTGGAGATCACCTACGGGCGTCTGGGGCAGCTATCTCGCTGCATTCATAATCGTGTGTTGCATGGTCTCACTTATTGTTAGCGCTGCCCTGCCACCTGTCATACCGCATTCGCAATCTCGTATCGAGACTGCGATGCAGAATATCATCGGCTTTATTGTGGTGTTCGTGTGCTGGGCTGGCCATTTGGTGATCGCTGCCCGGAGGAACAATGCCTCGTGGAGGGAGAGATTTCTCATACCTCTCGACCAACTGACATTGCCTGAGCTGGACGCTGGGCAGTCACCGCATGGATCTTCTATCGAGAAAAATGGCAATGGTGATGCGCAGGCGTAATGTTTCCTAGACATAGCTGTATATCATACTCTACTTAAAGGAATATACAAGGATTTGAAGAAGTCATAATGATTGTGCATAGATTGTGCGTGATGATTCCTACGCTATTTCGAGTCTCATGGTCACGAACTGCATGTGCGGCGCTCTGATCGTAGCCCGTCGCCCTGTTCACCGGCCGCGCGATCACGATTCAACCATTTCCAGCCCAACGCGCACAGAATGAGCGTACCTACAAGACAAATGACTAGAGAATTTAGAAATTAGTACCCAATGACTCGCATGATCTTTATCTTGGAGAAAATGTAACACAGCCTGAGAACTTACTCGAGCCACCAGCAACCTGCCCAGATGTCCATGCCTCCTCAGCATGGAAGCTTTCTATCTTCAGAGCAAAGAGTGCAGCAATCCACGACAGCGGCGTCTAGAGACGTTTTAGTGAGCTAGGAGCTTCCGGGAATGGAATTACGTACGAATATAACGGTCACCACGGTAAAAATGGCCAGAATCTTGGACTGTTCTGATGCTTTCAAAGCATTCTCAGTGCTCGCTGAGCCTTGTGTCAATTGCAAAAGAGTGACGACCTGTCGAGGACTCAGCATTGTCCATAGTATATGTGAGGTACTGTTCAAAACTTACGGACTCTCGAACCCTCTGTGCGTCCTCTTCGAGTCTTGTCATCACGGTGTACAACCGACGTGGGGCATGGTCTGGGCGACAACTGCATTCCATTGCTAAGGTCTGGTCCTTGTGCATATCCTCCCATACTTGAGCCTGGTTCTGATAAACTCGCTTGATCATGGTCAGCTCGTTGAGGACGTCATCGATGTCCAGCAAAGATGTGGTTGCCGTTCTGAAGGAATCCAGAAACCTGTCATCGGACTTTCCAAGGTCATTTCGGAAGCTTTTGTAACAATAATCGATATCACGCGACTGCATTGGGTTCTTCTTAGCGCAGTGGCTGTAGGATGGGATGGTAGTTGACCAATAAAGACTCACAATTCTCGAAATCTCTCCAGAGAATGCGTCCTGATAAGTGAGCTGCCGTCCGAAAAGCGAGAAAGTGGGTTGATATTCCAAGCACGCCACTAAGATCTCATGCAGCAGCTTGTCCGAGCTCACATCCTCCTTTTGCATCTCGACCCGAGATCTGATATACTCCGGGGCTGAATGCATGTTGGAAGAGTCCCATTTGGCCGGAAACGCGGTGATCAGGACATCTGATGAAGATTCAGCGAAACTGAATCGATAGAGACTAGAATGCCCATATAAAAGGCCAGAGGTTGCTCCTTACTGTCAATTTTCCACAGCCAAATTTGAGGGACAACAAGGACGAATTGTCGAGAAGGTTCAGATCTGATATTCGACTTTTCGCGTCCTTCGTCAACCCATGCATTTTCCAAATCAGCTGCAGTCGTCCCCATTGGCTTTTTGAGAACTTTGGTCAATGAGTAGCCCCTACTGCGTGGTTTGAGACGTAGCTTGTCGTTGCAAATATTATGCTGCCTCGAACACGGTTCTCGTTTTGCCTGCTCATAATGAATGAAGCGAGACACAACCTGCTCAGCATTGACCATTTGCAAATCTGTGTCAGCAAGGTCACGATGAAAATAATGGTCCAGAGTTCTTGCTCGTTGGGCATTGAAGGCAGAATGAAATGATTTCATCATCTCAACATGTCTTTGTTCTTTGACGTTGAGTCCCTGGCTCTCATAAGGATCCATGGTCAATACTGATGGTCGGCCATTGTTGTTATGGACGTATGAGATGTCATTCGAGACAAATCCAGGACTCATCATGTCGATATCAATGAGTGGTATCTGCCCATAGAGGTCATTTAGCGGTGTAATGCGAGACACTCGAACAGCAAGCTGCCGCTCTGTCTAGACCTACTACTATGTCAGCGACAGAGTAATGCTGAACCTCGTGCCCTGCTTCTCCGCCGCTATAGGTGATGCTGCTTTTCCGCGGTGTCGAAGAGTCCTCGATTGTCTCCTTGGCATGTGTCAGAATGCAATGAGACAAGGCTGTACCTGGAGATTACAGAGGCATGTCGTACCTGACCCGTAACCACGGAAAGGTTTGAAACGTTGACACAGTGCTCTCGATAAAGATCCTCATTGGAAATTCCACTTGTGCTTCCTTGGTCAAATGTATCATCAATAAAAGTCAATACGTCCATACCCTCAGAACGGAGTGAGTCATAAGAATACATCAGTCTGCAGAAGTCCTGCACGACATTGCCGGTGAGCCAACTAAGATGCATGATTTCGGATCATGGATGTGACCGACCTCAACCCATTGACGCTATATAGTCCGTGGTCAGCCTCTTCTCTGTCAAGTATCGACAAGTTTTGCACTGGTATGACTCACGTTCTGCGCGGAAAAGTGAACCCACTTGGTTTCTCGCTCCTTTTCAAAAACTCTCTTGTAGCGGCCATCATATCCCTTCCTTTCAAGTTTAGGAAATGACGGATTGGAGGCGTGCCTTATTTGCCATTGTTCTTCCTCACAAGGTTGGAGTCCTTTTCGGAATCCTGATCCGAGACGATCATACATCCTTTTTATCGAGCTGACGTCGGGGAAAATTCTTTGCCTTCTGCGTCTCGGATTTCTGCTGTGCTCATTCAACGAATGCTCGGCTCTTGGCCACTCCCAGACAACGTAGACACCACTCGCATGAGTTTCTAGCAAGGCCTCTTGAGCGGGAGATGGGGGATCTGGGTTTAGTGATATTGATCGCCATCGATAGCGCCGGATCAAGTCAATAACCTCGATCTTAGTGGCCACACCAGCGGCGTCGGGCTCGACAGCGTTGCTTGGGTTGACAAAGCTTCTGCAAGTGAGTTGCGGGTTTGCACCATGCTCAAGGAGAATGAAGACTGTTTCCAGATGACCTCCATGGGCGGCAAAATGCAGTGCAGTTGCACCGCTATCTGGGACTCGCTGATCTATGTCCAATGTGATTGGCAGCGAATCGCACACAATTTGTGTTCCGGAAGCCAGTCCGCTGGCGATGTGGCGGCAATCCGTGGCTCGGGCTTGGGCAAGGATATGTGCATGGTCCAGCAATATACGGACACTGTCGATGTGCCCTTCTTCGCATGCCAGGTGCAATGGTGTCCGAGATTTTTCATCCTGAGCGTTTACATCAATGCTTGAAACACTTCGCAGATCCTTGACGATTTCGGTGTGCCCTTTTCCGCATGCCAGGTGCAGTGGTGTTTGGAGCCTTTGATCTTTGATATTAACATCGATTCTTGGAAAAGTCAGTAGATCATTGACAATGTTGATGTTCCCTTTCTCGCACGCCAAGTGCAGCGGCGTTTGAAGTCTTTCATCCCGAACGTTGACATCGATATTGGGTAGAGTAAGTAGATGCTTGACAAAGTCGGTGTTTTCAGCCTGAATTGCTATATGTAATACCGTCTCTCCGCTTTCAGTTTGCATATTTATGTTTCCGGACGGCGGTGTTGCGGCCAAGTGATTAAACACATCAATGGAACGTTGGGCGGCTGCGATATGCATCAATTGCTCTCCTTTCTTGTTTGGCATGTCTGCATCCAGTCTCGTGTGTGTGAAAAGAGGCTGGGTCAACACCATCAAGCGCCGCGCTAGTTCGCAGTGCAAGGCCGTGTTTCCGTCAATATTTTGAACATTGGCGTCCAGAGCCTTGTCCAATAGCAAATCAATGACTTCGTCATTTTTAGCTAAATGGAGTGCTGTGTCCCCATGCACATCTTTCATGTTGATATCCAGGTCGGGTTGTGCTAGAAGAACGTTCAAGGCCGGAATGTTTCCAGCTTCCGCGGCAAGGTGAAGAGGACCTCTTCTCTCTGGTGTCTTGGCATTGACAGCTCCATCTCGACAGAGCTGAAGAAAGACGCGGCTGTAATCTTTTATCTCTTTTTCCAATGACCACGTATCAGCCGTCGGCATCGCACTGTTTGCTGCATAATGCACAGCAATATAGCCGTCTGCATCCTCCGCTTGCACGTCAATTTCGGCCACGTTAAGGAGCTGCTCGACTGATGATAGTGTTCCTTGAGTGACTGCAACATGCAGAGGAGTTTGAGATTTGTGGCCGTCTCGAATGTTGACATTGATATGTGGTGATTGAAGGAGTAAGTCGAGCACGTCAACCTTGCTTTGTCGGCATACAGCGTGTAACAAGGCCTTGCCATTGACCAGCTTATTAAGATTTACATCGGGGTAATCTTGTAGAATTCCCATGAACTTGGTCCTCAGCTTTGAGGAACGCTTTCTGTTGCGGGTGTTCCATAAGGGCAGGCAATCGAGCAGTTTTGCTATTACTTCTGAATCAGAGGTTTGAGGACGGTTGCCATCATCAAATACCGATTGTGTGCTCCATTGCGTGTGAGAATTGAAGCCAGAGGTAGTCTGTGTCGCGTCATCGATGAGCGATTTCTGTGGGATCTGTCCCCAATTCATCACAGCTTGAGACGAAGCCAGAGGCTGGTCTGGCATAACAACAACGCTCTCAGACCAAAACGACGTTCCTCCGCCAAGTGCACTTTGTGGGAAAAGGGAAGAAGGCCCATGATTCGTGGTCTCAGCGTGGCGCGGGCCATCTACAGATTGTCGATTCGGGTCATTTTGAGGATTCAGCTTGTTGTCCATCGTGGGACATCCGTCACACGAGCTTCCTCGTGTGAGACAGTAAAGTAAGTTGGGATGAAGAGGGTAATTATGTGGCAAAGTAATGAAGAACGACGTGGCTGCTCTTGAGTACCTGAGGGCCGCAGATTCAAGACGTAGCCGATGCCAATCAATTCCATGCGTGGCGTCCCACTGCATATCCTATAATGCATCTGTAAGCGGCTTACAGTCGCTCATTGCTGAGCAAGGTTCCCGATTGACTGCGCTTCCACGCAGGATGCCTGAACGTGGACCTGCAGGCTCCCCACACACTTTTACCGGGCCTTTGAATTTTGCCCCCCCCCCTGCAAGAATTCGCTGGGATGTTTTTCAAGTAGGCATAGCGGACCCATTTTTACGCAAAGACCTCAAAAAACAACTTTTCACTCTTTAACAATTATTCCACAGTCTCTACGGGTTGGTCCTCTAAGAACTCGGGTACGGCCTACCGGCCTCTCGCTTACGCTCGTCCCTTCGCCCCAGCCAGCCCTATTGTAATTCAGTCTTCTTTAATTTTAAAAGGGCCGGCTGGGGCGAGGAGCAACAATGCCGATAGGCGCTGCCGAGTTCCCAAAGGACTAACCCGTATGGACTGTGTATTAAATTTGTTAAAAGTGACTTTCAAAGTCAGCACGAGCCAGTTTTGTAGTGGGTCCGCTATGCCTACTTGAAAAACATCCCAGCGAATTCTTGCAGGGGGGGGGGGCAAAATTCAAAGGCCCGCACTTTTACTGATGCAAGTCATCAGCTCCGACAGCGCATCGTCTCCACCAAGACAGAATCAGTTTTTGAGGTATAAGAGGAGCATCAATGCCAACTATTCACGCTGCAGCACAACGGCGCATGCAATGAAGAGACCCAGTGGTAGTTCCCGTTATTCAAATTATATAACTGCCTCAAGGTGAAGACGGAGATGTCAGAAACGGTGCAGATACTAAGGCAGTGTTAAACGCCGAATTCTTGAGATCAGGGGCCAGAATGGCTTTCGAAGCTGGACCGTTCCATGTCGAGCAATTGGAGCCACAGTACTCCCAAATCTGGGCTCGTTACTCACCTAAGACTTGATCACTGCACATTGAAATACGGCATGGGAAAGTGCTCCATGCGCACTCGTTCAAAGACGCGTACAGGTGTAGCAGAGTAGGGGCCGATGGCCGCTGGGCTTCCAGCTGCTACAGCTAGCAGATACTGTCCCGGAACGGACTGTCAGGGCAAACAATCATTTACGCAGGTGGTCAATCAAAGGCGACAAGTGGTTCGGGCAGCCGTCGCCGAAAGACAAGTCCAACACACAAGACCAAGTAGTCAGTTAGCTTCCTCACAACACGTGCGACGGTCAAGTGATGGCCTCGTGCAGCTTAAGCAGACAAGTCGGGGTGGCACACTCGCGCCGGAGCTGGATTGTGCGCATTGGGGCACGAATATATACGATAAAAGAGAGAAGAGCCATCAAGTACGATCACACAGTGATGAAGCCGATATCTTCTCACTCGTCCACAACGGGCTCGTTTTTCTTCTTCTTCAGCCGGACCAACTGCAACACCTCGTTCCAGAACCCCTCGGGCTTCGTCTTGAGCGCGTCCTCATAAGCATCAATGACAGGCTTGTCCCACACCAGGTCCGCCTCCTCGGGCCTCACGACCTTGGTCCTCTTGATTATCTTCCACGCCGTGTACGTTATCACAGCAACAAACACCATGAGGTAGTAGCTGAAGAAGGTGCCGACGTCCCAGTTCCCAGGAAGGAATGTCTCGTAGCCGTAGCAGAAGACGACAAAGATCTCGCCGACCAGGCCGATCCACGCGCTGTAGGGCTGGAACCAGCCCGTGTAGGGGAGTGTGTTGCGGTCGACGCCCTGGACCTTCAGGGCGCGGTAGAAGTAGATGTAGGTCAGGCACATGACGATGTAATCGATAATTTGTGCTGCCTCAGTAAGGTTGGCCAGCCACTGCACAGCCTGCGCGGTGCCGTTCGAGACCGCGAGGAAGGAGAGGAAAGGGAATATCATGGTGACGGCGAAGCACCACACAGGAATTCCAGAGCGCGTGCACTTGGCCAGGAAGCGCGGCGCCTGTCCCTCTAGCGCAAGCCCGTAGAGGGACCGCATGGAGCAGTACACATATGCGTTTCCGGCTGAGAAAATGCTGGTGACCAAAAGGGCGTTGACAAGGTGTGGGAGCACAGAAACCTGCATGTTACGCATCGCAATCACGTACGGGCTGGCTGCCGCGGTGCCGGCGCCATCGCCGGCGTTGAGGGTTGGGTCGTTATACGGCAGGATAATACCGACGCAGAGAGCTCCACCGATAAAGAAGACGCCGAAGCGCCAGTAGACCGTCTTGAAAGCCTGCTTCAGATAAGTCCGGGGGCGCTGTGCCTCGCCAGCGACCATGGCCAGGTACTCCGGGCCAACAATGGTGAAGGCCGCAGACCACAGCGCACCGAGAAAACCCTGGAAGCGGCCCAATGAGCCAGTGTGAATGTGCTCTGCAAACGAGCCCGGGTTCGCCCAGTACCGAAAGCCGAAGGCGTCGTGCTGGGGGTTGCCTCCGCACATTGTGACGAAGGTGAAGCAAAAGACGATGATGATGAGCAAGAATTTGCCGCTGGAAAGCCAGAACTCGGCCTCGCCATAGAACTTGACGGCAAAGATGTTGATCAGGGCGTAAAGGACGATACAGGCTGCACAAACGGCTGCCACAGGAATGTCATCCCGCCAGAATGTCAGTACGAGGTTGATGGCAGATATCTCGAATGGAATCATAGTGGCTTCGTATAGGAAGAAGTTCCAACCCGTCATGAAACCGAAGGCTTCATCGACCCATTTGCCCGCAAAACGGATAAAGGAGCCTACAAGCGATTGTCAGTACGCTGCTGGCTTGGATATCTGGGGGCAGAACAAGGGGCGCACTGCATACCTGAGATGGGCATATACACGGCCATCTCGGCCATGCAGTTGTTTACCAACCCAAGCAATGCCGAGTACAGGGCAAATGCGATAAGCAGCGAGCCTGGCCCGCCGTCCATCAAGCCATTGCCAATCGAGACAAACAGTGCCGTTCCGATTGAGCCTCCAATAGCAATCATCTGAATCTGGCGGTTGCCAAGGTGCCGCTGCAGGGCATCTTTATTCCCCCTGACCTCGACAACGCCCACGTCCTCATCATAGGGACCGAGACTGGTCTTCTCGTCGCTCCGAGCTGATGGGATGTCCTTATCGGAAGCCATATCTGGCGGATCGCGTGGTCCTTGGCAGAGCGCAATGCGAGACTGCGAATTTGCTGGATCAAAGGAGTGCAACGTGTGCAAGATTCCAGCCAAGGAAAGACAACACAAGACACGATTAGATCAGATCAGATCAGATCTGTGTTAAGGGAGAGGGAGACTTAGAAGGAGGTCGGATGGTTTTTTTAGCTTTAGAGACATGGCGGCGATGTGAGGGCGTCGCAACAAGATCCCAGAACCCAGCTGCAGGGAGGCAGGGAGTGGCGCCGACAGGGTGGATCCATTTGTCACCTCAACTCTATTGATACAATGCAGATTCGATCAGCATGCAAGAAAATGGCTCTTGCTGACAGGCAAATCGCCGTTGTTTGGAACAGGAAATTGGAAGCGGACGAGCGACTCGACGGGCGATAGGCGACGGCGGCGAACGGTTCGATGGCAGGGCACCTCAGACGGTGGGCTAGGTGGGGTCCCCTGTCTTGCTTCGCGTGCTAGCTGCAGGTGGGGGGCGGGGTGAGAGTCAAATATGGCGCTACAAGTACCTTGAACCTCCAGTTTCCTGGTGTCCTGACCACGAATGAGCTCGCACACAGAGATAAGCAATTCGTAACCGAGGTGGGCGGCCTTAGCGTCGGGATCCAAGGCCCAGAGGCCTTGGAAAAAACACGCACCTCTTTGTCTTTCAAACCCTCCCTGATGACGCGCGTTGTCTACTGTCCCGACGCTCTGTTCCAATATATTAATCCTGGTGCCATTCCAGAAGTACTCCTTCCTGGCGACAGAAGCTTAGTGTCACCTGTGACTGAATAGGGAAGACAGCCAATGGATGGCACATATGGGGCGCACTAGTCACCACAGGGCTGGCAATCAATCCACGAGGTGAGGGGTGGACAGTAGATAATACCCACTGTGAGCTTGTTTGCTGTGTGGATTTGATGTCCGAGGTCAAGCAGAGCTACTGAAAATGTCCATATTCAGTCCAAGCCGTGCTGTTTACTGGATCCTGACCACACGCGTTGGTATTAGTTACAACAACGATGCTTCGTCCGTACAGTACATGAACGTCGGCTACTCCACTTGCAATGCCCCTCGGCTTTTCCGCAACGAAAGGCCCGGCCCGACTTCAAATGTTACCCCCAGAGTAGTTTCTCGACAGACTTAGCTCCAGCCACACTCCTGACCATCACACAGTCTTCGACATGTTCTACGAACCAGGGAAAACAGATCACGGTCTGGACCATGACCCTTTCAAGGTAGGGACAAACCCTCTAGCCCGTGACGGAGCCTGCGTCTCTAATCAACCCCAAGGCGTGCGTTGTCCCTCGGCCCATAGGATGGATCAGCACGACCTCACCCTCGGGCGTGCACAATCTCGCTCCTTACTCGCAGTTCAACAATCTCACCTTTGACCCTCCGTATGTCATGTTCTCCGCCAACCAGACACCCTCCAACCGCCGTAAGGATACGGTAGCCAACGTCGAGGCCACAGGTCGCTTCGTCTGGAACCTAGCGACATGGGATCTGCGCGAGGCCGTCAACACGACCGCCGAGCAGGTTCCAGCAGACGTTGACGAGTTTGCCCGGGCTGGGCTAGAGAAGGAGTTCACCACAGCACTCAAGGACCCTCAGCTTCCCATGGTCAAGGCGAGCCCGGTCAAGTTTGAGTGTGTCTACCACACCACTCTGCGACTGCCCGGCAACCCACCCATGGGTAGCGTTGATGTGGTTATTGGGCGTGTGATCGCTGTCCACATTGCCGATGATGTGCTGACGGATGGGATCCTGGATGTGCGGAAGACGCAACCTATTGCAAGGTGCGGTTACTACCAGTATGCGGTAATTAGAGAGACATTTGATATGATAATACCGAGCAGTGGAGAGTGGAGTGAGGATATTCTAGGCGGCCTGGAAGGGAGTTCGAAGAAGAATAAGGCGATCGGCGAGAGAGTATTGGCAATGCAGGGAGAAAATTCTCGGCATTGACAACGGGATTGCAACCCGCCTGAAAATCAGATGTGAGGGCGTGGGACTGAATGCCAGCGGGGCCCTCTGGGCTTGGACCTACAGGGCCCTTATCGATAGGATTATCTTATCAACCCACCGCCGTACTGTAAATAGCTTCTAGGGCACGCGCGCAGCTAATATTGCCGTCGCCTCTCTTTTCGTTAGGCGAACCTTAACAGAACTCAACAATTTTCTACAGACAAATCGAGCCTCCATGCCGTGACGACGTAAGGACCGTGTCAGGCATTGACAATGGCATTGCAAAACGCCTGGAAATCGGAGGCCAAATCGACTTGATGCGCAGACAGCCTCAGTGGGTCCCAAACTTGTCCACAGCCCGCTCGCTGTAGAACAATCCTGAATCACTAATCAAGCCTGTCAGAAATGTGCCAACATATGTACCTGGATAAGCTAGTTTGAATCTCGCACCATGATTTAGTCACACAAGCAGCCCTCATTCCATATCTTCTGGATGTCCATTCTCCCTTGTGACTATCCAGGATGTGCCGTTTAGGGATGACTATCATCCACACAGCAGAGCTCACTTGATACGTGGCATTCAGACACGACTTGTGACTTATATAATAGAGCATAGCACGATTATGAGAGCGGAAAGCTTCAACAATGGGTCAAATCATTCAGGTCAAATCATTCGCTCTTTGGACGGTAATATTCCTCCGTGTGCATGTGACTAGCCTGTGAACATGGTTCACTGCGTTTCTCCAGGAGCGGATGATCACTTACTTTCTTTTTATGACTTGAAAAACGACTTGTGCATGAGTAATGGTCTTAGGTGAACCACAATAAAACTTGGGGCTATAAAAAGACAGGATTTCTTCAGCAGTCGGATCTGCTTTTTTGTGAGATACGACTCTTTCGTCCCATGAGAAGCAAAGAAATCTCATCATATCGACACTCAGCCCGAAAAAAAAGCAAAATCACCAATATTGCACACAATTGATTCACCTAAAATCTTCAATTAATAAACATCTACAGAGAAGCTCTGTCAGACATCTCAGAATATCTCCAGCAATATGCACACCAACATGGCAGACCCAAGGGCCGGTAGCGGCTCTAGTAAGATTGGCTACACCGTCAACCTGAGCCAATCCGAGGTTGCCGAAATCGAAACTGCCAGAGAGACCTTCAAGGCAACTGAGGCTCAGAGTTACAACGTCTCCGCCGAAACATTCCCTCTCCCCACCGTTGGTCCACGTCTCGAGGCTATCGCCCGCAACCTCCACGAGGGCACGGGATTTGCCCTACTCCATGGTCTAGACCCTGCCAAATACTCAAATGAGGATAACATAACTATGTTCCTGGGTCTAGGTAGCCACATTGGGTCTCAGCGTGGTAAGTAATGATCAGCGTGTCCCAGAGTAAAATCGATTTGGAAGCTAACTCGCGAGATAGGTGCTCAGAACAAGAATCGTGACATGATTTCTCATATTACTGATGCTAAGGAGTGGCAGAATGTAAGTACACAGATGTTTCCGAGTCCTATACTATGTTAAGAATACTGCATTGAATCTGGATGATGTCTTGAATCCAGCGACTGCCCCAGGGGCTCCTGCCACCACTCAAAAACAACTCATCGGCTGCCTAGAACGCGCCATGAAGGAAGAATATCACTCATCACGTAGAATTGCCCTCGCTTCCGGAGATAAAGGGGCATTTCGACGCCTATGACTGCGGAGCCTTGAACAAAAGTACTGATCTTCTTGTAGGTGCCACCGGAAAAGCGCCACGGAATCCACACCAATTCGGCGTTGCCTTTCCATACCGATATGGGCTGTGAGATACTCGTCCTACAGTACCGACGGATTGCTGCTGAGGGAGGTGCTACATCACTTGCTTCAGCTGCAGCAATATACAACGATCTCCTTAAGCAGCCTGAAATCCTCAAGACTCTGGAGGCTGCAGAATGGCCAGTCCAGCTTGGCGCTAATCCCCTTCGCATGGCAACAATGCCTCTGATTGCTCATCATCGAGGTCATGTCATCAGTAAGCTCTCAGACTTCCTCCGTTTTGGTAGAACATCTCTGACCCATGTATCCACAGTCTCTGCTGACCCAGGTCGTCTCGGCCTTCACCCTGCAACGGCTGAGAAGCGGTCCGAAGGCTGTTACCTTACTGAGCTACAGCTACGCGCTCTCAAGGTCCTCAACGATCTCGCTGAGAAGCATGCCGTTCCCATCCCGGCCCAAGCTGGTGATATCCTGTTTATCAACAACCTCAGCATGCTTCACAAGCGGGACTCGTACGTCGACGCGGACGCCAAGGGAGCCGAGGAGGGAAGCCCGGCCATGGTCACGAATGGGATCGAGGAGGACACCATGCGGCGCTGGCTCACTCGTTTGTGGTTGCGGAATGAATCTTTGAGCTGGGAGATCCCCGAGGACATGAAGATACCGTGGCAGGCGGCTTACGGCAGTGTTGGCCGGCTTATCCCCCCGAAATACGAGATTAACCCTCTAAAGCCGTACAACCCGCCGAAGTACACTGCTGGTACTGCCGCTTGGCTGATCGAGGATGACGATGCCCAAATGGAGTAGCCTAAGAGATAGATGGACTATCAACTAGCTTCTGGAAGCTGGTCCTGACACAAAGCAAATAGTGCAGTGATAGTAATTTCAGACCTATTGAGACTTGTTGCCAAATTTCTGTCCGTTCGAAAATGATCGTGATAAGTCACTATGATGTTGTTCGGTTCCCACACGTGTTTACAGAGACTCGGGCCGTAATTAATATAAACCTGTGAAATCACAAGACTAAGTAGCAAACTAATTATTCGCTAAATGGCGTGAATCTCTCCAAGAACGCCTTGGCCTGCTCCGTTTCCCCCTCCAAAACCATCTTGTGCTTCTCACTCCTGACGCGGATAACACATTCGAACGGCTGAGGCCTGATGTTGAACCCTTCCGTATACTTGAACGTGTCATACAAGCGACCTGGAATAGGCTTGATATCGTACGCCCAAAGCAGCTTAGCCAATGCGATGTACAGTGAGTTCGTGGCCAAATTTGCGCCGGGGCAAATGCGTCGCCCCCAGCCGAAAGATGAGTGCCCGCTCTTTGAGGGATGGGCCTTTCCTCCAAGCTCAAGGTCGTGCTTCTCGCTAATTTGGATAGTGGTCGTGGCAGTTTGCTTAAGTCTGGCATTGATGTTCCCGTCTAGGAAACGCAATGGGTTAAAGTGATGCGGATTAGGATAATACTCCTCGTTCAAATTGATTGCCCATGAATTACCCAACACAGTCGTGCCTGCTGGAATGTAGTAGCCTTCATAGTGGTCATCTTCTGTCGAAGCATGAGGCGTGCCGCCTAGGACGGCGACCGGCCTCCACCGCAGGACTTCCTTGACCAGTGCTCTGATATAAGGGAGGTTCGCCTCATCCTCGAACGTCGGTGTGCGGTCTTGGCCGATGACAGCGTCTAGCTCGGCGTGCGCTGCCTCAAGAGTTTCCGGGTGAGTAATCAGGGCCAAAAAGGCGGTACACATGGATGATGCTGTGGTATCTGACCCAGCGCCGAACAGGGAGGCCGGGACGAAGGAGAAGTCGCGATCTGAGAGTGGGATGTTCTCCGTCTGTCGCATCTCCAGTAGCATCTTGCATAGCGAATCTGGCAGCTTTTCTTGTGAAGACTCTTTCTCAGCCTTAGCAATGTCTCCCTTAACGACATTGACCAAATCCATATTCGCAGCAGCCTCTCTTCGCCCGTGCTCCTTGATATCCCTCTTCCATGGTGCCAATATGTCAGGGACATACTTCAAAGCTGGGATCGTCTCGACCAAATACTTGCCAGGGACATTCAGCGATGCAGAGTAATGCATGAACTCGAACCTCTGACCAATGACCTTGGCGTGAAGCGAATCAATTCGATGCCCGTACGCCACGCAGAATACCACGCTCGACGTGAAAGTCTCGATGAGCTTGACATAGTCATTCGGGCGGCTCAAGAGCCCGTATGCAAGCCGGGATGCCTCGGCCTCCTGGACCGGTTTATACAGCCGCAACGCCTTGGGCGTGAGGGCGAGATGAAGAAGTCTCCGGCGGACGCTCCACTCCTTTCCATAGGGCTTCACGAGAACGCTTGCGCCGTCCCAGAGCAGCTCGCCCATTGCTACCATCCGTGGACGGCTGGAGTACTTGCTGCTCCGCGATTCCATGAGCTCGGTAGCAATGACCGGGTCGGAGATGATGACAGTGGGGCGGCGGCCTATCCAGATGGTGTAGATTGGGCCGTACTTCTTCGACCATTCTTGGAACTGCACCCATGGCTTCGACTGAGGGAGCTGCAGCTTGTTGCCGATGAAGGGTAAAGGCGTAGGGCCGGGTGGCATTCGGAGCCAGGTCACAATGTCATAGAGGAGAGTGACGGCTGGCAGGGCAATCAGGAGCGATAGCCAGACGTAGAGCGGCCATGTTGACGGATGAATAGAGACATCTGCCATGTTGCCTCGTGTCCTGCCCAATGTCTGAAAAAGGAACGAGTTTACAGAGTATGAAGAGTAAGTAACGAAGCGATGGAGAGAGTACTGCACGCACGACCGGGCGAAAGACGCCCTTTTTCAACTTTGACGAGCCTCGATGTTTGCGGAGAATCGACGAGCCGTTGAACCAGAACTGAGGTTTGACGAACTAAGTGCTCGCTAGGAGCAGCTTCGTCCACCTGACTTAGGCCAGTCCTGCGGCACTCGGCAATTGGGACTTTGTCTTCTCCAGTTGAGCTGGGGAAAGCTTTTCCCCGCAAAACCCCCACAAAACCAATTCCACTACCCCAGACCCACCACGACGACGCCTAGCGGTAAATCCCCGGATCCTCTCCAATGTCAAAACACCACACATGCCCGTGAGACAGCGCTAAATCTGTGTGGCTTGCGTTTTGATGCTAAAGATGCCTTGCTGTGGGCACAAATTTGGGTCTTTACTACTCTTGACTCATAATTCAATGGGATTACCGGCACTACATCATCTTGGCTACGCCTTTGGAATCCAGCACTCTTGAAGGCCTCGGCTCCTACGCGTTCAATTGTGGCACTTCACTCCATCTCGTCTCCATTATAACATAATCAGAAGGTTCAATCAGCAGGATTCCGAAATATTTGCTGTTGCCAAGTCTGGTAGCGCATGGGCTACTTCATCTTGAACCAAATTTGGACAGAGCCATTTTCAGCGCAAGACCATATTCGTAAGCATGGGATGTTCTGTGGGCGCTGGAATACATCATTTCATCAGGAAGGACAGCATTGATTGCGATATATGAAGTCATATTGCGATGTATGTAACAATGAATGACTCCTACTGATATTCCCAAGTGGTATCCATCCTATTCCTTTGCCAACTACAAATCAAGTATTGTTTTTGTACACCCCATAAATCAACTTCAACCGTCCAAATAGTTTTACACGCGATCCAGCTTCCCAAAGAAATGATTTTCGAGATCGCCACAAAAGAAATGGGTAAAAAGAGTGTATCGTCTCTCACACAGCAAGAGATCACAGAGGCACAGCGCCCTCACCACTCCCCCTATTCTTCCAACCCCCAAAATAATCAATCTCTTTCTAGACAAACTAGAAAGCCTGTCCCAGCACCGGTTCCTGCAGCATAGTCCCATCAGGTCCAGTGACGATCTCAAACTCCTGTGACTTCCCACTGACTCCAGCAAGGCTGAACGTAGGGCCCATGTTGACCTTCATGATCGTGGCAGAGGACGGCTGGGGCGGCGACTTGAACGAGGACGCGGCAGAGCTCGAGCTGTCGGAGGTGTTCTGGCGTCGCGGCGGCCGGGGCGGGGGGACATTGACCGTCTTGACCTGGCCGGTCTTGACACGCCGCAGGGCCGCCGGGACGGAGGGCAGGGACTTGTCCTTCTTCGCGGCGGCAGTCTGGGCATCGCTTTGTGAGGCCGACTGCGCTGCGACCCTGGCCTGGATCTGGGTCTGCACTTGGGCTTTTGCGTCGGCCTGCGCCTGTGCCTGAACCTTGACCTGGTATGCTTGCGCCTTTGACTCGGCGGCGAACATCCTCTCGAAGGCAGCGGCTGCGATCTCCTCATCATCGGCATCGTTGGGGAATAGCCTCAACACCGGTGGCTTGTTGCTCTGTGGGTGAGGAGTCTTGGGTCGCGGTGGGCTTTCCACTAGGCCTTTTCCTTTGGCGATAGAGACAGCGTTGAGAGTGGCAGCTCCCTTGTTTGGGGGAAAGGGAACCAGGCGCTGTCTGAATGGCTCGACACTGTCATCGACTTGGCCCAGGCCGAGACTGTCCTTCTGCAGGACGGGAGGGCTGATGGTGGGCCGCCAAACCGATGGAGAGTCGGACCTGTCACTGCTTGACCCCCCTGTGGGACGACGACGAGGTCTCCGACCACGCTCCGGGGAGTCAGAAGCCGCTGTAGAGCGAGTCCCGGTGCGGTCAATCCCAATACTCCTCAGGGCCGCGTTTGCTAGGGTGTCTGCAACGCTGTCTTGAGGAGGAGAGCGGGTCGCGCTTGCTTGCCTCTGAGGCCTGTGGCCTGTCTTGATAGCGGCTCTACTGGCATATGAAGAAGCTGTTGTTATAGATGCATTTGAGGCCTGGCGAGATGGCTGACTTGGGCGACCGGTCCCATTGCTTGAAGCAGACGATGCGGAGCCTGAACGGAATCTCTCAGCCGTGGGAGGTCTCGCCTCCATCGCGGCGGCATTTGCAGCCCTAGCCTTTTCACGGATAGAGTCCAACTCTCGACGGCTGCCGTCTCCGGGAGGAGTAGTTCGCAGTGCGCCATCCATTCGAATCTGTGGAGGCGACCGACTTGACTCTCGACTAGAAGGTGGTGTAAGAGTAGCAGGTTGCGGGACAGGGAGTGGTTTAGGAAGGTTTAGCTCCCGCGTGGGAGGAACATAGGTAGTCGCTGGGAGCGTGTATTCACCGTTCGAAGACTCAGCAGCCTTCGAGGCTTTGGATTTGGTGATGATGGACTCAGTAGCTGCCCGTTGGACCTGCATGCGTGTGGTCTTGAGCGGCGGCGGAACCACGTCAGCTGGCAAGTCATCCTCAGCCGTGTGGTGTCTGGGAAGACGCGAATATTTCCTAGTAACGGCGTCATAGTGAGGCGCCGGAAGAACTGAACGACGGGAATGAGCGATCTCCAGCAGAGGCTGATCATAGACCACAGGTATTTCTGCACACATGGGACACGGCAGCGACACCCAGAACTTGCCAGCCTGGTCCGCCGTGGAGGCTTCTTCTTGCTCGTGAGGAGCGCACCAATTCTTTAGATTGGCTTTGGCGCTACATTTCTCACGACGGATGAGATAGTGCCTCTCTGGCTCATCGCAGCGGTCGTAGCCGAGGTAGGTGAACTTGCACATTCCTTTTCGTTGTCGACGAGTTGTGATTCTTCGTCAAAAGGCTCTTCGATAGAGCAGAGTTTGGTTGAGCAGGGGCTGATAGGAAACGATTGAGGTTGAGAATCAAACTCTGTTGTTACTGCTGGAGGGCTGAGTGGACCTTCTCTCCGCAGTGAACTCTTGACACGGGGCATTGGGAGGTGAGTGAACGAAGGAAAGAATGTTTCGGTGGGTCGAGTGGTCTGGTGGTGTTGTCCTGGAAATGTTTCTACCACTTGGGTATTATACTTCGAGAAACACTTGCCTCTCGATCACCCTTGCAGATCAAACCGTACGGTCTGGGTGGATAGGGCGTGGCTAGATACTTGGCTTGGCCGGCCTAGCGAGCACGCAAGCGTTACCGATGCGGTCGCCGCTGGGTGTGAAGCGGAGAATCAAACCAGACGAGGGCACAATGAGCGACCTTACGGGATTGTATGACCGTAGCGTCCAACCGAAACGGGAAGAGAGAGAAAAGGAAACTTGTTCAACCTGCTGTCTCTGTGTATCGACAGGCCTGGCCGGAAAATAAGAGTGGATCTATGAGACCAGGCAACGTACTGGGCCTTGAAGCTCAAACGGCTGGTGCCGGAAGAAGAGGCCGTATTTTTGAGCAAGAGAGGGAAGTATTGGACATCAGGGGCCGAGAGACTGCTGGTCTCCTGCCGGGACCACGGAGCCCGGCTATTCATATGGTCGACCTCAGTCAGTCCCGGTTTGAGGCTCTCGGTCATGGACCGCAAAAAACGTGAGCATTCCGTTTCAAAGCGGGTGGGTAGGGCTGCTTGAAGCCAGTATTGATGACGATGTGGTCTGAAAGCGGCCACGGCAGTGTCAGCCCCTGCACTAACAGAGGCTGCGCGTGGCTTTGCCGCTCGGCTGTTAGTGGCCGGTCTGAGAGTGGCCAAACCGTCCCCAGACCCGACCTGGCCGCTTCGCGGGCTCGAAACTCCACTGCCAATGGAATGTCCCAAACACCAGCAGTTATTATTAGAATCGTTCGTTAGAATGATGCCAAGGACTTTCAAAAGTTGAATTCTGCTTTTTATCATCAGTATCGCCCCAAGAATATTGGTTTGATCGTTCGTGAAGATGAATGATACCCACCTGTTCACGACGAGGGGCTTACCGGCCTCACTCAATTTGCCCCAAACAATTCTTGAGCGTTGAAATCTTTTCCCATCTCGTTTGGGTCCAACCAAACGGTCATACGGCTCGGTCTCGATTGAGTGAAAATGATGATGGATCACACAGCCACGGTCGCGTGGTTCCCGGACGCAACGGCGGAGTCTTTGCCTCCGATGATGCTTGAGACCGATCCTCGACTTTTGTGTCAGCATCTCGAAGACTCCTCAGCCTCCATTATCTCAAATGGTAGCCAGTGTCCCATCTACAAGTACAGCAACACTTTGGCGTACAAACCAGTCTGCAGGAAGCGAGAGACAAAACTCATGTTGATTGCTGGCGACCTCACCCTCGGTGTTGTTAGCAAGGTCGGAGTGGTCGATGACATGAGCTCACAGTGGTATCAGAAGGGCGCGTTGATGGAGCTGGGATATCCCATTGACGTGTCTAAGATCCTCCCAGCTGAGCGCGTCTCGATCGCGAAGCACATGTTGGTAGTGGTGACGGCTTTACATCGCAAAGGTATACTGCACGGCGATATTAGACCGGAGAAATTTGTTAAGGAGCCAGGGAGTGACGCTCTCAAGATAGTAGACTTCTCGTCAGCACGGATGATAGATGACAGCGACCTCAGCACATGGCCGGGGGAATCACCAACAGCGGAGTACACGTCACCAGATCGATCCTACGATGGAGCAGCTTCGACACCATTCGACGACTACTACGCCCTAGCCGTCTCAATATGGTCCATTTTTTCTGGGAAGCGGCCCATGGCTGGACTGTTCAACTCCAACGAAGGACATGTCCCTGACATCGGCAAGATCACCGACGACGAGTTGTTCTGCAGCGTGGTTGACGTCCTGGAAGAGGGAGGGCTTCACTTGGATGCCCCGGTCACACTGGCTCGGCGTAATTCCATGAGCATCGATCCCAGCAACCGGACCGTCTCATTTCCTTTGAGTCTTTTTGGCGCTGATCCCGACGACTTGGATGATCAGAACGGTGTTAAGTCGAAACCTCGGTTTTGTCCACACTGTTTTGAGATAGCGATGTCGAACGCGGATAAGATCACCGGCAAGACCCCCAAGCCAGCTGTCGACTACCCAGAGTTTTGCCATTTGCGTAAAGCCACACATGACGTGGGGGCTGCAAGCGACTACGCACTGCAGTGGCTTCAAGGCCAAGAGATGGAAGTAGAGGTCGAGAATCCACCATACCCTGAAGCCACGTTACGACCACACTCCAACGAGGGCCATCTCAGAGCCAGATCACCCGCGCGGAACTCAAGCCTAAGGGTGGACACGAGCATGGACCAGGAAGTCGAAAAGCCTCTGTGGTCAGGCGTGAGCGCGGCCACGATCACGGCGGCTGATCAAGCTTCAAGAAGAGACCGGTCCAACACGGCGCGCGGCCCTTTGCCTGCAGCGCCTTCGGCGTCAGACGAAGGGTACGAGTCGTTGGGATGGACAAGTAGCGGGACCAACGAGCTGCAGCCCAAGCAACGGTCTCGAGGGCTGAGCTTCCAGAGGACTATGAGCGCGTGGTCAGAATCATCCGTAGGTTCTACAACCGACGGTGACAGCGAATCGAGGGGAAACGGTGAGACGGACGACTCACGATCGAATTGCTCCTCGGCACCGCTCACACCTATGCCACTCAACATCAAGCGGCTGCAGGTCACATCAAGCTTTGAGAGCGTGGTTCTGTCTGAGGCGGAGGCTGATGGAAACGGGAGGGGCCGGTAGCTTTGGCCGTAATATGTAGCGGCCATGTTGGGTGGGGTGTGAGATTGAAAAGCTGACCAGTGTCAGCAAGACGATGAGTAATCTAGCATATTCTGGCGTTGGCAAGGGAAAAGGCGCGAAGACGTTCCAGGGATTAGAGGGTACTTGAAACACCAGACAATCGGTTCAAATACCAGACCAAGACGAGCAAGCATCGTTGTGCTCCCGTTGTGAGGACCGCGTGAACGCGACCATTTCCACGTGGGCGGCCGAAAAATGGTGAGCTTTGATCGTTTGAGCCGCACACCCTAAATATAGGTCAGATGGAACCGGTTACCGACCCGGAATTTGGACCTGGCCTTCTCTGCGCCCTTCTGAACCGGTGGCTGAGCTGGGGCTGATAGGACCTTGCGGCGCAGTCCCGGAGAGCAAATGCGGCCCCGAGGGCAGGTCCTCCGGAGCCTGCCAGCCTAGATAGCTTTACACCCAGGTAGCATCCTGCTTACATATGAACTCATCTAACATACCTAGGTACCCGGGTATCTCGCACATGTCGGAATTCCCTGTAGCGTCTTCTAATCACTATTAACTAGTCAGAACGGAACTCTTTGACCATGTAACTCAACTACAGTCAAATACCATAACAAGTCAGCTGTGATTTATTGGTTCCTCGTTAACTGTCCAGGAGAAGGGACCTACCAGCCTGGAGGGGCTCCCAAGCGGATTCAGATGATGTTGCAGCACCCCTGTTTAATCTATTAATCTATGCTTGCCGCGGGATCCACTCACACCCCCTGCTACGGCGGAAAATACTGATCAAACCCTCAACTTAGAGAGGCCTCGTCAGACACTACTTAGTCTACAACCTCAACGTCTTCGAATCAGCCGCCCGACGCCGAGGAAGCATCTGCCGCCAAGTTGATAGATCTGTTACAGCGGCGAGGTGCGAAAGACATTGCAACGATGGATACAGCTCACAAGAAGTACAGCAAAGACATGCTCTCTGACAAGGATCTCGAGCGTCTCACAATTACTGTAAGAGGTGAGGATGGGGAAGAAGAACGGATCATGGAGCTTGAGAAGGAAGAACAACGGAAGATTCACAAAAAGTACAAGAGCCACCAATTCAAGACAAAATGGGAGCCTCTCAGTCCCGAAGCACCACTGAACGAAGAATGGTTCATTGCGAACCCGGATGTTCTCTCTGAGGACGACTCTGGGTATCTCTGCGAGATGTGCCGGCACCTTGACTTCGACATTCTGTTGAAACAACACGGGCTTCCTAGTAATAACAGCCCTTCGCTTCCCACACAGATCGAGCTTAACGGTGTGGGAAATGTCATGAATGTCGAAAATAGCTGTGCATTTTGCACACTATTAAGACAGAAAATCGTTCACGACGGAATCTTACCCCCAGGGACGGCAGATGATTCAAAGGACAGCCGCTTCTCCATCAACGTAATCGACGAGGGTCCCGAATATGCTCTCAGGCTAGAGGTTTAACTCGGGAGTCGATCGGGAACTGCAAGGCGATTCGTGATACACAGAGTTGAAGAAGAGCCGAAAAAGCCTCTGGGCGGAAGATTGGTGCAGAAGGAGCGAGCTGACATGAATCGGTTGAGGGAGTGGCTCCAGATTTGTGAGGCAACTCACCGGTCCTCTGATGAAAGTCATGAACTTGGTTTGACCTCGCTGCGGGTAATAAATAAGAGAAAACCTTGATTAGCTTGCTTAGCTATTAAAACTCCTAATTCCTCCTAAAGGGAGGAAAGGCTTTAATTATAAAGCTATAACTACTATTGCCTTATAGGCAATAGATACCTTTTTATAAAGTAGAGAATAAGTGAATATTTTAGAGTATATTTTTAACTTTTTCCTTAACTTTAAAAACTTTTATAAGTTTTGCTTCCTTTATATTTTTTAAATTCTTCCTTAGTTACTTTCTTTAAATTACTTTATAGATTACTGCTTAATTAAATATTAATTAATTTTATTAACTTTATTAGCTTATAGTGCTTATTTTAAAAAAAAGTTTTAATAAAAATATTAATAATATTAAACTTAGTATTTATATAATATATAATAATATTTTTAATTTTTATTATATACTTTTAAATAAAATAATAATAAATATTAATATATTTAGTTTTACTGTAAATATATGGATTTTAAGTAATTATAATTGCTATATTATTATTAATATATATAAGTATAGTATTTATTGTAAACTTTAAAAAATTGAAAAAATTTATAAATCCTTTAACTTAAATTAGCTCTTTAGCTAATTTAGCTATAGTAATATACTTAATATAAGTTATTAATAAAGTTATTATTTTTTATTATTATAAATATTATAAAATTAGTGCTTTTTTAAAGATAATAACTTATTTAGTAGTAAATTATTTAGTATTAAAATATTTAGTAAAATTAAAATTAGTAAATGCTATTAAATTTGTAAATTTTCTTTTATATTTAATACTAATATTAGGAAATTTAAAAAAATATTTATATATATAATTTAGAGTTTTATTATAATTCCTTAATAAAGTAAAATTATATTAAAAGTAAAGTTAATTTATAAATATAATATTTAGCTGTATTTATAATATAAAAAAGTTAAGATATTTACTTTATTTTTAGTATTTTTGTAAAAACTTTAAATTAATTAAGTTTTAATTCTTTTATAGTATAACTTTGAATAAAAGCGGAATTGCTTTTTTAAGTAGCTTTTACTATTTAAAATGCTTAAGTATATAAATAATATAATAAGCTTGGTATAATATAATTTTATTAAACTTTTATTAAACTTATACTTTTAAATAAAGCATTACTTTAGTATTATTCTTTATTTTAAATATATTATAGAGTTTTTTTTTTAATAATATTATTATTTTTATTAATTTAATAGTAATAAAAAGATTATTAACTTAAATTTTAATAATAATAGCATTAGTTAGGTTAATAAAGATATATTTATTAAAAGGTAATTTTTAAAAACTCTATTTTATAAGCTTTATAGAGATTTTAAAATACTATTTCTTTAGTATTTATTTAAGCTTATAAATAGTTTTTTAAAGTTTTTAAATTATTTTTTTAAAAATTTTTTATTTTGTATTATAAATATAATAGGAATAGAACTAGGAAAGCACTATTAATCCCCTAAAGGCGCAGATAAACCCTATAGGCTAGCAGGGTAAGCTTAAAAGGATTTACTATATAACAGAAGTAGGTTATATAATAAAGCAAAAGGATAACTAAAATAATTAAAACAACGCTTTACTCTAAATAATCTAAATAATTTAATACTCTTATTACTCTAAATAAGTAACGCTTTAAATAAGCTGTTAAAAGTAATACTTTTATTATTTTAGCTAAAAAAATAAACTATATAAATTACGCTTATTATTAGTAAATAGCATTAGCTTAAAATAGCTTTTTAATAGTTAATTTAAATATTTACTTAAAATAGCTATAAAGCTTTTAATCCACTATTATTATATATTGCTTAAAATATTATTACTTTAAATATTTTTTAAATATAAACTTATTTACTAAGTTTATTAACTAAAAATTAGCTGTAATTATTATATTTTGACTGCTCTTATTTAAACGTTTTATATAAACCTTAAGTAATAACTTATATAGTTATTATTTTTACTTTAATATATCTTTTAGCTATACCTAAAAAAACTTCTAGCAAAAGCTAAATAATAACAACTTTAAACTCTTATAAGCTTAATACTTTAAAATAATTAAAAAAATTAAAAAACTTTGTGCCTATATTTAGGGATAGGCTAGCTAAAATAATAAAGTAGAAAAACTTAAAGCTAAAGTTAAAACACTTTAAAGCGCTACTAATATTATTAATACTCCAATTAAACCTAAGGAATTTATTAAGCTTATTAACCTAACCCTCTATAATAATTCCTTAGGATAATTATAAGCCTATTTTATTTAAATTAAAGCTTATTAGTGCTTTTATAGCCTTAATAATTAGTTTAATAGAGAACGAGTTATATATATAGCCTCTTTTTTTAAAAGAACAGGCTTTAATATGGTTTAAACTTTACTTTATAAACTTTTTTAAAAAAGATAAGTTTAAATAATATAAGTAAGAAACTTAGAATATTTTTAGCAATTTTAAAAATTATAAGCTTACCTTTAGATTACTTTTTTAGAACTTAGATAAGGAATAGTAAGTAGAAAGGGAACTTATAAGATTATGCTAGAAGGGACTTGCTATAATTTATATTGCGGAGTTTTGCTGAATTTATACTAAAGTTAACTATACTAATATTATAAAGATTTTTATATTTTATAATAGGTTAAAAGATAAAGTAAAAAATAAATTATTTAAATTAAACTAACTAGATAATTTTATTTAATATATAGAATTAGCTATTTAAATTAATAACTAAATTTATAAGCGTAAACTTAAAAAAAAGGGGTAGAACCTAATATATCTCTTCTACTAGTAAAATAAGCTAAACTTTAAAAAATAGTACTAGCTATAAACAATAGCTAGTAAGTAGTATTTAGGCCTAATAAAACTTAATACTATTTAAAAAAAACCTAAAAAAAATATTAAATACTATAATTATGATAAAAAAGGATACTTTATATAAGATTACTAAAATAAAAAAAAGAATAATTAGAAATTAATATTAAAGCAATAATAGGCTAACCTAGCTATTAAAAAACCTATAGAAAATTATACATTTATAAGCTAAATAGTATACTATAATAATAATTATAATATATACCTTTTAAGTAAAAAAGCATTAGGATAGTTCTTAAAGGCGCCTAAAGGCTAAAAAACTCTTATAATAGTAAAATAAAAGCTATTTATAATTATAATTAGCACTAACTAGATAGTATTTTTAAATTTAAAAAACTAAAACCCCTATAAATAAATAAATAAAGCACCCTTTATAGCACTTAATACTAATATTACCTAAATTGCAATCCTAAAATAAAATAAAAGTATAATAATATTAGCGGTTTATAAAGAACTCCCTATACTACTATTAGCGCATTTTCCCAACAATAACCCTTAAATACACTATTAGCACTTAAACTATAAGAAAATCTTATAGGCTTTATATATTTTTAATAAATATAAAATACATTATATAAGCAAAATTAAGGAGGATTTTTTCCCTAAATAGCTAAATATAATAAAAATAATAAGGCTTTATAAGCAAAAGGAACTACAATATTAAAATATTTAATAATACTTCCTAAGCTAAGAATATATAATTCTTAAACTTTAAATAAATTACCCCCTATACTACTTATAAAACCTTAAACTATAAAAGCACTATTTATAAACCAACTATTAAATATACCTTAAACTAAAACTTTAGAATTAATACTAATATTATTAACCTAATATAATTTTACTATTTAATAAAAAAGATATAATACTAAAAAACCTTACTATTACAGTATAAGCGCTAAAAGCAGTAAAAGGGCTTATATAAAAAGCTATTTAACAAATTAAGAAAATCCTAGTAAAAAACTAGATAATAAAAAACAACTAAAGCTAAGTTTAAATAAGCCTTAACCAGCTTTAACTAACACAAAAAAGTTTCTCTACGTAATAAACACTAAAGAATACAAGCATATAAAAATCATACTATAGATTAAATAATAACCCTTTATAATACTCCTAAACAGCAAAGCATAAAAAAACTTTATATTATTAATAATAATAAACTAATATAAGATACTATAGTAATAGAAAACAAAACCCTATATACTTAATACTATTAATAAACAAAAGGTACTTTACAAAAACAGGATTATTAATATAAAAACTAATTATCTACTAGTTATTTTCAACAATTATAAGGAAATCATCCAATTTAATATTATAAATATAACAAAACACAAAATTATACTAGAAATTCTATAGCTTAAAAAGAGTAACCCTTAAATTAACTAAACTATTAGCTAGATTTATTAAAACTAACTAATAAATAGGAAAGTTAAAAATAAAGGAATAAATTTAGTTTTTAAGAATAACCGCAATACTAGCGCTTATACAAATTCATATAGTAAACCTCTCTAAAAACAAAAAAAGAACTTAATTACTAAAACAGAAATAGCTAACCCCTTAAATAAGTTAAATAAACAGTAGCAGCACTTTAATCCGCTATAAATTAAAAAAAAAATAAAGCAGTTAGCTTAAGTAGTATAGCAGTAGATACAAAAAATCTAAATAATACTTAAATAAGTATACCACCTATTAAAAATCCCAAAAATCACAGTTACATCCCTAAAAAAAACTTTATAACAAACACAGAAACAATAACGTCTAGCGCACTATAAGATAATACAGCTGCTACTTAAAAAGTTTATCTATTTTATATAACAACAAAAAAAAACAAACAACTTAAAATAAATCCTAAAAAAATACCAAAAATACTTAAAGCTATTTTAAATAACACTTAATACTAAACTACCTAAGCACAATCAATAGAACTATAAAATACCCCTAA